TGTGATCCGCCCTGTTCAATAAATGGTACATGTATCTCGGCTAATGAATGCAAGTGTGATTTGGGATTCAAAGGAGTGACTTGTTCTGAATTTTCATGTGAATCATTAGATTTTTGTTCTGGTCGAGGTAGTTGTATTTCATTTGACAATTGCTCATGCGATCCTTTATGGTTTGGATTAAAATGCTCTGAAACATCCTGTAAAAGTCAATCTAATTGCTCAGGAAATGGTGTATGTATAGCACCAAACGTCTGTAGATGTAAGAAAGGTCTTGCAGGTGATGATTGTTCACAAAAGGCACTCCCAAATATAGAGAAACCACAATTTCTCAGTAATGAATATACAGTAGTTGTTGATGAACTGATTTCGGCCAATGAATATCTATTACAAATTCAAGCAAATGACACAGATATAGGATCTACTAAGGGAATCGTCTATACTTTAGGCTACTCAAATATTTCAGTAACAATCGACGAAATAACAGGAGTGTTGCGATCTAGTGGAGAATTTAAACCGGGAAGCTATAGTGTAGAAGTACGGGCAACGGAGAATACATTATCAAAGTTATCTTCTTTAGCTTTCGTAGATATTAACGTAAACGATGTAAATGAATGTGCAGTAATTAAATATCCTGTTTTGAGTGATAAAATTCTGTTAAATTCGACTACACCTATGGGATTTCTTGTATCTCGGATAGTAGCAACTGACTCTGATTCTGGTCTAAAAGGAGAAATGACGTACAAGCTTGAGAAAATTCAAAGAGAATGGAATATATTTGAAGTGATGGAAAATTCGTCAGAAATTGTAACAATAAAGTATCCTCTTCCTGTTGGACGATTTGAAAGCCGCCTTATTGTATCGGATAAATCTGATGATCCTTGTTCAAGTACATCTACATTTATTGTTTATATTCAACAAGGAGAAGAATTAGAGGTTACGACAACAAAAAACGAAGATGAGAACACTTCTGAAAGACCGCAAAGTACATTGAAAGAAGTTAATACAATATTTTCCAGAGATCTTACTACATCTGAACCGGTAGAAGTTAGTACAGAAAAAGATAACTATTTCTCAACTACAGTAGTGAATGACGTTACTACATCTGATCCAGTGAAAGTTGATACAACGTCTAATTTAAAAGGGATTCTTACTGGAAATTCTCAAATGACTTATTTAATTATTGCTATTTCCAGTGGTAGTTTAATGGTGTTAATTGCGTTATTAACATTTTTATTCTTATATATTCGAACCAAAAAGCGAAAAGGATATTTTTAGATATTTTAATAGTTCACCAAAGTATGTTTTTCAGCTTTCTGATTTTAATAAATTATATTTCTTTTTATGTCTTTCATTCTTTTATTGAGTAAAAACTGAAGGGTTGCATAGACAATAATAACATCTTATATTGAATTAATTATTAGACTCATAAAAGAAGCACAAAGTTTACTAAATGGCGCCAACGACGTGGACGAGTTGTATCAGGCATCCAGTAAAATGACATGATGAATATTGAGGAAAGTATAAAAGGGAGAAAACGCAACAGTAATATTGTGAGAGAAGCAAATAAAATTGAAACTAAATTACTAAGGAATTGCTAACTAGTTTCATAATACGAGTCAAACCAAAAAATCTTGTAAATGTTGTATTTATACTGTATATGACTTGGTCATCGAATCAAAAGAAACCTCTTTTCATACTATTGAACTAGGATTAATGAGTTTCCATTGACCGATTTTTTATATATACATGTATTGTTTGATTTTTAGGTTTGTTGTTTTATTTTCGTTTTCACAGATAGCCTTGAATATACTTATTTAGCTTTCGATAAGTAATTACGTTTTTAGGGATATTTTTAAATTGTATTAAACTCTCTTCTTCCTAATCATCAATCATCATATATAGAGACAGATAAATAGTAATTAAAACACTGATATCTTTATTATACTAATATGTATGGTAATAGTAGCGAATACATATTGAATTTGACTTGCGTCATTTAATTTGATGCCACCTAAAAGTGTAAAATAAATAAGAACATTTAAGATTTTTTTGGTATTATTATTATAATTATTCATAATAATTACATCTATGTTTCTTTGGAATATGTGTCAAATACTTTTCCTTTACACCACATTCGATCAATCTGTCCAAATATGCACGATAAAAGTAACAAGATCCATTATTAACTGCTCCATTTAATCTACTTAAAATTTGTTGACAATCTTGAAATATATAATAGAAACATTAAAATTAAATCAATTCTATATATATTTAGAAGATGCTTTAATACAAACTAGATTTGCACTGCTGTTTAAATATTTCTATTGTAGATTGAAATGAGGAATCATAACTTTCAAATTTACAATTATCTATATGAATTCCCTCAACACAATGTAAAAAGTCATTTCCAATTTGACATGCCTTTTTAGCGCTAAAATTGCTTGCAAGTATTGTAGACTCTTCAGAGTATTTTGCTGAACAGTTTAAAAGTGCAGTTTCACATTCAGTATAAGGTAAATTACTTTTTACATTAGAGTCTTTAACTTCAAATGATGATCGCGATGAACATAAGATCGTTAAATCTTGGAATTATCATTAAATAATTAATGAAAAATGTGTTTTTTAATTAAACTAATTTAACTTACTGAATAAAACCAAAAGATAAACAATCATTCTTTTTCATACAGGAACAACTTTCTTTCTGAGAAGTACAACGTAAGTCTTGCATTTATATTCATATTCATGCTTTCTTAAATTCTATTTCCCAATAATAGTTGCCATTTAACTTAAAATTCTCCCCCCCCCTCCTTTTTTTTACATACTATAATCAACCTCAAGGTCATGATGACATTATGTATTTTATATTCGTTTAATCTTATTAATAATAATTGATTACTTAATTAATCAATAAATCAATACTTAAAGAATGGAAGGTATACCGAAACGAAAGTCAATAATATATTCATTGCTGTGAAGTATCTAATGATTGCCTAGAAAAATAGAAAATAAAAAAGCGGTGACCTATATATGCCTAAAAATCAATATGCTTAATAAACTACTAATAAGGAATAGTTGATTAGTATAGGAGACTGTTTCGCAATAACAGCTTTCCAAAACCATGTTCTTTGTAAATCACTATCATTAGTCACATTTTCAATATATAGAGTATATCCTTTTAAACAGGCCATTTAAAATATTAAAGATCAATCTAGCGTTCAAGTATGTTACACCTTCAATGTTCCTTAAATAAAATCTACTATTAAGTTACTATTTGGTAATTTTGTTCTATTTCAGAGATTATTCCTTCTTAAAAGACAAGGAATAGGATTTATATGGTAAAGATAAAATGATAATTTCTATCCATTGGAAAATGTTATTCTTCTTTACTATATCTTTCTTATGTTAGTATATTCTATTATACTGTATGCATTTATGTTATGTTTATGTGTTATTTTTTTTGTCCTTAGTACCTCTCTGCCACGGAGATATAAGATCATTAAATTATACATCGTCTGAAAGCCAAACATATTCATTTTGTGTAACAGAAGCTATAAAATGTTCAAGTCTATATCTACAATCGCTAACAGCTATGTTTCATAACGGATTTCAGGCTGAAACATTTTGTGAAATATACAAAAATGATAGAGATTGTATGGATAGCGTAAACGGCAAGACCTGTAAAGTTTTAAATATATTAGAAATAAACAATTTTACAAAGGCAATTTGTAGCCAAGGTAATTAAATTTAAACAAATATTTAATAATTAATAAAAATAATTAATATTCCAAATAGAATGTGCAGCAGAGCTAAAGGTTATTGCTGGAGAGCGAAAATTTGATTCTTTGAACTTTTATGAAATATTTAAAACTTCTTTGAAACGATGCAACGCTACAGAGTATTTTTATCACGAATCGATATTCACTAATAATAGCAGAAGTATTTATAAAAAGTTTTCCAAAGTTTTACAAAATGTCACTAATAGTAAAATATTATTTGATTCTATAGGTTCAAAAGACATTTCGAAAGCAACGAAAGAATCAACTCTTAAGTTAATTTTATTATTCTTACCATTACTTATTGGATATGTTATGGTACATTAAAGTTTATTTTGTTAAGTTTTATAAGTCAATGAAAATGTCGTTCATTTCAATTAGGAGACTGTTGAAAAGTTTATATTACATAATATTTACAAAGTTTTACTGAAAATAAACAGTTTATAGAGATACTTTTCCCTTTTTGGCACGAATACATAAATATATATTATAGCTACGCTGGCTAGGGCAATTATTAAATTCTTCGGAACTTTTGTTAGAAACTGTAAAAGTATTTTACAGTTGTATTATCAATAGAAGTATTGCCACTTAGTACAAGATGACCTTGTACGTATCCTCTAAGAACGTTTGGTTCTGATTGAATCTCTTTAAAATATTTTAATGTTGTAAAATTGGTGTCTAGATAATTTGGAGATAAATTAACTTTTACCAATAGCCATAAGGATTTTCAGCGTTGATGTAATTATATGTAATATCAAATTGGCAAAGGTGAACACTATCTAATCCACAGAGAAATTGAGAATTAATTTCATAGTTACTCTCTTCATTATCAAAGATATTTCTTGATATATTGGGAAATTTTTCTCCTCTAATTAGCATGAAAGAAAGAGCAACATTCTTAGAAAATCTGTTGTCGGAATTATGAATAAATGTTTCCTCCGCATGTAGAAAAGTGAAGTTAGCAATTACAGAATAAAAACGGCTATCCATTGCGAAATTGTAATTGTAAATTTTTACATTTTGTTTTGTAATTGTTAAACCGGAAATCTTCAATAAATTAAAGGTTGATAGCCAATAAAGGCATATCGAGACATTTACGATCATGATAACATGCAAGTAATATACGATTTAGGGTAACTGAAATGTCATAAAAGGTTTTTAAGCATTGTGTATTGAAGGAAAAGATGATAAATTACAGCTACAAATGCATACTTTACAAATATTCCTTTACACTTGTAAATTCACATAGATATCATCTTTTATACTATGTTTTATAATATCTAATCCAGAACCTATATCAGGGTTTTGATATAGTGATAAGGACTCAATATTTGAACAAGAACGTAAGCATTCACCCAAGCACTTTGCCTGATAAGTGTTTAAATTGCATTCGTCAAATTGAAGTGTTTTGATAGAGTTAGATGAGGATTTTAATCCATCACATATGTTACTAAATCCTATACCCATGGATTTATTGAATTTAAGGGAAAGTGATTCTAAACTTGAGAAATTTAATAAACACTCTCCTAGACGCTTTGCTTGATTTTCTGTCATATCACACCAGTTGAGATTTAGATATTTAAAAGATTCAGAAGATGTTTTTAAACTAGAGAATACGGCATAAAGTTGTAAATCCATTTTGGAATTCCCCTCAGCCAATAGCGATTCAAAACGTGAGCATTTTTGTAAACATTTAGCTAATTTCTTTGCCTGATTTTCACTTAAATTACACCAACTTAAATCGATACTCTTAAGACATTCAGAAGATTTGGTCAACCCAAGACAAATTTCAGTAAATCCATCACCCATATTTTCGCTTTCACGAAGAGATAAGGTTTCCAAGAAGCAGCAGTGCTCTAAACTCTTTCCTAATTTTTCGGCTTTAGTGCTGCTCAAATTACACCAGTCGAGATTAAGATGTTTTAGACAATTTGACGATGTTTCTAAACCATTACAAATATCACCAAATCCCGATTCCATGTTTTTATTTTCGGAAAGACATAAATTCTCAATATTAGATAGATTTTTTAAGCATTTTCCCAAGCTTATTGCTTGCGCATTGTTTAGAGAGCATTTACTGAAATTAAGGCTTTTTATATTCTTGCAATATATTAATCCATTACATAAATCATGAAATCCACTTCCTGTAGTTTGATTTCCTTCGATGGATATTGATTCACAATTGCAACACTTTTGCATAAATTCACCTAATAAAGATGTTAGATCCCTAGATAAGTCACAAGCTCCTAGATTAAGATGCTTCATACGGTCTGTGTGATTTTCTAGCCCTTTAAATATTTTCTCTAATCCGCAGTTCATCTCATTGTTATATTGAAGAGATAGTAATTCTAAGTTTGAACAATGAACCAAGCTTTCTCCCAAGAGTGTGGCTTTACGTTCTATTAGTCCACAGTCGTTTAATTTAAGGGATGTAAGAAATGGGGAATTACTTAAGACTTGAACAATGAGTTTTGTTAGACTATGAGACCAATTCAGTGTGCTTAGATCTAAAGATATTAAGTTTGAAATCTTTGGAAGTTTTTCTAATATATGAGATTGAACAGTTTTCTCATTAATGAAACAGTCAGCTAGGTTAAGCGATTGAATATCCTGAAACAATGAACATACGAGATCATCGTCCAAACTAAATGAAATATTCTTTATCTTTGTATATGATTTCAAATTGAAATTTCTCATTTTTATCATATCTCTCCTCCATCCATTTACAACATGACTCATATTCTCCACCTTATTGTATTTCCATGTAGGAATATTTATACCTTTCCGGCAATCCTGATCTATATTTAATACAAATAGTAGCTCATCATTCCTCATAACTGTTACATCAAAACTATTCAATTGAGAAGATTCTTTATTGCGTTTCTGTTCATTCATCTCATACTTCGGTGGTCTAAGATACCTATAACAATTGCTCAGAAATTCCTCATTTGGCGTCTCTATTATAGTATTTACTAGACAAACTGTTCTTAAAACCTCCATTTTTATTTTATTTTGTAGAACTTCAAACAATTGAGGACAAAAGCGTTCTCTGAGAATTTTATTCTTAAACGTTAATGTTTTCATATAAGGACATTTTTTTATAAACTTAATGACGTCCCAGTTTATATAAGATGAAAAATTGGAGCAATTATCAGTAAGGCTTGCCATATAGACTGAACCAAAAGTAGCTCGAATAATAATTATTCCATTATTGCGAGAATGGGAAATTTCTAAATCTTTCACCTTTCGTTTTGCGGATGTAGAAGATTTGTTGCAGTGTCTAATTATTTGAAAACACGTCTTTCCCATATGGAAATTTGAGAGTTTGGTCAATCTAAGTAGAGTTAATAAACTATCTAAGAGAATGCCATCTTTATACAAACAAGTTAACAAAGTTCTATCTTTAATATAAATATTCTTAAGATTGGGACTACTCGAAGACAATGTTTTCAATAACAACGCTATATCTATTTCAGTTTTCTGCAGAGTCACTTCCTCAATATTAATCCCAATTTTCTCAAATAAGATTGATAGAACTAGGTCATTTACTTTTTCATTTTCAAATAATAAAGTTTTTTCATTGCCCAATCCTTGCTCCAGTAAGCCTTTTAGTTTATCGCTACATTTATACATTGCTTGAATTTTCCTTGAGTTTAATAGTATTTTATTAAAAATCTTTGTAGAGCATTGCTTAATAAACTCCATAACATTGTAGATATTTGTATTGTTAAGTTTATTTAATTGTTCGTCTAGAGGTTTGAATAAAAGATTTATGCTAAATACTCTTTGATATTCATCAATAAGATATTTTGCTGCAAAAAACTCTTGAATTGATAAATGATGGAATTGAATTTCAGTTAATCCAGAATTTGCATGTCTCTGAGGTATTATTTGAACTAGACCGCTAATACATTCTTTTATATCTCTCTCTTCACTAGAGTTCGTTGAAAGTAATATCTTACTCTTTGCCAGATTGGTAAAGCATATTTTATGTATTACCTTCATTCTATCTTTTAGATTAGATCTTCTCACTTCCGTTTTCTCTTGGACTATTTTCACTAGATTTTCATAGATTTCATATAGGGTTTTGCTAAAGAAATCTCCTTTTTCCTTCCAAACATAAAATACAATCATCGCTAATAGTGGAACTCTACAAAGATTCCTAACACTTTTGTTTTTTCCGTTAAGACTATTAAGGAAAATCGTTGCGAAAGGATCATCGTAAAAACATTTTGAGAAGAAAGATATCAGCTGTTCATCATTTAATCCTGTAAGCTCAAAAGTTATGTCACATGTCGTTCGGATATCTTTTGCCTTCCATTTTCTAGTCCATATTACAGTAGGTACTGGACAATTTGGTTTATCTATTATATGATTTAGTGGATGGTCATTCAAATGGAATTCATCAGCGCCGTCCACAAACAGTAAGACTTCTTGACTTTTTTCTTCAAAGAGTAGTCTAATGATATCTTTACTTATAGATGAGACTGTTTTAAAATTTTGCTTCATTATAGTTTCGAAAATGTCATCGTCCGATAATACATCTCTTAAAATAATAACAATGACTAATTTATTTTTGCTGGTCTGCCATTGGTCAAAAGACCACAGATGAATGAGATTTCTAACCTGAACACTTTTACCCATTCCAGGTTCACCTTGTACAAGAATTTTGTTAAACGGCTTCTCAAATATCTTATGAAAGTTATTGTATTCGATGTTTGTTGATTCCAAATTTGTATCGAGCAGATCTGAGTTAACGACTTCGGATACTTCGATAGATGTTACAATATCCGATAACCTAACATGCCTACTATTGCCAAATGGAAGAGGAGGTATATGAGATGAGTCTTTCTTTCTCTCATTTTTTACATCCTCTATTACCTTTTTCCAAACGCCGTCTACATTACTCAAGTTTTTTGAAATTCTTAATGATTGATGTTCATTCAGTCGATTAAGCGAATCTACTGTATAGTATAGAGATTGATTATTTAAAAGATTAATCAGTGATTCAATAGCAATTCCTTGAGAGCAAGATTTCCTATGCTGATGTACTAGTTCCTCCCTTCTGGCATCGTTTAAAGATCCCGACGAAAGGAGTATTAAGCATAAATGTTCAAATGTGTTTGTGTCCTTGAAAATCCTCCATAAGTCTCTTGTATAATAGAAAAATGATAGTTTTTCTTTGGCTTGCATCCTATTAAATAAAAACCAATGATATTGAAGATAAATTGTGCAAATAAGTAATGAAATAACTTAGGAGAATACATGTTAAATCTACCTAGAAACATAGTAATTTACCTTTATTTCTTTAACTTGTCCATATAGACTGCGAAATGTCGTTGTATAAATTGATAATAAGATACTTAGGTACTCTTACAGAGTACTGACCTTACTTTAGAACTACTGTTGTATCTTTCATGATGATAAAAAACAGACACTAATTAAATATTCTAAATGATAGTTGCTATTTACATTAGATAATAGGAGGGTTTTGACCTAGATTTCCTTATTTAAAGTATTAATAAAAAAAAGTAGTAGTTAAATAATTCAGATTTATTGTAAATTCGTCAGTAGCTCTTTTTTCCAGTAAATATGTAAATCATAAAAATTTCTTTCATATAAACTATATTTAAAGCAATTTTTCAGCCTATTTTCTCTTAATTAATTAACTCGTCTAATTTCCTATTAAGTTTATTGTTTAGTATGCAAAAATTTTTATTTTCAATACTCGAATAGTCAAAAGACATAAATTCACTGCGGTAAGCCCGTTTTAAGCAACTTATTGTTAAGGTAGAAATTTTCCTTACCTAGCTATGATTTTGTTTTATTAAAAAATACTTTTCAAACAGGCCTATCTTGCAAACTTGCTTACTTGTAATTATTATGAAAACTCAGCGTTATTAGGCTATAGCCCTATAATAATATTTTCATATTTATATATTATGAATAAGATTATTTGTATATCAGATTTAGTACTATATTTCATTGACAATAATCATAGCTTCCAAATACTATTTCTCCTAAGCTATCCTTGACCTTACCGCAAGTCGATTGATCGATATATCAATTATTTCATATTGCAAGATAATATTTAGCTATTGCTCAATTATAAAATAGTTGTTATCTCCGTTCAAGTTACACTTACGGAAGTAGTGTTTATTGTTTTGATTAATATTACCGTCACCTTCAGACTTTATATTAGTAAATACAAATATATATATATATATATATATATATATATTGCTGTAAGTGACAATTTCTAATGGTTTTCCAGTTCTTCATCTCAAGTTTGAATCAATAAAATTCAATTTTTTTATTCTTCAATTCATACTGTAGGAGAAAATTTAATTTTTAGAATGTATAGGGCTATTTAAGAATTGGGTTAATATAAATCATATATTACGCAAACAGATAATTTCCTGATTCTGCATAATGTGAAGAAAATTCAATCAATGGGATCGACTGTATTATATACGTACTACTGCTTCATTAATAGTTATTTTAAAATTTTCGATATTGTAGCTAACTGAATAATCTCTCTTAACTAAACATACAATTGTGTCCAAGTATTAATGGGCTCGATTAGCTGAAGCTATTTTTAGATTCCTTGCTAAGATTATTGTCCAATTAACAGTAAATTTCCGTAAGACATGGGTATATAAAGCTTACCTTGAGCAGCTGGATAGCTCATACACCAATCTAAGTAGATGTGGTACTTTATATGGATATTATTTATTGGCTTTATTCGATGTCGAAGTTTTCATTTAATTAAGAAATCACATTGTCCTAAAACTATATTCACTTCCAATACTAGATTTACGGTAAATTTGGCTGAGAAAATTAAGTATTACTATACGTATAGAATGATGGAGAATATGATATATACTGAAATGACTTCCACTGCCTATGGTACATTACTTTACAGAACTGGTTTGAAAACTATTAAACATCGGAAATGTAAGCTTCATTTTGCTAAAAACTCCAAGAAACTTTGCCCTTTTAAAATTATTAACTTGAAAATTCAAAAAAATCGTCATATTATGTTTGAATTCTTTCAAACATTGCAGAATTTTTTAGATATTGCAGCTCACTCATCTCTCTTTCGACCACTAATAAAACGTCTTATTAATAAGACAGATATACTGTTCAATAAGGTTTACGGTCTATGTCAATTCTTTACATATATTCCAGTGGAGAAGAAATACTTGGGTTATAATAAGGTATATGTATCCAGAAAAAGAATTAGAGAAACTCTAAAGCATGAAGGAAAACAGCAGTTTTTATTACAATTTTTTGAAGATATAATCACTTTACTAAAAAAGGGAAATAAATTAATGAGAAGTCTGAGTCAACTGTAAATAAACGAGTTAACTTTTTGTTTCATATTTGATTTTACTATTTATTGTTTTTAATAAAAACAAACGATAAAAAATATTTCTCTATTAATATATCTGATATTTATTTATAGCGATAAACTGTTACTTCAAAGTCGTAAGTCATTATGTAATAAACGCGATTAGAATATGACGAATACAAGCTTCTTCATAACACAAATTGTTCAATAACTGTAATACTGCACTATTATTCATCGTGGTTTCCAGTATCTTTCATAATTAATATCTTGATCTAGAGGTAGAAACTGCTTAAAATTTCCTATTAATTACCTAATATATAGATGGATCTTCCTCAACCTAACAAAAACATTTGTTATATACATTCAATTTTCAGAGACAATAGAAAAATGATAATTCATAATTTTTCCCAATGCCAAAGCTTTCCACTATGAAATAGAGGAAAAATGACTGTTGTACATTGCTTAATTAGAGTACACAAGTTCCTTTTCATAAAAAATAAACTTAAATTTGTCTTATAGTAAGATTACGTAGAAAAATGTTTTAAAAGAAAAAATCAATCTGTAGTATACATGAATCTTTCAATTCATACATAAATAGCTCAGGAAAAAGCGTCACATAATAAATCGATGAAACCAGTGGAATTTACCTTGTCTCTATTTCTATACTTCTAAAGCTTACATTGTCAGACAATCAATATTATATAAGTAAAATCCTTTCTAGAAACTCATAAAATTATGGTTAATAAAAAAAAACGCTTAAAAAGGGGCGCAAATTTTAATTATAATAATTATTTCCGAGATGTTGTTCAAGATACTACTTTTATACTTTTTCAGCTACTCTCAAACTAGTTTTTCAATTCAGTTCAAGAAGTGTGAGAGGACTATCCTACACGATGATTCTACTTACGAAATGTCTTTTCCCGAGAGAAGAAGTAACTTCAAGAGATTCAGAGAATTAAGTAAAAACATTATTGAAGACTTAACTTCTAATTTCTACATATCCGTCTTGTTTAAAGCTATTGACTTAAAATCTCATGATTGTAATCTTCATTTTACTAAAAATAGAAACTTATGTCATCAAACAATAGGAAGTTTAGGAAATCCAAAAGATCGCTTAGCTTTGTTGGAACTTTTAGAAACAATGAACAATTATTTAGATATTGGAAAGCTTGAAGATATCTTTCGAACACACGATGGAAGATCTATAATAAATAGTGATAAGCTGCAGATTAACAAGATTTACGGTACATGCAGATTCATCTATCAAATTCCTCTTGAAAAACATTATTATCATACTACTCATATACATGTATCAAAGAAAAAAATGATGAGAAGCCTGAGAAGTGAAGGAAAGAATGTATTTATTGTTAAATTCCTAAGGGATTTCAAAACCATATTAAATATTGGATTTAAAACTTTTAAAAAATTAAAAAGTTATAACATTTAGTAAAGTTTGTCATTGTTTGTTTCATGCTTTAATCATAAAATATAGTTTGCTGTGATAAAATTGTAGAGATATAGTTTTATTTTAAAAAAAAAGAACTTCTAGTGAACACAATATCGCGACTTTTTAAAAATTTTTACATTTTTGTTGAAATACTTTATAAACAACTTGAATGACAAATCTGGTTGGCTTTTAAGAAAATTTAGAATCTAGATATATATAAAGCATCACTGGATAAGAAGAATTGCTTCCAAAAATTCAAATCAAAATGGCGCTTAGAAAATTACTTTTATGCAAATGAAACGTTTCAAATTTTTTCTCCAGTTGTCATATGCTACATAATTTTTTTTATGACAATTGTTTGCCATGAGGATACTTTTTCCTAATATATAACTATATATTTCCAGAAAACTGGTATTTCTTAAAAATTGTTTAATATGTAATAAAAAGTTGATTAGTACTCAGTAAAGATATATATAGTAGCCACACTCTCAGATTTGAATATAAAGTTCAACTGTCTAGACAGAACACAATCCCGTTAACGTTGAAAGACTCCGAGAACATGTCTAAGAAAAGTTTAGATTTTAAAGATTTAGCGAGAAAGAGAGACGCAATTCAAGAAGCAGTGGCTTCTATCGACGGAGCATTTCGTACGCGTAATCTAAACGGATTGGACGTGATTAAGGAAGAAGTTTTACTGGAAGAAATTGATAAGGTCAAGAAAATGTCCAGTGAAATTGAACTTAACGATTTGGCAGATTTGGGAGAAGTGCAGTTGACCGCTAAAAGTCCTAATTCCAAAAAAATTGATGACTATCCTGAATATTTGCTCGATGAAAGTTTTTCTAGTAATGATGAAGAGATCTTCGATGATAATATTGATTATACCAAGTTGTATTCTACAAGCAATGGAGCATGTTCATATGTTAGTCAAGATACTATCAAACGAGCTAGAGATTATTCAATTCAAGCGGAAAGGAAACTTGAAGAGGTTTATACCAACTTGGATAGAAAAATGGACGGATTGGGCGATAAACTTGATAAGATAATGGTGATTATGAAGAATTCACCATCCACTTCGAAAAAGAAATTGTCAAGTCAGAGCTCTGAATGTTCGTCCTGCAGTAACGAGTCTATTGAAAAGTTTAACGGCATTGGAAACGACCTAGAAGACGAGAATAGCTACGAACTTGACGATGATTGTCATGATGCTGAACGCGTTGAGAAGTTTTTGGTAAAACACAAGTTGGATGTCGATAACAAAGGGTTGACTAACAGCGAAAAGTTACGTCATCTATGCAGACACTGCAAAGGTCTGGCTTACGATTCCATAAAATATTGTTATATTTTGGGCGAAGATGGCTATTTTTATGCATTAGACATCTTGAGAAAAAGATTCGGGTCGAAACCTCGCTATGTTCAGCATTCTAGAAATGTTTTAAGAGATATGGAACCTATTAAATATATCGATACTCTTTCACTATTCCATTTAAAGACGAACTTGTTGAAAGTGGAAAGTTTCTTTATTGCCGGCAACGAAGCGGACAAATTAAACAGCGACGAGATTATAAATGAAGTGATTGAAAAGATGAATAGTAGTCTTTATCATAAGTGGAATTTGTATATTGCTTGGAAGAACGAACGTAACGAGCGGGTTGTTTTCAAGTCTCTAATTGAATTTCTTAACTACGAATTGAAGAATCTTAAGGAACGATCGCAAGTTCATTGTATATTTTGCATGTCCGAGGAGCATGAAATCAATACTTGTACGAAATTTAGACGATTGAGCCCAACTAAGCAGAATAATTTCATACAAACTCACCAAACGTGCAATATATGCTACGAACAAGGACACGCCGGTGAGAATTGCGATAAAGGTATCATACCGAATTTCAAAATGGATGTTGAAAAATGGCAAGAATACGAGTTTGTCAATGATGAAGAAATCTATAAATTCGACAAAGAATGAATAAACGCTTTGTATTTGGTTTTGAATATCTTCTGTTTGTTTACGATAAACCAAGACAAACAATAATACTAGTGGGTTAATTAGAATTCATAACGTTTGTGTTGAATATTTTTGTAGATTTTCTTTACGAATTTTAGTAACAGAATGTTGTTGTTTCTTTTTTCGAATAAACATCATCCGTCACTAAATAAACACGACTCACTTGAAATCAAAACAAAATAACGAGCTCCAGAAAGAAGACGAGTATTGAATAAAGTAAACATCCCATCATATTGTTAAAATACATATAGATACCTAAGTATAATAGGTCTCTTTTGATAAAGAATCTACCGCTTCTTGATAGATCACTATAAATTTATGGTAAACTATTTTTCCTTTCAATTTTCGTGCCTGAAGAATTCTCTTTCTGTTTCAGCTTGTAAGTTACAAGATATTCGGGATAACATTGTGTTAGACTGTAAACAATGTATTCCCAAAAAATATTTTCAAGGCCTCCATTTCCACGAACAGAATCGAAATATTCATTATGGTCCTTACATACATTTGCCTTGCAGGTTTTACAGGGAGGTCGTTTGAGGTTCGAATCTCGAGAGACGACAGTTGAATTTCCAAGTATTACTCTTCCTATGATGATATGTCTTTTTATATCATATTTCTCTTGTATAGTCTTACCACGGCCGAAGGTATAACCATCAGATTTCTTGGGATCTTCAGCAAAATATGCACCCTTACCATAGTAACCTACTTCACCAAGTCGAAAATCAAATCCCTGGTGGAGAATCTTATCTTTAGATGCAGAATTCGTTCCATGGAAAAAGTAAAATTCATTGATTTCGGGCGCTAGAAGAGATGACAATTCAACTGGACAATGTTTACTAGTTTTGGTGCTCAACATAGGAAATTTATCAGAGCTCAAACTCTCGCAAAATTTCTTATGTTCAGTGGAATAAGCTTGATATAATCTAGGATTCTCTGACCGTTCAATCCCCAAGATTTCTATATCATCGGAAGATGCTACAGCATTCTCATTATCTCTCCAAGTATCTTTCATAAACTTTTCAATTAGACTTTAATAGAAAAGAATTGTTAATTATAGTTAATTTACAAAATGAAACTGTATGACCTACTTGTATGTATTAAGATCATGTTTTTTTAAATCAAGTCTATGTTTCGGTTTACTTGAATTTATTTTACCAGAATATTTTGTCCAATTTTTTGGATAATTATTGAAAAGTTTAATTCTCATCTAAATATTATTACATTAATACTTTATAAGAGCAAATTCGCCTGATAAATTTGTTTACCTCAAGTCTCTCTTCTGGATCGGTTTCTTCATCGAAATCCTTCCAAGTAATTGGTTTTTCTTTAGCATTTTCTAAAAGCTCTTTAGTTAAATCAAAACTTCTATCAACAAACTGTTTGATACCGACAATTTCCATGAATTGTTCATTAGTTTTAACTGAAAATAGATATAAATTAACATAGAAAATACTATAAAGTATACAAGTATTTATATATACTCATTCTTAGCTGTTTAATTTTTACATATTTATTCTCTAAATTCTCCACAGAATTCAATCTAATGTTCTTTTCTAGATTAATCTTTTTCACAATTGCTTGCTCTTTAATATAGGATTGTATAGCTTTTGTTGTACGTTCAATATTCTCATCCTTTTCGGCATATATACATACTTTTATTGATCTCTCCTCAATAGCTTTAAATGGTTCTGTCAAAACGTGACCAGCTCCACTCAGGCATACTATAAAAACTTTCTATTTGAAGAAATATATATTGTATATCAATTTGTTAGAATTGAGAATAATTAATAAATACCTTTAGCGATATATCTGTGTACTTATACTTTAAATCTGTTATACTATGATACATATAATGAGCTACAATCCTTGGATCATACTGACTATAGCCGCATCCTATTGGCGGAAGTGCTATACTGGTTAATTTATTTTCAATAGCGTAAGAAAGTACATTTTGCAAAGACGAGATAAGATCCTTTAGATAAGAAAAACCAAATTATTTAAATTAACAAAATATCTGGCTAGGGAAAAAGGGATACTTACCTTTTCTTTAGTGATATCATTATGGTGTTGCACTCTTGTATGTATTATTTTAAATTGCTCTAATTCCGTAATTTTTATATTTCGATATGATTTCATTTCCAGTGTTGCAATTCTTGGAAATTTTTTCAAAAATGCCTTTGAAATTGAACCTCCCTGTGATAAATCGTCGGTCATTACGGCTATATTATTTACCAGAGCGTCACACTGTATAGTCTAGTAGAAAAACATCATTATTGTAATTTAAGAATATGATATTAAATGCTTACTTTATCATTCATTGATGTAATTTCATTCTCAACGAATATAATGTTCAAGTTTGATGATTCATCATCAACTTCGAAGTTGATAGAAGAATTCCATGTCTTTTCTATTGAGTTTACATGTTCTTCACCTTCTTTCGTTTGCAAATGACTTAATAGACCTAGAAAATTGATAATAAAAAATATCTTAAAAGCTATTTATAATTAAAAATAGTCCTCGAACCGAAATGATGATGAGACAAAACACGTTTCTTCATACTTGCTTCCCATTTATTCAACAGCTTTACAAAAGGTTCCTTTAATTTTTGATAACAGTCAATTTTAATTTCACAAGTTTTGTCATCAAAAAAAGGTTGTATATTATTAAAGAACTGCTTAATTTGGTTTTGGAATTTATTCTTTAAAAGTTTATAAAACGTCTTCGATATACGAAAACACAAAGGTTTAATTCGATAACCGATAAAGATACTTTCATGATCTTTCCACCCTTTTGAAGAATTCCAACCTAAAATTCTAAATTTACTATTGGATTTTTCAAAGAAGAGTTTATCTTTCAAATTTTGTGATTTATTCCATTCCATTATCGTATTAAAATCACCCTCGTTATCGGGGATTTCTTCAATTTTTGTACATGCTTCAAAATAGCTTTTAGCTTCTTCAGCTGAATTTTGTTGCTTGATATTATTGGATTTATCCCAACCAATCAAACGATTCCCTGGCAATACAGTTACAAACTCGGTCCAGTCTTTTTCCTCCGATGCTAAAATCTTTCTAATAAATTTTTTATAGTCTTCATCGTTACATTTAAACGACAAATCGGATTTTTGATATAAGTTAATCTTCCTTGATATTTCATCTCTTTCTCCAATGACTGTATCAATTTGACCAATAAGCAATAGTTCATCTTTAGTCTCTTCGTTAAAGTATTTTATATCGCAGTCGCTACTTTTCCTTATATAATCGAGATATTGCGTATCGGCTAGTAGATGTCTACTATTTTCGACAAGTGAAAGAAATATCATTCTCTTTTTATCATAAGTATCTGAAGAATTATCTAGCTTTCGCCTATAGAATTCAACATTCAAAGAACTATTGATAGAATCTAACGTTTCAATGTCGGCTATAAAAATATACAAAACAAGTAAAATTAGTCTTCATTAACGAATTTTATTCAATTCATCTTACCTGAACTTATTTTTGTGTTGAAATGGAAAACTGATGCTGATTTGCTGATTTCTGTTATAGATATAACCTTTATCGAATTTGCAACTGCTTTTTCGAAAAGTCTTTTAATTTCAATCCACATCTCTTTAGTTTGTTTCTTTTTACTCTACAAATGGGAAAATTTGTTTAAAGTAACAATAATAAAGAATTTCATACTTTTACGAAACAAAAATCTGTCTTTCTGTTCTTTAAGGTTGACGATATGGTTGCAGAATTAAACAATTTCCAGAATGGCGACTCGAAACATCCGGTAACAGTTATCCGATTGTTACCAATTACCGTCACAGCAACTTGATTTTGGCCATGGTTTTGACTATTAAACTTTTCAATTTGATCGATTAAATTATGATTATAGTCGTATTGTTCTATTTCAATCGAATTTTTCAGGAAATCGTAACAATCTCTAAGAGTTTCTTTGCTTAGACTTATAAGACAACTCTTATTGAAATCAATCGAAACGTTTTTTGAATAATCGCTTGCTTGAATGGCTGCTTCTAATACTTTATAAACCGATTCATGATGTTCAAACAGATCCAAATGAATGCTATGAGCATTACTAATTTTATCAAAGATAATATTCCTAATAAATCTAACACTGCCAGCTTTGCCAGTAAGAGTAACGTTATTCCCAGTAATATCAATTTTACATTTGGATGTTTTCAAATTATTTACAATCGATTGTAAAACAACTGTTTTTAACACATAAACCGCAGTTGGTTTAACAGTAAATACAATATTTATATCCTCTTCTTCTAGTTCTTGTAATAGAATTTTAGATCCTAAATCGGTGAATTTATTTGAAGATAGATTTTTTTCATCCTTCAACAATGAAAGAATATACTTTCTTTTTAAAAAAAAAAGTAAAGAAAATATATTTTTCGCTTACTTTTTCTATAGCTGCTACATATTTTCCATAAATCATTTCTTTGAGAGTCTTTAATACAGCAAAGGAAGCACCAGAAATTCCAGTGATTTTTATTTCATAAGTAACTCTATGACACCCTTGAAAGCTGGGATTTGTATCTTTTTTAATTATCTCATCTATTCAAACATAGTAAATAGCTTAATGATAACAGAATACAGATAAAAAGGGATCATATCTTACAGGAGTCTAATCTTACTAGTTCATTATTCAAAGAGTATAAATGTGGAATGTCGATGAGAGAGAAGAATTGATAAATAAGGCTAACACAACTCGATTCAATAAAATAGTTTAAACGTTCTTTAGCAATTGGTAAATTTTTGGTTTGAAAAACGGTACATTCTATTTCTACATCTCTTTCCTTAATCCTTTTTACATGTTCGTAAACTTTTGCAGATTCGCACCAAACAATGAGTTTCTATTATTTATAGATTACTGCTATTAATCGTCATTAAAATATTAAAGTAATTACCTTGATCTTTAAATTACGATAGTTCTTTTCCAATACTATTAAACACTCTTGAATTATATTAGCAATTTTGTAATAATTTATAAAACTAGTCCTATTCATAATAGGAAATAGTACTGATGTATATTTGAATGCAATCTTCTTGAGAATTTCTAACAGTTTGGTTTTAAATAGATGTTTTCCTTTACTATGTGTAAAATTTCTAATATCCAAAAAGTATATCATAGTTTTGTTCTGATATACTTGTTGTTCTATGGAGGTGCTTATTTTTCTTGAAATTGTTGGAAAGTTAAGATCAATCTTTTTCGGAATGTAACAATCATAAATGCAGATCAGCGCATCAACCTGACAAAAATTTAATCCTATTTTTCAAACATAAATATAAATTTATATAGAATTTTCATTTGTTATAAATTATGTAGCAATCTATCTTATTCTATTTATGATGAAAACAAAGATTTCAAGTGAAGAATTTGCGTATTTGAAGGAAATTACTAGTAGATGAACATAATAGGAGAGAGCTTAGGAAGGTATCTATTTAGGATATATGAAGCTATTCAAATAGACCAATATGATAAGACTCTTTAAATTATTGTTGTTATAAATAATAAAGCAAACTCATATTAGGGTACAGAGGCAGTTGTTAAATGTCAATCTGTTGACACCGTATACTTAGTGCTTACCTCGGAAATTAAATTTTCCATACGTTTGCGAGATAGTTCGAATTCAATTCTTTGAGGATGAATTTCGTATTTCAATCGAAGGCAACATTTTAAATCGTTTGCTATATCTTGTAATATATTTTCAGCAATTGTATGACTTTTCAGAAATTCGCATAAGCCTAACATATTATATATAAATCTATAAAAGAAATATCAATGAATACAATGAATAACCTACCATAATGTTTCTTTTTTACTGAAAAATATCTTTCATTTTGTTCAAATTTCTCTTCAATATCTATATCATATACATTCCCATTTGGCTTATACAATTTTCCTATGATAATATCCATTTTGTCTTGCTAAACTTTTAACGACTGCATAACTAGATATGAGCAAAATGAAACTGAAAGTAAGAAGTTGTTGATCATGTAATCTTCCTTTGTACTTTCTCTTTTGATTATAATTCCACAAATCACCTTTCAAGATATTCGGACTGATTGAAAAAGATTTTATAGGGGAAAACCAAAGTAGGTCAATCCCTATAAGTATAGAACAATAAAAAATATAAACATAGCTCTATACTCTCATTATTGCAAAAATTGAATTTATGGGGCTGGATTGAAGTTATTTTACCTAGCAACGTGCTTTTAATTTTTGATACTTGCTAATGACATGCATTTTGTTTCAACGAAAGAAATTATAAAATAATTAGTCTTTATGCTTATTGTTTATTCAAGAAAAAGACATTGATAAACAAAAACAGAAAGTACGGTTTTAATAAGAAAATATAAAACAAAGTTATCTCTTCATATATACAAATATCTAATATTTTATTAAAAAGACTAGGATTATCTTCGAAAGACAAATACTTTGTTTCTTACTGTTTTATCGTTTCAACTCATATCCAGACTATCTTATAGGTGAGTAAATATTCTGGATAACATTGAAATGGGTCATAAATTACCATCTCTTTATCTTTAAATAATCCTATGACACTATCATAAATTTGATTATGATATTCGCATAAGCTTGCTTTACACACTGCACAAGGAGGTCTCTCTAAATCTCTTTCACTTGTCTTCAAATATATACTATTACCTAATAATACTCTTGATATTAACATAGTTTTTTTTTCTGAACATTCAGTAAAGGCATGCGATTTTTTTGGATTTTCAGCAAAATAAATTCCTTTACCAAAATTTCCCCTATTTGCTAATCTATAATCAAATCCCTGGTGAAGTATATATTTAGCCGAAATTTCGGAGGTTCCATGAAAGAGATAATGCTCATTTAATTCTTGAGTTAAATGCGATTCCATATCAATAGTTAAGTATTCATCAAGTGCAGTGCTATGGCTATTTATTATTTTGCTAGTATTGTTGGCTAAACTTTTGATTATTTGTTTATGTTTTAAAGCATACCTTTCAAATAAACAGGGATTTTCATTCATTTTAATACTTAAGATATGAATTTTACTATTTAATCCATCGCTATATTTCCATGCTTTTAAGAAAAAGTTCTTTATTTCGCTGTTTGATCAAGAGAAAGACTACCAGTTAACTAATTGTGATATGATTAATATTTTATATTCAAAAACAGTTGCTTACTCGAATTGTCTCTTATCTTTTTCATATAGATCAACGATGTATGGTTCTATACTGAAAATATCTTTAAGATTTCCTTTAAACTTTGTCCAATTATGCGGTACCCTTTCGTTTAATTCCAGTCTGATCTAATCAGGAAATATAGAGCAAGGAAAGTATTAAGAAATAATTATAATTAAGCTAGCATAACACAAACGCTCAATCTATCTTGAAGATTAGAAACGGAAGTTAGGCTTTTATGAGTAAAACTTGATCTTAAATCCTTTAGAGTATTTTGAATGAATAGAGTCAATAACTGCCAAGTTTTTTTAGCCTCATCTCCCATTCCTACCAAAACGATCTTCCTTTTCGATTTAAATCCCATAATCTTAACTCTCGTATTCTCATTTTCAAATTCTTCAAGTGAATCTAATTCACAATATTCAGGAATAATCATTTCTTCTATGATAGTTGACTCTCTCAATTGCTTTAATTCGTTTACTACATTATCAACTCTTTCTTGACTTTTAGCCGTAATAGTAAAAATTGTACATCTCCTGTCAATTTCTCTAAGTTTATTGTATTTCGCATAATCTCCAGTATTGCAGACGATAAAAATTTCCTGAATGAACGGAATAGGCTAAATATTTATCAATTTGAAATATTCATATATCAATTTTTACGTGTATTGATGTACTCTTTACGTAGAAATTAAAGTTGGTGATTTCCTGATAAAATATATGAGCAAGTCGATCAGATCTAAGGCCAAAACATTGTTCACAGCCCATTTGAGATATTCCAATACTTTCTATACTGTTACTATGGCACCATTTTAAAATCTTTTTTAAAACTTCATTTAAACACTGGCAAAAAATGATTCATAATCTACATAGGCCTTCATATACTGAATCAATTTTTCTACCTGTTTATTCTGTCGTTTCGATATATTGAATCGAAGTATTTGGGGATTTTTAACATTCTTAAATTTATCAAAATTTTCATAACGAATACATAATGATTCACTCATTTTCTCGTAGTATATTAAAGCTTCGCACTGAAATGTCTTTCCAATTACTAATCCAGATTAAAAAGTTAATACCTTCTTACCTTTTCTTTCATTTTACTCATACTTTCCATTACTACATTTATATTAATAGTTTTTTTAAAATTAATGGTTTTCTCCTTAATTTGACAATCATATTCATTCATTAATTCATTTAGGAATATCTTTCCCTTAATTGATCTTAAAAAATTATAAACTCCTAAATAAAATAAAACATACGATACGCATTATATTCAGAGTATAAAAGAAAACTATATACTTACTACCACCAGCACCATGCTGTACTTTCTTCTTGTCGTTTTTGGCAGAATCATCAATTTCATAATTCTATTTTAATATTATTTTGTTTTTTTAAAAAAAATTAATATAGTATATACAAAAATACATACAGTATTTCTAAATGTTTTTATTAAACTTACTAGGCCTTCTTCTAATTTGTTTTGAGTGAATTTTCTTCTATCAAAGGAGCCCATTGGAAAATTTTCTTGATTCTTTTCGCAATAATTTGTGTCGTACATAACGCATTTCTTCCTAAATAGTAAGTATATAAAGAATATATGTAATATATATATATATTACAGTATATATACTATATTATACAAATGAGCTATTTATGAATAATTTGCATTTCTTTCAGGAAGGATTACAGTGAGCTAAGAGACTGTTATTATTCAAATAGATTACCTTTTTTCCAATTATTAAACTAGGTGGTAGAACATTATTTCATTACATCATAAATATTTATTATAATACATCACTTACAGTTTTTGTTAAAGAAGCAATTTTTTCTTTTGACGAACGTTTATCTTGCATTTGATGCTATCTATTTGTTGGTTTTAACTTTTATATCTATTTTTTTGGCCGTTCATGTGTCGAAATCTTACGAAATCTGATGAATATCTAAACTTAGAACTTCCTTTAGATAGAAAATTTTTCAAAACAAGTGTTTAAAACTCTAAATCTAATTACGTACGGAAAAATATTACTTATAGCTTTTGTCCTCTTTAGACGTTTCGCAGTGTACAATCATTTAATATCAAATTATTGAAGCAGAATGAGGTACAAAACAAAAATACATGGTTCATTTGTAGCAGATTTAAATGATTCACTATAAGTTTGTAGGGCTAAAAAAGAAAAAGTAAATAGAATTTTTAGAAAATTCCTACGCTGTCCTCTCTCGTAGGCTTAAAAAATGGCCTGATAAACAAATTTTCTAAAGCCATAAAAATTATAGCTCTCAGCAAAATTGATGATTTTCTAGCAGTAATAAACAGATCTTTGATGATAATAATGATTACACCAAGTTGTATTCTACAAGCAATGGAGCATGTTCATATGTAAGCCAAGATACTATCAAACGAGCTAGAGATTATTCAATTCAAGCGGAAAGGAAACTTGAAGAGGTTTATACCAACTTGGATAGAAAAATGGACGGATTGGGCGATAAACTTGATAAGATAATGGTGATTATGAAGAATTCACCATCCACTTCGAAAAAGAAATTGTCAAGTCAGAGCTCTGAATGTTCGTCCTGCAGTAACGAGTCTATTGAAAAGTTTAACGGCATTGGAAACGACCTAGAAGACGAGAATAGCTACGAACTTGACGATGATTGTCATGATGCTGAACGCGTTGAGAAGTTTTTGGTAAAACACAAGTTGGATGTCGATAACAAAGGGTTGACTAACAGCGAAAAGTTACGTCATCTATGCAGACACTGCAAAGGTCTGGCTTACGATTCCATAAAATATTGTTATATTTTGGGCGAAGATGGCTATTTTTATGCATTAGACATCTTGAGAAAAAGATTCGGGTCGAAACCTCGCTATGTTCAGCATTCTAGAAATGTTTTAAGAGATATGGAACCTATTAAATATATCGATACTCTTTCACTATTCCATTTAAAGACGAACTTGTTGAAAGTGGAAAGTTTCTTTATTGTCGGCAACGAAGCGGACAAATTAAACAGCGACGAGATTATAAACGAAGTTGTTGAAAAGATGAATAGTAGTCTTTATCATAAGTGGAATTTGTATATTGCTTGGAAGAACGAACGTATTGAGCTGGTGAGAATTGCGATGAAGGTATCATACTGAATTTCAAAATGGATGTTGAAAAATGGTAAGAATACGAGTTTGTCAATGATGAAGAAATCTATAAATTCGACAAAGAATGAATAAACGCTTTGTATTTGGTTTTGAATATCTTCTGTTTACGATAAACCAAGACAAACAATAATACTAGTGGGTTAATTAGAATTCATAACGTTTGTGTTGAATATTTTTGTAGATTTTCTTTACGAATTTTAGTAACAGAATGTTGTTGTTTCTTTTTTCGAATAAACATCATCCGTCACTAAATAAACACGACTCACTTGAAATCAAAACAAAATAACGAGCTCCAGAAAGAAGACGAGTATTGAATAAAGTAAACATCCCATCATATTGTTAAAATATATATAAATTACCATTTTTTGATAGTTCACTATCTATGGAGAATTCTCTTTCTGTTTCAGCTTGTAAGTTACAAGATATTCGGGATAACATTGTGTTAGACTGTAAACAATGTATTCCCAAAAAGTATTTTCAAGGCCTTCATTTCCACGAACAGAATCGAAATATTCATTATGGTCCATACATACATTTGCCTTGCAGGTTTTACAGGGAGGTCGTTTGAGGTTCAAATCTCGAGAGACGACAGTTGAATTTCCAAGTATTACTCTTCCTATGATGATATGTCTTTTTAAATCATATTTCTCTTGTATAGTCGTACCACGGCCGAAGGTATAACCATCAGATTTCTTGGGATCTTCAGCAAAATATGCACCCATACCATAGTAACCTACTCCATCAAGTCGAAAATCAAATCCCTGGTGGAAAATCTCATGTTTAGATGGATAATTCGTTCCATGGAAAAAGTAAAATTCATTGATTCCAAATCCCTGTTCTAGAATGTTATTTTTACATGCGGCATCCGTTCCATGGAAAAAGTAAAATTCATTGATTTCGGGCGCTAGAAGAGATGACAATTCAACTGGACAATGTTTACTAGTTTTGGTGCTCAACATAGGAAATTTATCAGAGCTCAAACTCTCGCAAAATTTCTTATGTTCAAAGGAATAAGGTTGATATAATCTAGGATTCTCTGACCGTTCAATCCCCAAGATTTCTATATCATCTAAAGATGCTATAGCATTCTCATTATCTCTCCAAGTATCTTTCATAAACTTTTCAATTAGACTTTAATAGAAAAGAATTGTTAATTATAGTTAATTCACAAAATGAAACTGTATGACCTACTTGTATGTATTAAGATCATGTTTTTTTAAATCAATTCTATGTTTCGGTTTACTTGAATTTATTTTACCAGAATATTTTGTCCAATTTTTTGGATAATTATTGAAAAGTTTAATTCTCATCTAAATATTATTACATTAATACTTTATAAGAGCAAATTCGCCTGATAATTTTGTTTACCTCAAGTCTCTCTTCTGGATCGGTTTCTTCATCGAAATCCTTCCAAGTAATTGGTTTTTCTTTAGCATTTTCTAAAAACTCTTTAGTTAAATCAAAACTTCTATCAACAAACTGTTTGATACCGATCTCTTCTGGATCGGCTGCTTCATCAAAATCCTTCCAAGTAATTGGTTTTTCTATAGCATCTTTCAATGAAATTTGATTTTCATTTTTTGGTTTATATGATATAATAAATTCTGGATAACATAAATCCTTATCATAAACAATGTGGTCTGAGTGAGCGATCTCCATGTGCGTAGCAAATATGCTATCGTACATTTCGTTGTGCACCGTACAGAGTGCTTTTGAGCATACTTTACAAGGTGGGCTTGATACACTTTCAAAACTTTCGTCAGTTTTAAAAGCATCACCAAGTATTACTCTGGATATTAAAATATATCTGACATTATCGGATGTAGAGATATCTGATTTTTTTGGATCTTGAGCGAAAGTTATATGTGTATTTAACAGACCAGTTTTAGCAATACTATGATTGAAACCATTTTCGGAAATGGAATTTGCTGCTGTAATGTCGGTACCATGGAAAAGATAATGCTCATTGATTTCTTTGGTTAGTAACGATTTCAATTCGTTCGGCAGGTATTTGTCACTTTTTGTTTCGATATACGAAATATGATGATTTGACAGAATTTTCATGCAATAGTTTTTATGCTTTGTTCCATACAATTTAATTAGTTGAGGATTTTCAATTTGATAAATTGCAGTAACATCTATAGTAAAACTTATTATCTGGAAAGGAGAAGGATCATTCCAAATAGAATTCATAAAGTCTTTTATTATGCTGAAATTATGAGAATTTCAAAAATAAAGAAATTATTAGCCACGGAATAGACATTACTTAAACATATTAGGGTTGTCATTAGAGAGATCTATTAGTTTATATTCGTCTCCTGTTATATTATTAAGAGATCCAGTAAGTATTGTCCAATTTGGCGGTGTATGATCATTTAACATCATTCGAAGCTTATTGAGATATATTTCAGATTTTAGGAGTATATCGATTACCTACGGAGAAGAAACTACTTACCTTTATTCGTTTTCTAGCATCTTTTTCAGTTTTTAAATGTTCCCACAACACTCCTCCTTTCAGCTGCACATCTTTATAAACTATAGCTGTTGCTGTTTTTGATACTTGCATAACGAAATTTTTGATTCCAGCAATCGTTAAAATCTTCAAATTATTCGAACCTTTTTTTTAAACCCATTAAATATAATACGTTAACGTTTAATAAAGGACTTTATTACCATTTTGCCAAGGTGTTACTTTAACGTATAGATTTCCCAAATTAGCAAACGAATTTAAATCACTTTCTTCATTCAGACAGATATATTCAACATGGTAGAGTTCATTTATAAAGGATTTAAGCACGCCTACAATCTTATCTAGAGTTTCTTTAGATTTTGCAGAAATTTTTATCATTGTTTCTTTTTCCATCAAATTGTGAAAATGTTCAAAAAAACGTGGACGATTCGTTAATGATGTATATACGAATTTCTAATAATAGTATACTAATCTTTAATACAACTATTTAAACAATTCAAAAATAAGATTTTTTAACCTTTAATCTTGAATTTGGATACTTTTTCATAAATTGAATCATTTCTTCATAAAAAATATCTGTTACACGTTCTAATCCATAATCCAAATTTCCACAGCCTATTGGTGGTATGCCAATAGATCTTATGCCCTTTTTGTGACAATATTCAAAAACTTCCCGAAATGTCTGTCTAAAAGTCTGTAGTAGATTGAAAGAGAAAACTATGTAAATTATATTGAAAAGAATTATTATATAAGCCATTTATTTACATTAAAGTCCTCCTCCGATCGATGATGATATATTTTTGTATTAAATATAAGACATTTTGAAATTTGGCACAGTCTAAAGAAATCATAATCTTCAGCTTTGTTATATTTTTCTTGAAACTCTGTAAAAACTGTACAAAATGTTTTTGATAATTTTCCACATGACCTTAATGGCTTTTCTTTCAAGGCCACATTATTTATTAGAGCATCGCACTAAAAGTTTAAAAATTACATTGTTTATTAACAAAATAACAAGTAAGAAATATATTAGAGATGAACCTTTTCGGTAAAAACTTGTGATATCTTTATTATAGACTTTAATGGAAAAATTATTTGAATAATTAAAATGATCAACTTTGATTAGGCAACCATATTTTGTCTCAACATTTTTAAGATGCTGACTTCCTTCAGCGCTTCCTAAATATCCGAATAGATCTATTGATAAAAATTCAATTAATTCCTAAATTGGCTAATCAATAGTAAACTACAAACTATAAAGTCTATAGCTTAAAGTAGTGTCGTACAAGTTTTGTTTCCATATTTCAAGTTGAATAAGGAATGATTTTTTCATAATTTCACTACCCATATATTCAATTTGTAGAGTATTCTCGTTAAATTGATATGTTGTATCATAAAAAAAGCTGTCCAATTCATCTTTATAATGATCTTTAAGAAAATCAAAAAGATTCTTATCTTTTAACTCTATAAAGTATTTTTTCAAACTATATTTATTAATTGGTAAATCTGCTTCAATCACATTCTGTAATTTTTCTAAAGCTTCTTGAACATACTTAGTAACTCCTATTAGTAATACTTTGGAAGTTTCCATAAATGCTTGTGTTTGTTTTTCGTGACCTAAATAAAGAAAAGAACTATTAATATCCTAGCTTTATACTTTCAGTAGAATGATAACTATGCTTGAATCGAATAAATTCATTTTCCAACTCTTTCAGTTTGTCAAGTTCACTCTCGTTACAATCAAATACGACGCCCGCAGTATTATCTTCTATTAATGAATTTAGTTTGTTGTCGAGAAGAGGAAGCTTTTTTTCAGGTACATTGCAATTAATTTCAATACCAAATCCCTGAGTTTTCATTACAGTCTCAAAAGTACTTAACTTTTCGCACAGAAAGTAGAACATCTATGTAAAATAATTCAAATAAGTAGTTTGTCAAAGAAATATAACATACTGACATTTAATGGAGACTCTGGAAATTTTCTACGAAAATCTATCGTTATTTTCTTCCAACTTTTCGCAAGTGTCAAACAATCGAATTTTTCTTCAAAGTCAGATATAAGAAATAGAACTCTCTGCGTTTCCATCTTTACCTTCTCAAGAATCCTTATCATTGATTTCTGTATGTTGAATATACTTACTCTTAAAAATTACTATTTAAGCATATAAACAGACTTGAAAATGGGAGTTTAAAAAAGATTCTTCGATAGATGTTATGTCAATGAAATGTATTGATGTCTTATCAGCATAGTAACAATTATCTTCCGAGTCAAATATTTCATGTTCAAAGCGGTTAGGAAAGCAGTTTATTATTGATTCACTTATTGTTCCATTGTCTAAAATTCCAATGATGACATTGGCCTATTCGTTTTGCGGAAATGGAATATATAAATAGAATTATATAGCAAATTATTAATATCATACAAACTTTTCGTATAGAGGATTTTAAGCTTGCAAAAAGAATGTCTAATTCCCAGTTACATTCTTCCAGATCAAGTTTAACGTTTATTTCACAGTTAAAATCGTTGGCAACACCTTTTAATACAGTTTCAATTCGATCACTGCAAAAATATTCGCCTAAACCTAAGACAATTCAGTTTTTAACGTTATACTGTATTATGTATTTGCATCTAACCTGGATAATTATTTTTTATGCTCAATGATTTATTACTAGTTTCCGATAGATCTTTAATAGGACTTTCGGGTTTAAAACATTTTATAATCATTTTACAGTCCTTCAACCTCAGCAAAATTCCAACATTCAATAGTATCTATTTGCTATTGTATTATAACCATTGCTGGTTATATAATTCATACATGGTAGTCATAGTAATCATAGAAAACAGAACAATAATTTACGCTTCAAGATTGTATTTTAAAATATACAAAGATATCATGGTTTATCATACGATATAACATATTCGGGATAGGCTAGATGACTTTCGTAAATGACAAACTCTCTGAAAAGAAGAGAGACTCCCCCATCTTTAACAGAACCAACGACACTATCATAGAAGCCTTCATGTTTCAAGCAAGTTCCCTCGTGCTGACATGTCAAACAAGGACCACGTTTGGAATTGCTCATTGATTTTTTAGCGGTAAACACATTCCCCATCACAACTCTGCATAAGAGGATGTTTCCTTTACTGTCATCCCCCACATATTGATCAGCTTTCGTTGGGTCCTCAGCAAAATATAACCCATCTCCATATAACCCTTTATTGGTTGAACATCTCGAGTCAAAACCTTCCTTAATTATTTTATCTATGACTGTTTTTTGTGCCCCGTGAAACAAGAGACATTCATTAATTTCCGGAATTAAATCATTTACCGTTCTTTTTCGAGTTTGAATCTCAGGATTTGGTTTGTATTCCGTTATTCGTCCAGAAATAGCATCTTGAATAATACTAGAACGATGGACCGTGAACTATTTTTTGTTAAAAAAATTTGTGATAATACAGGAAAACATTTAAAAACAACAAAATCGTACTTTTTCATAGACTTTTTTGTTTTCAATTCTATGAATTTTCATTATTTTCATCTCAGCTTTTCTCTTTGAATTGGATCTAGCATCGTTTCCATGGCCGTATAAATTTGATTGCCATAAACTTTCAACGAACGCTTTCATATTTCTAGAAGAAGAAAACAATAATCTTTTAAACTGTATTTATAAATAAACTAGCATTTACTTAAAGTGGGCTGGATCTTCCTTTTCTATATTCACTTTATAATAATCGCTTGACAACAATGATGAGATGCCTGAGTTACTTTTAAAATTCTTCCAATTGCTTGGTATGCAATCTTTTAGCTCAACATATCTCTTCAAGAAAAGTCAATATAAATTTATATTTTTGCTTTCTCAAGAAAAAGTTAAGCCAAGTTTACCTTTAAACGTTTATCTTTATCCTTTATCTTCGCTGCTTCATCCCAGGAAGAAGCTTCATTAGATATTTTCTGTTTAACTTTCATGAGGATTTTTTGAGCTTTCATTGAAGCTCTTTCAACATAGTTTTCAATTCCACTTATAACTAAAACACCACGATTACTATCTAGCTTTGCTTTCACATAATTATCTTCAATTTCCTTAAGATCAGTCCATTGAACTTCTTTGAACTCTTCTAAAGTTTCCGTATAACAAATTCTTGACAAATAGAGTTGTAATTGTGATTTTGCATTTGAGGTTGATTCCTTTCCCCTACCAACTATATTAAATACTATAGTAGGTCGATTATAAGAAGTTTTTGTGATATTGGTCTTCGACCTGAAAGTTCTTTTTTTCCTTACAAGCTTTTCCATCATTTTTTGGTGGAGATCATCGCTATACGATACAACTATTACTTTCTAAAGTTTGATAATGAAAGAAGTTAATAGCCATTGTTAAAACAAGAGAATAAATAAACTGAACCTTGATGGTTGTGTTTGAATTTTTTCGATTATAATATTTTATTGCCTTACGTATAGTATTACCAACTACACTTTCCCTAAAGCCACATATTTTCCCAGTGCCAATAGGAGGAAGGGCTATTGTTTGTGCTCCAATTTTATTGGCAAATTCTAGAATACTTTTAATAGTATTACCCAAATAACGAATGCTCTAAAAATATAATCTATTCATTAGTAATCCGTTTATAAATATTCATTAGTAAAAAAATAGAAAATTACCGCTTTTGCATCTCTTTTGTCTATTTTAGTGATATTTGCATGACAGATTGTAATTTCGTTAATCTTTGATGAAGCAATATAATCATCGTGATCAACCATTGGTACAGCTTTTAATTCAGGGAATTCCGCAACAAAAGTTTCGCTTAGTTTCCCACCCTTAAGAATATTCTTATCTTTACTTGCAATGTTATTAATCAACAATTCAACCTTAGTAAATAAAATGAATATTACGAATGAATTTTATTGAATGGCGGTAAAAAAGATAGTTACCTTTCCCTTATATTTGACGATATTTCCTTTTTCGGCAATAATTTCAATTTGTTTTCTATTAGGATTTTCGGTAGGAGTATTACTTTCATCATCACTATCATCTTCATCGCTATCACTGCCATCCGAATCGTCACATTGGTGTTCACTATTGTCAGATGTTGATGGTATCTCCCTAGTCGAATTACCAGAAGCCGTATCAATGACACAACAGTTATTATTTTCAATTAAAGTTAAATTTGCTTTGAATTTTTCGGAGCCGAGATAGTTTTTCAAACCTATAACATACTATATATTGTTTCTTGTTGATCTAATGTAAAAGTACAAACCATAGAAACTCTTTTCTAGTTTCTCTTCAGCTAGGTTGGAAGAAAATTGCTTTAATTGACTTTTTATTTGTTTTTCATTCAAACCGATTCCATTGATTTGGATTTCATTAAGATTATCAACATATTTTATTGGAGAGTTTTCACATATACCTCCAATATCATCTTTGAAATATCTCTTTAAAACTGTATAATTTAAATCGTTTTCAACTTTGTAGATTATCTGAACTTTAGCATTTTGTTTCCAATATTCCTCCAACTCGTTTCTTACAATTTTTGGTGAATCATTTAATCCGTGAACGTAGATGAATTTATCAAGTTTTGAAAAGCATACTTTATACTTTTCTCTTAAATAAGCTATTTTTGCATCAAGTTTATCATTATTCTCCCAATGATCAACGGATATTTCTGATTTTTCACTTGTGATATTCTCCTTAATATAATCTTGAAATTTTCTGACATCTTCCATATTCCAAGCAATTATATTATTGTGTATGTCGATCATAACAGTGTCAATATAAGAAATTTCGGTGGTTTTTCGAAGTAATCCGTGTAAACCTTCATTTGATAATTCTAAATCATCTGGTATATTTGCTGGTATTTTTACAATTTTTGATAATGCGTCCAATAAATCCATCTTCATCGTAGAAGCGTTTTGTCCATTTATTATTATTTTATCACCTTCTATCTTATCAGCGTGCAACTGTTTTGCTAACTGTAACCGATGCGGTGATAAACTCAAATCTATTGACAAATTCTCGTTTCTAGGAGAATTACGGTTTTTGTTCTTAAAATTTTTCCGTGTTTTACTACTTGATGTAGAAGTTGTTGACATATCTGAATCGCTGTTGCAATATTCATCTTCGGATTTTTTTCTGTAAGGTTGAATAAATAGATTTTTCCTGGACCTCACAACAATCTCCTCTGGAGCGTTATTTGCTCTAACAGACGTCAAGAGAATACTATAATCTATTGAATAATGAATAGATCGTTTATATAAGAATAGTATACTATTTAGAAACAATAAGATAAATACGAAAAACATATACAATTACCAATTTTCCTGTCAAATGTTGCGATTACATAATCGTTTTCTTTTTTTAAAGAACGTACGTTTCCGTCACGAAGTTGTTCATTTAAGTAGTGTTTTAATTTTATTTCAAATTTATCGAAATTGCTGACATTCTGAAAAAAATTATAATCGAAATGTTAGTTTATTTTGTTTTCGTGGATAAATTCTTACCTCTATCTGTATTTTATCAATCCAAATAGAAGGTCTCTTCGCCATTGGAGAATAACTAAATCAGGTCTTTGATATAAGGAACTGATTATTACGCTGCTTAGTTATTGAATGAGGGTTTAGATTAGCTTCGATTAGCAGGAAAGATACATATATAATATATCAGCGGGAATTTCCTGTTCTAGTTTCGTTATCACGGACCAAGGCACCACACTAATTAGTTTATAGTTTCTGATATGAAATAGAGATGTCACTAATTTGAACTAATATAGTTTCGAAAAGAATAGCTTGTGCAGTAGTTGACGACAATGAATTTCACGAATAATGTATATAATTTTGAAGGTAATCAATTTCATATATAATGCATATATTGTTATTTATTTATTCCATTTTTACTTTCCATAATAATCTCTTTTCATGCAAAAAAGAACATTTGACGTCACAATCAAATATTTTGTTTTCCTATCTCTAGTTGAGAAGGCCTAAAGTCTTTTTTTTTTTTTAAGTTTACTTTTTCTATTTGACAGTTATATAATTAAACTATCTAAAGAAAGAATAAAGAAATGAAATATTAAAAGATGAGAAAAGGGAACAAGGAAAAGAAATATTATCCCTCTTTCAAAGAAAAAATATAATGATATCTGACCATTTAATGGCAAATTGTTTTTCATTTCAAATTTTACTGTTCTCACTTTTCATCTGATTAAAAGACGGATCATAATGCATTATTCTTTTATGAAATTACACTTTAAGGTCATTTGTTTCTAGTTTAAGTAACTCTCTTCTATTTTATTTTCATAAAAAAAGACATAAAAACATAAAAAATACAATCTCTGAGTAACAAAAAATCTACTACAAAAATGTATAAGTTATCTAGAATATAGATAGATCATCTTTCGACTAGAAACGAATATTTAATGAATTTTAATTACTAATTAGCAAAAAGCTTAATAATACAAAACCAATTGATGAAATCAATGAAAAAGAATGAAAGTTTAAAGTTTTAGCATTATTTGGTGTAACTTTAATGCCCTTCTTATTATACTCGAGAATTGCTTTGTCAACATTAAATTTAGCTTCCTCTGGGATGTCAGTTCTATTATTTATTTGCGTCAGAGAATTAACATTCTGTCTTTTCACGCAACGGCCCGCCACTTCCTTAAACTCTACACAGCATCTTGAGCATTGTCTTGATAGATAAAAGGTTAATTTAAATAATTCATTCTGTAAATTTACCCTAGTGGGGTTTTTTTGTAAATATATTACTACTTACTGATAATAGAGCTTTCCAATAAAAATAGGATATTTGTCTGAAGATCCACACATTCTCTCTTCATCATTACATTTCTTCATCTCTAGTCCAAATCTTTCACCATAGCATCTGTCAGGATAATTTAAATTAGTAATTGAATGATATTGTTTAAAGTAAGAAAATCGAAATTAATTAAATTACAAATAAACCGATATTAAAATAAGAAGGAAAGAGAAGAATAAGAGAGAATCGAGGTATGATTATCTTACGCTTCGTATTGGTCATACTGATTACGGCAAATGTGAAATCGAAACTGAAAGTCGCAGCCACCACATTGACACGATCTGAATGAGCAATCGCTCCACTCAGACCAGCGGACACCATTGTCAGGTGTTGTTGAGGGAAGTTTTGTGGTAGTAGGCAAAGTAGTCGTTGTAGTTGTTTTAGTTGTGGGGGCGATTGTTGGCTCTTTCGTTGGTTCGACAGGCTGACCGTCAGCTCTAACTAAATTTTATGAAAATACTTTAAATAGTAGGGAACCTTTCACATGATAAACAAACAATCTACCTGTAGAAAGACGAGCTCTAAATCCAACGTAATGGCCTCGCCTCTCCTCTAAACTTCGAAAAGCGACTACCATAATTCTTCCCTTGGATGTTATTGGTTTTGGTTGACTTTCGCAACATAGCCGGTAACCATTTTTGGACAAGTCGTAGTCATACTTTACTTCAACCCAATGATAAAGACACGCCCTTATATATAATCCAGAATCATCGCGAGCTTTATAGCAATAAATTCGAAAATTCGAATCAAATGTTATTTTGACCTGATAACCAGGTGGAGCGCTTATCCTCCAGTTGCACTTGTCTCCAGATTTGTAGCCGGTCCCGTAATTTGGAGTGTTTATAACTCTCTCCTCTCCTATTCCCAATACAATATCGCCTCTATTAAAACATCCTGTTGTACTAGGAGCGACATCCTGGCATAGACTGCCACCAAAGCCATCAGCACATATACATTTAGCGCAATTTTTCGAATTAGGAAATCCCCCATTTTGACAATTAGGGGGATTGCTGTTGCATTTTGCTTGGCAATATTCGTTATGAATTAATTTCGCATCTAAAAAGGACATTTCCACCCTTTGACCAAAGGCTTTTTGATGTCCTTTATCTAATGCTTTAATTGTCAATTCGTGCAGCCTACTTCTATCCCGAGCATTTGAAAATCCTGAATAATGCATCACAGAATTGTAATCATAAGGTATACTAGGCTCTTTTACGTCATTAGGTATCTTCATCTGATCGTGTTCACATCCACCGTTAATTAGATCGCAGTTTAATTTAATATAATTCTCTCTGTCCGGTCTTTGATGTTGATGCCAAAATCCTAACGAATGAATAACTTCGTGAACGGGAATGCCGAACTAAGAGAAAAGACAAATATAAACATGGAAGTGATTCATTTTCATTCATACAAAGAAAAGACAGGCAGGAAGAAGGAAAAAATTCATGAAAAGTAATTGAATTAAAACTCCAAGCACTTACAAAATCAATACATCTTTCATGTAGGTTAATCAGTTGAGGATAAGAGCCTGCAGCTACCCTACCAATATAAGCCCAACACCTAAATAACACAAAGAAAAAGATTGTCTTTAGCTACGTCGTGCTAAAGGCAGAGCTGATTCAAAATTTATATTTTTTCTAAGCCAATTAGTCAACCCGCCTGAGATTGAAACTGGTTATACTTACGCTTTTTCCTCGTTAGAGAATATAATATGGTCATCGTTGACGATACCATCGTTGGCAACACGTTCAAAAGTGAAGCAAGTTTTATCTTCAATATGTCTCAGGGATTGTTCAAGCTTCGTAATGTACTCTTGAGCTATTTCAAAGGAAAGAAAATTCACAATAAACTAATAAACCACAAGTATGAACAAATCTTTAATGATTAAGAGAAAAATTTTGTTGTATTTTATTTAAGGAAAAGAATGTTCCTTACTGTAATCTTCTTCAATTTTATACTGAATTCGAGTCACTCGCCATTTTCTATTTCCATATTTATCAAAATTAATTGTATGCCTTTTCCTTCTAGTTTGTTGATTTTCTTGCAATTCTCTTAAATGAATTACTAAATTCTGAGTTTGCCTTGCGTTCAATCTGACACAGCCGTCTAAAACTTCTGAAGTATAATTGAACCTGACAGTTGATCTTTCCTCATAGTTTGTATCCTATTTATTATATTAAGAAAGTGTCAGCATATATTTCAGAGTGTAATATTTGTTTAAAAATAAGATATTACTTTTAATAAATTGTTTATTTGAGATATTGCGGCTTGTTTCTTCTGAAAGTCCTCGCATGGCAGACCTCTGCACCTTAGAAATTCTTCATAAGTCAAACCCTGAGGCATTCTAATATCTACTCCTATGGCATAGTTGAAGAGGAGAAGATGTATAATAAAAATCATCGTTGCACTATTAGAATAAATCGTCTGGTGTCGCTCTTCCACAGAATTAGGTATAACTAATGAAATTTTACTCAAGATTTCTCTCAATTTATAAACATGATTCGTGACATTAACGCACGAAAAGCAAAATTTTGTTGTTATACAAAAGAAAACCGACTGGGTGATTCATGCCTATAAATTCGTTAAGAGATTCCCCCATATTCCGTTAAATATTAATATTGAAACTTCTTAAAATAGACCTATTACGATATTAAAAAAATGCTTTCGGTAAGGGTTATTCCTTCAAAAGTTCAGTATGACTTTAAGGATCTAGTGCAAAAGTTTTTTCCCCTTCCTCTACAAATTACTGTCTTTGTATAGAAAATTTAGCTAAGTCAGGCCTTTTTTTTTACGAGTATGATTGATAAAAGGAAGAAGTAGGACGAATATAGTTAGGACGTTTTCGCGAATAAACAATATCAGCTTCTAGACTAACAATTCCATTCAATTCTATCACTGCTAAAAACTTTTTGTCGTGTATCGTAAAAAAGACAATATTTGTATTTTATATACAATATATTACATAAACTGTGTATGATATATATTCAATATGTTTTATATATATATATACATATATATATACAATATGTATACAACTAGGCCAATAGATTTAAATATTGACGTTTATTTAATAATATACGTTAATTACAATAGGTAAATGAATGTGTTCAACCTTTAATCATTTAATTTGTACATTAATTTTCAATCAAATAATTATCTAAACATGCCTATCAGCAAATTTTAAAATATTCTTTGTATGCATTAATATTTTTTTTTTTAAAAAAAAAAATAAAAAACAATTCCAATTTATTTAATTTTTGTTTTTTTCAATTAACAATAAATGAAGTGAATAAAAAAAATTCCAGAAGGTGAATAATAATTAAATGATTAATCTTTGCGGAATAATCAACGCTTTCATCACATTTTCAATTGAAATCAATTATGATTCTCTCAGATTATGGAAGTTTCGTTGTACCCTCCTAGAATCCTATGGTAACTTGTAAACAAAGAATCTCTGAATACGCATGCGCAAATTCCTTGCTTGAAATGCAGCCAGTCAAATATAATTGAATAGTGTTCAGTGTTCAAAACTATATAATAGGCCTACAGAGTTATGGAAATTTCTAAAAAAGGACATCAAATTTTAAAAGATGAAATTTGATTCAGTTGTCTCTCCAATTGTCGAGACAAAGGTTAAAAAGTCGAAAATTTTTAACCGGTGTCGGACGACTTTTGCAGCTCTTGCGGTATTCTTTATACTGCTTCTTATAGCTTCTGTTGTTCTGCTGTATTTGAAATTACTAAAGGTACGTTAATCCCTTCTCTTTATTTACGTTAGATTTTTTCCAGGTGTTTTTATATGTACTTATACTAGTATTGTTGTTACCTGAAATCTTTTAGGTGAAGTTCAATAGCTTTTTCTTTTCTTGCAAGAAGAGTGACTCTGTCTGAGTCTCTTTTTATAGGTAGATATAATGATAACTATTAAGATGACCTATTTTTTCAATGTCTCTTATGTAATATTTTTATCAATATTCACTTCTACCTCTTTGTTCTCCCTTCGACAACACCTGGCTCAATACACGTTTCAACACGATAAAATGAGATATACGGGAAGTGGGTTGCATAGCATGAAACATTCGTATTACCTAATTAGTTTAACTAACTTCTTCCACCTCTTAAATCATCTACAAAAGACGAAATGTAATCTAACTGTAGATAAATATTATAAATTATCCCAAAAGTATAAATAAAGTAAAAATGGGTAGATGAAAGGAAACTACTAAGAAACTGACAACCGGTATTACATATATTAGGAAGAAGGAAGATAGAAAAGATAGAAAATGAGGTAGAAGAACCAGAGTGTGACGATTAAGGGTACTTTGATGAATATACTTTTTTCTAATCCGTAGTTTTTTATCACGAATACAAGAAACACATGTCATTTCTAATAATTAAAGATGGAGGATAAATAAAATGTCCGATATATAAACTAATATAATAATTAAACATAGACCCGAATCCATCAATTTTCAATGAGTGTAAACAATCATATCAAAGTCTAATTTTTATTAAAAAAAAAGGAATAAAAAATGAGCAAGTTGAAAAAAAAAAAGTTTCGTGCAAAGAGCACGTGCGAAATGCTGTAGATGAAATCGATATTCAATCAATCTTTTTGTAGAAAAATAAAATTTTTTCCCATGTGTTATGTATTTATTTTTTTATTTTTTTTGTTTCTTTATATCCTACTTCATAATTTATATATATATACAGTATATATGTATATATATAATATTATATTATCATTCAAGTAGGCTTATTAATCAGTGGATTATATCAATTAATCTGCAATAGTCTTTTTTTTTTATTACATTTTGCTTTGGTAGAATATTTTACCGTAGTCAAATGGTTTAAGGGGACAGTTGAAAGGGAAAAGGAAGATAAAGTTTCAATAATAATAGTAATATGTCATATCCTTATATTAATCATTTCCTGCTGCTCTCTTCTTACCCGACTGAGTAGTCTCAAACGTAACGATTATTTTTTTACGTTAATAGAATTGTGGGTTTTTACAGTCATAATAAATACTGTAATACAGTATAATCGTGTCGTGACTAAATGGATTTTTAAATGTTCTTTCTTCAGGACTATATCAAGTTCACTTATTTTCCTTCCCATTCCGGTATAAATCTAAAAACATTAATGAACCATTAATAGATAATAAGCTAATTATTCAATAAATATGCATGATCATAAGTTTATTAAGTGAATTTCTTAGGTAGAAGAAAGCGTTCAACACATCAAAGGAGATTTGCGTACGTGCCATGGATTGCCAGAGGTGGAGTGTAATGAAGTCAAATCTAAATTGGAACAATTAAGAAAGGAGGCTGAGGGTGATGCAAAACATCTTGACTCATTGCGTGAGGGGGCTAGTTTCTCCAGCGATGAAGTTTTCAATAAAGCAGAAAATGATGAAATATTTTTTACAAGGGATATGTTGGAGAAACTTTTCACTAAGAAAAATCGGAGAAAGAAGCGCAAAGCAGACAAAGGTATCAGAAATGGCGTGCTAAAATGGACTTTACCTATAAAATATCAGTTCAATGGAGCACACAGTAAATATACTTATATATATATATACAGTATAAAATTTATATGTATTCTTTATATACAATTGTTATATCTATGTTTATATATAACGAGCATAAGTACACGTTCAATCTAAGAAATTTTTATCATAATTTCTGTCATTTCCGATTATTAGATCACGAACAAAAAGCAGTAATAAGACAAGCAATTAAGGTCTGGGAATCCAAAACATGTATTACATTTCAAGAGGTTCCTTCATCTTACCGTCAAGATACTCATCTTTACTTTACTAAATATTATACATGTGGATCGTACGTGGGAAGAATTTCCTCACTCGTTTACCAACAAATCGATTTAGCTCCTCAATGTCTGCGAAAAGTTGGTATTGCTATTCATGAGATTGGTCATGCTCTTGGTTATTGGCATGAACACCAACGTTCAGATAGGAACGACTATGTCAGGGTGCGACAGGAAAATGCCTATATGTCCAGTAGTTATCTAACTCAGTTGAAGACAATGACCGATACGGACAATATCATCAATTATGATTATAGTTCAGTTCTACATTATAGCTCTAAGGCATATACCAGTAATAATGGACCTACAATTGAAACTAAAGACTCATTATATCAACAAACAATTGGTCAACGAGCAGAGTTATCGTTTCTTGACGCAAAGTTAGCAAACAAACTATACTGTGATAAGAAATGCGTTGGAAGACAATTAGCAAGAAACTGTTTTAACTCTGGCTATCAAGATCCAAAAAACTGCCATAAATGTATTTGTCCTGATGGATTTGGAGGAGATTTTTGCGAAAGCGTCATTTACGGTATATTAGTTGAAATTCTATATTAATTTTCTATTAATTTACTTAATTTTAATAAGGGTCGTGCGGACGAAAAGTCTCTTTAAACCTAAAAGTCATGGAGACAATATTTTCACCAAACTATGATTCAGGTCAATCATATACGGATTTTAGCGAATGCACTTGGCTTATTCAAGCACCAATTGGTTATAGGTTATTAGTTCAATTCGTTGGCTCGTTTAGGGTTTATAGCGATGATACAACAACCTGTTTACACTGGGTTGAAGTTAGATATAAATCTAACTTGGCTGCATTGGGCCCTAGATTTTGTGGCTATGATACACCTTCCCTAACATTAGAATCGACAGGGAATCAAATATTAATTTTATTTCGTAGTAAATTCAACGCTGGACGTAATTTTAGACGAACCGGTTTTAAAATGGAAATCTTCTCAGGTGAGAAACGATTCTTACTTTCACCTAGAATATAACGTTTTTACTTTTGTTATTTACAATGTCCTCATTCTCTGAAAGGCATGTTAAACTATATTATTATAAATGTACAAATATATAAAACACGATATACAAGCATTTTAAATAAATCGATACTTTTACGTTTCCTTATTAAGTTAATATTTAAGGAAGACTAAACTAATATTCGTTTATAATTTATGCTTTTGGTTCACAAATAAAAACTTAATCACTTTTTCCAATTTATTATAGAACGCTTAAATACAACCTCTCCAAACGCTCCTATTGAACCGCCTATACCTAATACACCCAACTTGAATGGAAATTCAAATGGCATAAATTGTAATCTTATGGATGCTATAATTCTCTTGGATTCGAGTAGTTCAGTTGGATATAATAACTGGTATAAGCTATTGAATTTCATAGCTAGTTTTGCTTCAAGATTACCTATGGGAGCTGGTTCTCGTATTGCGATTATAACATTCGGTAACTCGGCTTCTATTAAATACAAGTTTAACATGGAGCAAAATATCAACACCTTATTAAGGACTATATCCGCTTTACCTTTCAAAGATGAGATGACAAACACTTCTGGAGCTTTAAGACAAGCCCGAGAAATGTTTAAATCGTTTTATTCTAGAAATAGTGTTATACTATTATTTACAGACGGGGAATCTAATGTTGATAAGTATCTTCTAAGTCGAGAAGCCGAGCTACTCAGAAAAGAGAATATTATGACATCTGTTATAGGCATAGGACCATTCGTTAATGAAGAAGAAATGAAAACTATAGCTACGAATGATAATAATATTGTTAAAGTTCCCGGCTTTGATTATCTAAGGTCAAATACAGACCGTTTTTTCAAGGAAATTTGCCAACTTGATGAGACTTCTTCATACTGTCGTCATTCTGCTGAGATAATATTCTTAATAGACTCTTCTTCAACAGTATCAAAAGAAGACTGGATAAAGGTTAAAGAATTTCTAAAGAGATATACAAAGGATAAAAAGCAGCAAAAATTTGCTGTAATAGTCTACAGCAGGGTGGCAAGTGTTGAAATTAACTTTCGATCTCAACATGATTGGAATTGGTTGAGTTCGGAAATAGGCAAATTAAAGAGGAACGACGGAAGTGTTACAGATATATCTAAAGCTTTTGAACAAATAACTTACAACATTCTGCAGAGTCGCTCTAAGGCTACAAGAGTCGTTGTCGTTTTAACGGATGGAGGTCATAGTTCAAATGATAATATTGCGAGCTCTTTAGCACAGGATATAAGAAGTTCGGATGCTAAGATCATCGTAATTGGACTCTCTGGATGGGTAAATTCCAGACAGATGTCTTCCATTTATAGTCCTGGTGAAAAGGATTACTTTCTAAAATTCAGCGGTTACAAATATCTAGATATCAAATATTCTAGCATAGAAAAATTGATCTGTCATGCTATAAATTCAAGTTTACCAGCTAATCCCCCTAAAACAACTCCCTCACCTGAAAATTTACCAAGAAACGGTAATTCAGCAAAAGTTTCCTGCTTAAAGGCCGATGTTACTTTCTTATTAGACTCTTCAGGCAGTGTAGGACAAATTAATTGGTATGCCGCGACAAATTTTACCTGGTTTGTTATAGACTCTCTACCATATCCTGTCGTCAATTACGGTGTAGTTTCCTTTGGAAACCAAGCATCTGCATACAACTTTCTAAAAAACGTACCAAAAAATCCTACTGACATAAAAACTACCTTGAAAAATTTAAGATGGAAAAATCAATATACGAACACGTCTGGAGCATTGTATAAAATGAGAACTGAGCTTTTTCAACATTCGGATAGAAAGGATGTAGCAAATATAGGCGTTTTAATAACTGATGGCCCTAGCAATAAGGATATAGAACTAACTGTACCAGAGGCTCGTAGGTGCCAGAATGATAATATCGATTTAATTACAATTGGTATTGGTCCCGGAGTAAATAAATCTGAAATAGATTCTATAACTTACCCAGATAACACTTACGCTTTTCACCTTGATTCTTATAAGCATTTAGATAATATTATTGAATCAATAGCCGAAAAGATATGTGAATCAGCAAGTAATATAAAGCTATATATGATCTGTCACTTAATATTCTATCATATTTATATTATGTCTATAGAGAGAAGAAAGAATAGAATAAAACCTGCAACAACCACCGTAGCCCCAACAAAGCCATCTGGTTCTAGTTCTAGTAAGTTTAATTGAATATATGTTAGAAATAAATTATACACTATTTATAACTCAATTATGTGATAATTTACAATTTTTCTTTATTTTTTCACCAATTTGAAGAGTGGTCTGCCTGGTCTAATTGCTCAAAGGAGTGCGGTGGCTGTGGAATAAAAATGCGTTATCGGCAATGCATATCACAGGATGGAAAATATTACAAGTAATGTATTTATTTTCACAATTAAGCATCATCTTATTGTAAACTTTTTTTTTCAAAGCTGTGGGGATTCTCAAGTCGAAGGATGTGGAAAGAGAAGATGTACTGATAAGGACAAGTGCCCCTATTACGCTGGACGTCTTTACATGAGGCATGCATTACTTTTATCATTGTTTTATACCTGTTTTACACTTAATTGTTTTAAACTTTTATAGAAGATGCTCTGAATGCTGTCCCGGTTATCGTCCAAAAGGAAGCATTTGTATTAAATAATTTATACAAGACATTTAAACGTTTAAAAAAAGCTTTTAAGATAGCCTCTTGAAGAAAAGAAAAGGAAAAATTTACTAAAGTCATTCTTTTATAGTCTTTTTATATTTTTGTTTTTGCACTCGGAAATCATTATGATTTATACTAGCTTTTTTTGTAGACTATAGTGTTTAGTATTTATGCAACACTAGTATATTATTAATAAAAAGGATACGATTTTTTTTGCTATAATTGTTTATGGCAAGCATTTTTTTTTACTTTTCAAATGAAAGATGAAAGTTTTAAGTGAAAATAAAAATTTTTGACTTTCACATTTGTAGAAAATGATTTCATTTTATGAAATATAATCTTAATTAGGCGGAATTATAAGCTTACTTCCGATACATTAACGATTGTTGCGGAAGAGTCTTTACAATTGGAGATTGATGATAAAAATCCATGTTTGTCTCTGGAAAGTAGCTACATAAATATGACTAATATAAAGTAGAACAGAACAGAATATTGACTCTAATCCCTATTTTTTTCTCCTTGTTTGTTCTAAGAATATTGTAAAATTCACTTATCAAGATAGCGAATTAAAAAATTTCGTATTGACATTCTGCAATAGATAGAAATCTATCTTATTACAATAGTTATATAATCATATAAGAATTTACTTTAATACAAAAGAAAAGAAAACATTACCTATGACATAATGCTGAATCATGAAAGTTCCCTTATTACCTTAATAAGCTTAAAAGAAAGAGTGTATTATTATAAATATTTATTGATGAAAGAGTAGTGCAACTGAAACAATGGCACAAAGAGATTTTTAGGTTATATATTTTACAAATTGCCTGCCAATTGGCATTTAATATTATTCTAAATTTTTTTATGAAGTTATATGATACATACAATTTGAGATTTTGCATGCCAAAAAATAAGATATCGTGATGTAATTCATTGATAATTATTTCCTCTTCTTCTTTTGGTAAGAAAATCATATATTTTTTTAAATAAACACAGCAAATAAAAAATAACGTGTATTAAATAAAGGTGCATGATGAAATCATTTAGAAATAACATGAACTGAAAAGCTATAGTTGTTTACAAGATATACTACATAGTTAAAAGATTAATTAAAAACTATTAAAAATAGTTACTTTAGATGATTGTCAGTCCTGTATAGTCTAGTGCTAAAGAAGAAAACAAATATTGTAGCCAGGAAATTTAAATTATCAATTAACTAATGATACCTGTTTTTAGGAGTTGGTTAAAAAGAGTATATGTCAACAGAATGAATCTTTTCATTTAGAAGGCTGGAGATGATGTGAAGTGCTTGGATCGTCTCTTTTACTCCGTAATTCCATAGACTCATCTCCAGCTCGAGATGATTTTCCTTGTTCTCTTCTGCTAGGTGTTCCTAATCTACTCAGAAAACTTGATGTTTCTGGTATCCTAAATAGGTTTATTAATGCTTCTTGAAACTGTTCATACAAACAAAGTTAGTTGCAGCTCATCTCCCAGTGTAAAATCTTTCATATTCTTACCTGTTTGTTCAGTCCGAGATAAATTAACGGATTGTAGCAATTTGATAGTTTAGCAAAGAGTGATGGTAGAGTCTGAGCTGTTATATTTCCTTCAATAAGATGTCTATATTTGAATGTTCCCATTAAGACGACTACTGCATAGGGTGTCCATGCTGCGACAAAACAAATCACCATAGTCGAAATCATTAAAATTAAACGTTTTTCCAAAACGGCCGTAGTTCCTTTGCCTAATGTTGCACTAGTTTGGCGGGCTTGCTATTAGAAAAATCGACGGTGAAACTCAGGACAGATACTCTTACAGTAAAATATAGAAATCTCACTTTTCGTACTCTTCTTAAGAGGCAAAAATATGAAAATATAATAATAGTAAACGGCAGTATTAAAGTTGAAGTAAACATAAAAATAATATACGATTTAGCAGTTTTATTGTTAGTTAGAAAGTCTATGGAACACCAAGTCTTCGTAGCCTCTGGAACATACCTATTCCATCCTAAAACTGGTAGTAATGACATAATTAGAGAATACAGCCAGCAAAAACCTAGAAGCAAAAAGGTTTGTAAATACAAACAGATAAAACAGTTCATCAACTACCTATGATAACTCCTGTGCGTCTAGAGTTTGACGTAGCTATGTTGAAGGGTTTAACAACAGTTAAATATCTTTCGAAAGAAATTCCAGCTATTGTAGTTATTTGAGTAAGACCTGTTAAGCAAACGAAGGTTACAGATTTTTGCTTCGTGTATCTATTAGGGACTATTACCTGCAAAATACGATATAAAGCCATACCATGTACATCCACTTTCACCGAACAACCACTCCCTGGAAACAGTTGATATAAATGAGAATGGAGTTGCCAAGACTGACACAGCTAAATCTGCCCCACTCAAACTTATAAAAAAAGGATTCATATTTGTTGAAATGCTTTTTATCTTAAAAAGAATAACCAAACAAATGATATTTAAAGTCGTTCCCAAAATGAAACAGGAAAATAGCCACGTTGCTGTTAAATTATAGCCAAGATGACTCCACTCTTCGGCTTTCCACACCGATTTATTCATTATTTATACAAATACTACTTCAACGTAGCTCAGAGATAGAAATAAAGCATTTTCTACCTTTTATACAGCTCTCTCTAATCTCCTCCCTCTTTCTGCCTTGCAACCTTCCCCTAGGTATAAATTATCACACATAGATGTCGCCGGCCTGCAACTGCTGTGAATGAATCAAATATGCATTAAACTAAGTTAAAAGAAATGTCTCTTATTTGACAGAAATTTTCCAGAGCTTTCGCAACATCACTTATTAAATAATTATATTACTCTCTTAATATTTCAAGATATAAAATAATTTCATATACTATATATACTTTTTATCTGTTAATTCTTATACATTCAGTTAATTACATATTAACAACTAAATATTAAAAGATATTAAAAACTTTATTCTCATCTGGTTAAGTAGCTATTTTACAAGAATTCAGAGTAATGTCAATTGGAAATTTTATAAAAAATTAACTATAATAATAGAAAAGTACTTTTAATTTGAAAAAATCCAATATACTTTCTTTATTTGATTTCGTCTGCAAAACGATCATAACTAATAGCACATTTCCAAGTATTGAATTATAATTAAGTGTATCTTGATACATTGCTACAGGCTTTTTAATTCTTCACCCCTCCCTTGTTCTTTCACTCTCTTACTCTCTTTCTTTTCCATACATAAAAATTTACATATCGCTAAACATGAACTAATGTTAAGACACGACTAGTTAAATAATCTGTTAGTTTCCTGTTTCCATTACCCTTTGAAATCATATTCCTAAATCAAGAGTTAATTAGCCCTAATCTTCCCAAATGTTAAACCGCAAATATGGAAGCGGTATTTCAGTTTTCATTATTTCTTATTAAAATCCGGTTAACCTTAACGTTAAATTCCGCATTAGCACTACTATATTCCCTTCCTTCTGCACGTTCTTTAACAATATAATGAATAAAATATCCTTGAGATTTTTCATTAATGCGAGTATAACACTTGAGTGGAAAAGCAGCTTTGTTAAATAATATATTCAATCTTCTTGCATTTAATTTAAATGATAATTTTATCATAAATACATAATATAAACAAATATAAAAAAGAAAAGCTCTAATAAATATCTCAGACTTAACTATCCAGTTATTCATAAAATTAACTAAGGATAATTAGCTAAAGTCGAGTTGCTAGTTTTGTTAAATAATTGTTATAAAACAGATAAAAACTATATTTTGGGAGCTTGTTACAAAGATATAACACAAGGCGATGAATAATATATTCATAAGTAATATTTAAAAGAACCCATTAAATATAAATATTAATAATGAAGTAAGCAAGAGTTTGAAGATTAACCAACTTTTAAGGTAAAATTTTGAGCTAAGGAATTTTGGCTTAATGAGATACCATACTACTTTTATCACAAATGCTGTACCACTAAATTACTATTATCATAAGATCTAAAGAGTTGGAATTTCAAACTTACTGATTATAAATTACCGCTGATTATACGCTTATGGAGGCTACATACTTAACTCTTATTTATTGCCTTCCTAAAATACTTTATATTTTCTACGTATCACTTAGTCACGTGCAATAAATACCTTGATCATATTATAATTCCATCAAAGGAAACCATGGAACTCATTCAAACAAACATCGTACATTATTAGAAATATCGAAAAGCGTATGAAACACAATGGATTTAATATTTAACAATTTGTTTCCCTATAGTTAATCATAACAGGCTTACAATGTGTTCGCATAAAAGTTATGTCCAAACAACGTATTCTTTTATCTGTATATATAGTGTATTTGATTATTTCATACAGGAATTATCTACTTATCTTACTAACAGTGAGTCAATTACTTTCTTACATTTTACTACTAATGAAGGAAATATATTAATGTGCTTTAGAGAACTTACAGAAAGTTCAAAAGAATGATAAAAATTGTTAAAAGCTAATTGATAACTGTAAAATGAAACAAATTTGTTCCATAATTAATTATGGATTGATTTGACATCATTCATTCTTTTGTTATGCATTTTTTTATCTTTCCAACTTGGCATTCCTCATTAATTTCTTCTTGAAAATCCATTTTTTATCTATTACTTAGTGATTTATTATTATTCAATATCTCTTTTATGAAATTTTTACAGATGGATTTTACGATATGAAAGAATGAAAGAGCAATATCTTCTCTGTACATATTGTTACTAAGCAGCAAATAAAACAGTCGAATCTAAATACCTCTAATAAACCACAAGACTACAAAATAAAAAGGAAATCCTATTTAAGGAAAACCTTCAGGCCTTTCAGCTGCTTATAAACTCTCAACAGATAAGCACTCTTCAACATCTATCTGTAAATTGGTACTATAAAATAATAATAATTGGATAACTAGCCTAGCAAATTAATTATTAATCGATCAACAAACTGCCCACAAAACATTTAGTAATTTTTAAACAGTAAGAAAATAGAGAAAATCAAGTTTCAGTTATTTTTTACATTAAATGAAAATATAATCTGTTCCTCATAAAAAAAAGATATGAAGAGCTTTAACATCTTTCTGAATTATCAATTATTATCCATTTTTTAATGAATATCAATGAAGCAATTAAATTAATCTAACCATATTTATTATTGATTCTTTCTCTTAGAGACACAGATTGTTTTTTAATACTTTCTTCACCTATACTCATCAATTTATTTGCTAATTTTCTTCTTCATAGACTATCTTACATCTAAGAAATTAATTTCAGAGACATAGCTAACTAAGCTAAGGTCGATAAAAATTGATAAGTAAGTAATTTAAAGATAGAATTAATTATTAGAAAGAGTTATCCTTCGAACTTTCCATATGTCTACAGTATGAGAATGTAGACTGCTTTCTAGATTTGCTTGTAATATCTACCTTCTTTTCTTAAAGCTAAAATCATAAGCATGTTCAATGTATTTAATACAAATGTGTTAATAACACAAACTGTGTATCTATAAATAACTTTACTGCCTTGGTGACACTACTTAAGCTACATGAAAGAAGAATTACGAGAAAAGAGAATAAATTGACAGAAGGAGTATAAAGATTTACTTTGTAATTCCAAAGAGTGTTTTTATTAATACATTTTTATAATACAACTATTTTTTCTTCCTATCTTCCCTTGTTTTGTCAATTTCTGCAACTTGTTGAAACAAATCTTGTAACATAAGATCAGGAACATAACGAAACTCATCTTCATCCTCTTGCGGCTGATATTCAAATAAGAAATATATAAATACTTTTGGAATTCAAATAAAATTATTGCTGACCTCTTTTACGGTCATCGAGACTCCTTCCGGCATATTACACTGGAGAGTGTCAAGCAATATTGGTGCTACATTAGACGGCATTTTCAGAAGCTAAAGACACAGCCAAGAATTACTTTTAAAATATTAACTTTTCAATGAAATAAGAAATAAAGTTAGATCTATAAACATCCAAATTGATTTAGATAGTAAAAGTCAATTTAAGTGAACGTTTTTACGAAGAAAAATATAGTTTTAATAAAGTTAATATCCACCAGGTGTCTCTAGTACTATAGATAAATACTTACACGAATTATTCTTTCATAATTAGATAGTTTGTAAGTATCTGCCACTTTCGTTGAATTCGGTTTAAAGACATTGACAGAATTTGTTCTTGGTGGAACAGGATAACTGCAAAATAAGATAAAACAAGTCCATTAGTAGTTCGTTAATTAGAAGTGGGAAAAAGTTGTTGTTCTTACACTTCAACGTCTAGTCCTAATCTGTCAGATAATCTGTGCGCATATCTTGCAAACGATTCCAATGTAACATAATCGTAGCCTCTTAACTGAATATTTAAAGGTTGATATTCAGGTATTTCTGGTGGCTGGTTTATATAATCCGGTTCCCAAACCCCTCGACTAATAGTAGAAGTGCTGTTACAGGAAAATTACACTAGATAGTCATAATATACAAATTAAGAATACTAACCAAATTTTTCTGTTTAATGGACAATTTGTCCTTAAGATAGCCTTCTGTTTTTAAAATTTGATATAAAATTTTTAAAAAAACGAGTTACTGAGCGATAATATATAAACAATTCTTACAGATAAACGTAACATGTGAAAAGTAAAACAATTGAGGATCCAGAAAATTTCTCCTTTGAGTAAAGTTATAAATTAAAATCAGAGAGTGTTAGTGAATTTCATCAAAAACGTGATAATTTATCTTCCGACCCTTCCGTTCCAAAAGATCACAGATTTAATGTGGCTACAGTACGAAACTTCTAGAAGAAATCGAACAGAGATAAAAGCAGGCGGCCGAATCCTGTACCAGGCTTTCTCAAACCGAGCTACATTTACCAGTTTTTCCAATGTATCACAAGTCAGTGCCAGTCACCAATCAGTGGATGTAACATATCAAGATTTTCGCTATAATTACACAGGTAAAGCTTTAATATAATTTAGGAAGTATCCTAAAGCCCCCATTGATCGACCGGTCAAAAGAGATCGTCGAAAAACCTACCGATCGGACGACGTGTAATGAAAAATGTCTGGTTGGTGCAGCTTTTGTCCGAGGTCGATCCTAATCGTATAGGCCTATAAACGGTCATTTACTTCGAGCATTGGAAATAAATGTAAATTTATACGTGCTGTAGTAGGCAAAAGGAATGCTGCACAGTAAGCAAGGTGCATGACTCACAGCAAGCAGGCGCGCGAGTTACGGTAGGGAAGTATTTCATTTGAATGTGAGCGCTTTTTATTGCAGGCATGATTAACTGACGGGAATGCAGACTTTCACTAGGGAATGTTCGATAAGCGGTCAAAAATTTAACAAAGAGACCTGTAAGAAATGGAATTCGTTATTATACCCAGGAATAGAGAAGATCCATAAAGACAAACATGAATGTCTAGTTATCAAAGGCGATGCCGTGGATTATATACAGAGTGTTTTAATTAAGGTCTTAGAAAGCCTTTGCTCCAATCAACCGAGAACATGCGACGATGTTGACAAATTCATCAATAAATTTTTTGTGCCACCCCTAAATGTAACCGTCCTAAAGACAGCTCATGAAAATCTAGACCTCATGAACCAAAAGAGCAAACGAAGCTCAAAAGCTTCATCATCCATCTTTCCGTTAGATAAAATCCATCAGCTACTGCTCAAAGACATTTTTGATTATAGATTCAACAACCAGATCACTGTCTACTTCGTCTCTATTTTAGAATGTATCGCTAGAGATATATTAACGTTAGCTGGGAATTTCGTGAGTCTTCTAAGTAAACCGAATAATATGATATCGAAGGAAAATATAATCGTGGCGATCAGAGCTGACGAACATTTAAGTCACCTAATCAGACAATCGGGAAGCGAGATTTCACTATGCGACAGTGATATCAAGTATACGAAGCCTGCAGCCTATGATAATTATGACAAACTGGCTCGTGATATTGTTCTTAAGGAATCGCAGTATTTAAGAGAATTAAAAATGATTTGTAAAGTTTTTAAAGAGCCAATAGTCAAATTTGAAGTTCCTGGAGATCAAGTTGAAAAAATCTTTAGTGAAATAGACGATGTTCTCGATGCAACTATGACGCTATACGATTATTTAGAAGACGGTTTTTCTGTAGACGATGGGAAGCCTTTAATAGGCAATTGTTTTATGGAAATGATAGAAGGGGAAGAATACTACATCTATCAGCGATATGCAGAAGCTGTTCTCAATCCTGAACTTAATATACAAAGTGAATTGGATAAGTTACTAAGGGACTACCCTGAAGTCGCGACAGAATTCAAGGTATGTCTAAACTCTTTGCTTTTGCGCCTAATTTGTAGGTCATTGACGACGTGCCTGGATATGCACCGAGTCGATCGCCTCCTTTCAACTTTGTCTATATTTATATAACCGGAATCTGGCAATACTTATATATTTTTTAATCGCTTTTAAATGCATCTTTTGCATTTCCCCTCATTATTTCCATTTCCTATAGTGGATTAGTAAAATTCCGGGCCGATAATTATAAACTAATAGGCCGATACGGCGCTTGCCTCGAATACCCTGGGAATGCGTGCAGTCGCGTGCCTGGATGTTTAAGACTGTTGTTTGGCAGCGTTTATTTTTGGCGTCTTTTCTTATTTGCAGAAATACGGCAACTATGTGTTCGATGCTCTCATTTATTGCCTGCCGAAAATGCTTTTTATGCCAGTCTATCACTTCTTCACCTATAATGAACATTTAGATCAACTGTTGGAGTTATCTATCGATGCAGAAGACAAATTCTCATTAGAGCAGTCATCGTGTATTGTTAAAAGTATTAAAATCAACATTGAAAATTTCATGCAACAGAATGGAGTCAGCCTCAAAAAGTTTGTGTTTTTATCTTACAAATTATAAATACTATGTATTTAGTATATATAAATTTATACAGTATATATATATACATATCAAATTGAGTTTTATTAGCGCCCCCTTTCGGTGTTCTACTTTCTAAATATATCATAATATATAACCAGCTAGCTGCTAAGATGGGATGTAAGTGGGTTGGTGGTGGTGGAGGAGGAGGAGGATAATTATGAAATAGAATAGTATAATAACAAAACACAAACAATGCCGATTATCTCTTATTAATTACGTATTTACATTCATTCTATTAGTGAATCGACTCTACATATGCATTTCACTGCAAACGAAGGTCGTTCATTTTGTCTTAAGAAAATTGAGGAAGTTCAAAAGAATGTCGAAAGTATTGAAAGTAAAATTGACAAGCGTGAAATGGAACAAATTTGCGAACAATTTGTCATGGGTTTGTCATCCCTTTATTCTATTATTACAAGTTTCTTATATTCTCTCTTTGTCTTGCTATCTCTTCTTTTAATAAAGAAAAGATAATACAATACCCATTCATCAAGCTTCCTTTTTAATTTGTTTTTTTTTCCTCTTCCCCTCAATTAAACTTTTATAGAAGGACGACTCAACAAATGGTTCGGAAAACAGAGAGTGAAAGAACGATATCTTTTCTTATTCGACGGTGTACTTATTGTTGCCAAGCAACAAATTAAAAAGTTGAATGTAATTCCCTCTGGTGAACAGCTGGAGTATAGATTTAAAGAGAAATTCTATCCAAAGAAAGGCATGGATCTTCAAGACCTTAAGGATGATAAGGGTGTTTCAGAGAATGCTTTTAAATTGGTAACGGATGAACATGCCTCTATCTTTGTATGCAAATCGGCGCAGGAAAAGAATAATTGGATGGCAGCTATTGTCCATATACTCGTCAGAAGTACTTTAGATAAGTTGCTTGATATGAAAATAACTGAAGAGGAAAGAAATCAGCCGTTACCTAAAATTCCGTCTGCTGAATATAAATTCACAGAAGAAGATAGCAAATCAAATATTGAGTATGACGAAAATTGCAGCAGCGAGGCAGAATGCGAATCGATACGCGGAGCTACCTTATTAAAACTAGTCGAAAAGCTCACACCACCTTCTTCGTTCAATCCGAGCTTCATTAGGACATTCTTGACCACATATCGGACGTTTTGTCAACCAGAACAACTACTAGATCTCTTGATAGAACGTTACGACATTCCTCTCTATTTGGATTTAGAAACTTCCGTTTGTCCAAGTAAACGTTATAGAAAGGAATACGTCAAGCCGATTCAGATGAGGTTTCATTAATTTTCTTTAATTAATACTAATTAGAAAGAGGATTAGAAATTGCTATTACTATTAAAATAATCCTTTGTTTCCTTTACTTCATTAGGACACTGAATGTTTTAAAGCATTGGGTAGATCAACATTGGTATGACTTTGAAATGAATCAGGAACTTTTGAAGAAACTCGAAAACTTCCTAGGTAGTTCAAAAGACAAAAGCATGAGCAAGTGGTTAGAAAATGTAAAAAAAGTCCTTCAACGCAAGGTAATTTTAGATTTCATTATCGCTTTACCAAAGTCACTTATCGTCTTTCATAGAGAGAACAAAGGGAGGTAAAAATTGATTATTGCTATAGCTCCGAACCACCTCCTATACTATGGCATATTGCTACAAAAGACAATACAGTCGAATACGATTTGATGTCTGTAAGTATTAATTTGGAAATTTTATTAGTTTATCTTGTATTTTTATAACAATTAATTAATCCTATTAAGAGAAATATTAATTTCATGTATTCTCTATCCTATCTATTTTTAGCTACATCCCGTGGAGTTAGCAAGACAAGTCACTCTTCTAGAATTTGATTTATTTAAGGCTATCAAATCTTCCGAAATGGTTGGATCATTATGGACAAAAGCGGATAAATATGAAACATCACCAAATATTTTAAAAGCAATTGACTTTTCTACCCGCTTTACTTATTGGCTTGTTAAGACTATTGTCGAAACAGGGAATATTGAAGAGAGAACGCAAGTTCTTCATAGAGTTCTTGAATTATATATAAGTTTTTACGATTTGAACAACTTTTCGGGAGTGATTGAAGTTGCCTCTGCCCTTACATCAGCTTCTGTTCATCGATTAACTCATACGAGGCAATTAGAGGTAATACTATCTCTTTCTATATTAGTGATATGTTTAGCACGAATAATACTATTCAATCCTATAGGGTATTCAAAATCGGGCTAAATTCCTAAAAACTCTTGAGGAAGCCGAAGAATTTTGTCATAATCATAATCGAAAATATTTTGAGAGATTACGAAATATCAATCCGCCGTGCGTTCCATTTTTAGGTTTGTAACCATATTCTTACTTTTCATTTATCATAATATATCAATACAATATTCAATTTTTCTTATTTTTAGGAGCATCTCTAAATCACCTTCTTTTAACGGAAGTCGGCAACGCCGACTTTTTACAAAAGAATCCGAATCTAATAAATTTCGGCAAATGTCGGAAAATAGCAGATATTACAAACGAGATTCAGCAAAATCAGAATTTACCTTACTGCCTGCATGTTGAAATGAAAATTCGAAATTTTTTGGAAAGCTTAAACCCTCACGAAGATAAATCATCTCATGAGTTGGAGACATATTTTTATGAACGAAGCATGCAAATAGAACCTAGAAACTGTCCTCGACAATCTTTACCTAAGTTTGAAAAGAAACGCCAGTATCAATTACGATCTCCTGGTACGAAGTATTCAATATTAACAACAAAGACGCCCATTCAGTCGACTAGTGATGCTATACCATCTACGCCAAGTAAAATTTCAGCAGCATCTCCAGTTGAAGAAAGTTACGATTCAAGAGCATCATCTTGCTCATCCACTCCTCCTGGAACTCCACATTCGGCATTAGTTTCTTCCAGTCCTGCCACTGACACACCTCCTAATGTACCACCTAGGACGTATAAAAGTAAACCTGTAATTCCTCCAAGAACGAGACCAGCGGCCCCCCCATTACCTCCGAGAATACAGACAAGGTAAAAACTATTATCCAAACATATCTTTATTCGAAAAAAGAAATTAAATATGAAACTTTACAGCAGAGTTAACTCGGCCCCTCCATCTCCTCCCCCAACTAATGCGGAAGAGTTCCACAGCCTACCAAATAGGCGTCACTCATCTCGCGACGTCCCCAATGGAACGCCCCAATTACCGCCAAAAACTTACAATATAAAGCCATTTCATCAGAGGCATCCAAGTAAATGAAACTTTACGAAAAAAAAAGAGAAAAAAAGGACAATTTCTTGCCAAGCTTGCTAAAGGAAGCGAAAAGAAACAAAAAATATTAAAAAAAAGAACAATATAAACACACACACATACACATACACATATATATATATATATATACTGTATATATATATACAATTAAGTAACAATCCTGCCTGTATAATTAAGGTAAACAAAAAAAAAACAACTGCTATATCTAGTCAAGTTCGTGCCACATTTAATGTCATTTATAAACAATTTTTGGTGCTATCGAAAACATGTAGTTGGTTAAGCTATTCGGTTTAGAATTGTTCCAGTTGTTATAATATACGCGCGTATATTGCCATATTTTTTAAATATTGTCATTTTTTTTCGTATAGTTGCGTTGTCGTTTTACTTGACGGTGTGCAAATATTCGTGGAAAAAAATAAGGAATACAGGCTTGCGAATTCTTTACAACCGAGGGCATTAATCTAAAAAAAAACTAGTATTTATTGTTTATATACTGTAGAGTTATAAATAAATATACACTAGTATATAATTCTATAAATATATCTTCATTGATTACACAGTAAGGGAAAGGGGAGAAAGGGTAACAGGGAGTTTATTTTTTTAATTGAAAAAAATTTGACATATTCGCATTTTTACAAGATATTTCTTTAATATAAAATTCATAGTATTGAACAATTTCTTTAATGATATAAATGAACCAAAATCGATTCTTTGTATTTTTTAAAAAGTATTTATACATATATCTAAAAGTAGAAAAATATAAACGTTTTCATCTTTTCATGCATAAAAGGAAGTCATAGGTAGAACGATTGATCACTATTGCATGGGTTATGCTCACTTGTTAAATTATGAAATTTCTATGGAAAGGAATTAAAGTCATCTTGATTAATAACGAACTCCAGGCATTTGAGAGTGAATTCGGCCGTATTCGAACGACTGTGGTCTCATTTGTCTTCCAATTGGTGGTCCTTTATAATTACCTCCGTATCTTGGTCTCGAAATGTAATTGTCATCGACGCTTTCCTCTTCGTATTTTCCGGAGTAGTAGTTAATCAGCAATAGCGAAATGAAGAAAACCGAAAGTAATGATAACAGTGAACTTATACAGCCAATATAAAAAGATGCATGTAAGTCAAACCCTGTGGCCTTCTGGACTATTCTATAATCAATTCCTTGAATAGTAACACAAACTGTCTTCGACACAGCTAAACAAAAAATTTTTTTCATTTTAAATAGGCCTAAAATTTAAAGTATGACCCCTCCCAAAATCTAACCTGCAACAGCTGAGAGAACGTTACAAAAGGCGATGATTCTTAAACCTTTTAGCCGAATAACGAAAAAGATTACTCCAACAAGACAAACGCATGTGCAAAATGTTCCCACAGTCATAAAAATTCTTGAGACGTTAAAGTAGTCTTCAATAAAATACAATTTTGTGAAAAGAACGTTCTGTAAGTGAATAAAAATAACGATCAACTCACCTAAAACGGTATCATCATCGTACTTGGAACAGGTGGTACCGGTTTCCTCTTTTCCTGCAAAGTCAACACCTCCATCCTGACAAGTCATCCAAAGTCCTTTCATAATTATGCGTGTTACATCTCTAGTAGGACTTGTAGCTTTCATCGTAATCTTTCTCAACAACCAAAATGGTGCGACAAAAGAAAATAAGCTACAAATAACATTGATGGGAAGAATTAAAAACAATAATGCCTTCACAATGATAGGAGAGGAAACGACACCCTTCGTACACATTTTCGCTATAACTGATAAATGAGTGATTTCAATACGGGGGCGTTGTCAAAAGTAAGGTCTCTTCAACTATTAAGAACATATAATCTCGGAATAGACCGAAGAAGAAAGGAATCGGCTACCTGTTTAAATTTCCTATAGTTATTCATATGTGGGAGATATTGAAAAGGAAGGGCAAGGGTGGAGAATAAAATCTATAAAGCAGCCAATAGAACTTGATCAAAATGATTTGAATAGCGTCAATTGCATTGAAGGTGTATTAACGAACTGCATATTTTTTGTTAGTGTACCTAAAACAGCTTTACTAACAAGGACTTTTGGATTCAAAAAAAGCCGTCACTTGTATTTAAACCTCGTCAATGTTATTGTACTATTATTTCCAATACATTACAATCAAAATCTGTATGTTTGCATTTCATCTATATATATATATATATATGTTAAATATATAAATATATATATATATATATATATACATCCATATATATATATATATATAGATATCGCATATGGAATCTATATTCCTACGAAAATTAATTAGATATAAAAAATAGCCTTTTCTCCTAAACCTGCAATATTTATTAGCAATATTGGATAATTGCTTTTAAATAGAAAACGATATGGAAAGATAGGTTATGTATACTCAAAAGTGTTAAATAGTAATCGATAGTCTAAAATAAAATAGTCAGACGGGAACTTATTGATTTTTTTATTCTTATAAAGTTAAAAAATAAGCCGATGAACTTTAAAAAGAACTATAAGTACAAGAACTATAAAAAATTATTATCATATCTGGGCGGGGCTTATAAAATCCACATTAGCTTTAGACGTCACTTCATTTTAGCGTTGAATGTTGATTGGAACAATTCATAGAGATGAAAAAGATTTTAGTACTTTTCTTAACTTGTTTATTTTCAATCCATTCTTTACAATATCAGGGTAAGTAGAGAAGAGAGTGTGTATGTGTGAGTAAGTGAATGAGAGAGACGGTATGTTTGCGTGTAAACGTTCGTAATATAAGTGAATGATATTCTTTAACTAAAAAAAAAAGGAGTATATACAGTATATATACATTATATATAGTATATATTTATAGTATATATTAAATATATACTCGTATAAATATTTTCTACGCATTAAAAATAAAAAATTAGACGCCCTACACTTACCATTTATAAAGTTTACATTCATTCATTAAATTGCTTAGAATACTCTAAAAAAAAAGGTTATTTTTATTGATATTATAGATAAAAAAATGAAAAAAGTATTAATTAAAAAGTTTTTACTTTCTTTTTATAAAAAAAATATAGTTTGTATCGATAAAACAAAAAAAAATAAACTTTTTCAGTTATTTATAATTTCTATTCCATTAATAAAGCTTTCTGTACAAATAACTCAATCACGCAAATTTTCAATTATCTAGTAAAGTGAACAAATAAACCCTTTTCAGGTTCAAGTTACCGTTCAATTTTACTAGTTATTTTTACATTTTTAATGCTTTTAGATATGGAGAAGAACGGAGCAAATGGTGAGGCGATCGAGTTATTGAGTAAGTTTTAAAATAAGCTCTTTCAGTAATTAGCGAGACATTTCAATAAATAGCTATTTCATTATCTATTAAAGGTCATTCTCTTTTTTTATCTGGATACGCATTTATGACTGTTCAATAATTAATAATCTTTTTCCATAGGAGGACCACTCTTCAGATCTTTTCTAAAAGATTTTCTTATTAAAGGTTAGAACTTGAACTAAAAATAAAACTATTTAATTTTTTTCCATCGAATTAAACTTACTTTTCATTGTTTATTCATTTTAATAGATCAAATAATGGAAAAAAGACAAGGTAATAATACATTTCTTCATAATCTAATCCCATAGTAACCTTTTTTTATCTGCTGCTGTCACTTTCCTCAGTAAATACCAATAACGAGGAAGTGGATGAAAATTCATTAAGAAGATTCCTTCAAACTATGATAAGAAATGATAAAAGAAGAATATATTATCAATCAAAGGGATCAGGACGCATTCAAAAAGGAAAGTGATGAATTGAATCTTTTATTTATTATTTTCCTTTCAATTTTCTTTATTGCAACATCGACAATCAAAAAAAATACAGGAAAACAAAACCTAAAACCCTATTACCTTTTTACTTATTATCTATCTTTAAAAGGAAAAATGATAAGTTTTACTCCCTAATTTCTCTTTGCACTTTAGTTTTTATTTATATATTGTTTGTATTTGTTTGTCCCTATATCATTCGAAAAAACAAAAAAAGCTATTTAGGCCCGGAATATTGACAATAAAACATTAAAATATATTTTGTAAGCCTATCACTCAGTTAAATATATTTTAGAGTGTCACTAAAAAAACATGAACAGCCTATCCCAAGCTAAAAGCAACTACTATTTGTTTTTATTTTTAACTATTATAACCTAGTTTTTTTATAGTTTATGTCAGGTTTATTAGTATTATGAATTCTAACTTATTTTCTCCTTCATAAAGTACAAAATAATAAATTTTCTCTGGTTCTTTCTTCTTCCATCTTTCTATATGATTATATATATATTAGTATATATACAGTATATACTCTATATACTCTTTTATATATAAATTTATATATATTAATGTTTCTTATAGAGAAAAAATAACAAATTTAAATCTATTTGTAAAAAAAAAGGGAAAAAACTGTAGACCTCATCTAAAATTCAATAATACCATATATTGAATTAAGCAATTTTCGATTGACCTTTTTCGCTTTGACTAAGCTAGTAAAGCAATGCTAATAGCTAAAGAGCAACACCTACGATGTGTATGATATGTTTTTTAATAAAATTATACTTTTTTAAGTAAATATTAACCCAATTTTATTAATTGTTAACTTTTACCACAAAATCTCTTTCCCCATCGTTTTCTTCCTTCTTTACCTTTCTATAATTTTCTATTTAAGTGAATAACGAATTATAGTATTAGCGATTTTCCGAGCATATATTTTACTATTTATATATCTTTACAACTTGTGAACAATATTATTTCTTTTCACCAATATTAATTAGTAAATTATGATAGTTTAATAATGGCTTTGTAACTATTATGTTCTATTGTGGAAATATTTTATGAGAAATAGACGGCCAACTAGTTCAAACACATTTTAAACAAGTTAAAATAACCGACATAGTTCAAATTCTATAACAATGAGTATTTCTAAAAAAAAAGAAAAAAGAAAAGTATTATTGAAAATATTTGTGGGAGTTCTTTGTATCATTTATAACAAAGACACCGGTTCCGCTTTTTTCTAATACCTTACAACCGGTGTCTTACCGGTTTATTCATAAATTAAGAATATTTCGCCTTAGTAGAATAGGGATACTACATTACTTTGGCTGGACTGTTTGAATTCTTTTCTGTTGTTTAACGAATTGGAAACGTTATCGATTGCGCCTTTAAAACTATAATTGCGCATACAATTGATGATATTTCGCAATGGACACAAAAGCTTTAAATGATGGTTATCTTATTGACATTATTGACGATGACTGGCGAAAAGATGTTTTACCGTCGGAGGACATAAATATACCTAGAGAAGATTATATATACAACGATCAAGACAACGAACCTGACCAAGTGATCGAACAAGAAAACACATGGAAAGATAGGGAGATTAGCAATCAAAATCTCAATCGTAATTGAATTATAAATAAGCATGTACATATTGATCAAACAAATTATGCATACACAAGAGATTTTTTTTTTCTTCATATATTGCCTTTTGTAATTTAAATCAATAATAACTTTTTTAAATAAAATTATACAAGTAAACATTTGCTAGTGAAATTCATTTATTTTACATTTACTTAATATCGTTTCGATCTTTCTTTTTATTTAAAAATTTAGTATTTCAATTAACATGCGAAATATCGAATGTTCCTTTTAAATAATAAAACAATAGAATTGTATTTCTTCCTTTTAATTTAAGTATTTAACTCGCCTAGCATTCCTTTCATGTAATGTTTGATTATTATTCATTACTTGTAACATTTTAAATAGACCATACATTTGAAATGAACCGCGGAAAAAAATGCAACTAATTTAGTTCGACAGGTTATTCTCATTTCACGTCTTATAAGTTAAATTAAATCACTAAATAGCTTAAGATATTAACTATCAATACCGACTAAAATATCTATAAGATCGTTAATAATATTATATTTAAGACGTAATAAAATCACCAATAAGAGTCGTAGTAGAATCAAGTAATACGCCAACGGAACTACTTTAAATAATATTGATAGCCATTTTGTTAATGTTAGCTTCGTTCTTTTCAAAGAATACCTGCCATACAGCTTCTCTCCTTGGTTCTCCTCGTCTTGGAACTGTTGCTCTATCTATGGCTTTTAGGAATTCAACGTAAGACATCGCATATAATTTTTTTTCTCAATTCTACCCACGTGTGCTTTGAGAGTAATATTACACGTTGATTTTTTTACAGTAGGAGGAATGGCCCCGGTCAAAATAACTACCATGGGTCCTCCAGCTACTCGTCAAGAGGGAACTCTCGAAACGATTATGGTAATAGAAACTCGAGTAGAGGAAGGTCGAATTTTGGATCGAGCTTTCAAAATCATAGAAGTCGTGGAGATGCTGGCGCCGGCTTGGTAAAGCCCCACTGGGATCTTGCAAAATTAACGAAATTTACGAAAAATTTTTATAGAGAACATCCGAATGTATCGAAAAGAACAGATGTATGTTTTAACTTATACTAATTATTGCCAATTATTTCTAATTACTGACTTTGAATTATAGGAAGAAATGAGAATTTATAGAATGGATAGGAAAATCACTATCAGCGGTGATGATGTACCTAAACCTATCACAACATTTGAAGAAGCCAACTTCCCCGATTATGTTTACGAAACCATTAGAAAAAACAACTGGGAAGAACCAACACCTATACAAGGTCAAGGCTGGCCGATGGCTCTTTGTGGAAGAGATGTCGTTGGTATAGCTCAAACTGGATCAGGGAAAACAGCTGCGTTTATTTTACCTGCTATTGTCCATATCAACCATCAAGAATATCTTAAACCACGTGACGGTCCCATTTGTTTGGTTATAGTTCCTACGAGGGAGCTCGCTCAACAAGTGGCTCAGGTAGCAACAGAGTTTGGTCAAAATTCTCGTGTTAAAAACTGTTGTGTTTATGGTGGCGCTCATAAAGGACTTCAAATACGTGAATTAGAGAAAGGAGTAGAGATCGTCATTGCAACTCCCGGCAGACTGCTGGATTTGCTTGAAATGGGAAAAACCAACTTAAGTCGTTGTACATATTTGGTTTTAGACGAAGCGGATAGAATGTTAGATATGGGATTTGAACCCCAAATAAGAAAAATTGTTGATCAAATAAGACCAGATCGTCAAACATTGATGTGGTCGGCAACTTGGCCATCGGAAGTACAAACGTTAGCCGAAGATTTCCTTAAGAACTACGTTCAAGTAAATGTTGGATCTCTGAATTTGCATGCAAACCATAATATTCATCAAATAGTCGACATTTGTCAAGAGCATGAAAAGGAATTTAAGCTTATTAAGCTCCTACAAGAAATTATGCAAGAAAAGGAAAACAAGACAATTATATTTGTGGAAACGAAGCGAAAATGCGACGATATTGTTAAAAGAATGAAGAGAGACGGCTGGCCCGTTATTGCAATACATGGAGATAAATCTCAAAATGAGCGCGATTGGGTTTTACAAGAATTCCGAACTAGTAAATCTCCTATATTAGTTGCTACAGACGTAGCATCTCGTGGCTTGGGTAAGTTATATTACATTTGGCGAATTAAAAATGGACAACAGTGGTTATCATACAATATTTTACATACACTTTTATTTTATGTATCATTCTTAAAAAATTTTAAAAAAAAAGTAGGATCTTTGGAAAAAAATTCCGTACTAATTTTTATTTGTATTACATTAAACAGGTTCCGAACGACGGCTATTACCAGCAGTTGGTTGATCATGACGAAGCCAGACTAGCTGCACAAAAAACAAAAATTATACGCAGTTGGTTCTGATGATTATGACACTAGCTGCTAGATTGATGTGCCGTCGACACACAGTGTTCGTCAGCTAGGTTGGAAAAATTTCTTGATTTTTTTTTCCATTTTGACCTGTCAAAATTTGGGCGGGCGCTGTGTCGGAACTTTTGAATCGTATGAAATTAGATTAAAAAAAAGCAGACTCATTTCTTATTGTGTTCAGATGTTGACGACATTAAATATGTCATCAATTTCGACTATCCAAATTGTTCGGAGGATTACGTTCATCGAATTGGCAGAACTGCTAGGGCCGAGAAGACAGGCACGGCTTATACATTTTTTACCTTCGATAATATGAAACAAGCAAAAGATTTAATAGATGTTTTAAAGGAGGCGAATCAAGAGGTTTTTTTAAATACTCATTAAACCCTTGAACATTGTTAATTAATTAGTTTCTTTTTTAAACTTTGAAGATTGATCCCAAATTGGAGCAAGTAGCCCTGATGGCAAAAGATTTTAACTCTAATAGAAGAAAGAGGTGGAGAGATAAAAGAAAGGATGATAACGATTCCTACGGCATTTCCAAGAGACCTAGAATTTCCAAAGATTATCAACAAGGCAACGACTTCAGAAAATTCAATACCAGACCTCCATATCAGCAGAATAGAGGTGCTACGGCAAGAAAAAGACCCACTTATGGAAACCAGACGAATGGATACGATCGCTACAGCCAAACGCAGTATGGACCACCTCCGCCACCAGTCTTGAATAATCAAACAGTAAACAATCATAACAACCCGTTGATGGGGCCACCACCTCCACCGCCACCACCACAACAATCTGCTCAAGCACCTCACAATACAACAAGTTATGGAGGTTATTACGCACCACCACCTCCACCTAGTCAGTGGAATGGACAGCAGTAAAGAAGAAATTACTAGACTTATTTTTGAATATTGTTGTAATGTTTATTCCTTGTAGGTTATTGTTTATGAGAATTAAGTATTTCTTTAGTTAACTGTCAGAAGTGCAGTATAGTAAATTCAGGCATATGACTTTCATATGATTAAAACAGAATTGAAAAAATGTGTCAGATTTTTTTTATCTTATAAACCTTCAATACGTGAGAACAAGTAATCGTGTCAAATTCTCGTATATTATTAATAAGTTCAATAAATGATTATATGCCTTTTCGGGCTCTAAAAATTCTACCTATTCACCAACAAAGGCAAACGGTAGGGGTAAATTTTTAATCTCGGTGTCAGCAGGCCTCCTCTCAGTAAACCTCATCGAAAAGGCGCTCACCCCAAGACAAAGACGGTTAAAATACGATTTTATGAATCAATTACGTATATATGAAAAAAAAGGAAATATCTGCAAATCAACCTCATTTGCATGTTACGCTTTAACATGTGTAACTCACCGTAGAAAACTACGCCGTGTATTTTGTACAACGACCGCGATACTCATTAAGATACGTCAAGGTCAATTTTAGTGTGCTTTAACGAAAATAAATATACATTTAATATTGATATCATTGGAAAAGTCTATTTATCTTAAAATAAGATTATCATCATAATGATTATTCCTTTAAGAAAAGAGTCTCTGCAACAGCTTTTATCTTGTTTGTGTCAGATTTATATATAGATATATATAAGAAAAAAAATCGACTATTTCCTTAGTCTACTATAATACTAAATGGTAAAATTGAAATGTGGCTGAGTACTTTGTTACCTTGAAAAGATGGAAACAAGGTGATGAAAATTTTATCAATTGAAAAAAAAAAGAAAAACAATTATTAAAGGAAGAAAGATAGAGGAAATAGACAATATGATTGGTTCTTTTTCCTTATTGTTTCGTTTTTTAATCTTCTTCCGCTGGTTCGACATAATTGTGTATTACGTGGTGAAGTGGTAGATAATTGTGAAAATGACGAATTTTATCCTTAGTTTCGCTTAGATATTGATCAATTGGTATTTTAAAATCTTTTGGAGGTACAATTATTGTTGGTGAACCTAATTCTGGTTTGAAAGGTCTCCATATTAAAGTTTGACAATTATTCGCATTTGGTGGATTTAAAGCTGAACGTGAAATTTTTACCGCTTCTTTTAATAGTTCTGGCTGATCTTGATAATATGGTCCAACTAACGATGCTTGCCTCTTTTCGGGATTAACGTCAATTTCAATTTCCATATGCCAAGCTATTGTTTTGATAACGTGAATTTTAGAATTAATCCTCAAAGCCAAAGAAGTTAGGAAATGCTGCTTTCTATAGATATGCTGTAATCTAGGTTGTTTACCCCAAGTATGCTCAGGTATATACCAAGTAACATTGGGGAAAAAATTATCGTCCATTACCACAGTAACTTCTGTTGGCTTTGTAGTTGGACCACGAATAGTTTTCATTTCTGTCTTTGCACCATACCATGGATAATGTTTACCATCAGAATCCGATATCATTGCTATCGATCGACCTTTTCTAGCCGAAATTCGACGCATCTCTGTATCTAATTCCGGAAATTCCCAACTTGTCCTATATTAAACAACTTTTCTATTATAGATATACAAATATATCGTTAAAAATTTATAAATACAGACACTCCAATATTATCGTAGGTGTTTAAAAATATCATATCAGTACACGTCTGAATCCAACCGATTTGAACGGCAACCTCACTTTCGATACAAGGAATTTGAACTGTAGCCCTAGCTCTTTTTTTTTTAAAGAAAAAAAAATATATTAAAAAGTAATTAGAATTTTAAATGACCCAAGAAAAGGGAGATATTTTTTACTCAAAATGAGGCGTTCGATATTTAAGGACGGCTGGTGATTTGGTATCAATTTTAGTTGGTTTTTCTTCAATTGTGGCTGTTAACTTGATTAAATGTATATGCGGAATTGTCCAATCAGAGATTACAGGTGAAGGATTAATAATATATTTATCAAAATTCTTTATACTATTTGTAGTACTATGTTTTTTCTTATTAATACTTCTAGATCTTCTGTTATTGTTATTATTTCTATCATTTTCATTCATAGTTCCCATTGTTCTTCTCATGCTTTTTAGTGATTCTTTCTTCTTTTTCCTTTATTGTATTGTTTTTCTGTTTTTTTTTAGGTCTTTTTTGTGTTTTAGGTTCAAATCGACGCTTTTAAACAATCAAAAATATCTAACGTTTTTTAATAGGTTATTTTACTTTATTAATTTATTAACTAATTTCTGATGGAAAATTATAGATCATTCGTTTTTTTGCTGTGCTTAGGCTCTCTTACCTTTTTTATGTTTTTATTTAAAATTAATATTAACCGTCATTTTTTAAATACAAAATATTTAACAAATAGAGTTTTAGGCCTAAATTATTTTTTTAAAGTTGATCTAGCAACTGGATTTGTCGTTTGTAAAACTTTACGGGATAAACGCATTTTGCCATCGGCTGGATCTCTTCCGAAATATTTAACTTTAATCTCTTGTCCAACTTCTAGACCGAGAGCCGATGGATGCTGAACTCTTTTTTGATCCAATTGCGATACATGTATTAAAGATGGTTGCATAGTTTCGTATAATTTAACCATAACGCCGTAATCTCTTATTTCAACAATAGAAGCGTCATAAATTGCTCCGAACTCTAGTGTAATCTCTTTCTGTTAAATAGATTATAATAGCTATGAGCAATAAATCAATCAACTAATAAAAAAAAGTATTAACCTCATCTTGCAACAATTCATCAATTTTTTCTCTAGCTTCATTGAAACTATCAGAATTTGGAGCGAATATATTAAATTTAGTATCGTCGATTTGCGTGATTGAAACTCCTGTATCAAGTAATATCCTTTTAAGATTAAAGCCTCCAGCTCCAAGAAATTTCGCTCTTTTTTGGAGTGGAACTTCGATTTCTTCTACGACTGGTCTATTTGATTTTGGTTCGCTTGGATTTGGTAATACAGCATTCATTTTATCTAAAATTTTCTTCTTTGCCTGCATTCCTTTTTGGATGGCTTCCATCATAATTTTCAAAGGCACTCCTGGAATTTTAATATCGGCTTGTATTGCCGTAACACCCTGCTTTGTGCCAGCTAATTTAAAGTCCATATCACCCATGTAATCTTCAATACCCTGTTTGTTTGAAAGTTGAATTCAGAATTCGTCAAATTTGATATTAAAAAAAAATATTCTGAGCCAACCAATAAATCTGTTAGAACTCTATAATCATCATCCTTTGTCATAAGTCCAATAGCAACTCCTGCTGCTGCTTCGTCGATAGGGACTCCAGCATCATACAATGCAAGACTTCCAGCGCAAACCGAAGCCATAGAGGAGGATCCATTAGATTCAAGTACTTCTGCAGATAATCTTAAGGTGAAAGGAAAATTTGACGGAATGAGCGGTCTCAACGCTCTTTCTGCTAAAGCGCCATGTCCAATTTCTCTCCTTCCCCAATTTAACCTTCCAACCTCGTTCGTAGCATATGGAGGAAACTATATATATATATAGAGAGAGAGATTGAGAATAAATTTCAAAGAAATAAAATATTCAAAGAGTATCTTACTTCATAATGAAGAAAAAAATTCTTTTCCTTAATTCCCCTATTAATATTATTTATTACATAAAAGAATTAAATTAATCATTGATAAAACTCTTACTCTGTCAAAGCGGAAATAGTATCAATCTTTGCCGCAGACAAGGGAGAATCAAAGGTTAGTGTACACAGAACCTGAGTTTGACCTCTTTGAAATAATGCTGAACCGTGTAAAGGGTTATATAAACCAGTTTCGCAAGATATATTTCTTAAATCGTCAAGACCACGTCCATCGCATCTAATAAATTAATTAATTATCTTAAGGCGATTAGTAAAATTAATTAAAACTTCTTACCTTATATTTGTTTCGAATATTAATGACCTAAATATGGCTTTTACTAAATTATTCAGTTCTTCTTGAATTTTAGACGGCGATAAATCAGGATAAACAGCTGAGATAAATAAATAAATAAATATATATATATATATTTAGTTTATTTATTAAAAGTGGTAAATTAATTGTCATAAAAACCTAATAAAGTCTCTGAAACATTTTGACGTATTTCGCTTAAGGCGTTGTCTCTTGAGAATTTGTGATGTTCAAAGTTTGTTAAGACTTGTCTTATTTTTTCATTTGCTAATCTATTTTTAAATGAAACGTTTTAAAACAGTTTTAATATTATAAATTACAAATATTTACTCATTCATTTTCTGTTTTATCTCATCTGTAAACTCTTGAGTTTCCATTAATTTCTCTTCAATTATCTCTCTTTTCGGTTTACCACATTTCTGGCATAGTTGATTAATAGAATTAATTATTGATTGAGATGATTTAACGCCTTTTTTTATTGCATGCTGAATGGTTTGCTGGTCAATATTTTCGGCGCTACCCTCTATCATAACTGTATTAAGTTAAATAATATATCATACAAACGACCACTTCGCTAAATATGAATAAATTTAGGTTAATAGAATCTACGAACCAACTTTAGAATCTTTTGCAGCAGTAACAACTAGATTTAAATTACTTGATTTCAATTGTTTTCTTGTAGGATTTAGAACTATTTCATTATTTATCACTCCAACTCTTGTTGAACCGATTGGTCCGTCCCAGGGAATATCAGATAAGGCTAATGCTGCCGAAGCTAATATAAATGACAATGGTGATACGGTTTTATTTTCTTTATGCCTCTAATTTTAAATGAGGGTGTAAAGCTAACCTGCATTTATACTTATAACATCTGGATCGTGATCGTGATCAACGGCTAATAGATTACACATAACCTATAGTTTAAAAAGAAACAATGAATTTCCATCCTTAACAATATATTGTCACAACAAACTTGAGTTTCGTAAAAGAAATTATTTGGAAATAGAGGCCGAATCGATCGATCTATAAAGTTTATAAAAAGTGAACTAATATACATACAATTGTTAAAAATGATTATAATTTTATTTACCAATAAGTCTGCTTATTAATATTTCTTTTTCGCTTGGTGCCAAATCTCTTCTTAAAAAATTAGTTGGAATTCTTCCAGCTGCAGCAGTTTTTTGACGATAATCCACCTAAAAATTAAAACTATTGTTAGAGTATATTTCAAAGTAATAATAAACAATTTTTAATTTACTGTTAGGGGCATGAAAGATAACTTTGAAGCTTGTTTTCTGCTTACTGTAGTGACCATTACTGATGTATTACCAACCTAAAGTTATTGTAACAAAATGTGATTACAATAAATCAAAGTATTTTTAAATTTTATACATTTCCAACTGCACAACCGTCGGAGAATCGTGCAAATTTACCAGTAGATAAATTTAAGGACCTACGAAAAAAAAGATATCAACGAAATTCAACTTATAGTTTAATACAAACTCATCTCCTATTGGAATATTTACTGATGAGGAGGACGATGAATCTAGCCATGGATTATTATTTGAATAATAGCATTTTGAAATACATTGAATAGCTTTAAAACGTTTAATGCGTGTGTATGTTCCATTAAACGATAAAAGATGAATTCGGCAATGCATGGCCTACACTATTAAACAATAGATGACACTAGTGGCATCTTTATACAAAAAAAGAACATAAACAAAAAGTTGAACAATCCGTAACATTTTATTCTTTTAAAAAAAAACACAGAAATTTGTAAAAGCATTCACTTGTCAAAATATCCTTGAAAAAAATGATCTATTTGATACCATTCATCAATTTTGCAATTATCGTCTGGTCTGGACGTTTGTTCAACAATTTCTGGTTGTTCGAAAGGTTCCACACCGGAAATGTTCAGATCGAATCTTTTAGAAAAGCTAACATTTTCTCCAATAGTAGCATTACATTTAATGTTGACATTATAAAGAACATTTCCTTTTGTAGGTAATTTAAAATTTTGTTTAAATATAAGACTATCTCTAATATCAGATGAAAATTTGCTTGCAGGCGGCACTTTTATGAAAATAAACATTCTTTGTTTTCTCTTTGGTTGTATAGCTCCGTTTAGAAAATCTTGTTGGAAAAGCGATTTAAAAAACTCCATACGGGATTTTGTTGCCGGTAAAACGTGTCCTTCGAAAAAGTCGATAGGAAAGTTAACAACAAAGCATTCGTTGCAAAAGTTAGGTGATGATCCAAGTAGTATAGCTACTGAGCTTATATGACAACTATGAATAAATAATTTATCTAAATAAGATCCTAGACGTTGTAATGAATTTGCAGCAATTTTAATATGTTCTCTCTTTATGTTTAGCTTCTTACTTTCGGTATTCTGTTCAAATAGTTTGTTATAGTTAAAAACATTTGATCATTGATTAGAGCACTAACCTTATCCGGCATCTTCAGCAGTTGAGTATGTGGCATAGATATTTGCTCTCGAACGTAAAGTAGATGATAGACGAATTCAGATAATAATTTACCTCTATCCGATTCAAGGAGAATTCCGTCTAAAGTAATATCTATTGCTTTTTGAGTGCATTTTTCTGATTTTAATTTTCCTAATTTTAAAAGCAACGCCATTTTTACATTTCAGCTGGTCACCAGTTCCGTACTTGAAATAGCTCTATATTTTGAAAAATAATAAACGCTTATAGCCACAGAACCAGACTATTCCACAAGTTAGTTAGGTTCAAATTTGATGGCCTATATCTTTTGACCGCGATATTGAACTGACAGGCGCCTTATCTTAAATACACGAATTTTAACCGGTTAGTTTGATGAGTGACTGTTGTCACATCGATTGAGTGAAAGTTTTCCTTAAAGGTTTTAATTTGCCAGCTTCCTGACAATCATTAATTACGCAATGAGTTCTTTTGATTCAAACAGAACCTGCCTTTGAAATACGAGCAGTCAAGTGGAGGTATATCAGATAACATTTGGGTTTATTCTAACAAAGATCAACTTATTTAACAACATTTTGAGCTAAATATACTAATTCTTTGAGTAGCAAAATTTAATAAGGACGGAACTTTCGTTCCTGCCTCATTTTATGAACTTTTCTTTTGTCTTCCTCGAATTTCTCTTTCAGCTTCGATAATTCTATTTGATTATTCAAAAATTAAAAACATTTAAAATTAAAATTTTGAATTTATAACATCCAACTTACGTTCTTCTTTCTCCTTCGTCCATTGGAAAGAGTAAAATTTTAAGAGTTCCTGGTTTCCCTTCTTTTTTTTCTCTTTTAATAAGGCTCGCTTTTCATGAGCTTCCGTTCTAGGAGTGCCTTTCGTCTTTCCATGACGAGTAACTGTAACCCATCCTCCATCGTCAGGCTCTCCATCCATTTCTTTCTCTCTTTTAACTTGCTGTTAATTGTTAGGTTAAATTAGTTAGCAGCGCGACTTTTTGCATGCTTTTGTTTATCTTTAAGAAGACTTACTTCCGCAATTTTAGTATCATAATCTTTCATATACTTTGTAATTTCTTCTTGAAGGTCTGTTATATTAATATTGAATTGATCTTTTTTCTCCTCAGCTAGTCCTAGTTGTAAAATATCTTATTTTAAAAACAATGATAAATAATTGTCTCAAATACCGACGTTGTTTAAATCCTTTAAATGGGCATTTTTCGGTTGATAATGACTGACTTTTAGTTGATGATAAACTCAAAGCGTTTTTTAATGCTTTAGTATTATGAAAGATAACGTAGGCTACTTTATAACCCTGCAGATTTCAGAAGACAAAATAATATATTTATTTCATCAAATGATTGTTCAGTTTTGAGAAAACTACCTCTGGTGGAGATGTCTTATTAAAGTATTTTCCGCCTTCAGTAACATCGGCACTCGAAGGCTTCGATTGAATTATAACTCTTGTTATTTTTCCACATCTCTCGAAAAAATTGAAAATATGATTCTAGAGTGAATAAATAAGATAATTAGCAAAATATACTTTATGTATTATTTAAAGAATACCTTATCTGCGTACGGAGGAACATTAAGTACTATAAGAGTTTTTTTTAATGGTTTCAAACTGCTGGGATTTTCAACATTGTGTTCTTTTATATAAAAGTAGTGAAGTATTTTACTTTTAGCAGTTGTTGTCCATGGTATGGCTATTGATCAACATAATATCGCTCAATGAAGTTAAACATCAGCTTGTAAAGTAATTGGTTTAAATAAGAGATTTTCAAATAAATTAATTCTAAATACACATTTTTCTCATATATATTGTTTAAAAACCCTTTAAGGAAAAACCTTGAAATCCTTCTATTTCTATCAAATCACGTTGATCCATGTTTTTCAAAACCGATTTGCAGTAGTGACATCTACAGTAGTTAAGTTTTACCATTGCAAAGTGTAAATCAAAATTATTGACAAGGTTATTTATTCAAAGTAGAGTGAAAGATGACTGTTGAATATTTTTATTCATAAATCTATTAATGGCTCCTTTTTTGTAAACATTAGTTATTGCGTTCATTATTTATATGAGAAAGACACAAGAGATCAAGTTTTAGAAAGAAACTTTTGAAGAAAAGAAGAATAAACATTTCATCTGTAAAACAAATAATTTGCGATATTGATTATACACTAAATTGTAAAAAAAAACTGAGTTATAGAATACAAAAACTTGGTAAAAGTAAGATTTCCTTTTGCTGAGAATATTCTAATAGTTAATCTATAACTTCTACATAGTTTGAGGGGAACATTCCCCTTTGTCCGTTTGGTGCCTTTCCAACCCACCAGCCGTCATAATCTTGTGATACCATTGTTATAATATCTCCTGGATCAAACGATATTTCTCCTTCTTCGGTTGCTTGATAATCATAGAGAGCTTTGACTTTTAGGCCTTGGCTTGCTTCTTGAGAAGCAGGTTTAGGTTCATTTGAGACTTGAGCAGCTTCATATTCATTATCAGCTGGGGTTGTTTTATATTCTGGTGTAAACGTGTCTTCATACAACTCTTCTGGTTGAATCTCTGGCTGCGGCTCTGGAATAGATTGTCTTACTGGTTCAGGCTCTGGCTCTGGCTCCGGAATGGATCGTCGTACTGGTTCAGATTCTTGAACAGGAGGTCTCATAGGTGCCCTTAATGGCTCAGATGCTGGAGCCGGAGGTCTCATTGGGGCTCTCATGGGTTCAAATCCTTGGGCAGATGGTCGTATTGGTTCTTTTTCTAGATCAGTTTCTTCTAACCCAGGTTCCCAACACTCCTCAGGTTTAGGAGAAGAGTCCTGTCTCTGATACGAAGAAGTATCTGCACTTGGCTGATTATAAGTAGTCTGTGTGGCTGGTGCATTTGTATTTTCATCTGTGTTAGACGACTGAAAAGATCTTTGACTTATTAATCTTCTTGCTTCATCGGTTCTTTCTTGTTGCATTCTTTTAGCTCGGCTAGCTCTTTCTTGTTCATCGTCTTGGTCAATGGAGGAAATTCGTAGTCTCCTAATTTCTTCTGCAACTGAAATGGGTTTTTCCCTGTTGGTAAAAGTTTTCATTTTTTCAGCTATTTGCTTTTCTCTGATGTGGGTTTCCCGTTCTTCTCTTTCTTTTCTCTCTCTTTCTAAAGCTTCTCTTTCCTGCTGGACTCTTTTGATCTCTTCTGCTTTTCTCCTCTCTTCTTCTAACTGCTGATTATGCCAAAATGCATCTCTTACATTAGTTCTAATTTCTTGATTTGGTCTTATTTTCGTATAATTAGTGCCAACAGGACCACTTGGTTCTTCAACAAATTTTGCATCACTACGACGAAAAGAAGAAACTGAACTTTTAGCAACTTTAGCAAGAATAGCATCCTCCTCAATATCTTCTTCGTTTCTCGCATTAATTGAAACGTGAGCACCTCGTAAAACAGCTGATATATCTCTAACATGATTCGCACAGGATCCTGAAATTGTCAAATATAGAGTTTTTATTTGGGATTAACTCCCATTTGATTTGGACAATTAACCGTTGCAAATAAATAGTGCAACGGAGTAATAGAAATTATATTGTTCTTATCTCTGTCATTTGTGATTAATTGAAAAAGAGAGCATTAAAAAAGTCGTGAAGTATAAATTTAGCTTTTTTGATAAGTCTATTTATCACAGATTCTTACTGGTAGAAAGAACATTATGTTCTGGTAAATAAAACTTATACTACTAACTAAATTTTATCGCTTTATCGCTCACTCATAAGCTTTCATTTCAGATAAACTAACGGATGCTTTGTACGTTTTACATATTTTGAAGTGAACTGATTAGGACAGTCTTGTACGCAACTTAATCACTATTGCTTAAGAGATAATCTTTGTGAATGATTAAATACATCTTGTATATAAACCTTTTAAGGCATCCGGGGCCCCTTCACCTTGCCAGTTTATGAAAACAAACTTAGGTAAGTCGCTATTGGGATCTTGAACTCTGATATATACATATTGAATTCTTCCACTATTCAAATCTTCTGCCATTTCTTCAAATCCACCACTACCACTTGCATCCACTTTAAGTATGCTAGTTTTACCTTCATATCCATATATTACCCAGTCAGTACCAGAGTTTACATCACAAACCTTTTTGTAAGCTTCTTCAATTGAATTTTTGTTGGTTCTCAAATCCACCGGCGCCATCGTGCTAGTTTTTAAGAAACTTCCTTTTGTACAAATAAATTTCGTGTGATCCCGTTGATCGCACAGGTTTACCTACTAATAAATATGAGCAATGACGAGGGTGTCGATGACTAATAAAATATAATAGTGAACCAGTTTAATTTTTACCGCCAAAACAAGTAAAAAAACCGCTCATTTTTTGAAATTAACAAAAAAGAAATTCTCCCCGAATATTTAAAGTTAAACTTCTTATCGGTTGACATCTTCGACAATTCACTGAAGAGATTGATCACGTGATGAAAATTGACAATTTCTTTTTCCCAAATGTTTATTCATATTTTTTGATGTATATTTATATATAAATAAATAGATCAGAGAACAAACTTAATATCTTACTACTTGCTTAAAAATTATGTTAAATAGGCAGAGCAAGAGTTATCTAAATATTTTTCTCTTTTACTTGACATGTACAAAAATTATATTGAAAACGTAACAACTTTTCTTTTACATTTTCTACAAAGTTATTGGTCGACCAGTTGGTGAATTAGGGAAATGTTGTCACCTTTCAGAAGTATTCTCCCTATAGATGCAAAAATGAGAAAAAAGTAGTTTTGAAATATATTATACCTAATGCTTTTCGTGTCTTTGTTTTTAGATGAATTTCTTCTGCACTATCCAATACCAAATTCATGTATTCGTCGAATCCTATGATACAACCTTCAAGTTTAGTATTAGCTTGTTCATACAGCCAAACCGATACTCTAGCTCTCTGTAAAAAGTTTTCACAAAATATTAATATTAAGAATATTTAAAGGAAAATTCTATTAAACTTACACTTTGCAGATATCGAAAAATAAGATTCTGTAAGGACGATAATAAGAAAATTAATGCAAAGTTGATTTTTGTTATTTATTTTAATCATAGCTTACGATGGGCTGAACCATCATCTTCTGGACTTTGCCTCCACCTTTATAAGACATATTAGCTAGGTGTTTTTAGGATGAAATAAAGACAATTTAAATCGATTAGACGTCGGATGGCGGTATATATACCCGTAAACGTTCAGACTACTATTACTCGAAATGTACAACTCCAAATCAGCGCATGCGTACTTTACAAAATAGTATCGAATATTGTCGCCACCTATTGGAACAACATTGAACAAGCATTGAAATCGAACAAGCTATGGCTAGATGTATTCATAATTCAATCTCGTTTGACTAGTATTGAATACTAGAAGTATGAAGGTGCACTGTTATCTTTTTGGGATTTTTGCAGTACTTACATCTTTGGCTCTCTGCAATGGCCACTTTGAAGATCATAATAAAGTAACATTAGATGAAGTCCAACAGAATCCGATGGATTCTAGAATTTTTCACGATGAAGAGTATATATGATTACATTTTATCTTAAAGATTTCTTTGTGACGTGTCCTTTTCAACAGACATGTGAGAGATCATTTGAAAGATGCAAAGCTTGCCGATGAAAAGATTTCAGATGAAGAAATTGAATTTCACATTTTCGAACAGCACGATAGTGATCACAATTTGGCCTTAGATGGAATTGAATTCCGACAGATATTTTTACATTACTTTCATAATGAAACTATGTCTACAGTAGAATATCACAATCTATTAAAATCAGTGCATAGTAAGACATGATAGTAAATTTTATTTCCTGGTCTTCTTTAATGTAGTCGTTTTTATAGGAATCGTTGACATCTGCCTAAATTCATTTGATCGAGATAACGACGGATTTCTGCAATATCATGAGTACAGAAAGGCTACATTGGCGATAAATAATGTAGTTACTGAAGAATTGTCGAAAGCGAAAAATTAGTCTTGTGCATCTTTTTTTTTAATGATTGGTGAAAAAAATATAAGAATCATGTTAAAATGTTTTGAAATAAACTTTGAACAACATAAAAGGCGAGTATTTTGATCGCTAGACAAACTGATTTTTAAGTCTTCCTACCAAACTTCTTCTTAATTGAAGATGTTTTTTGAATTGATGATGTCGAATCACTGGTAATAGGTACTTCAGGCATTTTAGAACGTTGAGTTTCAATTCGATTCGACTGAAATTTATGTAACAAAGCGAAGAAGTCTTCATCGGGGACTGTCGGAGCCAAAGGTCTCGTTGGTAGTTCTGAACGCTGTTCTTCAATTCTCGAGCCTTGACATCTCATTAGATTGTCGAAAAAGTCATCGTCCGGAAGAGAATTTTTGCGGACGGCTGGTATACCATTCAAACCATCTGAATCTTCTCTTTCCAAAACATCACTTCGAACTGTTTATTAATAAAAAACTCATTATTCTTGCAATGAAAGGCGTTTTAGTACTTTCGGGTTAGAATAAAACGTGCCCAAGTGCAATAAATGTGATAGGGGTAATAAAAATTTGTTCACAACAGGTAAATATAACACCTGAAGGGGGTAAATCACTTCTTTGTTCGTTCATTCGACAACTTTGCAAACCTTCAACTAGGTTTAGAAACGCTTCCTCCATTTCACCATCTAACGTTTTATAAACATGCAATTTTTGATGAACGAGACACAAGCGTTTAAAAAGACTTATTTTAGTTTATACTTAAAATTTTTAATTATTTACCTGTAGAAACTCTACTAGCATCAAAACGTTGATCATCTATTCTACGAGAACTAGCCTCTAACAGTTTCTCGAAAAGCTCTTCGTCGCAAGGTTGCAGCTAGAGGATTAAATCAAAGGATTACTCTCAGTTTTTGCTTATTGTTAGTATTTTCTCCTTACCTTTGTATCGCCATCACTTTCGTTAGCTTGCTTTTTCTAAGTAGAGAAAATAAAAAAAAACGAGAATGAACATTATTTTTTTTTACAGCATTTTATTAACAGTTCTTAAAGATTGTTGATATTTAGCTTATTTGATTGATGCACTCTATTAGGTATACCTGATCAGGTGTAAGCTTTAACAGCTGTAAGTTCTCCATACTGTTTCTTCTGATTTGTTCTCGACGTTTATGCTCAATTTTCTCACAGTTACTATCACTATGTTATAATAAAAAATAGATAAAAATGAAACAGTATTGTCATGAAAATTATTTATTAAAAATCATTACACTTTTATTACTTACTTTGTTGTTATTAAATTTTTCAGGTCAGCTATGTTAGAATTAGCTGTAGTTTGCCCGACAGTGTCTCCAATTTCTTGGGATATTTTCAAGTGTCTGTTTGCATATTCTAGAGCTTGTGTGTTTTCACCCAAAGCTGCATATGCATTGCCTAAACTCCAGCATGCTCTGCCAACACCAACTTGATCATTCAATTGCTGGGCTATAGTCAAATGCTGAACATGATATTCTATAGCTCTTTCGTATTGTCTCATTAGAGTGTAAGTATTTCCCAAGCTATAACAGGCTTGAGCTTCTAGAGCTTTTTCACCAAGCTCTTTAGCAACTTGAAGACATTTGCTAAATGAAGAGAAAATATTTCATTTCTAACCTGATAGTGGATTTATTGAATTAAAGATAATACATACTTATAATATTCAGATGCTTGAGTAAAATGACCCAAGAAAATATGAGCATTACCCAAGTTACTGTAAGCTCTTCTTTCAGCTGCCTTATCGCCAAATTCTTTTGCTATAGCCAATCTCTATTTCGATATAAGTGTTTTAGGTTAGTAAGGCAATAAAAAGGCGAAGAATATCGTTTTTCTCCCACCTGTTCGTGGTATTTCATGGCTTCACCGAAGTTTCCCAGTAAATAATGTGTATTACCTAAATTTCCACAAGCTCTTCCTTCTGCCGCACGATCCGGCTTAGGTAGCTTTCTTAGAACGGATAAGTTCTCTCTGTTAAGCACAAAAAAATAAACCAAACGCCTTGACTCGTGTGTAGTTATTATAATTCTCAGCTTTTAAAGAACTATTATGTCACTCTTGTGTTAGCGTTCATAATAGAACTGTGTTAATTGGAGATTGATTGTCTACATACTCGTAATACTTTGCAGCACGGGTTAAGCTTTCTTTAACTTCTAAGGGAAAGTGACCGGGATCGTGTGTGTTGTTTCTTCCATCATGCTTGCCTTTGGCATGTAGAACATTACCGAGATTGTAAAGTGCTCTGGCCTCTCCTTCCAAGTTGCCTTCCTCTCTTTAATATAAAAAAGAACATAACATTGAATCTACTTCAATCAATAGTTGGTGAGGTAAAAAGAAAAAATGTACATATTATGAAAAATAAAGTAATATAAAATATTTAACAAATAGGATTAATGATATAATTTAAGGGTTTTTGTTAGCAAACTGTAAAAGGTTACCGGCAAATATCTCGATGCTTTTCGCAGCAGGCAATAGCTTCATCAAACTGTCCAAGAACTTTTAAGGTATTACCCAAATTTCCACTCGCTTTTGCTACACCCAACTTATCGCCCATTGTTCTAAAAACGGTTAGCAGGTAAGTGAGGATTATTCGAAGCTAGAAACATCTTTATTTTAAATATTTGCTCTGTGTATAAGCTCCCTTTAACCACATAGACAAACAGATACATATTCATATATTTACATACATATATGTCCATGCGGAGAAAAATGTTCGGGCATATATTGTCTGATCGATTACAAATATAAAACATAGTGTAATTGGTAATGTGTTGCTGTGTTTCATGATAGAATAGCAAAGTAAGCACAAAGTACTTTCTAAAGTGGTTATGTGATCGATGACTATTCCTTCTTCCATTAAATCCTTATAATTTCTTCTAAAGACCCTTTATATACAAGTTAATATTTCTAAAATTTTACATAACCACTTATACAAACGCCTTTAAAAGATCACCGTTAGATAGTGAATGACCGAACAACAGTTTCTATTTGTATAAGCATACGCTTAAAATCGGAAGTACGATAAGCATTTATGTAAATTAAAAAGTTTCGTAAACAAACCTGGCTAGTTGCAGGTCGAGTTTATGATATTGAAATGCCTTGGTATAATTTTGGAGATAAAAATAAGCATTGCCCATTTGACTGTAAATCGCACTAAGAACTCGCTTATCTTCTGTTCCTGCGTCGATCGCCTTCAAAAAATATTCGATGCCCTTTTGGCATTGGCCTAATTTGCATAAGCGCTCGCCTTCCACTGCCCATTCTATACATGTCTTTTGGTCCTCCATCTTTATGGACCAGTAGCTTTACAGCTCTTTACTTTCCAGCGATTCTCTTTTCCGGTTCGATCTGCAAATATTATACATGTATTAAACGGATGTTTGGATGATATATTTCTCAAATAGGAAAGGATAACATGATATATCCAACCGTTTCAGTCTTCAATGCAGAGTGACAAGTAAAACTTTAGGCGAAACGTTGCTTGGTGATATTCCAAAAATAGACTAACTTTTATGCAGAAAAAAGCATTGTGTTTAGCGAAAAAATCAATGTTTTGTCGAGCTTACTTCGCCGCTAATCAATTCATTCAAAATAAAAATTGTTCGCTTTCCTTGAAAGATGGATGCAATGTCCGTTAAAATTGGGTTACGTGCTCCCCATCACAAACAATACAGCACGCTCCTTACTCGAATTACCAGTCATATAAATTTTCGAATACAGCTTAAATCTCTAAATGTAATAGACTTTCCTAAGTGACAAATATAAATTACAAAAAGCGAAATAAACGAATTTCAAAGTTTTCAAGTTAATAAATAAACATCGAGCGTTCTTTTTTCCCCACAAAGGAATGAAGAAATCGATCGAATTCTGAGACAATAATAAGTAAACGCTTCTTTCTATTTTAAAGTATTTTTATTAAGAAAATTATGAAATTATAAAACAGACGACCACTTTTTAAAATTTGATTAAGTGAATAATGTTTATAAATTACTGTTACAAAATAATCTTAGGTTATTATACATATCTTTAATTAAAAAATATGGCCTTTTTTTTAGCTAAGTAATAAAAAAATATGAGAAGATTAATTAAAAAAAATGTACATAAATAGGTCAAAGAAATATTGTGCATTGTGAAGAAAGTATTAATCTTGTAATTTCCATAAGTCATTAACCATTTGATATTTTCTTGATTGTTGATTTGGAAAGATTTCATTTGGTGATTTTAATAAAATCTTTACACCACGTAGGATATGATCTTCAAAGTCAGGAAGTTCTTGATTGGGACTAGTTGATAAATAACGTCTAATACATTTTTTTGGCCATGATAATACACGTATTAAGCTGTCATCTGTACTCCAGGAAAAAGGATCAATAATCATTTCACCAGTTTCCGTGTTGTAAATATTCTAGTTAATGAGAAAGAAAGGATAGTTCGTTATCAATACAATATATGGTGTTTCATTTATACGTATTTATAATTAGATTACCGCTGGTGTATGCACTTTGAAATGCTTAGCTGTTCTAAGATCAATATCTGGTTCTTTATTTTGAAAAGTTGCCGGCATTATCTTCCCACTTTTCAAGTCCACAAATGCACCGTACACTATTGGATAATGGATTTCATCTTTGATACAATCATTTAAAGGTGTTACAGCGCAGAGTTCTAGGTAGATGTTCTCTGTCGACTTGCTTAGAGAATCTAATAAAGTATTTTCTTTTATAAATTTCCTACCATATCGAATACAAAAGGATTATCACGTCTTACCAATAATACTCATAGAGAGATTTGCTGATGAATTCGTGCCATCTAGAAAGCCGCCCACAATATAACATTCTAATCTAGAATTATTGCAACATTAATAAGTAAAATAAATTGATAATTAATTTTATAATACCTGCCATCTGGGTAACCTTTTGATAAGTTCGAGACACTACTTATTAAAATGTTGATTATCTTTTTAGTAGAATTTCCATCTAAATGAGAAAAACCTGTTATACCACTACCCGTATGTCTTATAGTAAATATATGACACGTTGTTGCATCAGACGATCCAACAAATTTAATCTCTAATAAATAGATATATAATTAGATATAATATTATAATAAATTTTAAGTGGGAAAATTACGTTCATTTGGGATAATTGTAGCGTATTCTGCTTGACAAACATATAGTAAATTATTCGGTTTTACGACAAATTGGTCTTGAGAAGTAAATTCATCAGCTGCTTTCTGATATAGGAAAATAGATTTCTTTTTTATTGATATTAATATATAAACATTATTTGCAGTTTAAAAAATATATACTGCGTTCTCTGATATTATATTACAAGTGTTTTCAAATATATAAATCTGCTTATGGAAATCAGTTGTTTAAGTAAAGCATCCTTATACAAATAAATATTATTATCAGAGTTTAGTATTCCAGTCACGATTATTATTATTCCTATCGATGGAAGAGGTTAAAATCTTCAACTAACTCTCAATGATGAATATTCTTCGTAGAAAGCACTTATAGATTCTACGGTTGTTTCGGAATATTCTCGTCCACTAATGAACAATGGCATTTCTTTAGTATTTTATTTCGTTAATTGTAATTAATAAACGGCTAATTGCCTATAAATCCATATAAAAATGATGCTGAGTCAGAAAATTAGTTTACTTCCACTTCTAGTATTGTGTACCAAAATCATACGATTCTTTATTATCGTACATAGGGTATATTGATTGGTTGAGACCTTCCATAATTAAAATAAATAGTCACTTTAAAAGTATTCTAAAAAATTATCAATGGTTAAATATATTATATAAGCTTTACTTTATTTTCTCTATTGATCATAATTAATACTTTTCGTAAGATTTACTTTATAATAATAAATTTTCAATTGTTTGTTTGACTTAAATTATATTACGGTTGCGTAATAAACATAACAAATTTATTACTTAAATAATAAAATTGTATTCAAATTATAACTGAAAAAATAACACGTTTTCTTCTCTTTGTTTATTTTTTGTAAACAGAAAAGATATCACATAAGATGTTCGGAAGCGTGATTTTTTAATAATTATGGCAATAAATGACACAGTCAGTGAGTTAGAATTTTTAAACTGTTGATGAAGAATTTGCAGACGGGTTTGGAATGTCACTAACATCTGGAGAGACAGAGAAAATGATTATATTGAGATACTTATATACTGTATACAGTATATATATATATACGTACTTTTCTCATCCTTGTCCATATCAGCTCCAAAGAAAATTCTGGCACTACTATGTGAATAGTATAGCAAATCGAACTCTTGCTGATAGACATCCAATCGTTTTAATGTCAAAGTATAGGTTTGCTTTAAAGATTCTTCGATTTTTCCTGTACGTAACTTTTCTTGAATTTGTTGCTAAAGATAAAATGAATAAACATTGCATGTATTTGTCAACAATATATTTGTATTTAGATACCTTTTCCTGAGTATATTTAGAACGAACACCAGAAAACCAATGAAGGGAGTCGAATTCAGAATATTGATTTAAAAGTTTCAATATATAAGCTACCCCCATGGCGAATCCGTCATCTGTAAAGGCAGCTCCTTCCTTATTCTTCTTTGATAGTTTCTCTTTACAACTTATAGAGTTCTCAACATAATTTAAAGCCTGTTTTTAGAAATGTCAAAGAATTTCAAAGCTTTATAAGAATAAAAAATAGAGTCTTACCAAAGGTGGTACAATCACAAAAAAATTTGATAAATGTTTGTTTTTTGTACTTCTAAACTCAGGTGCAAACACATCAACGAGCATCTGTAATTTAGTTTATGTTTATCTAATTAGAATTTGTAATTAGATTATTTAAATAGGACTTTTTCTTTTATCTAACAAATGCTTTAAATATTGTTTCTTTTATTATTATTATTATTTTTACCTTGAAATATTCGGTTCCTTCTGAAAAGTTTTTTGTCAAATTTTCAATTACTACATCAACGATTTTAGCAGCTTTTTGAGTTTCTGTCGACAGGTTATCTTCCTTAACAAATTCTTCAAAGTTAACAATATCTTCTAAATCGGGAATAAAAGAGATGGCACTACTACAGCAATGTAGACCTCCTGATCGTATCATTCTTATATATCCCATAGCATTACCTTTAATAAAAATGAGATTACTAATTGTATAAAACAGAATTTGTTAAGAAAAAGATTTCTTCAATACCAATTTGGGTTATCAACAGTCTAAATTGATCTAAATAACTCAAACCATCCTTTGATAAACCTAGTTTTCTTATTCCCTTGTTAAATTTTTCGGCTCTTTCAAATGGATAGGTTTGGTCATTATTTAAATGATTTTCTTTAAAGTAGCGCCAATCTTTTATCAGCCTAGATTTTATATGTTCATCGTACATAAATTGTGAGAATGTAAAAAATTTCTTTCGTAAGAATTGATAAGTAAAATTAATCTAGAATAAAGAGAAGCATTATAAAATATGTATACGAAAAGTTTTAATAAATCTATTACCGTTGTATTCATAATTCCAGTACCGTGAGTTCTTATAGAATTAGCAATGTGCCTTATATTTATTGTATTTAAATGCTTATTATTACTATTCTTTTCAACAAAAATCTATATATAATCATGTAAAATAAAGTAATAAATATTTATTAATGAATTTAGAGTTTGTATACCTGATTATTTAGATTATACGCGTAACTCGAAACAAATACGTGTATATTTCTCATAATTTCTAATACGTCTAAACCCTGTTCCAGAGTTTGACTAGGAAGATAGGTTTCTATAAGATTTAAATTGTATCGTTGATAGGCTAAATTTTTCATATCAGCATAGGTTTTCCAATCGTGCAAGGCGATTGTTGTTAAATTATAGAATGTAGTATTTAGATAATGTTCAACGTAGGCTGTAAGACAAAGAAACAAATAAAAAATTGAAATATAATATATGTACTTTAAGGTTAATATAAATCTATGGACTAATTATTGCAAGCAAAAGAAAATTAATATACTTTTTATACTAATAAGTCTATCCATAAATCTAATGGGCATTAGTCGAACGAAGACTGATAGGTCTTTTAGGCCAACTCTGAAAGGATTCATATCGTCCAATTGTAAATGTAAATGAGTTTGTAATCTTAAATCAGTTTCAATTGCTGAGCAGACTTTTTTCATTAAATTCTTTATAATGAAAATGAAAGCAGTTTTCATAAGTTAAATGGCAAATTTTAATAAGAAAACATATCTTTTTACCTCTTCTAAATAATTTATAACGCTCTTTTCGTAAAGTTTCAATAGAGAATTAGGATCTTCAACATGCTTTGCAGATTTTAAAGGAAGAACACAATCGGAAAGTGATCCAAACATATACTAAAATTAATTAGACGTTTAATTCGTTTGTCTGAATTTCAGTATTTTTAACTTACATGAATATTATGAACTGCCGTTGCTTGTTCAAACATATCTTGAAAGTATGTATTCAAAAAGTCACAATGCCAATAAAGATAACTACAATCACTTCCTTGCTTTATTCTATAAAAAAATTGATAGCTATTAATTTTCTTATACTATAAGGCTAAAGTATATATTTACCTGTCAGTTAATTCAACAAGCATTTTTATTTTATGCAATGCTGTCTCTATTGCTGGATAGTATTCTTCTTTAAACACTCTCTGTAAATATCAATTCGAAAATTTAGAATATTTAACTGTAGTATTTAAAGGGAAACTATACCATTCTGCAAGCAACAGAAAGTGCTAATTTGGCAATATCTCTTCGTTGTTTAGATGGAGTTCCTTTCAGAACGTTTTCAGCCAAAACAATAGACGATACTACGTCTAATCTTTGTTCTGTATATTTCTTATCAGAGACAAAACTTTGCTGTGAATTTTGAAAATGATAAACAATTTATATTGATATTTATATAGTTAATAGAAAGTAATTATATACTTTTGCATCAACAAGTACGGTTAGTGCAATGTATGTAAAGTGTTGTATCATATGATTGCCAACTTGCGATAAGAGCATATTTCTTCTGTGAAACATTGCTTTTGCCGCCTTTTGAGAGAGAAAGTTTATTAATAAGTGGATAAGTTGATTAAAAAGTTCGAGAAACGAACTTGTATCATTTCGAAAAGTCGGCAGAGTTGTATAATGCACTGCTTCGGTATTGATTTTTGTAAATTAACAAATATATTAATTATATCTCTTGCCAAATTGTTCATTAACCAAATAAAAACTAAACCCTGAGTGAACAATAAGTATTTCTGATCTAGCTTTGATGCCAATGGATTGTTTTGTGTAGCTTCAGTCTCGTTGTTCATCTTAACTATCCAAGCAGAAAGTTGGGCTCTTAGAGCTTGAATTTCCTTTGGTAGTGTTTGCAATTTGTTTTGAAGCCAATTTTGTCTGGAAGTAACTACTGCTAATTTTGCTTTTTTATCAATTATTTTTTGTAAATCAGGTATCTTAAGTAGTAGAAATTCATTAGGATACCAGGAAACATTAGCAACTAGAGTGACTGAAGGAATCTTAAGAAAATATGAATTTAAATTAGCTATTTTATAGTAAGTATATACTATATGAAAATATCATTATATTTACAAGTTTGTAAGCATCCCAAATCAATTTAAAAGCTTTTTTCTCCGGTTGTCTGTATAACTCGTAATAGAGAGCGTACAAACCGGCGAGTTCAACTAATTTCAATCTTTGATCAGTTTCAACTGATTTGCCTGGAAGAAATATTAGTTTTAGGGCAAAAGAAAGAAATTTATATTAAATTTTCGTACCTAATTTAGCTTCAATCGTTTGTGATAAAGCTTTTAAAACTCCAGTAAATTCTTCCATGAAAGCAGTATTTTTAGTAACATTAATCCCATTAGAATCGAAACATTGACTGATTGCAGTCTAATAAAATTTAATTAAAGTATATATATAAACAAATGTAAAGCATAAGAATGTAACACTTTAATATAGATTTACCGTGAAAATCGTTCCGCTAAATATACAGCTTTCAAGATTCGATAGTAATTTATCAAATGGTTTTACGTTGCGAATTTCAACTTTAAATTCTGATGGATTTCGTTTTATTGACTTTATCATCCTATTTTACAATAAAATTACAATTTTATAAAAAAAGATTAGTGATAATTTACAATAACCTTATGTAGAGAACCCAATGGTCTTTTAGGATCGTTTGGCTTTCAATAATTTCGTCCAATGTTATTAAACATCTTAAAAGTGACCCAACATGTTCGAAGACAAGCTATTTTAAAGCAATGTTAAATTTTGTATACTTTAAAAATAATTATTTATAAATATCTTAAAATATTAACCTGAAAGTGTACGGCAGAAACAGTCATAACAGATACTCTAAGTGTGAATAGGATAAATTTTAAAATGTGGTTTAGATCTCAATCATTAATTAATTACCTAGCACCATTGTATAATGCACCTATTTGTTGTAAGGTATACTTCATAATATCGTAGCAGCGTTTAATGAAAGATGATAGTTCCTATGATTAATGTTTAATTTATGTTTTAAAATATTAATATATTGTAATAATTAATTTACCTGCAAAAAAGGAATCATTCTACCCATTTGGATTTGAGCCTCTCCGTCGTCTGATTCATGTTTACCTAAGTAATTTAATTACAAAGAATATATATATATATATACGTAGAATATACTATTATAGATTTAAGGAGAAGATTACCTTCACCGTATACTAAGAGCGTATTATAGAACTTCTTTTCGGCTTCTTTTACTAAGAAATCTATTTCTCCACACATTGCTGCTAAAACAGTTACGACCTTGTTCAAGACTTTATTATCTGTTTGTACTAAGCTAATGAGGCTAATATGTTCAACAGGTGACCACTGTTTAGAAAAAGATATAATTATTTATATTGTACTAATTGTATTAAAATATTTCCCACATTAAGGCCAATTGGATCTAATATTTCATCCCAATTATTTCCTATATGATCTCCTAATGCATCCTCTATTTCTTGCAATTGTCCCGCGTAATCTTCTAAGAATAGCCCATATTTTCTTAGTTGAACTTCACCAACTATCCCTATTGTACAAAAAATATATATTATTAGTTCCTACTCCCCATTTGAATACTTTGTGAGTAAAACTAACTTTTAGACCCTTCGTCAACATTGTCATCATTCCAGTCAGACGTCAACGTTGTCATCTGTAATTTAATTACCTAGATATATTACAAGATATTATATAGTAGCAATCATTTAGAGATTCTTATGAAACAGGGACATTCACACGACTCTTACTAATAGAGTAGGAAAAAACAAAAGCTATAAGATTTATAATTTCCTCTTTATCGGTTGATACAGGACTAACAGTTTATAAATGGTATAAAACATATTATAAACGAACATTTGTGACTATAAGTTGCTAAAATATACAAACAATGCGGTATCTATCAGATGAATTATAAGAATAACCGCCTCCAAATTAAAGAGATATGGCTCCGTAATATTTTGGCATGAATAACCAGTTTAAATTGACTGGTTTTTGTCCATTTTTTCATATTATAGTAAGTTTAATATTTTATTCTCTTTGAATTCCCTTACACACCGTAATTTTTTCAAAGAAGAATAATTTATACAGAGAGAGAAACTGAGAGATTTGAGTAAAAGCGATTAATAGCTTCGTAAAAATCTTTAATTGTCATATTTTTCCATTTCTATTTGGAACAAACATGTTCATTAAACGTTATGTGTCTTTTTCAAGTTAGCTTTTCTATAGAATAAATTAGAAGTATTTAAAATTATACCGCACTTACTTACACACAATTCTTTAGGACAATTGGCTAGTGTTTTTCCTGTATTGCTTAAGTAAACTTTCAAAGTGATTATATAGAGATCCAACGGTATCTTTCAACTCTCTTTTATTTATCATAGCACATGTTGAGTGAGAAGGATTATTAACACATTTACGTTGCTTTTTCAAATTATTTTGTACGTTTCTGTCAGCTATAGCCCTCTTAGAACTTTTAGATTTCCCGTTAAAAGTGAATGATTTATCTTTCTTTTTTCTAGTGCTAGAAGATTTCCTATGTTTTTCTTTAGTCTAGTTTCAATAAGTATGTCAGCTATACATGTTTTTCTCTCCAGTAATCTTATTTCTGTCATGTTCTTCTTTTAACTACTTACAGTAACAGAAAACTTTATATTTAAATATTTATAACATAACGTCTAAAAGGAGTATTGATGCTTTGTGTATTAAAAAAGTAAACTATACAGGAAGTATCAAGAGATAAAAAAATAGGGTATATTATTTATTTTTCTTAAAATAAAGACACTTATTTACAGATAATTCTTCATAAACGATGCCTAATCTTCTAATTATTTCAGTAGTAGTATAGAGAATCTACAACACAATTTGTAAATTTTAACTTTAGCATTAGCGTTAAAATTTTTAAGAGAAAAGAGGAATAATACTTTTATCTTTTCTTTCTTTCTTTCGAGCTTTTTCAGGTTTTGCGGGTTTTCTTTGCACTACTCTACCACTTTCATTTGGCTTTTTTGGACATAACATCGGATGCAATTCTGAAGAAAATAATATAGTTAATTAGTGATGTCTGAAGACGGAACTTATGAATTAGATTTACCATCAATGGGAGCATTAGGAAGATCTATATCAGTATTTTTAATTTCTTTCTTTTTCTTTTTTGAAGGCGGATTTTCTTTTTCAGGGAGAATTTGACGTTTTTCCCCGAGAGCTTGATTTTCTTTTGTTGATGAGTGCTATGAGAATTAAGAAAATTAACTTTACGAATCTTTAGCTTTCTTTGTAAATCTACCTCTCCTCCCTCAGGCCAATCCTCTGGATCGTCTACATCAGGACAAATCGGAAGAAAGTGAAGAGCAGCAGCTTCATACTGCGGTTCTTCATCGCTACTTAAAAATTGTTCAATAGGTTCTTCTGTTACAACATCGACATTTTCATCCTCGTAATTTTCAACTAAGAAGAATGAATCAATTATATAATCCATAACGGAAGAGGTAATAAACTATTTTACTTTTAGGTTTAACTCCTTCCTTGTCTTCATCACTAAGATCAAACTCAGATTCTCTCTCTTCGTACTCAACATTTTCCTCTAGTTCTTTAAAGTCTGGAGCGTAGGCGCTCCATTTTTCAACCTGATTTTGAGACCAAATAGAGACAATACCATTAGCTATCGAACACAAAACAGGTCTAACTGGATGCCACTGAATAATAAAAACATAAAAATGAGAATGTTTTTATAATATTTCTGATAGAAAAATAAAACATACGACGAAGTCAAGCATAACATCTCCCTTCATTCCTTGAAGAATTTTGACTAAATTTCCAACTGATTTTTCCCAAATATATAAAGCATGCTGTCTAGCTGAACCTGCAGCAATAAATTCACCATCTCCAGAAAAACAGCATTTCTTCCACATTGTTCTTAAGATTTTAAAGAATATTGATATAAAATAAAAGGTTAAACGAAATAACCAAATGCTTACTTGTTGACAAGATCTTGAAGTTTCTGAATAGGTTCAGGCTCACCATCCTTACCACAGGCCATTATTTCGCCAGCTTCGTATACTCTTATTATACGGTCGGAACAGTTCAAAAGGAAGCAACTAGTGCAAAATCAGTAATTGTAATTACTCTGAATTTTATGTTTGTTAATTGAAAATATGTTTCAACATACGTTCCTCTCCTTGAGAATTCAATGGATCTTATTGCTATTGCACTGGTAGATCCTGTAGACACTTTGAACGATGCAACCAAACTTAGATTATCAGTCTTAAAAACCATAACTTTTCCTTTTGAGTTCCCTGTATAGATATGTTGCCCTTTACGATCAAAAGAAGCAACTATATTTAGATCATTCTGAAATATTAATGACACAATTAGACAATGGAAAAAGTTTTATTTAATAGCTACTAACATCACTACTAAGTGGAACTGCGTCGAAAGACTTTTCTTCATCTAATTTGAGAACTATTGCTGCGTGTTTCAAAAGTGTAAGCAGAGCTCTGTTTCTGAAAATTTAAAACAAATATAAAAAATATTAGACTTGTAATTTTTTATTTACCTGTTTCTCGAATTAAACTGAACTTTCAGAATTGGAGATGGAAACCTATAGCTCTGTAGCATGTCACCAGTTAAGACATCAAAAACACAAACACTATTGTCAATAGAAGCTGTTATTATTAATTGTCCATCTCTTGACCAACTGTAATCAGAGCGCATGTTTGAATTATTCACTTCTATCAATTTTAAAACTTACGAAATAGAACAAACAGGTCTTGTATGAGCAGTAATGGTTTTTGCCACACCTTTGGTTAAAAAATCCCATATAACTATTCTACCATCATTGCAACCTACAGCAAAAAGGGTTCCCCTCTTGTTGAAAGTGCAAGTTAACGGAAGACTCGTACATTCTAAACGATGTTCCAAATCCTACAAAAATTGCATTGTTAGCTGGCAACTCTAAATCTATGAAAATGATATTTGGTTTAATTATACCTCTGGATACGACTGACCGAAGGAATCTGTATATAAACAAGTGTATTGTTTCATAATAAAGCAAAATCAAATAGACTATTTAATTATTTTCGTTGCTACTTTAGACTAGGATTTCTTATATAGTTCTGTAATAAATTTTACATAAGCTTTTACCTAGTAAGCCCAAATTCATCTTCAGAAATTAAGATTGGTATTTGGTATCCAGACGAACTATAAGATCTACGCGAAAAATACGAAAACACCGCAAATCACCAATCTGGGTACTACTAAATGGCGAACTCTCTCTGAACTTAAGTATTTACCTTAGAATAGAGTTTTTTGTTGTTTTACATCCCACAGTTTTAATATGTTTTAAAAATTGATGCCTGGACAACTAATTAAATATTGAAGGTAGTTTAAAAATTAATTACATCATTTTTTATTTCGTATGACTGCAGTTGAAATAATATATATTCAAATTTGGAGCTAATTATTTGGTAATTTTGTTTACAATGGATTTTTAAAGTTAAAATACTTATAAGAGGTAGTAATACAGAATCTCTAAGTTTTCAAGTTTTACCAATATTGGATTGTTTTTGTGAAACTCTGTCCATCTAAAGTTTAGACAGTCCCACGTCGAGGCACACTCAACCAAAGAAGGAATCATTTTCTTCTTTAACTGATACAAAGTTTTAGGAATGGCATTTTCTTAGCTCAACTTTTCATTTGACAGAAAAATCATAAATCATTAGATTAGTTCAAAGGAACCGCTAAGTAATAATCCATTAGCCTTCAGCCGAGACGTACATCGTTTGTTCCTTTATTATCGTTACTAAACTGATTAGAACAAATACAGTTATGAATGACTTGTCAAATGGCTCTTTATTTCGTAAGAAAAGGAAACATTCAGATTCACCTGAAAGAAGTAAAAGGAAGCAAACTTTTGACATTCCGAGTGATCCTTGTCTATGGTTTGTTTGGTTTATTTTGAATGATTTTATTGTTAATTGATGTCGAATTTTTTCAGCATCTTGTGTCGAAAAAGAATGAAAGATCCTCATAGTATTGTATGTGGCCATACTTTTTGGTAACATGAAATATGCTAGCTTTATGATATGATCCTAATACCTTTATTTACTCTTATATAGTAAGAAATGTATTATAAAACACCTTCATGATAGTAGAGAGTGTCCAATATGTAAGATGATAATTAGCGAAGGTGCTGATGGAATATTTCCAAATCATTCCAGTAATGTTGAAATCTAATACAAATTGTTAATTTTCTGATATGTCTTTAATTTGTTTAGTTCGACAAATTATTGAAATGATAAATCAAACTATGGTTGAGGGAAATTTTACCTTGTCTTCCAAGCACGTTAGTTGAAATTAAGTTAGAGCAAAAACTCAAGTTTAAAGTTTTTTCTTATGGTTTCAGTGTCAAGATTGTATCAAACATAGATCACTAAACACAGGAAGTCCTTTCTGTTCATTTCATAAATTCGTTCAAAAGTTGGATATGAACAACGAAAGAGATAAAGATAGGCTTAGGCAGTTAATTGTAGAAAAACGAAATCATACCTTAAGTGTTATTAAAAAAACAAGTGATACAATGGTAAAAAACCTTGTCAAAACTTTTCTAATGAAAAAATATAAGGTGAGTATTGATTTCATTTTGTGCTGGCAATATGTTGAATTTTATCCTTTTGTTAATAAACAGGAAGCTAAATTAACATGCACTAACTATTATTCGGATATTCAGCTGTTTCAAGATCATCTTAACCAAACTGTATGAACTTGTGTATCAACTTATAGAATATTTGTATTATAAATTTCCTCTATACAGAAAGAAAGTGAATTGAATTGTGAGAAAAAGAATAATTCAATTTTTAATGAATCTGTAGGTTTTTTTTTTAAAGTAGTTGGATAATGTTAACGCATTAACTAATATTTTTGTTTAACAATATAATTATTTTAAAGAATGAAGTTCCTATGATGGTTGATTTGGATGACATGTTAAACAGTCCTGTAGAGTTAAATTCGCAAAATCTACCTATTTTAAATATGGGACCAGTTGAAGATACAGATGATATGGTAAGACTGAAATGATACATTTTCAGCGTTCAATTTAACCATTTCTGATTATAGACAGCTGATGAGCAATTAAAAAGATTAAATCCTTACTTGAATGAGATTGAAAAGGAATTTAAAGAAACAGCGCGAGATCCTAAGGGAATAGAAGAATTTAACCAAAAAATATATGATATTACCCAAGTGTCCAAATCTCGAACCGTCGGCACATTATCCTATATTGATAAACCAACGAACAAATCAATTTGCATTGTCTCTTCAATTGAAGTTAGCCCAAACGGAGAGTATTGTGCTGCAGCTGGGGTTTTACGTTTGGTCAAAATTTTTGATATGACCAATATTGTTCAGAATTCTCTTCACGATCGCCTAAATCCATATTTGAATTCTCCATCTTTAATCCTGAGAAATAAGCACAAAATTTCTGCAATATCCTGGAGTCGGTTCTATTTGAAATCTTTGTTAACTGCTGACTATGAAGGAAACTTAGTTTTGTGGAACATTTCTACGAAAAAAGCTGTTATGTATGTAAAGGCTGTTTATTTATTATTTATCAAATGCTACTATTTGCTTGTTGTAGGCTTTTTAAAACTCATGAAAAACGATGCTGGGATGTTGAATTTTCGAAATGTGAGCCTAACTTATTTATATCGGCGGGTGACGATGCAACCGTTAGACTTTGGAGTGTCAAAGACAGAAATGAGATTAGTTTAATTAAAGCAGACTATAATGTTTGTACTGCGAAATTTAATCCTGAGAAAAGCAATGAATTTGTGTACGGTTGTTCGGATCATAAATTATATTACTATGATATGAGAAACGTATCCAAACCGCTTCATGTTTTACGCGGTCATGAAAAAGCTGTTAATCATTGCAAATTTATTAACGCCAACGAATTTGCATCTGCTAGTGTAGATGGTAAAATCAAAGTTTGGAAGCTCGATGAGAATACAGGAAAGTTTAATTGTAATCGCTCGTTGGAAGGACATAAAAATTTTAAGAATTTCGTCGGTTTATCTGGAAGAAATCGTTACCTCGTTTGTGGTTAGTTATTTATGTCAATTAATAAGATATAAAAAAAAATTAACTGGCATTATTTCTTAAGGAAGCGAAGATAATTCCCTATACGTTTATCATAAGGACTTTAATTTTCCGATATGCCACCATCCTTTCGATGCACGAATGGCGGACGATTATAAATCAGTTCGATCCGAGTTCTCCAGCGGAGCATCAAGTTTTGTGAGTACAGTATGCTGGCAAGAGGTGAGTGAATTATTACTCTATCTTTAACTAAGAGCGCTTTTGCACTTGTAATTCGTTACAGAATTCTAATTTTGTTTTGGCCGGTAACAGCGCCGGTCTAATCCGAGTAAGTTGATGAATAACTAATATGATAATTAAGTTAACCACTTTTTTTATTTCAGTACGTCCATCTGTATTAGGCAAATCGAAATTCAAGTGTTATTTTTTTATACATTCCCTTTTTTTTTCTTTTTGCATGCGAATAAATTTAAGAGGAATATATATATATATATATATATATACTAATATAATATATATATGTATATGTATGTATATATAAAACTAAAAGCACAAATGTCATTCAATTTCCAATGCCCCAGCATCTTCGCTTTCACTATCATCGTAAATTTCCAGGGGATCTTCTGTCATTAACAATCCTTTATCGTAAAAAATTGACGCTAATTCCATCTAAATGGGGGAAACGAAGCTATCTGTTATTCTATAAAATCATTAAGCTTAATCACCAACCTTTTCGTCAATGGTTTCCAACGGAAAAGAATCTATTTGTTTATAATTGGGATATGAATGTAATAAATACTCAACAGCGGGCGCTAGATTAGGTTTAATTTCAAAACAACGAGGCTCAACTTCATGCCATACTCTTGTGTTTTCAAGGTTATGATATATGAAAACTTGAAAGCCCTCCATAACTAATCGAATTAAACTTTTTCTTATCAATTTCACACACGTATCAGGTTCCAACTCAACAGCATTTATTACGCTATTAGTTTGAGGGCACCATCGTTCTCCGTGCCCATGAACAGTTCTTATTTTTTCCTCTATTTTTAAGTTTCGTTACTCTCGTTATCAGTTATTAACATATTTATAAACAAACCATCAGTAAGAACGGGAGGTAAGGTATCCTGACAAAATTGTTTACCCATTTGATCAGCCGTTTCATCAACCGGTGCATGAGACAGCAATTTAGTCATTAAACTTTCTAAACGACGGAGAAATTTTGTTCGCCTTTGATCAGTCTGTATCATAAACAAGATTGAAAGGTTACTTTCACTTTTGTCAAATAATAACTCACCAAATCTGAATGAGCAACTCCCATGTAATTTAAATAATCAGTGGGCAAAGAGTAACGAAATTCTATATCCTCTTCAATAGCATTTTCAATCGTTTGTGGAAGCAACTAATTCAAATTAATTGCAGTAACTTAATTATTCAATTATTCATTAAATTTATAAGTAAAGTATACTTTAAGCAAGAAATCTCCCCACGTATTACGTTGCATACTTGAAACCGTAATGTGCAGAGAATGCTCTCCGTTAACCGTATTCCCTTGATGAATCGTTCCTCGTGGAAAATAGAGTAAATCGCCCGCCTCTAGGATTACGTCGAGTGTTGGTTCACCGATATCTTTATCAGTAAAATTACCGCTCGAGAATCTCGGAAGGGTTTCATTGTCGCTTCTATTATAGAAAGTAAAGATAAGTTTATAGTATTTTTATTATATCTTATAATTAACCTTGGACTGTATAGTCGCCATCTTTTCTTTCCTTCCAATTGAAGAATAAATGCTTCGATATCATCCCAGTGGGGAGCAAAGCCTTGCGAATTTGGAGGTGTCAAATACCTTTTTAACGTAAAAATAAAATAAAAGATGTATTATGAATAGAGTTTTTGCTGTATATATAAATAATTTATAAGATATAATACAGTAAACAAAGCTACTAACACGTTAGCTCCAGCCATACATCCAAAGTATTCTTGTAAAGAAGAGAGAAATTTCCAAACATTTTTTGAATAGGTTTGGGGATTTAATAGACGAATGGAGCAACCGTTCTGGGAAAATTAGGGAATTAAATATATATTTATATAATAAAAAATCGGATATTTAACCTGATAAAAATCCCATACTAAAGGGGCGTAAGCTCTGCCAGGGGGATTATGAGTTTCTCGTTTATCATCAATAAATGTTACAACATCTATATTGCGTCCAAAATCGACTTGTTCCTATAGGATAAATATAAATAATAAGCAATATTGTCTCTTATTAAAAGAGAAGATAAAAATCAGGACCTCTCTCAGTATTCTATCCAATTCACCACTTGAAAACCAGCCATCGTTATAGCTTGGAATGTGTCTTTTCACCAAAAGTGGTTTCTTTTCCCATAGTTCTCTAAACATTTAATATTAATGTTTAATAAATATTTTTTCTCATTTCTTTGGAATCGATTTAAAAAATTAATTAATCACTTACGAAAAAAATTTCGATACGTTAATGGGATGGATCATGCATTCGAATAATTTTTTGGCCTCAAAGGCACTATCAAACATCTTCGGTACTGTTCCATTTGACTGAACAGAAGGATGAACAGGGAGAGGCATTCTAATTTCTTCACCATGTGGGGGCGTCATAATGACAGAATCCTAGACAATAGAGTTGAGGTTAGCAGGCATTAAATATGTATAGCTGTATTAATGCTGTATTTTCCTATAGTTTACACAGTACATCTACAAATCTACATTAGCCTCTACTATGTAGGAATTGATTGAAGCAAACATTTCAACTATACGCTCCTAATGCTAATTACTTACATGTTCGGTTACCTCCACCTGTAGATGTGCCTCCTTACGATTAAAATACGGTGTCTGGCATTTTTAACAGAGTTATTATAAATGTCATTTGCTGAGGCATTTGTTCACAGAAATATATGCTTTTAGTATATGATAAATAATTTGTGTCGTTTGCGGGTAATATTCAATCAAACTTACCCTATCAGAACCTCCGGATACTGAGTCATTACTCAACTTTCTTCGCTTCGAAGGACGAGGAGGAAGTTTTGGGGATAAAGTTGTACTCCTTCTTCGAAGTCCACGACTATCGTCGTTATCTGCAGAATATAATTCGATAATAAATTAAAATTGTCTTTAGCTTTTCAAGGAAAATAACCTTTCACTATTTTCAAAACATCAGGTTTGGGTCGAATGGAGCCTTTTCTTGGAAGTGGTTTGGGTGGTGATTTTTTCTTATCTATTTGCGGTCGTCAAAAACTAAATGTGTTGCTATTTGTTAAAATATTCAAACTAACCAGGGCCTGTTTTGACGGGGGACTGATTAATGACATTAGAACCCTTAAGTTTTATAGATTTCAGCTGAACTCCATCTTCTCGACTTTTCTTCAAACTCGATACTTTACTAGTGATAAATGAGCCACTACCATTTTTTGAGAGACTCTTCAGAGCTTTCTGTAACAAGAACCGGCCGCTTAACGAAATAATGAATGGCCGTTAAAAAAAAAACCGAACCTTGATATCCTTAGCGGATTGCTTATCCTTCCTTTTCTCACTAGCAGCTCGGAATTTATTAATTAGTGATGAAACGCTATTCTGTTTCGAATTTTCAGGCGTCACATTTGCGCTGATTGATTTCCGAGGTAGTTTCTTAGGTGTGCCACTATTCACGTCAACTAAACTCGAAGTCTGAAAACCGCACGAAATTTTAAAATCCTAACACCTAACATTTATTTAATTTCAATATTGGCATTTTACCCGCTTCGTTTTGAAAACCGAAAAAGCCGATAACTTTGAGCTATGTTTCGGCGTTGACATTTTCTACTTAATAAACTCCAAATTTGGAATTAAAAAGAACAGAAATGGTGTTAAAAAATGAAAACTTTCGTAGCACGTTGTACAGGGTCAAGGTCAAGACAAAAAGGAAGAATCGACCGATAGATGTAGCTGCAAACTCAAAGATGTCTTAGGCCTAACAAATCGGTTTACGGTTTTTGCAGAATTGCAGTTATATTTGATGCGGGTGGCGGTGAAAAGATAACGGTGAGTACGAAGCCGTCGGCAACTGATTTGTTTTCTTGTAAGTGCTACTACAACTATTAATTACAAATTGACAAAATACTTAAATAATACTGGAAAAAGTATAAAGAAAAAAAAATTCGATTAATTTCTCTTAAATACTGTAAAACGATCGTTATTAATTAATCAAGCGTTCGACAAGCTGATCGTTTAAGGTGATCGTTTTTTTCTAATTTTCTTTTTGTCATGACAAAATTTTTACGAAGTTTTTTTTCTTTCATTTTTATTCATAACAAGTTGATTAAGTACATTTACAGTACCATGTTTGTACCTGATTGTACATTTGTATGTATGTTATAAAGTTATAAATATAATATATGTATATATATATATATATATATATATATATATGTGCACAAGAAACGAAAATCTACAAGAATGCATTGAGTATTCACTATGTATTTATTTACGTTTATTCCACATTACTTTCATAAAGTATGCGCATCCTGAATATACTTCATAGACGTGCGAATTATTACGGCTGCTCAAATATGAAATGCATATGCTTTTTATCACGCTAATTAAATCGTCCACAGACAGCTGCAGTCTCCTATAGATTACGCTTTGTACATTTTCGATAATGAACTATGTATAAACTGGAAAACAATTAATAAAGGAAAAAATATTCTCTCTTATTCTTTTTGCAGAAAGAAAAGATTGTAGGTTTTGAAGTGTTAATGTAAAGAAGAGGAAGAGGAAACAGAAGAAGAGGAGGAGAAGAAGAAGGAGAGGAAGAAGGGAAGAAGAAGCAGAAGAAGAAGAAGAAATAGTATATTAACTTAATAAGGAATATAATATTTGGATAGGAAAAAAATGACTGCAACGTTCCTCCATGTTCCATCGTCTCAGAAAGCCAATAAAACTTTTCTCGATTTTGCAGAGCGTTTTTTTAACGTTCATGTAGCAAATTCTTCGTCTCCCATAACGAAGACAGTTAGTGCCGTAAGAAGAAAGTCAACAAGCGTAAGCATAAACGTCTAATTATATATGGTGCACGTGTAGATATGACGCCTGTCATCAACAGCCATAGGCGTAATCCGATCGTTTTCACTATGTGCTGATTTAGCATGTTTCAGAAATATTTTTTTCCTACGATCTATAGAATAGGTGTCATCTATTCATCACAAGAAAAGAAATTCTTATATCCTCCCTCTCCCTCTTTTTTTATTCTATGTTTAAATTCTCTCTATTTCTGCTGATTATTCGTATTCTTATCAATTGTGTAACCTTGTAATCTCTTATATTTCTATAAAAATTCTACTTTATTTCCTTTTTGTCTTAACAGGATATCGTTGCGATAAGGGATATGGTTAGGTATACGAAACAGGCGACAATTAGTACTTCTCTCATCCACTTTAAGAGCGAACAAATTATTAATCTAGCTTGCTCGGCGTTTAAGGTAGATAAATTATACACGAATATATTCCATTAGCAACGTCATTGATCTTACCGTTGAAATAATAATAATAATAATAACAACAACAATAATAATAATAATAACAATAGTAATAATCATTACCATCATCACCATAGTGGTCATCGTTATGATAATAGCTGTATTAATGCTAATAACTATATAGGATATCTGCAAAATTGTGAGAGGGGAAACGAGACCGGACCAAGAGGATTACATTCTGCGCTCAATTTTTGAACAATGCTTCAAGTACGATGAATTAACGGATGAAATATTCTGCCAATTAGCTAGACAAACCAATGGCTGTCCCATTGATGACTACCTAATCAAAACGTGGGATATATTCGCTATAACGTCATCTGTCCTTAGGCCTAGCGCTACCTTATTAGAGGTGAGTAGTTTAGTCAATTTTATCATCTCTGGTTCTCTAAAATCCACTGATCCCTGCCACTACCGCCACTCCTCTACCTCTTGTTTAGCTATCGTACTTTTTTTTTCCTTTCTTTTTTATAGTATCTTAAAAACTACGTATCAGCCGCCTGCAAAGCTCCTGGAAAGATTGGAGAGTACGCAAAAATAATAAAAAGATGTTTGGGGAAAGAAAGAATTAGACCGAAAAGGACAATAGGTCCGTCAACTCTTGAAGTAGAGGTAAATCTATATTTAATTGATAATTAAATGAATAATTAATTAGTCTGAATTGAAACTTTTTGTTTCGTTTGTTCCGAAAGGTATAAATCATTGAATAACCGCTTATTTTTTATAGTCAATTAGAAATTTGCAACCTCTCCTACTTAAAGTTCATTTTTACGATGGAAAGACGAAAGCTTTGGCTTTAGATTATACCGATACGGTTCTAAATACTATTAAAAAAATCCGCGAAAAGGTTTGTTTTGTTATTATAACTTTGCAAGGAAAGCGGTTTGTAAAGTTTGTCTAATTACAGATTAATCTCAAGTCTCTAGAAGGCTGGGCGTTGTACGAGGTTAGATGATGAATAAATAATCATTAGATATAGACTATACTGTATAAACGAGTAAGAATGATGTAATATATATATATTTATCTATGTATAGTGCGTATACTATATTTAGTATGTAAATTTATATCCACTTTTATAGGTTATGCACGCTGTATAAAACTCTAAGCATGAATAATATAGAGACGAAGAGAGTATATCTGTATTATAAGCATACATATAAACTACATGAAGGTTACCGTTAAATATATATATATGTATAGGCATATATTATATAGGCTGCAACGGAAGTATGATATATATATATATATATATATATATATATTTGTATACTTCAGGCATACACCTTACATATATATACTTATATAAATATACAATATACATATATACTATTCTACAAAGCTCTTCTCCTATAGATACTCATTTATAAACCGTGTATATACAAATGTATATAATATGTATAAAGATTTATATTAGTATATATATATATATATAAATGTGTATATTTATTACTTACAGGAAAAAGTAATCGATCATCATCAGCGCCATCTACAGGACGATGAATTCATCACCGAAATTGTTGGAGCTTGGCAACAACAGTAACTTTTCATATTTTCTATTTAGTCATGATTTTTCTTTTGTTAAAGATAAAAATTAATTGGAAAAGGAGAGAAAAACATTTTTAATATACTAAAATTATCATTCTCTTATCTTAGAGGCAGTGCTGCAAGTTCTAAAACTGCATCGCCAGTTTATCAGTTATCTTTAACAAACGCCTCTCATCGATTAATATTTGCAAAGAGGATAATAACTACAATTCCGGACATTGACTGTGATCCAGTAGAATTACATTTTCTATATTCTCAAGCTGTTTATCACACGGTTGATGTAAGTAGATGTAAAAAACATGTTAAATATGGGATAATTAATGATGAATATATTTCATTGTGCACATATATATATATGCTTTTAGGATGACGAATATCAATTACCATCGTCCACATGTATCCAATTAGCAGGACTTCATGCTCAGGTTTTGCACGGGGACTACGAAGAAGAGAATATATTTAGATATACGGAAGTTGATTCTTTCCTCTGTAAAAGAGTTTTAGATTCGGAGGCTAGGAATTGGCCTTTGGAAATTTCTCTTGCTCATAAGGTTCGTTAGCGTTCGATTTGTTTACTCCTAACTTGTGCTTCAATAAATTCTAAACGATTACAGAAATTCGGCAATGGAAAGAAAAAACACGAGGCGCAAATACGTTACTTAAGCCTAGCAAGTCAATTTCCTCTATTTGGCTCTAATCACTTTCTAGCTTATTATAAAGGTTATTGGATACTGGGATTAGAGATACTGATAGCAGTTAATAAAGATGGAATTAAATTTATATCTCTCCAACAAACTGAAATGTTCCAAGATATCGCTTATATGGAATTGGAAAGCGTCATAGGTGATACAGATAATAGAACTATAACGTTCCTACTAAAGAATTGCGTGGCTGGTAAACAGAAGTGTTTTGTTTTCGAATTAAATGAATTAAAAGGTGTTTGTCAATTAATTGATACATTTTTGCCTAATCTCATTGTATGGGAGAAAAGCTTCCAGGATAATAAATCAGAATATGATTGGTTAAAATTAAATGAAGAGACAGATCTCTGTAGAAAGAAATTAGTACAAACTGGTACGGCTAGATTAGTTAGGGAGAGTGGAATCGGTTTTTTTAGAAGCGCAATACGAAGATTGAGTAGGAGATCATCTGAAAAATTACCAACAATGCAAGATTCACCTAAGAAAGATGAATCACCTGTTAGAAATTCCGATTCGAACCAGAATGATATATTACCTACAAAACGAGATTGTTGGACATTTACTAAAAATCCATTACGTCAAAGCATAACCAAATTGGACGGTGATTTGGAGGAGGAAGCACTTCAAATTTTTACATGGCTGCTAATGTACTCTGGGATAGAATCTGCCTGTAAGTCTTTATTTGATATTCATTTATGTATATTTTTAACTTTCTATCTATCTTTTTTCTCCCTCCCTTCTCTTGCTCTTTCTTCACTTTCCCTCTCTCTCTCTCTCTTTCTCTCTCCCTCCCTCTCTCCTTCTCTCTATTTATCTATCTCCTTTTATCCCACCTTCTATTTTTCTTTTTTCCTTTATATACAGCCGCTTTAGAGGATAACGAACCTTTTTCTCTTGTACAAAAAATTCTTAGCGAAATAATGCAGAATCATCATTTATGCAATGAATTATACCTGCAATTAATCAAACAAACAATGACAAACAATCCAGAGAGTTTCTCTAAAGTTTTGTCCAAATTTTGGCATTGTCTTATAGCATTAATATGTGTTAGAACACCTGCAAACGATTTAATTGAAGAATATTTACGTTTACACCTGCAAAGATGCTCTATTCATAAGCATTTGGAAGAAGGTCGTTTTGCTTCTTTCGCCAGCATTTGCTTAAGTAGAACAAAACACAGTTATAGGTTACGGAAAAATGTGCCGTCTAAAGCTGAATTAAAGGCAATAGCTAGTAGAAAACAGATGGAACTTCGGGTCTTCTTACAAGATGGTCATCAGTTGGTGTTCGGCTTCTTTTCCGATGAAACAGTTGATCAACTAATAAGAAAGATAACTAGTCGGACTGGAATGAGACCGGATGCTGAAGGGCTTGGTCTATATGCCAGCATAGAGAGTAATGGTTCAAGAGAGGAAAAATACTTATTGCCCAGCGAAATAATGGCCGATATGATGTGCGAATTTGAAGGTTGGATGAAAACTATACGATCATCTAGCGTCAGATTATCTTTGAAGGTATATAGCATTTATGTAAATAAACCGGGAGTAACTTGTGTAAATATATAAAATCTTTCTAATACTCTTATCTTTATATCGCAGAAGCGTATTTTTATTGAACCTTATGCTAATTTGGACGACCCAGTCGAAATAGACATGTTATACCATCAATCGGTTACTGACGTTTTTGAAAAAAAAATTCCATTAACCCAGGAAGATGCGGTAAGAGATTAGAATTGTCGGGGAGAAAAACATAACCTTTTAACTAAATCAATCAGATAAGACTCTGCGCGCTACGAGCCCAAACGGAATGCGGCGATTATCAACATTTCTCAACCGGTTCTTATAATTCCGTTACTCGTATTCTTCCTCGACCCATCAGAGATTTAATAGATGCTCAGGATATTGCTAAATTGCATATGGAACTTGTTGGTTTAGGACCACAACAAGCGAACGAAGCATTTCTAAGAGTTTTACAAGACTGGCCGCTATACGGAGCGAAATTATTCGGAGTAAAGGTAATTAAACATGCATAAAAGCGATTCGTTTCCCACTTTATTCTATTTTCTCGTTTTTCCTTAGCAAACAACTTTAGAAGATATTCCAAAGAAACTCTGGTTTGGAGTTGGCCAGATAGGTGTCCATTTAATGGAGCAAGAGGGTCAGGTATTACAGAAGAATTAATTATTCTTACATCCTTTAGATCTTAAATACATTACACGATTGTAACGTCTTTTCATAGAAAATCTATGCTACCTATCCGTATAAATTTATCCTGGCAATAAATTCAACAGAAAAAGATGAAATCACCTTCTCAGTCACAGTTGGTAGCAAAACGAAATTAATACTAATTATCACAACAGAAAAGGACGAAATACTGCAAATGATTTCAAGTTATAAGGAAACCTTATTAACTAGAAAATCAAGGTAGAAAGACATCGTTATTTTCCTTCTCTTTTTTTATATCAACAATTTTTTTGCACTAAAATAATTTATGCAATGCACTTGAATAAATTGATGAAGATGATTTTAAGATTACTACCTTTTAGAGTAAATTTCTCTTTTTCGCTCAAGTCGGTAAAAACGTGTAGCAAACTTACAAAGATGATGATAACCTTCTCTTATAACATGTTAAATATCAGGTTTTTATTCGTAAGATATTGCTTCCTATTTTGACAAGTAACTTGTTAAAAAGAGATTAAACTTCGTATGTTTAATATTATTGCGTATTTTTTATTGCTCCATTTGATTATTTTCAAAAATTGTAACAGTAGCATAATTCTACTTTTAATAAATCTACATAAAGAAGAGTACACCATATAATGACTAGTTAGCAAGTTTTTCATACGTTTGAAGGATGGTGAAAAGTATAGGAAGACGTCTGCCACGTAATGCCATCTTCTAAAGGTTTATGAGTAGAAGGCAAAAGTATATGTCTCCAGAAAGAGCGTTCTTTTGATAAACCAAGAAATAACTTCCAATTTCGAACAAATCCGAAATTGTATGGGTTGTGGAAGACCTTTCCGATAGCTTTACACCGCTTACGTTCTTTGCCGTTGATATGCACTTCTATACTTGTTTGAGCTAAGCTGATCAACGACCCATGCCATAGTGTCAATCCCAAAATAGCGAAAGCAGCTCCACTTGAAAAATTTTTAAATCATGGTCAATTACAGAGATTTATCAATCATAAACCTTTATAAATACCTGCATAACATAAATTCAAATGTAATAAATCCATGAAGAAGGGGTTTATCAGCCCTATATGGAACATTGACCAATAACACAGATTCACCTTCTTTTAAATTCGTGGTAAAAATTCGACTCTCAGCAATATTGCTTCCCCAAATAGCTTTCCTAACAAATCCAATAGGTATTAAAATCTTTTTAATACTTGATGGGAAATGCATCTGAAAGAAGGTAAGGAAGATATGAAAAAAACCATTTTTAAACATATGTGTTTTTATGAATAAACTTTCTAAAAAATAAAAAGGTTTGAACAGCGTTACAGAAAAGCCAAGGAAAAATGCATAATAAATTTTTATAGGAAAAAATTAAACTAAAGTTATAATTTTTAAGGAAAATGTTAAATAATATTATAGTATATAGTTACATAATAACAAATACATCTACAAGAACTTTCAAGATATTTTAACACTGAAATAAATTTTTAAGAAAAAAAAACATGCTTATGAAATTTTCTTTTCTTTGTTAAACATTAGTTTTTAATTTCTTGGCAGCCTTTTTTTTGTCATGCATTAAAGCTCACCTCATTCTGCCACCCTAATTTTCTTTTAATTATCGTTATGACGTATAAAATACCGCCTAATTCCTGAAGAGAGGCGTTAGGAGGTAAGAAGAACAAATAGTTAAATTTTGTTAAGTATTTTTTTTAATAAAAAACAAGATAAAAAATAATAAATAACAAAATTATAAGAGTTATTAGTCAAGGTGTAAAAAGCTTTTGTTTAACTTTATTTGTTTTTTTTTTACCTCATTTCCGTAGTAATGATCTCGAAAGAAGTCGTAGGCACAAAAAACAACATAGCAACATCCCAGAAACATAAAGGCGCAGAATAAGAAGAAATAACGATGATTATAGTGACCTATGCAATTATTTAACCAAGCTGTTTAGGAAAAAAAAATGTATGATCAAGGAAAAGTAAGGCTAACGAATGTAATTAATCAGCTAAAAAAAAATGCTGAATCAAAAAAGGATACGGCAATGGTGATCCATTTTTAATACACATTTTTTGCAGATATCACAGTGATGCTGAAATTTAATACAATTAGCAAAAATCTTAAAAGATTTTATAAAGTATAATTTTACGCCTAATAAACTTACTGTTCTTGGAGGTTTAGGTGCAATACATTTTTTGCATATGGATACAACTTCAGGAACGCTCTGCAGATTAATAGAAGAGTTAAAGAAAACTATGTTGAAAAAACGCATTAAATTTCTATATTAAATTACAAACTTACATTGGGAGGTGTTCCAGGATCAGTTTTCAAGGCCATAAAGTAATTAAAACCAATATTTAACGTGACATAGTGACCTAAGAATAAATGCCACAAAGCCCAACCAGGTGATTCCTCAAATTTTTGTGGAAGAAGGCATACGAAGAATACAACGAGTACAATTGTCACGAGAAGAACCACAACAACAACAAATATCTGTGGAAATGATCGCATTTTCCTTTGCAATTTTGCTAAATATTTATTTTAAATTTCCTTACCGGTCCTGCTAATTTTAATCCTCTGCTAAATAGCCAATTACACGGTTCCGTTGCGGTTGTTAGTCCAGTGTACCATGACGTTTGGGAATTAAAAAACAATATATTGAATAACAGTTTCAGTTTTTTAAGACGATTTTTTAGAGGTAGCGGTAAGATATTCCATAGAAATTTTAATAATTCCATACATCGATTTTGGATAAACCGGAGGATACGAGCAAAAATACGCCCTAAGGTACCAGCTGATTTAGCACTCATATTCAGTTCCTATTATTTAAGTTAATCTAGTAATTTTTATACAAAAGTTTATTAAGAAGCCAACTTTTAAAGAATTTTTCTATTATTTCCCATTATCGCTAATTCTCTTAGAATATAAAAGAAAAATATTCTGGAATCGACCTTGACCGTCCTTTTTTTTACTATGGTATTTATCGGTTTTCGATTAGTCCCGGTTTTCAGATTGACGAGAACATTCGCAACCTATTCAGTAGCTATGACTTCTAACGTAAGTAATATGTGTCAGTTTTTTCTTACGTGTCCTGTACAAGTTATCATTCGGATAAAACTGAAGAACAACTAACTTGGTTGTTGCATGTGTCGTGTGCAGACTCATGATAGTCCTATCTTTAGTCGACTGATATGTTCCTTTATCCGAATTGATAATTGTACTATGGACAAGTGTTCAAATTCTAGGAGGTAGTAGTTTCCTCAACAAATGTAGTGCTGACACGTACTTATAACAGTATTCATCGCTTTAACCATGTTCAATTGTTATATGAAACGAAAGGTGGCACTATTACACTAACATTCTGGTTATTAGTCATTTCTTTTCAATACAGAGAGGATTAGTTTTGGGTATTTATGAGCCTACTTCCGAAAATGAAATTCCTTTAACTGATGCAGCAAAGGAAGTAAACGATAAAACTTCTTCGAAATTGCTTAACCTGGTTAAACAGTAAGTCCATTGCTGTTTAAAGGTGTTTTTATACAATATTTTTTTTAAAGATCTAATTTGGCCTCTAAGAAAGGAAAAAGCCGTGTTTTCTATGGCCTCCATGAAAATTATCCAGCAATTGCTGTTGTTTCATTGGGAAAAAAGGGAGCTGGCTACAATCCTCTCGAAGAAGTTGACGAGAGCAAGGAGAACATTAGAGCAGCCATTGCTACAGGTGTTCGATCTCTAAACGAAGCCGGTTTCAACGACATTCAAGGTTCACTATTTTTTTCAACCTACTTAGTAATGTGATTGTTTAATACTGATTTTTTCTAGTTGATCCGTGCTCGAATGCTCAAGCCGCTGCTGAAGCAGCTACTCTTTGCACGTTAGTTTTTATATATACTGTATATTTAATAGGAGTTTTTTCACTATCGCGTATTTTTCCCCTTTCAACTTTAACTAGATATGTTTACGATGAATTGAAAGCGGAGAAGAAGCCTGCTCCAAAAGTAAGATGCTACCTTGAAAACAGCTGTAGTCATTGGAAGAGAGGTACCGTTTTGGCTGAAGCTCAAAACTTTGCTCGTCGCTTGATGGAAACTCCGGCAAATGTAATGACCCCAACCAGAATAGGAGAATTGGTAAAAGAACACATCGGAAAATTGAAGAATGTTAAAGTACAAGTTCACGATCGGGAATGGGCTGAAAGTCATAAAATGGGAAGTTACTTGAGCGTTACCAATGGATCAGTTGAACCTCCAAAATTCGTCGAAATTGAATACAAAGGCGGTAATGAGGGAGATCAATGCATTGCACTTGTCGGAAAGGGTATTACTTTTGATGCCGGTGGTATTTCCTTGAAACCTCCTGCGAACATGGACGCCATGAGAGCTGATATGGGAGGTGCAGCATGCGTTTTGGCAAGCGCATATGCAGCTGCTAGATTAGAAATCCCTATAAACTTGAGAGTTTTCACTCCCTGTTGTGAAAACTTGCCTTCGGGATCTGCAACCAAACCTGGTGATGTTGTAACAGCTATGAATGGTAAAACTATTCAAGTTGATAATACAGATGCCGAAGGGCGTCTTGTCCTTGCTGATGCCCTATGTTATGCTCAGACCTTTAAACCAAAGGCAATTATCGATATGGCTACTTTAACTGGCGCGATGATGGTTGCTTTGGGTGCTGGGGCTGCAGGTGTGTTTACAAATTCTGATAAACTATGGACCAGAATGCATGAGGTAAGCTTTGATCACTCTATCTTAGACAGGCTTCATTTTTCACTTTTTACTCCTTAATCCTTATTCATGGTAGGCTGGGAAATCAACGGGAGATAGAGTTTGGCGTATGCCATTATTCAATCTCTACAAAAAGCAAATAAATGACTGCCAATTAGCTGACATAAACAATATTGGATCAGCTGGCCGTAACGCTGGTTCATGCACGGCAGCTGCATTTTTGAAGGTTAAAAGCAATTAAACAACTTTTTCCGATCATAAAGGTAAAAGTCGTTCAAAATGGCAAGGAACCCCGTTGATTTACCTGCATAGTCACCGTTAACTATTGGAAAATAAGACACTTGAATTTAATTTTAACATTTTTAGGCGGGTAAACAAACGGGAGACCGCGTCTGGAGAATGCCGTTGTGGAAATGTTATACAGAAACAATGAGAGACAGTCAATTGGCTGACTTATTGAACAGCACTATCTCAACTGGTGTTAAAGGTGGTGGCTCTTGTTTAGCTGCCGCTTTCCTTAAGGTCAATTTCACTTGCCATTTTGGTCGCCTTTTAACCAATTTTTTTAATGCATGCTGTATAAAATAAATCTGTTTTAATTTTTAGGAATTCGTTGAGCATGATCAATGGATGCATATGGATATTGCTGGTGTCATGTCTAACAAAGGCGAAGTTTCGTATTTAACTAAAGGAATGGCCGGTAGACCAACGAGAACCGTTGTTGAATTTCTTCAAGCTGTTGCTGATGGCAAATAAAGCAAAGCTACAACACTAAAATTTTTGCTTTTATGAATTTTATGTCTTGAGGAAAATATTATTCAATACATTGAAGAACAGACATTCAATTATCAATCATTTTCTGTCAAAGTACTGATAATAATGTAAAAAATATCACATCACTATCTATTAGATAACCGATAAAACAAAAAGATTCCTGTAGTGGTGAATCAGAAAATAAGAATCTTTAGTTATGCTCCTAACGGTATAAATTTATAACAAATGCCAATTTATAACTTTACTAGCTAATTGGTTTTGCAATTAATTAGCATTAGTCAACGAGCTGACTGTATGAGTGGAAGTTTAGGAAAAGGTGTCAACACTAATGACTATCATTTATAAATATACTGTCTATAGCTCGGGGCTATTATTAAAACAGCGCTTCAGTGATTACCCAAGTTGCATGAATTAAGCATTCATTGAATCATGATTATATCAGAATGTTATCTATTACTAAATTAAATTTTGATGATCAAATATACAACAACATATTTTTTTTTCTAGGTCTACTTGTTACAATAGCATAAAAGCATCAGACCTATTGGCGATATTGAATGCTTCAATGTTGAGTTTACGATCATCAACAACAATTTAGCTCAGTCATGACTAAGTGTCAGTTAGACAAAAGGAATATTAAACTAGCTTTTTAGCTTTTATTCCATATTTCATATATGTAAAACTGTCTTACTTAATAGCGATATTAAATGAAACTTGCAGCAATAATAGATTAGTATGGGAAAGAGTAATCATCAGAATTTCTAATGTCTATGATAATGCTATTGTTGAATAAAAGCTAAATGTCCATAAGGGCCATCGTAAAAAAAGAAATACTGCTAATATATACAAATTGCAGAAATTTTATCTATGATATACAATATAGCGAACTAGAAATTAGGATGACTCTTTCTCCTTAATAATATATCATTTTTTGTCTTCTAAATGAACTTATTATTTAAAAGAGGCTATTAGAGTTGCAGCCTTTCACAGAATATTTTATGTCATAGTTACAAATAGATCATATAAATTTATATAAAAAAAACAAGCAAACGTGATTGTCATACGTAACCAAGATCGTAGAATAAAAATTCGTCGGTATTTACACAGAAATACCAATACTAAATGAATTGAATAGGCGGTAAATCTGTTAAATAGAAAATACGAAAGTATATATTGAACGTTCTTAAACTACCTTCTTCATTTGATTTCGACATTTCTATGCGAAAAGTTTGTCAGGTAAAAAAAAAATAAGGAAAATAAAGGAATTAATAGTCAAAACAGATCGATCAAAGTCAGCCAATAAATTAAATAAATACTAGGTCTATATAGTTTGTAACTATAGGTGAAAGGAAGCACACAGACTGCACAGATGAACTCAAAGGAAAAGGAGGTAAAAGGCAAAGGAGAAGGAAAAGAAGAAGATAGTAAGATATCTTAAATCTAGAATAGTATACTCTTTATACAATATTTATTTGCATCTATATACATGTAATAATACATTCTTTAACAGGATTTCGACAAATTCTTCGCATCATAAATGATAATGTTAGTTATGATTGGAGGATAGTGGCAAAAAGTCTAAAATTTTCCAAAATAGACATTGCGGTAATACAATCTATATATATATATATATAAATTTATATATAAATTATATATGTTTATCCAGTTCATTCTTTTCTCTTTCACGTAAATTTGTTTATTATCTGATTCTTTTTCTCCTGAAAAGGATATTGAAAAAACTAGCGGCAAAGTTGAAGAGCAATCTTGGAATATGTTGACAAAATGGAGAGGTGATAGGAAATTAAACGGACGTATATTAAATGACATTTTAGACGCATTAAAAGAATGTAGATTCAATAGATTAGCTGGTATTATTATTAATCCATTGCTTAACAGGATATATATATATATATATTCCTACTAATCCTTTCCACAGATTTAACTACCAGAATTGCTTTTTCTCAATCTTCAATTGACGATATTTTAGCACTTCATGTAGAGAGAGAAAGTGGGTTAATGACCTGCGTAATAAAACATCCTAATTTATTTTCAATTATCTTCAATTGCAGTTCGCATGAGAGATATTCTCCTTAAAGTGACTGATAATGTTCACAATGAGTGGCGCCGATTAGCAGTTTCTTTACGCCTAAATAAAGCAGATATTGCAAAAATTGAGACATCCTTCTCCGGTCGAACAAGGGAGAAGTGCATGAGGGCTCTCTACAAATGGCGTTCTCTAGTTGGATTACAAGAATATAAGGCCTCATCTGTAATAAGAGCATTAAAAGAATGCGGCTTACAGGAGGCCGCAAACGAAATTTCCCGAGGTCCAATTTGTGAAACTCGTCGAAGAAAGAAGGGAGAATTACTTGTGCAATTAAGAGGCGAGTCAGATGATAAGGACAAAGCTTTTAAGAATTACGCTCTAAATAAAGTTTTGCTTCGATTATTGGACGCTCTGGAAGAACAAGATAAAATAGGTACCCATCCTATAGTCTCACTCTTTCAAGACAACAGACGAGTAATACTTGATCAAGTGAGTAGGGTTGGAGCCTATTTGTCAGTCATCTGCTCTACAAAGTCTGATGTACGCTCTTTATACGAACTATATAAATCTGGAGAGTTGCAAGCGAAAGTCAACGAGATATTAGTAACTGATGATATCATGGAGGAGCTAGGTGGGAAAAATTTTTCTCTCAAGGTTTCCATTAGCGAACAAGAGCAGAAATTATGTGAAGGAGAATTACCATTAAAATTCGATAATAGTAAGAATAATTGCATTTCTCTTTTTATTTTATTTCTTAAAAAATTCTCAATTTTTATGAGTTTTTTTTTTAACTTTTCTTATTACTCTAATTACGAAAAACAGGTATGAATGAATATTTTGAGGCTTTACCATCCAGTAGAACGAATCGTCGTAAAATCGATCCCGTCAAGCCTGAATGCGTTAAATAGTAATGAAATTGACACCCTCACTTGCTTACTAATTAGTTATCGACTGCTTGCACGTCGCGATTTGGTGTATTTCTTGATTGAAATACTTTTCGACTCTCTTTAACTGAACCTAAACCAATAGCTGGATTAAAATTGTGAAGATAGAAGGATTTCGAATACGTTGATCTCTGAATAATAAAAATGAGTTTTCAAAACTATTAATAAATAACTATTTACAGTATATATATATATCTGATATTCAAACCTGATTTTGCAATATATCAACGGGTATTGAGGTATCTCCAACCATAAATAGGTCAACATTTATCATATCTTCAGGATCAATTGAAGTCTCCACGTAGAAGATTCTATCTTCAATATCAACACTTTTTACTATTCCTAATCCGTAGCAAGAGCAGATAATATCCTCTTCAATTGAACATAAATCATAGACACCCTGAATAACCTCCACATCCTTTTAAAGACAAATAAAAGCGAAATGAAAAAAATAAAGTTTGGTTCAATAAAGAAATCAAACTAACCTGCGGTTTAGAGCATAATCCAATAACTTGAGCGTTCAATAGTAAAGGTAAAAGTGAACCATCTCGTACTTTACAACCGACACCTTTAACGGCAATGTCTTTAAAATTTGCTTTATAAATATTACGTTTGTTGGTAAAAATCGACGATATTAAAGCCAAATCTCTTAATTCTTTGTTAAGAAGTGAATGATCAATACGAATATTTTCAGTCGGTGATTTTATTTGAATTAATTCATGATCCAAATTACCAACTGAAGTTTTAAAATTCGATGCAATACCATTTAACTTTTCTGATGTCAACGCTGGTAAATTCAGATATGGCTTCGACGAAGATATTTGAATTATAACAGAAGGTTTAAATATTTTCAAAGTGTCAACTATTAACAGTTCACCAAGTCCATTTACCCATCCTATAGTATTTATAATAGTAGTTACTTTTTGAGGTAATTTTTGCAGTCGTAGATATAAATGATTTAGAGCATTTAAATAACTTATAGGATCATCAGCCGGCGTTGTATGACCAAGAAATACAGTTTCTAATTTCGGTACATTCGTGTGAGTGAATGGAGGACCTAACAGCGGAGAGGTTATCACAGAGATAGAAGCACAAGTTGGACCGGTAGTTTCTGTTTGACCAATATCCGTTTCAACATAGATTACTTGATCCGTACTAGAAAAAAGAAAGGATTATTATGAGCTCTTATTGAAAAACGTCAAGAACACACCTGCTTAAGCACTTATTTATTAAATATCTACAAAGCGTTGATTTTCCGGTATCTCTACCTCCGCATACAGCCACGCAAGGAGCATCGCCATTCATATTGGCTTCATCTATCTCTCGAATGATATCAATATGATCGTCATCAAACTTCAGGATATTCTCGCATGTTTCATTAAATCCAACTTTCAAATCCTCGTCAAAATAGTCAAAATCTGATAGGTTTCCGAAATTAAATAAACGTCGAAATGACTGACATGATTTGATGACCCTAAGACTTTCATCTTCGAAGGGTGTTAAAATAGCCACGCATACAGCATCTTCGAATTCCTCAACAAATGAATAAGTCTTATAAGTAAGACTACGGGCATAAGTATATGACAAAGAAATTGCTGTCATTCGATTTGGTGAATAAATTGATACAGAACCATTTTCAGGGCTCAACGAATATCCGTAGATTGTTATTTGTCCGTGAACGACATGTATGTTAAAAACGCCTCTAACGGCTATATCGGCTTTTCTCTTTAAAACAATAAGTTTTTTCCCATGATGCTGATATAATCTAGTCATCAAATTAATGAATATATTTTAAATTGTTGCTATAAAGCTAAAGCAAATTATAACTTACGAGAAATCTCTTCCTCTAAAAATTGGTTGAATTTTTTCTTTCTTTTCTGGTACAGGCTCAGTGTCTGATTCGGCTTCTGGAAAAAATACTTCTGAGGCAAAGGAAACTTCCCTGATATCCTCTTGTCTATTATCAGTATCAGTCAGACCTTGTGATTGAAAGCTATCTGTTGAGCTTACAATCCATGAACCAGATGACGATTTAACTTCCTGATGCAGGTGTTTTGCAAGGGACGACGATCCGTACTTTTCTCGTTTGCCTTGACGATCAATTTTGAAGGGTCCAGATGAAGACCTCTTTCGTTGATTCTCTGCTACTTCTGGAATGATTTCAGTATAAGAAAACGAATAAAAGAATCAAACGAAAAGTAGCATCAACAAAAGAATTTCATGAAATTAGGCTAAATTTGATCATCTCTAGTAAAGAATTCTTACTTTTCATTTGAGCTTTTTCGAAATGGATAAATTAAATATTTTCCTGTCACAGAAGTCTTCTGACTAAGTAATTGTTTATTAGAAAAAGAAACCTCGCCGCATTCACAAACGCGGGACGTTATAGCTAGCTTCCGTTTCCGCTCTGTCTGAATCGGTACCGGTTTTTAGTCGTAAGCACTGCTAAGAAGTTTGAAAGTTGCTTAGCAACGTGTTCAAAATGGATGAGGAGAAGGAAATTATTCCTCAAGAGGAAAAAGATGCTCCAGATGGTATGTAGTTAATTAAAAAAAATGAAAAAGGAATTGTGTGCATTGTCTCTATGCACATGAGTGATTTAACCTGGAGTTTCACTTACTAATTTTTATACTAATTGATTAAATCGTATTGTTTTGATACAATTTAACAGTAAATTTAGCTTTAAGTCGAAATGCGTTAAGCTAAAATCTAAATTTATGACTGAATAAGTACTATAAGGTTGATATAAACGCTTATTACAACAAAAAAGTTGATTTAGTTTCTATTATGATGAAAATTTCCAGCTTTTTAAAAAAGATTCCTCATATGAACATTCAACTTTTTCCATGGAAATTTAGGTATTTTAATTCATACTGGTTAAATAGCGATAAAACGAAAACGTACGCCCAATAAAATTAGGTTTATTTGCAAATTTTTTATTTTCCGTGGAATGTACACTTAGATAAAGAAGCACTTTCTGACGAATCCAGTACCAAGTCAAAGCCTAAATACACTTTTAAAAAAGCAACTGCCCAATTGAAGGCAGAAGCTATTCGTCGATATAAATTGAAACACCAAATCTCCTTGGACGCTCACTCACAAAGCTTCGATCAAGAGACGCTACAATCTAGTGACCTAACGGATTCCGAGGGTAATTTAGGCAGAGAATCAGTTGATAGTAGAGACATTTTGGATGCAGGGGAAAAAGTGAGAGACGAGGGAAATATTCCCGAGGTAAAAGCTGCATCTGAGTCAGATGAACTGATAAAAAGCAAAAGTTCAAAAAATATCAAAGACAAACTTTCAATTCCCGATGAGAAAAAGAAGATTTTTGATACCGACTATTCGGACATAGGGAAATTTTATGGCGCAGAAGAAAACAGAGAAAACTCACCAAGGCTTGCTAGTCCAAATGAGATACCAGAGAAAACAAATAATGAGACAAATCTAACAAAAGAAGATGATATTAGACCCAAATCAACAAGCAAAAAAGTTGAAGGTAGCCGAAATTTCAGGCCTAATCCTCCAAAAACTCTTAAACTTCCAAATTTTATTGATTTTTTTATAATTATTGATTTTGCTATGAAGCAAAAGAATTTTATGCTTTAGAAACATCTAATTGCTATCCTGTATTAGGTGATCAATTAACTCTTTTATTTAATTTTTTATATTTTGTTCTATGCATGCAAGAAAATTGAAAAACTATCCTGTTCTCTCTATCTTTATTCAAAGATAGAACTTCTATGAGACTATATGAACACAACCGATCAAAGAACACCTTCTATTACTTTTTTTAATCACACTTTTTGTGCACCACTGCTTAATTATTCGACTTAATTGATTAGTGTACAACAAGTTAACATTGATGAATTAAATGAAATTACTTTTTGACAAATATAGATAATGGAGGAGTTACAGAACATGTTGAAAATACTATTGAAAGGGAAAAAACGCCAGGTAAGTTTCTTCTATTAAATTTATAGATTAATTTATTGATATTTTAAAAGATAGCCTATATTTTAAATGATCTCCAATCATGAAAAAATATCATATAGTTAAGATTTTAGAAAATTTCTTTATAAGATAATTAATCAATCACTTAATTAATAAACAATCCAGTTGATGATTCGATTAAAGGTTTGTTTATTATGCTTTACGTTTGTTAATAAATAGCACGTACATTTTTTACTTTGCACTATATATGCGCATAAGAAGCTTTTTTTACTTTGTTTGGAATATGCTTTTGTGATATGGTTTATAATAGACAGAATTGATTTTCGTGGCTCCCTTCTTTTTTATCCCTAGATAGTTCAATGTCCATTTATATATAATACAGATGTTCCTGACCCTCATGAACACTCAGGTCGAGCTTCCGAAGCTCCACCAGCTGAACAAGAACAGGAAAAACCTCAGGAGGATCCCAAACAAGAAGCTCAAAATACAGAAGAGACCAAAGAAGATGGTGAAGTAAAGCCTGATGTTCAGGCACCTGCTGAAAATGAAGCTGAAAATAAAGATGATTCGGCTGAAACGAAAGCTGATACAGATGATGCTGATCAAACGTCTGCAAAAAATGATGAAAATGTAAAAGAACCGGAAGAAGCCACTAATTCCGGTGAAGCTAAAACAGAATCTGATGACAAAGATAAAGAAGAACAGGCGCCTGCAGCTGAAAGCTCAGACCTGAAGACAGATGAGACTAAACCAGAAGACGCAAAAGAAGAGGTGACAGAGGAAACTAAAGAGGAGAAATCTGCCGAACCTCAGGTATTTCAATTGTACACTTTAGGAATTTGTTGTAATACGGTTTTCGTCTCTTAGGAGCCTGATGAACCTAAAGAAGAGGAAGAGAAAGTTGAAGAAGGAAAAGAACCAACAGCAGAGGAAGAGAAAGAGGAAGAAAACACTGAAACTAAAAAAGAGGATGAGAAAGAGGAGGAAGAAAAAGAACCCAAGCAAGCTGTAGACACTAGCGAAGAAGATAAGAAAGATGATGAAAAAGTTAGTGAAGAAACCACAGAGGCAGCAGAGAAACCAATCGAAAATACCGAGGACAAGCCAGAAGAGAAAACTGATATCAAAGAAAATACTGAAGATACTAAAGAAGAGAATGTCGAAGATAAGAAAGAAGAACTAAGAGAGCAAAATGAAGAGAATACAGAGGTTTCTCAAAAACGTTAGTTAGATAAGAAATAATCTGTATTCTACTTATGTATATATATATCTTATATTTACAGAATCAGAAGATCAAACTAAAGAAGAACGCCCAGTTGAAAAGAAGATGAAGCAAGTTCGTAGAAAAAAAGTGAAAGAACAGCCTTCAACTGACGAACAGACAACCGGTGAAAGCGAAAAAGTAGAGACAAAAACTATCGAGGATGCTGAAGCAGAGAAGCCAAGTGAGGAATCACTTGAGAAGAAGGATGAGGCAGAGGACGACGAGGAATGGGAAACAGTATGGGTAACAGATGATGAAGCTGAAGAGGACAAAGAGGAAAAGTCAGGCCCTGTAGATGGACAAGATCCCAATATAAGAGGAGACGAGTATGAGATTGTCAGCGAAGCTAGTCGGCCGCATTCAAAAGGAGATGATGATGAAGAAGCTATACCAGCAGACTTTTTTTACGAAGCAGACGAGTATATAAGTTCTGCAAAGGTAACAGAAGGTTCAGGCTTACCAGCGGATATGCTGAAATTATAGTGAGTATTCGAGCATATAATACTAAAATAATAAATTATATTAAATCATTTTCAGTCATTCGTTCGGTTACGATTGCCATAAGAGGTGCAATTTGAATTTATTAGACGACAACCATCTTATTTGGGTTGCAGGTAACCTCGCGCAAATTATAGATATCAATACAAAAGAACTGCAATATATAAGGAGTACTTCTGGTGGAGCGATAGGACATGTTGCAGTAAGTTTATTAATAGTTATATTTGTATCTTCTAAAGAAATGCTTTCAACCATTATTGTAACAACTGTAGGTACATCCGCAAAAAACTTTTATCGCTGTTGCGGAAAAGGGCGTTGGTCCTCGAATTATTATTTACGAATGGCCTTCTCTCAAGATGAAGAGAATTTTAAGAGGGGGAACTGAGCAGTCATACGCCTATGTTGAATTCAAGTAAGTCATTTATTTTAGAAATTACTATTTGGTGAATTATACTTATCTGTTTACGTTAATTTAGCCCTGATGGAAAATTATTAGCTTCTGTGGGTGGCGATCCAGATTATATGTTAACACTTTGGGATTGGAAGAATGAGAGAACTGTTCTCCGATCAAAAGCCTTCTCGCAAGATGTATTTCGGGTCTCTTTCAATTCAGAACTTCCCGGTCAACTTACGTCAGCCGGAACAGGTCATGTGAGATTTTGGAGAATGGCTAAAACGTTTACTGGATTGAAGCTGCAAGGTCAACTTGGAAAATTTGGGAAAACAGAAATTTCTGATGTTGAAGGGTATGTTGAACTTCCTGATGGAAAAGTTCTATCTGGATGCGAATGGGGTAATATGCTATTATGGGATGGTGGTTTAATTAAAGTGGAAATATGTAGAAAGAATAAGAAACCTTGCCATGTTGGACCAATTCAGCAAATAATTATGGACGAAGGTGAATTAATAACTGTTGGACTTGATGGTTTCATTAGAGTATGGAATTTTGAAACAATTGATACGGCTGATGTTAGCGATGAGGCAGCTATTTTTGAAATGGAACCAATGAATGAACTTAGAGTTGGAAATCATGTCCATCTTAGGCATTTGGTGAAAACAGTTAGTGAAGATGATTCTGTTATCTGGTATGCTCAAGATGGTAATGGTGGAATATGGAAATTAGATTTGTCTTTCTCATTTACATCCCATGCTCCCGAGAAAATAATGTCTTATCACGCAGGAGAAATTCTTGGTGTATCCGCATCACCAGTATCACATCTTGTTGCTACTACAGGAGCAGATAGTAAGTTTGTCTTAAAAGTTTTTCATCATAAAAGTCATTATCCTACTTTTTCCCCAACTCAGAAACCGTTCGTATTATTGATTATCTAAGCAAACAGCAAATATGCGAATCTGCTTATTCTATGTCCGGACATTCAATTCTCTGGATGCCGAAAATTGTAGACCCAAAAGGATCAACAATAGCTGCAGGTTTCGCTGATGGAGTTGTCAGGTTATTTGCATTTCAACAGAGAGAGAGTATAGATATTCATGGAAGGTAAACTGATGCTAAATTTTGTTATTTGCATAAATTCTGTATCATTGATTGTTTTTATTTTAAACAGGAAACAGAAAGATTTAAATGAATTGGCCCTAAAACAAGCTTTCAAGCCTCACACGGCAGCTGTAAATTGCATGGCAGTTGATAGTACTGGAGAAGTTTTTGCCACAGGGGTAATATAATTTGAAAGATATTTTAGCCATGAATACTTATCAGGATTACATAACAGAGTGAAGATTCTACCGTTTTCTTTATGCATATTGGTAATACTTTTGATGCAATTGGATTTATTAAGACTCCGTCACCAGTTAAATATATAGAATGGTCTCCTGGATCTTTCGTATGATTTTTTTTCGTTTTTCATTTAGCTTAACTATGCTCATATAGTTCACTTTAACCTTCTAGAAAAAGAATACCTTGCTAGTCTGCTGTTTGGAGGGTCAAGTGTTGGAAGTAGCTTGCCCTGAAGTTGGAAATTATGATACTTCAAAAACCTTTGAAATATCTGGTTTGAAAGTTAGAACTCAAGAGTTTAAAAGTGTTAAATCAAGACTTAGGCACGAAGAAGAATTAGAGAGGAGGAGAAAGGAAGAGGAGGAAGCAAGGAAAAAGGAAGAAGAAGAACGACGAATTCGTATTGAGAGGGGTCTAGAAGATCCGGACCAAGTTGATGAGGAGGCTGAAGAAGAGAAGAGAAAAGCTAAAGAAGAAGAGGAAAGGAAGAGAAGAGAGGAAGAGGAAGCTTGGGAACCCTATATTCCTAAAGAACCTAGTCCAATACTTTTTGGAAGCTATGGTAAAGAAGAAGGAGAATTTTGGTTATCAATGGGAGATTTTGATGCTGGCTACCTCTATAAATATAAATTTATGGAAGAGGATGAGAAAGCTAAAATAGATAAAGATGATCTTTATAAACCAATCCAGTCAATACCAGTAAAAGAGTCAGATGATATTCCCTTATCTTCTGTAAAAATCGGTAAAACTGGACAACAAATAATTATTGGAATGGAAAATGGTGCAGTTCGAATCTACACAGTCAAAGATGCAAACTTGGCAGATATTGATCCTTTTTGGCAGCTAAGCATGCACGACAATACATATGGACAAATCACCTATATAGACGTAAGCTTTGACGGAAGCTTCCTTTTTACAGTCGGCAAAGATGGAAACTTCTTCTCCTATGAATTGATGGATGATGCTACAGTTGAGAAACGAGTTATAGAGAATAAGGCGAAAATTCCAAGTGCGAAATTATCAGACGATAAGAAGGGCACAGATATAGAAGACGCAAATGCTTACAGTATTGAGGATGCCAAGCAAAAAGCTGAATATGATAAGATGATGGCTCTGGCAGAACAGAAAAAGAATAGTGTTAGATCTATAATTGATACTTTAAGAGACCATTTTAGAGGTCTCATCGAACGAAATGATCAATTACCTAAACATCTTCAATTGGATAGAACCGAATTTGAAATGGATCCAGAAATTAAGAAAGAACTACACAAGCAAACAGAGGAGAAGATTAGTATGGTTCACAAAGAAATGGCTTGGGAGGAAGAAAAGCAACGTATTGCTCTTGAGAAATTACGTAAAAAGTTTAAAGACGATGTAGATTGTGAGAGAATTGTTGTGAAATCGTTTAACTTTAGTCATCAAGTTGCTACTCTAAGAACAGCCAAACTGTCAGAAACCTTCCATATGGTCCAAGCAGAAGTTGAAAAGATGAGAACAACAACTACCCTTAAAGAAGAACTTTCAAAAGATCCAACGGAAACTGCTTTACTTGAAGAAGAAGAAGGCAAAGAACAAGCTAAAGAAGAACAGGAAGAAGATAAAAAGGCTCATGTTACAACATTAACTGGAAGTGTTGGTGAAAGGGTGTTAAAACAGTTGGCAAGAGTTGACGAAAAGAAAAAGAAGCGATCAGAAAGAAAATTAGAGTGGGAAGAACTTTTTAAGAATAAACCAAGTGATGATTGGGAAGACCCTGAGGATGTCGCGGCGATTAAATATGCTAAAGAAAACATGGGAGATTATAAATTAAAAAGTTCACAGTCCTACATTGTACCACCTCATCTTCGTATGACTGCATTAAAGGCGAAAGGACGTTTATTAGTATTAAAACAATTGGTAAATATAATATAGAATTTAACTAATATATATTAATAAACTGTAAACACTGTTTTATCTAGATGTATGACCTCAAAAAGAAATTCAATGACAAAGTTTTACAATTGAGACAATCAAAAATTGAAACTATACAAAGAATTGAGTATTTGGTACAGCAATTGGAAAATGTTCAACAGCATTTGAAGGTTGATGAAATTAAAGATATTCCACCAATACCTACAATGGACGATGAAGAGATTCCCGAAAAGAAATACGAATACAATGAAGAAACCCTTCTGTCTTTTAAGGAAGAAATGGCAGAGAAAAGAAAAAGAGCAGGTTTACCAGTTGGTACAGGTATGGCGGCAGCAGGATTCGTACAGCCTCCTTCAAAACCGGTCAGATTACCTACACCTCAAATGACACCTAGGAGGGAAATGACAAGAACAGAAACAGTCACTCCATCAGAGTTTTTCTACGATATTCAAGCCACAGATGAAAGTCAATTAACAGATCTTGAAAGAGAACTATTAGAAATGAAGAATATTAGGTAATTCTAACAATTCTTGTCCTAGATTAATGATAATTGATTTAATCAATTGTTTCTTTCAGATTAAAATATGAACAAGATAAGATTTTAAAGGATATCGGTTATCTCATTCGTAATTTCGATGCCAAACTAAGAACAATAAGACATGAAAAGTTTGAATTAGATGTTACACTGAAAAATGCTGATTTGAGATTATTAACCTTGTTTGAAGAATTGCAATTACTCAAAGAATTTGAGAAGCAAGAAAATATATTGGCAGATAAAGTAGAGATGAAAAATACCGAGAAAATTGACATGCAAACAAAGATAAGCGATTGCCAAACAAGATTAACCAAGAAGAAAAAAGATTTGGAAAATCTTAGTGAAAAAGAAAAACAATTGTACGCTACATTCCTACAATCTTTGGGCGAAAATAATAGATTTGCCGATTATCTTACTAAAGTATTTAAGAAGAGAATAAAGAGGAAGAAGGCTAAGGCATCCGATGGAGATGGTGATAGCGACGAAGATTCTGAAAGCGATTCTGATGATTCGGACTTTGAAGAGTCGGACGAGGATGATGAAAGCGAAGGCGGAGGATATGATTTAGATGTTTGTCCTCCTCAATGCGATCAAACTCTCTACGATAATACTTGTTCACTGAGAGAGAAGAGATTAGATCTAGAAGAGGAAGTTGCTGAGGAAAAGAAAAATATGGACTCTTATAAGAAAGAATTGGATACTTTACAAAAAAAAGCAAAAGTAATTGAACAAGGTTTAAAGAATGCTGAAAACGAATTGGAAGCATTTCAACAAGAGAAACAAAGAAAAATCAACGAGTTCGACGTTGTTGTATCGCTTAAGCTACACCAAGTTCAACATCACATGAACTCAACTATTCCAGCCGGTTAGTATCCTTCTATTAACAAATCTCTTCTTAAATATCTTGATATCATTAAAATGTTAACGGATAAGCAGATGCTAAACTTGAAGATGTTAAAACCTTTTATGATAAGTATTAATAACATTACAGAAAATGATTAGACAGATTCATCAAAAATATTTATTTATCAAGAAATATTTCTATCACTTTATGATTATCTTTAATTTAGCTCTTTTTAGTTTTATTTTTTTCATTCCATTAATTTTTCTCTACTTGCATGATCATCTTCCTTCTTGAACAAATATTTCAGAGAGTTTTATTAGGATTTATCTCTTTTAACAGACTTAACACCTTGTCTCATTTTTGAGCGCTTGGGAGTTGTTAAATTGCAACATCGTATAAAAGAGTTAGAGTTGGAAAAGCAAGCTCAAAAGAAACAACAAAGAGATGCCAAACGCGAACACAAGGATCTAATTAAAGAAAGAAGAACTTCTGAGAAGAGGATCGTTGATTTAGACGAAGAATGCAATAAGAGAATGATTGCTAAATTTGGTAAAATTGTTGACATGGAAATTTTGGAGCAAGTGACAGTTAATAGGTCGATTGAGGAGTTGAAAGAAAAGCTCCGATTAACTGAGGGTGGGTGCGCCGACGAACTCTCATTGTGGGATGATAGGATTCAAGAGGCAAAGGATGAAATAATCGTAGCTATTAAAGAAAATACTGATAGGTTAGATCAAATGAACATGTTAAAGGATGAACGAAGACAGTACGAGAAAGATTTGAATCATAGACAGAAGCATATGGGAGGAGGTGCTGCTCAAACCAGTGGTGCAACAGACAGAGGAGAAGACGAAAGAGAGAAGCAAAGGCTTATACAACTTGTCCAAATGCAAGCTCAAGAAGTCCAAGCTCTAAAACAAGAAATAACACTTTTATGCCATAAAGGCGGTCATGTTTTGCCGCCTGCAGCAAATAGCAACCAACAGTTACCCCCTATGTCTGATACATCGAATAACCGTTAGATTATTTTATTAATAAATATAAATAATAACGAATTAAGTTAACTTTCAATAACAAAAACTGTAACTATATTATTTTAAGAAGTTCCTTTTTCCAAGGTTTTCTTTTTAATAAAAAAAGAGGAAAAAAATATAAATATTCGTGACAAAGTTTTGTTGATATAATGAAACTATCATAAAGTTAATGTTCAATCAAAGAAAGAGAGAAACGTATAGCTTTGAACAAGTGTTAAGCAGATTGACGATATCGATTTAAGGCGATTTTGCTACTGTTTCACTCATTCATTAGATTAACTTTCATTCTCTTTTTGCATAGTTTATATAACATCCCAACTAGATTTCTCCCTCCCTTCTTTCATACTTTCTAAGCTATTTTCTCAGTTTTTTTACGAATCACTTATCTCTTTGGTACGATGAAGAAAAATGTATTTTTTGGTATTTTTTTTTGCTTAAAACAAATCCATATTTTCAAATAATGGATTATGATAGGCAAGTGAATGATGATTTACATCCGTTGAATTCGACTCATATAACTCATTTTCTTCTTCTGTTGTTGTAAGTCCATTTACATGAGTAGTTTGGGGTGAAGATGACCTGTTTACTATATTCGCTACTTCATTTATTATTTTGGCAACAGACGAAAGAGCATTGTTTGTAGCCTCAACTTGTCGGCTCATCATAGCTGCAAGAGCATCTCTGGCTTGAACTGGACGAAGCTCGTTTATAAGATGTTGCATATGAATAAGAATGAGATATATATCTGCCAACTTTTGCGCTCTTTGAGGACTGTCTGCTGATGATGCGAGAATGTGAAGGAGATCAAGGACGGCACAGAGAAGTGAGTGGTTCATCTTGAGCAATTCACGTTTATGCTCATAGCTTTCTGGATGAAGACGTTCCACATTTTGTGATTCCAAAGGTGGGACAATTGGAGTCTCATTTGATTGGCTAAAGGTCATTCCAAAACAAGAGTAACCTTCTTGGTCTGATGGTGGCAGAGGAGGTGGCGGTGCCCGGTGATTTTTCACATTTTCATCTGTATAGTTTTCATAGAAACTGGGAGGAAGCGGAAGAGCACTGACAGCTTGTTGCTGTTGTTCTGTATTAGCAGCCATTTTTTATACAATTTTATAACTAGATAATGTCAATTCCCTCCAATTTCTGGCCCTGTTGTCAGAGCGCTTATTTTCCCTATATTCTTTCAATTCGTGTCGTCTGCATTAAAGGCTGGTTCCCTACCATTGCTGACTTAAATGATAGCTCCGCATATAATTGTGGACTGATATGAAAATTAATTTCAATTTTATAGTTGCGCTTATTTGAAACAAATATCTAAAAATTTTTTCTAGTAGCTTGAACTCCAAACGGAAAATGTAAATTTTCTAAAATAATAAAAATTTACATTTTCTGTCTTCTTTTAAAAAAAAGATTAATATATTTGTATATACTGTATATACTAATATAAAGTATTGACTTTTTGATTGAAACTTTAATCGTTTAAGTTTATAGAGTAATAGTTGAGAGCTCGTTGTTTATATATTCTTCTCCATATAGTTATATAGAGCAAGCTTAAATTAATATTTAAAATTTTTTAAAAACCATCACCCTAAAAATTGTTCTTTAATATATCAAAAGTGACTAAATTACCACTAGTCTAATTCGATAGGCGATGGTTTATAATGGTTTTCGTATTGAAGTTATATATTATTATTTTAATTGGGATTTTAAAATTTTAGATATATTTAACTAATCCAACAGCATAGTTAGCTGTTATTTTTTATCATATTTGACAAAATTACACTTCCCGCCCTAACACAAGATTTACGATACGCATGCGCATGAAACTTTTCTCCTCTTTTTCGTTGAAAATAGTACAAAGGATATTGGTTACGATTTTAAAAGTAATCTTAATAGATACTTGCACGTGTTATCATTAATTAACGAATGATTGAAAAAAATTGAGTGGCAATCCACAATTACAAGTCTATCTGTCAATAATAATATTCTAGAATAACAGACTCGCATTTATGATGTTTATATCATCTCAACATCTTTTTGAATAGTATAATTTCCAGCATTTTCTACAGAGGATATCTACTGTTTGCACTGTAAATTTGTATAACGATTCTATTCTATATTTACGATAAAAGTATACATAACATAGAGATATATTCCTTCTTTTTACTATATTTAATTCCAGGCAATTATCTAACCAATTCCATAAATATAATCCACTTTCTCTTAATAATTGTTTATCTAAACGGCTATTTATAGTATAATGCTAAAGAACTAGTTGTCATTTATATTTGTAAATAGAATAGTTAGGATATTATACATATTAAAATATCATAGAAAACTTGACAATCCTTTACCAAGCCTAAGGAAACTATCAAATATTTGCTTACGGAATATAACTTCGAAAACTTCTGCTAATAAGATAACTATAGTCGTAGAGTCTATAACTGTAAAATCTAATGTTAAGTATTATGATAAACGAAATGGGATACGGAAGACAGCTTTTAAAATTAATCATAATTTATACTCTTATGTAATCTAAAATGTGAACGTTTTTGGAAAATTGACCTTCTATGTCCTATGACATGGCTTTCTTTTAATTATAGATATTTCACTCTATTCATAAATATTTAAATCAAATTACCACATAAGCGTTGAATTTCCCGCCGTATTGGTTGAATCAATTTTACGCATGCGCATAAACAAGTGTTATTCTTTTTCGATGTAAATGAATTCATAGCAGACTGATTCCCGTTTAAAGCGATCTTAGTAGACTTTATTGATTGTGCCGTTTAGAGATGTCCGAGAAGAGTCCTAGCATTATTCTTTATGCATTGTTAATCGAATTTGACCATTCTAAGGGCCTAATTGTCAGTAAATTCCTTTATCGCTCGATAAAATTTTTTAGATGACTTTTCTTATAAGGTGGAAGCCTGTTATCCTCCATTTAAGGGCGAAGACAATGAAGAAAATATACTTGATATTAGTTCTATGCCAAATGAATGGACTAATTTACCGAATTTAGCAGTTCCTGATGGCTCACATAAAGTAACTGAAGGTACAGATACGTCGTAAGTATATAGGCTTATTATTTATGCTTTTATTTAAAAATATCTGTCTATATTACAAAACAGATAAATGTTTAATGAGAACGGCTTATTATAAATTGATACAAAACAATTGATATATCAATTAGTTAAATAGAAAATCATTATGAAATTCACTATACATTGTTTTATTTCATAGATATTTCATCCTGCCAGGAATTTCTGAAACAAATCACAATTCTATTTATGGAGTATCTTGTTTTTCGCAAATTGATGTATCCGTAAGTAAGGACAAAATAATTAATTAATCGCTTTTTATGGTTTCTCATAAAACCTTTTAGAAAATTATTAACAAACTGCAAAAGTTCACAAGGAATACTGTACTTAAAGGAGTCTGTGTCCTAAGCACAAAGGTTTATATATAAGATATATATTGTTTAAATTTTGTATCAGTGGTTAACTCTGTTTTCTATTTCCCTACTTATTAAGCCTTTATTTGGCCATATACGTCTATGTTTACAACCTTTAACGGAAGCTTACTTTCAAGAGTTACAAATAGCTGATGAAAACTTTTCAACAACTCATTGGCTTAAAACTATCTATAATCAAGTAAATATGGGACTTTCTGGAAGCTCTCTAAATAATGCTAGTCCCTTTCAAGGTATATATATTAAGACAATTTCTCACCCATATTTTATAAGTGACATCTTTCTTTTTTTAGAACTTAATTGCATCCAACTGGTTCATAATTATAAATTTTTTATTATTCAATTATTCAAGCTGTTGCTTATTGAAAAAAGAGTTTTATTTTTTTCGAATATTGAGAGTAATCGTCTCTGCAGTGATATTTTATGTATTTTGTCTCTTGTTCCAGGTAATTTTCTTCGCATTTCAGTCTAAACGTTACTGAATCTAATTGTATATTATGTGATAGGAATTCTTGAGGAAGGTCTTGCTGATGCAGCTAATTACGACAAAAACAAAAAAACAACTATAGAAGAAGAAACTGATCGAAGGGATGAAATTGTAGAAATCATCTTAAAATCTTCTTCGGAGTCAACAGAATCTCAAGAAAATCAAATCGATTCAAACATTCCTAACGATAAACCTAAAGATGATGAAATATGTGAAATTTCGTCAGATACTTTCAAGGAATCTAGTCAACAAGTTATTACTGATTCTGAAATATTTGAAAATACTGCAAAATATTCCCTATCCTATGTTAATTCTGCAATTATGTCAAATTGGTTGGAAAATGATAAATGTCCTCAGTTAAATGACGATCAAGCAGCTGAAAATTTACACTTTAGTAAATTTGGCTTCCCTTTAAAAATTTTTTCCGAAAATCGACTCTGTTTTCCATATTGCTCTCTACACAACCTGGAAACTCTTAAAAGTTCTACAACAAAGTGCTATTGGGCCGGTGCTACTAATCAAGTGTTCAAAATGGATACAAAGCATTATGATGCTCTTGTCGAAGTACGTAAAGCTTTTCAATCGATAATCCTATCGATCTAATCAATTTCTTTCTTTATATTAAACTTTACACTTGATTTATTTAGATAAAGAATGACAAAGTGGAATTAAAATTTACTAACAAGGAGCTAGAGAAACTTACTCAACCAACAAGTGCCGATAAAAAGTTTGTGGATATGATCTTAAGAATTACAAGAGAAAATTCATCTTTTCAGCAATTTGAAAGAGGTTTTCTTGTTTTTCTTTTTATAATTTCCCATAAAATAGAAAAGTAGTATAATTATCTTATTTATTTGTTTAGATTGGCAAGGAAGTGAAGATTGGCTAAGACATCAATTTAAAATGTATTTGTTGTCGTTAGCCGCTGTAGCAGTAAACAATGGTAACTTGTAATCAACAATTCTTTTTTTACTATATATAGATTCTTTATTTAGATGCATCTACGATGGACGATTTTAACATATCTTTTGTAAAAGCCTGGCAACTCACAAATAACTTTAAAATATGGCAAAATCATCCCAGAACAATACTTTTACATATTAATCCCGAGTATGCTGTTTATTAATATTTCCCTCAAAATATAATATCCATTATTTCAACTCTTAGACATTTGAATCACGGGCAGTCGTATTTCCCTGAATTTGTTAAGGGTGCAAAAGACAAATTATCTCAGTAATTATATACTTCTCTTATTTTTAACGAAATATAATTTGTTTATTTAATATTTTTATAGAACTTGGAAAACATCAGAAGTGGCAGGCAAACTTGTCCAAGAAACTACTTCTAAAGCTATATGTATGCCATCTATTACATTAAAATTTAACGATTATAAATTTATATCTTTATATCATTACAGCACAAGTTTGGAGTATGGTTAAAAATACAGCTAGTGGCTCCTCCTAAACTTTTAGAAACTCTTTGTTTTTTTTTGTGATCCTTCTATTTTGTTTGAATTTAGATCAATTCAATTCAATCCATCCGAAAAAAAAATTTCAAAGCTTCGTTATTACATTTTCATTATTTTCCTTTTTGTAAATTTATCTACTTTTACGCTTAGTAATTTGTGCTTTTGTCTATTTCTTTCGTTTTGTTGCTTTGGAAAGTATATTTAAACGAAAAAGAAATCGAATTGTCACTTTTAACTTATTTCAAAAAGCATTGCAAAAAAATGGTTGAAAACCTTAAATATCATGAATTTTGAGATTCATCGGTGTTTTCTTTTATTCCAGAAGTAATAAAATAGAAAAAACTTGATTAATTAGTTATCTTCTTTCTATGAACTTGAAAAAAATTTAGGAAATTACTTTATCACATGACTCTTATTGTTGCTTTTATTATTATGGTTATTCATATGCATACATCAATTTAGACGTGTGTTCAAGCAAAGTATTTACCAAGCCTTTAATTAACAGAACTAACAATATAATACAAAGGAAAAAAAATACAAAAATTAAAAGATTTAGATAGTTTAGTTATCTTTTTACAAACAATTTAGTATTTCACAGTTAGCTATAGTTCATAAAATATAGAGTTACCTTTTAGTTTCTATTACATCAAACTTTTTTGACAAACTTAATAATTGCTTTTTTCTGTTTGCTTTGAAAAATATATTTATGAACAGTTAAGATTTCCTAAAGCTTACTTGTTATAAGAGTGTCCTCTTTTTACCTTCTGTTTATATACAGTAAAGTTATTACATGGTATATTGACTATACAAAAAAGGTTTTTCGGGATATATTTATAACATGGTAATTTCTTTGAAAAAATATAAACAAACAGAGGCAAACGATATAATTATTTATTAATTATTAATGCTATTCGAGACCAAGCTCCTTTTTAGCATTAAATAAATCTCCTGCTGAAGGTAATGGAGAATCGTCACTAGGTAACCTTGATATATCAGGCAAATTTTCTATGTGCTCCTTAAGTTCTTTACGAACAACATCTACATGACTTAGCCTTTTTTCTTGTTCATCTAATTTTTTAGTTGCCTCAGTTAGTTGTTCTTTTTGTTTGCTTATGAAACTTTTTATTAAAAGAGAAGTCTGAAAAAGAAGCAGTTATAAATTATTACGCAATAAGAATTTTGTAATATTCACTTTTTTTCTCTCTGCTATTTCATCTTCTAGACGACCATTATAATCTGATATCAACTTCACAGCGTCTTCGACTTGTTTTTTCAATTTTCTTGCTTCTCTTTTATCTATTTGAAAGAAAGTAAATTTAATAATTTCAATTGGGATAATTTTACAAAACTGATATAATTCTACTACCTTTAATCTTGTTCAAATAATCACTATCGGATATTTCGGACGGTAAAGCTGCAATTTCATTTCTAACTACTTCGTCACCGGAGGCGGAATTTTCTAAATTTTTTAATGATTTAACAAGTTCTTCACACTATAGGGACCAAGTAAATTATTAATGAATTAGAAAAAGACTAAATATTAAATAGAAACAAACGGTTGGTGGTTCAATTGTATCATTTGATGTGAACTCTTCTTTCAGATCTTCGAAACGTTCTAATCTTGATTTTTTAGTTACAGGAGCTTCGGTTTCAACTGTTTTCTCTATAATAGAATTAAATGGAATATATTTTGTTAAAAATTATATACTATGTCTACTCACTAGGAGCAACTGTTGGCTCAGCGCTATCTGATTTATCTTTGTATTGAAATAGAATATGTAAAATTAATTTATCGATGTAATTTATGATCTTAGTATATATATTTTAACTACCTGGATTCATAACTCGTTTTAATTGTATAATAAATCTTTCTTCGAATACTCCTCTCTCCTTCCATATGTCTAGTAATCTATTCATAGCATTTTTGGTTTTATCGTCCGGCTTAGACCTGTTTAATTAGGGTATAATTGATAATTGGTAAATAAATAAGTCTACACAAACCTCATAGTATGTTTATAAGCGGTTTGCATAACGTCCCTAAAGTCTTTATTAAGTTCAGGTGCTTTTTTTTTGGAATTTTGAACAATATCATTAGCTAGGTAGAGAAAGATAAGTTTACGCTGAACTTTGGCTAATAGAGACAAAAAATATTGTCGATTATTAAATAAATTATTATAGCAGTATTAAATGAACCTTTTTGTAATTCTCTTATCCAAATTTGTACGATTTCCTTTGAGTGTTTACGGTGATGGATAACCCATAATGATAAAGTCTGAATGCTCTGCTGAGTTTCATTTAAATCTATCAGTTTCTTCAATAAAGTTCCTTCTTGGAAAGTTGACATTTCAATTCCGGAGGTTATAAACGTCCAGACTGTCCTTTAATTTTCCTTTTCGATGTAAATCAGAAATTTAACGCTCCAGTCTGTATACTTTTACCGGTTTTCGGCCCTCTATGAATGTTTTACCATTTGAGAACTATTTGTTGTCATTTTTACTATTTCGATTCGAGAATATAATTATAACGATGAACGGATGGATTACGTAAAGTTGATACTAAAACACTACATCAAGAAAATAATGTTAAAATTACGATTTCCATAATATAAAACTTTAATGAAAAGCTTTGGATGTTTAATTCGATTGTAGTACATCAGCTGCGCAAATAATCAATGGCAAACAGAGGAAACGGAGAGTATGTCGCTGAAGACAACAGTACGGCTGATCTAATGTTTCAAGCAACTTTATATAATAATGTAGAATTGCTCGAGAGCCTTTTAACATTAGAAAATCAGGAAGAGTATATAAATGAACAAGACTCATATGGAAGAACGGCTCTACATATAGCTGTCAGTAACAACAATTTAGAAATTGCCTATATGCTTCTTCAGGCTGGTGGTTTGTATTTTTCTATTTCTACCATATCACTAATTATTAAAATAATGGTTTTCTCTTCTTTCAGCTGACCCAAACATTGCTAGCGGGGAATATTCCCAACATATGGTATATATTTTATTACTGCCAGTTCAATTAAGTGTAATACTTTCTATCCCTTAAGACACCTCTACATTGCGCTGCAGAAAAGGACAAAAAGGATTTTGTTGAGTTATTATTAAGATTTGAAGCTGATCCGAAAACTGTAGAAGGTAGAGGTAAAACAGCTTTAGAATTAGCGACAGAAGCCAAAAATGTTGATACTGTGGACATTCTAACCAAAAATATAGGTATGTTTAATATATTTATGTCTTTTTCATATTTATATTGTTTAGTGTGCGGCGTAAAAAAAACAATTTTAATATTATTTAATTATATTCTATTATATACTGTATTATAAATTTATTGTTGCAAACTTAAATATCTGCGGGCTGTTTATTGATATTAATGTAAATATATATTAAAAAATTATACAGAGGCTAAAAAGCAAGAGGAAAGAATGCTTGAAGACGGTTAGTTGTATAGTATAGTATTATAATGTTTTTTTTTGTAAATAATTAATTGTATAAATTTCTGTCTTTTTTTCTATTTAGAATTATTTAAAGAAATTCAAGATGGTGATTTAGAAACATGTAAACTGCTGGCTTATCGTTTGAGCCCTGATCGGGTTGCGGACATAATTAATAGGCCATTAAATGATGAAAGAACTTATAGTTTCTTACATAAGTATTGCGACATCTCAGACTTCTCATTCGTTGAACAGCTTATTAAATGGGGAGGCGACTTTTCATTTCATCCGAATACACATATCACTGCACTTCATATCGCTTGTCAAACTACGCCGAATATGCAAATATTAGATTTAGTTTTATCCAAATTTCCTAAGCTTGTTCTCACAACTACCTCTGATGGTTTCTTACCGATACATATTGCTTGTTATGAAGGAAATACTGAGACTTTGGAGAAGCTACTGTATTATGATTACCCTTCTGAATTATTATCTGTACAAAAATTTAAATCATACAAGTATACCCATGCTTTCAATGTAAATTCTTTAACTTCAACTGGCTACACTCCACTACATTTGGCTGTAATGAACAATAACTTGGGTTGTGTCAAAGCTCTTTTCAATTTTAATGTACAACAACTAGGCGATGAAGATGAGATTTTTTGCCCCGTCGACAAGGATTCCAATATAGTTTTATTAGCGTTGAAACAATCAGCAGAATATGATATTATTAAATGTCTGTTAGAAAATGGAATCTCCCCCTGTACATCAACAACAAAAGACGGAGGTAACCCCCCGCTTATGCAAGCGTTCAATAATATGAACGTCGATTTAATGGAATTGCTGCTGGAGTACGGAGCTACAGATGAACACAATGAAGTCTTAAGGAAAGCAATCGCAGCTATGCAATCGTCTCTTCCGTCTATCAATCAAGAAGTTATAGACGACCTTCCGTGCAGAAATGCTCTCAGTATTCTAGTCATACAATTTTCGCATATAGATCGTGAGCTGCGATTGAGCAAGCGAACAATGTTGGATTCTTATCATGAACTTTTATCGCCTGATACAGAACAAAATAGAAGTTCAAAGCAAATCGTTCACCCCGTTGCAATTAATTGGCACAAATTAGGTTTGAATTGGTTGCAATCAAGCTGGTTTGCTACTTGTGCTAAAAGACATAATCAAGGTTTAGTAAGAGATTCTGCTACCTTAGCAACCATTACTCGAGTGGACTTGTCATCTAATAAACTCTCTTTCCTACCTTTGTGCCTTTTCAGATTGCAATCATTAAAAGTACTACATTTATCAAATAATAGTCTGGTCTCTTTACCTGAAGCAACTATTTCTTACGATTGTTTATTGTTAGAAGATTTGGATTTAAGTAAAAATTCTTTAAAGTCTTTACCATCCCATCTATTTACATTACCTAATATAAAGAGAATGAATGTTAGTGGGAACTGCCTTGAGTCCTTACCATTTTCCATGTGGTTAGCTCCAAAATTAGAAGATTTGGTTGCATCGTCAAATAGACTTAAAAATTTACCGTTCGAAAGAGAAACAAACAGAGCTTCTCTGTCGTCCTTAAGTGACAACGACTGTCCTCAGCTAGTCGATACGATTGAGGAAGTAAAGAAGAGAAAATCCTATTGCGAAGAAATGTTAACATCGATTAGTTTTTGGGGTTCAAAAGTTAGAGTCAGAAATCCCATATTTGACACTGATGATTCAACACTGCATTTGACCAATTTAGACTTGTCACAAAATGATTTTGTTTCTATACCGTACTGTCTTCCTTGCTTAGCACCCCATCTTTGCAAGCTAAATATGTCAAATAATAAGTTGACCGAAATAGGACCTCTCCATCGATATCCGGCCTGTTTACGTGAGTTAAATCTAGACAACAACCATATAGATGACTCGATCATCGATGGGCAGTGTGAGGAAGCTGAAGAGGATAGATGTTTCAGTCCGAATATAGGCCGTCTAAAGTTAAATAATACTCCAATGAAATCTCCATTACGCCGAAATAGAATCTGTCTACATCGCACTCATGAACAATTGGAAAGACTTAAACTTTTACGATTATCTGGTAATAAGCTTAAAAGGATTACACTTTTGAAGGAAGGAGTTTTATCCTCTTCAAATTCTTCCCACATACTTAAACAGGTATCAATCTGATATAAATAAGCTACTGAATATTTCTACTACTTAAATATATATTCTGCAGATAAAATCACCCAGCTTAAAGGCTAGCGAGAACATGCTTTATCCATCACTTTCATTTCTCGACCTGACAAACAATTGTTTGGAATTTGTTCCTGCGGAACTATCTTATCATCTTGGTTTAAGCGAATTAAAACTATCAAAAAACAATATCAAAGAGGTAACACTTCGTTTTGAATTAAATTATGAAGTTAAAAAATATATTTTACAGTTGCCTCCAGAGTTAGGCTTATTAAGGCGTTTGTGGTGCTTGGAGCTTGATGACTGTCCAGTTCAAAAAACTCTTTTTTCAACACTAGGAGATAAGGCGAGAACTGTAGCGATTTTATCTTATTTGAAGTCAATAAAAGAGGAGTAAGTTCTTTTGTGCACTGCTTTAAAACTAAACGTAATAGAAAATTATAAATAATTGTTTTCAATCTTTCAGAGCAACTCTATACAACCGAATGAAGTTAATGTTTGTTGGAACGCAGGGTATAGGTAAAACTTCTCTATTAAGTCAGCTGAGATATTATGGAAAATATTCGTCTCGTCAAAGCACGGTAAATTTAAATTTATCTCCATATTTTTTCATTATATCTTCAATTAAGAGTATATAAAATATTTAAGTAGACTACAACGTTAATAAATTATTAATACTTTTGTTAAATATTTATTTTCTTACGTTTGTATTCAGTTTTATGTAAGGGATTCACCAAGTCCAAGAAGGGTAAGAAACTATAAATATATGATGTGCATATATTTATATTGTAAAATTTATTTGAACCAAGAGTGTAGTAATTGGATAAAGTTGTTGGAGTTAAATTAACCAAAACCCTGCTTTCTTTAGGAGCTTTTATTGCTTTTTTTTGTATACATTAATGATTTTCTTTATTTGAGCGATAATTAATGTTAAGCGAGTTCTTAAATTTACAATCTAATATCTGATTTTCTCCATTGAATTATGGTTATAATGTGACGCTTCGGTTCTATTAATTTAACTTTACACTTCAAATATGAATTATTTTAATTTTAGAGTTGGCAAGAGAGAATGGGAATGACAGATGCTAAAAGCTTTAAGGGAGAAAATTTATCAACTGTTGGTATAGATATTGGACAACTAACTTTTTCCAAGAATGGTACTTCAATAGTGCTATCAACATGGGATTTTGGTGGCCAGGTTAACACGCATTTCCAATTTGTTTAATACTTAGTATATTCATTTTGATTTAAAAATAGCAAGAATATTATGCTACACATCAGTATTTCCTCACGAAAAGATCACTATATTTAGTTATATGGAAAGTAACTGATGGTGAACAAGGCATTAATGATCTAAATCAATGGCTTGTCAACATACAGGTAATTTTAAACTTAAATATGCTAAATTACCAATATTTATTAAAATATTATCAGGCGCGAGCACCTAATTCACCAGTTATTATTGTCGGAACTCATTTGGATAAATTTATGCAACAACATGACACAAGAAGATCAAAGATAATTTTAGAAGCTCTCCGAGAAGATATCCATAAACGATATGTTGATGTTGTAGAGCAAGAAAAATATGGCCTACCCAGAGTTTTGGGTAGGGTAGAAGTTGTGGCTTGTAGAAAACATAAAAAAAGTATGGATGAGTTGTACAATTTAATTTGGAGAATTGTAACAGAAGAGAGGGTTCCTGGTTCAAAGGGTGTTCGGTTAATTGAACAAAAGATTCCAGCAAGCTATCTGCATTTACAAGATGCTGTTCATGCTATTGCTCAAGATAGAAAGAATGAAGGCTTAGATCCAGTATTGCATGCTGATCAATATCAGTTTGTATTGATAAAAATGAAGTCTTTATTATGAGTTTATTCATATTTTTCTATTTTTCCACAGTCCGTTAGTTATGCAAAAATTAAATGAACAAAAGAAGAAATCTTTTGACGATCTTTCTGAATTAAATCAAGCTACTCAGTTTCTTCATGAAAATGGTAAGAATAAATTCTTTTTTATTGGAAATACTTCAATTCAAAAATACTTTGCTTTCTTTAATTAAAATAGGCGTAATATTGCATTATGATGATGCTAACCTCCAAAATATATACTTTTTGGATCCTCAATGGCTATGTGATGTTTTGGCAAATATAGTAACAGTGAGAGAAATTAATAGATTATCTAAATGCGGAGTTATGAAAATATCTGATATTCAAGTGTTATTTAAAAACTCAGCTTTTAAACCACAAGATATTAAAGTGTATGTTATGGACTTATTAAGTAAATTTGAAGTTGCACTTCTATGGGATGACAACAATCTTCTTATTCCATCTCTATTGCCTAAGGAGAAAGATGTTCAGTGCGATTTACCATTTACCGATATCAGAGTATATTAATTATTTATTATATATCCTTTATTGATTTTATTTAATCTTCTGATTCTCTCTCATTAGATTCCTATAAAGGGAGGTTCCGAACAGAAAGCAAGAATAGTTGAACCATCGCAACAAGCTGGCTATGTCCTACCAGAATCTCCATACTATTGCGGTAATTCAACTTTTTACAAAAAGCCGCGAGAAGAAGTTGATAATGTGTCAAAAAGTTCAGCCGAATCAGTTGAATCCACTGAAGCAGCCAGCAAATCTGATACCCTTCAAGTATTTACAAATGAAAATCCGGTAATGGCTATTTGTCGATTATACTTGATGTCTTATTTCCCAAGCGGGTTTTGGCCAAGATTAATTACTAGGCTGTTAGCTGATTCTAGTTTCTATTCAGTTATTCAAAGTATATATCCTCAAACTCTTGAGGATGATATTATTAAAAGACTCAGCTGTTCTGAAAACGGATCTCTTAGATCTCCTGAATGGAAATGTTGGCAAACCGGTATAGAAATTTACTATTATGGAGTGGCTGTTGCTAGAGTTAAAGAAGTTACATCCGAATCGACGACACTGTGCGATTATAGACGCTGTCATTTGCTTATTCATCCTGATTCCGATGTTGAATGGCGGCCAGTTGACTTATCCACTAGTTCAATATTAGAAGTTTTCATTCCTAACGAGTGTCTCAAAATTGGAACAAAACGATCTCCTATACAGAGTCCATCATTTGAAAGAGAGGAATTAGACGAAGACGTTTATGGTTTTCTTTATCCAGATTCTCAGGCTGTTTCATCACTATTGGCAAAACTAGTCGATCATTTAGATACTTTATTAGAAGATTGGTACCCTGACTTAGGTTCAAGATTAGTTCAAAATACCCAAGGAATGTACCTGATTACGCGCCTTATACCTTGTCCAAGATGTATTCTTCAACAAGTCCATCAGCAGCGCGAAGCTGACGCAAAGGACTGTTGGCAACTTTTAACAACATCCCAAGGTCATGTCAGCAGTCGACCCATCTTTATTCAAACAAAAGATCAACAAAGGAAACTAGCCGCTAGCTATGATCCTATGAGCGATATGTATTTGGACGATATAGTAGAACCCATAGTAGGATCGGCACCAGCAATAGGAAGTGCGGAGTGGGTTCAATCAGTAGTAAAAACTGGAGTTAGTAGAGTTTCTAATACATATAACAAGGCAGCTGAATATCTGGGGTATGTATATTAACTTTTAATAATATATATAAATAAATATATGATATATTCACTCAATTTTGAAAGATAATAATACAATTTTCAGCCAGTTAGATACGCAAAAGCGCTACTTATATGCTCATACAATAGAGCAAGCAATTGTTATGATTAACTTCGGTTTTAAAGAGACCGAATGCCCCTTTCACGGTCTATTAAAACTAGTAGGAAGCAATGAAGGCTGTCAATTATCCACATATGATTTGGTAGGAATTTTCTTTTATGGAGAAAATTTTTTTATTGCTTACATTTCCTATTATCTTTAATGATTCGCTTCGCTTCTATTCTCTCTCTCTCAAACGTAATTATTTTTTTATTCGGATGGTAGGATTAATTGAGGTGTTATGTTTACAATATTTATTATTTAGATCTTAGAAGAGATAAAAAATCAGCTAAATAGTTTGCCTAGTTTAAATAATTTAGATTAAGGAGGATAATAATTAACATAAAATGTATCTATACTTAGCATATATAACTTGTTTAGTGGTTTATTAACAATTCTTATAGTTTGTAAACAATAGAAAGATAATATAATATAAATTATATATAAATATCTTATAGTAGAATTTGTAAATGTTGCTAATATTAGAAACAAAAAACTTATTCAATCAGGTGGCGAGGTGGCTTACGGCGCGAAGAGCACAAACGAAGCGTATATGCGCATTTATTTGAGCACTGCGTGCATGCCTCTCAACACGATCGAATTGTTTACTGCCCACAGCATGGCAATCTGGGACCAACTTTTGTTGCTTCTAATGATGGATACGTTCAATCGGAGCATGTCGCATCTGATGTGGTACATAGCCTTTTTTTAGTTAATCTGAAATCTGATCATTTTTCTCTCTGAATTTCTTTTATATTTTCTGCTGCTTTTTATATTTTACTAACAAAAATAGGGGAAATTTCATTTTATTAAATAGAAAATGCTAAGTACTGTATATCCATAGGTATTTCAAGATGTCCCCAATGAAAATAGGATCGATCACGATCAAATGGTTCGAGAAGAATTTCTCGGTAGGGGTGCATTCGGAGCTGTATACTCAGGAAAAGTTTTTGATAAGGTTTGTTTAATCTCGTTAATCTTTCGTGCATTAAATATTAATTTTAAGTGCTATTTTTTGTCTCTCTTTAACAGAAGAGTCATAAACAAGCTGATGTGGCCATGAAGATGTTGCAACCTGTTGATCCAGGACCAAATGTGTCAAAGAGTATTAGACGCCAATATGAAGTAATACAGTTGTTAAATATAGCTGAACAGTTATTTTTGCAACACCTTTTTTCATTTAACAGATGGAAAAGGCCAGATGGACAAAGGAGCCCATAAAATGTGCTTGTGATGCATATTTAAACGCAAGGAAAGAATTGAGTATTTTATTGAGTCTTCGTCACAATAATATTGTTCCTTTAATCGGAATTGCTGTGCGTCCTCTATGCCTTTGTCTAAGTTTAGCACCAAGAGGTTCACTGAACAACATTCTACAATTATTCAAACGAGCTGGATGTCGCTTACCTGTCCATGTTATAAAGAGAATAATCACTCAAACTGCATCTGCTTTACAGTATTTACATTCCTGCCAGATAATTTATCGCGATTTAAAATCAGAGAATGTTCTAGTTTGGTCTATACCTGATCCACAAACCTTGATCTGTCCTGTTCATGTGAAATTGGCTGATTATGGTGTAAGTAGAGCTATTCTTGCATCAGGAACAAAAGGCTTGGCGGGAACTCCCCCATTTATTGCTCCAGAAATAATAAGACATAACGGAGAAGAATCCTATACGGAAAAAGTCGACTGTTTTTCTTTTGGCATGTTTCTATATGAACTAATTGCTTTGAAGCAACCTTTCTTAGATGGAAATTCTGAGTTAATATCAGCAAATCTAAAAGGTCACATATTGTCTGGGGGTAGACCAAGTTTATCACCAGCTGATTTAATATATCCAACTTACTTACTGGACTTAATGGCTCTGTGTTGGAGTCAAGATCCAACCGACAGACCTTCAGCCAAAAATATTGTTGATATTGCCGATTCATCAGAATTTTCACACGTCAGAAACGTTGTAAAGTTTCCTAAATGTAATGACATTGGTTTTATCAGTGTCACTCAAGTTCAAAAGATAGATAGCTATGGTAAAACAATTTTCTTTTTGTTCCCAATTAAAAATCTAATAAGTATCAATAATATTTTAACAGGAGAAAGTGATGACATATCGCAAATATGGATGTCAAATTTAACAGAAACTAATGATTGGGAAGTGACTGTAGTTACCTACGAAGGCCATGAATGCTATGGGTTAAGGGTAAGATCTTATATTTATTGTTCAAACAAAAAAGACATAACAACGTCTTTATATTTTGTTAGCATTGGTCTGTTGACAGTCAACCTGTCTCGATGTGTACCACTGAAACAGATGTATGGATAGCATTTAAAACAGGTGTTATTGATATATATTGTCAAGTCACTCATGAAAAAGTCTACTCTTTTACACCTGACGATTCTCAATTCTGTTCTACAATCGTTCATGATTCTGTTGAAAAAGCCGTTTACCTCGTATTTGACTCTGGTCGAATTTTCGTGTGCACCTCCGACATCTCGGAGAGATTGAGTAGCGCAAAATTTTCACCTATTCGCTCTCGATGCACTGGGAGCGGAAGACAAATTTTGAAAATGAACGTATTAATTGATGAGCAACAACATTCACATTTATTCTGCGGTCATTCTGAAGGTAAAATGAGCGTATGGAGTTTAAGAGATAAATCTGGTGCGCAAACATTCCGACACGATTCTAAGGAGAACATTAAGTTAATAGCATCATCATCTCCAGATGGCATTTGGACATGTTTATCCTCGGCAAAGTTTGTTTATAGGTGGGATTTGCATAAAAAGATTATTAGTTGCAGTCTCGATATAGAAAAAACAGCTGGAAATGATTCAGCAGTCTCATGTTTGACAGCAGTCGGCAACTATTTATATATAGGTTTAATGGATGGGAAACTCCTAATATCCGAAAAAAATACTTTAAGAAATATTAGTATCATAAAGACATTAGGTGAAAATCCGATAAAATGTGTTCTGCCTTTACTACCGTTAAAAGAAAATGAAGCTGTAGTGGTAATTGGAAAAGGATATTTAAATATCTTACAAGATTATCTTCCTACAAATTCTCAGCAATTATCTCGTGACAATTCAAACGAGTACTTTTATTTTGTTAGCTTATTATCCAATACCTGGAGATGAAATTTATTCTAGTCATAATTTTCCCTAAGTGATTCTATAGTTTATTGATATTTTCAAATATTCATAATAAAGTTATCTTTAATTATTTATAGTATTTTCGTTAAGTTTTTTTTAGATTTAATTGACAGGACGATAGTTTGAATTCTTAGGTTTTTGTCTAACAAAAAACTTCTGGTGTAGAGGAAAACAAAATGTATCCTTTAAGTTATATTTAATATGTAAATGTGTACATTTGTCATCAATTTTAGGCTGTCTATATTTAAGAATAACACGTGGTTGTTTACTTAAAGATTATAAGTGTAACATACTGATGCTTATCAAATTACCTCTTAAATAAAGAAAGAAACTGGTTCGGGTCTTATTACTATTTTACACTGACTGACCTTAAAAGGTAAAATGCTAGGTGCGTCGTAAGATGGCAACACTTAAACCTACGATAGAGGGCAGTGTTGGCTCAAATGAGAAATAGCAGACGGCCAAAAAAAGCGGCCATCTTATGAAACTGTCGCTGCTTGAACAGAAAGATTCAAACGTAAAAAAAATACGATAATCTCATAAGAATTTTCAAGAAGTGGATACGTTGTGACAACTCAAGCAAAAAACTTTTTACGATTTAACAGTAAGTTTTCTTATTGATTTTACCCTAAAATTTAGTGGTTTTACCAATTTCGGACCCGGGTTTTTTTCGTAGAGGGCGTGTTCTATATTATTCTGTCTTTATCGCTATAGCCCGGTTTTTTTTCTGTTATCAATATACGGTTGGTAAAAATACAGGATTTGATTACAAGTAAGGTAGTTTGAATTTGTTTGTTTTGAGCTTAACAGTTTTAATTGAACTTTTTTGTTTTGGCTTGAGTAGGTCAACGTCAGTGTGAAAGTATTTGAAAGGAAACATGAAATCTTTTATTTAGTTCGAAAAAAACTCTCTGAATTCTCCCTATTCATTATGAGCCATAAAATTCTTTGCATAGTACACCTTTAAATAAGAAGATAGGACTATGAGTAGAATTCTTCACGTGAATCGTTTTTTTTATAATATTGTTAAAAAAAAATCCGTCCTATTCTAATCTATTTACATAACTGTCGTACCGGAAACTTGTACTGCACGGCAGTCGAGACGGAAATTATTAATAGTGAATTAACTACTAATAATTTTTCTATATATGGACTTCTGTCGATGTTGGATGATTCATTCGAACTGAGAACGGTCTGTTGAAGGGGTTATATTTCCCATGTCTGCTGTACATTAGACGCATCTTGTACTCAATACGGATAGTGTTTTTTTTTTTACAGTCCTTATATACAAACCATACGCATATGAAAGATAAAATAGATAGCTGTATACAAGTTGGTTTAAACTTACCGTTAGACAGTTAGTTAGACAACAAGAAAAAAACTGTTCTTAAATATCTCCACTCGGGGAAACAGCATTTAGATTGAGCTTCGAATAAAGGAAGCTCAGTGAGCGTCAATCAATATTATTCGATTTTGTTCCAAACTATTGATAGTTTTTATTTACCTGTACTCGTTGTAGGCATATATGAACGTATGTAAAATATTCAGCTTCAAAAGTTAATTGATCTTGACTTATCTAAAAGTGGTAAGCATTTATCAGCTGTCTTATTAAGGTCTATTAATAAACTAATTCTTAATAACTACCAAGTTTTGTTTGTTTCTCTATTCTGGTCCTCATTAATATTTTTATCATGAAAAATTTTCGCATTGTAACTAATAAATTCGGCAAGATAACTTTTTTGTTCGATCAATAGACTTTGAATATGTTGCATACTTTAAATATTTGTTTTAAACTTGTCTTTTTTTGGTTGAATGTTGAAAGTAACCAACCTAATTTTTTTCCCCTTCGTCCTTTAAAATTGTCTTTTTATAAAATAAACTAAATTTTTCAATTGTTATATATACATTGCAATTGCTAGAATAAGGTATATTTACTATGATTTATTGTAATTAATTTACATATTTTCTTTGATAAAGGATTGATAGTGCTTTTTTTTTTACTCCAATAAATATCTACATTATTTATATTTGTTACGTTTTTTTTTTCTTTTTCATTTTACAGTAGTAATCAACTCGGAACTTTAAAGGGAGATGTCGTACAGACAACGGCAGGATAACGATGGATATTCACCTGGAAGATATCAACCGCCAACAGTACCGAGGACTCGCTCCTCTTTTCAGACACCCCCCGTTACAGCGCCCAGAATAAAAACCGAACAACAAAGGGCATCAGTTTCCATTGACCCGATGAATCGAATAAGGGAAAATCAACCTAGGCATACCTCGCTTGACGCAGGTATGAATGCAGCTATACGGCCAAGAGAAAAACGCGTCCCAGCCCACTCTCCTAACACATCGTTTGATGGATCCCATTCAACAGATGGTGCGGGCTTATCTCCCAGAGATCATAAACCGAAATTTACCGAGTATACGGGAGGCTATTTACCAGAACCTGTCAATTCTTCCAGGTTCAGGGATGTTACGTCACCTAGTCGAAGTCGATATAGTGAGGAACGTGAACAAAAGTTCAACTCATATCGAAGTAGCGAAAGCCCATCCGCAACTGCTAAATTTGAGAAGAGTAGAATAGAAGTTTTGAAAGCCGAACGTATCGAAATTCAGAAAAAGACATTTACGAAATGGTGTAACTCTTTTTTGGATAAAGTGAGAGCGCATGCAAAACACGATGTTTCTAAATTCGCTACACTTGCAAGTTTCTCTTTCACTAACCTTTTTTACCGGCTAATTATGGCACGCTTTATTGTTTTCCGATGGTGATTTCAGCTTATTTCATTAATACTTTAACGTTTTTGATTCCTTTTTTTATAGAACCATAACAGTTACAATCTATCAAAGGTATTAATATAGGTGCATACTCTAATTCTTCCCTCTCGGCTTTTTTCCCTATAAGTCATTTAAAATTTATACGTAAACAAATCGAATAATAATTATTACGGTACGCAACTGATTAATGCCTATTAGTTGTGCAAACGTATAATTTGCTCGTTGTAATAGTCATGCTGAAAATATACTGTTTACAGGCTGGTTTACATGTAAACGATCTCTTTACCGACTTGGCTGACGGTAAATTATTATTGAGGCTTCTGGAAATTATTTCTGGTGATAATTTGGGTCGTCCGAATAAGGGAGTTTTACGTGTTCAAAAAATTGAAAATGTCAACAGGTGCCTCGAATACTTACGTTCCAAGGTAAGTTCAAAATTCAATAAGCATACGCTAAAAACGATAGACTTGCTTAAAAAAGATTTATTCCACGTACATAATAAGTTTTGATAAATTTATGGTTGTTATTAAAAAAAAACTACAAGACATGACGACTTGATAAGTCACGGTATCATTCAATACTAGAGAGAGAGAGAGAGAGAGAGAGAAAAAGTCTCTTTCATAAAAATTCAATAGTCTATCCAAGCGTAAAAACGTTTTTCCAAACCTTGGATTATAAAGTAATATCATTCAAATTTAAACACTCTGTTTTTTTATTTTACATCTTTCATACCGTTTGAACAGAGAATTGTTCACCATGTGCCATAAATGTGTAGATTGATAAAGTGATTTTATAACCGCACTTATCCAACAGAAAATGTGATATAATTATTGCAATAGAGCCGCCTTTGTTTCTTTTTTTTTATTATTATATCTCTCTCAACCTTAATATAACATATTTTGTAACAAATGTAATATTTATACAAATAGAGATAGTTGTTAAAAATCGTCGTCGTCGACTCTTCATGTTTGAAGTCGATAAGCTTTAAAACAGCTGTTGAAATAAGCGTTTATTTTTGAGGTAGAAAATCAATAATCGAAATTAAATAACTTATGGCAACGCTTGAAGCGTTTTTATTATAATTTACTTTAAATGGTTATCGGCAATGGACGTTTTTATCATTTGTGACACTGTTTTTGATTCATTATTGTTTTTTTTTTGTTTTTCATTCGAATAATTCTTTATATTTGATAAAAATTTTTTATGAATCGTACTAGGAAAGTCATATAGTGGCCTGTTTTATGTTGTACTAACCTTGTGTGAAATATTTAAAACCCTTAGGCCACTGGAAAAGTATTTCATAATTTGTGTTCAAAACGCGTCCGGAATGAATCACGTTAATAATATGCGTGGTATTCAGGGCACATTGCGTTCAATATTACAAGAAAATAGTCAATTTTTTTTCTCTTTTAAATAATTAAGTTATCAATGAATGATAACTGTCAACATGCTCTTTTATTATATAGGTTTATTGGGAAAATATTGGAGCCGAGGACATAGTAGATGGTAAATCCAGCTTAATTCTAGGCCTTATATGGACAATCATTTTACGTTTTCAAATCCAGGATATTGAAATTGAACTGGTAAGTGCAAAATATTTATAGTCTCTTAGTTCAGTTGAAATTTAATTACTTCTAACGCCATCTATAGGATGAAGATGATGAAAACAGTGAAAAAAAATCGGCTAAGGATGCTTTATTACTATGGTGTCAAAGGAAAACGGACGGCTATCCAGGTGTTAAAATCGAAAATTTCACCTCTTCCTGGAGAAATGGTTTGGGCTTCAACGCTCTCATTCATCGTCATAGACCAGATCTTATCAATTATGAAAGACTCAGTCCTCAAGATCATATGGGCAATTTAAACAATGCCTTCGATACAGCTGAAAATCAACTAGGCATAGCAAGATTACTGGATGCTGAAGATGTCGATGTCAGAATGCCTGATGAGAAATCTGTTATGACTTACGTTGCGGCCTATTACCACTTCTTTGCAAAAATGAAATCTGAACAAACTGGCGGTAAACGTATTGCTAAGATCATGCAGGATCTTATGGCAATGGAGACGATGGAAGACAGTTATGAGACTTACGTTAGTAATTTACTAGAATGGATAAGAGAAAAAATTGAACAACTATCTGATCATACTTTTCCCAATTCCCTTGATGGTATACAACAAGAAATGGCTCGTTTTAAGCAGTACAGAACGGTTGAAAAGCCTATGAAATATGAAGAGAGAGGAAAGCTGGAGGCCCACTACTTTAATGTTCAAGCCAAGCTAAAAGCTTCAGGTCGAAGGCAATATGTTCCTCCTGAAGGAAAGATGATAAACGATATTGAAAGTGCTTGGAATTTGTTAGACAAAGCAGAACATGCTCGTGAGAAAGCTATGAGAGAAGAATTAATTAGACAGCAAAGATTAGAGCAACTCGCCATAAGATATGACAAGAAAGCCTCTCTAAGAGAATCTTGGTTATCGGACATGGCTGGTGTCATAACTGACCTTACACCTCAACAAGAAACAACGACGCATATTGAAGGAGCTGTTAAACGACATCAAGCTGTTGCTGCTGATATCTCAGCTAGAAAGGATAGATTTGAAGCTTTGAAAGTTATGTGCAATGAATTGAAAAAAGAAAATTATTATAAAAAGAATGAGATAAATGATAGAACGGAAGAAATATTAAACAATTGGCAGCAACTTCAAGATGCTCTTGACAGAAAGCAAAAAGGATTATCTTCTCTTAACGAGTTGTTAGCCATGTTAAGAGAGATAGACAATCTCTTTTCTGAGTTAGAAGAAGTGCATAATTCTGTAAAAAATACAAATACTGGACGGCACCTAGTAGCTGTAGAAGATTTATTACAAAAACACGCGCTCTCCGAGGCTCAATTAGACACTATTTCAAGTAGGTCAAAAGCACTTAACAAGAGAGGGCAGTCGATAATACGACAGGTCACACACGAGGCTAATTTACTTAAGAAACGTTTGGAAGCCCTCTCCCGTGAAGTTGAAAATACGCAAATTTTAACAACTGAACGACGCAAAGCGTTAGAAAGCGCCAGAAGATACTTCCAATTTCTTCAAGACTGTGAAGAAGAGGAGGTATGGCTGGTTGAGAAATGTCAAACAATGAGATCCCGAGACGTTGGGATGGATTTAACTGCATGTACTCGGTTAATCAATAAACTTGAATTGAATGAAAAAGAAATTCAAGCTAGGGAGCCAAGAGCCCAAGAACATTTATATTCCGTAGCAGAGGAGTTAACTCGAAGCAACCACAGAGGCTCCACAGAAATTAATTCTAGAGTGAGAGAGGTGAAAAATACATGGAGAACTCTGAAAGAATTAGTTAAGGCGAGACGTACTCTACTGGAGGACGCCTTAGAAAGTCATCAATATTATGCTGATGCCAATGAAGCAGAATCTTGGATAAGATCAATCGAACCCTTAGTTGAATCGACCGATTATGGAAAAGATGAAGCTGGTGCTAAATCATTATTACAACGTCATGCAAGATTCGAGGAGGAGATCAAATCTTACTCCGATGATATTGAGAGATTGAATTGTTTAGCTGCTTTCATGACAAAAGCGGCCAACCAGCACTCGTACGACCCTGCCAGTACACCTGATAAACGAGCAAAATATTCGAGCATAACTGAAGCAAATGACGTAGAAGTCGAAGAAGAAATTATTGAAGTTCCTGAACTTGTCGAAGTTGAAGAAATGGTTGAAAAAGAAGTAATAGAGGTTGTTGAAGAAGAGAGAAGAATACCGCAGGCTATTGCTCTATACGGTTATTCGAAAGATGAGCTTGTTGTAAAGAAAAATGATACAGTTTTGGTCTTAGACCAATCTAACGACGATTGGTGGAATGTCCGTGCGATCGATGGTTCAAGTGGTTACTTTCCAAGAAATAGACTTCAAGTTACAAGCGATAAGGTAGTTATCAGAAAAGTAAAAAAGCCGGTAATGAAGAAAGTTCCTCAAATTGTCACCAAAACTGAAATGAGAAAAGAAGTTCATAAAAAAGTGAAACCATTGAGACGAACACCTTCGAAACGATCTCAAGGAAATTTGCACTTTGACAAAGAGAACGTTGATCTTCGTCAGAAAAGTATTAACTCTGCTTACGATCGCCTATGCTCGTCAGGAAGAAGACGACGAAGAATGTTGGAGGATACCGCCTTGTACTATAGATTTAGTGCTGAGTGTGACTCTTTTGAAAAATGGTTGACAGATAAAGAAAGAATTTTGGCAATAAAGGAGCAATTATCAGAAAAAGTTATTGAAGCTAAAATGAAATTTGAAGCTCTTATAACCGACATGGCTGCCAATAAACCTACTCTTGACAGTATAAACACAATGGCAGACACCATGCTTTCGAAAGAGCATTCTTTAGCTCGTGAGATTGATTCGAGACGAAGCAAAATCAATGAAAGGTAAATCAGTTAACATTCTCTTTAAAACAAATATTAAACAGCAATTTTTTTAAGATGGGAAAGACTTAATTCGCTTAAATTACAAAAAGAGAAAACTCTAAAAGGTGCATCTAGTCTGGAGCTATTAGGTAACACTTGTGACGAATTAAAAGAGTGGCTGAAGGAGAAATTGTCCACTTTGGATGCTATGGATCCAAGCACAGTCCATGATGCTAAGTCTCTTGAAACATTGAAAAGAAAACATCAACAACTGCAATCCGAAACCGGACCACTGGCTGATAGAATTGATAAAATGCAATTATTAGCTGAATCTGTAAGATCGGCCTATCCTGATGAGAAAGATTGGATAAATGCCAAAGAGCAGTCGGTAATGGGGCCATGGAGAGAATTGCAAGACAAGTTAAATAGAAAATGGAATGTTCTGGAGGAATCTGCTCAGGATCAGTTGTTAACAGATGCCATCAAAGAGGCTGACCAAAGCGCAAGTGATATTCATACCAAGTTGAACGATCACCGAAAGCCTAGAGACGCAGCAGATGCAGAGGCTATGTTGAAAGAGCATGCCGATACTAAAGCAGAAATTGATGCCTATGCTGATAAAGTTGAGAAAGCAAGATTGCGAGCTCAAGCAATTTTAGCTGAACGACCCGACGCTCCAGGAGTAAGAGAGGAACTAGCCAGAATGGAAGAAGAATTAGCCAATCTTCGTGAAGCATGGGAAGCAAAAGATAAGGACTTACGAGATGCCCTTGCTTTGCAAATGCTGAATAAAGACGCTGATCAAATAGAATCTTTGACTGCCGCAAACGAAGCTTTCCTTGAATTTAATGACTTGGGTCACGATGTTGCATCTGTTGAGGCTTTACTCAAACGTCACAAAGAATTTGAAGAAATCTTAAATGCTCAAAACGAAAAAGCCAACGAAGTTGCCAAAATAGCTGACAAATTAATAGCAGAAGGTCATCCAGATGCTGAAGCCATAAAGGAAAGAAGAGATAATTTACTAGCTGGACGCGCTCGCGTCAGTGACAAATGTGCCAACCGAAGAGAGCAACTAGAAGCTTCCCTCGAATACTTTGAATGGGTCAGGGCCGCTGATGAGCTATGTGAATGGATAGGCGAGAAGGAAGTTGTTGCCAAAGACGACTCATGGAGAGAGTTGAAAAATCTCCTTCCAAAAGTTCAAAGACACGCGGCAGTGGAGGCTGAAGTGAAAGCTAATGCTTCACAACTAACAAATTTAGAAGATACAGCTAAAAAAATTGTCAAAAGAAAACCTTCCTGTAAGAAGGACGTCAATGAACGAATGGATGATGTAATTGATAAATGGAGAAATCTAGAACTAGCCATAGATGATAAAGGAACAAAACTACGCCAAGCTGCACAGCAGCAATTATTTAATCAAGCTTTGGAAGACGCTTTGGGTCAGTTAGAGCGAATGGAGCGTCTCATTGCTAATGACGATATCGGGCAAGATTTAAGAAGTGTTAGAGATTTACTACAACAACATCATGGTCTTGAACACGATATGGAAGTTGCAGCCGTAAAATTAAGAGAAATTGCCACTCAGGGAAGAGAGCTAGCCGAAGCGGGGCATTTTGATGCTGCTACCATTCTTAAAGATGTTGAAAACTTTAATAAACGATTCGATGCACTTCAAGTTCCAATGGCAGAAAGACGAATGAAACTTGAGGAATCTTTGGCCTTTTATCAGTTTTTGTTTGACGCTGATGGCGAATTGCAATGGATTGAGGAACATAAACCACTGGCAACTTCAAGAGACTTTGGTAAGAGTTTAGTGGAAGTGCAAAAAGCTCAACAAAAGCAGATTGCTCTTGAATCTGAAATGTTAGCACACCAGCCTCATCTAGAAAAAGTGATTGAAACGGGGACAGTCTTAGTTAAGGACAATCATCCCAAATCAACTGAAATTGAAGCGAAATCGAACAATGTTATGAATGAATGGAATAAACTAAAGAACTCAACACATGACAGGAAAGAACTTGTCGAAACAGCAACGAAGAGAGAAGAATGGCAAAATAATGCTGCTGAAGCAGGAAATTGGTTAAAAGAGAAAAAAGACTTGGCCGCCAATCCTGATTACGGAAGAGATGAAGAGGCCTCAAACAAGCTGCTAACTAAGCATAAGGCCCTTGAAGAAGAATTGGATGGCTATTGTCAAGCTATAGATAATCTTCATAAAGATGCCTCCAAATTGAAACGTCAAATGTCTGAACCGGGCATGGCGTCAATAGGAGACAAAGAACAAGAACTTGATGAAATGGCCGAAACTGTAAGAAGTCTTTGCAGAGAAAGACATATGCAATTAGACGAAATGAAGAAATTGCATCACTATAACAGAGAAGCTGATGAAATTCTTGATTGGATTAATGAGCAACTGAACCAAGCAGATGGTGAAGATTATGGTACCGATTATGAACACTGCCTTAGAGTTTTGGACCGATTTAGACAGCTTCAACAAAATGTTGATGCTGGAGCCCCTCGATATGAAGCTGTTAAAATGTTGGCTCAAGAACTTGTTGATAATGGATCCCCTCATTCTGACACAATTACTGAAAAACAAAAGAGTGTTGATGACTCATGGCAAGCGCTACAGGACCAATTAGAAATACGAGAGGCCAAACTCCAAGGAGCCGCAGAAATCCACCGATTTAACAGAGATGTTGAAGAGGCTTTGTCCAGAATCAATGAGAAATATTCTGATATCAGTGATTTGGAAACAGGCCGAGACATGGCTGCTACTCTTCACTATATAAAACAGCATGATGCATTTGAAACTGAGTTAGTTGCTTTAGACACGCATGTTCAGATGGTAATAGATGACAGTAAACGTTTACAAGAAAAATTTCCAGGCGGAAATGCCCAAAATATGGCTGAACAGCAGGCAATTGTTTTAGAAAACTGGGAAATTTTAAAGAAAGCTGCTGAAGACCGAAAAGAGAAACTTGCACAGGCCTTGGAATACTGTCGTTTTCTTGCAAATGCCAGAGATTTTCAAATCTGGGCAAAAGGAGTTGAAAAGCAAATGGAGAATGAACCAGTTGCAAGAAATGTTGCTGCTGCAAAGGAACTTTTGAATGAACATGCTACACTGAATTCAGAGATAGATTCTAAAAAGGATGACTTTGATAAACTTGAAAAGGCTGCTAACAAAATGATAAATGACCAGCACGAATGTAGCAAAGATATCAAGGAGAAAGTCTCCAATTTTTGTGAATTATATACAAACATTTGTGATCTATCAAAAGTCAGAAATGAAAAATTACAATACTTACATGATAATCAAGTTTTCAAACGTGATGTACAACAACTCGATGCTATCTCAGCTTCTCAAGAAGCTTTACTATCATCCACTGATGTTGGCCAAACTGTGGAACAAGCTGAGACTTTAGTTAAGAAACACGAAGCTTTTGAAAATTTACTGGCATCTCAAGACGCTAAGATGGTTGCTCTTGAAAATGCTGCTAAGAAAGTTCTTGATTCGCCAGAATCACAAGGTAAAACTGATGAAGTAACAGACGAACTCGCCAGAATCAGAGATAGACGTGAAAATGTTAAGGAATCGTCAAAAGCCCGGATGCAAGCTCTTGAATTGGGTGTTTTACATGCAAAATTCCTACGAGACGCCGCTGAAATCGAGAGCTGGCTTGATTACAGACTAGAGACGGTTACGAAGAGCGAATCATTTGCTAATATATCCGACTTAAGGGAAAAAATGAAAAAATTGCAAAGACATCAAGCTTTCGAAGCAGAAATTTTAGCCAATGAACCGAGGGTTCAGTCCTTGGCTGAAAATGGAAACACTTTAATAAGAAGAAAACACCCAGATGCTTCTAGTGTTCAGCAAAGAGTAAATGCTTTAGTAACGCAATGGAATGATCTTGTTAAAGCAACTGCATCAAGGGGACGAGGATTGGAAGAAGCAAAAGATATTCTAAAAGTTACAGAAGAAGCTGATGCAATTGAAACATGGTGTAGAGCTAAAGAGACCCTTATTGCAGCTCATGATCTTGGAAAAGATTATGAACACTGTTTAAAACTTAAAAAACGATTAAGAGAACCTGAATCAAGCTTTGCCGTTGACGAAGAAAGAGTTGACGCTTTAAATAAACTCGTTGAACAGTTGATTCAACAAGGCAGACACGATCACAATGCCATTAACGAACGGAGAAATTCTGTTGTTGAACGGTATCATAATGTTGATGAAGGTCTCAAAAAATATGAAAAAGAATTGGATGCAGCTTTAGAAGTTCATATTTTCAACAGAGATGTAGATGATATCAAAGAAAGGCTTAATGACAAGGTTAATATCATTTTTATTAAAGGCCCTTTTTATCATAAGAATATTTATTGCACGAAAAAACTTTTTCTTTATCTGAATTTCATATCAATCTGTAGATTATGTTATCACAATGGAGTGATCCAAATGCAAGTACAGAGCATTTGGATACAGATCAATCTGAGGTTTGGCTTATTGTATTGATTAATAAAATTTAGCTGATTAAATTATAATCATTTTTATTGCAATAGATTCTAATCAACTTTTTTCAGGCGGAAAAAAAATGAATCGCTTTTTTTGTTTGTTCAATTGATATAGATTATTTAATTTTATCATACAATTTATACATAAATATCATAACCAGATTTCATTTTTTTATTGCACAGCTCCTTGCCGTATCCGTCAACGATTTGGGACGAGACGTTGCTACCGTTGAAAGTCTGCAACGGAAGCAAGACGACATTGAAAAAGATATGACTGTAATTAAAGACAAGCTGTTGAATTTGGAAGAAGAAGCTGAGAATTTGGCAAAGAAGTATCCGGAACACGTTGAAAAATTGCAATCTGAAATTGCTGGTGCTAATGAGTTATGGAACAAATTAGATAATGCAGTTGTCGAAAGAAGAACGAATTTGTCTAAATCGTACGACTTGCATAGATACTTAGCAGAAGCAAAGGAACATTCTAGCTGGTGTAACAACTTACAACACAAGGTTGAAACACCTGAGATGGCAACTACGGCTATTCTAGCTGAGCAGCTTATTGCCTCACACGGTGATAGAAGATCTGAGATTGATGCTCGTCAATCTCATCATGATTCGTTAGTTCGTCGAGGCAGAGAGCTTTTGGACGTTGTTGACAAGAAAAGTATCACTGACGTTGGAAATGCTTTGGAAAATGTTGAGAAGAGTTGGTCAAATCTTGACAGCAGTTGGAACGAAAGAAAAGCCCTTTATGCTCAATGTTTAGACTTTTGCATTGTTCAAGAATATGCTGATCAAGCTGATGCTTGGTTAGCAGAAAAAGAAGGATTTTTGGCCAATCAGGATCTTGGAAATAGTGTGTCGTCTGTTCAGACCCTTATAAAGAAACACGAAGCATTTTCTCAAACTCTTCACGCTCAAAAGGACAAAATTGCCTCTGTTGAACAACTTGCTGATGCAATTCTCAAAGAGACACATTACGCCCATGATCAAGTAGTTGCAAGAAAAGAAGGCGTACTCAAAAGATTTGATCGAGTCAAGGAGCTGTGCCTCTCCAGAAAAGATAAATTAGAAAAAGCATTAATTTACGAGCAGTTTGTTCGAAATATGTACGATATTGAGGTTTGGATAAAAGAAAAAATGACAATTGCCAAAGATGAAGTGGACAGGGATGGTGCTAATCTACAATCTAAGCTTAAAAAACACGCAGCTTTTGAAGCTGAACTTAGAGCTAACAAACAAAGGGTCTTAGATATAGAATATGATGTTAATCAACAAACTAACCACTATAACTATGATTTGCTAACTGAACGAGTTGAAGAACTTAAAAAGGACTTTCACAACCTTGAAGAAGCCAGCAAACAAAAAAGAGAACGTTTAGAGCAAGCGTGCGACTCCCTCCATCTGCAAAGACAATGTGATGACGTTGATGCATGGATTGATGATGTTGAAAATCAATTAGCTTCGGAAGAACATGGAAGAGACGTTACAAGTGCAAATTCCTTATTGAAACGACACCAACAATTAGATTTAGATATTCAGTCGTATAGCGAGAAAGTTAAAGAATTGTGCGATAGCGCTAATGGAAAGAGTCATTATTGGTGTGCTGAAGATCTCACTAAGAGAACCAATGCCTTGAAGGAACGGTATGATGCGCTCTCTGAACCTTATCAAATACGTTCAGATAACTTACACGATGCTCTTCTATTCTACTCTTGGTTAAGAGATGTGAGTGAGGAAGAGCGTTGGATTAGTGATAGAAAAAAAATAGTCTCATCTGAGGAAGCTCCTAACTCGCTAAATCAAGCAGAGAGTATGTTACGTAAACATGTTGCTGTAGAAAATGAAATAATGGCTCATGAAGCTCTACTTAAGGGTGTTGACGAACAAGCCTATCAAATGGTTGACAAAAAACATTATGCTTCAAAAGATGTAAATAGTCAACTAACAGCTCTTCACGAATATTTTATAAGTTTAAAGGAAACTGCCAAAACAAGAAAAGAATTCTTAAAGATTTGCGTTGAAGTTCAAAGGTTCTTCAGTGAAATAGAGGAGGCAAAGTCGTGGATTGCTGAAAAGCGTCATTTTGTTGATTCTGAAGAGAACGCTAAAGATGAGGATGCTGTTCAAGCCTTATTAAAAAGACATGAAGCAATTGAAATTGATATTGATAATTTTCAAAATACAACTATTGCTGAGTTGTCGGCATTTAAGTCCCAGTTGGCCGAAAATAGTCTCTGTAAACCAGAAGAAACTGAGAAACAATTTAAAGAGGTTGAAAAAGAGTATTCTGAATTGCAACAAGCCTGTATGACCCGCAGAATTCGACTAACGAACCATAAGAGGTTATTAGAACTTGAGAGAGAAATAACTGAAGTAGAGAGTTGGCTAACTGAGCGTATTGCTGTTGCTTCATCAACTGACTGTGGTGATGACTTGGAACATGTTGAATTGTTACAACAACGTCATGATGCTTTCAACAGAGATCTTGAAAGTGGCGAGGAGCGTATTACAAATGTTAACACTATGGCTAAGAGCCTTTCAAAGGATGAACCATCGTATAAGGCGAAGACTGATGAAATGTGCGAACATGTCAATCAATTATGGACTCAGCTTAACGATCAGACTAGCGCCAGAAGAGAAACTCTTATTGATGCTTGGAAAGTACATGCTTTCGTTAGAGACGCTGATGATGCTCTGGAATGGATTGGTGAAAAAGAAGTTTCAGCATCGAGTACCGACTACGGAACTGATCTTTTAAGTGTTCAAGATCTATTAAGTAAACTCTCCACCCTTCAACAAGATCTGTCTGCCTTAACAAAGAGAGTTGAAGATATATCAGACAGAGCCAGTACTTTGAGAAAAGAGCTTTTATCTGATGCCCAAGAAGTAGTTAAGGCTAAACATGAAAGTTTATTGACTGCTTGGAACGCGTTGTTAAGTTGTGCAAAAGAGAGAAGAAAAAAATTGTTACAAGCAGAAAATGTTCAACTATATTTGGATGACTATAGAGAATTAAGAGCTTGGTTAGGAGAAATGGAAGCAATAATGTCGACTGATGAGCTTGCAAAAGACCTCGCAAGTGCTGATGCTCTCTTGGAACGTCATAGGCATCATAGGGCTGCTATTGATGCGCGTGAACGTTTAATTTTGAAGTTTATGAATAGAGGAAAAGATCTCCTGATTCAAGGACACTTCTTATCCAATGTTATATCAGAAAAAATGAACAAATTAGATGCCCATTATAAGAGAGTTTTAGATGAATGGAATAGACGTCAGTCTTTGTATGAACAGAGTAGAGATCTCTTAGAGTTATTCCGAGATATGGATTCACTGGAAGCTTGGCTGGCTTACAGAGAAACAGCTTTGACCGAGGGAGATCTTGATGATATTAAATCTATTGAAAGAATAGAAGAAGCCCTCCGAGCTCATGAAGACTTCTCTCAAGCAGCTGAGGCTTATGGTGAAAAGTTTAGTAAGATTAAGAGGCCTACCCTGATTGAAAAAACAGAAGAAGAAAGAATTGAAAAGGAAAAGAGCACTGCAGCTAAAAAGCTGGAAGATGATAAGAAACAAGATGTTAGAATGAAGGAGCAAAGAAGACTAATGCAAGTAAGTAACCCAAAGTATTTATTGAAACTAAAGAAAGTCATCTAGTTGTCTCGAATGTTTATCTATTTCTATTTTTGTGTGAAAATATCTACTTGACATAATCTTCCAGGCTAGAAGGAAAAGTGATATAGCTATTTCACCAAGAGCATCTATTTCTCCTATTAACAAAATCGCTGTCGTTGATGTTAATTACAGCGATGACAACACGGTAGTTTTCACATAGACCAAAACATTAATTGTTTTATTTGTTGTGTATAAATCGAGTTGATTTTGAATGGTTGGGATTTTTTTCATATGCTGGAAATATGTTGATTTTCATACATTGTCGATTTTGATGTGCATTTTTAACTGATTTTTGTGCTGATCCAAATTTTCTTTTTTTAATTGCCTTTCAATAATATAGGAAAGAGAAAACGAGGGAATACCACAGAGAAGATATGATCAAACACCAACAACTAACGAGGCAATTCAAACACCAGTCATCACACAAACCACCGAAAGGGTAATTGGAACTCCGCTTCCTGCTCCATCTGATTTGAACGCCAACAAGGTTTGAATAAAGTAACAAATATTCAATTTATCAGTTTTACATGTTTGAAATTACAGGTAACAAGAGCAGACAGCCTTGGTAAGCCAGAAAGAGGTTTACGAGTAAGTGAGCAATGGGCTGCTGATCAACCCCAGGCTAAACCGAAGAAAGCAAGAAATATCAAGAGAACGTTATCGTTGAGAACTCGCCGCCATTCGCTGAAAGGTTGAAACTTATTTCAATTTAACAATCAATTAAAATGAATATTATTTCTTTTTTTTATATAGAAGCTCCTGAATTACCTCCGGCCGATATAAGGGGTTACGTTGAGCGAAAAATGGAATTACAAATCGGCGGAAAGAAAGCTGCCGTCCGGAATTGGAAACTTCACTATACAGTTTTATGTGGACATTTGCTTGCTTTCTTTAAAGATGAGACAGCTTGTGCTGAAACGATAGCTAATATCCCTCCGATAAATATTTACTCAGCCAAAATTGAAGCAGCAAGAGACTACACGAAGAAAAAGCATGTCTTGAGAATAAAAGTTAAAGACGGTTCTGAATTTCTGCTGGCTTTTGATTCTCAGAATGACTGCTTGGAATGGAATAGAGCCTTATCCCTTAGAGCAGGTAAGACAGAATAGCACTATTAAAAATAGCAAAGCGCGCAACGCCTTCAAATATCTCCTTTCATTAATAATTAATATACTGTATACTATATATATTATTCTAAATACTTATGAATTGTGTTCATATACTACAGTAGTTTAATTACTAACTTTAGCTCCTTTTAAACTTACGTTAACAGAACAAGAGCAATGTTCCGACAATCGATTATTATTTGGTAAGATGGTCGTGTGTTGTTAATCAGATGTATTTTTTGCAAAATCTCTTATCTCTTTTAGCTTCTCTAACACTTAGCTCTTTCTTGTGTTTTCCCGTTTGGTTAGTCGTCAAAAAACCATTAAGAATAAAAAATCTATAATACACACCTTATTGTATTACATGTTTAGAGCACTTTTTCTAAAGTTATTCAAACCTTTTATCACTCTATTACAAAATGTTGTATTTTTTTCCCATTTACTCTAAAGCGCACTGCTCGCTATACTAACCCAACAAAACTCAGGTTACAGATGAAGAAAACCTAAATATAACAAAGAATATAGCTTTTTTTCTCTCTATGGAGAGAAACAAAAGAGTTTAATAAGTGAAAAAACTTTTGTATTTTATTTTATGCTCTAGCTTTGGTGGGCAGGATAAAATATTGAACTATAATTAATAAAATACCAACACGCTTAACTTGATTTTGATTTGTCGTAAAATACCTCGCTATTTACCCAATTAGCGATGGATAATTACATGTATAATAATTAATCTTAATATTCTTTTTTAAAACAGCTCTAGAACCATCTAAACAATTGCAAGATAACACTGAAGCACCAACGAGTCCAGCTCCACCTCAAAGTCCATGCTCTTCAAACGCATCATCGACAAAATCGCCAGCACCTCCTATACCTCCAGATCATACAAATCCGTTTGCTCAAGCAAACAATCCATTTGTTGAACCTGGTAACCCGTTCCCACCCTCTCCAGGAGTTAAAACTCCAGTTGATAACAGGATCTCTGGTAAGAAAATTTACGTATGAACACTAGGATAAATTTTTTAGTCTTTTGGGAAATTTTGTATATCTTTCAAAAATTTTTTTGCTGCTTGTTTATTAGGTTTTCTACAAAAAACTTATTACTTTCAAAGAACCTATAGCAAAAATATTTTAATTTTAACTTTTAAGATATTTAAATTAGTAGTTTAATTCTACCTTCAGACGAGAATGCATCATCATGTAAGGAAGAAAGTGATGATGATGATAATGATGATAATGATGATGTTGAAAGTGATACGGGTGAGGAGATTTTGCGGTGAAAAGCTTTAGTTGTGTGGTGTATCATATTTTAAATTTCTCAAAGAGTGGTCTTTTTTTTAACGAAATAACCAATAGGTTTATCACATATTTTCTTATTTCATTGTTTTCACACATATTCTATAATATTTCTATTTTTTCAACCTTGAATTCCACGACACCTTCTTAGAGCTTTATACAGAATATAGATTACTATATGCAGTATAGATACTGTATTACATTATATAAAAATATATATATCTGTATGTCTTATCGTATAAGGTACAAATGTCATATTCATTTTTTTAATTATGCTTTTCTTGATATTCAATAGATCCGACAGGAGGATTATCAACTGGTTCTAGCAGAAGGAATTACAGTAATGGAGACTCAGATCCCCGTTCGCATACTCTGCCAATAACACCCAAATCAGATGGTTCAACTGAAAGCGAGGAATTATCGTCCCTAACACTAGAAAGAAGGGGAAGTAAACAGTCCACAAAAGAGAAAAAGCGTTTCCCATTCGGAAGCATATTCAAAAAGAAGAAACACGATAAATCCTAGATAAATTGATTATTCGATTAGTTAATTTATCTTTTATGTACAGAAAGGCATATTTTATAATAATAAGTGAAAGAAGAAGAAATGCAAGAATGCCAAAATTTATTAATTAAAAAAAAAAAGGGGAAAATTGAAAGAATTGGTAACAAATATGAAATTGATTTGCTAGATATAATTTAAGAATTTATACACAGCACATATATACACAATATATGTACTAATAATATACACTATATTAAGTATGTACTATTTAAGCTCTTTTTTCGCTCTTTCTCTGTGCCAATTATATTCAAGTTTCTTTTTTTTTCATCTTTTCATATTTTTTTTACATTTACGTTTACAGTCTTTTTTCTGTTCATTTTATTTATGGTACAGAGATATTTTTATGATGTTAATAAATATTTGAATTATAACCAAAAGAAAATTCCTGTTTGTTAGAAACTCAATAGCAATTGGTTTATGCAATGCCAGTTAGAGGCATAATTTATTATAATCATGCTCAGGCCTATTACAGACACGTGATTATTGCAGCGACCGAACCGATCACCGAACGGTTTGCATATTGCAATATGGACGTGTCCAGAGAGGTTGGATTTGCAAATGGGCAATTCAGCATTTCGTGACGTCAGAGACGTGTATCGGCTTGTCCTAGATTGTATTTTGCAAGCAGTATAAAATAGTAATTGAGTAATATAAACGAGTTATTTAGCGTATCATACTCACATCGTAGTGAATCGTTAGTAAGTTGAGGAAGTTTTACTTCTTTCTTGCAGGTGAACATTCGTAAACTGTTGATTGGTTATAAATTTGCAGTTTAATAGGAATACAAATAATTTTTTTTTCTTAAGAACAATCGATATGAGGCCATCTTTAAAGAAATCTTCTTCTTCAAAAGCATCTCTAAAGGTATTTCGTTCTGTACACTCTAGAATCACTTAATATACAAAAAATAAAGTTTACATAGTAATATTTTATCTCGCTTATCACTTTGTGAGCAATGCCGGTCTGTGAAGTCACCATGACTACTCTGTACATTTCAATAGTCATACGGGTTCTTTTTGGGCCTAAAAACAATGTTATATTTCTTAATTTTTTTATTGTTTAAATGAAATTGTAGAGAACACAAAGTCAGCGATCGCAACTTAGTAAATCTCCGTCGAAAACAACTAACAATAGTTCACCAAAAACACCATTGCGCAAATCTCCATCGTCGGTCAAGATGAAAAGAAAGAGAGTACCGACCAAAGTATTTGAAATAGAGTACACGCCCAGAGCTGCATCATCTAAAAGTAAAGCGAGAAAGGACATTCTTTATGAAAAGTTCACTGTATTGGCTATAAGAAATGAAGAAGGTGAGCGTATAAGCTTGTTATACACCAGTTTAAATAGGTTATATTGACATTATCTTATTTACATAGACGACTTCTTTCTCTGTAAAACTCTTTCTGATATTTATGAAAGTACCAATAAATTTCCTCTACAATGGTTTGCGGAAGAAGACGATACTAAATCGCACTATAAAAGAAGTTATGCCGATAAAACTACTAAAGACAGTATATTGTGCTCCGTAAAACTAAAGGTAAACTAACACAATAGAATTAAGAACTAGGTGTACTCTTTTTCACGTCGGCTTCAAATAAATATTTATATTTCTTTTTGGTATAAATAGAGAACCACGGTAGACGGTGAGAATAAATGGCTATTGACAAAAGAGCGGAAAAGAAAAATTGATCATCTTCTTGAAAAATCTATTGCTGGATTATCTGCATCGGAAGGTTGGCTTCCTTCCTTTTTTCCCTTATTATTTATTCTGTTCTGTCAAATCACATACAATTATTATTAAATTATTTAGAATCTTCTGACGATGAAAATGATGAATTAATGGATGACAATGAAGAAAATGACGCAGACATGGATGGAGAAAATGAGGACGAAGATAAAGATGAAGATGGATTTGATGATAAAGTTGTTAAAAAGAAGAAAACACCAAGAAGCAATAAACGAAAAAGAGAGTCGACGAATGCCAAGGTGAAAACTCCTAAGAAGCCGAAGCTCAAGAAGACTCTTTCCCAAAAAGAAAGAGAAAAGAAGGCAAAAGAGGATCTAAAGAAAGCTATTAAAGCTAATCCCAATCTTAAATTGAAAAAAAATAACGATATTCCTCTAATCACAAAGGATCTTACATTCGAAAGCAGGTATAAATCAACTTTTTTTAATTTTATTTCGCAATACTACATGCTTTTTGAATAGGGAAAGTCTGCCAATTGAAGGATCTCCTCAGTTGAAGTCACTGCTAGTTACTAGGGCTGTTATTTTAGAAGATGTTCCAATGCTTCAGAAGCTATTGAAAGACGAAAAGGGAATAACCACAGCACTCCCACCTAGAGGATATTATAACGAGGATAATCCACTAACATATGCAATAAAGAAGGAAAATTTTAAGATTATTAATATTCTTGGCAAAGACTGCAAAAAAGAATGGACAAATAAACTAACAAGGGCAAATAGACCAAAATGTCTTATCCCTACTCAAGAAACTGGAAAGTATAATAGCTACTCTCTTGGAGGTACTCCCTTCATTAGGGAGCTATCTATTAGTAGGGGAAGTAAAGAAGGAAATCAGGCTTTGATAAAGGTATTATACTTTTCTTAAATAAATTTACGACTAGATTTAAAACAAATTTATTGAAATAAAGGATAGCGTTACTTCACCCTTCGCCTACGATTTTACTTTTGATAATCACCGCCTATACTCTGCTCATAGTTATGTTAAAGTAGCTGTTAGTTTAGGCAAATCTAAGGATTTTATCGTTAAACTACTGCATTCTCTAGGAGAGAAATATGAAGTAAGTATGAAATATAAATGTTTGTTACAATTAAAATTTTAACAATTGAATAAATAAACGAAACATTTTAGACACATTTTATTTTGGATTGCGTCTACGACGCTGTTTCCAGAGGTCACAGGAAACTTGCCGCTGAATTATTACAAGATATTATGAAAGATAATGAAGGATTATTCAATTTTCTTCATTATCAAGTACTAGCGTTTGATGGAAAAGAGAACTTAAAAACATTTAGAGAAGTTTCCGCTAAAAAGCGACCTTGGAACAACCATAAGGTAAAATATTGAGAATTGACTATACTGTCTATACTGCATTGTGACATTATACTATTGTCTAATTTATTGTTTTTCATTGATAATAGATAACACCAATCCATTGTGCCTGTATTAATCCTAATCCTGTTTATCTTAAGAAACTTTTGAGTGTTCTTCCAGATATTAACATAACTGGTATGTAAAACTGAAAGAATTTTCCTATACATGTTAATTAATGACATTTTAAAAACAGATGATAGAAGTACTAGACCTATTCACTATGCTGCCGCCTGTGAAGGGCCAGGACCTATAGAGCTTCTCCTAAACAGGTATATATTAATTATTGGTTTCCAATACTAATTGAATTATTAATCACACTCGTCTATAGGGGTTCAAGTCCCGATGAGGAAAACTGCCATGGAATGATACCATTGATGATAGCTACCTCTCTTGGTAGAAAAGAAGTAGTTGAAGCTCTCATAAACTATGCTGAAACTAAAGGTTCAGAAGAATCGGATGAGGATGAAGAGGAAGATGGCAGAAAGAAGTTTAACAAATTTGGATTAGCCGGCATAAATAGACCAATTATGAAAGCTAGAAAACCACTATTCTCTATGACTTCTGTTCATATGGCATGTCATTTTGGCCAGAGGGTAATACATTTTTATATTAGTTTTTTTCATTGGATATTTATGAACAAATATATTTTTTAAAGGATATTCTTAAAATATTGCTCGACAAAGGCGGAGATTTTAATAAAGGGATATCTGCCTCAGCTGATAAAGTAACACCCATGATGATCGCCGCCAGAAGAGGACATTTAGCTTGCGTTGAAGAGTTAATGAGTAGGGGCCACTTTATAGAAACAAAAGATAGGCGAAAGAAAACTGCTCTTCACCATGCTATCATGTGTGGTCATTCGACAATTGTTTCTCTGTTACTGAGAAATGGAGCAAATCCAAATTCTGCTGATTCCAGCGGTAATTCTTGTTTGCATTATGCAGCAGCTTACGGATGGTATTTTATTGCCAAAATGCTATTGGAAGCTGGAGCAAAACCAGACGTAAATAACGATTGGAAACTAACGCCTTTAGCTGTTGCTTTCCTAAAAGGTCATATTTCTTTGGCAAACTACCTTATTGATGATGTTGGGGTTGATATAAACATTAAAAACGATAAAGGAATGACTCTAGTATCAATAGCGTCAAGTTCAAGTTTAAGTGAAGATTTATACGACCAAATGGTTTATCTTGTTGAAGAGAAAAAAGCGGACGTTACAATTCTGGATAATATGAAGAATTCTCCATTACACTATTTGGCCCAAAATAGTATAGCATCTTTTGGTCGTTATAATACAAAAGCAGCTGATGAGGCTTTAGAAGCAAGCGTTAAAATTGCTAGATTATTAATAGATAATGGAGCTGATACAAGTGGTGAAAATTCTGATAAAAAGACACCTTTAACTTTAGCTATTGAGAATGGTAATAGAGATTTAGCACGTTTACTATTGGAGAAAAGTGGTTCAATTTCAAGTACACCTAATCAAGATGGTCAAACTGCGTTACATTTAATGGCTGAACTGTGTATAAAGAGGAAAATGTCTGAATTTATAACTATCTTGGCTCAAAAGAAAGAAAATCAGGGTGAAAATAGTCCATTGAAGAAAATGGCTTTATCAGTTAATAAGGCGGGTGAAACTCCATTGCTATTGGCGTGTAAAACTTATTCTACGTGGAATGTAAGTATATTGCAGTATATAATTTTTAGTGACTTATATCATTATACTAATATATATATTTTTAGGGAATTATAGAAGATAAATCATCATTCGGCTGTGGCGGAGATGAAGATGATGAGGATGGGGATGAAGATAGTTGCGATGATGATGCTGATGATGATGAGGATTACACTGACAGCGAGGACGCACCTCAACCTAAGAAGAAAGCTAAAACAGCTAAAAAACTTAAAACAACACCTGTACCTCATAAGGAAGACAAAGTATTAACTGTTAGTATATAAATATTCCTTATCAGCTGAAAAATCTAATAGTATTACACTTCCAATTTAGAGCGCTGATCGGGAAAAACAGAGTATTTTACGAGATGCTAGAAGATTTATAAATGATTTAATTAAAATTTGTAAAAGTGACGTAAATGCTCAAGTGATAAAAATAAGCGAAAAAGATAATGAAGAAAGTGCCTTTGGTGGCAATCGTCGAGCAAGATTCACTGCGTTTAACCGCCACTCTCATAATGATTCAACAACTTATGGTATAAATATATTTGCCATTCTTGTTAAAGAATTAACTAAATTTTCTTTTGATTTTAAATTTAGAAAGTTATTGTGCACTGGATTTCCTTCTTAATTGTCGGTCAGAATTGGTAGATAAAGTTAACAATGAAAGTACACATTTTCCAGCATTGCAAATGCTTTTGGATCATAAATCGAATGTTAACAAACGTCATCATGAAGGTAGATCAGTGTTATATTGGACAATTCATAATGAATGGGAGAAACAAGCGATAATGTTAATTGATGCTGGAGCCGATGTTAACGATGTATCCCAACATAAACAGGATGATAAAAGGACAGTACTATCAAAAGCTGTCGAAACTGGCCAAATAGAGGTTGTTAAAGAACTTTTACACAATGGAGCTGATCCTAACATTTCTACCGGAAAATTGAATGAAACTCCTTTACATTTAGCGACAAAAGCGCCTTTGGATGCTGAACCTAAAATTGAAATGACAAAAGCTTTGCTTAATTTCGGCGCATCGGTTGCTAAACCAAATAAACTGGGCCAAACCCCTCTACATATTGCTTGTTTAGCTAATAGTGGTTTGGTTGATATCTCAACAGAAATAGAGGAAATATTGATAGACAGCGGAGCTGACATTTTTGCAAAGGATTCAAAAGATCGTCTACCATTGCATTATGCTTTCATAAATATAAATGACAGTGAACAATCTGAAACAGTTGATCCTATTGAATTATTATCACTTTTAACTTCTTCAATGGGAAACAAGAAAATTGATGTTTGTGATAAAAATGGGCAAACTCCACTTCATAGGGCAGCAATACGAGGCGCTACAGTGTCTTGTATGCATCTTATTGAAAGGTCATGTGACATTAATAAAATGGATAACTTTGGAAATTCACCATTAGGCTATGCAGCAACATTCGATCACGAGAGTTGTCTAATTACGCTACTTCAAAAGAACGCCGATATTACTATTCCGTTTAATTATATTGGTAGAGAATATAATTGCATAGAAGATAAGATGGATTTGGAAAAGGAAGAGAAGAAGGACAAAAAGCAGTATCTTATTTGGAAGCCATTAAAACAACCCGATGTTGAAGAAGATACCAAATGCACAGTTTCAATATTTCAAACGATTCTTCAAAAGCATTTGTCAGGCGTTGCATACTTAATGATGGATTTATTCTCGAAATTTAAAATAACTTATTTCAATGCACTAGTTGACGCTTGTAAAGCTTCATCATTTAGATTTATATTAACTATATTACACAAAAAGAAAGAAGTAAATATCTTGGACAAATCGGCTGACAACAAAACTCTATTACACTATTTAGCGCAAGAGGCTGTAGACTATGAAGAAGACTTATATATAAGAGTTGCTGATGCTTTTATAAAAAAGGGAATTGTCGTCGATGCTAAAGATAATAACGGCTGTACCTGTCTTCACTATTGCGCAATAAATAGGAATAACAAACTTTTGGATCATCTAATAACTAAATACAAATTACAAAGGCTCGTCAATCAAAAGGATAAATTTAATAGGACTCTCGTCAGCACAATTATATTTTCTTCGAGTCAAACTAATAGTTGTCCAGTATCAGCTTTGAGAAATCTTATTAAACATAAAGCCGATTTCAATACTACTTTTTCCTATCCTGACATTCCTAGATTATATGGCTATGATGAAAATGGTATGAGTAGTCAGAGAAGCAGATACAAGATTTTTAAGGAGTATCCTTTTGTTATAACTCCATTGATTTTCGGCATCCTAACTAACAATGCTGATTTAGTAACATTTCTCATTACAGAAGCTAAAGTTGATCTAAACGTTAGCGATTCAAAAGGAAGAACTCCACTTATGCATGCCGTCAATTATAATAACTTTGGAATGGTCAATTTTCTTTTCCGAACCAGTTATAATATTCACCAACCACAGTTGACCCTTTACGGACCTGTACGTGTGAATATAAACAAGTTGACAACGGCGAAATCTGAAAAGATTGAATTGAAGAAGAAACATTCAAGAACCTTTCAGCTGGGTCGTAAAAAACGAAAACTCGATAAGATAGCGCCCATTGTTCATTCAGATGAAGATGAAGATGAAGATGAGAAAGAAGAAGAGTCAGATATCGAAGTTGATCCATACGCTGAATTAGGAACACAAGAAAATTTTGTAATCCCGTGGCCGAAATATTCTAAAACCGGTAAATTTGGGTTTTCAAATAGTTTAATTAAGTAAACAACTAAACATTTTTATTTATGCAGACATTTTTACCGCTTACGTGACTGATACTTACCAGAAACTCAGGGTAAACGTCAATCAGGTGGACAAAGATGGCAATAGCGTCGCTCATTTCCTTGCTAAACCTTGGGATAATCATCCAACTTACGATAGCGTACAAATGTTGATGACTTTAAAGACGGCAGGTGTAAAATTTGATGTAAAGAATTCTGCTGGCCAAACGCCATTCGATATAATTATCAGAGCGAAAGCTGAAAGCTTATATAAAGCATTCAAAGTTTTAAAATTGGTGAAAAATGATACAAGAGAAATTACTTTTACTGAATGTAGATTGGAAACTTATGAAAATATTAATGAGAAATTACCTGATATTGATGTTGATGCAGATTTTGAGTCTCTTAAAGATAAGGTCATTGGTGGAGATATCGAGGAAGAAGATACTAAACCTAAACTCGATTCAGTATTGAAATTACCATCAGCCACCTCATATGTTGTTAAAGACGAAGAATTAGATAGATATTTCGATGTTCTATTAACAAAAATCGATTTAAAAATAGCTCGCTGTGGCTTATATAATTTCTATAAAATGCAAGTTGTTCATAATCAATCCGCTGAGTTATTTATATTGTTGACAAGGTGGGGTAGAATTGGTGATGTAGGTCAACATCAAATGACACCTTTCAATTCAAAAGAAGCGGCAGTTGCCGAATTCAAAAGTATATTTAAATCGAAAACTAGCAACATATGGAATAGTGATGAATTTGAAAAAAAACCTGGTAAATATCGTCTAATTAGAAATCAAGATAGAAAAGTGAATGGTAGAAAAAACAATGATATTAATCTTAAATTAAAATCAACCAAGGATTCATTACTAAGTAAACCATTACAGTCTTTCCTATTAGATTGCGTAAGCTATTTTATTTTATTCAAATATGTTAATGGATGTATCTATTCAATTCTCTTTCTTTTATCACATTGTAGATGGACATCAGCTGTATAAAGAAATCTTTACAGTCACATAAAGTTGATAGAAATCTCTTAGCATTTGGACATATTGAAAAAGAAACATTAGTGAAAGCTCTAGATATAATTAATCAATTATATCCGATAGTTGAAAAATTAACTAGATTAAAGTCGGAATCAACGCCAAAGGTTGACGAAATGGAGGAAGTTATGGTTAAAGTTCGTATATAAAAGCCTTTTTGTTACTTGAAAATGTTTATTGAATATTTTCTCATTTTCCTTTCAGATTTTTAACCTATCAAATGAATATTTTCATCTCGTCCCCTTAACTGGCTATTCATGCGAAGCTATTAGTCCGCTAGAACAAAAGAATTTACTTTTGAAAGAGGAGGGTAGATTACGCGATCTTTTGGATATTGAACTATCTACAAAGGTTTTAGTAGGAGCAGAATCCAGGAGTGAAAGTTAGTATAATAGAACTAATTTGAATACGTATACAGTATATATATATATATATTTTTTTTTTTGAAACAGCTATTAATCCTATTGATTATGTCTACAAATCTATTAATTGTAAGATAAAGGTTCTAGATGAAAACGATAGAATTACACAATTTTTACTGAAGATGACTAAAAGTGAAGGACTATCAAGTAAATTTTTATTAATTTACATAAAAATTGTTTGGTTATATAATATGTTTCAAATAGCTAAAATAGCTAACGTGTTCGCTATACTACGTCCTGGAGAAGAGTCCGTTAGAAAGGATGTTGGAAATCACTATTTGTTGTTCCACGGAACTCGAACTATTAATTTACTTGGTATTCTATCCAGAGGTCTTTTAGTAGCACCACCTTCAAGTGATACAACTGGAGCAAGATTTGGCAAGGTATTTATAAAAATAATCAATATGTATAAAATTGATAAATATTTGCTATGCTTTTTTTTAGGGGGTTTATCTGGCAGACTCTTTCCAGAAGAGTTACCAATATTGTCATAACTTCAACGAAAAGTCACCCTATAATTACATGTTTGTCTGTGAAGCAGCCATTGGTAATCATTTTACTATAACCAACACGGGATATGCTGAAAAACTGCCAAAAGACTGCGATTCACTGCTTGCCTTAAGCTTAAGAGCACCCGACATGGCTCACGACATAAGATTATCTTCAGGTATGATTTGATCTATTTCTCAGTGCTTTTTGTATCGTATTTTAATCGTCACAAACATTTTTACAGGGGTAAAACTTCGACTTGGAAATCAAGCCGACCACGAAAATGTCTTTGACCGCCAGAAATATTTCACTTATAATGATAATGAGTACATCATCCCGGATTCAGATCAAATTTCCCTACGCTACATTATACAATTCGAAAAATAATGTGCTTCTTTCGAACTATTTTCAGGTTTAATTAATGATTGCACCTTCATTAAAGTTAGTTCATAGTTAGTCGAAGATTCTTAATAGAGAATTGCAACATTTTCTTGTCGAATATATCACTTTTTTGTCTTTAATTATAACTAATTTTTTAGCACTAAAGTATAAGATAAGGGAGGGAGTAGCTTATAGGGAACATATCGTCACCATGGAATAATTCGAAAATAAATAAACATGTATATTTTGCCATAATGAAGAAAAAGACCCCAAAAAGTCATATAATATATGCCATATAGAGTGTGCATATATTCGAAAAAAATAAGTTATTCTTTCAAAAAATTATCTAACTAAAGCGCCATGAATTCGTTCCAGCTTTCTCTCATTAACTGGTAATTTGATGATATCTTTGCAACCCTTCTTAGGTATTTTTATTACACCAACAATGACTTCTTTCTCGTTTATCTTCTCCGTTAAAACTTTATTTAGATCTGGACTTGAAAATGCTTTTGTATTAGTTGAGACATGACCAACGGAGTGCCTTTCGGCTATTAAGCTTTCAACTTCACTCTTCGTTTTAATTAATTGCTTCTCCAATTCATTCCATTTATCTTTCGCACCAATTTTTGGTGTACAAGCTTCGTGATAAATTTCAGCGACTAAGCTCTTTACTTTCCTTTCAACCTCTTTCACTTCAGTTGTTTGGTGAACTTTAGGAACATTTAACTGTGGTAATGATTTTAAAGTATTTATCATATTTTTACTGGTAAGACGCAAATTCTTTGATTGCTCTACTTTCAAAGCAGAGCTTATGGAGTTAACTTTCTCAACCAAAAGCGGATTCTCTCTTACTGATGCTTGACTTTGTGCTGTTGACGGCTGTCTAGCCAAACCCTCCAAAAGTGTTTTACGTGAAAGCGCCTTTAAACGATCTTTTAATTCGATTTTTTCCTGTTCCAAGGCATCCGTATCAGCCTGTAAAGCATCTACCGTCTCCTCAAACTCTTTTTCTTTTTGTCTCATTTTCATTGTCATTTCATCAACCTTTAATTGCAACTTATCCGCACGATCATCCGCCTCTCTGGAAGCGCTTTCAACCTTCTTCTCCAGAAGACTTATCCTAACATTATTTTCAGAGATTTCCTCTATTTTTATTCTAAGTTGTTGTTTTACTTCTTTTAACGCTTCATCCTTATCTTCTAATTTAGCTTTAACACCTTCAGTGTCAGCCAATTGAACGCGAACTGCATGCGATCTAACCAATATAGGTTTTTCAGTTTTTTGAACAACTCTTTCGGCCGCCTCCAGTTTTCCTTCTTCAATTGCATTAGTGAAAGTCTTAACAACCTATTTCGAAATAATAAAATTGTAATTGATTGTTTTTTTAAATAAAAATATAAAATAAAAATAATTATACTTCTAAAATCTCTTCAAAATTTTGTCTAATCGCTTCAAATGGTGAGACGGTTAGAACGTCAAAAAATTTTTCAGCAGCTTCGTTCAATAATTCAGTCATCTTTGCAGAATTCATACCAATTTTTTCACTTAATAAATCAGCTTGCCTTAAAACTGAAACCGATGAATGCCTAAGACTTTTTATAGCTATAGCCAATTTATTTAAACAATCTTCAACCTCCATAAATAAATTTTTCTGATATTGTAAAGGTTCATCTCTTCTTTTTATCTTTTTCAATTCAGATATTAAACAAACAACAAAATTTTCTGTATCCTTTAAAAGAATATTTATCTATAAGGGATAAGAAGAAAATGCTATATTCTATAATCATTTATGAATTTATATTAAATATTATACTTCGCTGTTTGAATCTTCGGCCAATAGACAATATTTCATTCTTGTTGTATCAATTTTTAAGCTATTTGAACCAGCTACCAAAGCAGCAATAGAATTTTGTGCTAAATAGACTGGATCGACAAATTCTTCAGCTAAATGAACCGAGTATAAATGTTTTAAATAATTAACAGCTTTTTGAAGTCCTTCTAAATTGACCGTTTCGTCTAAAAGATCTTTCTTAAGCAAATCAAGTAATAAATCAATACATTTCTCGTGCGGTTTTATTTCTGGTAGCAAACTGCAAACTTTAAGTAGTAGTGAATCCGAACAAGAATTTAAGGCATCTTCGTATTTTTGCAATAAATATTTTAAGCTGCATAATTGAAATTGAAGAAAAGATATATAACTATATTGATCGCTAGTCTGATTTTTTAATACATCTTCTTGATTAATTTCATCTGGTATTTTCCATTTTTGTCGAATCTTTAAATACATTAATTTATATAAATAATATAAGTTAAATAATTGTGGAAATAATGATTAACCTGATTAAGGAGGAAATCTGTTTTTTGTATCATTGACGATACCAAGAGAACTAATTTTATAGCATCAATTTCACAACCGCTCCTTTTCAATGAATCTGGTAGAAATGAAAGTAAATAGTTGATATTCTTTGCCGATTGTTTGCATTGAATGTTTAGTAAATTAAAATCGATAATTTGACTGAAATTTTTCATTTCAGTTTGCTTTGCGTGAAAATCAATTGTTGGAGTTTCTCTCTTTTCTAGAACATTTTCTGTATTTTCTTTCAGAGAGCGTATCTCCTCTTGCAACTGGGCAACCAGATCTCTAAACTTCGTTATAGTTCTTTCGTAATCAGAAATAGAGTCTTGATTTAATTCTAATCTTCTTATCGATTCTGTTAACTTAGCTCGAAGTAAATCATTAGCCTCTCGTAATTCTAACTCTGTTTCTCTCGAATTTTCCTGCAACTCTTCGTTCATTTGATGTAAAGTCTCTAAATCTTCCTGCTCCTGTTCTAATTGCTGTATCCGTTCCTCCAACTCTAAATTTTTCCTTGTCAATTTTTCAACCATTTCTTCAGCGCCAAGAGCTGCGTCTATTTGCTCCGACATTTCAATTGACGCCTCATTTAAATTCTTTACGGGGAAAATATTGTTCTATTAATTCATTTATATACAAAAAATAAAACTACCTTAATTTCGCCCTGTAGAGTTTCTTTTTCTTTTCTTAAATGTGATATTTCATTATTTTGCTTATCATATGTTTTTTGATATTTATTAATCTCTTGTTTGTTATAAATATCTAAATCTCTAAGCTTAACTAAGGCGGCCTTTAATCTTTCGTTCTGTTGTTCTAATTGCTTCATTTGATAAGTTTGACCAGCGGATTCAGATGAATTCTCTAATTCTTCTTTTAAAATTTGTAAATCCAGGGCAGTTTCTTCGTATTTCTCTTTTGTGGCTGATAATTCTTGTTGTAAACTATCTATCTTCTCTTCAGCCATTTCCTTATCTAAAGTGGCCATTTCTATCGTTTCGGCAGCATCTTGCATTTCCTCCTTATATCTATTAATAATTTATAACGGACTCTTTTTTATACATGTATAATTATTAAAACTGATTACCTTTCGAATTGTTCTTGAACATCCTTCAATTCGTTCTTGGCTTCTAAGAGACTTCTTTGTTGCTGAGCGCTCTTTTCTTGAGCCGAGTGTTTATACTCTTCGAGTTGTTCTACACGAAGTTTTATTTTATCGAATTCCTTCAGTTTTTGCCTATCTTCCGAACGTTTTGCCTTGAGCACCTCTAGCTTTTCATCTACATCCTCTTTATCCTTTTTTAAAGTTGTAATTTCGGTTTCAAGCGCTGATATTTTAGCCACAGACTCAGTTAAAGCTCTAATCGTGTCCTGATTTTCTTTTGCAGCTAATTCTTTCTTTACATCTTCAACGAAGCTCTTTGCAGCTAAATAATGTGCATGATCGTTATTGATTAGATCAATTGCCAGTGTCAAAAGAAAAAATAAATATAAAGCTGCCTTTAGACTTAAACAGCTTTTTTAAGAGCAAAGAGGAAAATAAAACTTACGAGGAGCCTCTGGAGAAGGTTTTTTAGGAGTTTCACTGGGTGAAGCTCCTTTAGATAATCTTTCTCTGGAAGCCGATTTTGAAATCGATGTTCTTTTAATCGTGCTCCCAGGTAGAGGCAATTTTGAGGAAGTTGGCGTTGTTTGACCACTATCGTCAATCACAACTAACTGTGTAGGTCTTATGAACATTCCATGGTTTTCTTCGCATGAAAAGTATTGTTTTCCTTGAACGGTCCCATTGTTTTTACCCTTTGCCTCGTCAAGAATCACTCCTACCCATTTACCGCTACTGAATAGAGTTGCACCGATAAAAGCAACCGTTCCTACAACATCCTTCCCTGTTATCTGTACTCTGCATCCAACTTTTAACTTTGAATCAGCCATTTCCGAAATTGACGCAGCTGCAATCGTCAAAATCAATGATTTTTTTTTCTTGCAGAGCACTTATTATTATTTGCAAGTGACGGAAACACAAAATCGGAAGTACAACGTATTATCGCCCATATCGTGTTTGGACAACATCGTTGAGAATCCCAGATCGCGATTCGATTTTACAAAAACTCTCAAATTTTGATAAATATTTCTGAACTCCTTAAATATGAGCTCCATCGGAACCGGTGTATGTATTTATTGTTAAAATAAAATTAGATTCTGATTGTCTCTTTGTAAAAATCAATCGAAAATATCATTTATTGAACAATCTGAAAGTCATCTGAGCGATAATATGCCTCTTTTTACAGTACGACTTATCGGCGTCTCAATTCTCACCCGATGGTCGTGTATTTCAAGTGGAGTACGCACAGAAGGCTGTAGAAAATAGTGGAACAGCGGTAGCTTTGAAAGCAAAGGACGGCGTTGTGTTTGCTGTTGAAAAACTTGTTGTTTCCAAACTCTATGAATCAACTTCAAATCAGAGAATTTTCTCAATTGATTCGCACGTAGGAATTGCTGTAGCAGGACTATTGGCAGATGCTAGACACTTGGTTGAAACTGCTAGAGATGAAGCAGCAAACTACCGAGCAAACTATTCTGTACCAATTCCTATTCCCTACCTAGCAGATAGATTGGCCATGTATATGCATGCCTATACCTTATACAGCTCAGTTCGACCTTTTGGTTGTGGTGTTCTTCTCGGCGGTGTTGGCCAAGATGGTCCAGAGCTATATTGTATTGATCCTTCCGGCGTATACAACGTTAGTAAAATTTCACTTAGAAATCACTCTAATAATAAGAACAATAATTTTCGGTCTAAAAATTATACAAAATATTGAAAAATTTAATAGGGATATTGGGGAGCTGCAATCGGAAAAGCCAAGCAAAACGCAAAAACTGAAATGGAAAAATTGAAAGTAAAAGATATGACCATGAAGGAATTGATAAAGGAAGTTGCTAAAATGTTTGTTTTCAATTTCTCTTTTTAATCTCTTCAAAGAAAAATTTGATACTTACGAATGTTGTGTTTTGTTTTTTAGTATATATATTGTACACGACGAGGTAAAAGATAAAAATTTTGAACTGGAACTATCTTGGGTTGGAGCTGAGTCGAATGATAAACACCAACGTGTCCCAAGCATTGTCTTCACTGAATCCGAAAAATATGCTAAGGTCAAAAATAAATTATTTTATTATATTTATAAACATTATCAATATAATTTTTATTATACAGGAAGCCATTCAAGAATCAGACGCCTCAGATGATGAAGATTTATAGTTTGTATATACTTTTTACCGTCGACGTTAAATAAAATATTATTACAAGAACAACAGTTTTTTTGTTCCAAATACATGCAAGAAACGTTGTAATTTTGTTTTCTATGCGTCTCTTATCGTAAAAAAAAATGAATGTAGGTGGCGATGAAGTAAGATCGCGAAAGGAGTTACTACATCATTTAGCTGTTAACTGTGCAACCGTTAACGAAATAAAACTTGTAATGTGACGTCGATATTTTGATTAAATCAGATCTGCTCTATTCCCGATAATTAAACGTCTAGTCGATAAGTCTATAAAGTTTAACAGCAGGAAGACGTATTATCTGTAAATTAGCGAAACTTAAGACAGCCTCGCCTTTGGCACCTGGTGTTCGGGATTACCTCTATTGATCATTACGCAACATGGCCCTGTCAGCTGACGAAAACCACAGCGTCTATGCGTATTCACTAGTTGGTCTTTTGCCAGTATCTCTTCTAGTTCAGTTGACTAGTTTAAGCGCACCTTATTGGTGGCGAAAGCATTCCGGATATGGCGGCCTATGGAGAATTTGTCAAGGCAATCAACGAATTGTATGTACTTCGATTTTCGAGGATACCAACTTCGGTAAGTTTGCCAAAAAAATGTTACAGATAGCGCGCCTGTTAAATAATCGACATAGCGAATTGAGATGAGAGAACATCTGCATTCTGTTTTTTTCCGTTTTTCGTTAGCCCCCATTCCTTGCTTGCCTCTCCGTGCAAAAGTTCTAGACTTGAAGATAAGATGCAAGAAACGAGCGCGAATAGCTAAGACTTGAAATATCTGTCTCCCTCCGAGACCACAACTTAGAATACTAATTAGGTTTACCCACAGATGTTATACGCCTGAGAGGAGACTAATCGAATTAGTAATATAAACACTAATCGAAGATTTTCTTGCTCTACGAGAAAAAAGAACGATAGACACAGGTGCGATTATCTTTAAGGAAACAGCTTATTCACCCAATATTCACTAATTATACAAGTTTACCTATTCAATATTCTTAGAATATTTATGGAATGGAAGGGACATTCCTTTCTTTGGCGGTGCGGAAGAGAGATATCGCATAGCCTTCGAGTTTATTATTATTACAGTCCGACCTTGCACTTTCTTCATGCAACTCAAGGGAATCGTTGAAAAGTACAATAAAGCGATTAGAAGAATTTATGTAAATTACATGTAAAATCCTAAGAGAGATACTAAAACGCATTAAGTACAACCATCGGTTTACGACGCATTTGTTCCGCATCGCTTATTCTTCGCTTCGATTAGCCAATGATTAATGATTGAATTTTTTTTAAGGCTTTTTACTAGTTGGGGAATTGACTCTAACCGTCGCAACAACTTTAATGGCTGCCAGTGAGTTTGTTTTACTATTCTACCTCTGCGTACCCGGCTTCGAAAGGGATGTTAGGTGCAAGGTACTACTCTGCATTCTGTCATTCTTATCCGGTTTGTTTACAGTCAATTTCTAAATTGCAACCCGTTTAATTGATTGCTTTTTTTTTATTCTATCTTCATTATCTTCATCTTTTTCCCGCTTTCGTCGAACTCTCAGCTCTGCTAGTTTGTACGGGTGTCGTATCGTTCTCAGTTTGGTCGAGCACAAAAACAGATCTTCAGTTATGGTGGGCGTATGCTTTGGCCGTTGCCGCCTGTATCCTAACATCAGCAGTATGCGGTTTAGCTATGTTTGATTTAAGAAAACTGTATTCTCTCATTTATCATAGTTCTCGTAATAGTCCTGTTGACTTATAAAAATAACGAGAATCAAAAAAGACAATAGTAGCTAATTTAATAATAAAACCAAAATAAACGAATACTTGTATTTGATAGTCCAGGTTTAAATGAGTTGGTAATGCTTTAACCTTTCCAAGAAGTATGAATGTCATACTTTACCTAACGCATTATACTAAATGAAAGGGCAGGCAAAAGATTCTATTAGTCTACGATGTAAATAATATGCTTTCAAATGCTCTTGTCTTTTATTTCTTTGAATTTTCTCTTTTTTTATAGTTATTAGAAATACCTCTTTTTTAAATAATAAACAAGGGAAAATGTAATAATCTATAAATATTTTTCTATTGTAAACAAGATATTAAATACTTTGTTTATAGTTGCATAATTAAATTCTAAAAATCCTTTATTCATATTTAAATATGTTGATAATATATTGTGATCAATGATTAATTTTACGTCATAAGATTAGAATAGTATTACTTTGTATCCTTTAATTAGATCGAAATATTTTTTCCAAGTATTCTCTAAATAGAGTTTGCCTCGTTATCCGGAGTCGATAGATGGCGCGGCTGAAAATTTGGATCTGTTGTCTAAACACCTTATGGATCACTAAGTTTACTTTAAAGAATCGGTGCCATCCTTGGGGATCGTGTAGTGTTTAGACCAATCATTTGTACATAATTGATTATCTAGCTTAAAATGGGGCAATAAAAATGCAATTATTCCATCAAATTAATATTATCGCTTTCAATATAAGCTGTTCTTTAGAAACAATCGTTAATTATTAACCAATAAGATGGTCTAGTTTAGAGTTGTTTATAAAATATTTCCCTTATCACACGATACAAACAATGCAGTAAATAGAAAATTAAATTCAATATATTAGCATATCGAATTTGATTTATTAGGAAATATAGTAATACAAGACCAGTAAGCGCCTTATATATTCTACTCTTCGTCTCTCCTACCCTTTTCTCATTCTTACATTCCCTCTTCATCTCCCTTGTCTCCTTTTCTCTTTGCCTATCTGTCGCCTATGCCAACCACCATTTCAGCTAATCAGCGTCTAATTGTGTATAGTGTTAATGTCTCTCCAATATAAGGATTTGCCAAGAAGAGTAGAAATTTTTAACGAAAGAAGTTCAATTTCCGAGACGACAATAGCATGGTTGATGGAACGTTTATTATCGATTTCAAACTTAATTAGACCGAGAATATGCTTATAAAGCTCATAAGATAATAAAATATTTTGAAAGTGATAGGAGCCTAAAGTAATATGACAGATTATACTTCGTATGGCACATAGTAATAGTAAGATTAATCTATTTTATATAAATAATAGAGATAATTAGTTCAAAATTATATGATATAATAAAAAAAAAAGAGCAAGACGCTATGCCTAATTTATTATCCAGTTTTCTGTGTCTAACTGAGAAAGCGGGAATGCTATATAAGACAGACAACCGGTTAACGTTGAAAGGAGAGGAAAAGGGCTATAAATCTCCTTCTAGAGTTACAGAATAAACAAAATTTTCCCTTCGTATTTGGAATATGATGAAATGGTGATACTCAAACGATTATAACCTGGATTCTGTATTTGTTATTCTACCAATACACCACAGCCAATTACAAGATCTGCTCAGTTTGCCAATGTCCTTATTTGACAGACAGCGTACTTTCTATCCTTCACAAGAAAACATGATTTTGTTCGGAGAATATTAAAAATGTCTCTCCTGACAAGCGAATAGTACTCTAAACCTTCTCAAATCTTAAAGTGTACGTGACTGATTATTCATAGAAAGTACATTTTTATCATTCCATCCCATTTCCTTCAATTTGAAAATTAACGGAAATTTTCTTACTAAAGTATATTCTCATTCTGATTAACTATTAAGCAAAGATTTTATATAGCAAACTATTAATAGACAAATGATAAATATTACGTAAAAGTTTTTCTATGATTCATGAATAAATAATCTCTCTTCAATCGATCCTATGTTCCTTTTAATTTCAATCTGAATAAACCAAACATGGATTAGAGATAATTTCTTTCTTTTATTTAGGTTATAAATATCCATAACGATCAAATGATTGTATAGTCAGCAATAATTTTTGAAAAAAAGGCATTAAGTGTACCTTTACTTACAGGAAGTATGCTTTTCTAAATGGGTTCCGGTATTTTAATCCCAAATGAATGCATTCGTCAGACTTTTTGATTAATGCATAAGTATATCCATACTTTTGTTTTTAATTACTTTAATAAAAAGTCACCACCCTTCAACCTTCTCTTCTGCTCTGTCTATTTCCTCTACTAACTCCTTTTCTACTTAATACCAACCTTTTGCAAAATTTAGCTTAATTGACGGGAATTTTTATAGCTGCTGAGGTTTTAACATCTTAAAGAAGAAGGGCTAAAAGAATCTGTATCATTTATAAATCAGTATTCTCTCTTCTCGTTTAATAAATCTGTTGTAAAAACTGACTTATTTATGGAAAAAAGCAAGCCTTTTTATAGGACTTTTGCAATTTAAAAGCTTCTTAACTTATTCTCTCATTGTGGTATCTGAAAGCTGAATAATGATGACATAAGAAACATTCCTGATTTTATACCAAACTAAAATATTCCTCCCTCTTTCATTCCTCCTAGCCCTTAGCCGACACCTAACTAATCAAGCACATACAAAGCACATCTATTTTTCATTTCCTAACCAATTTTTCAACCAAAAATCTTATTCTAAGTTATATTAACAATGATAATTCTCTACCAAAACGAAAATATCATAAAGCATCGATGATTGACATTAAAATTTTAACGTTAATTTAAAAGAGAACGTCTGCTCCCGACTGAGAAAGGAGAAATTATTAATTAAAACTACGAAAGCAAGTAAAAATAGAACGTAAACATTCCATAATTATTTTTATTAGTGCACTCTTTGAAATGAGAATTGAAGAGTACGGCATTGTTTTTTTGTTGTTGACTGTTAAGTATTTCTTATCTTGGAGATAGATTTTACTTCTTAGATATTTTTTAAGTACTTTTTTCCTAAAATAATGTTGTTTTGTATAAGCTACCCTTTTATGCTGTGTTTTTATGTTTTATACAACAGAAAGTCTTAGCAGATTTATCTTTCCTACGTTATTTAAAGTATTGTTGTACAAGCACTTATAACGTTTTACGCAGTTTCTGATATCAATTTGAAAAAGCTTAGATACTTTCAGGTGTACACGCCTACAACGACTTAGTGTAGGGTTTTATGTTTAAATATCAGAATTTCATAATTCCCGCTTCCATCTTTGTCACATGACTAAAACTATCTCACTATGTGTCGCTTCGATAGACATCGATAATGAATCGATATACTACTCGATTCTATTCATATATGCACTGTTAACTGCAGTTACTTCTTATTTACTTAAACTAATTTTAATTCTACCGCTAATTAGTAATACAACTATTATTTTTTAAGCCTTGTTGCTTTACACGTTCATAGGGAACATAATAATTAGATATAAAACTATTTTCTTGCTAACCGATACAGAAAAAATAGAACCACCGATATCGATAACATTTACTCGACAAACCTCGTGTTCTTTTTGTCTATATGATCAGCTTTAAAACCGTTTTATCAGGTTTTTATTGGCGTTCATCGTTTTGCAAGCTCCTAAAGCAAAGTACAAGACCTTTGACAATGTCATCCATTGAAATTGGGAAAAAAGCTGCAGCAACTGCTGCTGTAAATGATTGGTTAAAGGTTTATAATGTTTATTCCCTCTTTCAATGAAGTTTGTAACAAGAAAGGTTACTTTTTAGGACAATCAAAAAGTTGGTATAGGAAGTGGATCCACAATAGTCTATGCAGTTGAAAGAATAGGTAAAATTAGAACAAGTTTACTTTCAGCTAAATAAATAACTCTTTGAGAAAGGTATAATTACCTCATAAAACGCTCATAATTATTATATTAACTATCATTAATAATATAAATAAATAAACATACCGTCATACTTTCAACTTGTAAATATTTCAATGATTTAAAATAAACATTTTTTTGGCTGTAGCTGAAAGAGTTAAGAATGAAAATCTTAAAATATCCTGCGTTCCAACATCCTTTCAGGCAAAGCAACTAATTACAGAACACGAATTAACCTTATCTGATTTAGAAAGAACACCAGAGGTACTAATTTCTACATATTTAAGTCTTAGGGGTTTATCTCAGGAATAAAACGGTTGATTTCTAGCTGGATCTCGTGATTGATGGTGCTGATGAAGTCGATAAGGATCTTGTATTGATTAAGGGAGGAGGAGGCTGTTTGGTCCAAGAGAAAATTGTTGCTTCTTGTGCAAAGGATTTTATAGTTATAGCTGATGAGAGGTTAAAATATTACTGAAATATTGAATAGGAAAAGAGGCATATATATATATATATATATATATATATGTTGTGCTTTGCAGGAAAGATGTTAAAAAGTTAGGAGACAATTGGAAGAAAGGTATTCCTGTTGAGGTAATTCCAATGGCTTATTTACCGGTCAAAGGAAAATTAGAGAGTCTGCTCGGAGGTGAAGCCATTCTGAGATTAGCCAAGAGCAAAGCTGTTTGTTTTATTTCTTTAGAAGAAACTCTTTAATTTACTTCTTATCCATTCTTTTCAATTTTAAACAGGGTCCAGTTGTCACAGACAATGGAAATTTTATATTAGACTGCCACTTTTCTGATTGTATGAAAGACGATTGGTACAAGGTCAACTTACAGATCTTAGCTACACCTGGCGTTGTCGACACTGGTTTGTTTGTAAAAATGGCCAACAAGGTTTATTTTGGTACAACAGATGGAAAAGTAACAACTAGATTGCCTAATTCCAATTAACTTAAAAGAAACTCTAATACCTTAAAAGTACCATAATTTTAACAGGGTGCGGATATTTTGTGTTGAAAATAGTGGAAATATTTAATAAAATTCTAAATTTCTATTTTTTTGACTAATTTCTTTAAAGAAAACAATATTTGTAATATATTTGGACTATCTGGAAAAGTTTTTTGTATGTGACATTTGAGGATTACTCTTAAAAGAACACCTCATTAGCAGAGACATTAAGAGGATAACAGATTGGTCGATAACTGTTGCCAATGGTGATAAGACAAGAGCAAAGTAGATGAGTGAGTACTAAGACAACCATGGAAAAGAGTGACCGATCAACTAGACTTGGTTGGTACGTTGAGGGTACTCTAGGGTCTATGTTATAAGCGCTTATCTACAGCTTATCGTAAAGTACCTCTTTCTTGCCATCAATTAAGGAATTGTGCTATCCATTTGAACGCCAGACCGCTATTCGAGCGTTTCTAATAGCGTAAAAATAAATCTGCGAATCACTTTGTCAACAAAAAGAGAGATAAAAAGAGTGAAGCACGATGGAGAGGAACTAGATAGTTTTAAAGCATTTGCTCTCATTGAAAGAGCTTAGCAAAGATAAGTAAGCGTCATCGTATGTGACAGATAATATCACATACTATACATTAAAAGCGTACAAACATTCATTCTTGTTTCGAAGATAGCTCGTATCTCAAATGGCTTGGATAAATAGTCTCTGACGCTTACAAAAGTTTAAAGCGAATGAACTGCCAGAATTATTAAAATCACTTCTTTTCGATATAATTAATAAATTGAAAGGATCAATTTATTCGTATTAAGGATTAGCGTTTCTACTTAACAGGCAATAGTCTTGAATTGAAATATATGATGAAGCTTTCTACAAATGATAGATTACAATGTGAATTCTATCTTTCTAGTCTTAAGAATTTTGTATGTCCTCAATCCGATATTGAAATGTATATTGTAAGAGGATCCTCCTTTCAAAGAGATTATCATCTCGTTCTCTATTTTGATTATGAGTAGCTTAGAAACTTCTCAATTTCTTGAGCAATCCATTCAGTATGTACATAACCTACACTACCATTTATTTTGCAGTATGTTTAATCTCAGTCCCGTATTTAGATCCTCAATCACCACTGACTTCTGGAAGTGCAATCTAGCACGTTTTACATAATTTATTCGAAATAATTGTATCTGGAAGACGTAGTGATTTATTTTTTAAAGAAAAAACAGCCCCAACATTAAATCAGTCAACATATTCAAGGCGAAAAAATATGAATTGCTATTCAAAAAACAGTAATAACTAAAATTAATTGTGAAGTAATTATTCCTAAAGGCTATTATAATTGATTAAAGCCGTATAAGCGATATTTATTTCTTTTACAATAAGCGGGCATTTTTAACAAGTAATATAAATTCCAATTGAATTTTTATATTAATGAAAGTTATTGATTCTCGAAATAAAAAAAGAAATACAAAAAGACATTTTTTTAGACAAATTTCCATTATTAATATGAAAGTAGACAATTAATTTTCGTTTTCGTTACTTTTACAATTATTTTCTAATTCTAACAATAAAATAGAAGATTAAACGTTCTTTTAAAAATTTTACGAATGGCAAAAATAATTTTACTAAACTAAGAATAATTAAAATGATCATTAGATTCCTTTCTCTCTCCGTTTCTTTGACTGTCTGTCTCTGTCTCCATCACTTTGCCCATGGAAAAAAAAACGCCCTAATCTCTCACTCCTACTTTACTTTAGCATTCGCCAGCATAGTTGGTTAATTTTGAAATTTTAGCTATGTTTATCTAACATCTACACACTCAAAAAAACTTCAAATTTCTGATTGTTCTTTCCCGGAGGGCAATTCGAAAAGATGATTATCAAGAGTTCTACACTATAACATTCTGAATGTTATCTGATAAGTTTTATGCAGTATTCTTATAAATGGTAGAAAAAAATACTAATACGTAACTTGTAGTTAAAAGTTTATTGTAAACAATTTGCCTTAGTAGAATCTATCGATAACCTGAATTTCTAACAAGTTTTTGTAGCCAACCTACAAACTTAAATGAAAAAATAATATGCTGTAAATTTTTATTCACAAAACTACAAGAGGCCGATATAACAAATAAACAATTCATTAGATATTCCATAAAGAGAAAAGATTTATTCAAGCTGACTCTCACAGGAAATATAAAACTTGATTTTATTTCAAATGTCTGATTCCCCTCTATTCTCTTTTAAAAGTTTCTATCTCAAACCAAATGATATTGAATAATTCTATAATTCAATGAACTAGAAACTTTTTCAAATTGAAAGAACTAGGTATATTGTTCAATTCTCGTCTCCTTATTATACTGTATACAGTGTTCAATGACAAACAAGTGGATTTTTTATGTATTTATATTAAATTCTACTTTTTATTGATATCTGGCAACATAAAAATCTCTCTTTTAAATAATCAACAGTTTATGTAAAGAAGATTCGAAACGATCAGTTTTTAAAACTCTTTTTTTATATACTATCAATACATACATCATTTTCAACAAAGGTCAGTAATTGTTAAATCCTTCTAGTTCCTTTTCGTGATCAGTAATTTGCTTTTTTAATTAGAAAGCATTTTTAAAGATGTAAAAATAACAGTAAAATACAATTTGTTATAAAGTCAATCATCGAAAAGCATCTAGCGTATTATTAATGATCGAAGGCAACATGAGGTCCGAGAAGAACGTTAATTACAATTTCTTGGTTTGCTTTTGCTACGGGCAAACTTAGAAGTTATAAATAACAACGCTAGTTTTTTCCACATAAATTAATTATAGCATAAATCTCTTATTAATAAAAAAGATAATACTTTTTTAAATATTCTACAATCAAAAATATTCAAACTTTTCAATAATCTACATAATTTTAATCATTTGCTATTTTTCTAGTAATCTAAACTTTTTATAGGCAAAATATTAAAAAATGACATTATTAGATAATTTATTTAAAAAAAGCTGAATATTTAATCACATAAAACGACTAATTTACGTCTTTCAATTGGGACATATCGTACCACGATAGAGGGGGTAAGTGTCCTACAAAATTTTGTAGCAACACTCACGATATTTACCAGTTTTTTTTGAAAAAAGAAAAATAACAAGATGAATACAACACTTGAGAAGAAGACTAAAAGAAAAAAGTTAAGCAAAAACAAAAAAAAGTCATGGAGAAAGGTCAATATATCTGAAATTGAGGAATTTCTTGAAGATGAGGCATTACAAAAGAGAACTGGGTATGTTCTTTAACTGTTTAGTAATTCTCCCTATTATCGCTCAAACAAGCACGTTTTGCACGTTTTTATTCATTCCAGTGGTTTAGCGAGAGAGAAAAAGAACGAAGAATTGTTTTTTATAGATAAAAAACCGGGTGATTCAAATGCTGAATTAAAACCTTCAAAACGCAATGCAAACAAGCCTTTAAAGTGTTTTTCTGGTTTGCTGCCTGATCATCAAGCTGCTCAGATTAAAAGGTTTAATCTTTCAGTTAAAATATAACATGTCTAATTTTAAAATTTTTTAGATCGCAGAAAAAAACTAATAAAACAAGTAAAGTGAAAACTGCGGTAAGATAAGATATTTTTAAATGACTTTATTCATTTCACTTACGTTGATATATTAACAGAAAACTACTGTTAAATCTGTTCCTGTAAAACGGAAGGTAAATCGTCAAAGAAATTCTAAGGATATATGGAATGATGCAGAAGACGGTTAGTGATTTTGTCATTAAAACAGTCTAAAAAAGACTAAAATCAAACTGCTATAAAATTCCAGGAAATAACGATATGAATAGTCCCGATGAACATTTCTTAAAAGTTACTAGAACCAAGAGAGTCAAAACTCCAAAAACTTATCACAAAAAGCCGTCTGAAATCGAAGCGATAACAGCTCCACATCCAGGTGCTTCTTATAATCCAACATTTGAAGATCACCAAGAATTGCTAAAAAGAGCAACCGAAATCGAAAAGAAAAAATTAAAGGAACAACAAAAGATTTATAATTCCCTGAATGCTAAGTTCCCGAAGACACCTATTTCAGAAGAGGAATATCTCAAGGAAATGTCCGGAGGCATTATTGATAATGAGGATGCGGAAGATGATTCCGGTGATGAAAGTGATGATGTTCAAGTTACGCATAGAGCAACTATTAGTAGAGAAGATAAAAAAACGGAAAAGCAAAGAAAGAAGGAAAAAGCGAGGAAACTACAGGAAAAAGTTCAAAAATTAGAAAAAATAAAGAAAATAAAGAACCACGATATTTATAGGTTGTATTTACGTTTGTATTAACCAATAACAAATAATTATCTATTTTTTTTTCTTTCTATTCCTTAAGGCTGAAACAAATTAAGGAAGAGCTCCATCAACATAAAATGGCCTCAGTTATGAGAAAACGCCTGAAGGCGAAAATGAGCGAAAGTAAAAAAAATAGAACGAAAAAATTAGGATCTATAAAGTAAAATTATAAAATAACACTCACTCATTTAAAATTTTTGTTATAAAACTACTTGTATTCAGATATGAAGAACCTAGTGTGGAATTGAAGCTAAGTAACGAATTGGAAAGTAATTTGAGGAGGTTAAAAGTTAGTATTTAGGGAAAATTTACACTTTTTGAAATTATTACTTATGTAAAATTTAAATACTTAGCCTGAAGGTGATTTGCTAAAGGATCGATATAATAGTTTTTGCAAAAGGAACATAATTGAACCTCGGAAGCGTATCAAGTAAGTTTAAATATAATATTTATATTACAAGTTACAACTGCTCTTGACTTAATGTTTTATTAATTTTTTTATAGGAAATTCTCGAAGTATAAGCCTAAATATTTCGAAAAAAAGGGTCATAAAGAATTGTCTTAGAAACTTTCTTGCAAATTATTGAATGTATAAATGAATAAAGAAAGAAATTCTATTTAATTTCATTAACTATTGTGTTTATGTTTTAGGGTTAATATACTGATTATTGTTTAAAGAGGTAAAGTTCGCTTCATCAGCGCTACAATTTTCATTAAATAATCTCAAAAATGACTACTAAAATTATTTTAAAATAAAAAATATGGCAGTTTAAATGTATATACTGTATATTTATGCGAAAAAAGTTACCGAATCAATTCTGAATTTTTTCTAAAGCCTATAAGAAAAAGACAGTTTGCAATAAGCCGTTTACCTGAAACGAACGTGCTGCAGGAGCGGTTAAGTTTCTTTTTGAAGTAACCTTGAACGAGAGCACCAAAAACGGAAAAAGAACTCCTGGTAGTATCAGTTATATAATTAGATCGTTGGGCCATCAGCGTAATTAATCCTCCGCGAATTCTGCCTTACTTGATAGTAGATTTGAAGGTTTGTGCATTTTCCGTGAACACATAGAACAACGGTATGAAAGTGATAAGATAGGGTAACAGCAAATGCAAGGTAGAAAGAACGCTAGTACTGTTATTAAACACCACTTTTTCCATCCGACTACTTTTAGACGACATATCTGAATGGAGTAAATATGAGTAAAGGTGAATTGAAAACAATAGAACGTAACAAATATACCCTTACCAGACAATCGGCACAGCATAGACATGTTGCTTGTCTAATACATTTTGGCTCCGGATATCGACGACAAGGGGTATTATTGTTAGGATTAAAATACTCTTTGCAATATGTACATCGGACTGCATTTTTACCATCTAATTGTATAGTTAATTTTCGTCTGGAAGCGTCAATAGTCGTTGATTTGCACGAGGAAGGTGCAAGATGGACGTAAGAATATTCAGTCATCTCAAAAGATAGAGCATGTGTTCCTTTCGGTGATGGCTGTGGTGGTGGGGTTCTACGGACGTAATGTATCCTCTCCAAGTGAGAAGCTGAACTTGAAATAGGACAATCACTTAAAGGTGAAGCAAGACGAGAGGGAGCACTCTTTGCAGGAGATTCCTTTTTATAAGGACCTAAAGGGAGTTCTACAGCTACGAAGACTTCGCCATCGTCTGTGTCTGTCGGAAGTTTATCTAGAACATGAAGACAAATTCATAATAGATATATGAACTAGTGGAAAGATTAGTCGAAGAGTAGGTACTCTTCAAGGTATTACTTACCAAAGACGTCCGAGTAAAGAAATAGGTAAGATAGAAAGAAAAGGCGTTGATATATAGTAGAATAATAGATTAAAACAACACTTACCATCTATAAGCTTGTCTATCGCCCCTGATAAACATTTATCGAACGCTACAGCGTCGGTAACACTTTGAAATGTTAAACCGAAGCGTTGTTTCTCTGAGCACCAATGATGAAATGTAGGCATAGGTTTACAGTATTGCAGATCTTTGCGAATAGGACAGCGAAGCACCATTTTTCCTTCAACCTCCCCAATTATGACATATTCATAGCTTGAAGTCGGTTTTATTGCGACGGAGCACATGTTCGTTCCGCCAAGAGGTTTCCATAGGTTTGTCGCGTCCTCTCGTCGCATAACTTGAGCGCTAATCCTCAACAATTCACGCTTGGCCGGCAGAGGTGGAGTGGACGATCGTTGATCGTTCAAAGACATAACTTATTCTGTAAAATAAAACGCCAAACTAGCCGTCATATTACAATAAACTGTATTGATCCTTGTCATCTTCACTAACCTAGGCCAAACATGTTGAACTTGTCTTGTTTTATATCTGAATAAACTGTTTTTGATACTATTCAGACCTATGCTAATATATCGAAATCATCAATGGCCCAAGCCCTGAAAGCGTAACCAGGAACGGAAACGGAAGTTGGTTACTGAGCCACGAAACAAAAGTAGTTCTTTGTCGATAAACTCCAAGAGCGGACTATTTAGATGTGTTTTTTAATAATTCTGAAGAAATATGATGGTATACGTTGATGTTAATCAACAAAAAGACTTTTTATAACGCTTACAAGCGAATATTAAGAGAAACGAATTAAGATCAAAATATGTATTGTTGCGCATATGCAAATTAACTTTGCCGGCCTCAGCTTATTACAAATATATTTATCTTTTTACGGCAAACCTAATTTAGAAAAACACTTAATTAGTTTGCTAAACTAAAATTTTATTTCATATAATTAATCTACTATGGACTTTTTGCCAAATTACACTTCCATTACTGAGAAAACAGGAGACCATTTGTTTACATTGAAAATTTTAATGCAAATAACTTGGCAAGTGACCATTCAGCGAAGAGAAAAAAATAAAGTACAATAGATGGCTCCACTAAGCTTTTAAAGAAACTATTGAAAAAGCAAAAAACTTCTATTTTTTATTTGTAATTAGAAGTACACTACTTACCAATTCTACTCATTAACTTTTAACTAAAGAATGACATTCACTAAAATAATTAATATGACCTGATATGTTTTCCTGACAATAATATCTAATACATTCTGATTTAAACTATATATTAAAGAATTTCTCAATTTCAATCAATATTGTTAATATTGAGAACATTGATATAAGAATTATTTGTCGTCATATTTTATTTGGTTATGAACATTCAAGGGCTGACAAGCACAATGTTGCTCCGTCTCCTTGTGCTACTTGTTCTTCTTCAAAGCTATGCAGAATCAAGAAGTAAGAATCAAAAAACTTTTTAATGTTTTAATCATTTAACTTTCTTTCAGAAATTTCAGTAGATTATCCACCTTGGGTTTGGTGGGAATATTGGAATTCGTCAATTCCTACATGTGAAAGCGACCAACCTGGATGGGCAACAGGCGGTCGCGGAACAAATGGTTGGGGAACAAGTGATTGGGGAACTGGCGATTGGGGAACTGGCAATTGGGGAACTGGTGATTGGGGAACTGGTGATTGGGGAACTAGTGACTGGGGAACTGGTGATTGGGGAACTAGTGATTGGGGAACTAGTGATTGGGGAACAGGTGATTGGGGAACAGGTGATTGGGGAACAGGCGATTGGGGAACAAGCGATTGGGGAACTGGTGATTGGGGAACTGGTGATTGGGGAACTAGTGACTGGGGAACAGGCGATTGGGGAACAAGCGATTGGGGAACAGGTGATTGGGGAACAGGTGATTGGGGAACAAGTGATTGGGGAACAGGAGATTGGGGAACAGGCGATTGGGGAACTAGTGGACCATGTGTTTGCCAGTGGGGAACTGGCAAACAGGGAACAGGTAGATGGGGAACTGGAAAATATGGAACTGGCAAATGGGGAACAGGAAGATGGGGAACTGGAAGATATGGAACAGGAAGATCTGGCACTGGTTATTGGGGAACCGGAAAGCCCAGTACAGGAAAATGGGGAACTGGAAGTTGGGGAACAGGAAGACCTAGCACTGGTAAATGGGGAACTGGAAGTTGGGGAACAGGACGACCTAGCACTGGTGACTGGGGAACTGGAAGCTGGGGAACAGGAAGACCTAGCACTGGTAAATGGGGAACTGGAAAGCCCAGTACAGGAAAATGGGGAACTGGAAGCTGGGGAACAGGACGACCTAGCACTGGTGATTGGGGAACTGGAAGTTGGGGAACAGGAAGACCTAGCACTGGTGACTGGGGAACTGGAAGCTGGGGAACAGGAAGACCTAGCACTGGTAAATGGGGAACTGGAAAGCCCAGTACAGGAAAATGGGGAACTGGAAGCTGGGGAACAGGACGACCTAGCACTGGTGATTGGGGAACTGGAAGCTGGGGAACAGGACGACCTAGCACTGGTGATTGGGGAACTGGAAGCTGGGGAACAGGAAGACCTAGCACTGGTAAATGGGGAACTGGAAGTTGGGAAACAGGAAGACCTAGCACTGGTGATTGGGGAACTGGAAGCTGGGGAACAGGAAGACCTAGCACTGGTAAATGGGGAACTGGAAGTTGGGGAACAGGAAGACCCAGCACTGGTGACTGGGGAACTGGAAGCTGGGGAACAGGAAGACCTAGCACTGGTAAATGGGGAACTGGAAAGCCCAGTACAGGAAAATGGGGAACTGGAAGCTGGGGAACAGGACGACCTAGCACTGGTGATTGGGGAACTGGAAGCTGGGGAACAGGAAGACCTAGCACTGGTAAATGGGGAACTGGAAGTTGGGAAACAGGAAGACCTAGCACTGGTGATTGGGGAACTGGAAGCTGGGGAACAGGAAGACCTAGCACTGGTAAATGGGGAACTGGAAGTTGGGGAACAGGAAGACCCAGCACTGGTGACTGGGGAACTGGAAGCTGGGGAACAGGAAGACCTAGCACTGGTAAATGGGGAACTGGAAAGCCCAGTACAGGAAAATGGGGAACTGGAAGCTGGGGAACAGGACGACCTAGCACTGGTGATTGGGGAACTGGAAGCTGGGGAACAGGAAGACCTAGCACTGGTAAATGGGGAACTGGAAGTTGGGGAACAGGAAGACCTAGCACTGGTGATTGGGGAACTGGAAGCTGGGGAACAGGAAGACCTAGCACTGGTAAATGGGGAACTGGAAGATTTGGTACTGGTAAATGGGGAACTGGAAGATATGGTACTGGTAAATGGGGAACTGGAAGATACGGCACTGGTAGATGGGGAACTGGAAGATATGGTACTGGTAAATGGGGAACTGGAAGGTACGGCACTGGTAGATGGGGAACTGGAAGATATGGTACTGGTAAATGGGGAACTGGAAGATACGGCACTGGTAGATGGGGAACTGGAAGTTGGGGAACAGGCAGACCATGTATTTGTCCGTGGGTAACAGGCAGACCCAGTACTGGTTATTGGGGAACTGGAAGATATGGAACAGGAAAATGGGGAACAGGAAGATACGGCACTGGTAGATGGGGAACTGGAAGATACGGCACTGGTAGATGGGGAACTGGAAGATATGGTACTGGTAGATGGGGAACTGGTGGCTATGGTACAGGCAGGTGGGGAACTGGTGGATATGGCACAGGTAGATGGGGAACTGGAAGACCTAGTACTAGTGATTGGGGAACAGGTAACTGGGGAAATAGATATGCCCATTGTAAACACAAGTTTGCTCATCGTCAGTATTTTTTTTTATGTTTTTTTTGTCAAAATGAAATTTATTTTTAGGCGTTGTAAAGGGATATTGCCCCAAAGGAATTTCAGGCTCATCATCAATGGAATGTCACGAAGATGAACATTGTATCAATAGGTTTGGTTCTGATGACTGGAAATGCTGTGATACAGGAGCAGGAACAACGTGTTTAAAAGGTACTTTATTTACTGCCTATTGAGTTTAAAATGATTTTGTTTTATTAAAAATTAAATAATAGCAATACCCTTCGAGATAACAAAATGTCAACATGCAAGAGAACTAGCCAATATTAGTTTGATGCTGAATAGCAGTATGCCTATTACAATGCCATCCTGTGACAAAAATGGAGATTTCAGTAAAATCCAGTTCTCAGTTTCACTTGGTGTACGGTGGTGTTCCTTCCCTAATGGAACAGTAATTCCCGGCACTCGAACAACTAGTGGTATACCTAATTGCTCGAAGCAATATAAAAACACATCAAGTATATATATATAAATTTATATATATATAATTTTGTGTCATTTTTAAACTATCCTAAAAATATTGTACGTTTTTTAGTTTGCAATCGAAAGGATTCTTTAAGGAGTTGTAACGAATCTTTGTGCTCAATGTTTAAGTGCAGAGAGCATCCAAGAGCAGAATGTAGAATTAATCCTTGTGGTAAAAATTGCTCGGTTGAATATTTCATAGGTGAAAAGAAGGTTAACTGTACCCTTATTGAAAGTAAGCTTAAACAAATTGTTTAGGGAAACTCGAGTTAGTGACTCACAAGCATTCATTTCTTTTTTTAGCTAAGGATAAAGATCATTCAAATGTCTGTTCAATGTCATTGACCGGAGTGGGAACCTCTGGTGAAGAAAGATACTACTATGATTCTTCATCAGAAACGTGTCGCTCATTTTTGTATAACGGTATAAATGGAAATAAAAATAATTTCAAGACAAAGGGAGAGTGCATTAAGAGATGTCAAGGGGTTTTATGCAAAGAAATGGAGCCATGTGAAAATCAGGCAATGCAATGCAGCGATATAAATGCAACTTGCCATAAATATCCCGAAGCATATTGCCAAATGGACTTTTGTTCATGTAATAAAACTCTCTTCATTGATCCTATTAAAAAGACAACTGTAAACTGTCAAAAAACAATAAAATTATGTCATCGAAGGCACGCAAAATACGTCCTGGATAAGATGATGAATATTACGGGTGATTGGAAACCACAATGTACCGATGATGGTGCATTCCGTCCTAAACAGTGCTCAGATACGATATGCTTCTGCGTTGATCCAAGAGGACAACAACTTTCTCAAATATCTGTTAAGAAATCCGAATCAGACTTGCTTAATTGCAGTAGGTCTCCTAATATAAAGATAATTACTATACTAATTAAAACAATTCATTATTCTAGAAACTCAAGAAATTAGACAATTCGTATCAAGCATCAAATTCGATCATTCGTTTAGTATTGTTAATAAAGTTGGCGTTCTAAAATTTAAGAGGTAAAATATAAAATATTGAAATATCATTACTGAATATAAACTTCAAATCAAACAGTGATATGGCAAAGAAAATCGCGTCGGAATTGGAAATTTCTTTTAATCATATTCAAATTAAAAATGTAGGTTTACATTTATTTATTGATATAGTTCTTATTAATATTTATTAATTGCTCTCTTTTTTTATTTATTAAGGTCGTTCGAGGAAGTATCATAGTGCACTATGAAGTGAAAACTAACAGAGATGTATCCGCAGAAATGGATAATTTCTTTAGAAAGGTAATAGAACCATATAGAATAGTGATATATATTTACTTATTTTATCACAATGTGTCTTTTTAAAAAAGGGAAAAAATAACTATTACATGTGACTATTACTCATTCTCTATTGAGTTACAAAAAGGGAATAAAAGATATTTCTTCTATCTCTTCTATAGATCTCAACAGAGAAATTCACGATTGAATGGAACGAACCAAATCTTAAACTCAAACTAACGGCCGTTGCTGAAAAGCCTCAAACAACGCATAAATTAACTGAAGTTGACACTACAAAAGACGAAGATGAAGATGATAAAGATTCGGATAGTACTCTTTTGGCGCTGATTATTTCCGGTGTTGTAGCCTTCTTATGCGTAATAGGCCTTGTTGTAATGATCGCATTTTGGCTATCAAGGAAATCTTCTGGCGCAAAGGTAAATAATTTAGTTTGTTTATTTGTTTTCATTAAATAATTAGCAAGTTATTCATTTTTGCAGAATTTTGAAAAATTAAGTCAACGACAAAAAGCCATTAGTGATATATATGTTACTTCTGAGTCTGAAAAAGTTCCGCTTGATTGAGTTCTATAGTGACCGCGATGTCACCGACCTGAATCTTTTTACACGATCTACCCTCTGACTCACTTGAGCTAATTTGTTTTCAATTCTTATATTTCTTTTTTTTTGCGACGCATTTATACTACTAACTCCCTCTACATTCTATCTTAAATTCTACTCCAATGGTAAAGTTTCTTTACTTTTATTCTACTAGTATATTTATATATATAGTCCATTCTTTATTATGTTCACTTTATGCACAATTTTATTTTGGTTTCTTCCATTTGACTCTTTATGAAAAATCCCGCTAGATTCTTATCTTAGCTTGTTTATTCACTTGTTTTTAAATACTTGAATTATGTTTAAAGATGATAAAGCTTATAGTTTTGAACTCTTTTTACTGTTTATTAACTGTGAGTAGGAGGTTTGGTGGAGAGGAGCGAGAAGTGTTTAACGGAGGTAGACGTTTTCTCTTTTGATCTTTTTCCATTGCTTTTGTCAAGGCTCTTCCACCTTGTAAAAAGTGATTAATTGCCCTAAATTTTCCTCTGCCGTCTTTATCGGATTGTCTTGGCAACAACATTAAATGCTCAGGCATTTGAGGCTTTTCTTCCGTTGAGAGCTGCGAAGCATTAGAGTAATAGTAATTACTTTTAGCTTTTCTATTTTATTCTGCTTACCTTATAAACAGGTAGGGAGCCAAATATAGCTCCGTGTCGACCTTCACTCTTTGGTAGGGTTTCAACGCTTCCTGGTTCAATTTTTGGTTTTACTAAAGCTTCAAACCATTTTTTATCTTCTGGTTCTTCTCTAGCACTTTCATTTTCTCTTTGAGCTTCGTATGCTGATCTTCTAAAAGTTTTCCATTTATGCTTGTCAAATACTAAAGGATATTCAAACTTTCTTTGCATTGATCTTTGCACTTTGATCTTATCAGATCGATGAGGTGGTACAAAAGGTGCCTAATACGGTAATAAATGAAAAACGTTTAATTCTCTTACACCTATAAAATCTATATAATAATAAAAACCTCAGTAATATCATACGGTTGAACCAACATTCCCGCAGTTTCTTCGCTATTAGGTAAAGATAGTGCCCTCTGTTGTCCAAAAAATCCCGCAAATCGTCCTTTCTTTCCCCACCATAGTCGAACCGAACCATCAACAGCTGCAGATATAATTAATGACGATGATGATATATATCCAAGTCTTGTTATTCTAGTCAAGTGTCCACGCCAGCAGATCAATTGATCAACTGCATCAGCCGCATTGGCTTGTTTAGGATTCATAAGGAAATTCGATACATCCCATAGATTCAGATATCCCTCTAAAGAAACATAAGATCGAAGTTACCTTTTATGAATATATAAATAGATTTCCAAGTCTATTCGATTTCAATTCTACTCTATACTTACTACTGTCTGCTATAACAATATATTTTGAATCACTGTCGCTGCATATAGACGTTATTGGAGTCGCTGAGTCCTTTGACATGAATGAAGATAATTCTAATAGTAGTTCTCCCTGTAAATTCCACATCCGCACATAGCCATCTTTATGGCAAGATGCTAATACTGGTTCAAACACTTCCTCAATTGTATGAGACGTTAAGTCATCCTCTTCCGTTTCAGTTTCTGTTCCTTCATCTTCTACTTTTTGGTCTTGAAGACTATCAATACCTAGGTGGGGAGAACCATCTTGCCGACTAACAATTGACTATTGGAAAGTTATTCAAACGGTATGAATCTTTATAGATATTAGATTGAGCTTAATGGTTTACCTTAGCAACTGATTGAGCAAGTGATGCTCTGGACATTCGAGAGGCACGAGAGGCTCTGGAAGATATAGAACGTCTTGGAGATGTATCAACTTCTTGTTTTGCTTTTTGCGCTTTTCTAATAAGTAAAATAAAAAAAAAAGTAAATTCGACAATTCTATTCGGATCATTTTACTTTAAATTTTCGATTACCTTTCTAAATAGGCTGGATCAATTCGACGTCTTTTATGTACAAGGAAAAGAACTGCGTTAACTGCCCTGTTTACTAGGGGAACTGTTCTTGGTAGTTTACCACTCCTTTTAGACGATCTTGAATGCGACCTTGATGGGACTGGCGGAAGCATTCTGCATATATTGATTAATCAATGATTACACGGAATATGAGAATATTTATATATTTTATGCTTGTACATTTTAATTAATTCTCTATTATTTAAAGACCATAATAATACTGCTCCGGAATGGCATCCTATTGCAATGTAGGACTCTAAATCATCTCGAGTTAAGCAAGTCATACTTCTTATTTCATGTTGAGAAAGAACTTGGTCCTGGTTGTAGTTTTAAATGTTGTATATACCTTTATAGATTTATCGAAATAATAATTGTTACCTTTCTAAAGGCACTAGTTATCTGGGATCGTGATCTGCGAGTATCTGATAATGTTTTGAATGAGGTTTCCGAGGATAAAGAGTTAGCACTTGTACTTCCGGTATTTCTTAAATACTCTTTAAATGAATAAACGTACTCTAATTCGGTTGATTCGTTGCTATCACGCATGAGCAATAAGCTGTTTCCCCTACCAGCAACTATAAGGTGTCTGACACCATTTATTAAATTATAGGCTATAGAGACTACAGCATATTCATCATCATCACCAGTGCCCTTTCCAAGTGACGTTTTAATCACTTGCCCAGACCCAAGATCCCAAACTTTTATTGAGCCGTCCGCTGCTCCAGTTACTAATCGATAACCTGACGAATCAACAGCCATTGACGTTACCTCGATACCTCTGCCGTGCAGTTCGTGAACTTGGAATACAAGTTTTCCAGCTTCAATCTCCCAAACTTTCATTGTTGGTTCTGTACAAACTGTAATTACTTGCTGCAGTTCTGCATTTATAATTAAACCAGAAACTGGACGATCATGAGTATGAGGAACTTGCATTGTATCTTGAACTGATCTAGTTAAAGGCCAAACATCAAGGACGCTTGAGCCAGTTAGGAGTCGATCATATTTGTTGTCAAACAGCATAGAATATATCCTTTTTTCTCCAGCACGTTCTTCGGTATCAGAAAAGACTTGCAGGCTTGTTAAAGTATGAATATCCCATATACGAACAACTCTTGCTGTACTTAAGCTAATGATGTGTTGGTCTTTCTCATTGCAAACAATATCGACAATTGTAAAAAGATGACCCATAAGTTTTCCTGTAGGTCTGGAAAAGATATGCGGATGCCAGACCCTTATTATTTTATCTACTCCCCCAGTAGCTATTACATTAGATCTTGCGCAATAATCGAAAGCATTAACACCTTTGGAGATAGCTACACCGCGAACTGGACCATCGTCCAAAAGTCTTTCGACTTCTTCAAGAACAAAAGATTTCGAAGACGAAGGAGAGCATGAAGCGAAACACCTTAAATCTTTGAAATATTTAACCTTGACAACCCAATCGTTATGTAAACGTCTCCTCCTAATCGGAGTGGTAAGTTTATTTGGATTAATAGTATAATTTTCGCTTTGAGAATATCTTCTATCCTTTGTTGGATTCTTAACTGTTAAATCAGAGGCAGATAGAGCAAGAACGTTGACACAGCCCTGGTCGTCACCAAATAATAATATGTCGTCATACGCATTATTAGATTCTTTAGGATTGTCCGATTGAAAAGGATTAGCTGCCGGTGGCAAGTAGCAACAACATTGCGGAGAATGCTCGATTGGCTTTATAACAAACATTTGTTGATTGTTACTTTTAGCTCTTATGTCCCAGATAACTAGACCCCTCTCAGTACAAGTCAATACCCGTCTTAATCCAGGTAAGTAATCGCAACCGGTAACCCAGGATTTTTCCTGTAGATATTTTCTTTATTACAAACATTGGTAATAAAATGTTTACTTACACGAATATCGGCACATGCAACAAGTCGTAACTTAGACGCAGACCAAACAGACAATGATCCTTGTTGCGAAGCAGTTAAATAGCAGTCCTGCCCTGGAATATATCTAATATTTTGAACAACATCTCTCCTTTTACGATTTCCTGCAGCTTCTCCTATCCTCCGTCTAGCTCCAACAGTAAATACGGACACTTCTTCAGGTAGTCCATAATTTTCGGTTGCTTCTTCCTGATCAGGATGCAATAGGCCAAATATCTGAACGAGTGGTGAGAAGCAAGATAATCACAGCGGATATCATTATTGAATATTTTATTTTACCTCGCTCCAATCAACCGGTGCATCAGGATTAGTTGAGATCTTTCTATATATGTTTTTTAAGTTTTGATTCCTAATATCAGAACCAAACAATTGTCGGATGGAATCACTGAACTGATCATATCGGAGTTGTTCTTTTTTTTAATAAATAAAGTTGAACATGTTAAAAGAAAGAAGGGAAAAAAAAGTTGATTGATTGATTATTAGTGAATAAACAAATATTACAATGAAATAACGAATAAACGACGATTATATTTAATCAATATTGTGTAAATGTTAAATAATTAAACGACGAACACTTTGTTATATCTATTTTTTATTGAAATGAATAGTTGTTACCGGTTATAATTTGGCGTCTCTCCTCTGGTGTTGCTTCGTAGCCTTGTAAAGTTATCTCTTTTATCAAATCACGAAATCTTTCCAGTTTTTCTTCGAATTCTTCATTAGAAAACGGCGGCGCTCCACTATGCAATCTCGTAGACATGTTTTATGACACAAAAGGCGACAAAAGAACGTCGCTAAGCGGAGTTAGGTGCGCTGGTCTATATTTTTCTCTCTCCCTTCTCTCTCTCTCTATCTCTCTCTCTCTGTGTATATCTCCTCTGTTTTTCGTACTATCTTTCCCTGTTTTTCCACCTTTTTGTTGATATGTTTTTTTTTCTCTCGCTTCACAACAATTATAATCTTCTAACTAAGATTTATTGTTTTCATTAGGAAACTTCCTATTCCGTCTTTGGAGTAGCATTGAGAGAGCAGAGGGGAAAAGTTTGAGAAATAGAAATGGCTTTTTCAACCGATTTACTGAGGCTAAATGATCAATGAAGGAAAATCATTCTTCTGATACAAAAAAAAAAACAACACTATACTCGTTCGAACAAGAACTGAAAAGACGAACTTATTTAACTATAGATGTCGTTTTTATTCTATAGACGGCGCTTTATATCTTAATCCAGCCCTTTAGAAGTTTTATTATTAGTTTTAATTGTTTGAGAATTAGATTTCGAATCATACAATCTTATTCAAGGAGAGACACGCTCCTTAGAGAGAGTTATCTTGCGCTTATCATCCACTGTACACGAGTCGGCCACGGTTATATTTTCCTCGAAAGAGTTAGCCTTTGATAAGATTAGACGCCTTCCTCCGCACGTTTTTTCAATAGTAAATGATTTATTCGTTCGACTGTCAATTTTGAGGTTGAGGTCAACGCCCGATTGATAAGTATTCCGCTCAATTGTATTTCTAGTTGGCCGAATAAGCTTATCCTCTTGATTATGGTCACCTATAGGTTTATAACAATAAGCTGACTGACTTAGTGGGATATTTAGAGCTCCGTTTTTAGACGGTAGATTGTCGACTTTTACCGCTTTTGAAGCTACTCTGATTCTTGGACCTTCACTACCCGGGGTAGCAATAGTTAAATGACCTGTAGAGCGGGCGCCATTAGATTTAAGAGTTTTCGCTATCTGTTTCATCTCTCCTTCAGTCCAACCTGATGGAGGAGAGATATTGGATAATCTTGAAGAATGAGACCCTTGTAGATCGTAATTATCTGAGTATGTACAGTTCAACCTGTCAATATCATAGGCTTCCTCTTCTTCTCCTTCCAAATAATTATTCTTAAAATTGAACGGTTTCGAGAGTGCGCAAAGGAGGGCCGCGAACATGAGTGTGCAAGCAAATAATATAATGATCACTGCAAAGCATAAAACCGCCCTATTCACTCTGACCACTTCACGCTGGTAAATATATATTGCGGTTTGGGAAAAATTAAAGCAGAGTTTCTTATTCTGCGCTTCGTCGTAGTCATCACAGTTGGGATTATTTGGATCTTGGTACTTTACATTTAGTTCTTCTAGTTTTTTCTTGAGAAGAAACCAATCGCAGTTGCATTTCGTACCTGTTTGACCTACCCGAATAACTTTCAGTTGGTCTCTTATGGCTGGTAAGGCATTTAAAATATCTATATATTGGACGCCTGTATTTTGTAAATTTAACTCTTGTAAATTGTAAAGAGAACGAAAAGCTTCTGGGTGTAATTTCACAATTTTATTACCCTCTTCAAACGATAATTTAACGACGGAGGTCAACGATTGCAGTAGCTCCTTATTAATATTTGTATTTTTGGCCAAAACTAGACTTAATTCATTATAATTTGAAGTTTCTAGGCAATTTTTAGCTTTAGATATAATATTCGAGTTATTCCACAAACTATTCCATTTACAAGAAACGCTATCACTTGTTAATTCACATGGCTTTTCGCATTCAATCGTTATTCCAAGTTCTATCAGACTTATTAATATCGATAAGATTAAAAAGACTGACATTTTTATTCTACGTTTTACAATTATCAATTCTCATTCATCTCTCAGATGAAGAGGGGGAAAATGGTGATGTTCGATCAATAAAACAATGATAATCACTTTATACTAGATTATATATACGGAAGATATATATATATATACAGTATAAAGATTAATGGAAAGTATATATTTGAAAAAAAATTATTACGTAAAAGATAAACAAGAGAGGGAGCCACTGTATAATAAAGTAACTTGCTTAAAGCGACGGGCTTTATAGATTTAAAAACTAAATAGGATTATTTAGTTGTCGATATCTTTATATATTTATATTCGATATTACCTGCTCTATGCTATGCTAGTAGTTGTATATAATATTAATGTTCTCTTTCTCTGCCCACATTCATAATAATACGATTAAGAAATTTTGAATGGTTTTCTATGAGAAAGATAGAGAAAACACAAAGAGAGCGAGAGAGAGAAGAATGTAGATAAAGAAAATGATTTTCTTTAAATATTTCTTACCTAATTGTATCAAGGCAAAACAATAGCAAAGAAAAAAAACAGTTTAACTTTGTCTCCCTCCTCTCTATGGAGTATAAACAAACAAACGGCTAGACATCGTATAATTTATCAAGTAGAGTTTATTACTTTCTTCCTCTCTTTCTTTTAAATATACGCATATATTTGTATATACTCAATGTAGTGTATATATTTAAAAAGAAAACACTATTATTATATATTGGATAAATGAAATGTGATTTTTTCCCCCTCGACATCGGATTTCATGCAAGAAAATTGATCTGTGTGCAACTATGTATAACTAATGGTTTTCTCATTAATGTACAATAGTTTTAGATATTCTTTCTGCCTAATTTCATCCGTATTGTCAGTATCCGTTGCAATGACGTCATAGTTCAATTAAAAGTAGGTTTAGAGGGGAACGCATATTCGTGAGCGTCTCGAACGTTCACTCTGTTGCAGTTCGTCTCCACGGATACTGCACTTGACTGGCGCCATTCTTTAACAAGGCCTAATTAAGCAGACATCGACTCAGTTCGAAGAGAGGCGGCGATCGGCTTTGGCCGCTATTCATTTAATAATTCAGATCGTTTTCTCGTAGATGGTAGCATCATGCGCATGACTACCACACCTTCTCCCGACAAGCACTTCTTGCCACCCATTTCAAGGGGAGGAACTTCAAGCGATGATAACAGAGACGCTTCTTCCGAACCACCGTCACGTCTACCTTCGCTAGATACTTTTTCAACTTCTTCTCGCATATCTCAGTCAACGAGTGAACCCTCGTCTGGTTTAACAAGATTGCCCCATATAGGAAAATGTGCTCAAGAATCGAAAACTTTAACTGGAGATATTCTCGAAAGGGAATTGGAAATACTTAAAAAGAAGAAATCAGAAGCAAATAAATCTCAGCCAGCAACTGCCAGAGAGGAATCTTCTCGTTCTTCTCATCAGCAGCCCCTTCTCTTACCAATTCGACAAAATACGAATAGAAAATCGAGAAGGCGTAGAAAAGAAAAACTTCAGCCTAAACTCTCAACAGAGCAAGATGGCGATGAAAAATGTCGTAAATGGTTGGGAGATTCGAATACGTAATATTCGACGGATAAACTTGAAAATTAATTAAATATATAGTGCCTATCTATAATTCTAAAAAAAAAAAAAAAGAGAGAGAGAGAGAGAGAGAGAGAGAAAGAGACAGAGAGAATGTGGAGGAGGCAGAGGAGTAATAATAGACAATTATGAAAACATTCTATGGTGCAAAAAAAAAAGAAATTCTACAGTATTCAATCAACAGTATTTCCCAAATCGAGAAATCTGCATTTATACTTGTAATGATTGTTATTATGACTATAAGAAAATGACCATAACACTATATTTTTATTATCTAAGCTATATACTATATAAATATATATTACGCTTATAGTATATATACTTTATGTATTATTATATACTATATATTTACAATTACATATATTCAGATACTGTGTCTTATATATAATATATATATATATATATATATATATATATCACAGAACTCTTGCCGATGCATCGCCCTGAATTAAAGAAAGAAAACCTTTGTGTGTTCGAAAACACGCCATAAATATTCATATTTATTACATATGAAATACAATAAAAAATCAATAAGGCGTCAAATATTTTTATTATAATTTGAAGGGTAATGCGATACGTGTATATACTAGTACATTCTATACCTTTTCCCTATTAAAGTATTGGGTACGGACATCGATCCAATTTCGAAAGCTTAATCAATTAAAACCTTCTAGTTTCCTAGTAAAGGAAGCGCCCAGCTTAAATATTTCAAATGCATAGCAACGGTTGATCTTCTTTAAAATACTTATCCTAAACTTTGATAACACATTGGTTGTTTTTTTACTTCTTTACTTATTCAATACATATATACATATCACTTCGTATAAAACAGTAAAAGAATTAATTTTTTCATTCAAGGCAACTGATATCCTAATCGATAACTGCAACTGGTGCTATTTAATAAGCTCATGCGTAAGCGGACGAACAAAGAGAGATTGAATAAAAGATCGACGGAAGAGGGTATAGGGTATATATAAATACAAACATCTTATACGCAAGAAGACAGCTCTCAATTCGATACAAATATAATAATTAATGCTTTAGGGCTAATTCCTACATTTTATAATAAACAAATTTGTCCCGGTTAATGACTTGGCAAATGTTTAAAAAATACAAGTAAACGTTACCATTAACCGCATATTATGGTGATATGATTCTGGTAGAAGGTGTTTTTGTTATACTTTTAAAACTCTTTAATGGTGCACGCTCACTTGAACGATAAAAGAAGTCAATTTAACATAAAGACTTTGGTAAGCTTTACGATTCAATGAACTGAGAAAATGGTATAAAAAATGACACTTCACCGTCTCCAAAGCTTTCATTTTTAATCGAAAACATTTAATTTTATTGAGAAGGAAAAAAAAATACAAAGTATAGTCTATCCTTTTCCCCTTGTGTCTATCTCAAGGTTGAATATATTGAACAGACTCTCTCAAAATTATTTCTTTTCTCTGCAAACAATACTTTTAATTACGTAGAATCTCTTTTTCTAAATTAGGTCTATACTACTGTATATAACACCGCCGTTTTCCTCTGTTATATATTTATTAACAAACAATTATATATTGATATTGATTATCTTGTAAATAAGATAGGTAATATCAATTGTAATGTCTTCCTTTCAATCAAATAACTATTTGACTTTATAATGTAGGAATTGAAACCAGTAGTCAGTTTCTTCATATTTACTACATACAAATACGGATCACAAACGCCGCTAACCCCGTTTAAAACATTCATGTATTTAATTAGCGGAATAGCCGGAAATGCGCCGATCGAACGTCACTCAAGATCGAGTGGTAGGTGGCGTATAAAACTGCTTTTTTGAGCTGCATGTCAGTTTATTTAATTATTTACAATCATTAAAAGAGAGAGGCTTGTTAGATTTTTAAAAAGATAGTGTAAACGTTTATTCTAAGCTAACATTCAATCGCATGATAACCGTTCTTTTAAATATTTACTCAAAAATTGCTGTGACGGCGTTCTTTAACATTGAATCGGTTTCTTTCACTCTGTTTAAAAAGAAGTACTGTTAACTGTATTGTGTATATATATATATATATATATTTGATTATACAATATCAAATTAATACTTACAAATTACTAATACGTTGGAATTGTAAATCTGGCGATTCGTCTTGAATCGATTCAATCACAATATCCTTCTTAATCACATTTTGTGGGCTAACTTCAAGAGAACTAGATTCCGGTATTTTAAAATTATCGTCTGCTTGTTCGCTAGAATCATCGTACATTGCGGCGTCATATTTAGGCTTTGGTTGAGCTAGCAGTTTTTGATTTTCCAAAAGAATCAAGCGATCCTCCACCTTCTTTTGCCAATTTTTAAACTCTGCCCATAACTCCTCACACTTGCATGGTTTCTCTGGAATGATTTCTGTTTGAATTCCCATACTGGTTCTTTCTACATTAGCAGTTTTTTCCATTTTTAATCCTTTGTCAAACTTTGAAGCTTTATTTAACTTTAAACTTCTGTCAAATTTACTCGTTTCAGAGCGGACACTATCCCCATTTACATCTAACTCCTTAAAAGGAAAATGTTTTGTGACTTTCACATCGACTTTTGTTTCCGGTAATGCACTCTTTTCAAACATTGTACTAGATAATCTTGATGAATTCATATTTTTGTCTTTCGCATTTTTCGCGAAATTAGCTTTTATACCTGAGGTGCCACCTGGGGCCTTTGGAATAACTATAGGAGCCTTTGGGGCCAAGGATTGATGCCTTTCACGAGTTTTGGTTGCGATTTGAGCACACATCATCATCTTCTTCTCTACAAATCCTTTCGAGAAAAATTGATCTTTGGTCAGAGGCATTTTGAACTTATATAATTCCCGAAATATCTTATATAAAGCATCAACGAATCGTGCATCACTTAAGCCTAAAACTTCTATGGAGTGTTCGTTTATTTCACTTGCCACATATTTACTAAAATGCATCAATAAATAGTTGTAGATAGGTAAATAAGCATTAGGAGATCCCTCTTTAATCCTAGAGTGACAAAAGTGTTCAAATAATATATTGAGTTTTTAACTTGAAAATAACTCACAAGTCAAAATCCAAATCAACAGTATATCTTACAAGCTTTAACTCTTTCTGTAAGATCCTCAAACTGTTATTCAAGTCACCACAAGACATTTTCAAATCTTTTACGAAAAAAATGAATCCCTTGAATATCAGAGAGTAAAAGGTATTCGCTACCTAAAATAATGAAAGAGGTATTAGAAACGAAGCTAAATATCAATATACAAACCAAAATAAATTATTTAGCTTAAAATTGGTGCTGATTTAATATTTAATCTGGAATATACTTGACAAGAGCAGGGAACATACTCCGGCAGAAGTTCAAAAATTTCGCGACTTCCGAACTTATTTTTAATTATTTTTTATTTTAACCTTAAAAAAATTAATGAAACAATTAGAATTAAATTTTTTTATTGTTTTCATTTAGAAAATTTACTGAATATTTAATTGGTATTTATTTAAAATTGTTTGCCATCTATAGCAGCTCCGCACTGATTGTAACTATAGCAGCGAGGCGGTCGTCTTTTGTGTTCGAAACATGAAATTCAATTAAACTTTTAATAAGACCCTTCGAGTAGACGACTATAGATATGGCAAGAGCAGTATTACCAACACCTACAAAAACCTTCAATGGAAGTGGACTGGCGACAATAGGACCTCAAAAATGGAGGACAGAGACCGTTAAAGCAATTAAATTATCAAATAGCATCGCACATAAGAGCAATCATGCAATTGAATGTGGAAAGGGTCAAGATCCTTTACCTCATCTGAGAGAGATTTTACAAGAGATGTCAAATGAAGAGGCGTCCAGATATTTCAGAGAAGTTCGTGCTGTTGTCAATTTGATAAGGCATCGCTTCGGGGAGCTAAATGAAGAAATTAAAAATCTTTATAAAGCTAAAGAAGCTTTGGAAAGAGCGCTATTTAACAAAAGGAAAGATTTAAAAATGAATGAAGAAAGTATTAAATTGAGAGACAATAGACCTAAAAGAGAAAAGGTAAGAATCATATATTTATATTCAAGTATAACTTGGCGCAATGAATACGATTGAATTCAAGTGACTTTTAATGAGTCGAAATAATTCAATACTTTTTATTGAATCTATAAAAAAAAAAAAACGATGGAGGTTCATAAATTTGTCCGTCAAAAAGCATAAAACGTATAACAAGGTATCGGTAGGCTAATAAATCATTATTGCTGTTTATTGAACGTGTCAGGCAAAAGTGTTTAGGTTGACGTATACTCGAGCTTATTAAAATGGAATAAATTCACTACTGTATGACACTCAATGTTCGAACGTTTGACTTTCAAAAGAGCGTTATTAAGCAATATAGCTGATAAGTAAAGCACTTCTATAACAAATCGATTAGAGCAATCCAGCTAATACAGATTATTACAATTAAAACTATTTTGTCCACAATTGACCAGGATAAAGACGGCGCAGACGACCTTTTACAAGCTGAAAGAATGAACCTCCTAAACGCCAAACGGATGCTTGAAACACATTTAGATTTGGTTCAAGAACAACTGCTGATACTAGATAGAGTTAGACAACGAGTTACTGCAGTATTACAAGAAAGAAGTCGAGTTTTGGAGCTCGTAAACAACTCCTTGCACTTAACTGTATCTGCACAAGGACCTAGAGCAAGCGCCGCTTCCATGAGAATGAGAGGAAGGAGAGGAGACGGAGCAATGAGTGTGCCTTGCATAAACAACTGGCACGTTGATGCTCTTGGTCCATATACCCCTGAAGTTGAACAAGCTTTACAAGTACTAAATATACTAAAGAAAGATTTGTTTTAACAGTAATATTTAATCTTGCTCTTCTTTACAACCAGGAGTTGGAAGATACTAAAAAGAGAGGCGCAAACTTAAGGGAAGATGGATTAGAGCTAATCCGTAAAACGGATAATCTAGTTGATCAAGTACAAACGGCTGTCAATAATGGCTTAACACAAAAGATCTCTGAGAGTGTTACTCTAAAGGTTTGCGAAAGCTTGTTTTTGTTGTGTAGAATAACATACATTTAAAATTTTGAACAGCAACAATTGGAATTAGCCAGCGGAAAAAATCGCTATGCAAAGCATAAAGCGCAAAGATGGTATGACACTACAGAACACGCATGGAACTTGTCCAGAGGACCGCATTATAGTAGCGATCTGCAGGTTCATGAAAAATTGGATAGACCGATTATCAAAGTATTTCAACGACATCCGGGACAAAATATGCCTGAAGCACAAGAAATCGTAAAGGTAAGAGTCAACAAAAAGTATATAAAGCAAATGTTTTAGTTCAAATAAAGAATTGCCAATTGAAACTGCGGTTTTATTTAGGGAGGTGATGGATTATTGGAATCTATGTCGGCCACCAGCCGCAATATCGGCCTACTGAAGCTAGCACAACTACGAATAAAGGGTGATATTTCCGACAAACAAGCAGCTATAGACGTCGATAGTTCGATCGTTCGTTTGAGAAGAAGAAAAGCAAATCATAGATGGCCGCTAGGAGAAGCATTCTAAGGAAAAATTGTGAAAACCTTGCAGTGAAGCATTACTTTAATGATTTACGTAATACTGTATGTTCACATATATATTTATATATATATATATCAATGTATATGTATAAAGCTAAAAAAAAAAACAGAAAGACTAAGATTTTCAAGTTTTCACTACTTTTATTCAACTATCTTTTTCCACGTTAACAGTATTATATGTGAATGGCTGATGCAAAAAAAAACTCCAGTAGACTTTAAATAAAAAATATTCATCTTACTTTTACATTTATTTAAAATTGTATTGAAATATTGAATATATATGTTTTATTTAACATTTCTAGCATAATCATAAATTTTGAATTTTCCCACTTGTAAATATGCAAAACACTACCTCTAGAATTGATTTTTCTTTTAGTGGCCTTGAAAATTATAAAAGAGCTCTAAGGTAATAGTTAAAAAAATTAATACGTTAAAAATTAAGTCAAAGCGTTGAGATTTTTGTTTAAGAAAAACACTTAAGTATATAAAATGAGAAAAAACATTAAGCGCGGTCTTATAACATTTCCAAAATGGCGGACCATGAACCGAAAGAACGGGATCCGTCCTGTAATCCGATCCAACCTCTACTCCCCGATTCTGGATACGATGTGTTAAAATTAAAGCCATATCCAGTACAAGCGCCTCTTCACCAAATAACTGATAGTAACGAATTATCAACTGAAATGACCGTTGCCAGGCCAGAATTATCATTCGAAGACTCAATGGATATAGTGAGAGCCACCCAATTTGGAGAATTTTCGATAGTCAAATCCATTATTGATAAGGATCTTTATGGTGTTAACCAGATGGACCGAGAAAATGTTTCACTGCTTCATTGGGCTGCCATCAATAATCGCCGTGACATAGTAAAATATTTAATAGGAAAAGGAGCTATCGTTGACAGAATAGGAGGAGATCTAATGTCTACTCCTATGCATTGGGCTACAAGGCAAGGACATTTACAAATGGTTGTTCTTCTTATGCAACACGGAGCTGATCCAAGTTGTACTGATGGAGAAGGCTGCACATGCATTCATTTAGCTGCCCAACTTGGTCATTCCGTAATTCTCGCGTTTTTCATCGCCAAAGGCTTGGATGTAGACTTACCTGATGCAAATGGTAAAACTCCTCTTATGTGGTCATCCTTTCGTATCCATTCTATGGATCCAATCCGTTTATTGCTGACTTTTAACGCTAACCCTCATCTTACTGATCACAATGGAAATACAGCCTTACACTATGCAGCGATGGGAGGAAATCATGTCGTTTGCACATTACTAATAAAAGCGGGAATTGCACCTGATTGTCTCAACACAGATAGACAAACTCCCTTGGATATAGCAGAAACCAAAAAAAATTTGGGAATGATTAAAAGACTTGAGATGGAGGCAGCTTACAAGAAAAAATCGAAAAATTTAATTGACTCTTTTATTGGTGATGAAGAAACAAAATTAAAAATTTCAATGGTCTTTCCTGGTTTAGTTATATTTCTAATTGGCTTTATAGCTGAGTTAAATGTATATTTAGTCTTCAAATTGGGCCTCTTTGTAGCCCTGTTTTATTTGGTGAAGACGTACTTTAAACATTCTACTTCACTAGCTATTATGAACAAACTTCCCGTTTACGTGTATCTAGCCACTAAATTTTGGATGTATACTACATGGTGTTATTTTTTCTTGTCTTACATAAATAGTCTGCTGATACACATTCTCTTTTTGTGTACGGCTATATTTCAGGGATATAATTTTTGGAAGGCATGGAAAACAGATCCTGGATTCATTGAGTTATCGATGGCAAAACGACGAAAGACATTGCTGGCTTTCACCGAAAGAGAAGAATTTAAATTAAACCAATTTTGTACTACATGCATAATTAGAAAACCCCTTCGTAGCAAACATTGCTCTATTTGTAACAAATGTGTGGCGAAGTTCGATCATCATGTAAGCATCTTTTTACAATTGCCTATAATTATTGATTTTAAAATTTGATTTTTTTTTACAGTGTCCTTGGGTTGATAATTGTATCGGAGCCAATAATCATAAATACTTTCTCGGTTTTCTCTTCTGGTTGACTATTATGTTGATTTGGTGTTTATACGGAGCTGGCGTGTATTGGAGAGAAGCGTGTAGTGTGCCATATAACAAAGGATTTTTTGTTAGTTTATCTCATGTAATATCATGTTCTCCATGGGTATTTTGGATTGTTATTAACGCGGGGTTGCATCTAATATGGGTGTCAAGCCTATTCATATGTCAATTCTATCAGCATATTTTCTTAGCTGCAACTACAAATGAAAGACTTAACCAACAGCGCTATAAACACTTTCATACCCCTCGATCAGGAGTCTACAAATCGCCTTTCAATAAAGGATCGCTTCAAAATTTTGTAGATCTCTTTGAATGTACTTGCTTTGGACTTTTTACACCAAATAAAGTAGACTGGAAGAGTATCTATCTGGACAATATTCATAATGAAGCACCAACTAGAATCGTCTGAAAATTGTTGATATTTGAGACTTATTTACTATCACTTTTACATTCATGCTTTTTTAAAAATCATGTCTTTATATAACATTAAATAAATTTTTTATAATAAATATGATTCCCTTAAGATAAGAACTTTAAAATTTTTTTCTCTATCAGAAAAACCCGAGTGCCTTCACCACAAGATCTTATTCCCACAATTGGAATATCATTATCAACAGAAAACAAGGAGCCGGGGTAGTAGAGTTTCAGTTACAATAAATTGTTATTACAATGTTTTTGTAGAATACTGCATAGAAATCAATTGAAAATTAACGAATCTATCAAACACAAGTACAATAGAACGTCTTCGTTTTCAAGTTCTGAATCTGAGGATGATTTATATTATTTTAAATACTATCCAGTAGCTGGCCATTCATCTTTCTTACCGGATCTTGACACAAAACGTAGAAACAGATCGAGACTGAGTAGGAATACGAGGAAAAAAAACTTAACAACAGGCTATACTTTTCTAAGTATGAATGATCATAGATTGTATATAGAAACCTGTATAGGCGAATATTTAATCTTTTGGGCGAAAATTTATGCCTTGAATAGAAAAAAACTTTGTTACAGACTTTGTCAGGATATCGAAAATGTATAGACAAACAATTTAAAGATTAGATATTAATAATACTCTGAAGTATTTCAGATAACAAACTCTCTTGTATCGAGTTACTTGCACCCAAGGGGAAGTGCTCAGATAGTTTGGATAGAAAAGAGTAAACTAAAGGCAACTATAAATAAATATATAAGTTTCGATTATAGGATAAGATCTGGAAAGTATACCTTCATCATATTGATATAATCGATTTTATAATTTACAATTCATAAAATGATTTTGTAGAGTTGATGAATCGGCTGTAGCTCTTGTACTTAGCAAACACGCCAGCTGTCTGCTAAGACATCAGGTGTGTAATCTAATAAGTTGATCAATACTTAGTCAACTTATAACATGACGTTCTCATTTTTCAAAACAGCGACAAGTTTTCCTAGACACTCTGGCCGATATTTACGTAATAAAACCATCGAAACTACTTGTAATTGTAGAAAAGAGCTAAATAGCAAAGTAAAGAAAGACCTCGTCTCATACAATTTGTAGGCTTATAATGTATGCTGTACTGAAGAGAGAAATGCAAAACATCAATATTTTATCATTTTTTAATGATAATACAAATAAAAATATGATAATTTAGTGCTAGGAAAGGTTTCTGAGTGACATATCATTATCAACTTCCCTTCAAACCTTCAAATGATCTGTGTTCTTTCTGAGTTCGTTCAAATAGAGCCTATAATAATATGTCCATATTAGTATACTCTTTGAAACAGAGTCTTCATAGGAGGCCATCTTTCAAATACAAAAATAGCTGATGTTTAGATATTTAGATTTTAAACAATGGCTCTTGTTTACTACTATAAATAGCAATTAATATGCATAATTTAATATTTGTGATCCAAACTTATCAAAGTTTATTACTAATTGATAAACTTCAATTTTGGCAACTATCCCAAAATATTGAGGTGTTAGGAGAGACCACCCCTCCCCTTCTTCAAAAATTAATAGAATAACCCACGCTATCTGTGGAATACTATTTTGAAAAGTGTTTTCAAAAAAGGTTGTTATTTGTCTAAAAATTCGGCGATTGGTGATTGAAATACACCAAGAAGGGCAGTCTTTAAATGATATTGCCCTAAAAATTTGGCATAAATAAAAAGAATTCTCTTCTGTGGAGAACATTCCGAAAAGAGCCAGAACACCCAGACTTAATAAAAGAGCCGAAACGATACTATGCTTAATTGCTAAAAGAAATCCTTCCAGGGGATCAAAAAGAGTTCTAGCAGAACCAACTTTTAGATCAACTATCTTAGTTTCAACATGCAAGAGAATATTAAGAAAGTATAATTTAATAAGGTATATGATCACAAAGACGCCTCATTTAAAAAAGAAACAATTGCTAAGCAAAATCAGGTTCTCTTAGAAGAGTGATCACATAGAACTCATCGTCTGTTTAGATGAAAGACTTCGTCAATACAACCTAAAAAGTATTATCATAACTTTTTAATAATAAAACGGCATCTCTTTTCAATGAACCCTTTTTTTCGATATTATCATGAAAGTTTTAATTTTCAAAATCAAAAGAATTAAAATTTTTAATGATTTTACACAAAAACTATTGATTTTTGGATATTAATAGAAAGTTACTACGTAATTTCTAAATATGTAAATAAATGTAAATAATCTATTATTTGTTTATTTCAAATTAGCCTCTTATAAATGGTATTGCTGTATATAATACCGTCGATCGATGAGAATATCATTGAAAATCTCATCGGATATTGCTCAATTGGAGATTTTTACTCATTAATCTTAATAACCTGGCTTTATATAGATTTTTGTTTATTTCAAATTGTAGTTTATTCAAGTAGATTATAATTTACGATATATCGAAATGTCCAAGAATAGCCCAGTGATCCGAACAGTACCGATTTACAGGCGGAGGAATCTTTTCGATACCGCTCAATTCAAAGTAGACAGGCCTTAATTTTGCTCTTCTTCGATCTTGTTTAATATACATACGATCGAATCTGGATATATATTTTATTGTAATTAATTAATATTACATTTTAAGTCTTATAGGTTACCGAAATCTAGGACAAAAGCGACCTTCCATTTCTAAGTTTGAATTAAGTTTACAATCCCACGTAAATTTGGCCATTTCTCGTTTACCAGTTACTTCCCACATGTCAACTACGCCAGGAGGAAGACCACCAATTTCTTCTATCTATTGAAACATTTAGTTTATCAATTGCAGTTCAAGCAGTACAATTTGCATTCTAAGAAACTCACTTCCTTATCACGAAGATTAAGGTCACCGGCAAATAAGCTTGTAGATTGGCAGTTCATTAATTCATCTAGACATCTTTTTAGTTGCTTTTTTCTCTCCTCTGATAAGGGCTTTGTACTTTCCAAATGACTTGTCATCACTCTACAAGGAGTATTATTGATAACTAGCTGCAAAAGAATAGTGTCCAGTGGACATTAGTTGCAAAAACATTTCGAATCCTACTTACGTCCATGATTAAAACACCGCGACTTTGACGACTGGAGTAAAATGGATGATATTGACTATTCATTAGTTGAGTTTCTTTCATATGTAGCATGGCACCGATATAATAATCCGACTTTCCTCCAGCTAAAAACTTTTTATCTTTTGAGTTATATCAATATCACTGAATCTTTATATAAAAAATACCTGATAATCGCTGCAAGTCTCCTCCAAAATCTTCTGAGATTGAGGAACTACCTCTTGCAAAAGAACAATATCAGGCATTTCCCTGGAAAATATTGAAAAGGCTAGGAAAAATTATCTGTTTTTTAAATCTTACTGATTTATAACTTTTGCTACCCCACGTGCTCTTCTAAGAAGATTATTTTGATCCAAACCATCAATATTCCAGCTCATAATTTTAGTTCTTTTAACTGGCCTGTTAGCCGTTTCAAGAAAAGTTTAAGTTTCATTAAAACAATCGATATTAAGTTAACTTACTGTTTTTTTGGTGCGTCAGATGGATCGTTCCTATTTTCTAATTTCTTCTTTGTTCCAGGTGATTGATTGGCAACAATAAAGCAGTTCACAGCTGCCTAAAAGATTAGAGTATAAAGGGAAATTAGGTCAAATTGAAACAATAAAAAAATTTAAGAAATTAAGTACTTCTAACTGCCAGTCATTTTGTTGAAGAAACATAAGAGCACACGCAGAATCTGTTCCTGTAACCTCCGTGAAAGATTTACATAACTGTTCCGCCTCCTCTTGGGTTGGGACATTTTCATCAGAATCAGACATATTGGATGTTGTTCGGTAAATCACTTGACGTTTATTCTTCAACGAATTAAAGTATGGTTCAGTGGTCACCTTCAAAAACAAATAATATATTTTTATTTTGAAATGTTCTTTTTACTTTTAAAGTAATCCATTTTATTATTATAATAAAAAAATACTACTCTTAATCGCTTTTTATTCCTTTTTAAGAAGTGTAAAGCCTTAGTAGCTTGAGACCTACCATAAAAAAAACCGTATATTTAAGTTAGGAAACGTCCTTCGCTTTCGTCCCATAGACTGGCGCAATGCTAAACAATTTTTTGTTCCTTATTGAATTAAGACAATAGTAAAAGTTAAAGAAGAGCAGTAAATTATCTATAACAATTTTTACTATTGTTTTTATATCTATTTATTTACGAAACCGGAAGTTTAGAAGGAATAACAATACTGATAAAAAAAAAAACAGAAAAAAACATCTCAACTTTGAAGCTATATACTTTTATGCAAGTGTGTGAAATTCGTGACAATAAATATTCTTTGTGGATTAATCGAAGGACTTGTAAAAATATAACAAAATATTTTTTTTAAAAAAAAAAGATAAAAATGAACTAAAGCCAACTTTTTTTATTATGTTAAATATTCGGTGTTTGTTTGTGAGTTTTTTTTATTGGCAACTCCACTAAACGTATATAGGTAGAAAACATTAATTAATACTAGTCTCTCTGCAGGGTAAAAATTGGATAAATAAAGAAAAAAGATTACTGTAAATATTTTAAAATGTCGTGAGAAAAACAGTTTTGATGTCAATTTAATTGTTTCTTTTTCCAATTTATTGCATAATTAACAAGTTTCCAAAACAGTGGTTTCAGGGCATTAATTTCTTCTTTAAGTTTTCCACTTGGAGGATTAAATAGATCGAAACATTCACCTATGCCATTTCCCCATAGTTCTATAGCTAATGAAAACGGTATATTTTTCTTTCCAGCCATGTAATCGAAAATAGTTCCATCGGCAGTATAAAAGTTAAGATTATACGCTTGGCCATATTTGTAATCGTACTTTGTTGACTGGGAGAGCTGTTTTGCTAAATCGAGCATACTTTCAATATTTCCTGGTTTTCTATTAAAAGTTTTTGAAAAAGTATCTGAAAATGGAACATAAATTTGTCGAATTCCTGAATGGAGTGAGATAAAAAAGTCAAAGTTGATTTGATTAATTAAATCTAGGTAAACAAGTGCCTCTGGTTCAGATAGTATATGTTCGCCACGATATTCTTCATCTTTAGGATTATCAGAGGATCCGATACCGCCATAATTCCAATCAAAATTTCTATTGAGATCAACACCACGTCTATTGCCTCTCCAACAATAATTTTTATTTTTTTCAACAAATTCACGCCCATCAGGATTAGATAAGACTATTACGAATAAATTCACATATCTCAGCAGGTATTTCTTTTCCCGAATAAGTTGTTCAATCATACTCATAGTATATTCAACAGGGAAAAATTCTCTTGCATGTTCACCAGATGACAAGAGTATATTTACCTTTCGGTTTGACTTATAATTATGTTCAGTAATGTGAAAGACTTGTTGACTTTTTTTATCTAATGAAAAATAACCTGGGACGGGTTTTATTAGGTTTCCTTCTAACGAAAGATGATGCATTTTCTCTGCTATCTTCGAAACATTATGATATATGGTATAATCAGGGTAATAAACTTCTTTCCTTTGTAAAACATCTAAACTGAGAGCTGAATTGATAATAATCAGAAGACACATGCAATATGAGGTCATACTTTAGATAGAAAAGGAGGATGTAAAACTCTCTTAAGCTCTGTCAAATATAAATTTAATTATAAATTTTAATTTATTAAATAACGGTATGTATATATGTATATATCGTAGAAAACGAATAAAATTATCAATACAGACATTGTTAAAAACTATCTACTAAAAATATAGCAAAAACAATAGCACCCAAGAACCCGAATAAATAAAAGAGGATAGAGTTTTAATAGATGATAGCTGATGGAGCAGGCTTATCATCGAAACGATTTCTTTTCCAGAATGACCGTATAGGAACATCAATTAAGACTAATAGAATAATATTGAAAACACATACAAAAAGAAATGGTAACAGAAGCCAAAAAGACCAACCAAAGTATGACTTTTGAACAACCCATGGGGGGGTTAGATGATTTAGAATGTTCTCTTTAATTTCTACATGATGGAAAGCTGCCCAAAATGACATTGCTAATACACAACTTAACAAGCAAACACCAAACCAAAATATTAAACCTAAAGTACCAAAATAAGTTTCAACTGGTTTTGTAGCAATATTCAAAAACACTAATCCAACTGTGACGCAAGAAACAACAAGAGTAACTGACAAGAAGGAAATAGTTGCTGCCCAGTATGGTCTTCTTAATTGATTCCTTGAAATAAAATCTCTAACATCGAGTTTAGTTTGGCGATCACCCAAGTGTTCTGTCTTTCGAAACATTTCACCTTCGAATATTCCACAATACATCGAACCATAATACTCGTCTGTTGATGTGTAATTTTTATCCCTTAAGTCGGCTGTAAACCAATGATCGGTTCCGAAAGCAACACAGAGTAATATCATTCCTACTGATAGGGTCGAGATGTTTGTTAAAAAAACAGCAATTTCTCTTTTACTTCTTTTTAAGGCCATTTTCGGAGAATTCGGTGAACAACTACCGAGTTGTATTGTGTCTAATTTCCAAATACGGCTAACGAACAACTATTGAACATTACGTGACTTATCGTCAAGAATGAAAAGATATGTAATAGACCAAACTTTAAAAGTGTTCTATATCAATTCTTGGTGCAAAATGAACGTACTAAAAATACTATCTGACAGTATAAAAAAAGATTTATTACCTGAAACAACAGCCTTTCTTTGTGTTAACTACAACGATAGTTATAAATATAACTTGAACAGCATTCAGCTGTTGAATTATCACTGTAAAAAGCAACAGGAACACTATACGCTTTAACCCACAATTTCCGTTCAAACATTTCCGGTAAATATTCCTGGAATGATAATTACGACAGTAGTAAATTTCTCAAGAATAATAAATCTATTTTAAAAGCAATTAAATGTATGCATACAAATAAATGAATTAGACAGTGTATTTTTATTTAGAAAAGTTAGCATACATTTATTACAAAATTTTATAGAAGCAAAATCTTCTCTTTTTCTTCCACAATTGTAAGATTCTTTAAATCAAAGTTTGCAAAATTAGAATTTTATACTAGATAAAACTATTTATTTTGATTTAAACTTATAGCTATCAAGCAATTTTCTAAAACCATACGATAGTTTAAAGTTATAATATAGGTACCATATTAATGACAAGAAATCAGATAGGGGACCAGATTTGTCTATCCCTCATGCGTAATAGAGTGACTAGCAGAATTAGTATTTCAAGCAAATGTCAAAAATGATATCAATGTTAGAAAATCGTTCAAGTACTGTACCTGCTTTTCTGAATAAGCTGTGTACCCTCTTGGACGACGAAACAACCGATGACATGATCTGCTGGGATGCGGTTAGAAATATTTTCAATGAATTCGTTTTTTTCGTACTATAACCAACCGTAACAAAGATTACAACAAAATTTAATTTTATCAAGGCATTTCATTAATTAATCGAAACTTTATTCAGAGTGGCAAAAGCTTTCACCTGTTAGATCAGAATCGATTCGCCAAGGACATCTTACCTATGTATTTCAAAACTTCCAACATTGCAAGTTTCATTCGTCAATTAAACATGTGTAAGTTTTCTTGTTTTGCAAATTGGAGGAATTTTACTGACAGCATAAATTTTTAAAGATGGATTTAAAAAAGTTGTTCACATGAACTCGGGAATAAAATATGAAAAAGAAGATGTAGAATTTCAGCATCCTCATTTTATTAGAGGAAAAGAGGAACTACTGGAATTAATTAAAAGAAAGGTTAAAATTTTTATTCACAAGTTATTTCAATTAATTGATTCTTTATAGGGCGTACAACCAAAATTTGAAGAAGTTGGACGACCTCGAGAAAGTGAAGATTATAGCAAAATTTGTCAAAATGTCAAAAATTTGGCAAAGAAACATGAAGTCGTTTCAAACCAATTTGATTCAATTAAACGGTACCGTAATGTTCTATGCATTCTTGTTATTGACAATTTCTATGTCCTTTCAGAGAGAATGTCGCTCTCTGGAGAGAAGTTGCTATTCTCCGACAGAAGCATAAGGTTCAGCAAGAAATTTTGAATAACGTCTGTCTTTAAATTTGAATTTATACTGTTAATTAATTTTAAATACTTTCTCTTAGGTAATACGATTTCTCCTATCAATGGTTGGCAAAAGACAGATGCCATCAACGAAACGCAAAATACCTATGCTTACTGGGCCAACAACTCCTGCTAAGCAGGCAAGATACGAAATAAAAACTGATTCTGTTCCTATAAATGTAAGTTCACTGAACATTATTGGTATCTACATAAGATGCAAAACTCTCTTTTCCTAGATACCTCAGACTGAGGGTGAAGCAACTATTCACGATTTGCCTTCCACGAATGATTCTGGTAACAGCAGCCTTGCTGATTTATTCTCTTCAGTTGAAAGCGTTAGTTTAAATTCATGTGTACGTAATAATCTTTTCGGATTCTAACTCTTTATCTTCCATTGCAGGAAGCACCAATTAACGACGAAAAAGTGACGAAACCTGAACAAACTATACGGTATAGAAATGCACAAGCTTGAGATTCCAAATAACAAATTTATACTTTCAGACCTGTAATTGATAAAAACGATATCTACCAAAATATGGATCTCATTCAGAGCGATATGGATATTTTTAAAGACTTGCTTTCAAACTCTTCTCTTCCATTTAACGGTGATCAACTCGAAGACGTATGTGCAAAAATTATTCTTTATTTATTTATTTAATGGGTTATGAAACACGTTTCAGTTCTTCCCAGTAGATCCTTTAGCAGTCTCTGCTGTTGAAGATGTAAGATTTTCAGCTGAATGACACTAATTTCTATTACGAAAATTAATAAAATTATTTTTTTTCAGAATGAGGAAGAGCCTTTAGCTTTATATCAAACGGACTCATCAGGAAATGACAAAGAAATAGATGGAAGCTTGATACAACCATACAATGGTTTTCCAGAATTGAACGATCTATTAGATACCGCTGAAAGTAATGAATTGAATGATATCTTTAACTCGGAAGTGTATGTACCAAAGATACCTGACGGTGAAACGTCAGATCCTCCCACTGAACAAGTAGATTGAATCATCTGATGATAATTTATTATTGTACATGTTCTATAGATAATAAATTGGGAAAATGATCGACAAATTTTACTTTATTATAGAAAAAATGCTTGAACATCGTCATTGTTAAAAAAGTATAATTTGTGCGTTCATTTGTTGTATATTTAGTAAAATGTACTTTTTGAAAACTTTATATTAATATTCTAATATATGCACCTTAATCTTAAATCATAAAAGTAAAGCCGCCTTTGCCTTTTATCTCTTGAGCGTAAACATCGGGCGTCGGTCCAACTTGCGTATTCACTAACTTTACCGACTGAAATTTCGATCCTCTGACTACCTTTTCATATTGAATTAGTTGCTTGAAAAACCCAATGTTTGGTCGTATTATACATCTTTTCTCTTTAACATAAAAGTATGCTTCTCTTAAACTCATTGAATTATATTTTACCAAATAAGCAATACATATTGAAGATGATCTGCTCACGCCAGCAACACAGTGAACTAAAGTCTTCCCTCCATTTCTACCAACATCGTGAATTTTGTCTGCACATTCATCGAAATATCTTAACAAATCTTGACTTGGTAGATCATTGCACAGAATTTTTTTTGTCTCTACACTTTTTAATTTTAAAGCTGGTATCTCCATTGTGAGGTTGATTACACAGGTGATGGATAGTTTCTGGATGTTTTTCTCAGTCACACTTCTACTACCACTTAAATAAAGATGATCTAAAAGTCTTGTCGGTTGCGAAATACTCATATAAGCCATTATCGAATTCAATTAATATCACATGGACGGAAAAAGGTTATCTTTACGAAACTGCAATTGACTTCACGAACAATATATCTATAAAAAACTTGAAATTCTTCTATGTTTCAACATGTTGGGGAAGTATTTGTAAAAGCTCGATATTTCGAGTATATCTAAAGTATATTAAAAATATTTTCACTAATTATAGTTTAGGCATACCCCAGCGGAAATAGAACCTATTTTCGAACGATACTTAATGCCGATTGTCGCAATCGAAAATTTAATTTGATCTAGTTATTTCCTTATTTTTCGACAGATGAATAACATATTCAAGTAAATTTTTAAAGTATTAGAATCAAAATGGCAGGGAACTTTTGGCGCAGTTCGCATTGGTTTGTTTAATTTAGATTTCTGTTCAATATTTTTATACTTTTGATCGATTTTATACAGTCAACAATGGCTTCTCGATAAGCAAGATCTAATGAGAGAGAGAAATAACGATCTAAAATTAATATGTGAGGAGGATTATCAGAAAGTTATGATTTTCTTTGCAAATTGTAGTATTAAATTTTAAATTTACTATTCTCTTTTTAAAATATATGCTATATTTTTAGTTATACAAGGTTTAGGAGAGGCTATGAAAGTTCGACAACAAGTAGTCGCAACAGCAACAGTTTTCTTTAGAAGATTTTATGCTAAAAATTCTTTAAAGAGCATAGATCCTCTCCTTATGTGTCCCACTGCCCTATACTTAGCAGCTAAAGTCGATGTAAGTTTGCATAGCATTCTAATATATCTTTAAAAAATTTTAACTGTGTTCCTTCTCTCTTAGGAATTTGGTGTTCTTTCAAATAGTAGATTAATACAAGCATGCCAAGTATTAGGTAACGTACCATTGTTATACATATTATTTATTAATAACTTTATTGAAACCTAAAACTTTTTTAGTCAAAAACAAATTCTGTTACGCATTCAATCAACCAACTGAATTCTCTTATAGGATAAATCATGTCTGGGAATGTGAGTTCTATTTATTAGAATTGATGGTAAGATATTTATTTGTTAAATTTTTTATTATCTCCCTGTTAAACTATTAGTAAAAGTTTAATGTTAATATATTTCCAGGATTGCTGTCTAATTGTCTTTCATCCATACCGACCATTGCAACAATATGTTACTGATTTATGTAGTTCGACTGATGATGCTCAACTTTTACAAGTAGCTTGGTAATAAATAAATTTTTTCATTAATACGTTTATAATTCTCAGGCTTATCTGTTTAATATAGGCGAATTATTAATGACACTTATAGAACTGATATTCCTTTATTATATCCACCCTATATGATTGCATTGTGTAAGTATATAATAACGTTAAACATTAAAATTAACGTAAAGAGTTAAAATTGTTTATAATCAATATTTTTTAAACACCTTTAGCTGCTCTACATATGGCTTGCGTAATCAATCAAAAGGAAGCGGCTAAAAACTGGTTCGCTGAATTAGCTATTGATATGGAAAAAGTTAATATTCTTCTTCCTCCCCTCCTCTATTTATTAGTAATAATATTTAAATGTTTTTCTCATAGATCATGGAAATTAGCAAACAAATAATAAGCCTATATGAATTATGGAAAAATTATGATGAAACCAAAGAAATTAAGGCTATTTTACAAAGTTTACCAAAACCAGTTGTTTCTAGGTCAGCATACAGAAATATGTATATTATATTATAATATAAAGAGCACATATATATATATATATATATATATATATACTAATATTATACTAATATATATAGATATATTTATTTTTTCTTTTTCACCACATAGACCGCCTTCCCAAGGTCCAAATGACGGTATTCAGAATAATGACCCACATGTCTCTCAAGCATAAACGAAATTGTTAAAACAACTATTCAACGTTTTAACCAGTTTTTGACTATTAATTTTTATTTTTAGCAATTCATGTACAGTATGTTAAATATAGTTAATAAAAGAGGTCAAGATACGGTTAATAACCGATAGACCTGGTAAAATTAAGTTTTATTTAACCTTTAAGATAATCTGCAGAGATAAAGCAGAGGTGGAAAAATAATAAACTATTCTATTTTAATACATATAAAGAGGACCATTTGTGTGACAGGTAAACTAGAAGATAAATCAACTCGAAAAGTTTTCATTGTCACTTCATGTGACCGATTATTTTCGTAAATTGTATAAAAGAATCATATAGTGTGTATATTAATGATTTTCCTCTGTACAATTTATGCATTTTCCTTTTATCTATTCCAAGAAAAGTTTAATGTAACCATGTAGGAAAGTAAGGTCGTTTTTTATCGTGAGAAATGTAGTAATTTGCTAATAGTAAAATACTTTTTTCCCCGCCTTTTCAAGTATTCTCGAACTACTTATTAGATATTAAAGTGAATCAAATATATTAGGAACGAAAATGGGACTGGCAGAAGAGACAGAGAGGAGACAGAGGGAATTACATTATGCAAATGTAGAGTTAATATTAGTGCCATATACATGTATATTTGTATATTTTATTGGTATCTTTTGTATGATACATAATGAATAAATAGAAACAAGTTTTATAGATCACATTTATGGACTAGACAATTAAATTGTGACATTTCTTCTGGTTTGTATAACACGGAACACATAATACTTATATAAACTCTGTTTAATACCTTTAAAGAAGGATTTGATCAATATTCATGAAATAATCATGATTAACAAGTAAACGACTAGAAGTAAATACTTGGTAAATATTTGACTAGATGCTAGGATTTAAGGGATTAATGAGAATTTAACGAGCCTAGGACAATAATTCAAATATCCCAACTGAATAGATGATGCTTGATTAGCATATCCCTAACCCCATCTCGTAGGGGTGCGCTTAAATCAGAGCTTTTGCTTGTAGGTATTTCCCAATCCTGAGACAAGTTAAAAGAGAATTGAGACAATAATCTGCAAATGCACTTTAGAATTAGGAAAAATTCAATTTTTCTTATAAATTATTTACCGTAATTCACACTTGATTTGCACCCAGCCTGGACTTCTCATAAAAGACCAAGGATAATAATATTTATCAATAATTTCAGTACAAGAGCAGAGCGTCTCAAGCCACAAATGCAAAACTTGTTCACTAATTAAAAAAAAATAATGAAATAAAGTCTATTAAGTAGACTAAACAGTCAAAGGGACTTACTTGAGTCCGCTGCATACTAAAGACCGAAATTTTACATCCATTTGTGCGTGAGCTGCATCATGGCTCATATTAACTGATTGTACGGCTTTGTACAATAATTCTTCTGGAGTGAGAACTTTGCCGTCTTCGTCTAATCTGTAAGTTTTACACAATACCAATCTGGAATAGACACTCTCAAAGTCTCTTTCGACTTCCTTCGTGGCAGCCTAAAAATTTATAGTATTTCATACGCAATTGAAGATATATAATATATTAAAGTAGAAAGTAATGTTATAACCTCTTCTACGAATAGCCAAGGGTGTCCCGCTCCAGCTAATAGAGATGATCTCTTCAAGCCATGTTCAAAGACTGCCTTGATTGTTGGGCATAATCTATACAATTTTGACGATGTAAGTATGGATAGCTGTTTAGTAATATAAATGCTTACACTCCTCTTACTAGATCAGTAATTGCTTCAGTTACTGAGTCATCGCCAGCGCAAGAGTAACTCTTACTCCTTTCGTCCAATAATTCAACAAATTTAGCAGGAAACCAGCCCTTTAATCCATTTAATTCGCCAATCCAACAATGTTCGTCTCTTTGCGAAACTATCTGTTATAGACAATAGAAAATCAAATACATCCAGCATTAAAAATACATGAAAGAGTTTTTGTTTACGTACCGTTATAATATCGTTCTTTCTAAAACCAAGTTCGTCGTCGTCGTGCCTCTCAAAATCCATTAGAGCTTTGGCTCTACGTCGTCTACATCTAGCAACATTTGCGTAATTTTCAAGGTCCCGTGCATGACTATCCATCGTGTAATCTGCTTGCAAATTCTGCAAATATTTGAGTTGTTGTTGTTGCTGTTGTTGTATCTTTTTGAACAATCGATATTTATATAAAAAACTTACAAATTTTGTATTTTTTGGATCTAAGGATTGAAAATGTCTGCCTATCTGCAAAATTGAATCCCTCAAGTCTACTATTAATTCTGTTTGTTGGATATTTTTGGCTTTATCGGATTCTTCTCCTGTATTGCCACCGAGAAGTAATGAAACAAGAGATCTTGACCTCTTTAATTGACGTTTGTTAAGTTGCTATTTAAACAATGAGAAACACTTGTAATATAAACGAAAAGTTAATTAGTTAATATTGTTTACCTGCTTCGGTAGATTCTTAGCCGACTCAGGATTAACTAATGCTCCTTGATCAGCCATCAAATAGGCTAAATGTTTCCTTCTATGCGTTTCGACAATAACATCAGATAAAGATCCGGCAATTCTGAAAGATACCTGTCAAAAACATGGGACAAACTTTATTAATATCTATTTAAATTGTTGCTTATTTTAAGTGAACCTCTAAAAGAGCTTCAACATCCTGTACATCACCAGGAGCATCTGAGAGGGCATTAAAGATTTGGGCTGAATTGTCATAAGATTTCAATTCTCCAGACTGTTAAAAACCACAATAAAAACCGTATAAGAATATATAAAATAATAAAATATTTCTATTCAGTTTACTTTAAGTTTCAACATTCCGAGAGTCGCTTGAAAGAGAATAGTTGAACCTTCATAAAAGAAAATATCCCACAGACGTAGCAATACCCTTATATGAACTACACTAGCGAAAGCAGTCAGAAACCAATGCAGGCAAATTAATGAGATTTCTGTAAGAATTTATTCAAATTGAGTTGGAAAAAAAGGCAATCAAAAAAGAGGATGTTAATTTAACCTATATCGTGTTCCCTGAATAGCTCATCCACTTCTGGAAGATATGTTATTATAAGTTGTCTAAGAACTCTTTGATCTGCCTGTAAATTTTTAAATAAATATTAAATAATGACACTATAATAAATAAAAAATATTCTAAACGTCTTACTTGAACACCCAAAAGGGAACTAGAATAATAGGAGGCCGGAAGGAGATCTTCGATTATAGAACACATCATCCAAAAAGCATCTTCTTCTTCCATAAATAATAACAAACAAGCTGCCATCTGCAAACAATATTATAAGTTTATTCAACTACTATGATATTTCCTATTTATCAATATGTTACCATCCCCGTTCCTTGACAATAACCAATACTCGGATAGAGCCAAGCAACACATTGCAGTATACGCCTTAGTCTTGAGATCCCTGTACTGTTTATATTGCAAAAGCAAGCGCAATTTGGCATTGTTCTCAGTAAATCCTATAGGGAATATTAAAAATGTATGAAACAAATTTATATATATTAGTATATATGAGTCAATTATAACGAAAACAGACCTTTTCAATTTGCTTTGAAGTCATTAAATGGTCGCTTGAGCTCGTTTTAACTAAATCCTTATATGATGTATCTGATTTTAATTTCTTTTCCAATGCCCCAGTAAGGCGCATCCACATTTGAGGTCTCATTGAATGAGGTATACCCTGTCTAACCATTGTACGTAATTTTTCTGATCTTTGTAGTCTCTTTCCTACTTTATCCCACGTTAAATCGCTAACTTCATTATGGGTAAATTCAAGATATGCCACCCATTTTAGTCGTTGCTGTGGATCTTCAAGAAAAGGTGTACTTAATAACTTGCTAGAACTTTGTTCTGGACCGTCTACAAATCATTATATAATTAGATTATTAGGTAAATATTTATTAATTATTTATGTAACCTTCTTCTTCAACCTTTATCCCAAATTCATCGTATCTATAATCTAATTGACCAGATGAATCTTCTGGCTGTGAATTAGATGTGTTTTTATGTTGCTATTTTACAAAGATAAAATATGTTCAGTTACTGTGTTATGCAGTTTTGAAAGAATGTCTTGAGGCCACATGGAAGGAGTAAGAGCTGAAAAAGGACCCCCAGGAGTTGGTACAAATCCATCTGATGCTTCATATTGAGGTGGAGCCGAAATGCTGATTCCTTCTCCTACTATAACGCTCTTTTCATCCTCATCCTCCGAAAGCGTTTCAGCTGTTAAACACGTGTACTAATTATACGTGTTTGTTCACATTAAGCTTTCGCTAAGTTACACTAAGACATCAACAGCTGTCACTTTTTTATTTATTTAATTTACTAGATAGTCTAAATATTGAAGATAAATCGTAATCGTAACAACTAAATAACAATACCTTGAATTCGTCGCGAACTATAGCCTTCTGGGGCATGAACGCCTAAAATTGACTTCGCTATTTCCATTTTGTAGCCAAAATTAATTCAGCCACACATTTTACGCGATGAATGTCCTTGACCTTCTAGGAAAATATCTGCATGCATGGCCAACCCAAAGTAACGATTTTTATTTAGTTTTTTTTGTAAAAGATGCATGAAAGAAAATAAAATCAGCTTTTAGAGTATTAAAAAATTTTTTTAAAGCAAGATTTGGCTGGAAAACTAATAATTGAATGGTAACGAGATAATGTTTACGGAAACGGAAACCGGAAACAGAAAGTAATACAGATAGTGTTGGAAAGCATGATTCTGATATTAAAACGATTTTAAAATAGAAAAGAAAGTCCTTTTACAGAAAAGAGTTCTCAAGATCGTTTATAACATCATTTATTCATGTAAAATTATGGTTGCTTTAATCTCTAGGAACCTATTACAATTCTGCTATTTGCCCCGGGCTTCCTTTCATCGTTTTCTTGATAAGAAAAAATTGTCCGAAGGGGACGGAGTATTTCTCCTGTATAAAACGTCAAATGGACAAATCAAAGATAAATTTATTCGAGAACTTGAAGCAGATTCTTCACTAAAAACAAAAAATTTAGGGAATATAGAACATAATTCCATTCTAAATAGAATTCCTGGTGATTACATAACAAGTAATACTGGAAGAGAATTTCTCTTGCAGAAACCATCGTTAGGTCGTTATGTAAAGCATTTATCAAGAGCATCGTGGATTCCTAATAGTTTGGTACTTATAAGTAAATTATGAAAAAATTGTTTAATAACCTTTCACCTATTTAAATATTAAAATAAAAACAACTCACTAACAAATACAGCTAGTGTCGAAAATACTTTGTCGAGGTGCAATAAAACCTGGTATGAATATATTAGAAGTTGGATCAGGTTCGGGATGTACAACTTTACTACTTTCAGAATTAGGTTAGATTTAAAATCATTGTCATATTTACTTATAATATTATCTTATTTTAAGTGGGTCATAGCGGTTTCATTCATTCAATCGATAAAAGTAAAAATAGTACAACTATTGCAAAGAATAACTTCGATAAATGGAGAAAGTTGTATAAACAGAATTACCCAACCGACGATTTTAAATGGCCGAATAACGTGAAGTTTGATAGCGTGCAATCAGCTGAAGATTTGCCTTCGAATTTAAAATATGATCTGGTATTAGTTCACATAATAATATGGCGGTTCCCTTTGTAGTTTACGAACGGGAATTAGGCAGACAGAAATATTTGTTCATACTTTTTGTAGGCTTACATCGATATACCAAAACCATCTGATATTTTACTACCGATTAGTCGTCATATTAAGCCAGGAAGTTGTGTGCTTGTCTACAATGCAAAGTAAGAATCCCTTAATCAGCGAAATATATAAATATATTGTAAATATATGAAACATACTAAACTAGTTATTGATTATTTTTATTTTCGGGTGAAAAAGTTTAAATGCCTTAGTCAACTGCTTTGAATTGTGTAAAGAACGTCCAAAGGATCTTTTGTTAGAAGAAGTATTTGAAAACTGTCTCAAAGAGTATAATAAAAACTTTGTGGAATCTCGACCGATTGGAGAAGAATATGTATTTAGTGCGATAATTAGAAAATTACGATCGAATAGTGCGCAATCAGAACGAATTTTTAAAAAGGAAACCACCTTACGTCTATCATCCTTAGAAAGGTTTAAAGATCGTAGAGAAGTACCACTTAAAACGGATATTGCTGGAAGTCTTAGAACAGGCTTTCAGGACAATCAGCTCATTGAAAAATTACTACCAGGTGACGTCATAAAAACAAGAAAAGGTGAACAATTTTATGCTATTGAAGAGAATGTAAGGCATAAAATTGGTGAAGAATTATACGACGAAGTAAGTTATAGTTAATAGATTCAATTATTAGGCAGAACAATTTTTTACGCTTGTTAACTTTTATAGATCTGTCTTTCTCTTCGATTGATTGAATCATCACCTGATAAAAGTATTAGATTTTATGGTTATGGGGATGATAATTTGTACACGATGATAAAAGATATCGGTACGATATTTAATAAATTTCATTATTTAAAATGACATTCTCCAATAATAACCAGCTATTTATTCCTTCTTATTTTCTGCAGCTGGTAATCGAATAGGAGCTACGCGAGAGCCAAATGATTCATTTGATTGCGTGTGTATAACAGCAACATAATATACTATTAACAACTTTGTGCTTGCTTTTATACGCGATTAGATTTGCGTCCGTAAACAAATTAACAACGAACTAGTTCAAGAGGTTATCAGCAAAGTAAAAGACTCGGGGGCAATCGTTGTTTGTCTAAAAGGGTAATACATCATATATGATACGTTCCGTCTCTTTGTAGTAATACACCTAAATTCACAGCTCGGCTCACCTTTCATCTCTGCTTATCGACACCGTACGAACAACTTCAAATGGCCTAGTTGATAGTATTTTTGAAATAAATGAAAAAGAGTGGATAATACGTCAACCTCCCAAGATTAATAGTATAATTTGCCGACCGAAAAAGAATGTTCGATCTATTTCAACAAAGTTTTTATTATTAAGAATGAATAAATAATTATTAATTCCCTTTTAACTGCCTTGTTATTTATTTGCTTAACTCATTTTCAGCGACAAAATATATGTATAGGTTTTATTGTTTTTACTATTGATTCAAAATTTATCATCATCATCATTAAAAAGAACAAAAACAAAAGAGCGAAGAAAAGAATAATTATATAAAAAATACAGTGTATTATTTGTACATAAGGAAAAAAAAAAGAAAAAAAAAACGTTCAATTTTTCCTAAATAGCCAAAACGAAGTTCGTTGTTACCCATGAACATGAACAGTCGGATGAAAAAAAATAAGAAAACAATAAGATGCACGCAGAGAGCATTTACTTTTTTCTCAAAAATGCAAAACGAAAAGGAATCAGTTGGATGAGATCATGTAAAAATAAACGGTTTCCACACTAAATTAATTCGCCTTTATATTCTTAACCAATCAGGTAAAAGGCGTCATTTTTTCTTTCTTACATAATATTAATAATTAAATATAAAAAAGGACAATTTTTTACAACCTGAAAGTTCAGGTTTAAGAGTAACTTCTGGTTTTTTTTTCTTTCTTTTTTTTTTTTGCTTCAATCCGCAATAAATTTCATATTTTTTCTTCGTGTTTACGCACTCACCTATATCACAGAGATATGGCACAGAGAAATAAATGGTGGCACGCTCAGGCAAAATGTTGAAATAAATATATAAAGCACAACAGAAAGCATACCCTGTCAAAAAAAAAAAAGAAAAAAAAAAGAAAAAGAATATAAAGAAGAAAAAAAGGACAAAACTTTTTCAATATTATTATTTAACTTTCTTTTTTTTTTGCATAGAAGAAAAAATTAATATTTTTTTTTTTAACAAAAAAAAAATCATCTCGGTTATTGTTTGTTTTGTTTTTTTTTTCTCTTTTCACACTATTGTTTGATGTTGTTATTCGTTATCATCATCATCATTATCATCATCATCGTCGTCGTCATTATATTATCATTTTTTTTTGCTTTGTTTTCAAAATATGATGCTTCTATCATATTATCATTATTATTATTATTATTATTATTATTACCATTTTCATTTGTTTTTTTTTCCAAAATATATTCTTATAATTATTTTTTAATGTAATTATTTATATTTTCATTCAGCTACGCTCGTCGTGCGTTAAGCGGGAGAAAGAATAGTAACGGGGCGGTGTAGCAATAACTTCTACTCCTTGCCTATGGCTTTTCATATGGGCACTTCGGCTCTTAACTTTTGTAAAGATTCTGTTTTGATATTAAAAATAATAAACTTTAAACTAAAAAATAATATTAAGAATATACTTACTTTCCACATACTTTACAAGGATAACAGGCTTCCGCCTGCCCTATATCTGAAGCTGGAGACATTCCGCGATCAGGATTTGGTGTTGTACTTCTTGATGGTGGATTACTGGTAGTATGCGATTTCAAATGGATATTTAAGGCGTGTTGACTTGAGAACGTCTATTGAATATAAACAATATGAATATTCTATTATTGACAACCAGTTTAGCAATAAACCTACCATATTGCAATTTCCATATTCGCAAAAGTATGGTTTGTCTTGAGCTGTGGAAGAAACACTATCCTGGCTGAATGGACTAACCGAGCCACCTCTTGTTCTATAATTATACATTTCATCTTGCAGTCGCCTTTTTCTTAAAACTCTCATTCTTTTATAATCATCAACGCAGACTTTCTTCCATAAGTAATAGAATTGAACGCACTGTTGCACACATTTCGTTCCTACATCCTTGCTGATCGTGACAAAATCTTTGTCATATCTGGTCATTGAGGATGTGAAGGATTCTATCTCGTCTCGATTCCAAATATCTGTTTCATTAAAGATGAGATCTGTCTTTACTCGTTTTCTAAATTTGTCTTCAACCGCTTGCAAGTCTCCAGTTAATAATAACATCATAGCTGTTTGAACATCTCCGTGAGCAGCATGTAGAACGTGAAGAGCATATTCCTTATTTGTTCCTTTCCCTGGTATGGCAGCACTACAGGCAACATCTTCGTATTTTAGCAGTTGATCTTCGCTTAGTTCTGTTCTTGAGTCAACAGACCAAACAAGCGTTTCTGGCGATGAAACACGCTCTTCTCTATATTTATATGATTGAACCTTCGGTATTTGAGCCTGATACCTTGGGCCTATATTCACATGTGGCATAACATCAGTTTCTGGTGGAGGTTCTTCATCCTCCATTTCAGTATCACAGCTATCAGGAGAATCAGGCGGTGACGGCCGCTTTTTAGCAGGCCTCCTCACTGTCCAGAAAAGACCGGAACCGTATCTAGCAGGAGACAGAATTGGTGGTGGTGTATAAGGAGGAGGTTGCTTATTGTTGGTTAGTTCGAATGGTCCTTCACGTATTCTAGGCGACCTCAACTGAGAATAATAGCCGTAGGTTTGATTGACTGCTGAAGGAATCACTAAAGGTTCCGGTCGGGGTTTTTTCTTTTTATGTGCCAGTGTAGTAGTAGAATTAGGTAATTGAGGATTTCGAAAGTCGTCTTTTAAACGTTCTGGTTGACGATTAACAGTGGATACTGAGCTCTCCCTAGAGGAATTATGGGTATTAACGTTCGCAGAAGTGTCCAAGGTTGTACTAGTTGTACTGCTTTTGTTTTCAACGAGCGGCTGAGAATCGAATATAAAGTCACCCCTTTGGAGAGTTGTAACATTACCACTAATACTACTATTAGTATTAGTATTATTGTTATTATTATTAGTGACTGTGCTATTATTATTATTATTGGGAAGTATTCCTCCTTGAACAGACATTGGAGCTGGATAGTGAGGCATTATTGTGTCGTTAATAGATAAAGTGCTTTCAATTTGTTCCAACGCAACATTAGCGCTTGAATTGAATTGAACAAACGGGGGAGGTATATGATTAACGATTGAATCGTCTACTGGTAATGGCTGATCTCCACCTCCCGTATCGACTTCGTATCCCAATTTCTCAAGTACTTCTTCCATACCAGCTTGCTGTAATAGTTTTACGATACTATCCTTTGTTACGTATGGTCGTTTGGGCATTGTATATTTGTCTGGATCAGCTGACATACGTCTTTTTCGATCAGCCGCTTGTGCCATTGAAGTGCATACTGCTGAAGTAAGAGTTGACTGAGTTGCAAATACGTCGTCATCTCCTACATGTTCACCAAATTCGTCCATCGAGTCGTTTATTTGACCGCAATCATTCGGCGTCGGGAATGTAAAGTGGTTTTTCCTGCCAAGTGGAGTCGCTGGCATAGACTTTGGTGAAATAGGAAGCTGATTTGGTGTTAACGGTTCCGCCTTTAAATGTATATTCGACACAGGTGGAAGGGGTGCTTGAGTGTAAGGGGTACTTATCTGTTGAATAACCGATTGGGAAACGGTTACATCAGGAGCTGGATAGGTCCAGCATGATGTTGAGACAGCCGGAATGATTGGTTTTTGTTCAGTTAAATTGGGCATAGCTACAGTATGCCTTCTTGGATCGTATTCTTCAGCATTCCTATTATGTACGTTTAAGGTACTTGTATTAATTTGTACTGGTAAAGCTGTAGACATTATATTGTTCTCCTCTACTGCCGGTATTGTTTTAGGTTGTTGAGGAATAACAAATGACTTCGGCTGCTCTTGAGGTTTAGGAATTGGATTGGGAATGGGGATAGGAATGGGATTATTACGAGTGGTATTGGTATTCGCATTGGTATTGGTATTAGCTGATGGTGTTTCTTTCTTGTAGTATCCACCGTGCAAACGCATATGACCGTTCAAGGCAGCAACATTCTTAAAGCGACGATGACATTCCTTACATTCGACAGTCATGTGCTCCTCTACACCGTGTACAGCCCATAAGGGCGGGGGCGGTTTATTCGGAATAGGACTAGTCGGGGTTATCGGACTGTATTGTTGTTGAAGGCTGCCATCGATACTTGACCCCGTCCATGATTTTTCGTAGGCTGCTCTATAAACAGGATCGAAGTCAAAAATTTTACCTCCCATAGGTTCTGGTTGATGAGTATTTTCCATGTGACGGCGTAGAGATCGGGCATCGCAATAACTCTTATCGCAGCCCTCTACTTTGCAGGCGAATGGTTTTTTAGAACGATGAGTCATCATATGTCCGTTTAAGTGATCTTGTCTCTTGAATGCCTTAGAACAAATATTACATACATGTTTCCGTTCGTCGGAATGAGTTAGTTTATGCTTTGCTAGAGCTGACGAATTATTAAATCGTTTACTACAAACGGCACATTGTACGGAGCCAAATCTGCTGGCCGATTCGCCCTTGGCGGGTCGTCCTTTTGGTCTGCGCTGTTCTGGCGCTTCAGGTTTTACAACACCACCGTGAGAAGGTTGTAATGGAGGTGCAGCTACCGACGGTAGAGAGGATCCAGGCATTAAATATGGGTCCAGGTCACTTTCCGCTTTTGGATCAAAATACTCCCCAAAATGATTGAAACCCTGATCATCGTCATCTTTTCGTGTCGATTCGTTCATTGTTACAACTGGTATCTGGAAGGAAAATAAAAGATCAGCACCTGGCGTGCGAGAGAGCAGCAATAGCTTCATTATATATTTATATACGAGCACGCATAAAACGACGCTGGATCAAACGAACAGTTGCCCGCCGCCCAGATGTTCTCCGATTAAACGTCATTGTTGACTATTTGCTCTGCCGCAATCTCATTACCCGAAAGGAGGAAGAGTTACGAATGGTATCTAGGCACAAGAAAATCATTTCCGACGGCAATCGTCAAAAACTTAGTCTTAATCACGCAAACCGACGTATTGAATTTCCTAAAATTACACTCAACTAAAAAAGACACAAAGAATCTGCGCGTGCCAGTCGACGTCAAATTACGTCAGATAAACTGTACGTTTAAAAAAATTGTTCTATTCCAGCCCCTTAAAACCGCTTCCCTCGTTCCCTTCTCCAGGGCATCTGATGCACGTGCGTCCCCTATAGAACGCTGTTTTTTTCGGCTTAAAAATGCAATGATTAACGTTATATTTTTTGACTGACACGAATTATGGTCTTGATAGCTTTTTGACTCGTGTATTTCCTAACGCACCTGTGACAGAAAGGCCACTGTTTACAGCATGTGCGAATGAAAACAAAATAGTTATTTTGCGTTGTTAAATTATCATATCCAAAAAATTCATTAAATTTGCTTATTCTGATATTCAACGTCGTAATTAGCTTCTGGTTATGAATGAAGCGTCGCCAAGACCGTGACTCATAACTGCACGCACAATCCTTTGCCAGGCCAACAAGAGCTCTAGCACACGAATAAAAAATATTCATAAAATCCTGCCAAACCTCACGCACAACCGTCGACAGTTCTATAGATGTTTAAATAAGATAAAAAATCACCATTTTTACGTACCTAATAGTCTGCATTGGTTCGTTTGATTTCAAAAAACGGCAATTTAGTTTTCTATTTTTCCTCTCACACAACAGTACTGCTCGCCATCAAGCAATATCCCGCTATTTACAAACCATATCAAATAGAAAGGTATCGCTAAATGCTGGAGTAAAATTACATCCTCTTCATATAGAGAACAAACACGTATTTCATACAAAAATCTTATAATTAGTATTTTTTTTTATTATTAAATATTCCCAGGGCATAAAAATAAATTTTAACTAATTCTATCAAGATATTATTATCTTAATAATTAACTACATTTTCATATTTGATACATAGGAAGTATCACTAATTTTTCAAAATTCTCTTTTAAAATCACACAGAAACAATAACTTTTCTTTATTCTACATCTAAATAATATTTTATGTCTGTATTTCGCTGGTAAACAAGAAGATAGGACAGTAACATATTGTGAAATGTTCATGATTCTACTATAACTATATCTTAGGCGTACCATTACCAAAATATAGTTCGTTTAAATTAATCTAAATTACAATGCACTTGAAATTTTTTGCTAGAAAAGCATAATATTAAACTTATAAACTTATAATCACTTGGTTGTTTCTTCTTATGCTTTTTGAGTAATTAGACTGCCACGTAAAAAATTACGTATTAATACACACTATATCACACACGCCATTTCACTAACCACTAAAATGGCGACGGCTGCTGGCGATCATGGTGTTGAAACTAGTAAAACAAACGGTTCAGTATTTGTGGGTATGTTTTCAAACTTTAAGAACATCGTTTAATGAGAAATTTTAACTATATAAGCTCGTTTGCAGAGCCTGTCAATAAAAATTGAGTATGTAATATATAATTTGCCATTTCCAGAGGGTAAACCATTGCAAGTTATTCAATGCAAAGAAGGCGAGCATAAGTTAACATTAGACGAAGATGCCATAAGAGATGTCCTCCTTAGCCCCGAAATATGTAATAAAAACGTAGCAGTTGTCTCTGTTGCCGGTGCCTTCCGCAAGGGAAAGTCCTTTCTACTGGATTTTTTTTTGCGCTACTTAGAGGCGAATGTAAGTTGATTTTGAGTGTTGTTATTCAAGAATTTAATAAAAAATTCGATATTCAGGGAAGTGAAGATTGGTTAGGAAATGATACAGCTTCCCTTGAAGGTTTTCCATGGAGGGGTGGATCGGAAAGAGATACCACAGGAATGCTTTTATGGAGTAAACCATTCGTTATAAAAAGACCTAATGGAGAGGAGGTTGCTGTATTACTTATGGATACTCAGGGAGCTTTTGATAGCCAATCAACCGTAAAAGATTGCGCAACTGTGTTTGCTCTTAGTACCCTTTTGAGTTCAGTTCAAGTTTATAATATATCAATGCAGCTGCAAGAAAATGACCTTCAACATCTACAGGTAGTTGCTCTTGCTAGTCATTATGATAAAGTACCTAAAGTATCTCAACCACTTATCTTGACAAGTGTCATGTTGATAAATTTAAGTTGGAGACTACTTTTTATTTATAGAAAAATATGTTGCAAATATCAAACAGCTGAAATGAATATATAAATTACTATTAGGCTTATAGTATTATGATAATCCAATTTTTTTCACTTGTTACAGCTTTTTACTGAATACGGGCGATTGGCGTTGCAACAGAGCGATTGTACACCATTTCAACACTTAGAATTTCTCGTCCGTGATTGGCCATACGCATATGAGTATGATTATGGTGACGAAGGTGGAAATAAGTTTTTAACCAAAAAATTAGCAGTAAGTTATTCATTTAGAAGTGCTATTAGTATTGTTATCAATAAGCTAAACAATACAATTGAAATACTATTGTAAATTTTATGTAGATAGAAGATAATCAACATCCAGAATTGCAATGTATAAGAGAACATATTAAATCATGTTTTTCGTCAATTGGTTGCTTTTTGATGCCTCATCCTGGTCTAAAGGTAGCAAATAGTCCGCACTTTGATGGAAGGCTTCAAGGTATAATATTTCCGATTAGTTTACATTATCTACAGAGTTTTCGTTTGAACTGATAGATATTGAAAAAGAATTCAAAGACGCTTTGAAAAAATTTATACCTATGGTCTTATCAGCTGAAAATTTAGTAGTCAAGAAAATTCAAGGAGAAGCCATCACAGCGAAACAGCTACTGGAATACTTCAAATCTTATATAAAAATGTATGATAGTGATGAATTACCTGAACCAAAATCAATGCTACAAGCAACAGCGGAGGCTAATAATTTGTCTGCTGTTGCAACTGCAAAAGAGCAATATATTAGAGATATGGAAGAGTTTTGTGGAGGTGATAAACCATATGTTGGTCCGGATATATTGAAGGAAAAGCACGATCATTATTTGAACAGCACTTTAGAATTTTTTGATTCTAAACGCAAAATGGGAGGACCAGAGTTCTCTTTACCATACCGAACACGTTTAGAAGAGGAGTTGATACAAGAATACGAACGTTTTATCTCTAACAACGACTCGAAAAATGTTTTTGCGGCTGCTCGAACTCCTGCAGTATTTTTATCGCTAATGATTATTTGTTACCTAATTGCCGGTATATTGGGGATATTAGGGTTGGAAAGTTTAGCAAACTTGTTCAATCTACTTATGGGTTTAAGTCTAGTCGTCGTTGGAACTTGGGCCTATGTTAGATATTCTGGTGAATATAGGGATATTGGAAGTCATATCGATTCTGGGGCTGAAATGCTGTGGGATAGTGTTCTAGGACCTATTTGCATGAAGCTAATGCAGAGTGGGGCCCAACAAGCTTTTAAGACAAAGAAAATGAAATAGTCTCCGTAAACGAACTCGTTTAAAAAATAATTTAAGTGCTTTGGTGCTGCAATTCAGAAATTTTCGTGCTTTTAATTGTATTATCGTACGGACGAGATTCAGACTTTTGATTTTGTTTGAAAAAAATCAAAGTTTTGGTTGGCTTAACACTGCATTTTTTTTCGGACAAGATATTTGTTCAAACATTTTTATATGTTCATTCAATGTTTAAAAAAAACCTAGTTTTCCTTCACTTTAGTTGATTTTTTTTAAGTTCCGCTTTTTGCCATAAATATTTACCGCTAGATGGCGTTATTAAATTTAAAAAATGGCGGACACTGCAGAAAAGAAAATAAATGAAGAAAACCCTAATTCTGAGTCTCCGACTCCTAAACGTCGTAAAATCGATTGTAACGAAGTAGAACCTTTTATAACAACAAAAGGGTTGTGTGTAAGCGAACATTTAGGAGAAAATGATGGGACATGTAATGTAAACGGTTAGTAATTTTACTAGCGCTCTTTCATAAGATCGTTATTCAGTATTAGCGATTTCTTATTCCCTTGAATTCAAAACTATTGTTATTGTCAACTGGTACGAAATTTTCATATTCGCCACCTAGTGGTATATTCTGTTTCCCTGATCTGTGTAGACATCTGTAAGTTAAACTGTTGCTTTTGTTTACTAAATATAGAACAAGAAGCTATTGCCAGTACATCTTATGACCATCAAAGTTACCCAGAAAGTTCAAACCAATGCACTGAGAGATGCGTACGTTTACTTTCAAATTTTTAAAGTAAATAAAAAATGATTATAAACGTTCCATGTTAATTTTTAGGACTCACCCCAATCAGTTTCCAGTTTAGGGAGTAATGTCAGCGGGTTTTCTGATATGCAAGAGGAAAAATGGAGATTTGGTAGGAAACCACTGGATTGGGTTCAACGTCAAATTATGAAGGGGCAAAAACCGAAAATAATATTGGAGTCAATACTACCTCCGGGAATTGATATCCCAAGCGATATAGATGACATGAGCATGTGGAAAGCTATATTAAATATAATAAGCGAACCAGATCCCCGTTCAAAATTACCGGAATTTAATACTTTAGATGATGCTGTTGAGCTTTTAAGAACCCGCAAAAACATCATTATTTTGACGGGAGCAGGAGTCAGCGTTTCTTGTGGTATACCTGATTTCCGGTCGAAGAACGGCATTTATGCTCGATTGTCTGAAGAATATAAAGATCTACCAGATCCTCAAGCAATGTTTGATATAACATACTTCCGTAGAAATCAAAAACCCTTTTATAACTTTGCAAGAGTAAGAGTTTTTCTTTTTTTTTCAACATTGATTAATATTTCAAAGTTTTCCTTCTTTCTTAGGAAATATTTCCAGGGAATTTCGAACCTTCTATTGCTCATAAATTCATCAGGAAAGTAGAAGAACATGGAAAACTACTGAGAAATTATACTCAAAATATCGATGCCTTAGAACAGCAAGCTGGTATAAAAAACGTAATTGAGTGCCACGGTTCTTTCTCAAAAGCATCTTGTATGGTTTGTAAAACTACCGTCGATGCTATAGATATAAAAGAAGACATTATGAAGCAGGTAAGTGCTTTATTGTCTCATACTCTATTACAGAGAAGAATAACAATTAAAAATATTTTTTCAGCAAATTCCCCTGTGTAAAGTTTGTCCGAATGAAACAGAAATGTCTATAATGAAACCAAATATTGTATTTTTTGGGGAAGGATTACCATCCACTTTCCACGATCGAATTTCAGAAGACAAGGATGAATGCGATTTATTAATAGTTATGGGGTCTTCTATGAAGGTTCGCCCTGTGGCACTCATACCATGTACGAAAATGCATATTACTTAGCTTACGTATGTTATAATACATATATTTTAACAGCTTCTATACCCGACAACATACCACAGATTCTTATCAATAAGGAACCATTGAGACATTTAAACTTTGATATAAACTTATATGGGAATTGTAATACAATTATAAGCGAAATATGCCATCGTCTTGGCGAGGGTTGGAATACATTATGTACAGATTATAATCCATTAAAAGAAGTCGATGGAGAAGCCATAATTAGAGAGAGACAAGAGTCAATTGAACAGCAACTACTTGAGGAGAGCAAATTGCAACAATCAGCTAAAGAGAAGATTGAAGTAGAAAGTGACCAAAAAGAAGAGATAGGCCCAGAAACAGTAATGGTTTCTAGCACGGAGCCGGCTGCTTCTCTTCCAAAGGAGAGTAATGAGGCAGAACAGAGCATAGTAGATAACGAGGTAACTGAAGATGAAGCAAGGAAATTTGAAGAAGAAAATAGGAATATGTGGATCCCTAGAGAAATAAGCATAAGTGCATATTTGCCAGGTACGTCTATTTATTGTTAGCTTAAAAATTTTATCAACTATTGGCCATTGATATATATTTTATCAGCTTAAGGAATAATTTTTGAATGTTTTTTGATTGGCAGACAACTCCTACGCCTTTCTACCTCCTTATAGTTATGTTTTCGAAGGAGCTGAATATTTGTACGATTTGGAGAGTGATTCCTCATCTAGTTCGTCGAGTATCTCAGCCAATGGTGAGACTGAGGAATCATACCGATTAAATGAGGTTGGAGACGAATCAGAAGTAGATGCGGAAGCAGAGACTGAGGCAAAAGCAGAGTAGGAAGGCAGTAAGGTGGTAAAAAGGACCAAGACAGTACAATATTGTCAAGTGTAAACGACGTTGGTTTTACAAATAAGTTAGCATGAAGTGAATTTTCGTACATTGGTTATGAATATTTTGATTTGTCTGTACATAGTTTTATTTTATAATTGGGGCAGTGTCGATAAGTAATAAATGCAGGAAACTCTTTTGTGCATATGTATTACGATTTAAGCCATTATTGTTTCGTAACGTTTAGATGTACATGAAAGGATATAAGTATAGAACTAAAAAATACCAATAAAATTTCTTCTGCATCAGACAATGGTTGTTTAAATGTCAAGATAATTTATTTTATTACGCTTAATTCTATCTAAAATCATTACCCTTTGATACAAGTCTGTTCATTATTTGAATTCTTTTCGGTGGAAAGGGCTTACGTACTGTCGGATATCGACCTGGGACATGAAACCAAGCAGACTTATGAATAAACTCTTCTTTTTTTCTGAGGCGAAGTCCCGTACTTAATTTGTATTCATCTAAAACACGATAGATACTCGTGGCAGGTCCACTTGTGATAGATTTGTCATCCCTGATAATCGGAGCAGCTGATTTAGGACGTGGTGAGCGAGGAGTGAGTGTATCGTTTAGTGTTAAATATTTAAAACCAGCAGACTTTGGTCTAGAATCATCTACCATGCTTAAACGAGATTGTAAAACTCTTTGATCTAATTTGAACAAATCAACCTCTCGCCAGCTTAAATTACTAAACATCCTAATATGTGTCCTTTGATCGGTACGAGTTGTTTTCTTTTTTCTGTTTTCCATTTCGGTTAAATCTCTTAATAGCAAACGAGATGAGGGATGTTTAGGACCAAGTTTAGTATTCCTTATATCCATTGCCCTTTTTAAGTACTCAGAACACTTTTGATTAGCTGACTTTGAATGATCTTTTTTCACAACTAACGCCAATTGATGCAATGAATCAGCTATGGATAAATGCTCTTTTCCCAAAGACTTTTCTCTAATAATTATTGCCCTCTCATACAATTTCATTGATTCAAATCTGTTATATCTATAAATAGTGTAAGTTTAGTATAGTATTAGACGAAAAAAGTTTATTTTTTACTTACTGGGTTAGATAGGGATTGCTTACAACAATGGCTAGTCTTTCTAAAGATTCAGCAACTATGGGATGACTTTTACCATAACACCTCTCTCTAATTGCTAAGGACTCGCTTAAATATTTGAAAGCTTCCTCAATCTGTCCCAATTTCAAACTGTTTTTTTTTGCTAATTGAGTAACGCTACTTAAGATGCTTTTTATTTTGAAGACATACCTAAATCTTCCAGAAATAGAAAAATATCTTGCTTTAGTGATTAAATCTTCATTGTTTTCAACGATCTTCTCGGCTTTTTTTAGTAAATTAAGTATTTTATCTTGATTAGACGCAGTTGTTGCATCTCCAATTGAATTATCGACTATGTTTAAATAAGCTGTTGCTGTTAAATTTCAAAAAAGAAAACAGTATTATTTTAATATTGACTAAGGTTTGAAAAGTAATAACGATACTACCTTGAAAATTTTTAAATTTATTTACTTGCGACAAGGTCAAATCAAAATTCGATCTACCCATCAAAAGATCATAGGTGGTTGACGTTAATTGATTATACCATTTAATGGCGGAACTTTTATTGTTTAACTGATCATATAGTTCAGCTAATTCGTATTCAACATCAGCCCGTGAGGACAAAACTAAATGTTCGCCAAAGGACGATCTTTCGTATAATTGATTATAAATAGTCAATAAGTAATTTTCGGCTCGTTTGTAGAATGCAAAATGGATAAAACATTTGCATATCTGAAATATTTGACATTTAAAACTCAATTAGTTATTTTCGTAGTAAATTCTTACAGAACCTATAGTTTTTCTTTACTATAAAATTGAATTATAACCATACCTTTATCATAAAGCTGGTTTTATATATTAAGTTTTCTCGATCGTTACAAGGTTGATCTTTCTCAAAATTGATGAGACAATTGACTAAGCCATTTTCGGCTAATTCTCTATCTTTTTCAATTGGTTGTATCAAGTAATTTTTATATTCTTCTATTTGATGAACATAGATTTCGCATACTCTATAGGTAGAAAAAATGAAATTATTGGAAATGTATTAGTATTTCATTTTCTATCTTAACGCACTTATGATTCGTCAATAATTCAGTCAATTCTTTCCATTTTTTGCATAATCTTAGCTGATGTGAACATTCTCTAATATAACGGCTTTCAGTGTTTAATAGATCATCTTCTTTCAAGTTTGTTATTAAATTTTGAACAAGTTCCAATCTCAATCCGCTAGGTGGTGCCGAATTACCTCTTTGAGATGAAATGCTTCCTATACAACATATTTTTTTTAATATAAATGATAAAATTAATCAAATTGCATAGAGTAAAATAAATAAAAGTAAAAAAACATTTGTAGCCGATCAAGGACTAAAAAGCTCTCCTTAAAGGTGAAAAAAAAAGAAAGGAGTCGAAATGAAAGTAAAAGGATAGAGTAAAAGTAAAATGGTACTCAGAATCACACATAGATGCAGGAGTAAAAGATGCCGAGAGGAGTGATAAAGACGATTTATAAATTAAATAAAGGTCTAATGATTTAAAAAAAATAATAAATACAAAATATATAATTGAATGATTGAAAGAAATATAGATAAGTACATATATGTAGAAATGAATCACATTTAATAAACTACATTCTAATTTATTATACCCCCAGGAGTTGTGAGATCCGTTACATTATTCATAGAGAAAATCGCCTGCTTAGTTACGATGTCTCTCTCTTTTGTATCTGAAGTTTATCACTTTATTTAAAAGCTATCTTAATTAATTTCATTATTTAGAAGACATCTCATTGAATTTTTTTGTGTGATAGCATTGATAAAGTAGGACTGGCAACTATATGATTAACTGATTCATATACTTAATTCTATCACGTTTGTTCTCTAACAGGATTCTTTGAGTCATTTAAATGTAATCGCAATCAAAGGCTTAGCTTACCTATTATGATGTGCTCCATTGATTCTTTCATAAAAGCATGAAAGTACTGATAAGTCATTTCAACTGGCGATTGAAGAATAGAATCTTCAGTCAACCAAACAAATAAAGCATAATCGAATTCAGTCACCTGAGCGTGTTGGACGTAATTCATACTTTGTAAAACTCTAAAAATCAACCGTTTCTCAAGGCCGTCTCTAGAGACAACAAGAAGAGAAAGCAGATCCGAAAGCCAGTCAGAAGTTTTATCAGTAGAATCTTGTTCTAAATCTAATTGGAAGAGATTTGTAGGAGTTAGGGGTTTTGGGGACCAACTAATTTCTTTTATCCATCTTTTTAATATTTCTGCCCACAAGTCTCTCATTGTTCTCGCCTCGCAAAAAGCTTCGATTAAATCATCCGTATTATCTTTATTATAAAATTTTCGTAATTCTCGTCCAATTACTGTTAAAAAGAGAGGGCTTGCAGCCATGCGATTATTGAAAATTTTGCTTAGACTATTTGGATTTATTTTTGGCTGGTACAATTCCAGTATTTTCCTCTGATGTCTTTTACTAAGAATGCCCGGAAAATTAACTTCTAAAGTGTCTAAACGAGATCTCAATACACCACAAGTACAATCCGATGTTGAAGTAACAAGAATCAATTTACAGAAGGAGGGAATAGCCTCTGGAAGCCATGAAATAGTTCGGACAATTGAGCTATCTAAGTTGGAACTAGTCCTTAATTCATCAATGCCATCTATTATTACTAGGCATGGACCAAGATTTAATGAAGCTTCAAATACTTGTTTAGAATGCTCGTATTCAGGTAAACTTCTTGTTTCTCTTGGTATTTGAACGGCATCGGAAGTACCTATAAAGTGATTTTGTAAGATGGTTGAAATTCTGTCAAGCATTCGCAAGATATTTGAACTATCGTAGCTACAAGATGCGAAATGATAGAAGACATTCGCTCCATTCTCTAAGTATAGACAGTTGTCCTCATCAAGAGACTCCAGCCAATAGGCAATTAAAGATGACTTGCCGCAACCTCTCTCTCCGCAGAGAAGAAGAAGATTCCTATTTAACCGTTGCAAAACATTAGATTACATTTATTGATAGACGTTTAAAAATCTACATCTTAGTCAACATACTTATCGGTGTAATAACCTTTGATAAATTTATTCAATTTGTCTGTAATTTCTTCAATTTGAGGAGTTTTTATAAAAAGTTTCTGCCTATTTAGAGCAAATGTCTTCTGTAGATAATCCTCTTTTTGCAAATTATCGAAGGGTTTAGATAATAACGGATATAGAGAATCAATGACCTTTGTAAGATCATCGTAAATTAGTTCTCCAAGCTCCTCAGGTGTTGTATAATATTTAACCTTTAAGCCTTTATTTATAATCTATTGAAGGGAAAAAACATAGGTACAACTGAGAAATACAATATAAATATTAATAAATAATAATTAATTATACTTTTGATTTAAGATTATGAGCTCGTTGCCTTTCGTTTTCTGACGAACTTTCGTATATCATTCTTTCATCATCGCTGAGATTTTTTAATTCGACGTGCCCAGCCTTACGAAAATAGAAAAGTGAGTTTTCACATTCCCCTAAAAATACTGCCTGTGTTAACTCTAGTTCAATTAAAGACGATTGTAAATTTGGTTTGTCTTTTAGCCAGGCATATCCTGATTTTACTGCTTGGTTGATTGAATTTCGTAACCATTTTGAATTTGCTGGAATATCACCGTATCTTTCTCCTATTAATGATATAAAGAATGGTGATGACTTTATAATATTGTATAAACATAGTTCAACAGTTCTGTCGTGTTTTTTTGATTGGAAATCAATCGCTTCAAAAGTGGTTCCCCTCGCCGAACAGAAATACTGTAGTCTAGGCCATATTTTTTCATTTAAATAATTTCTCTCCTCCTGAATAATGATTTCGAATATAAAGATGATAAATAAAAGGATTTCTTAAGAATTTACCTGGAAATCCTCAACTGTCGAACTTAAATACGGTTTAACGGTTCCCCTCACCGAAAAATCCATTCGACGTAAGGAAAACTTATTTCATAGGCCTAATGTTAATGCAACCATAGCAACGAAGAATATATGGTACAATTTAGAACTTTCCAAGAAAAATTGGTTTATAGGGGGTCTGAGAGAAATATATGATTTGATATATAACCATTAAGGTTGTCAAGTTACAGTCTTGACGAGTATTATCTCGAAAAAGGGTCTTGGACTTTTTGTTTATCGTTAATAGGCAGTATGGATTACCATACCACTCTATTTAATTTTGGCGCGTTTGATTGTTTATTTGAACCATTTGATTTATGCTTTTATAGGCGTGGCTAACAGGCAAGAGAAGCACATAAATACATTTCGTGATTGCATTATATTGACTTAAATGGCTAAAAACTCAAAATCTTAGTGTTGGAAACTTTTAGACTAATTGAAAAGTCTGCCATGAAAAAAGAGTTTGGCATTTATTTTCCTCATCTTTTCTGAATCTAATAAATTAATTAGAGATTATTACAATTTTCTAAGGCTTATTTAATCAATAGAATGTTACATAAAAGTTATTTATTCATTAAATATTTATCCAAAGCTAACTGTCTTTTGTTTTTTTGTCCCCCACTGTCCCTCCCCCCTCTCCGTCTCTCCTGCTCTTGTATTAGCTACAGTTTGTTTATTATACACTTAACTATATACAATAGATTTTTCTTTCTTAATTGCAGTTTTATTAAAATTTAATAACTAATAAATCAAAACATTAACTATTAATAAAACATAAATATATGATTTGAGAGGTATAAAAAATAAAGAAAAATAATTAAAGACAGGCTTTTCCGGGTCAATGACCCTATTTGTATGAAGGTTAATCCTGTTATAATGATTTCTTTCATTTCTATTGCATACACAGATGTATATACTGTATAGATGTATGGTGACTTTGAAATACTACACGGAGAAAAGAATTAAATAGATAGACTTTAAGATGCATTATGATAAGAAGAAAGAATAAAAGTTTGGTGGCCAAATTAAATTGAAACTTCATATTAGCTTTGATTTTAATAAATGTCGTCAGTGTTGGAGAGTTTGTGAGCGTTTGGTGGGGTTGATGTTAGAGCTGTTAATTCATGGCCCATACTCTTCTTGCAAGGCTTGCTCTTTCTTTTGAATAGGAGCTGCATTAATGCCATTCGGAAATTGGAACCGGCAATACAATATAAATAAAAGTCTATAACGTAATTGAGATAGTATATAGTTTGTAGAGAATGGAAAGTAAAATTTGGCCAATCAAGCCTTGAAAATTTTACATATTCTGTTTGGTATATTAACAAAGGCCCGGTGAGTAAAATAAAAGCCAAACTGACTGTCATCAGCATAATAGTTATTGATAAAAAATTCTGATAATCTCCTTTCATATGTTTCTGCAAAGCTTTATCGCCAACGTATTTAATATACCATAATCGAATACCAATAGTTACGTTACCAACCAATATTACGCAAAATGGAATGATACAACTAAATATCCAATCGATTTTGTATAATATATCTTCGATATAGGGATCTTTAATGGTACATCCGGGGTGAAAGGTAGAATTAGCGTTAGATCCATTGTTTGGAAACATCTCTATATTTTGCAGAAACAGGTGATGCAGATTTGTTATGAGTGTTATGACGAATACTGCTAATAATATCAATTTTACTTTGCACTGAGTGAAAATGACGTTTGACTTAATGGGATTCAAAATCGAAGTAAGTCGCATTCCGGTCATGACTACTAAAATCCAGGCCGACAATTGGCAAAGCCAATATTCCAGAAATGTATGAATACGACATATTGCATCGAATTTATCCCGAATATCTCCGATTCCTATAACCAAAAGAATATAACGATTTACACCGATGAGAAGAACAGCTAAATCCGTGGCCGATAGTACTAGCAGGGCGAGCGATAAACTTTGTCGAGAAAATCTTTTAGAGCGTAAGATAACAATGGCAATAGAGTGACCAATAACTCCAGCTATTAAAAGAACAGGTCCAGATACTAGCCAGAGGGTACTGATCGCCTCTTGCTCTCCTTTTGATGCTTGATTCATTCTCCGTGTAGATTTGGAGTTTTTCTACCCAAGGGAGGAAGCCAGTGCAATGAGGCGGAGTAAAATCGTTGGCGTTGGTTGAATACCGGGTAGCTAGAAAAGTTGATACATAAAACCTGCTTATCAAAATTCAACTCTAAAACAACATCAAAGGAAAATAGACGGAAGGGATTATTGAATGCAAAAAAGTGAATAAAAACACACTATAAATAATAGAAAGAGGTCCTTAACATAATTAATAAACATCAAGTGCTTTTTAGTGTTTAAATAGACAACCTTTTAAGTCACGATATTCTTTGGTGAAAAAAGAATAAACAATGAAGTTTTGATTGATCTTATTAATATTAACAAGTGTTTTTTTTTCTTTTCTTCTTTCCTCTAAGTTCTATTATTATTCCGTTTATATTTACGATTCATTAGTTTATTCTTAGCGCTCTTTTCAATATACTTTTTTTAGGTATATATCCAATTTTAATTGGATTCATAAGGTCGGTTATATCAAAATCAACAGCGTGAGTTGGATAATTTCCAGATTCCATATTATAATGGCGCTCAAGCATTCTTGTAACAAGGGTCTTACCATCTGTATCGATGTCGGGACCATCCTCATCAACGGCTGTCTCTTGAGTCGTTCTGTATTGCCTTATATTTTTATCATCTACAAAATCCTCATCTGAAGAGGAAGATAGTTCTAAACGCCTCATAGATTTATTTCTCTTATTTAGGTTTTCGTATTCTATTGTTCTTACTTCGACCTTTTCAATTTGAATATCTCCTGTTCGACCTATAGTGTTGGCCTCCAAATATTTATCAGCCAGTCGATCACGAGTCGGCTGCCCCGTAGGATCAACAAAGCTTTTCGGCCTTACGTAATCGATTAAGGATGACTTTGACGAAATAGATGAGTTAAATGATCCTTTCGGATTATCAAGTGCCAAGTTAACTTTCTCTAATTCTAATCTTTTCATAATTCTCCAGTGTTTAATTTTGAAAATGGCAAGGGCTAATAATAAAATAGAAGTGATGGTTACGACAACTGATAGGGTTGTCGTGACAACTACGTATAATAAATTTGACTGCCGCTGATATATACAAGAACAACCACCTTTCTTCTCTTTACCGCAGAGTTCATCGCATTCGCAATAAGGCCCTGAAAGCTTTGGATGAGCACAGCCAATTTTACAGCTACCGTTGGTACTTAAGCAGTTTTTCAAACCACCGCTACAAGCTCTATTTTTACACGATTGTTCGCAGTGTATTCCGAATAAGCCCTTTTTACACTTTCTATTGCACCTGAGACCCAAAAAACCCGCTTTACAGCGATAAAGGTTATCCTTACCAAGACAAACTCCCGTTCTTGGATTGCAATCAAAATAACAATTTGAGCAAGTTTTACATCTACCATTCACTAAATGAGTAAAAGGTGGGCAAACTCCACATCTGGGGACAGGAACTGATGCTAAAAAACCTTATTTAATCTATGTAGGAACTCGGTATTACATTGCAAACATATATTTTAATAAAAAGGGTTAATATTGCTTTTTTTTTAGCTATAAGATAGGCAAAGCAAAGAATCAGTTCCTGCCTCCTATCCCGTTTGGTACTATTGTTACGGCAGTTGCGGCAAGTTCCATCTACTGGATTGCACGATTTATGACATTCAATTCCTAAGCTGATGCAGTCACCTTCACAGTTAATACCATATTTATGTTTAGGGCATTTGAAGCATAAATTATTGCTCTTAAGAAAAAAACCTGGTAAGCAGCCATATTTACACCCGATTTTATCCTTACTACACTCTCCTTTCAGACAGAAAGGGCAATTTTTTATCAAAGATTCAGCGGAATATTTCAAAATAAGGAATCCGATTGATATTAAGTGCATATCTATTCTAGGAAAATACCTATGACCATATTTTAAGTTTTCTTATTTCTTTATTCCTATTCTCTCTGGCTAATCTCTTTCGTTTTGTTTCATTTGTTTTCTTTCTCTCTGCCTTCCTCCTCTCTCAAATGGAAAAATTATACAAAGAAAATTTCAAATAAAGAATGTACATAGGTATTTTGTATAAACTATACAATATATACGCATTATATTAGTATAAATAGAAAATTCATAGGATAAGTATATCCTATCAATAACCTCGTTGAGACGATCGAAGAAGAGTTAACAAATACCTTTAATCTACTATTTAACAAGAGAATATTATAGATAATACCGTACAAAAGCCGATTAAATGTATATGTCTTAGAAATATATTATGTTGATACATATACTTGTATATGCATTTGTATATAACGTTACGTTAAAGCCCACTTTGCGTTTGTTTTTTTCTTTAGTTTTCCTGAAAGAATATACTATCAATATTTTAATTTTAAAGATTGCGTATTATTCATTACTTAATAATTTTTTATGCTTATTAAGTATCCTTTTCCTTGAGAAGCAGAGTGGTATTAAGGAAAAATCTTAATTCCTAATGAAATATCTTAGAGCTCGTTTCTACGTCTGTCGAATTAACATAGGTTTAAGATTATAATTTAGGATTGTTATTGAATATTTTATTTTTTACATGATTCAAGGAGCTGATTTTATATTTTAGAATTCTTTTTCTCTTGTAAGTCTTGTATTTTTTTATTGTCTATTTTATTACTTTATTAAATTACTTTATGAGAAAAAAACGTTCTGTAATGAATCCTTCTATCACTGGGCCTATTATTGCACTTCTGAAAATAGCTTTAGTAGGAAAGAGAGAAAGAGAGAAAGAGAGAGAGAGAGATAGACAGAGAGAGAGACAGAGAGAAAAATGTATATTCTTACATAGATTGCATGTTTGAGTTATTATCAACTATGTTTCAGATCTTAGGCAAACAAAATGATGAAAAGAACAGAGAATATCAAACATAAATTTTTCAAGAGTAAAATCTAGTGAAAAACGACCTTTTTCCATTTACTAAAGGAAACAATCGATCCTTTTTTCTCTATAATTTTATATCTTATTAGACTATTTTTCTTTTCGAATGAAAACCAAACGAATAAAGGAAAGAGTAGGAGAAAATTGAAATGAAATAGAGAAAGGATGATATACTAACAAAAGATGGGAATATTAATATGAAAGGGAAAGTTTCAATATTCTAAGAGATATTAATTTAAGTGATTGTATAAAAAGTACTAAAAAATTCGTAGTAGAGAGGACACAGCCTCCAAAATGCTAAAAAAATCTATTCTCGTTTTATGCGATAGTATCAAACTGCTTTGAAGATCATCCGTGCAAATAAACAAATAAGAGATAATAAAAAAGTAGTTATACAAAACATACATGCTGGCTTATTTCAAATAATTCAAACGGAATATAAATTATCTTTATACTTAACAATTTGAGAGCAAGGAATGAAAATCTCCAATGGTACGAATCTTACTTTAGACAAATATACAAACAATAATAGAACGAACCTTTTCCGGACGAGAACGAAAAGCAAATAGAGAACTTTTGCAGAGCACCGTTGCGCCGCCTCAATAGCAAACTTGCATCGTTCGCTTGACTCTCATTAGAAAAAGTCTATTGGCTGACGCTGATTTTACAATTCAAGGGGACGTCTTTCTATTACATAGAAAAGAAAGCGAATTTTTCAAAAACAATAATAGTAAAAATGCTTGTATGTCAGCATATAATAAAGCTGACGGCTCTTTTCCCCATATTATGTCGGCCAAATAGATCGTTTTCGTGCGCAATTTTTGATAACGCTTTTACTGATCAAATGGATGTAGACCTAATAAGTTTGTAATTATTTGCATTTGCTATAATCCATCCATAACTTTAGGAATCCAGCTATAAAAAGCATCCTTACGAGAGTCAGAAGAACTCAGGTGTTAATTTGTTCAATAGTATCATTGTTACAAGGATTACTGGCAGTTGTAATAATAATACAAAGAATATTACCTAACAAAATCAGTTAAAAAAATTCAATAATGCACTACAGCTATAATGGATATCCATATTTACTATATATAGAATGTAAGATGTTGACTGTATATATATATATATATCTATAAATTTAGCTTAGAGATTAGAGATTGGGATTATCGCAAATCTCTTTTTCCACGCGCCCTTTACTGTCTAAAGATGAAAGTTAAAGTTTTTTCTATCGGAAATTGAAGAACTACTAAGAAACTCACAGAGTTAATCGTGCGGCTCTTAATTCATACTATCGGTTTCATTCGATTTTCCTATCAATCTTCGTTTTATGTAGTTTACGAGTTGATCCTGAATGGAATTCGTACCGTAAGGACTTAAACTATTTAACTTGCGTTTATCTAATAAATTCGTAGTTGAATTACTACAAAATTTACTCTATACTATCGCTATTTCCATTATATCGATGCGGTAAAAAATTTCAACTGATATGATTTCCATTTCTACAAGATATTCTCGATCAATCAAATTATCTATTGAATAATCAGAAACTTCTTAATAAAAGGGTAGGAAGTCGGTAAATCGATAGGTTTCTCTTTTCAAAAAGGAACAAAAATATACATATACAGTATAAATATATAAAGATAAATATTTACAGTATGTATAATAAAAGTATACTAACTTACCTTATATACAGTATATATATATATATATATAAAGAGAAAGTTTATTATATCATAATTATACTCTTGTATCTGAATTATAAATAAAGACGTGATTTTCTTTTATTGATTAACTTTTTAATCTCTGGTTCATGTATAATGGAATTAAAGGAAATAGAATTTAAATCTATAACGGCTTTTTTAATTTAAAAATATATAATGTGCATTAATAAGATGTGAGTGATGAAAAACACTATATACAGTATATATATATATACCTTTTTCCTTTATCATTTAATATATAAATATATATAATTATTAGATTAATTTTCTTATCTATTTTAATATATATTAATTAGCAAATTTTCCTAATGATTATCCACATAGCACATGCTTCTTTCTTTCATATAGTTCTGTTCCTAAAAAAAATATTAGCAATATGTCTATGTCATTTATTCCTTCTTCCATCTTTTTACTTCAATTCATTTGGAAAAAAACATTATAAATGCGCTTTATTTTTCATTTTTAGCCGACTTTATTCAACAAAAATTACACTGAAATATATAGAATTTCCTATTTCGTACTAATAAATTGACAGATTGACAGTTTAAAATAAAGTAATAAAAAGCTACAAAAAAGAATATATCAAATATACTATTTATATATATTCTAATGTATATATATATATATATAGATTTGCCAGTGCATTATTGGAATAATCAAGTTAGCACTTTTAACAAGTGTTTACACGCGCAATATTAGACAAATTGATAGGATATTCACTATTTTGTGCAGTGAAATAACACAATTTTTTATACCATCAGCCAAATAATACATAAACATAAAACAACCTGTTAATAAGTGTTTTATTATAATTGAATACATATTTATATAAATATACAAAATTTATGAATCTTTGTTATTTAATATATCTGACTTTGGAGTGAGATTTCTAGCGATTATAAGATGGAAAATGTATTGTATTTTTCACTTCAGCTCCTTTCAAAATCAAAGCGGGAGTGAGGAATTATCTTACAAAGTAATTAGCGTTTTATAGTATTAAAATGGAAAATCTTTGGTAATGCCAAAGGTTTTTTTTTTCAACTTCACTCAAATTATCTTTAAAAGAGAAACGCATTGAGAAAAATGAAAAAAGTAAAGGGAAAAGGAAACAGAGACGTTGAGTAGGTGAAAAAAGTGGCTAATTCCTTTAAACAAACTACTTTTTCGCTACATTTACTAAAAATAGAAAATCTACAGTTATATAGCCACACCTTCTTAAAGATTCTTTATATTACAAGGTAAATCTATAAGAAAGAATTATTAATTTCATCTCTTTAGACGCTTTGGATATTTTGCATATAGCATTAAACATTAATATGTCTGAAAAAATAATATTTATGACGTAAAGTATACGTTTTGCGCATATATATATATGCTGTATATATATATATATATATATAGATGCATTTTCAGGAATAAACATAATATATGCTTATCTCTCTCCCTCTCTCTCCCTCTCTCTCCCTATTTATATACTGTATTTATATAAATACATATATATATATATATATTTATATGTAACCTTTGGCTTTTATCTCTTTTGTAGCAATTTTTAGCTTTAATAAATAATACTTATTATAGCTATTGCTAATTAAGATTGGGTATATACTGGGGGGAGGGGAAATACGCCCTCTATCAAAGAGCATCCGAACTAAGTTTGATGCATAAATCAATGCCCTTTACAGCCTAGCAAGTTTAAAGAAGGTATACCCCAACGTATGTTATATGGTGCATTCTGGAGCAACGATAAACATGATTCGCTTTTTGTTCTTTGTTCTTCTTTGTAAGTCATCTAATCCTTAAGTCGAATTATTTACAATCAGCTTTGTTTCTAACTATTTAAATATTTCAAACCGTATTCGTCCTAGATACACAGCAGTTTCTTCAAATAGAGTCTAGAGATAAATGGAATTACAAGGGTAAATGAATTGTATCTTAAATATTCCTGCTCTTTGTTCCACCCCCTCCTCCTCCCTATCCCTCTTTAGCTTCTACTTCCTTATAGCTGGTATCTTCTTATGGTAAAATATAATATATAATTGCTCATTTTCATTCGCAGACCAAGATAATTGGAAGAATAATAAAGAATGGGCGAAATGCGGTTATGATGAACAATCTCCCATTAATATAAATGAAAATGCCTTGGTTCCCGCAAAATTTGAACCATTTAAATTTGAAGGTTATGAAAACCATGCTTGTAACATGACCCTGACTCACACTGGCCATTCAATAAAAATTTCAACTTGTCATGATCATATAATATCAGGAGGAGGACTGAATGGAAAATTCAAATTGGATCATGTTCATTTTCACTGGGGTTTGCAGTTTTTATTTATTCTTAGCTATTTTCATGTCTAATGAACCATTCTAAGCAATTGCGAAAAAGGCTTTTATAACCCTTTAATTTAGACATTTATTTATAGGTACAAAAGAAAATCCTCAAGGCGAGCATATTTTAAACAGCGGAAATACAATAAGAAAGTTTAAAGGTGAAATGCATTTTGTCCATCATCATTTAGACAAAAAGAGTGTAAATGATGCTGCTTCCGAGCACAATGGCTTGGCTGTTTTGGGTGTATTTATTGAGGTTAACAAAGAAAAAAGTGCTGTATTCGATAAAATCGATGAACAAATTGGAAAATTACTTTATGAAGGTAAGATATGGAACTTGAGGGAGAAAAACTAAATAAAATTAACTGTTTCTCTTTCTTTCTTTCTTTCTACGAAATTTCACAGAAAAAACCGTAGATATACCCGAATTTCCATTTATTAACCTATTCCCAGAGGATAGAAATAAAGTTATCAGGTATCAGGGAAGCCTTACAGTTCCTCCTTGTCACGAAACTGTAACCTGGACGTTGTTTACAGAACCCGTTTACATCTCACAGGAACAAGTAAGCAAAATATTATTAAACGTATTTACATTAATTTCTTCAATACATATTATATATTTGCTGGTTATTTTAGCTCGAGCACTTGTATACGATGTACGATGGCAAAGATAACTCGAATGGGCTACTCTTAAACAACTACAGGAAAACTCAACCTCTAAACGGTCGTACAACTTATCTGGCCGATTTGAACTTAAATCCAAATTCTGGCCAACAAAACCATTATGCATTGGTTATCATATCCATCCTAAATTTATTAATGTTGCTAATCCTTTAGATAAAAACAGAACTTAAATGTAAAACAATGAAAGAACTATAGAATAACTATGTTCTATAAGATTCTTCTATCCGTAAAAAAGATTATTTTTAACGTTAGCCAGCAGTTATTGATTATCAAAATAACCCGCAGTCCCGTGTTTTTTTCTTCCCCTCGCTCTATCTTTTTTCCTTTCCTGTTCTTATAAAAATATCCTAGCTAACAAAAGAAATGGATCAAGTTCTATAAATATTCCATGAAATAATAATAACAAGTATTGATGTATTTGATAAAAGTTGATTTAAAGAAGAAAAGACAAATATACTGGACAAAAGAAAGCATCAAGAGAGAATACATTTAAATTTGTATCACTATTAATATATACATATATATGTATATATATATACTGTATGCAATATGTGTGTATAGTATCCATATATGAAAAATGCAGCCGGAAATTGGTCAATTATCCTTTTCCCTTTCTCTCTCCTACTCAGATGTTCTGCCAATTATATAATACTTTTCTGTTTTCATTTTATATTGTATAAATAAAAAAATAACGTTGTATTTCTGTTCTGTTTTTACGTGTTAGAATCGGTACAAAATGTAAAAAGAATGTGTGCTGTTGTGTCTAATTAGTACTCTCAGTCTTTAACTTTAAATCAATAATAAATGTAATATGTCAAATTAACGTATAATATTTGCAATATAGATTCTTTACTTTCTTTCATTTTTTTTTTGAAAGTATTAAAAAAAAAATTTTTTTGTTTAACGTGACACTCCTCAAATTGAAAGTAGAAACCGGTAGTTGACCGTTAACCACGGCTCCTTTTAACATGAGTTTTCCATCGGCTAGATCTAAAAAACCGCGAAATATATGCCAAAGTATTATTAATAAAGAGTATCTAACCGGAAAGGTAACGAGAAAAAATGTTTCAATGCTCAAGAGACTCGTTTGTGATGTAAGTTGACTAAAATACTCTATTATCGTTATTACTTACTGTTCATTGAAAAGGAAACTGCAAAATTTCAAAAAGTTTGGTCTAAATCTTCATCATCTAAAATTCATCATGAAAAGTATATTCTATTACAATCTTTTCTAATAATAACTAATAACAAATCTATCCAGTTCGAGACTATACTTTAGTCATTACAACCAAGTATATCATTGGTAGATATTTCATTATATATATATTAAGATTATATTTAAAGATATGTAAATGTATAGGGCAGGAACTGAAAGGGGACCTCGACGTCTTTATAAACTAAATTTACATGGTAAAAAGATAATAAATATCATATCATCAACGAGTATATCAGTAAGTATACATAAGCTATTTCGACTCAGTATAGCCATCTCTTAAGAAATAAAATTTATCTCAACGTTTTACAGAGGGATGACTACGGAATATCATATCCTGCAGTTATGTATGTTCTTACAAAAAAATGTTTATACGAGATTGATTGGCATACTGGAAAAGTGCTTAGAAGGGTATTTCTCCATAAGCAATTCGAATTTAGAGATATTCAATGGAATGTTAATCAAAAAACAATCGCTATTCATTCGAAAAGTTTTAGGTGGCAAAGTGAAAATCAGGTAAATTTTACTTTCCCTAATTTACAGAGTCTCTGCATTTATAAAGCTCTGTACGAAAATTAGCCAGGGGGAGCATCTTCCTTGCAGAAGAAAAAATTTGTCAAGAGAAAAGTATTAGGTTTTTTTCAAGTAAAACCTTTTGCATTCGTCGGATTATGGAGTTTTCCTGTAAGAATACTATTATATAAATATCTAATTATTTATTAATAATAATAAAAGAAAACATCTTTTTCTTCATATTTATAGATTATAGATAATATCGTTGATATTCTTGTTAGTTTTGATCTACTCTTGGTAATGAAGAGTCCTAGTACAATACTAATTTATGATTTTCGCGATATTCTTAAAAAAGTAATAAATATTCTTTAATAGTTAATTAACTTGGATTAATTTCTCTTATTTTTTTTTCTTTCTCTTTGCAATAGGGTAAAAGATTCGACGCTGAATTGGGGGAATTTTGTCCCGAGTTTAATGGAGTTGTCGGAAGTGATGAAGATGGTCTTCCGTTTAATATTAGTTGCGATGGTTTGTGTTATTTTTACTTGTTCAGTTTGATAATGATTTCTATGCAGATCTTCCACCACCTTTATTTGATGTCCTTAGTGAGAAGCATTCCTTCGAAATTGGAGGTTTTCCCTACTCATATATATGTATGCATGAAAATCATTTTAAAATAGAAACCTTGAGAAATAGAACACTTGTGAGAATTATTTAAATGTTTGTGTTTTTAGAATTTTATATAATTATACTTATGTAGGTAATAGAAATTCCAACTGGTAAGAATTTTATTGAAGATGACAAGTGTAATTTCCATTCGGACGAATCGGGACGGATAATCTTTACAAATTATCATCTTGTTCGGTATGAAAAAAACAAAACAAGAACAAATAAACAATGGATAAATACTAAAGCACTAATCATCTTTATTCTATCATTTTCTTTTATTTCTTTTAAGATGCCTAAAGCAGAGTCATGGGACAGACGAATTTAAAGAGTCTTACACAATTACGGCATCTCCTCCTGAGCAAAGCGAAGAACAGAAAGTTGTATATCTTATATATGATATATTGTTTTAAAGACTAATATCTCTTTATTGGCTACTAGTATACATCATCAGGGCGACTTATAAAATCAACGAAGAAAGATGGAATTATTCATAATTATCAAAAGGTTATCAATTTTTTTTGTTATATTCCGATGATTATTATCTTTTTCAAATATAATCCTGACATTTTTGACTAATGCATTCTCTCCTTTAAGATTATACCACTAATGGGCTATGAAGATGATTTGGAAGTATTATATCTGGTTGTATTAGATGAAAGAACCAGTGAATGTGTTCTTTCCTTGTACGACGATAATAACGGTTCTCTGTTGACAAGTTTCCCCTTGGAAGAAAAATGGGACGAAAGCGCGGAGCACGAAATTATCTTTGACATTGAAACGTTTATACATCTTGTCAATGTGACATCTGGTCGCAGTCATTGCTACCTTTATAAATTTAATAGGAAATACTCGGGAGTAAGGACAGAAAAGAAAGCTATCAAGTAAAACGAAATTATTATTGTTTGCGCTTAAAACAATTTTCATAGACTATTTTTTTTTTCTTGTTGTTCATTCTTTTTTTTATTTTTTTATACTTTCTCAGCCTACTTGAAAACTCAGCGTCAAATTGCTATAAATTTATACTTTAATATATATATATTTATACATATGTTTACTTATATATTTAATGAGTTTACATATCAAATATTTAAATAATTGTAAACTTAATAATATAAATATTCATAAGAAAATAAGCTGCCTCTCCCTCGGATATATTCTTTGCTTTTAGCGTTAAATGAAACCAATGAAAATGTTTATTGATAGAGATATCTACAATTTTCTCTTGAAAACGAAAGGAAAATGATAAACTAAAAAAATAGCTTTCTTTCCCTTGGACAGCTTCTTTGCCCTTTAAAATTGAATAAACAAATGAAAACGTTTACGAAGATTTTCTACCAGCTCTAGAAATTTCTTATAGAAAAGGCAGGAATACAAAGGAATGAAATTGTATTATCATATATAGAATTCATAAAGAAGAAATAAGAATAATTCATAGAAATCAAAACGCAATGGCATTATATGCAGTATATATATATATATATATATAGATTTCAAGTATTAATATAACTTAAGTAATGAGCTTTAAATAGCTAGAAAGAAAAGCAAAACATGAAAGATCTTCGCCTAAGTTATATCGTATACTAAAAAACAACTATGCAATTACTTAATCTATTTTTCCTTCTTGCATAAAAGCAAATTAAATGGGGAGAAACAAAAGAAAACACGTAAATATACTTGAAAGTTTCAAGGTATAGTAGATATTTCGATTGTGAAATATTATATTCGTATATGAAAGTATCTATAAAGTTTTTTATGACTGTACTAATATATTTTTATATTTTAAATTTACACGTACTTTTTCTATTGCAAGGACTATGAAAAGAAAGGAAACACGTGCAGTCAAGAGAATCAAGAGACAGAGCGTTAATATAAAAACATATATCGCATTTACAACAAATACTTTTGAATTTTTAAGTAGAGATTGAACTAAATATCGGACAAATACATCATAAAAGTTTTCTCCTTTGTTATTATTCGTTAAGTAAAATGTGTTAAAAAGACTTTCAAGTCACTAGTTCAAGTTCTCTGATTTAAATGTTTTATTGAATGGTTCGATTAATTTAAATTTAAAAAATAATCGCTAACATATTAAACTTCCTTTCCTTTCATTTCGTACAAAAAGCTTAAGTATTGAAATCCGTCGTTTAACGTACATTTGCTCATTGTGAATAGTTTTTTTTTTTTGTTATTGAACGATAGAGGTCTCTACTAATCTTATTATTTTCGTGCCGATGAATGAACTATTGATATTCTAGTTAAGCATACACATAAATTTATGCGCTATTATTATACACTTAGTTGAAATGGCTTTTTAATTGATGGATTGCCCTACCACTAATTTTTTACGAAAACTTTACTGCATTCCAACAAATCCCCCTATTATCGTCTTTTATATGATTGGAAATTTACATCTCTAAAAACGAGAGTAATGATCTAGCCTGAATACTGCAAAGATATTCCTTATTGACGTAATGTCTTTTTTTGCTAATGTTGTCGCAAAACTACCGGAAAATCTTCTACCTAAGCAATCAAGTGAAATATCTACTGTTTTGTTATCATCTCTAAAAGACTGTGGAGTAGAGTTGTATAGCACTCCTAGCAACTGTCTCTATCATCTGGAGGGAAGTTTAGAATCAATAGTTAAAGCGCACGAAGTCCTAAAGGCATTTTTTCAAAAACTGCCCGAGTCTACTGAAGATAGAGTACTTTCATGCCAAAAAACTGATGCAGAATTTGTTGTAAAATCCGCCGACGACCTAAGAAACGTATCGAAATTTCTTAATAATAAAACACCAAGAAATCCAAAAGGCAGAAAAGGCGTGCTTAATAATGATGATCCTATAGGAAAAATTTTTGCTTATACTAAAGAACTAGAAAGCGAATGTATAATGGAAGACAAAGAAGTAATTGATTCTTTAAATGATCGTTTGAGAGTGATTGTTGAAAATATTGATAAAGATACAACCAAAGTATTGGAAGGAGAACAATACATAGTAGATGAATCCAACCCATCGATTTTTAAATGCAAATCTTGTGAACAAAGTTTCCGTTCTCGAACGGTAACAGAAAAACATTGTATTAGAAACCATGTCGCCAGAAGATACACATGTCCACTTTGTGAATCAACGTTCGCCTTCAGCGTAGAATTAATGAAGCATGGACAAAAGCATATTGAACGTTATCAGTGTTCAATTTGCGATAATCAATACCGGGAATTAGACACATTAAAAAAGCATATGAGCTCGCATTCGGAAACATCATTACCTCAACCTCGATTTAATTGCTTATCTTGTCCAAAATCCTATTCAAGCAAACAAAATCTCCAATCCCACTTTCGTACCGTTCATGAAAAGCGCACTATAACTTTAAAGTGTGGAATTTGCTCTAAATCATTCAGACAAAAGCATTCATTAAAGCATCATCTGAAATTACATAGTGGAGATCTAGTAGAAAAAAAGCATTGCTGCTCAACCTGTGGCAAGAGGTTCGAACGTGGTACCGACTTAAAAAAACACGAAAGAATTCACCGTGACGACTTTCCCTATCCTTGTACAAGTTGTGAGAAAAAATTTAAGCATGCAACTAGCTTAAGAGTTCATTTAAAAATTCACCAATCAATTCTAGAATTTTCGTGCGATGTCTGCTTTAAAAAATTTATGCAAAAGCATTCTCTTGAACGTCACAAAAGAATTCATTCTGGTGAAAAGCCATACAAATGCTCACAGTGTTCATACACCTTTAAAGATGCTTCAGTTTTAAGGCGTCACTTGCAAGGCGTTCATAAATTATCTAAAGACTGTCAACCACCTCTATCCGATCTAAGAGTTTCTGGCAATATTGCACCAAACGTTCAAAATAATCAAACGAATGGTATAGAAGAGAGTGTATCAACAAATTCTCTGCCTCAAGATGTTTTTCATTTGACACAAGAGCAATTAAATTCATATTTACAACAGTTTACGCTCTCTAATGAATAAAATTATACTATAAAAATCTATTAGTATAAATTTATATACATTATATATATTAGTATATACACACAATACCACATATAATGTATATTTTAGACTTGATCACGTAAAAAGAAACTTATGCAATCTCGTTTGTCCCTTGTCAGAGCACTTAGTTGCCCTTTATTCTCCATATTCTTAGTTTTTAATGTAGTTTACCTGCCATCTATTTAGAATAATTTGCGTTAAGAAGAATAGAAAATAACGTGTAGTTCGATTCTACGTTGTTTTTTTCTCGTTTTTTTCCTTCAAGTTAGATTTTCTGTTACACTGTATATACATATATAAAAAACACACTAGCAAGTTCGTATACGCTCCTACTGGCTTCATTGTTTTGTTTTTTTATTTATTATGGACTTTATAAAGGTTACAAATGCGAAGTTTTTTACTCCAAAAAAAATATTTTTCCTACGTTCTATACGATAAAAAAAATTAGTTTCTTTAAAAAAGAAAATTCTTTAGTAATTAATATGACAAACAATTAATTAAGGATATCAAGATACACCTGTTAACAGCGTATTTAATAATTAGACCTCCTACGACTCCACTAACACTAATCAAATATAACGCATATTAGAATTTATTATTAATGAAAAATAATTACTTTCTCTTTATTTTTATGTATATTTACTATTTACAATGGTAGTAGTAAAACAACTAAAATTACTAGCGGAGAAGGAAAGGGGGGGGGGGGGGGGGGAATGGGAAAAGAAATAAAAGAGGCTAATAGGCCTACGTAATCAATCAAGGCGCACCAGCATTGATTTCTGTCAATATGGAAACCATGGGCACCGAGTACGGTCTTTGATTTTTACTAGATGGAAGCTACATTCCGGTGGAAAAAAAACCACTCAAAATCTATCGTGAAATAACTATATTTTAAAGGAACGAAAAGTACTCAGGTGTAAAAAATTGCGCCAAGACTATATAGAAGATAGAATATACTGGTTACATTTACATCTGGAGTCGTAATTACATGTGGAGCTATCTTATATTTATTTAAAGAATATATTATTTATATATTGAATGTATGTGAAGGAAGAGGGTATAGTATACACTTTTATATTTATTTAAGGTTAGAAGTACATATGTATTTATCGCAATTAGATTTTCATTCCGTGTCGTAAGTAGACAATATGTCAGACGAAGAGGAAATTAGGAAGACTGCCCGAAGTGCGATTCTATCATCTTGGCTAATGTCCTTTCAAAAGGCTATGGACTGTGATACATGGGGTGAACCGTTAGTAGCTGAAGATATCTATAAAAGGTATAGTTTATCGATAAAAAGAAAACAAAACAACGCACTATTAGATACAACACAAGTCCCACGTGAATATTTATGATAATAAGGAGAAAAATTAATCCCCTTCGCCTTTCTTTCCAGAATTTCTCAACAAATTGAACAAGAATCTTACCCTACAACTGAATTATTTACAGGACATGAAAAGGTATTAAAACAATAAATTTATAGATTTTCTATTTGAACTAAAGGTTCCACCTTTGAATAGAAATTTCTCTCCAAATTCGTTTCCTGTCTTAAATTGAGGATAAAAGATCTAGAGGTATAGCTATACTTCTTTACAACCCCGGCACCCAAGTGCCTCTAGGCTAACACATCCTTTCTTGAAAATTAATTTAATACAGAGCACGGAAGCGACGTCTAAAGCTATAACACTACAAGATATGAAACTGATTTCCGAAAGTTGGCATATTTTTCTTTAAAGAAATAGAACACTTGTCATAAAAAGTGATATTAATATTTTCCTATTTTTTCTCTCCTCGAAACAGATTTTAAGCTAATGAAAAATGATCATCAAATTCGGTCCAATTTCCCAACAGATGTCGTTAGCGTTTCCACGGTAACGATATGTTTGCCAAATTTACAAGAAAACGATCCAGATTCTGAAGGAACCAACAACAGTAGCCTGTTAGGCAGTTGTAATTATTACATTTAAACGAATTATAATAACCGTTATTTGAACATTTCTATTTATTTTTAACTATGGAAATATGTTTAATTTAGGTAGAGGAAATTTACTTCCAGCCCCTCCATCCTTTCCAGGAAAGACGACTTTGGGTATAGTTATTGAAAAAATTGCGCTAAAGTCATCTTATAAATATATAGATCCTTTTATATCTGTATCAGTAAAAGGTATATAAAAGAAAGATAGTTAAGATTAATAGTTAAATCTTTTTCATCTAGCGAAATCTAACAAATTTATATTAATTAACAGATCAGAATGGAGTAAATGTATCCATCACGCAAAGGACACCGTCTTCCCATAGAGTAGAAAATGATTGTATAATATTCAATCAAACAGTCTATCTTCAAAAACCAATCGAATTTTTACCGCTTGGATTTGCTGTTTTCTTCGAATTTTGCCACTATAAGCCAAAAAAAAAGTCAACCAGTACAAAATGTTGGACTTATATAGAAAGGGACGATATGAATGATAAACGCGTCTCTTTAGAGCTCTATAAAAAACCTGTTGATAATCGACGTAAAAAACTAAAATTGTATTCCGATCGAAAAGTTTATTTCAACGTTAATCTGTCATTAATTGTTTAGATGTTTTACGTGTTATTTTCATCATGGCCACTTAGGCCTATAAATAGAACACAACAGCTGCGTTATTTTTTATTTTTTTTTTGCATGTACGTAAGCCTGACGAAAGAGAACGTTTAGCGACGTAATAGATGTATTACGGCCTAATTATATTTGGTGACGCCTCATCACCCACGGAAGCTACTATTTAATTTTTTTTATAAAGGAAACGAATCTGGTACCTGATCTCTAATCGATCGGGAACCAGGCTGAAAAATATTTTCAAAGTCACGTGATTATTATTGACCAATCAACGGCGTTGTTTGGCTGCCAAGAAAACCCAGTAAGGCGAAAGACAGTCGAAAGCAAAATGCCGACCAAACAGAAGAAGGAGAAGGTAATTACTTATCAATTGTTTTATTATGATTACATAAGAGATTTAACTTTCATATAATATCGATTAAAGTGATGATATACTTTAATTAAAGGAGATTAGCAATAAAATTGTCCTCTACCAATCAAAAATTGGTCATTCGGTCATTCGTGTTAAATTTTTCAGACTTCTTCAAAATCCAGCACGTCCAAGTCGAACAGTAAAGAAAACAACGATGGGGATAACGAGGTAAACCTATTTTTTGGAATCGCGTTGTGTGGACTAGGAATAATCCAATATGGCGACTGCGCGGTTTACTTATCGGGCGCTAGAATAGCACACTTCTATTGTTGTTTACACTTTTTTGCTTTTATGTTTATTATCCGAAATCCGCCCGATCCGCCAGTAGGTCGCTGCGTAGTTTTCGAGTGACTTTATCTCGAGTGGTTCAACTCCTCATATAAGGACTATGCAATGATAACCCCATTTTATTAAACATAGAAAAAGAAGAGCACAGATCATCCACCCGTAACACCGCTCACTAAAATAACTCCGATGGCAAATGTTCCCGATAAGAAAAACAAACGACAGAATAGTTCGAGATTTAATATCACTAAGAACAGAGAGCTTATAAAGTTGGAAGCACTCAAAGGTAGCGTAAACAAATCTGTTGTTTTTCTCGTAATCTGGGCGTAAGACCCCCAACCGTAAGGTGGGGTAAGGGGTGCAGACAAAATTTTGGCTTCGATCCAGTTCTGTCAGCAATATTTCGAATGAATCGATTCGCTAAGATTTATATTCGATATATAATACAGAGATAAACTACACATAACAAAGGTTAATATTGGCCTAGAGAAATACTTCTTTTTTCTTAACAGACGCTTCACCCGCCGAGAGGGAAGATCTCTTTATTGCCAAATTGCGTCAGTGTATGGTATTGTTCGACTTCGTTCAAGACCCACTATCTGATTTAAAATGGAAGGAAGTAAAAAGGGCAGCCCTTAATGAAATGGTTGAATATGTCACCCATAGTCGAAGTGTTGTTACGGAAGCTGTCTATCCTGAGGCAGTTAAAATGTTTTCCATCAATCTTTTCCGAACGCTACCGCCTTCTTCAAATCCTTCTGGAGCCGAGTATGATCCGGAAGAGGATGAACCAACGCTTGAAGCATCCTGGCCTCATCTTCAGCTCGTCTACGAATTTTTTCTACGATTTTTAGAAACTCCAGATTTTCAGGCGAATAATGCAAAACGCTTTATTGATCAACCGTTTGTTTTGCAAGTTAGTGATATCTCGTCGGTTTATTCACACATCAATGCTAATTTGTGTCTTACAGTTATTAGAATTGTTCGATAGCGAAGACCCAAGGGAGAGAGACTTCCTTAAAACCATTCTACATAGAATATATGGGAAATTTCTGGGTTTACGAGCTTATATTAGGAAACAAATTAACAATATTTTCTACAGGTAAGAATTAGTTATACGTATAACGGGTGCTCAAAAAGTCGATAATAGGATTCGTGCATTTGTTCTGCAGCCGCTACCATGTTAGTTCATCTATTGCTTACAGCGCTTTTTTTTCGAAACAGGTTTATATATGAAACAGAGCGTCATAACGGTGTCGCAGAACTTTTAGAAATTTTAGGGAGCATTATTAACGGATTTGCGCTACCTCTCAAAGAGGAACATAAATTGTTTTTGCTGCGAGTCCTACTTCCGTTACACAAAGTCAAGTCGCTTAGTGTATATCATCCTCAATTAGCATACTGCGTCGTACAATTTCTAGAAAAGGATCCTAATTTAACCGAACCGGTTATAAAAGGATTGCTGAAATATTGGCCCAAAGTGCATAGTCCAAAAGAAGTGATGTTTCTGAACGAACTTGAAGAAATTTTGGATGTTATAGAACCTGCAGAATTTGCTAAGGTTAAAGACCATTTATTCAAGCAGCTATCAAAGTGCGTTAGCAGTCCTCACTTTCAGGTAAAAACTCTTCATAATTTGAACGTTATATGATAAAACATTCACTTGACATATTTGATTTATAAACCAGGTGGCGGAGAGAGCCTTATATTATTGGAACAACGAATACATTTTGAGCCTAATTTCGGATAGCGTGGACACTATTTTACCCATTATGTTTCCGGCATTGTACAAAACGAAGCAGCATTGGAACAAGTGAGCATTACTGTCAATATTCACGTTGAATCGCGGATTGTATTCTAAAGGCCGATAATGGCATATCTTTATGGCTGTGTCAGACGCATACTTAAACATAAGAGTAAAGGGTGTGGTTCTGGTTCTAACAACTTTTCAGAATTAGATTCTTTGACGTCACACGGTGACATGAGATGTTTCATATCGTTCGATATATTTTGTTTGTTAAAGTAAAATTGCTAGTATTGCTAGAAAAATTCTTTCTACTGAAAGCATTGGAAAAATTTGTAAAAAATTTTAGTTTTTAGATCAATAGTTAATTATAGTTTATTAATAGTAATTTAGGAGAGTAAAGTTTTATATTTTCTTTATAGGACTATTCATGGACTGATTTATAATGCGTTAAAATTGTTCATGGAGATGAATCAAAAATTATTTGACGAGTGTACCCAAAGATACAAATCGGAAAGGCAGCAGTAAGTAGGAAAAAATGGTGCATGCGTCTAATTAAATTTGTTTTCTTTACTTCAGCGAAAAGGAAAAATTTAAAGAACGTAACGAGATCTGGCAGAAGCTCAACGGTAAAGCCAAGGCTAATCCCAGCGTATGTTAATGATTTTTATGCTAGTAAAAGTCTCTTTAAGTTTCTTTTTTCTTAGTACAAGAAATTTGCTGCAACCCTCAGTGAACCAGACTTGACTCGCTACGAAATAGGTGATGGTGTTGAAGATATTGATGAGACAGTAAACATCGATCAAATAGCAAGCGAAGCCAAACAGGTTCGTCATCTTTCAATTGATTATTTGTATATATATATATATACTATTAGTAGTTTTCCCTATAAAAATCCCTTTCCTGTTGCATTTTAGGCAATGCTCAACGTAAGTGATTTTTTACCTGACGTGTGACTGCTAATTTAACCTTCGAAAGAATTTTTAATTTTGTCATACTATACCAATGAATTTCGTATAACCCCGAGTGACTAAACCCTATATAAATTATAAATATGTATAAATATATAATATATTATTAAGCGTGATTAAACTTTTTTCAGACAAAACCAAATGCTAACAAAAATGACAAAAAACCTTTGCTTAGAAGGAAATCTGAGTTGCCACATGAATCGTCGACGTTTAGGGCCCTAGAAGGACATAAAAGAGCGGACGATCATTTATCCAGAACGACAGAAAATTAAAATCATTCCCGCCCAGATACTGTGATGACGTTGTGCTATTTTATAACTGGACTGCTAGTCTTGATTAATTGTAAATGTTTAAGTAGATCACATTAAACATGTCTGCGAAAACGTGCGCGCGAGACTATCTGTGTACGACTACTTGTTAAAAGTATTTAGACGACATCGTGTTATTTATTATACATATATATATCGTTATGACGCTTTTATAATATTTAGACAAATCTGTTTTTTGAATGTGAAATGATCAATATACCCTGCATTGTCATTTATTAAGATTTGTGTGTCAGAGACTTTAACAACTTATGTTTCCAAACGTCTTCCGATACATCTTTTGCCCAAGTAGGATGAGCTGATGAAGGCAGTTGAATTTTTAACATAGCATTTTTAATTTGCGATGCCCTATCTAAAATGTTTTTAAAATGAAATCTTGGAACAAAAAAATATAGAAAGATAAGACGTACAAACCTTCGTCTAGGGGAATATTATCACTTGGTCTTTTCGTTTTCCAAACAGAGCACCTTTCTGATATTTCTCCGTCATGCGAGTTTTCCTGCTATAAGTTTCAACACTGATATTAGCGTTATTTTTCAATGATAAATATGTAAGACCTACGGAAGAATTTGTTGTTGTCCCTCCTACAGTTAGAGAGTCACTATCGATTGAACTCTGTATGACGTTATCGATGTTTTCTTCTGTGAGATTATTGATAATTTCATTGATGGAACTGGTTGGAACTTCCTGAGGAAGTAACTCATAGCCACTGTAGTCCTGCTCATTACCACCATCGTCTGAAGACTCGGAATGATCGTCTATAGGGTGAACGTTTTCATTTTCTGATGACAGTTGGTAATTATCAGTTTTGCGAGTTTTCTCATCTGGGTCAGGAGCCATAGCAAGGTAATATTTAATAAAAAACTGGAAGAAATTAGCAATCAACTAAGTACACCTGTAAGCTTTTAAACAAAATTCTAACACTGCAGAGGGCAGTAGTGTACTTACTCCAAAATCTTTTATAAAATCCGCACTTTCTTAGCAACTTGTATTTGTATCAGTTAAAACAGTTATTTTGAATCAGTTAAACGAATAATTTATTCCATCCAATCCATGTACACTACAAATTAAAGTAACACGCGGTTCAAATCGTCAATCGACGACGGTAACTGAAAAGCATATACAAACAAAAACATTTTACACGAATGTATAATATATAGCGATGATAACTGGAACCCAATGATAAAATATGCAAAAAAAGAAAAATCCCGCCACATTGCCGAGTAAAAAAGAAACGTCTCTTCAATCTCCGCTGTTGGCGCGTTCTGAGCAAAAGGCACGTCTTCTATTCGACAACTACAACGTCCTGTTTGACAAGAGGAGCAGCCGTAGGACCAGCGGAGGCGCGTTGTTCGGTGATAGACAAAGGAGTACGAACGCCTGGTAGTCTGCGCCAAGGTTTACGTCCTGCGCGTTTCAATTGGGCGGCAGTAAGTTGGCGGCGAATTTTTCTGTGATTGACAAGACCAGGTTATTAATATATAAATACATGTATTCTACATGGAACAAATATAAATAACTTACTTTGTTGAATCAGTAGCTATGAATAGTACATCGTCCTGTGAATCAACCCACATTAATACGCCTCTTTTCAATATGCTTGTAGCTTTCGGCAAAAACTTAGACGTCTGAGTGTTTGAGTGGGACCGTCCGTTGATTTGATTGATAACCGTATTTCGGTGATGAGGGGATCCTGTACGGATTCCGCCGGGATGTCGAATAACGGAATTCACTGAATTCCTTTTTGGGTCGACAATAGAGTCTATACCGTTTTCATGAGGACGCTTTATCGAGTTGTTCATGTTAGGACTAGCAGCTCGAAGACGAGGCAGTGGCATTTTGTCGGGTTTTGGGAAAGCTAAATGTGTAACAGGCGGCTTTAAATTCTGTCGATTTAAAATTGCTGGAGTTTGCGTGGTATCAATGCCGAGTCGTTGAAGGATTGTTTCACTTGGTTGGGAGGCTTTTCGAGGCAATGGTCGTAGTGGTGCTTGCGACAATCGCTGCTGACAAACTTGTTTGATAACCGTTATGTTAATAGGTTGGAAAGGATTTCGAGCCGCTCGAGACAAGTTGAGTTTATCAGCACACAATCGCCTCGATAAGCGTGTAAGACCTGTGGTGTGCAGACAGAAAGCTGTTCTTGGTTTCATTGACGGTTTCAAATTTGGACTAGTCGGTCTCATAGCAACTCCGTGTGCCTTTTCCATATGCTTATTCAACTGTGGCTTCATTTTAAACTCTTTGTTGCAATTAGAATAAGTACACCTATGCGATTTCATAACAGGAGTACAAGGGGGTTGGGCAATAATTCTTTCTGAAACTCGAGTGTTGGCGCTGACTGTTCTTTCATCAACAGTTCGTGAAGGGGTTTTTAAACCTCCATACTTCTTCCAGTACACCCAACATAAGTCGCACAACCGGAGATTGTTTGTAGAGGGACCCCATGCATACCATTGTTTACCATTGGTCGTTGAACAGCTTTCACAAGCTTTGCTATCATTACTGTTGTTGATCAGCAAAGGATTGGGCTTGTTATAAGTCGGTATATAAACTTGTTTCAATTTGCTTTCTGATTCAGTAGCTTTAATACGCTTTTGTTGAACGAAACGATCTGTTGTTTTCCACATGTAGTAATATTCGACCAAACTGTTCAATGTTTTCCAAGGTAAAAAGTCGTGGCGAATATCATGGAAATCTTTTCCATATTTTTCCATTGCTTCTTCAAACAAGTTAGCTTCACTGGCTGCCCACTCTTCCATTTCATCTCTACATAAAACTGGGCCACCTGATGGAACAAGTGCTGCTAAAGCACAACCGACGTCGTACTCGGTTTCATGCAAAACTTTCATAGCATGTAAGAGGGTAACATCCCTGGATGCTGCGGCGGCACTCATATGCAAACTTGGTTGACGAACTGTGGATGTACAATCAAGGGCACGAGCAAATGTTCCCACCGATCTGGCAACAACGGTAAATTGGTCGACCTGTTCGCCTGATAGGACATCAGGTCGCCATTCCAAGTATTCTAAAATTTCTTTTTCTCGAGGATCAGGCTCTCTCTCATCCAACATTGGAGGTATTTCGGCGACCTGATATTTTATACCCACCCGAATCTCACCCTTATCTGCTAATAATGTCTTTTGGTTCGGATCATAGACTAGAGCGTAAAAGAATGCATCGTCTCTATTTAAATATGATTGCAGAGATTCGGTCTCATTTAGCAGTGTTACAGAGCATTTTCCGCGAATATGCGTGGCCGGCAAAGTATCTATCTGTCGTGAAAGGAACAATTCCCTGTGTTTAACCATGTGCTTTTCCGAATCATTTAACTCTTCTTTACCCCTCTCTTCACTTTCTTCTTCCAAAGCGGCTGTATGGGATTATTGTCAAAATGTCAATAATGACCAATCAATAAAGGAGGCTGACAGTAGCGCAAGTTCAGCCATCTTATGACGTCATGGTGCCCCTCAACATGAAAGTAGTGCAAGCTACAGTCGTTTTGAAATACGCTGTTGGCATCTGCTCTGAGGTATCATTGCGCCTCTAGACGAGCCGCATTAATTGATACGCGCAGCGCCCCCTCACAATAAATCCCTTCTGAAACGCTTTTCCGTAATGTTATTTTACGATGTTTGGAAGTTTTTCTTTATTTTATTTTTTAGCGCCTTCTCACGCAAACTTCATATTGGAACGCGTTTGGTCAGGTGCACAATGAGGTGCGGCTACAATTGAAAAGACACACACACACGCGCGCGCGCGATTCAAAGACTCGCTAGATGGCGTATTTCACTGATAATGTGAACAATGGTAAATTTCCATTGCAGTGGGTGGATAAGGGTTAAAGTATGGCCACGTAAGCTCAGCTCAAGACAGCAAAGGCGGCCATCTTCGAAATTGCAGTAAACGTAAGCGTTTGTCAGACAAACACGAACCAAAAAACAGCCCCGCTATCTCTATAAAAATAACATCAGAAACTTACATTGATGTTTGTCAGCCAAAGACACGAGATTGGCAGCAATCTCCCGTCGTCGAAAGTAACACATAACTTTTGCTTCAACATTCCCATTTGCAGTCTGTTCAAGCGAAAAAAAATTAGGTTAAATGCATTGTTTAATATGTATGTATATACATATAATAGATATATCAGCACTTCATACGCATAGTATCTTGATAGTCAAGCTTATACTACACTACTATTTGCTTATTTTTACACACCGACTTATACTTACTTTATTTAACTCTTCTATCCTTCGAATTTGATAAGGGCCCGACGCCGACGTTTCGAAGTAGACGTGATCTGTTGAGAGAAAAGCGCCCTTTAACACCTTTCATTTACCGGCATCCGCCATAAGAAATAGATCCATAAATATCTGACAATCAATCGCTAATTACACAAAATATTACTTTTTTCTTAATTCATCACAAAGAAAAGTGTGAGATAATAGTTATTAACAATAGAAATCGAAAACTGGAGAATCCAACTTGTTAAAAATTTCAATTTAGAAAACGCGAATTTCGCGAATCGCCTATCGGCATCGGCGAAAACGCGATCGAAGCGAGTGCACAATTTCGCCGCAAATGCGTCGTTTATCGCTCGAAATGCAACGACCACCACTCACAAAAATTAAAAATTAGCACTTTTACTTAGTATACGAGTGATTTTGTAGTGAATTCTTCCTAGAAAAGTCGAGTTTAAAATTTGACGATATTACTACGCGACCGGCATTTGATTGCTTCCATGCTTTTTTTTTACAAGTTTGTTCAATACTCACCTCCGACTCTGTACATATTAGCGGCCATTTTGTTCGATTGAAATGAGACGAGTCGCTACTAATCCACGGTGATCGCTTAATCCATACGAGAAAGGAGAAGGTCCAGTTGACACAAAATGTACGAACGAAATGTTTTAAGAAGCGATTAGCGGCACGCCATTTCTCCAGTCTTGTCTTCCTCTGCGTGTGACGTCACGCGTCCTTCTGCGAGTACGCGCTTTGGTCTGATGGGGGGGGCGGCGCAAATACGCCCCTCGTTCACTTCTAGGGGTTTTTCTTTTTTCCCAATTTCCCACACCAAACACTAGAAGTTCAGGTACAAGCAAGTTTTCTTCGGTTATGGTTTCTTGAAAAAACCCGATTTTGTTTATTAAATGATACAAAATCGATTGTTTGTTTGCGCTGTCTTCGCTCCTCGCGAACTATTTTATTCCGATAATGAATGCATAATTCGTCCGATAGATGTATTAAAGCGAAATTTTATTTTAGTATGAATAAAAAAACAACACTCTTAACGACTCATACAATTTACTATATCGTCTATCTTCATGATGCTGCGAACAGTTTCAGCAGCCAGTTGAACTGCCGAAGTAGAGACGAGCAATGGTTGCAGAACATTCTCTTCCAAAATATTCGTAATAGCTCCTTTTCTAACATTTATACCAGCCGTTTTCTCGTTGTTAGCATGTCTATTTCTTAATTCTGTAACTGTAGCTATAGGATTTAAACCTGCATTTTCGGCTAAAGTGAATGGAATAATTTCAAGAGCGTCAGCGAAGGCTCTGAAACAATACTGTTCCATTCCTGTCAATGTATTAGCAAATTGCGACAGCTTCAAAGCCATTTCCATTTCCGGTGCTCCACCTCCTGCAATCACGGCTCTCTTTTTTACCAAACACCTTATAACGCATAATGCGTCATGAATTGATCTTTCAGCTTCTTCCAATACCAATTTGTTAGATCCTCTTACAATAACACTGACGGTGCGTCCTTTCTTGGCAATACCAGTGACTTTAATTACTTTGCTTGTTCCGGTGGGTACTTCTTCTACCAAATCGGCCGAAGCTAACATGTCCGAGGTAAAATGATCCAAACTTGCGATGGGTTTGCAACTTAGCGTTTTGCATATAAACTCAATATCTTCGCGTTCTACATCCTTAACGACCATAATTTTCATTTTGGCGAGGAAATGTAAAGCCAAATCAGACAAAGCATCTCGTAGAATTGACTTTTGTACTAGAAGAACGTTACAACCAGCTTTCTTTATGGCTTTTACAATGTTTAATATATAGGCTCTTTCTTCTTGCAAGACGCGGTCCATTTGCGTATAATCGGATACTACAACTTGATTTTCCATCTATCAGAAGCAAGAATTTATAGACCAAGTGAAAATTAAGGTAATTAATTTTGTATTACTTACGTCAGTTTTTGGAGGAGAAATACAGAATTGAATTAAACCAATCTTAGCCTTTTCTATCTTACTAGGGCCTCCGGAACCTGACCGGCAATCGAGCACCAAGCCATCTATCATTTCGCAATCTTCGATTGTACTTCTATTAATTATAAATATTTATTTGTGATGGAGCTTCATACAAAATAATTAACAAACCCTAATTTCTTTATCATCTTGATATCTTTCATGTCAACGCTGTTATCAATGGGATCATATACACTCATAACAGCTTCAACGCAGAGGGGGCCCAGGACATTTGAATATTGGGAGACAACTTTAGAACAAAGAGACGTCGACGCACTTTGACATAAAGAATTCTTATCTTTCAAATCAACTGGAGTCGACATACTTTCCAAGATTTCACTGCATTTTCTGGCAGCTTTTTGGTAACTTTCAGAGATAGCAGTTGGATGTATGCCTACAAAAAAATATTGTTTAGGTAAAACTACACGTGTTTAGCTCTTTTACCTTTCAACAACAACTTTTGTGCAGCCTCCAATAAACTGCCAGCAATAACAACAACGGTAGTTGTGCCATCTCCGGCTTCAATATCTTGAGCTTTAGACAATTCTACAAGCTGCAAAGTATTACGTCATAATTAAATATTCTTTGTCCATAATTACATTACAAACCATTTTAGCAGCCGGATGAAGAACTTCCATTTGTTTTAGGATTGTGGCGCCATCATTTGTAATTGTGACTTCACCGTTACCAGCTTGGATCTATGAATTTAAATATAATTTCAGAATGATTTTATGTATTTACATTAATGTACTTACCATCTTATCCATTCCTCTGGGTCCCAAGCTTGTACGAACGGCATCAGCCACAGCTGTATTCAATTTAATTGGTGGTGTTCAAATCATTAAAAATATGACTTAATTTACCTTTTCCAGCAGTTATATTGCTGAATCGGATTGCTGTGGGCTTGTCCTTATCCTTGTACTCAGAGCTGCTACCTGAGGCTTTGGCGACTTTTGTTTCTCCCATGGCTCAATAAATAAGTGTTTCTCCGAATACTATGTATGATAAAATATACGTTGGAAATCAAGAGAGATTTTCTCAGATTTTATTTAGAGTACAAAAATAGTATAGAATATTCAGGAATCTGACCGGAACCGGTAATTTACCGGAAATAGTAATCGAAAATGCTGATATTTATCGAAAATATCGAATAGCATGTTAAATTATAATATTTTGATATCGATAATATTTTTTCGATTTCTTACACGATAAATGAAACCGGTAAGTCAACGGTATTTCGCAAGAAATTAAAAGAGGGCGCACGTGAACCTTAGTGACGGGTGACTAAGTGATATATACAGCTACATTTTTCCTTATTGCCTATAACAATTTTAGAAGAACTCACAAAACAGCATTTGGTTGTCTAATAATTGCATAAAATGCAAAGCTTTTGTAGACAGTTGTCATATACTACTGCCCAAATTACAAAATACAGAAAATTATTCTAAACTTCGCTCACGCATAGTCCATGAAATTCTCTATGACATGTGGAACTGGAATATAAGAAATCCTCTCTTTCGAATCTACGCACCTAGTATTTTTCTTACAAGTAGTGCCACAGTGTTCTTGTTCGGATTCATTTACTATAGGCATTCGAAACTAGTCGATAGTTTTGAACGACCTAAAGAGATTAATAGTGGGAAATAATGAGCGATAATATTTTACATATATATAATGATGATTACATAAGAAAAGTGAATGCCCTATTAGAAGAATATCGTTGGATTTATGATTATAAAGTTACAGATTTTTTCATTAATAAGCCTTATGTTAATATGAACAAAGAGGTAGGCCTACTTTACATACGAAATATATTTATGTAATCTTTTACATTACCTTAGTGGGGAGATGTTTTCAGAAATATGACACTTAAAGAGTTAAATGAACTACCTTTTTTAAAAGTTTGTTATTTTTTATTTATAAGCACTTTGAATATTCTCATCTAAGTTACTTTTGCTTATAAGGAGTTTCCGGATCACTTTCCAAATTCTTTGAAGCATTTTATTCAAAGTTGTGAACAAATGAGCTTAAATCGGTCGCAAGAAATAACAGAGTCCACTGAAATTCCTTTAGAAATGAGACGCAATATATCTGCTAAGAAATTACACGAAATATCAAATATGGCAACGGTTGTTTCGTCTCTTTATAATAAGAATGATTGCGATTTGGTTATTGATATAGGAGCAGGTTTAGGATATGTCAGTGAATTGTTATCAAAAGTTTATAATATCCCAGTAGTTACTCTTGAGGGTAATGAATCACATGCAGAAAAAGCAGCAAAAAAGCTGGAATCATCAAAGATTAAAGTCTATACACTTAGGATTGATGATAGCCAACTGGTACGGGAAAAATTGAAAAATATAATAGAAGAAAATAATTCGAATAATACTTGTGTAATCGGTCTTCATTGTTGTGGAGATTTGACTGTAAATATACTGAGGCTTTGTAGTCAAATTAATGTTTCTCTCGTCTGCTTAGTATCGTGCTGCTATCATCGCATGTCAAAGTGGCCTATGTCATCCAAATTAACGAGCATCTTCAAAGGTCCTCTATCTCTATACGGGTTACGGTTAGGAGCTCAAGAAACAAGAATTAGATGGTTAAATCAAACAGAAAACGATCACGAAACGCATGTACGCAATGTCTTGTATAGAGCAGTTTTGGAACTTTTTTTGAAAAATAAAGGTGAATAGCTTTAATATAAAAACCCAAATATAATATTCTATAATCCATTGTAAAAAAGGTATGGAAACATTAAAAAAGACGAAAAGGAGACTTGTGCGACGAGAAGAGCGTCTTTCGTTTGCTCACTATATAGATGATGTGATAAACAGAACAGAATTCAGTTCTCTCTGGAAAGAGGAAATTACTCAATTGTATCGCGAATGTGAAGAAGCAGAAAATATGATAGAACCTATAACTTGTCTACAAGTTATGTTGCAAAGTGTGATAGAAACATTAATACTAATTGACAGAGTGTACTTTTTGAAGGAAAACGGCTCTTACGATGTAAATCTGCTTAATGTATTTGATGACAAAATCTCACCAAGAAATGTTGCTATTGTTATGGAAGCGAAAAAAATGTTGTAATGATTAGTAATGTGTAATATCTTAGTAGTCATTATTTTATTGCAAATTTTCTTATTTATTTAAGAAATTTAAGTGGCATATTTTAATATAATATCTCTTCTTCTTTCTTTACATATTATTGTCTTATCTTGAAAGCACATGGGTGAGGTCTATTAGCACAAAAAATATTCATTAAATAACTTATTTAGACGTGTGGTTAAAATTGTTATGGGATTCTGGGGGTATTCTTGCATATTTTCTTCTAAACATATCATCAACGCTGGTTAAGTAGAATGTCCCTGGGAGAAGGCAATCCTTTTCTCCAACAGGAAAATAGGGGGCTACAGTAGAAAAATTGATTTATTTTATTATTTATTACTGTTGAAATCAAATACCTTTATGGCAAGTTTCTTCTCTCAATTTCATAATTTTATCAAAAACGGAAGGGGAAACCTTAATTCTCTTTTCTAATCTAGCCGGGACATCGGCTATACCTTTGTATAAATTTTTCAGTTGTTGAGAAACTGAATTATCAATTTTAACACTGAACATAGAAGATGCTAAGCCTGATCCATATGAAAATAGAACAAGCCTCTTTCCTGGTAACTTATCTATATCGTTAGACAGTAAATAAGACACAAGTCCTCCGTAAACAGAAGGCGTATACATATTTCCGACATTCTTTGCTAAGGTCAATGAAGGTTTTGTTTTCTCCTCAAAGAGCTCTCTGGTAGCACTCATAGCTGCTTTTTCTAAATCTTTATTGAAGTACGACTCTTCGAGGTCAATATTTTTGAATTTTTCTAACTCAGGCCAATTTCCACAATGATTTATAAAGTCCTGAACGGCTAACCTAGCTAACGATTTTTGAACAATTTTGCAATATGGCGTATGAAAAATAAATGCATCACTATCCGTTATGGAAAACTCATTAGAATTAGGATATACTTGAGAAAATTTTTGCTTATATTTTGAGTAGCACTTATCCAAAGCTGATAAGTAGCATTCTATTGTTAATTTTCCATCCACAATTGGATATTCCGATTCCATATTTGGTTTATAAAAGTCATAGGAATGTTGAATATGGGTACTTCTAACCCCTAAGTTTATACATAATAATTAATATATATTAGAAATCGAAGTAAAAACTTACCTCTTTCAAAGACTATAGGAGCGTTAGGTCCCAGCAACATTGCGACAGCACCAGCTCCTCCTGTGCATCTGGCACTCCCTCGTGCATAAACTGCAATATCTGCAGCAACGGCCATGGCATATCGACCTAGAGAAATGAAATTTTTTTTTAATGTTTTAAATAATTGAGCACTTAAGATGAATAGTTTATATGAATACAAACCATCACATGCACTTGATTCTAACCAATTGATACAGTTAAATAAAGCTGCTGTACCCCCATAGCAAGCGTTAGTAGTATCAACTCCTTCAATGTCAGTATTTTCAGATTCTTGAAATAGTTGCATGAGAACGCTTTTAACAGACTTTGATTTATCGAGCAAAGTCTCTGTTCCTACCTATAAGACAATACTTTTAAATAAACTCTGACACGCAAAATGTCCATAATAGCTTATAAAAAAAAGAAAAATTACGACAGTCCATTCTAGCATTTGTATAAAAAGTTTACTCCTAATGTTACTATTCATATTCACTTGTTCATTCTAAGTAATAAACTACACATACTCCTACGCTGGTATTAATCATTTTAAAAAAATGTCTATGAAATTTCTTCATCTTGCATTTCACAATATTGTATAATTGAACCTCTAGTATTATATTATAATATTTGGTTTTAAAAATAAGTTAATGAGAAGTTTAATTAATTTGCTCAGTGTGTATCAAATTATATGAACCTCGAGTTTGCCAATACTTCCATATGGGATATTGTGTTTTTCCATTAGTTTTTGAACAACAGTCAAACAGAGGGAGTTGACATCTTCCCTATCAGTACAATAGCCCATTTTTGATTGTCCAAGTCCAATGACATACTTTCCAGTAGAGACTTCATCAAATTGTTCTAATTCATTTTGATCAACGTAATGAGGCGGGAAATATATTTCTATTGCCAATATTCCAACGTTTTCAGGCCATGCTGGTCCAAGGTGATTATCTCCGGGCATTACTTTTTGGCTGTTTTCTATAAACATAAAACAATCATTAATTGATTAACTGCATATATGTGTTTATATATGAAATACCTATTATATTTTATAATATTATGATGATTTTTCTTGATCTTGGCTCTTAGTCACTCAAACTCGTTTCAGTTATTACAGTTCTAGCAGACGATTCTAACTAGGTGGCGTTTGTATATTATGTTTACATTTTAGGCTGGCTTCCTCTGGAATAAACTTATGAGAAACATTGTCCTCTCATTAATCATAATAAATCTACAAAAAACCTACATATAGCAATGAACTTGTGCTTTTCCCACATTGTGTAGTACACTTGCGCAGTATATTAATTTACATATTAAGTTTGTTCTCATGCTTAAGAATCAAATTAAACAAAGTAGCTATCCTTATAATAGTAAGCTTATTGCGAAATCATGTGAAAAAAACACCTGAAATCATTAATAAAATACAATTATTTATATTCTTTTAAAAAATGACAAAGCGATGATATATTTTCTTCTGTACAAGCTTAGAAATGTTTTTTTAAAGAAAAAGAGTCATTAAAAAAGAAAAATTTCAAAAGTTATGTATAGTATGGAGGTTTCTTAATGGTAATTCCATTTTCGGATAATGCTGGAGAGAGATCTTCTAAAGTTAGGGTGAACCGTTTCTCCTTCGTTTTATGCTTTGAACTTGAACTGCCAATTCGAACCTTACAATTTTGTAAGGCATCGTTGCAAACGTCTGTTATAAACTTTTGACTAGCCAAAGATACTAATCGTAATCTGTTAATATAAAATGAAAATATGTAAATATTACGTGTGTATACAAGTATATTTTACTTACATTCTAGGATCATTTATACTAACACCAGCTCTATTTAAATAGAAATTTGTAACAGCGTCGGGTATCTGAATTAACCTTATTCTTAATATCACAATTCATTACTTGTAATTATATCAAACATTACTGTTGGTTTAAAGTCCTCCAACTCAGCAGCGAATTGGCTCAAAGGGGTTCCGGTAACTCTGGGCAAATCATCAAGAGATATATCATTTACATCGTCCATTGGATCAGGCTTTCGAGGAGTTTCATTTTTAGGAGTTTGATCTATGAATGTAGAAAGATATATGAAGCTTATTATAAATACGGAAAGGTACGTTCAATAAACGAGCATTGTTTTTTTTTCATTGGATTATACTAGGTATATTGCATATTTTTTATAAGGAAGAATAAAATGTAAAAACGCAATGTTAAATATTAGCTTTTAGTGTATATTGAGGTAGTAATAGTGAAATTGGTGACAACCTTGCTCGGCCATTCTCTTCAAAAATGCTTTTTCCTGTAGTGGACAGCGAACTAAAAAGACAACGAATATATTTTGTAACGCGCATGCGCACAGGTAGTAACAAAACGCGCTTTCTATTATTTATCACTCTTCGAGTAATGCCAACGTTTTCGTAAAATTTTGGAGAATTACTTATAAAATCACGCAAATATATTTATTAAGTAACAAGTTACTGTTAATTGATAAAAAATGAGTAGATGGTACTTATTTCGTTATTTTACACAAGCACTTTTTAAAAGCGTCGTCTGCAAGTTTTTATTTAAATTTAGTATGGATCTCTGTTTCAAAACAACTTCTTTTACGCATGCGCGCGAAAATGGGTGTTAGAATTGCGATTACAAATTGAAAGCTTAGTTTTAAAGGATTCATTGAAAGTGAACAACATACATAGATTAATTTGTATATTGTGTATGAATAGTAAATGTTATTTTCCATTTGAAAATAAGTGAGTTTTGGATTAAACTCTAGAAATATCATCATTTGACTTTTAAGTAGGGTTTTTCATTTTCTTCTGGTTGATCTATTCAAACAAGAAACATCATGTTTTTTTCCTGTTATGGAATGTCATTAAAATTGATATTATATATATATATATAAATATATTAGTGACTGTTTACTTTTAAGCTTCTTTTCTTTAGAAAGGTGAAAGTCTAACATGAAAAATTTATTGAACAGATAGAATAAAAATGGAAGGATTAGGAGAGAGGTTGGAAAAAACTTTTCAATTTTCTTATGGAGCGAAGGAGAAGAAACAAACTATTTCTGGAAAAATTAATCTTCCTCTGCAAGAGACCATAACCGAATGTTGTCATAGACTTATGTCACAGCAGAATTTTCCATGCTTTCTAGAAGATGAATTAAAGAAAGATTTAATTATTTTCGTTGAAAAGAGTAAAGAAAAGATAAGTGATGAATATTCAGAATCTGTAACAAATACTCTAGATGATAGTACTGAACAAAGATTAATTTCGGAATGGTGTCAAAGTTTCTCCGAAGAGACAAAAGAACATTCGAAACCTGAGGAAATATCAAATGAATTGGTATTCTCTGAAATTTATAATCAATTAATACATTCTCAATTGCAAACAACAATTCTAAAATTGGAAAATTCATACGCCCGAGCCGTAGATGATTTAATAAGTAGAAGAAATGTAGAATTAAATGATATGAGGAATAGGCAAAGTGCGGCAATGGATAAATTAGCAACAATGGGATCGAGATATACAGATGAAGAAATAAATCGTATAACACATCAGCAATTTGAAAAAATTCAGATGTTGGAATCTAAATGGGAAAGTGAATTAACTGCTCTCTACGATAAGCAGAGAAGGGAATATAGGGAGTGGCTTTTAGAAGTGCATCAAGATTTGAAAACAGGTAATGATTTATCCCATTTGCTAGACGAAAACATGTTAAGCTCTCAAAGTATTTATGGACAAGATAACTCGATTGCTAATGAAAATAGGCTTGAAGAAAGCTTTACCATTCATCTTGGTGCTCAACTTAAAACAACGCATAATCTTAGATTAGTGAGATCTAACATATTAGATTTGTGCAAATATTCAAATCATGGACATTTCGCCGCTTCGCCAATAAGATTACAAAACTCTATGTCATTATACTCTAATGCCATTTCTGCCATGGTTTTAATTGTTGACGATAGACTTAATTCCTATTTCGGAATAAAGCAGGATTTTAAAATGATTTGTCAGGATTCGACAGAATTTCATTGGAACGATTTCGATAAACAATTAGAGGATATAAAGACAATTTTAAATGGTAAAAAACTTCAACCTGGTGATTGCTACGTAACAAGACATTCGAACCTTTCTAATGTGCAGGTAGTCTTTCATCTCGTGACAGATATGGACACTTTGAAAACGGGTGATGTTTCCTCAAGGCACCCTGTATTGTTAGGCTACCGTAATATAATTAGAACTTGCTTTCAACACGACATAACTTCTCTAACTCTTCCGCTTTTACTGGTTCAAGATGTTACCGAGCAAATGACGATTTCTTGGTGTATGAAAAGATCAGAGCTAGTTTTTAAATGCATTAAGGGTTTTCTTATGGAATTGAGCACTTGGAGTGCCAAACAATCAAGAACAGTGACATTTCTAGTTCCAAATGGAATTTCTCAAAATATGTTTTCCGATATATCAAATTTATTAGAGAGTATATTTCGAATGTCTAATCCTGTCGTTGTAAGCAAAGCTTAAACTAAAAACTATACTATATACGTCAGTGTTCTATAATCGGTAGATGGCGTTGCTGATTTGTTCCAAAATAAATTTGTTCCATAAACAATTGTTGTGTTATGTTATGTTGTTTATTGGAGAGACAAGAAAAAGTTGATTAGCAACAGCCTCTTAAGAAGGTTAATGAAAAGACAAAACTATTGAAATTTCAACTGATTTCCTTTGCCTTGTAATGATAAACTATAAAAGAATATTGAATATGGGGTTAATTACAGAGATTTCACTTAAATTAACTGATTAATCAACCATCAAAAAATTTAATCTGGGACGATAAAAAGTGTCGTAGTTGTTAGAATGCTGTTGGATAAATGGATGATATAAGGGATCAATTTCACTAAGGAGTTTTCATCATATATAAATGGATAAAGATCATTTAATTATTCTTAACAAGTTTAAATCTTGATTTTATTTTCTAATCATATTATATTTTTCTTTAGCAAAACATACTATACAACTAGAACAAAGACTAGAAAAAACAAACAATTGTTTATCGTTATAAAATACATGCATATTTATAAAGTTATGCAATTTACAACTTATTTTCATTATATGAAAAATATATTTATATAATTTATATAATAAAGACAAAAAAATTGGTAAAAATATATGCAAGGGAAACGTTAAAATATTTATACATTCTACTTTGAGGGTGAAACAATTCCATGAATACTTCAACGCTTTTACTTTCTCGTTTTGTTTCGTCAAAGCTGAACCGATGATTGACTATGCACGTATAAAAACGATTAAATAATCAAAACTTAGTTGCACGCAGTAGGGATTGTCATCAAATTATCAATCGATCTTATCGATTTCGTCATTTTTCGATTAAACGAAATAAAACGAAATAAACGAAATGTAAAAATTCTTTCTATTCAATTATTTTATTTTCTAAATAGGAAGAGATGGAGAGAAAATTAAAGGTTAATAATTGATTTGACAACGATTTATACTTTGGAAAAGCAGAACGGGGGAGAGGTGGAGGAGGAAGAGGAAGGAGTAATTATGAATTGAGGAAAAGGGTCGACGATCTTTCTCTATTTGCTAAAGTTTATGGCTCTATGTAAAAAAAAAAAGATGAGGGAAATGGAAAGTGGGGAAAAATGAAAAAATGAGGTTATTGTTTGGGCCATCATTTTATCTGTTTACTTAACCATTTAGGAAATGAGCTTGCGGATGTATATGAAACGGTCTACCCTTAGCGGTGTTGGTGTTTAAATTACAATCGATTTTGAAGGATGAAGCTAACGATAATTAAGTAAATAATTCAGCAGTCACGCAGTTGATGATGAACTATGCACCTGTCGTAGCGCACCGCTGAGTCTGTATTGTCTTAAATGGCGTTTCCATGCCGTAAAAAATATCAACGTTATTATTAGAGTATATAAAGAGATTCATTTCAAGAATTATTTAAGAGTTACCATTATAGACAATATAAGCAAAGATTACGGATCTTTCCATTTTCCTTAATATCCTTCTCTTTCTCTCTCTCGCTCAAGCGCACGCATACACACACACACACACACACACACAATCATTTTTTCCAAAAAAGGAAAAGACTATTTTCTCTAATGAAAAATACTGCAATCTACTGTAAAATTGAATAAATCTATATTACATAACGTTTAAGGAAATATAATGAAATTTTGACTATTCATTATATTCATAATACTTGAATTATAGTATTGAAATGATTACAAAATAAGCAAAATACAGATAAAATAGAACATGAAAACAAAATAAAATTTATTGTCTCAATGGTCCAGTCTAATTTCATTAATAATAAATTACCAATATATGCAAATAAGCCGAACTGGGATGATGTAAATGCGCATGCGTTCTATAATAAAAATAGCATAAATTAAAAAGTTAGATAGTGCAGTTTGTTTATGAACATCTGCTCCTTCACATCTCGTACAGACTTTTCAACGATTATAATAAAGCTATAATAAAGCTAATGAAAGAGTAATGGTTGAAATATTGAGTTTTTGGAAGAAAAGAAAAATAGAAACATTTTTTATCTTTCCAATTGCATGAAAAGTAAGTAAGTTTTTAATGTTTATATATATTAGCTGTAACTTATAGTTATATAGTGTAATCTACTTGGGAAATCTTTGATAAATAAAGGAAACAAATGTACAAATTGTAAATGGAAAAGTATAATGTATACCAATTCAAATGTAAAATGTTTTAACTCATTTCGGCACATATGCACAGAAATGAATAACTTTTATTTCTCTCTCTCTCTCTCTCTCTCTCTCTCTCTCTCTGTATGTCTTTCTTTCTCTTTTTCCTTATGTTTCTTTTCTTTTTTTTTATCAATCAACCACTTTCTTTCCTTCAACTCTTCTACACTTAATCCACCTATTCTTTGCAATCTTATATATTCTTCTTTTATACTGTATACGATATTCTGTATATAATTAAATATAAATTATAGATTAATATATATTCTATAATTAGTTTTACTTTAACTAAAAAAACCCACAAAAAGAATAAAATACAAAAATGAATTATTTTTTTTAAAAAAAACAAAAATATACTTTTTTATTTTTTTTGGAATTCTAACAAAAAAAAGATTACTCGTAATCTAAATATAAGTGTTAATATGGGGATAAGCTGACCATATGCTGCCTTTAGTTATGTGGGCAAAAAGTTTAATACAAAAAGAAAAAAAAATCGAAATGGAACTGGAAACAATTGTTAAATAGCTCCTCCATTATTTTCCCAGTGTGTGTGTTGAATTAAATAAATACATAAAGAATTATATAAATAAATATATGCATATATAGAGTATATATATATTTATATATGTAGACCGGTATTCCATTAAAATGTTTCTTATTTGAGAAATGAAATACTAAACCTTATGACTATTTATAAACATATAAAAGTAAACAAATAAAGCGTTAGATAGTTTATGGGTTATGCTGTCGCTAAGGAATTTGCATATGCCTACCGGGTGCGTCGACGCTAGTATAATTAGGCTACCATGGTAACAATGATAAACATTGTACTGGTACGTACTTATATTAACGGGAATGTTTTGTACTGACTAGGTGCTTTCTCATATATAGCTATTACGGTCACATTTTCATCCTTTGTCCCAAAATCCCGTTGTTTCCCGTTCTTATTTATAATTTATAATAAAGTTTTTCGTATATACAGAGTTATTCAACTGCATCGAAAACCCGTTCATTTTCTTCTATGGACTCATCTATAATAAGCATATAACTCCTGCTAATTGGCACTTGAAAGTGAACAGTGTCAATATCTATATACAATCTGTTCTCTAACATGTGCCATTTCGTATGAGTTGTTAAAAACTTCAACGATTTCCTTCGATTCTCCATCGTTTTACGGATAATCGTTCATCAACTATTTGATTCTTCTTTCTGTGGTAAGGCCAAGGTAAGAAAGTGATTAAATATTCTCTTTTTTTATTTGCTTATTTCAGAAAACATAATGGTAAATCTCGACTAATATTCGCTATATAATAAATAACAAATACGTTTACATACACAGCAAAAGATACATGTATACAAATATAGAGTATAGTGTTTGCATCCCTCATACGAACCGCAAAAAATACGGCAATGAACAAAAGGTACAATATTGTAAATAATGATTTGCACTAGAAACGTATGGATTACGAGTGAAAATGCATTCGGTTGGACTCTAAATATCCTCTATGCTACTTTTGTACTGACAATATGAAAATTCGGTTATTTTTCCTACCTATACCTTCTCTTCTTCTTTCCCCTCTCTCTCTCTTCATTTCTTTTCACTTTTTTTTATTAATTAATCAATTATTTTTCTTCTCTTTCTCTTCGCTCTCTTTTTATCTTTATCTTTTTTGTACAATTTTGAGAGAAGAGCAGTAAAATACATGAAGATTTTACGGAAAAATTTATGATATACTTTTCGTCTTCTTCCTCTTCTTCTTCTATAATAATAGTTTTCACTGATGATATAATTTATATGGAAATAAAAGGGGATCTTTTTTTGATAAAATGCGTACATAGTCTTGATTGATCCTTCTTTTTTCGATTCCCATTAAATCAACATCACGTTTACTCTTCCACAAACCTTATTATATTTAATATTCTATTTAAAAATACAAACATTTCATCAATTTTAGTTCCTTCATTGTTTCTTTGTAGTTTGCAAATAATTAAAAAATAAACAAATAAACAGGAAAGCTAATTAGGCAACCGGTAGTTGTAATATTTAAATTATATAACAGTTTCATCAATAGGAAAAAAATGTTGGAGAGATATTGGATAAAAATATAGAATTTAAGAAGAAGAAGAAAGTGTGAGCGAGTGAAAGAGGAAGGGAGAGAATGAGAAATAAAAACTAGGAAGAAAAGAAAGAGAATTATAATAAATATATTTCATGGATGACTTAACCATCTGCTTTGAACCTTTTCGACAGCTGCGCAAATCGGATTTTTTTTACCTTGTTGATTCATATAAGATTATTAGTTTTTTTTACAAGATAATGTTTTATATGATAAATATATATATACAAATATATAGATAGATGGAGAAGGAGAGAGAGAGAGAGAGAGGGGCGGGGGGAGAAAAAGAGAAGGTTAGATGATCTTAAGCTTAATAATAAAGGGAGAATTAATTGAATAACATTGGCTGAATTATCCTTTGTTCTCTTTTCTCCTTCCTTTATTTTAAAGAAACGTTAATTATGAGTTATCTATTAAAATTTATTGCAATTATGTCTTCTTGATGATCATCGTTTCTTCATTTAATTACGTAATATAAACTATAAATGTTTAGATTCTTCTTATTTAAATACTATATATACAATAATACGCATAGTATCATAAATATTTTATATTATATTTAAATAGATATAGGCCAAATAGTTGTAAAAGTTGCTCGCCAGATATTCTCATATCGTGATGTTGCAAGAGTTACAATCCTAATGCTATTAGTTCCAATTTCGAGTGTTCACACCCCATCCTTCCCGGAAGAATATTGGATCGTTTAAGAGACAAATAGAGGCAATTTTATCATTTCGAAACGTGGTGTAAAACAAAAATATACCGTATATGGTGTATTTTCTTTTTATTATAAACGTAAATATCTATTTATCTTCAGTTCATTTCTTAGTAATATAATAATGTACAACTAAATGTAGATCTACAAGGGTAATGCATTATCATTATCAAATGTTAATTTTAAATGGGAAGGGAGAGGAAGGACTGTAGATAAAAGGGAAAAGGGAGAATAATTATCTCTTTTAGAGAATGAAGGAGAGGAAATTATTTTCGGGTAAGAAACAAAACGGGAAGAAAAATGAAAACAAACAACATAGATTATTCCTCAATACGGTTCGTATCAAGATAGATAATTAAGATTCGGATAGGAATAAACAATATTATTGATTGGAGAATCTCTTGGGTAAACAATCCAGTAAAAAAGAAATTAAATTATAAGAAGGAAGGTGAAAGAAAGAAAAAGTAATTTATATTAAATTATTCCGTGATCTTTAAATTATTCACGTTAAATAAGACATTCATTAAATATTTAAAATTTACCGAATTGCTATATTGGCCTATAAACATATTTAATAATTCATTACATTAATATTGTTCTGCACTTTTTTGAATTACAAAACCTATTACTTCTATGTTTCTATTAGTTTATTAAGAAATAAGGAAAAAACCCATATGAATCAATTAGTATATTTATGTATAGGTGTACAAACTTCTATAGAGATATTCTGCTCCTATATATAGAAACATAGTATATATATTTATATACTGTATATATTATATGATAAATAAGGAATCCTACTATGCTATTATCTAAATATAATGAAGCAAATATCTTTTCTATTAAGAAAATCTGTCGAGTTTTTTATTTTATCCTTATTAATTAATTACTTAATTATTGATAATCTCTGGTTTAATTGATTCATTTTTTTTTTTACAAAAACAAAACTTAAACAAAAAAAACTACTTCACTTGAATAAAAATATTATTTACATTTTGAACAAGATTTCATTAAATAAATTATACCTTAATTATATTAATTTTGCAGTGAAATTTTTTATGTTTATGTATAATTTTGAAGGAATAATTTATCTAATATAGCTCTGCACTGCACCACACTGCACTGCAAAAAATAACCAGATGAAAATTTAGAGTTGTTTCTCTACAATTAGACTTCTGATACAGGGTCACTTTCCATTGTTACTAATTTAATAAAGGGCATTTCCACTATTTCCTCTACTGTAGCTTCGATTTCGATTGATACTCTTTTTTCATTCTGTGTTTCGGCTGAGCAACTTGTTTGCTCTGATAGAGTAACATTATCATTTCCCTGAGCATGCTTTTCTCCTTCATTCTCAATTCCTACGTCTGTTGGGAAATAATTATTAAGTCTCTTTTTTCAAATTAATTATGAAAATTTAATAAAAAAAAACAATGAAATTTATAATAATACAAATAATTATTTACCTATTTTAAATAGGCCCTCTTCCGTTGTTGAACCATTCATTATTGCTTCCAAAACACTATCCTATTGTTAGGAAAAGTGTGACTATAGTACTAACTAAATAAAGATAATCTAAAAACATATTTGACAAGCTAATAGAATTTCATAATTTCAAAAAATTTTTATATATGTACATACTAGCATATATATAAATTTATATATACTGTATATGTAGAGATATATAAAATATTTCAGAAAAAATTTATATTGTGATAGTATTCCGTTAATTAAAAATACTGTCTAGGTAGGATTTGCATAGTAAGAGAATAGAAAACTATTCTATTGATCTTACGCCTATAAATTAATTAAGCCCAAAAAGAAAAAAGTTTATGTTTGTAATTAAACTACATGGTTTATCTTTAAAATTAAATTACAAGTATTTTAAAAATAGGATGCATCAATCTATCTGTATATTACTTACGGCAATAAGAAATTCACTTAATTCACTATCAGGAATCAATCGACCTATGCAATCCAAAAGTATTCCATAAATACTAAATTAAGAGAAAAGGAAAATATTACTCTAATCTAATTAAGTAATATATTTTCTTTTGCTTACCAGAAGGCGCATATCATCTCATCTTTTATTTCGCACTGTTTAATGGTATTATCCGATTTTTGACTGGTATAATATTTCTGAGATAACAACACATATAAATATATAATGTATATAAATTTATACAGTATATACACAGTAAAAATATAGTCCTTATAGGAATGTCAATTTTAAAAGGAAATATCTACCTGCTCTAATTCATTCAATTCATGTATTAACTTTTTGATTGTTGCAAAACTGAACTCTAAATCCTTACTCCAAAATGGAGTAAAACAGCTAATAAGCTCGTTAGCTTTCTCTACTATAAACGATTTTGATTCTATATTTCTTGACCAATTAATAGCTGCTTCCGCTACTTCCTAAATTTCAAGAATGTACATGTATCAGTAAGTAAATAAATGAATATGTAACAAATATTACCTTAAAATATTTTTCCATTGTGTCTGGATAGACTTTTGTGAATATTGAAAAAACTTTGGCACACTTGCAAAAGACAATTTCATCTGTAGTTGTAGTCACCATAGTTGATATTGTTTTACAGATATCGTCTACATTATTCTTTAAAATTTTGAAATATTTATTGTTAAAGTGAAATATGACTAAAATGATATAAACCTGCTGAGAATTCTCAATCTCCAGATACCGTGTATCAACATCAGCTCTTAAAAGCTATTTGTCAAATTTATCATTGTTAATAATTCACAATAATATAAACGAAAAAAAAAGGGAAATGCAAATTATACTTAACCTCTTTGATAGCATCAACTAAATGTATTAAATCTCTCGCCATTTGACTTGCTCTTACTTTACTTTTCCAAAGGTTTATATACCTTTAAAATAAAAAGGAGAAAAATATTAAAAAATAGCTCTATAAAAATCAATAATATTTCAGTATTCGTATTTAAGATTATTTTACAAAATTGAATAGTTCAAATATTTTAGTTTTCGAAAATAATCGCCATACTTAAAGAAAAAAAAAGATAAAAAGTCAGCTGTTCAAAAATATTATAATTGCACTAAATTAATACTTTAATTTTATATATATATATATATATAAATTTATATAAATGTACAAAGATAAAGGGATTTATGTCCAATATACTGATTAAATAAAATTTCTCATCTATAAATGAAAAAGCTTGAAATATTTTTTAAAACTATAAATATGTTCTTAAATTCTATTAGTAAAGTTACTATTCAATAGAATTTATTAGTCTTTTATTGAAGTAAAAAGTAGCAAATATTAATAGCTAATTGCTATTATTTATTCATATTTACTTGATTAGATTTTTTTTTCTCCTTTTGTAGTATTTACTAAGTTTATTATTTATAATTCTACGGTTAGAATAAGTTTACTGATATAAAGATTCGCTTCCAAACCTTCTCTAGAGTTTTTGTAAAGTTTGTAAGCGTTAAGAAGTCAAGAATTTTGTATTTATTTTCCTCTTCGTATCTTATTGGTTTAGAATTATCAACTTCTTCATCTGTTTCACTTCTAATCTAATGCTTTTGGTATACTGTTACCAAAACATACGTAAAAGATTTTGGGGTAGAATTGATAGGAAACATAGATATTTCTAGGCTCTTTCTTTTAAACCGAATAATATTAAAGCAAGTACACACTCGGAAAATACTTACAAGAATACTTTCTCTCTCAGATAATATCCAACAAGACCAGAACATTGCGCTAATTCTTTTTCAAGACCTTGAAAACCTCTTTTTAGCAGGTAGGAGAAGATGGAAAAGACATCAGATTATAAAGTAATTTAAAGGTTAATACTTTATACTTTAAACTTGGAATTATAGTATACAATCAGATAAGTAAATAATAATAATACTTACTCTTTATGGTTTAATTCGAACAGCAAACCGACTAAGGTACTAGAATATTTGCTTAATTGCTGTATATAAAAACAAAAAAAAAATATTAATTTTAAGTTTACTCTTTGTTGATTATGACAATAAATTCAATTAATAATCGTAAAAGTAGACAAAGTATATAGATCTTGTACACTTAAGATGATAACACTCGAAACGCCATCTATCTTATATTATTTATATGTCAGTACAACAAAACACTTTAATTTTAGTAAGATTCTATTTAAAACTTAGAATAGAGCACAACATTCGATCTTAGTTCATTAATTTCCACTATTTTCTTTAAAATAACCAATCGTTCTTATAAATAAGTAAAATAAATGCAAACCTCATCTTCGCCTTTTTTTAACAGAGCTAATAAATCTTTAACACTCTCAGCTCTTAAATCAGGATCTTGAGTCATACACATAGTTCTCATAGATGTTGATAGAGTTGAACTAGGATTTCTAAATATTGTTGGAGCTGTGGATTATAAATTTTAAAACTTCTATATTCATTATACAGATATATATTTTCTGTCTTACTTCTTGAATCATCTTGTTCCGTCATAATCGAATTCTATCAATAACTTTAACGAGAATGTAAATATTGATAATGCAAGATATAACGATTACTTCCTAAAGGTAGATAAGAAAAAGAAATTCTTTCTTTCTTTTTTTAAATATCTGAATAAAAATGAAAATATAATTAATATTAATAATTTATATAATCAATTAAAAATTAAAAAACACTGTAAATCATTATAAAATTCGTAAAAAATTTTAGTTAGCTTAATATGTACTATAATAGCTTTTCAATATAAACAGTATATTGTAGAATAGTTAATAAAAAAACAGTTTCTCTCTTTTTTTTACGCAATAGATTAGTCATTGAGACAATACGATCGTGTTAAAAAAATATCGTATTATACACGCTTATTGTATCGATTCTTTATATCTAAAAAAAGTGTTATCAAACGGTAATCTATACCTATAAAACTTTTATAATGTTCACCTGAAATTTGGTAACCAAAAGCAAACAAGAAAGATAATAAAGTGAATTGCAATTTATCCTCGATTTTATTGTTATTAGTCGATTTAAAGATAAAAAATAGACTATTTAAATATTTCATGTCTCTAATGAGTTATTTTGTCAAATTTTTATAAAATACTATTTTATTATTGTGAAATTAGTATATGATCTTACAATACTCTTTCTTTCCCCCTCCCCCCTTAACTATTTCTATATATTCTTTTTATGGAATACTTTATTTGCATATTCTTAATTGCTCTTTTAAATACATATTATTAGTGGAAAAGTTATAAAATCTATTAAAAAATATAGAGAACGTTTTTAAATTAGTAACAGAGTAACAAATTTATAAAGATTAATGAAAAGAAGCATGAAAACTATCTGAAAAGTTGTTCATCATTCCAACCTGTTTTTATTTTATACCAAACCAAGACGTTGAAATAGATAAATTAATCTATTGAGTGATTTTAAGTCTTCCAAATACTATGCTCTCATTGTAGAATAAAAACAATGTTTTAATATGTAAAGTTTAATATTTTAAGCGTGATTTTGTAATTTGTTGCATAGGTAGTTCCTATTGGTAGTCGTGCAGTAACTGATAAATCGCACCGTGATTGGCTCTTTGTCAGCCATGTTTGAAGAAACTGAAAAGTATCTATTCAGTCTCTTTAATTTTAATTTACTTTATTTCTTTAAATATAACAATAAATTTTCTATAAAATTGTTATTTAATACTTGTAATCTCTTTATTTCATGTTATGCAACGTAATTAAATGCAAAATTATAATGCAATCCAAAGTCGAAATTCAACTTTATTTAATAATCTGAACTACTGTATATAGTAATCAGTCAATTAAAACAGTATTAATTTCATTACTTATAAGGATGTTTTACATAAGAACGAAAGATAAAACATAAGTAGTATTGTACTTGTTTAATTACTTAATACTTGTTTTTATATGCTTAACTTTTTAATAACCCAAACTGCATATAACTAGTATATAGACTTTTATAATTCTTTATCATTTTATATAGAGTTCATTCATTTTAAACAGTAACAACAAATAGCAAATAAAATTTGTCAATAACCTATATTTTTTCCTAATATTATTTAATTAGCCATTGTTTCGCATATTCGTAAAGGAATAACGATCCGGTTACATGAACATTTAAGGATCTAATTACTCCAAGTTGAGGGACTTCAACGCATTCGTCTAATAATTGGATAATTTCTACCGGAATACCTTCTTTTTCGCTTCTAAAGTTAAAATATAATTTATATATTATACGAATAAGAGAAAAAGTTTCTTATTTTAATTATTTTACCCTAAAACCAGGATAGTTTTTTCCTGAAAGCGAAAATTTGAAAGAGGAACGCTGTTTGCTGTCTGTTCGGCTCCAATTATGGAATAATCTTTACTTTTCATATAGATGAGATAATCTTTCAATTGAAATTCCGGCACCTATTGTATAAAATATTTTTATTAATTTTTCTATGGTTGTTTAATAGTAATTAATTTACTTACCTCTCTAACTTTACGTAACCACTTGTGAGAGCTTACACTAAGACTTTCAAAAGCTTTCTCATTCATAACTCTTAAACTATTAACTACCATTTCTTTTACGGAGAATATTTCACTAGTTCTACATAGACCGCCTAAATTTGGTAATTTATTTATTAAGGATGTCACCAGTATAAGCCCTCTGCTATCGTGAATAGGTATTTTTCTCACATCTTCTTCGTCATTATCCTGAGGTGTCATTAGGCGCCAAGGTATTATTTTCTTTTGAACATTTCCCTCCTTAATTTCCTCTGCTGACTCTGTTAAAAGATTTTTGCGTACAAGCAGATAAATATTTATATTTTAGCCAATAATATACCGAATTGGTCGAATGCCACTTTCCAAGACCCCGGCTTACACTTCTTCAGTGTGTCGTCTGTTGAATAAATAGGAATGTTATCCCGAAAATTCGTCCATTGTGAATTGTTTTTCATCTTCTCAAAAACTCCTCCAGTTACCCATTCATCATCGGCTACTTGACTTAATTTTGGCAGTGTGTAGTAAATGGCCTAATACCAATATTATTATTTTGATCATATTTTTAATTAATAATTAAAAAATTACCTCTAAATTGTAATCAACTTCAGTATTAATTGAAAAATAAAAATTTGCTAGTAGTTTTTCAGTGGCTCTATTGGCATACTGACTACTTCCGGAAAAGTTGATAATAGTTTTAACGGCACTAGGAACTTTAAAATTATTTTTACAACAAAATTCAGAAATTGTATGTAGAGATGCGAGACAGAATGATCTAAGGTTGAAATGGTTGGACATACACCAAGGTAGCACCATATCAAGCATATTTGTACTTATTGAATTCTGAAAATGTTACATTTTTTTAAGGATAATAATAAGTATAAAAATGTTATTTACTTGTAAAGTTACATCTTTACTGTTCCTACAGACGTGTACCATAACTCCTAAAAGGGAACAAAGATGATAGACTTTCTTGTTATCAAATCCATCTTTCATATCCTCAATAACATCCTGAAGATATTTTTTTTAGTAATGCATGGAAATATATTACATTTCATAATACCGGTATTAAAGAGGGAAATTGCTGTAGAATTTTGGAAAAAGCTAATTCTGTTAATATCCTTACTGACGCTTGATTTTCTTTAGTTAGAACTTCCTCAAAGAAAGGAAGCAAGTAATTCTTAGCCATTTGCTCACTGACAAACGGTATCATTACAAGCATTAAGGAAGTAGCCCTTTGTTTTTGTCTATGAAGTAGACAATTGGGAAAATGCTTATGCTGTGTTTGCTCAAGAAGCTGTCTTTGCTTCTCCATTAAGCACAAAAGAAGTTCCATAACTATATCTTGATTTGACATAGGTTGAGAATTAATAAGTGTTACTAAGCTAACTCTGGCAGAAACATCAGAATAATCCCTAAAACAGATATTATAAGTTTACTTGTAGAACAATTTTTACGTACAGTTATCGTTCATCTCTCACCTCTTATTACAGGTCTCTATATCATCACAAGTGTTTAAAAATGCAAGTACCTCTTGTTTAAATCTGTGGAAAATAATTTCATAAATCCATGAAATTACTATACAAAAAAACATTTTTATACGAACCTAACACCTTTTTGTTGCATAAAGCCATATATTGAAGCTTCTATTATAAATTCTTTATAATCTAGTATACTAGAAAAATTATTTATGCATTTATTACAAATTTCTTGTACAGGTAGGCAAATATAACCAGCTCTGTCTTCACTGAGAAGTAAAATTTCAGACATCATCTAAAAATATTGAGGAGGTAGAAATGAATTATTTGTATTAAGGGTTCACTTACGATATTTAGTCCATTTTTACTATTGACCACACAGCGAATAAAATTATTATAAATTTTCCAATAATTGGATAATTTAACACATTCTTGTAGCTTATGCCAACAATTTAGTATTATTTGATCATTATCATTTACACTTGCTTTCTGAGTGATTAGAAAAAAATGTATATAGCTCTCAATTTTCAATTAAAACACTGAAAAATTTCACTTACCAAGCAAATATTAATAAGCTTATATGCTTGAATTGTTCCCTCACCCTTAACCATATCGAGATAATCACAAGCAAAATTAATTATAGATTCAATGTTTGCATTTTCTTGATATGGTAATATTTTCCTACATATTCTTAATTCATTTTCGATATAGTATTCAATTATTTTTCCTGAAGTTGATTGAGATTTAACAAAATCAGTATTAAAATCAATAACCGATTTTAAAAGAGATATAATCTCTTTAGCATTTAGAGACGGATCAAATAACGAAGAGAGAATTGTTATACAAAAATGCCTTTGCATTAGCTTCTTTGAATTTTCTTTAAGACATCTTAGGATAGATCTTTGAAAATTCTCAATAGACTTTATAGCAATACCCAAATCAAAACTAGTATTCTTAGATGATTGTAAAACCACAATTCGTCTTAAAAATTTCATCAGTCGATAGCATAATTCTATAAATTTTTCATCAACCTAAGACGTAAGTAAACTTTTAAGTTGCAATAAAGAAAAGCACATAAATTATATCTGAATACTTACACTATTTTCATCAAACATACGTCTTGATATATAACCAGTAATATCCGGTATACATTTAATAAACTGTACTATTATGAAACTCTTTAACCTTCCATCTGAATAAAGATAGTAAATTGTTATTCTTAAACTTACAATTAAACTAATTTACCAATTGACCAAGACGACTCTTCTCCTTTAAAATTAAAAGTTTGTAGTATCTCAATGATAAATTGTATAGTATTATCAGTTATTTTTGTGGGTAGATAGACATGACTACTACTTTTCTCCAATAAACTCATCAATCTTACGGGATAATATTTAAAAGTAATATCCTCTTTAGCATTTAACAAAGCAACTAATAATTTGGCATTTAGTTCAATTTCATTATCTGTCACATCTATTTTAATAATATTGAAATTAATATTCTTCTAAACGTAATTTTTATATTTAATACTAGTTAGTTATTTACCTGAATCCGAGAGTAAATTTGAAAGGAAATTGTCAACATATTGAATAAAATATTGTAAATTAATTGTATCTTCTTTTCCATATTTATCCAAACGTTGAAAGAATTTGACAAATTCACTCCAAACAGCTGACGTATTTTTTAAACCACCGTTCAAGTTGAAGGCCAATAGTAATGTATTGACACTACTAAGTTTTATTTGGTCCTGTTCAAGGTGAATTTTAAATAATTCAGTAAGTAATCAATTATCTACTACTTACAAAGTTAATATTATTCAATAATAATTTCGCAGCTAATTGTTGCAGTGGCGCTCGGACGCTTAGATCAAATGTTTGAAATGATGAAAATAGAATTTTTCTGTAATAAAAATTATTCTAATGAACAATGCAATTTAATAGACAATAACATATTGTATATAATACGATACCTTAAAGATATTAAAACTTCATCGTTACAAAAGTAGCAATCTTTTAATGATGAAAGCGACCAAAATACACATATTAATGATACACCACCCCAATTTTCATCAGTCATATACAATAAGAATTTTCTTATTAATAGATCTGAATAGTTAAAAGAATGTTTGTCAATAGATGAAAACACCGATTTATTAATAATATAGTTACTAAATGTTGCTGTGTTTAATAGCATTTTTAATCTTAGAAAAAATTCTTTTAGTCTTTCAACAACAGGTGGTATTCTACCAAGAGGAATATCAATTGGTCTACAAGATATTATCAATTATATTAAATACTAGTGATGTAATACAATTTGTGATTGGCTTCTTACTTTCTTAACATCGATTGATCCAGTAAGATATTTATTAACGGTTTACCAAACATCTAAAAAAATAAGCTCATTAAATACAATTTTATATAATATGGGAATAGCCTACGTATAACTGATTTTGCTCTTTTATTGGCACTATTTCCTTATCCAATTTTAAAAGTTCTTGTAAACCCCATAAACGTATAAACGAACTATCGTGACAGAATATCCGATGGAAAATACAAATTAACCAACTTGTATGAATAAGATGTTTATCTACAAGTTTTTTTTACGAAATGAAAGGATTAGCATTCTCAACAAAGATTTAAACTTTAATGGAAAAAGTTTACTACCTGAAATTATATGTGTTGTGGCTTCCTTAATTTTTTCTAATCTAGGCATAACAGGCTTTATTACGTGTACCTATATAAATTATAATAGATTATAAATGTTATCATTTAAAGAGACTTACTCACTTGAGTTTCTTCTAAAGTTTCGAGTAATAAAATAAACTCGTACCATATTTCTTCGAATATCTTGTCTTTACTCCACCAAAATATTGTGCCTGTTGCTTCGTCAAAACAATTGCAGGCGATATCATACTGATTTAGAGAATCAGTTATTCTTTTTAATAAATAAAGACTTTTCTTTCTGGATATATTTCTTTCATGATTTAATCCTTTTAAGATAATTTTCCAAAAGTTAGGATCGTTTTGAAGATTTAAAGATGGCTTTCTATCGTCAATTGGTAATAGAAAGTCAGCAATTGAGCATAACACTGACAAGATTCTATCGATTGGCGTACTTTTTATATTGGAAACCTTATTTTCTAGATCTTCTTTACAGAATTGAACGCAATTTTCCCAAATGAAAACTAGTTTAGAATAGTCATAACCTAAACTTGGTAAAAATTCAAAAAGAACTTTACTCCCAGGCTTTTCTTCACCTAGTAGAACGATTTGAAATAAAAGCTTAAACAAGCTATCCTTATCTTCTTCTAATAGAGTATGTTTCTCGCGAAGAATTTCTCCTAATAAATGAAAAACTTTTATTATAGACCATTTATTACTTTTGCACGGAACTTGTTCGTGAACATCATAGCCTTTCTCATTTTCTTCTGTATAGCGTTTAATAGACTCCTTCAAACTATTAATAACTTCATTTTTCTGATTGTCAGTCAACTTTGAAAATATTAAACCAACAATTTTTGTAGAACTTTTTATAACTTCGGCATTTTCGGTTTGTTTCAGAACTTCAAGTGATACTTTTAAAATTTTACTATAAATATCAGATATTGGCCAATTCTTTTTTGAACAATCCAAAACAGAGACACATGCTTGTAAATTTTCGAGTAAATTTTCTAAATCGCTATTTGATTCGATGTTCTTTACAATTGTTTCAAGGATATTTTCAACGTCTCTTGGTTGAAGAAAATTTTCAAATATTTTGTTGTGGTTATAGCTCATGGTAAACAGATTTTACTCTATTATCACTCAAACAAGTTTGGCTTATTTCGCTTATAACCTATTTTAAATCAGAATTTAATTTATAAGGTCAAACTTAATTCATGTAAATTTTGCTACCTACACTCGATCGATTATACAGTGGTGGCACCGAGAATAATTTATAAGTAACAATTTTGTTAATCTTAGAAGATGTTAGCCATGCGTTGAAAACAACGAGTAAGTTTTATGGACACTGTGACGGTGTAAAACATATTTCGATAGAAATTGTTCGATATTTTCAGCCTAGGTGATATCTTTTGCTGATAAAGCATTCCTTTGTTTAACGGAATTTTTAGTTACAAAGAGTACAAATATTTGTATAATCAATAAATATTATTGAGAATTGAATTCCAGAAAATGTGTAATTTTTTTCTTATCTCACAAAGTAGTTCAACTACTTTTTATCTTGTTTTGATAAAGCCTTAGTGATATAATAACAGAAGTATTTCTTATCAACAAAAACTACAAAGGACATAAAGATATAAATATATATAATAGGGTACTAATAACACTATTCTTCAAAAAGAAGCATTGTTATTTTGACATTGGATTTATCATAATTCCTCTAAGAAAAGAAAATAACGTTAACTTTTTGGAATAATGCTCCAAATCTTATCTTTTATTCTTTTTAGCAGTTAAAAAGGAGTTTCTCAAAATAATTGATTAAGGATGTAAATTGCGTAACCTAAAATAATAAAAAAAACCTTATAGGCCTGTTGTTGAAAATGCTACGATATTTGATAACCGAACAACAAGGGAAGGTGAAAAGTTATTGACCTCGATTTTATTATGCCTTTAACCTTTGTGTCATTGACGTATTTATATATATATACAAATTATTTCTATTTATTTCTGTTATGGTTATATATGGAAAGGAAAAAAAACGATTATTCTATAATGGGATGCTTATACAGTGTAACTTACACGTTTATGTAGCTAATCGATTGCTTAAAATAAACTCTGGGTACAAAAATGTATCAATCTCTTAGAACATATCGTATATAAGGTGTATTTAAGGTGTTCATATAGATAAATAGTATAACAAAGGTATTTTACTCTCCGTTACAATGACTTTTCTATCATTTTTCTTAACTCTTTCTTTTCTATGTTAGGATTTGTAGACAATATCATCAATTGTTCAATAATAGTAACCATCTGTTCAATAGTCAGACTGTTCAATCATTAAACACCACCTACGCTCTATTCTAAGTTTAATATTCATAACTGCAAGTAATTATTAAGAATTTTGTCTGTCTGTCTGTCTCTCTCTCTCTCTCTCTTTATCTATCTTATCTATCTTGATAATTGCCCAACAATAATCAAAGAGAGAATTATACCATTTTAAACCTTCAATTATTGGTGACTAATAGAGACCGACATTAACATGTAATAGGGAATTGTGGGGAAAGAGAAATCCCCTATTTGAAATTGAAATATAATTCTGATTTATATATTCACTTTTAAGGATAAAAGCACAATATCGTTTGATAATTATTCATTGAAATTAATTACAACAATCAGAATGGAAGACTATACAAAAATTTGACCTTGACAATGTGACTTGGATACTTAACGTCAGGAAAAGTTAAAAGATATTCTTTTATTTTTTGTTAGAGGTAGACAAAAAATAATCGAATAGAAGTAAATTTGGCTTATATCACTTCTTTAAAGTAATTTATCTCTTATATGTAATTGTTTCTTTAAACCTTTTTTTGTGAAAGCCAGACAATTGATTCACCCTTGGAAAACGTTACTTTTTTGTAACAGGGAAAATAAAAACGGCCCTTTGTCCATTTAAAACTATTATCTTGTAGATTTCTAAAACAGCTTCTCATCTGTTTATGTGTTATTCATTCTATACTCAAGACTGCTAATACTAACGTCTCGTATGCCCTTGACAGCTCACCTTCAAACGTACGAGAGAGAGAAAATTCATTCATCACGACAGGAAGATTTATTACTCTACTTCACATCCAATCAGCACCTTGTATTCTCGATAAAAATTTGCCTATTGGGTATAGTAGATTAACATATTTGGCTGGTATTTTAGAACAGAACGAACTAAGGTTTTATTTTAGGCTCTAGTACGTAATATTTATTTTATCTTATTGTTCTGCGTGCACAATATCACGTACACGACCGATATGACTTATGTATATAAAAAATAAGGAATTCCCGACCAGACATCACTTTACTTGCTAAGGAGTGAACGAACGAGTAACTGCTTAGGTGCCGGACATTTAACTTCCTATTACTCATTAAAGTTAATTACACACTTAATAAGGTTTGTAGGAAAAAATATTTTTTACTTTCCTTACTTTATTTGAATTTTTCTGTAATGAGAAATATTCAAATAATTTAAAACAAAAGCCAAACAAACGTCTATACGTCCTTTTGTGACCTTCAAATGTCCAGCTCATGACTTTTCGCATTACAGATTCAAAATGAGCGGTGGTTCTGCATTATTCGGTTTAAAAGCTTTAAGACAAAAGTGGGAGGTAAGTTATATATTCTAAAAGATTGTCGAATGATTATTTCATACAATAATTATTTATCAGTTAATTCCACTGGTCGGTATTCTTGGAACGGCCTGTATTGGTGCTACTGCCTACTCTATTTATGCTGTAGCCACTAAAAGCGATGTGAGAGTAAATAAAACTAAAGCTGTAGCTCCTTGGGAAGAGGTTAATCCCAATGTCCCTCAAAAGGTATGTTTAAACTAAATTCTATCTTTCATATGGATAAGTAAAAGTTTATTTTTAAATACTATTCAACAGCTATTGACACTCAATCAAAAATATGCCGAAAATGCCGAATTAGAAGCTCTAAGAAAAGAAATTGGCAGCTACAAATGCTAGGGAAAATCTTTCTTCAAAATAATTATGTCAACTCAAACTGTCCAAATGATACGTTTGATCATAATGACCTGCGATATTATTTTGGTCTCAATTTTACTGTTTATATATAAATATTTATATTATGTATTTATATAATTCAAGTAAATATTCTAAGTCCAAGTCCGTCATCTCTAATTTTGTGAATATTGTACTTTAAAAATAAAATTGAATACTATAACCATTATTTAAATATTCGACATTTTGGCGCTTTATAAAATTCTATGTCACGTGACAACATGGCGATTTCAAATTCTAATTTCGCTCAACTCAAACATATCAAACCAATGATAATTGTTTGCTGACGATAAAAAGGATAAAGACAGTGTAATATTTTAATCATTATTTAATATTGTTTATCATTGCTATGAGTTGATAATCAATAGCTACTGGTTGATAATTGATAAAGCTCAAAAAGTTAATTATGATTTACAAGGACTTATCTAGTTTTATATAAAAATTGTTTTGTTTTTAATATTCAATATATCAATATTGGATTATCTTAGAGCATTTTTTCTTGCTCTGTCTTCTACAGAAATCCTTTCTATGCAGAATGACGACCAAAGTCACCTTTAGTGTAATAGCAGACCTTTCAGCTCAGGAGCATGTATGTATTTCGGGAAACATACCAGAGCTTGGAAACTGGAATCCAGACAAATGTTTAACAATGATCGAATCAAAAGATAAACAGGATGATAAGTAATATTTACAGTATACTATTGAAGTGTGTTTGTTTTACAATATTTTCATTTATAGATCAATTTGGACTATTTCAATAGATATATGTCAAGAAAATGATAATTGTGAAATATTTTATAAGTATATTATTGCGGAAAAGTGTAAACTGTCTGCTAGCATGAACAATGAATGTCAATACATTTTGAAATATGAAACACACTTAACACCAAGATTATTGAATTTAAAAGGTATAAATATAGAAAAAGGAATCAGTCCATAAATAATAAATTTGTTAATTTTTCTTAAAAAGAATACATAGCAATAGGTGGACATGTTGATAAATTTGGTGTTAAAGGTGAAATAGTATAATAGAGATAAACGCCAATTATTTAGACATTGTAATCATTTTTTAGATGGCTTATATAACGTGGATAAAGGTTGGTTGAATGGCCAAACAGAGATACAACTACATCTACTTAAAGATTCTCTTATATTCTTCAATAAAATTGATACAAATCGAAAATTCTCTATCAAATGCATTCCAAGTCTCCTGAAAGATGAAATAGTGAATGTTAGTTTTCAATTTTGATACATTATTATCAAATACTCAATTTATTAAATTCACACAACAGTTATCTGATTTATCCGACCAAACTGCTGAAATCTCAACGAAAATGCATTCAGTCACCATATCAACATTAAATGAGAAAAATGTACAACCCAAACCTCAGAAGAAATTTGGTGCTTTACTTCAGAATGACCCAATTACTTTCAGAACACAATCATTTAATCCTGAATATGTGGTAATTAATTATATTAAGCTGTTTAAACACATTATGACAGTATTATTAAAAAGGGTTTCAATTTCATCATATATTGTCATTTAAACCACGCCAATGAAAATGATATACCTACGCTTATTGGATCGGCTAATTTATTACCAGTTACTAATTGTAAAACATCTGATCAGTTATCGATACCAGTATTAAATGAACAGCATCGGATAATTGGACAACTACATGGTTTTTATTAATTTATTTTTATTTTGTAATATAATATAAAAATTATATTCTGAAAGTTTCTTTATTAAAAAACAGTTGAAATTCTAATAATTAAGCCTTTAAAAGAAAATCTTTGTACTTTTGAAATATCATATGCCAAACATTGGAAAGATTCGCGAGCACCTTTGGACGTTGGACACAGAGGATTGGGTGCAACTTATTGCAAAGAGTAAGTCATTCCCCCCTTTATGAAAAGGTCTTTTTCCTATATGCTTTTGTTAGTTCAAAGTTTAGACGAACACCTTTTTGGCATGGAAAAATTTTTTTTCAATGAATTGATGCTATTTAAAGATGGTTACAATCGCCTTTACAAATACCGACCTTGTAGCTTTGAAATATCAATTTATTAATTTACATGGATGTTAGGACTAAAATTGCATGAAAATCATTTTAATTAAATTATCAAACGAAGATAAATAGAAAGAAAAAAATTGCTTCTTACATTTTTCATTTATCTCTTTATTTTTCTTTCTCTTTCTCGCAAATATGATTTTATGCTAAATTTAAATTTTTCGCTTAGATTGTCTTCCGCTAAAGAAAACACATTAGCCTCTCTTGCTGAAGCTGGTAGTCACGTTAGTTATTTTGTACTGAAATACCACTATAATTAAAATATTAACACTGGAAAATATTAATTGAAAACAAAAAAAAGACAATCAATCAAAGTGGATATACTATATATCTCTCTTTTACTCTTATAGGGAGCAGATTTTGTTGAATTTGATGTTCAATTGAGCAAAGATAAAATACCAATAGTTTATCACGATTTTACCGTTTGTATCGACCTGAAAAAAGTTTGTTTGATTTAATATTTAAGAAAGAAATACTGTATTTATAATTAATAATAACAACAGGAGAAAGTATATAACAAAGACTGTATGGATGGTAATGAATTAGAAATATTTGAGGTTCCTATTTCGGATCTAACGTTGGAACAAATGGATACTTTACGAATTTATCACGCATCTAGTAAGAAAACGAAGTTTTACTCTTCTTCCATTGTTAATGGTTAGTTTTCGATTATTAATTTATTTATGATCATCAAATATAAAAGAGAGAATAAATAAACAATTCATATTTTGTATGAATTTTGAGTAGAGAGCGGGTTGGACAATCATCATCGACCATTTCCAACATTAAAAAGTTGCTTTGAGTCACTAGATGAGGATTTAGGCTTTAATATCGAGATAAAATATTGCATGAGAATTATTGTAAGAACAACGCTATAATTTTTTATTTCTCATTAAAAAGAAACGTTTTAAATAACAGACTGGAGAATTAGAGGAAAATCTTAGAGATCTTATGGATCGTAACGAATATGTTGATATTATACTAAAAGAAGTTTTAAGTTATGGAAAAAATCGTAGAATAATATTTGTACTTAAACTCTTCATGATTATCTCATACTTGTAATTAACCTAAGTTTTCTATTCTGTAGAGTTGCTTTGATCCCAACATATGTTGTATGCTGAAACTAAAGCAAAACAAGTATCCTGTTCTCTTTTTGTCTCAAGGCATTACTGAAAAGTATCCGGCTTACATGGATCCCCGATGCTGGACTACAAAAAACTCGTCGCTTTACTGTGAAGCAGAAAACTTCCTTGTAAGTCATATACTACTTTCTTTCACTTATATCTTATGTTTTGCTTTGTCCATTAAGGGTATAAATGCACACGCAGAAGAATTATTACGTAATCCAGATATTATTAAATTTGCAAAGGAATGTGGCTTGATAGTCTTTTGTTGGGGAGATGACAACAACGACAAGAAGAATATTGAATTTTTGAAAAAGAATGGTGTAGATGGTGTAATCTATGATGGAATTAACAAGATAAATTGCAAAATGGAGAATAAGTTTAAATTGGAGTGTAAGGGAAAATAATATTATTTAAAAAGACTAATAATACATATTTCAAATCTCAAGCTAATTAAAATTGCGAGATATTTCAGTAACAAATATAACAAACCCTCTATATAACTATATAGAAAACTGTGATATTATTTCCAGGAAAAATTGCTAATGATAAAGAGAGAAAAATGATATTGTTACATTCTTAATAAATGAACTTTTCAATTTTCTCTTTTTGTAATCAAATTCTTATGTATTTTGAGTTATTTAACAAGACATCAAAGATGAATTTATTGAGATATTTTTTAAATTGATGAAGTACGCATAAGAACTTTAAATAATAAATATACAAATCCTTTATTACCTAATACTAAAAAGTAGAAGTTCTGAGTAGAAAGTATGATACGGTTCTATCCGACTTTTCTGTTTCTTTTATTCTCATCTAAGAATTAATGTGAAGTGGAAAAGAAGGATAAATGGCTCAAGGAAATAAAAATATAAGATATGCAGCGTGAATACATACAGTATGAATACTTTTACATACTTCTGTTTCTATATAAAAATACAAATATATTAATATAAAATATATGAATACTTGTATATCTATTTTATACACATGGTAAGAAATTAATTGTATCAACTTAAATTAATTAGTTTGTCGTATTTTTTATTATTGTTCTCATAAAATGAACCGAAACTCAGTACACTAGATTTTAAATAATCTTTAACCATGATATTAATTAAATTTATGGAGTGCACTGAAGTAATTTTCCTTTTGTTATCTTTTCCTTTCTGCCTTTTTTTATATTATAAAGGGTTTACTTTGATTATTTAGTAGCTTGAAAGTACATATACACTGTAAGAGAATTGATCGTTTACTGTATTCCTTTCCACATACACACATATATATATATATATATATATATTCAGTAATGGGCCTAAAGCCTTTGTTTGAAACTATATATTAATAGTTTATACAAACATGTTTGTATTGAAAAACCATAAGAATTACAAGTTCTTAAATTGGGAAGTAGTTTCTAACTACTGTAACAGATACTGTATATACTGTATTGCTTTACAGGATTTGCACAATGCCAAAATATACTAATTTATATATATATATAAACAGTGTATGTATTTCTATAAGTATCAGTTTAGTTTATTGTTTAGTATCTATCAAGTCGAGAGATATAAGTTTATTTATTATTTGTCTCTAAAAATAGCATTCGTTCATCAAGAGAGCTTCTGCTTTCTTTTATTATTATTCTTATTCTTCTTTTCCTTTAGTTTTTAGTCTTTTGTTCTTTCTAAAACTTCTTTCTTTCCTCATTATATAGCCATTGAAGGCTTTAATAACACAAATCTCCGGCAACAGAATTGTATAAACATATTTATTTCCCGCCCTTAATTTAAGATCCTACTATCTCACAGTCAGGTATTGCAGTTTACTAATTAAGCTCGTTAACATAAAAATACCTAATTGCTAGATATTGTGAGGAAACTTTCTTTAATTACTAGCCATAACTTTATTAAACGTAACATATTATATATGAAGACAAGGCTAGTTTATTATAATACAAATATCGGTTTACTTTTTAGCAAATACAACAGAATTGAACAGTATTGGCGTTTTTCAATAGACTCTTCGTAAGCCTATGAACATGGAGAATAGGTATTTAGAATTAAAAAAAAAATCATAAATTTCCCTTAATCAACCTTGACTGACTTCCGAGAATATTACAACAAGACTGTACTTTATAGGCGTCTAATACGATGAGGCCTATTATTCACGTTCACATCCCTCGCTAATTATTAAACTAGTGGTTTATATCTACCTACATAGAAGAGAGTGGAATAGGAAAAATTCCCATGTTTATAACATAAGGAATACAAACTACATAGTCTCCATTTGAGAATTTGAGAAGTAATGCAGAAATTAATGTTGGACTTTTTCAATGCTTTTATCATTTTCCATTCTGAGAAAAAAATCATGAACAATGAAAAGTAGACAACGAATTCGTTATTTAACAAGAAACATACTGTATATAGAAAAAGTTAAAATCATTCTCTACATGTACTTTCTCAAAATCTTTAAGAAATTAGAACACCTGCAAGATAGTTTGAAGGGTTGTATTAGAATAATGATAATCATTAAACCATAGAAGCTTTCTTAAAGTAAACAGCCCATTTTTAATGGATTTCTAGGTTCTTTATAAATAACGTTTAAAATGATGAAATATCTAATAATTATGTAGTTTCTTTTATATTATTGAAAATAACTCATATATTCTTTGAAGATATCTTTACATTTTTCAATTTACAGTATCTCTTGATGTTCCTCAGTCAAGTTGGAATCGGAGGAGTGGCGCTCGTCTTGATTGTCCACACGAACAACGCAAACGTCTTGATCCGTAACTGATTCTTTATGGACAACACTATCAGATACATTCCTAACTTTTACCTTCCTTTTAACTTTCGGCTCAATTTTCACATCAATTGCCACCATGTTCTTCTCTCTCAGCTTATGCTTTATCTCAATAGCTTCACTAACAAATGGCATAACAATTATGAAAATAGCTGCTAAAACACCCCAAATTTCACATGAAACTATCCAACCTCTAAATTGCGAAAAATCAAGAATTCCGGCTGAGGCCATTGATCCAGGCCAGATTATAATGAAGATTAGAGTAAGACATATTGCACCAATCATCGCTATTATTTTCGCTTGTTTAAAGGTGCTTGTAACAACCTGCAACGAAGGACGCTTATCAAGTTCGTGAACGCCTCTTATATCTAATTCTCTTGCATATAATTCAACCCAAGGAGATAAGGGATTATCAATATCTCTTGTATTTTCCCAAATTTCCTGATCATTTCCATTTGTATAATAACGATTGGTGATCAAACTGACTATTATGGTTACAATACAACTGACTGCTATCGATGTTATATTTCCACAAAGCATCGGCAATTCTTCGGCTGTCGAATTGAAAAAATCGGAAAGTCCATTGTCCGTTATTGAAGAAACTGAGAGCCACACAATTAATGCTGAGAGCGTACCACTTAAAGCTCCAGTTACCATACCTATACCTGTTAAACGAGGCCAAAACATACACAAAGTTATAGGTAGCACAGCGGATCCTATTAAGATACCCATAAACAAGTACAACCAGCCTAAAGAAATGCTGGTGGCCTTAAGTATCAGAGTTAGAGGTAGGATAGCTAGTGAAACCCATAACATACTCCAATCCTTCAAATACTCGAGATAATCATTATACTTTCGGAAAGAACCATGAGTTGTGCACTGATACTCGGCCTTAAGCGCCCTTTTTTTATTTTCATTTCTTCTTTCATCGTCAGCTTTACAATGAGCGCAAAATGTCATACTTATACAAATGCATTTATCTTTCTTTGTTGCTGCTCTTCCTCTTGCTCTCCCGCATAGAATACATGAGTTAGCGTCATGTACTAACCTGTACGGCTTCCAATAAAGGCAGTAAACATCATAAATAAGAATAGAAGAAACTGCAACAACCTCTGCTGAACCCGTTGACGTAACAGCCATCAAAACTAAAATAAGAATTAATAACTCTCCACGAGCTCCTAATAATCTTTGTGCAACAACTGCTGGTACTAAACCGTCATTGACTTCACTTTCAGTGAGTAATGGCCTGCCATTTTCAACTGACATAGAGATATATGCTAATCCCATTGTTGTAGCGAACGTAAAAGGTACAGCAAACCAAACTAAACCACCCGAAAGAAATCCCCAAACACCATTTTTTGGTTTTGCTGCAACAGAGCTTTGCCAATACGACTGATCAACAAAGACTGTCCCAAAATTTCCCACTATATTTATAATGCCAAACATTAAGCCAGGTCGACTAACTAGGGTAAGAAAACTAGAATCTTTGTTGCCTTCTGGAGCTTTACTACAAACTATTCTATCATACACTTTTTTCATTGATCCAACAGCGGCTGCATTGGATGTATGATAAACGTGAACGAGGAAAGCTATTGTAATGATAAAAATGGTTGCAGTATTGAAATATGATACATAAAATGTTGCTCCAAGGCCTCCAATATGTGTAAACGTCCAGATAACTGCAACAACCAGCATTGTTGCTAACTCAATGCTTAATCCATCTACTAAGTTAGTCATTATAGCTGCGCCTCCTGTTCACGTTGTAAATAAGAAAATAAGAAAAAGCAGCAATATTCATAATACGATAAAAGGGTAGATGGATACTAAATTATAAAATTACCTAACATCAACATAGCTGTCACAATGATATTGGTAAGAAGAGCAAAGACGCAAAATACAAGATGGGTTTTAGAGCCAAATCGAGCTCTAATTACTTGGAGGAAAGTCTTAGCTCCAGGAGCCCTTACTTTGAGTTGAACCGATATCATTGCAAATAATAAAAATTGAATGCACGCCCCAGACGCATACCAAAATGGTCCACTTATTCCATACTATTATTATTAAAAAAATATGTAATTTATATTACAGTCTTAGCATATTGAAAAAACTCTAAGCCTACTTTTGCTGCCACTGCAGAAGATTGTAATAAAGTTGCTGCCCACGTCCATTGTGACACTAAGGTTGTCGCCTATATATTTTAATAATGGATGGGATAAAGACACAGTAATCATTATATAAAGAAACAAACATTTCATATTTACTCACCGTTAATCCAGTAGAAACTTTTCCTCCAGCATCAAATGATGAATCTATATTCTTTTGCTCCTTGTATATCGACTTTCTTATATAGTTGAAGAATTTAGCCACAATTGCGAAGAATACACCCAGTAAGAAGATTAAAGGTACCAACTGAGATATCGATAACGATTTTGCAAGCCCTGGTTCTGTGGACGATGAATTAAAAATTGTAAAGAAACGAAGACAGCTGCTCTTATTCTTTAGCATATCTTCTTCTGCGTAGACCGTACGGTCTATCGGTTTTGTTCTGTACCGTAGCGCCACTAAGCGCGTCTCTTGTACAACTCGTCTAATATAGTCTACTGAAATAATAGCGGGCGTGACCGTTTTAGCGTAAAAGTCAAACGATTGCTGGGCCGTTTGATGACTTTTTTTACAAAGAAATGCCTGAGGTTTGACTGTAGCTGCTTTCTCTTATTGTCTTTACCTGTTTCATGATATTTTCACTAAAGCAATTACAGGTAAATTATTCTACAATTAAGAAAAAAGAAACAAATATCCTCGTAGACAATGATGTGAAATTCTTACGAAAGAGTTAAAACCTAATAATACATTACTATCAGATACATATATATAAAAAAATCATATTGTTTATAAGACATCGATAGTCATTGTATAATTTGATAGTTGCCTTTTTTTTTCCAGCCACTAATAAGAATTGCTAGAACTTGTGTAAAAGCATATTTTTTAATGTAATATATACTATAGTAGCTTAGAAATATGCCGTATGAAACAAAGTATTTTCCCTATCATTTGTTATTTTCCTACTTATGTGAAAATCGTGACAATAGGAAATTTTTTTTACACCGCAGAGAGGTTGTAAACTATAAAATTACCTTTTAACTAACTTCTCTTTCTTTTTTTATCACTTAGGAAACATAAGCTTTTGAATTATAGTTTTTTTTTTCCAAAGTTACTTTTGCTCTTAGAAATATTAAGTTAAGCTTTTGTAATACTATGAAAACAAATTTATAATTATTATATAAAATAATTTTATGTCAAGATTAGTTGAATAATGTAGAATGAACGATAAAAAGTTCACAAAGTAATTATACAACTTAAGAAAGAACGGTAGAAATTAAATTGAAAGGAAGAGACTAACTATTCCGAAATGATATATTAATGATATTAAGACGTAAATTTTCCTAAATTTTGAAACAATACTTGAGCTGCCTAAACTTTTAGAACATTAACATAGTTTAAATGTAGTATTTCCTATATTTCAAACATTTTGCAGGTAGAAAAAGAGACATGGATAATTCTTTTATCTAATTACAAAAATTATGGACACCCGGTGTAAAATACGAATCGATTTCCTTCACCCACGTGACCACGTGCTTATACTTTATCGCTCTCTTACGAATTTTTCGATGTAAATACAATGGATGACGATCTTATACCATCAGCGAAAATAAATGCTGTAACATTTTCATTTTATTCCTCAGCCGATATTGAAAGTATATCGGTAAAACGTATAACACAGCAATCATCTTTCGATGGATTAGGTTTACCAGTCGCAAATGGGTTACATGATCCGTTATTAGGTTAATTAGTTATTTCTTCTTTTACTATTATAGTTAAAAGTGTATCAAATTTCAGGACCAACGGATGACAGAGATGTGTGCGGTACTTGTAACCTTAATTTTATCAAATGTCCCGGCCACTTTGGGTATATAAAATTGACTATGCCAGTTTATAATCCTTTCCTGTTTAAAATCCTTGTTAAGGTAAGCAAGTACTCCTTATTATTTTTAAATAAAATATCAATTATTGATTATTCTTCTAATTAGATATTAAATGGAATGTGTTTCGAATGTCATAAATTACGCATCCCACAAAACTTATGTACTTTCTTAAAACAAGAAATGAAACTTCTAGAACAGGGAAACGTTGGAAAAGTTTCCGTATTAGAAGTTATACAACAAAATTTTGCACCTGAATTGTGGGAAGACCTTATACACAAGTATATTTCCGATGATAATTCAGGTGTGTAAGATTAAAAACGTCTCTTCCCCCCTCCCTTTCATAATTGTATTAATAATTCCTTTATTAGAAAAAAGAACTAACAACGACGCAAAATCAAAAAATATATCATCGATTCAAGTTCTTGTACGAAAACGATTCTTAAGAGGAGACTTTTTTGCTAAATCTTGTCCATACTGCAAGAAACAAAATAGAAAATTGGCAACTGAAAACAACGCTAAAATATTTTTCACGGATAATATAAGAAAATCTAAAACGTAAATAATTATATATAATGTACTTTTGAAAAGGTCATTTATTTTCACGTTTACAATTATAGGAAAGAAAAGGATACTGGGATTGCTTCAGCACACGAAAGCTATTTAACACCAATGAGTGTTGAGGAGCATTTAAATCTATTATGGCAACATGACAAAGAACTATTAGAACTAATGCTTAGTGGAATTGGAACGAGTACTACAGAGGTTTTCGTTCTTGGATCTATTCCGGTACCACCGCCAAAATTTAGACCAGTTAGTTGTTTAGTTAAAAGTTTCCTTTTCAAAGTATACAGTATACTTAATATATATTGTATATTTGTAGACGAATCCTGTTGGCGGTCAATTATTTGAACATGAACAAAGCGTTATTTTCTCAAAAGTTATACAGGCATCGGACAATATTAAAAAGCTATTAACTATTTCTCAATCGGAAGAGGATGGCGTAACGGAAAAGGTTTTGTATTATCTTTAACAGTAAAATTCAAATTAATAATTACACTTAATGAAATTTGTATAGTTTGACTTAAACATGTATCCTGGAAATAGTATGATAGATAAAATAAACTATGCGTGGTTAAACTTACAAAGGTCAGTCAACGCGATAGTTGATTCAGATTTGGATAAATTATCAATGGAAAAAAATCGAGGAGTTAAACAGGTCATTTATATTTAAGAATTCAATACTTTATCATATAATAAGTCTTAATATTATCAGATATTGGAAAAAAAAGAGGGTATGCTAAGAATGAATATGATGGGCAAAAGAGTTAATTATGCAGCTCGCTCCGTTATATCACCCGATCCTTTTATAAGTGCGAATGAAATAGGGATACCTTACGTTTTTGCTACCAAATTGACGTATCCGCAGTATGTTACGTCAAACAACTTTAGGGCGTTGAAAGAAGCCGTAATAAATGGACCGAATATATATCCAGGGTAATTCTTAGATATTGTTAACTATAGCTCTCTGATAAATAGTTTCAATTTTAATTTTAGTGCTACTCATGTAATTGATGAGCAAGGGGCAAAAATTGTTTTATCACGTTCTAATAAAAACCAAAGAGAAGCAATTGCCAAACAATTATTGAAACCCTTGACATCCGTTGAAGGAAAATATGGCAAAGTTGCTCATAAAGTTGTATATAGGCATTTGAAAAATGGCGATGTACTTTTACTTAATCGTCAACCAAGTTTACATAGGCCAAGTATTCAAGCTCATAGAGCGCGAGTATTGGCAAATGAAAAAACTCTCCGACTTCATTATTCAAATTGCAAAGCTTATAATGCTGATTTTGATGGAGATGAAATGAATGCCCATTTCCCGCAAAATGAAATAGCTAGATCCGAAGCTTATAATTTAGTAGCAACAAATCATCATTATACTGTGCCTAAGGATGGTTCACCGCTCGGTGGTTTAATTCAAGATCATATGATATCCGGCGTTAAATTAAGCGTTAGAGGTCGATTTTTTGACAAACAACACTACTATCAATTGATTACTAGTGCCTTATCTGATAATCACAAGAAATTAAAGATATTGCCCCCAACAATATTGAAGCCTAAGCCCTTATGGACTGGAAAACAAGTGAGGAATACACTTTTTCAGCTCTTTTGTTTAGTAAATCGATGAAAAAATAATTACTTGACCACTTTTTTAGGTTATTACAACCATCATTCTTAATACTATCCCCTCAAATAAAACTCCAATCAATTTATATGGTTCTGCTAAAGTTTCACCGTGAGCTATCTATTCTATTGCATTCAAAGGCTTAAAATTTATTCCTTTATGATAATTGCAGACGGGAATGGTCAATTAGTGAAAATGAAAAATATCAAATAGACGCAGAAAAACATATGGATGAGAGTACAGTTGTGTTTCGTGAAGCAGAATTACTTGTTGGAGTATTAGATAAAGCTCATTACGGGCCGACCAAATACGGTCTTGTTCATTGTATTTATGAGGTTAGTTGTGTCCCTTTCATTTCTTTGGTTAAAAAAATTATTTCCAGGTATATGGAGGACAAGTTGCTAATGACCTGCTAACTCGCTTCGCTAGACTATTTACATATTTCTTACAATATGCTGGGTTTACTTTGGGTATTTCAGATATTACCTGTACACCATACGTATGATATATTTATATTATAGCGTAATAAACGTAGCTAATTAGTTTTCATTACTGTTTGACAAATATTAGGCGGATATGAAAAGAAAGAAAATTCTATCCAGAGCTTCGAAGATTGATATAGCAGCAGCAGCTCGGGGTTTAGATTGTCAGAGCAAAGACGTTGATAAACTTACTGAAGAATACGAAAAGGCGCATTATGGTGATGGTGGGGGACTAAAAGATCTTGATTTGTGCATGAAACAGTGTACTGATAACATAAACAGCTCAGTTACTAAGTAAATTACTTTAATTTTAAGAGATGGGTTTTCATTGAAAATTTATTGTATTACTCTTACTTTACCAGAATGCTAATGCCACACGGCTTATATAAGAAATTTCCTGAAAATAATTTGCAATTGATGGTTGAATCTGGAGCAAAGGGATCTAAAGTAAATCATATATTTATTACTCAATCAGTCTAAACTGTCTTAAATTTCTGTTATAGGTAAATTGCATGCAAATTTCTTGTTTACTTGGTCAAATTGAATTGGAAGGCCGTCGACCTCCACTTATGCTTAGCGGCAGATCGCTTCCTAGCTTTAAAAAATATGATTTTTCCCCCTACGCGGGCGGTTTTGTTGGAGGTCGATTCTTAACAGGAATTAAGCCACAGGAATATTTCTTTCATTGTATGGCTGGAAGAGAAGTAATTACGAAGAAAAATCGTTAAAATAGTAAAAATTAACTTAATACTTATTATTCACACAGGGCTTGATAGATACTGCTGTAAAAACTAGTAGAAGTGGATATTTACAAAGATGTCTGATTAAACATCTAGAAGGGATTTGTATTAACTACGATTTGACTGTGCGCGATCACGACAAGAGCGTTATTCAATTCTACTACGGAGAAGATGCTTTAGATATAACAAAAGCTCAATTTTTACATGATAGCCAGTTTAAATTTTATAAAGATAATATGTCTTCAATAGTCAGTAAAAAGACCTTAAAAGAAATTGAATCAGCTATTGATATAAATAAAGCCAATAAATCATGGAAAAAGGTTAATAATTATTATATAAATAAGTTCTATTATTCATGTTTTACGTATTTTAACACAGGTGGAAAAGATTAAGAAACGAAAACGTAACTATACGGAAAAAAGAGTTTCACCCTTTTTAGAATACTCTAAAACACATTCTAAAAATATAACCCTTACTAATTTTGATTCTATTGATGATTTTGTTGGTGCCAAACAGAAATTTTATCAATCATGGTTCCAAGTTAAAGATGAAATCGATTATTCTGAGTAAGAATGAGTTTTTCAAAATTTTGATTATTAATAATATTTAATGACTAATTATCTCTTTGTTCGTTCTATGCTTTAGACATGAATATAAATTTAGAAAAATACCCGATCCAGTTTTGACCAGATATAAACCAGATCGATATTTAGGAAGTGTCTCTGAAAATTTTTACGCCAAAGTCAAAGACTACGTTAAAAAGGAGGAAGAGTTAGCGGGAGTTTTTGATCAACTTATGTATTTGAAAGCGATGAGAGCTTTAGCTCAGCCAGGTGATGCCGTAGGACTCTTGTCTGCTCAGTCTATTGGAGAACCTTCAACTCAGATGACATTGAATACCTTTCACTTTGCCGGTCGTGGTGAAATGAACGTAACACTTGGTATTCCAAGATTGAGAGAAATCCTTATGGTTGCTAGTGCTAATATTAAAACTCCAACAATGTCTGTACCATTACTTAATACTGACTATGCTAAGAATCAGGCGGAAAACTTGAAATTGAAACTAACAAAAGTGATCTTGAATCAAGTAATGCGTGACATTAAAATTTCGGAAAAGATTATCACAGCAGGAAATCATCAAAATAATTGCCGTTTAATTACTATACGCTTCCGCTTCCTTCCTCAAGAAATTTACGAAAAAAGTTGCTATATTAAAAGAAAGCATATTAGAAAATTTATGGAAAAGTTTCTTAATAGGTTTGCTGATACCTTACAAAAAGCTGCTGAGCAGCTCGATAGCAATAAGCTACTTAAAACTGATAAATTCAAAGAACCTAAAGAAGTAGATGAAACTGAAGAAAATCAGGGAAACAATGAAGAAGGAGATGATGATGACGATGATGAAAAAGTTAAAAAATTGCGTTTAGAAGATGCCAACGCATTCGACAACGAAGCAAGCGATAGCGCCTCCTCTGAAGATGAAGGAGAGATAAAAGAGAAACTTGACGATGATGATGAAGGATATTCAACAGCCGATACTAAGGCTATAAAGCGTGAAGAAATTATTAGCTATACATATGAACGCTCCGAATTCAAATGGTGCGAAGTAGTATATAAGGTAAATAATAATCTTATATACTGCAAAATGTAATTATAAAATTCAATTCGATTTTTTTTATCTAGCATCCATTAAGAAGACGAAAGGTTGACGTCCGATCCATACTAGAGGAGGAAGTAAAACGAACAGTTATTCATAAAGTGGAGGGGATTCAAAGAGCTCTTTTATCTCAACCTAAACGAAACGAAGACTCACAAGTACTGACAACAGAAGGTGTTAATGTACGTAACATGTACAATTACGATAGAATATTGGATTTAAATAACTTGTTAACAAACGACATTCATGCTGTTGCAAATATTTATGGAATAGAGGCGGCTAACAAAGTCATTATTACTGAGATACAAAGTGTTTTTGCAGTTTATGGTATTACAGTAAATTACAGGCATCTCTCTTTAATAGCCGATTATATGACTTTTGAGGGAAGTTATAAACCATTCAATAGAATGGCTTTAGAAACATCACCGTCACCATTGCAGCGAATGAGTTTTGAATCTACAATGGAATCTTTAAGGAATGCCGTTATTTACGGTGAAAAAGATTCAATGATTTCGCCTTCATCCAAAATCATAGCGGGAAAATTGATTGAAGTTGGGAGTGGAATATTTGAAGCAATTCCGAAAACCAGAAAAAAGTAAAAATGTTTAACTGTTAATGCTGCTGTTACTACTGTAATTGATTTAAGTTCTTTCGTTAAATATATTTATATCAAAATTACCAACATTAACTAGTCAATCAAAAATCAAAAATAAACGCTTGCAAGGTGGAATCGAACCACTCCGACGCCAGTCGGCTACAGGTTTGAAGCCTGCACTCCGGACCACCGAAGCTCATGCAAGCAATTAATAAAGAATTTACAAATGGCTTATATAGCGATGATAAAAAATATAGCAAATAGTATTTTATATCTCATTTGCATATTGAGTTCGGCAGTATAAAAATCGTTTAGCTTTTTTTATATACCGAGTTCAATAACCTCTAAAGTTATGCAAACATTTTCTCACAATCCATAAAACAAATTTTCTCAAGATCCTACAATCATTTAGAGCATTATTCATTAGTTCGTGCAAACTTTCAATCGATTTTAGAATGCAAACGAGCGCAGGTGCGTTATATTTTTTCTTTTCAGAGCTCCCCAATCCGACGCCAGATGCACACAAAGTCCGCAGTTTGTCACAGTTTTAAAACTCCTTTTTTTACGAAAGATACATTGAACGGAAGATGTTTATTGTGATAAATCTCATTCTATGCTGTTTAGGCGTCACTTTTGTAAAATGCGAAACAGCTCCCAGAACTATACTCGTAAGTAAAAAATTGACTTTTTTAATTGATAATCGTATAAAAAAAACCAAGTACTTTGCAAAAGAGTCATAATTTAAAAAATATAATGAATTCTATGTATAGAAATATGAATATATATATATATATATATATATATATATTCATCACTAATTAATTAGTAATTGTTTATCATAACAGAGTAATCCTTGCCAAACTGTCGTAAATTCGAAGATTAAATATTTTGCTTGTATAAGCGAACCATCACATCTACTACGGGAAGCAAATGCTAACTTTAATGTAACAATCGATCCAGATATTACTTGTGGTACACCACCAGCGGATTATTGTATTAATCAGGTAAGATTCTCATTAATTGCCTTATTGTATGAGTTAAATTAACACTTTTATATTTATTTCTTCTTTTCTTTTTTTTTTTTTATTACATTTTCTCTATTTACGTAAAAGTATATATATCTATATATTGGTATATACATATATAAAAACGCACGCGTGTCTATTGGTTGATTGGAACAGCTGCAAAAAGAAAAAATTGCTGTCTAAACCGAAATCGATAAATAGAATAAAGCTTGAATAATAACCGAAATCGATGATGAATTTTTTTTTTCTTTCCTTTTTTTTGTTTTTTTAAAAAAAAAATAAAACTTACGCAAATATTTATTGTTTTTTATTAGGCGTCTACTTTTTGCGATAAATGTGACGCTTCGAAAAATGATAAAAAACATCCCTTGGAGTATTTGTACGATACGATACCAAATATTGGATCTGGAAATGAAAAGACATGGTGGCAGTCTAAAACTTGGATAGACTATCCAACTCCTTTGGCAACTAATATTACAATTTCTATGGATCATGCTTACGAATTGCAAACAGATTTTTATTTTCAATTTACTACGTCTAGACCTAGGATAGCGGTACTTGAAAAATCTGATGACTTTGGAAAAACGTGGGAACCTTTACAAATCTATAACCAAAAATGTCCTAAAGACTCCGTTACCCAAATACCTAATGATAAACCGGATACGGTTGTCTGTACTCAGAAATATTCTCATAGATTACCATTTTCGAATGGTAGACTTTATTTCGAAGTAGTCGCCGACCGCTTCCAACCGTTTCTAGGTACATCTTTAACAAATTACGAGAAACTATACGAAACTTTCGATAAAACTAAATTGAATAGCTTCTTAACGTTCACCGATCTAAGGTTAAGATTAGAAGCACCAAATACCGATGGCTATGAATTTAGGCAAGACAAGAAAGATTTACTAAGATACTTCTACGGGATAAATGACGTTCAATTAATTGCCGGTTGCCAATGTAATCTACATGCGAAATATTGTAGGAAAGATAATGGGAAAATGGCGTGCGTATGCTCCCATAATACTGACGGTATAAGTTGCGAGAAATGCTTACCTTTATACAACAATCGACCCTGGAAAGCCGGTAATTACTTACCATATCCCGATGGAACTGCTAACGAATGTGAAAGTAAACATCTAATTCTTTATTTACTATTTAATACTAGTTTATTTTATTATATCCTAAAACAGAATGTGAATGCAACGATCACGCTTCTTCTTGTCATTATGATAAGGCTCTAAACAGAGGGGTCTGCGATAATTGTACCCATAATACTATAGGTAATAATTGCGAGAGTTGTACGGCTGGCTACTATCGTAATATATCCGCTAATCTAAACGATCCTGGAGTATGCTTGGACTGCGATTGTGAATTAAGTGGAGTCGTCAATAACGATACCAAATGTAGTCATCTTTCCGTCTTACCTGGACAGTGTCCTTGTAAGGTACAAGTCACGGGAAGACGTTGTGATAGATGTAAGGACCAGTACTATGGTCTACTACTTCCAGAATCAAAAGGTGTTTGTAAGGAATGCGCCTGTAGAACACTTGGAACTGTTGGCTCTAGTAATGTATGCAATTACGAGAATGGACAATGTCCTTGTAAGGCAAATATTGGTGGTCGGAGTTGTTCAATCTGTAAAGAAGGCTACTATTCCTATCCACAGTTGACAACGGATGATTGCAGAGATTGCGCCTGCGATAGGGGGGGATCAGCCTCTTTAGTATGCAATAAAGTTTCGGGTGTATGCACCTGTAGACTAGGTTTATCGGGAAGAAACTGTTCAACAATTGGTAAAAATCAATTCGTGCCTTATATCGATGGGTTGTACTCTCAGCCTATTGAGAAAAGTAGTACTTGTGTACTTACATCAAAAATTAAATCATCTGAAGTTAAATATACCGGAAGACAATTTGCTGTCTGCAAAACTGGACAAACGGCTGTATTTGACAATGTAAACGGTATAGAACGTCAAACGATGATTCTTTGGGAATACAATCTAGGACTTCGATATTCAACAAACGTTACAAATTCTTGGGCAGAAGTTACCCTTGAATTAAGCGTCCTAAGCGTCGATGCAGCAATATCATTAGATTATTATAAAAATCGTACAAACGAAACCATTACACCTGCTTGTTCACAGCCAGCTGGTCTGCTAAAATCCTTTTCTTTGACAAACCTTACAAGTGGACAAGCTCAATCCTGGTTAAGCAGCGATACTGTCACTATAGACGCTAGATGTCAGTATTCAGCTCAAGTAAAAGTTGGTCAATCTAAAGATGATGCCGCTTCAGAAATTTTAATAGATGCGATATTATATATGCCTTCATTGATAAATAGTACTGTTTATATTGCAAGTAAGTAGGCACGGAATTTCCGTTTAGTTGTATCAGTCATTGATAAGTATGTCTATGTTTGTCTTTTATCTATAAGATATAACGTCGAAAGAAAAATTAAAAGATTGTACAAAGAGAATAAGTGCCTTAAGTACCAGGGATGCGGCTTTGCAAGATCCAGATTGTAAGACGATGGAAAGAGGAATAATGGCGGAAATGGTTAATGGAGCCCTTCCCTGTGCATGCAATGAAACTGGAACAACCGGAGGCCATCAGTGTTCTCCCCAAGGTGGCCAATGTCCTTGTAAGCCTGGAGTTATGGGTAGAATGTGCGAAGTATGTCGTCCAGGCTTTTTTAATTTCACATCGAGCGGATGCCAACGTAAGTAGTAAAATAAGTTCATTTCTTTGTAAATGATGTATTAGATCCCCCTGGAAAGATTCGGAACGTTAATTTCGTCACAGTAGGTTCATATCCTGGGGAAAAAGATGAGTCGTCTGGAGGTGGTTTACAAACAGGGGTACTTATAGCCATAATCATTGGATTAGCGATTGTTCTCATCATTCTCATTATCCTGCTATGGAAAAAGTGCAGAGAACAATGTAGGGGCAATCAACCATACGAAAGACAAGAATTAATGGCCTCAGATTTGGGTTTAAAGGATCCTAAAAGTCCACTCTATAGTAAAGACGTTTATTTGGGAGCATTCAACTTTAACGAATCTGAGATCAAGCGAGTTCATAAAGATAATTCTCCTGAGCAGGCTATAAGCAATGACACAATATCATTCGTATCTGAACCATCTTTAAAACTGAATCTAATGCCAGCTCCCATTCAACGACCTAAAAACTCTGAAGAGAGAGAAGAGCCTCCCCCTCCACCTACCGAAAGGCCTTCTTCTCTACCTTCAGAATCAAACTCCTTTGATTTCAGAGACTACTTAAGTCTTAGCGACCGAATGTCGATAGACATGACACAAGCTAAAGAACTATATACAAGGGACGCTTCATCGCAAGCAACACCTTCTGTTGAAGCAAAGAAGCTTCAAGTTGAACCGAGCGCCATTGAGACAAAGTCAATAGCAAGCCAAGCTTCGGAGATTATTGAATTAACGCCAACACCACCTCGAGTAGATGATCTCAAGACAACCGCATCTCAAATTGAAGTGGACACAGCATCGACAGCGAGTCAAGCTATAGTCGAACAAGACGCTCGAGCCATCCAAGTTGGAGTCGATCAAGACGTGCAAGCTATTCAAACTGATCGCCGAACTCTACCAACAAAAATCTTAACGAGCAAACCAACTCAAGTAACACCGAAAGTGAAATCAACGGCTGCACAGGTAAACAGAAGAAAGTTACCAACACCAACTGGTCCAAATAAATCCGTTCTTGAGAAAAGAGTACAACTGTTAGAAGAGGCTCTGGTCGATTCTCCAGCATCATCACGATTACCGTTAACCCAGTATGGACCATTCGACGAAATTAACGGTTCCGCCGTTTAAATTGAGGAACATCCCTGTTTTATTCCCAATCCCAAAACAATATTTTTTCACTTGTTCAAACAGCATGCGAATGTGATTCGTTCGGTTCTAAAACCGGTGTCTGCGATTATACGACTGGACAGTGTCCCTGTAGAACAAATGTTGCCAAATTTGGCGAAAATTCCACATCGTCTGACACAACTGAAAGACGTTGCAAAGCCTGCCTACCCCTTCATTGGGGTTTTTCAACTGGAAAAGGTTGCTCATCGTGCAATTGTAATAAGGATGGAAGTACAGGATCACAATGCGCCGATAGTGGTCAATGTCCTTGTAAACCAACAATAACATCAAGAATGTGTGATAAATGCGAAGAAGGGTTCTTTAAGTTTTCGGCAGATGGTTGCTCGTAAGTAAATCAAATAAAAGAATTGATATGTCTAGGATAATAATAAAAAACAGCAATTTTAAGATAACTCTTAAAATTAAACAGAGCTTGCAACTGTAGCACAAGCGGTTCAACTGGAAAAATTTGTGATAATGCAGGAAAATGCACGTGTAAATTAAATACGGAAGGAGATAAATGTATGAAATGCAAATCGGATTCTTTCAATCTAAGAGCAGACAATCCTGAAGGATGTCAAAAATGCTTCTGTTTTGGTCACGGGACAGCTTGTAAAAGTGCTTCCGGTTTCCAAAAGCAAACGCTAACAGCGTCAAGTTCAGAAATAGATAATTGGCCGTGGGCGGAGATCAATGGCAGAAGAGATTTTAAAAGAGCCTCGTGGACGGGGGATTTTCTACCGGCTTATGGAAATAAATTGGCCTTTGAAGTGCAATCTTCTAATCCTATAAAATATGAAGGAGCTGTGATCTATATGACTGGTGACATAAAGGGGGAGGATGTTACAACTTTTTACAAATTAGAAGCTCAAACTATAACTCCTACATTCAAACAGATTTCTGTTGTTTTACATCATTCCCAATGGTACTTGAATGACACTACTGTAATCGATTCTTTCTCATTCTCAGGAGTTTTAGCAATGTTGAAATCTCTCTACGTTAAAACTAGAATCGGATCACAACTGATTAGCTTCCGGAATATTCGATTGGATTCAGCGGTTGAGGGAACATCTGGCGAAGTATCAACATCCGTAGAGGAATGTCAATGTACAGCGACTAAGAAGGTTGGCGGAAAATCGTGTGCAAGCTGTTCTAAAGGTTAATCCCTTTTCCATACATTAATTAACATATAAATTACAAACTAATGTAAAATTAATTGTCATATTCCCATGCTAAAACAGGAAATTGGAGGGGAAAAGCCACTTCTAATAGTCCTTATAATGCTTGTGTTAATTGTGACTGTAAGTTCCCTGCTACTTCACCACCCTCTTGTAATGAAACTACAGGAATTTGCCTTGATTGTAAAAATGGTACAAAGGGTGATAAATGCGATACATGTAGTGCTAATGTAGATGGGAAGGACTCATCCTGCCAAACATGTCTTTCTGGATTCTGGGGACCATTTCGGGAAGGATGCCTCCGTGAGTTGAAAGAATTTATTTGAAAATAAGAGTTAATCGCTATAGCTTTTCTTTATACATTATAGCTTGCAAATGTAACAAAGATGGAACTGTACAAGCTGATTGCGCAGGAAATACCTGCAAATGTGATCAAAAAACTGGAAAGTGCCAGTGCAGGATCAACGTTGTTGGAGACAAGTGCGACGAATGCAAAGATAATTTTTATGACTTAGCAAATACTTGCAAGGGTACGTGCATTATCTTATAATTATCAAATAGGAGATAAGCTTGTAATCAATTCCTTCATCCCTTTCAGTATGCGATTCGTGTTACGGTAGAGTTGACGTAGAGGTTGTTAAAGTTAGGGAACTAAATCAGAACCTTAGTGACTACGTAGAAATACTTCAAACAAATGATAATAATACAGTTCTTGGACCATTTGCTTATAGACTATCGAATACTGTTGAATCAATGGCAAAATTAATATCCTTCTTATCTACCGCAACAACACTTGAAAACAGAGTATCTAGCGATATTAGCCGCCTGAATAGTACGATGCAATTGTTTAGGGTAAAGATAGATGAAGAAATACCGAAGATTCTCGCTACTGCAAACAAATCCGTTATTAAAGCGGAAGAGTGTCTGACGGAGGGAAAAACAACTTTGGATGAAACTCTACAGCTTACGAATTTAACTGTCCGAATGCTAGATGAATCAGTATGGGATCAATTGTATACATTAAGGAATCTAGCCGATTCTCTGACAGCTGCTGAAAAACAGCTGCAAGATTTATCTTCATCGGCAACCGGTGATTTAACATCGACAACAAGTATAGTTCAAAAGATAAGAAATGATGCAAATAAAGCTAAAAAAGACGCGGACGAAGCTCTAAAAGTGGCAAAAGATATTGTAAAACGTCATGAAGAGTTAAAAAGCGAATTGGTTAAATTGGAAGAGAAATCTAACACAGCTATACACGAGTCAAATGCAAATCTGGAAAATACTAAGAAACTGAAGAATGATGCGACTGATACAGAGAGACGGGCAATGGAAGCTAAGAATGAAGCGGAGAAAATTGCGGATATAGGAACAAACGTAAAAGCTTTACAAGATAGAGCAACCGCTTTGAATACAAGATCCGGTGATGTTAAAGCTCAATCTGATACAGAAAAAGGTAAAGCTGCCTCCATAGTTGCTAGAGTTGCAGAGGCGAATAAAGAAGCCTCGAAACTGAAAAACGATGCTGAGAAAAGGGCAGATTCAGCCAAAAATATACTTTCAAAGACATCGACGTCACACACGACTGCTAAAGACGCACAGCAATTGGAAAAGGAGAGTTTCGATAGCGCCACAAATATGCTTGATATAATGAAAAACTTTGGCACAAAATCAACCGCAATTAAAAAAGAGGCTGATGATGCACTAGCCACAGTAACAAAGGTCCAATCTCAAGCAGAAGATGCAACCAGAGTATCAAAGTCTATTCAAACCCAACTGACACCAGCGAATACAAATTCTGCTTCAGCCCTTCAAATAGCAAATGAAGCGAAAACGTTGGCTAACAAGCAAAAGGACGAACTGGAATCAACGAAAAACATATCCGATATTCTATCAAACCAAGCTGATGAACTAGTACCAAGTGCCATAGAGCAAGCAAACAACGTAACAAAGCTGAATGCAAGCCATATAATGCCAGCAGTTGAGAGAACTGATAGCGCTCAAAAACTAACTGAGAATCTTATCAACTTGTCTCAACAAGCAGCTGGAAGCGTTGAAAATGTAACAACGTCAACGGAAAAAACTGATAAGGATTTGAAAGATATAATGAAAAGACTATCTGCAGTTAAGCATCTCGATTCATCCTCCCTTGAAAAATTAGCAAAAGATGTAGAAGATTCAAAGTTAGCGTTAGCTAAATTGAATCTTGAGGATATTGTAAAAAATTTAAAAGAGGCTGTCGACGCACAGAATGTAATCATAACGGAAATGAAAACTCGCGAGCAAGTTTTATCCAAACGCGTTAATCAGATTCGAGATGCCAGCGAACAGTTAAAAAGAGGAACAGCCTGATTAAACTAATTGTAAATATTTTGTAAATTTTTTTTGTGTATGTGTTCTGCAGATTAATATTTTCGGAATGATTAAACAACTTTTATTGATACTCAACAAAAGCAACTGCTATCAATCAAAAGAACAACGAGAAGTAAAAATAAGTAAAAACGGTCATAGAAAAAAAAACAAGTACAGCACAAGCTTTGATTAGATTCGAGTCCATTGGTCGCTTCATATTGAGCTATGTATACCTACCAATGTATCAAAGTACGTCTTCAATCACATGAAGTAACTATTCAGATGATATTCTATAATTTCTATTCCTTAAAATCAGTTTTCCGTTTGGAATTACAACAATTCACAAATGGGGATACAATATTCAAAGTCAAAGAAATTTACCTGAATACATACTACCTGCGAAATGATAGTTTCCTTAAGATTTTCGTAACTTTATGATTTTTTTTATTTATTTTTACAGTTGTAGTTTATATACATATATATATATATATATATATATATATATATAATGTATATGTATATTATATATGTATATATCTTTTTTTTAATTTACGTTAAGCGTCAATGTTTATGTGAACCCAAATCGCTGCCTTACCTCAACGTAATATAAATATCTTTTTTTTTTTTAGACTTTATTGGGTTTTATCTAACGTAAAATTTAAGACTAAAAAATTCAAGCTTAGTTTAAATATATCTTACCAAGCCTTACCACTCATCATTGAATCATTGATAGGACTTTGGACTCGATCTTACCAGGTCTTACCTTACATAGTGTATTTTTTTAAGAAGTCAGGCGAAGTCGCCCTATAGGAACACGCGCACGTTACATAAAGGACAATAAAAGCAAAACTTAACACACACTTACAGTTCCCTAATAATCACCGACATATTCTCCATCCTCCACTTCTGTTGCACCATTTTCACGGCTTCTCCCTCTCTTTCTCCTATCTTTTGATTTAGATCTATTACGTGATCTTGATCTACGCCGTTTTCTATCTCGAGATCTACTTCGACGACGTCTGTCACGAGACCGAGACCTACGATGTCGGCGTTCCTTAGACCTGGAGTGGCTTCGACGTTTCCTAGATCGTGATCTGGATCTATCACGCCTCTCAGAACTGTCCTCAGCTCTACTGCAGCTATTCATATCAGTTGGGCCCCTCCTGGTATTGCCCAATCCTCCTCCAAGCCTACGAGGTCTCCAGTTTTTTACGGTTCTTGACCGCTCCACATCTACTACTACTCGACGACCGTCAATTTTCTTACCGTCTGCTCTTTTGTATGCACTATGCATGTCTCTCTCATGCTCATATTCAATAAAAGCGTAACCTCTTGGATTACCATTCTTTTTGTTGTAAACGATATTGATTTTTCTAATTGGTCCGTATTGTTCAAACTCACGCTTTAACTTACTTTCCGAAGTGTCATAATTTACCCGAGCTACAAATAGAGTCTTATAGGGATCTGAAGTTGCATTTGCATCACTGTGAGGATCCCATAACGCTAAATCCTGTTCTAATTTGTAAGCGGCGGTTTCAGCGCGTTCCTTTCTTTTCCTTTCAGCTCTTTCTTCACGAGTTTCAATTCTAGTTGGAGGCGGTGTATCTTTTGGGTCCTCAAAACACTTTACATATTCCGCGATACCGTTATACGGTTTTATTACCTTTTCCCATGGAAGCTTACCGACCGGTCCCTTGTAAGGTATGGGTTCTCTCGGAGCGAACAGAGCGAGTAAATTAGGTGGCAAATATTGAGTCATTTGGCTGACTTATGAACCTAAATACCCTTTTTATATTAACATATAAACGTCACCTGGCTGTTGAGAACAATTTTTATTGAGAAAACTTACGTTATACGTCCGATTGTCTCAGAAAATACCACAGTTTTTTTTTTGCGGCTTTTTCAAGATGGCGACTACCAACGCAGCGGAAGTGTTTTAAAACACGTGCCGGATATGGATGACAGCGCCATATTCGAATTTTATTACAGTAAGCATTCAAAAACAAGTCAACAACAGCATTAAACAATTTTTACAGCAGAAATATTTTTTTGTAAGTTGACAATTTCTGACTGCTGTTTTAATTTTTCCGATTTGAATGTAAGTTTAGTGTCTTTTTTCTCTTTTCTTCTTTCGCGCCGCTCATCCTTTATAGCTTTCTTTCTTGCTTTGCGTTCTTCGGCAGATTCTTCTTTATTTCTAACAGTGCAAGCTTTGTCAAAGTTTGGTCTGAAATTTTATAGGAAAATTATTACGATCACTTTTACAGAAAAAATTGCTTACTTGTATATATCCTTATCTTTTTGACGATTTGTTGCGCGATTTTGTGAAGGAAGAGCATCATTGGGAACAGCTAATCTTTTTGTTAATTGAATTTTTTTCGGTTTGTCATCAATAACTTTTGGATTATTATATATCGTTGAGTATGTTGCTGAAAAATGTATATAATTTAAACTTTTATTAATCTTAAATATTTGTAGTTTACTTAGTATCGTTTCACAATCCCATTTTTCGCCCTTGTCCTCTTCTTCAACTTCAACAGCTATAAATTCTTCATCTGAATCCTGATAATTGAGAGTTTTAGGGATTCGAACCTCATCTTTAAGAGTTCTAAAAAAATACTTCGCAATTAAACATCAACACACCATCAAACAAATACCAACCGTTCCTTAGCTTCCATCGCTTCTCCATATTCTTCCAGAGCAGCTTTCAGTACTAAATTGTCCTCTCCTAAATTACCCTGGATTTCCTCCTGATCTAAAGCTCCGATCTCGTCGTCATCGTATTGGTCAAAAAGCTCTTCAAACCGGTCATCTAGATTGCTTAATCCTTCATTACGACGCATAACTGAGCTGCTTACAGAATATTCTGTAAACCTAGATTTCGATGTTCGGAAGGTTTCACCGCCAAAGCTCTTTTCATCAAAAAAATCGTCTCCTTCTCCAAAATCGCTGGACATATCACATTCGTCATACTCCCCCTCGTCTTCTTCTGCTCCTTCTTCACAATTTGCCTTAGAAATGAAATCATCTTCTAACTGATTGTCTGGATCATCAAAATTAAAATCATCATCCATTGCTGCTACTAAATCGGGATCCAAATCCAAACGAGGTCCAGAAACGGGTGCTGCCTTGTTTAACATTCCAACATCAGTTTCCATATTAGATCCAAAGAGTTTGGACGGTAGCTTAATATTTAATGTGGACTCATTCTCATTTGATTCGGCAATCCAGTGGTCAATACCATCCATCTCAACATTGTGTATTTCCCTAGACTCCTTTAAATGTTGCATATAATCATACTCATCTTCGAAGTTTATGCCATATTTCAATTGTTCTTCCTTACGAGCATTCAATTTTTCCTAGAAATGCAGAAAATATAATTCATGCAACTACATTCGAAATAAATTAAAATAAGACGAACTTTTTCAGTTGGCAGTAAAACCCTTTTGGGAGCTTCATCATCAGCTTGTAAAGGATCCTTTTGGCTTCTATGCACCAAGTGGAAAGTTACAGCTTTTTTTTTGTCAATGAACTTCTTTTTTTTAGGCTATGATATAAGATAGAGCTATAGTCTTAGTAAAGCGAAACATAAAGCATTACATACCATTTCAGCAGGAGGAAATTTTCTAACGCAGTTACTCAATCAAGTACCGTCCAATTATCGCTCAAACTCATGCTTTGTCGTAAATTTTTCGAAATCTCGGTTTCGCAAATCTTTAAACAAATATTAGTCAAAATTTTTAAAAATTATAGTATCTTTTCAAGTCTTTCAAGAAATCATATACCACTTTCGAGAATATTTTTCGATCATCAAGCAGTATATTTCGCTTGTATACCTTTACTTCCGGTAACGTTTTGTCTGCTGTTTATCATTCTAAAACATCGTTCAAAAAGGGTATGCATTCACCTAAATAGATAATCAAAAATGTCTGGAACAATCGAAATTCCTCTAAAAGACTCGGATGAGGTAAAAACAAATATTCTGTTCAAAACAGTATTTAATATATACCTTTTCTTAGGTTATCGAACTAGACGTCGAAAACCTTCCCGATGGAGAGGAAGTACTCAATATCTTACGACAAGAACAAGTTCCTTTGCACACTTGGAATGCTCTAGGGGTAAGACAGTAAAATTTTCAAGTTTTTCGGGGTATTGATATAAATTTTGCAGCTTGAATATTACAAGCAAGAGAAAATAGGGGAATTTGTTACTGTTTTTGAAGCGGCTAGACATGAGGCGAATACAAATTATCCAGAAGCTGAGAAAGATCGTATGCGATGCCTTGATTCTTTGGCAGGACATTATGTTCAAATGGCTTGTAAAGAAAAGAACAAAGATAAGAAGATGGAATATTTTGGTTTAGCCACGCATATGTATACGGCGGCCGATAAAATTATAATGTATGAGCAGGTTAGTAGTTTACTAAATAATAATTAACAGCATCTAAATGAGTCTTCCCTTAGAACCATCTTCTAGGACGGGCCTTTTATTGTTTAATGAAAAATGAAAAATTGGATCAAGCCGATGCTCAGTTTAGTTTCGTTTTGAACAGTGATCCGAATTGCACAAGAGCTTTGTGCGGAAAAGCCGCTATTGCTTACGGGAAGAAAGAGTATAAAGTAGCTTTGACTTTCTATAAGAGAGCCTTGAGATCTAATCCCAACTGTCCAGCCGGTGTAAGATTAGGCATAGGTCATTGCTATTACAAACTGAATAAGACTGAGAAATCCAGAATGGCATTTGAAAGAGCACTGAAACTCGACTCTAAGTGCGTCGGAGCCTTAGTTGGTTTAGCCCTCATGGATATCAATTTAAATACTGGAGAAGGCATCAAAAATGGTATTCAATTGTTATCTCGAGCTTATTCAATAGACCAACAACATCCTATGGTTCTTAACCATCTAGCCAACCATTTTTTCTACAAGAAGGACTATGAAAAAACTCATCAACTTGCTCTACATGCTTTTCACAACACTGAAAATGAAGCTATGAGAGCTGAGAGTTGTTATCAAATGGCGAGAGTTTTTCATGTTCAAGAAGATCATGAACAAGCTTTTCAATATTATTATCAGTCCACTCAATTCGCACCATCAAATTATGTCTTACCTCATTTTGGTCTTGGCCAAATGTACATAGCCAGAAATAACCTTAAGGAAGCAGCTGAACACTTTGAAAAAGTTTTAAAAGTTGTTCCAAATAACTATGAAACAATAAAAATTTTGGGATGTATTTATGCTCAACAAGCTGATGCTGATGATAAGAAGCGTGAGAATGCAAGAAGCTACTTGAAAAAAGTGACTGATCAATTTCCTGAAGATGTTGAAGCTTGGTTACAATATGCACAAATTTTGGAACGTTACGATGTCACAACAGCTCTGCAAGCGTATAATAAAGCTATTGATGTATATGATCAAATTGGCGATGATATACCACCAGAACTTATCAACAATATAGCAGCCCTCTATTTCCGAAACAGTGATCTAGAACAAGCATCCAAGTTTTACGAAAAATCTCAGTCAAGGATAGAGGCAGAATTAAGAAAGCGTCCAGATGATTCGTATTACGGTGCAATTTCTGTAACAGTTACCTATAACCTTGCAAGATTGCATGAAGCATTTCACAAAACTGAAGATGCCGAAAGGCTATATAAAAATATTCTGCGAGAACATCCGAATTACATAGACTGTTATCTTCGTTTGGGGTGTATGGCACGGGATAGAGGTGAAATTTATGAGGCATCTGACTGGTTCAAGGAGGCTCTTCAAATTAATCAAGACAACCCTGAAGCGTGGTCCCTTATTGGTAATCTTCATTTGGGTAAACAAGAATGGGGACCCGGACAGAAAAAATTTGAACGAATTATCCAAAGACCTTCAACTAAAGACGATAACTATGCAATGATCTCTCTCGGTAACGTGTGGTTGCAATCTCTTCACCAGCCAACAAGAGATAAGTTCAAAGAAAAACGTCATCAAGAAAGAGCTCTATCAATTTTTAAATCAGTTCTCAGAGCTGACGGAAGAAATATTTGGGCAGCCAATGGTATTGCTTGTATTCTGGCTCACAAGGGCCACTTGAGCGAAGCCCGAGATATATTCTCAGATGTTAGAGAGGCAACAGCAGATTTTAGTGACGTTTGGTTGAACATAGCACACATTTACACTGAACAACGCCAATATGTAGCAGCTATTCAAATGTATGAAAATTGTATTAAAAAATTTGGGCAACAAAATAACACCGAAATGCTGTTATTTCTGGCTCGGGCATATTATAAAGCAAACAAACTTCAAGACTGCCGTAAAGTACTGGAAAGAGCTCGTCATGTTAAGCCCACAGATACCGCGTTGTTGTACAACATTTCTCTAGTGCAGCAAAAATTGGCTACACAAACTTTGAAGGATGAAAAAGCAACATTAAAACTCGTGCTACATGCTGTTGATGATTTAGATCTTGCCCACAAAGCTTTCATTTTCTTGTCTAAACATGGTGACAGGATAAAATTCGATTTAAATCACGCTGCTGTAGAGGCAAGACAGTGTATGGATCTTCTGAATCAAGCACAATATCATGTAGCTAGAGCTCGAAAATTAGACGAACAAGAGCGCGAATTAAGAAGAAAGCATGAGGAAGAGTGTGAAGCTCTCAAATTGAAGAAACAGAAAGAAAAAGAGGAAAGAGAACGAGAGAGAGTAGAAAAAGAAAAGAAAATGTTGGAGGAAAGAGAGAAGTTTAAGGAAAAGACCAAGAAATTATTGCAATTTGACCCTATAATTGAAGAAAAGCCGGAGAAGAAGAAGAAGGGAGGGAAGAGAGAAAATAAAGAAGATAATAATAGTGCTTCAAGTGAAGAAGAAGGTGAAACCCGAAAGGAAAGAAAAAAGCGAAAGAAGGCAACAAAACGAAAGAGAGATAATGTAAATGATGGTTTAACCGCTAAGCAAAGGAAGAAAGTTCGATCTGCTCAGTTTGTTGAAGATTCATCATCATCCAGTAATGAGGAAAGCAGCAAACCATCACAAAGTCTCAATAGTAAGAAATATGAACTTTTAACATTTTTAATTAGAAATTAACTATCTTTATTTGCAGATACCTTTAACTCAGATAACTCGGATCGTAGTGACAATGACAGTGATGATAATAGGGGAGATAGTGATAGACAAACAAAGTTTATTCCAAGTAGCTCGTCGTCTGAAAATGAGGAACAAGAAGAAAGTAAACAAGATACAGAGGCTCGAGGTTCTCAAGACAGTCAAAGCGAACAGGGCGAAGAACAAAATAGGGAAGTTTCCAATAGCGATGATGATGACGACTAAGACTATTAATATAAAGCCGTAAATATGTAAATTTTGATAGATATAAAAGTATGGATATCTATATATCTATATCTACATATATATATATATATATATATATATTGTTCTTATTTGTATGGTAACGACACTGAATAGAAGCTATAAAGTTTAAAAAGTATTAAAAATTTCTTTTTAAACTAAATTATTTTTCTTCATTCATTGATTTTTTTTTGAGAATACAAAACAAACTCTTGAAGAGGAGTTTGTTTTTGTTATTTTTTCATACATGACTCCCAATATAATGAACTGCTCAATTCATAACATTTTATAGTAATCAAATTTTTTTATTAATTAATATTTATTATTATCAAATTTCCTGAATTAGCTATCTAAATCATGCTCTAGTTCGATACGATATGATCTACCATCTCTCTTCAGATACAATTTACAGTTTACTTCACCATTTTCTTCGACAAGAAATGCTTCAGGTACTGGTATTATTGTTTGTTTCCAATGAGTACTTTCGGAGTTAGGACTTGTATCTAATGTTACTTCAGTTTCCTCGTTTTCTCCATCAGTGAATATACAGTCAAACCAAAGTGCAAAGCCGTGAATAACTCCATATTTTTTAAATGTAAACTTAAATGTTCCTATGATAGATTCTAAATCTTCTTCTGTTGCAGCTTTAAGGTCTATACTTAAAACAAGTTGCTCCTCAGCAAGCAAATCTTGTGCTTTTATGTTTTCTATTTGAGCTTGACCGAACGTTGTATTTCTTTCTGCCTCACCAGCCGATGAGAAATCAAAACCATAAACATTGTTCCAAAAGTCAAATTTAGACTTGAAATCTCTTAATTCTACTGGACTCAAGTATATATTTGCTATTCTTGGGACAATCAATCCATCGTCTTTTAAGAATGTATCCCTAGCAAATAAGACGGAATGGAGCATAGACTCGTGAAGAAGATAAAATCCCATCCATTCAGATACAATGATATCCACCTAAAACAACTTTAGAATAAAGACTATATATATGGATAAATAAAACAAACTTTTTCAATATCTGATACTTGAATATCTTCAACAGCTTTATGAATTACTTGAATAGTATCAGAAAAGTTGTTGTCTTTTATAATTGTTTCACACATTTTTGCCATCTCGGATCCCTCAACAGCATAGACTTTCTTTGCTCCAGCCTTAGCGCAAAATAGAGATAGTATTCCTAGGCCGGATCCTACATCCATTACAATTTTCCCGCTAAACAGGGCTGCATTTTCATTAATAAATGACTGATAAGCATCCATGCGACTCTTGTCTGCTAACATTAGCCTATGGACCTCCAAATTTTCATAACTTTTAAAGTAATCCATTACTCTTAATCTATTGCGCTTAATCGAAGCACACGCCTGAGCGATATTCCAATATTTTGCGAAGTATGAGTCATCAATAAGTCAAGGCCATTAAGTTTTTTACTCAACTTACGCACCCTTTCAAATTCCCAGAAGGCAATAGCGCACAAAAAAAGCATACTTACTACAATTGTTTTAAGCGTCTAGACACTAATTGTCTGTCCTATAAAGCTATTTTCAACAAATTTTCGGTAATTTTCAACTTTTAATAACTTTTTTACGTAACTTAATTAGTTTTATTAAATATTTTATTAGAATAATAGAAATGAGTGCCCCATTCTTTTGTGTCTTTTGTAAAAACAATGGCGAAGACCCGGCATTGTATTGGTCACATATCCTAAAGGACGAAGATGGACGCATTTGTTGCCCAATACTTAGAGCTTATACTTGTCCCGTAAGTAAATAACTATTAAGCAAGAAAAATTTTAGTTTGCATGTTTTAAAAGGTTTGCTTGTCGCAAGGAGAAAACGGCCATACTATTCGCTACTGTCCGTACATAACGAAGCCGAATTTTTTGCTTCACCTTACTCTGGGACACTGGGCGAGCTTGCCTATCAAACTTCAGGTAAAAATTAGTAAGATGGCAAGTGAATCTGGATATACGACTATTGAGCCGGTGTTTATGAATACGCCATTAGCAGAGTGCGCAAAGTATGAGCAGTATTGCCGATTACCAGTCTCAACGGTTGTGGATCTTATCAGGAATAATGTAATCCGTTTTTAAATTATATAAAGTATAAGTTTATTGAGAGTTATTAATAATAAAATTATTTTTTCATAATACATACGACATCTTGGTCGTGAACAACATGATCTATTCCTACTCTTTGAGGGCTGAATTTAACACTTGTGCCCCAGACAAGAGCATATTTGAATTGATTTACCAAAGTACGATGAACAGAGTGGCATACACCTTCAATGGTAATACCTCCTCTGAGGATGAGGCCATCGGAAAAATCTGGTTTTTGACCTTGCTTCTTCGTATAAACTCTAATAAGAGCCAAATAATCCCATACTCTCTCTACCAAATAATCCAAATTCAATTTTAAATTGCAACTAACCACAACACTGTTCGGCTGTCTTGCTAATCTATCGACTTCTTCAATGGTAATCTGATCCACCTTATTATAAACGTACAAACAAGGCATATACACGCAATTGTCGTTAATAACGTCTATGAAATCCTGCGCTGAACAATCTTCTCGGAATAGGACTTCAGCATTAAATATTTTATATTCGTGCAGTATAAGTTGAACCATTTGTTCGTTGCATTTTGTTAAAGGGGCAGTTGACGTAAAAGTTAAACCGCCGGCCTTCTTTCTCTTAAAATAAATATTTGGTTTCCTCTTATTTAAGCGAATATTCACTGATTCCAATTCATATTCTAATAATTGGCGTTGGATTTCTCCCTTCGTAGCGTCAAGCATCATCAAAACCAAATCAGCCGACCTTCCAACAGCTATTACTTGTCGGCCTCTTCCTTTTCCTTGAGCAGCTCCTTCTATAATACCGGGCAAATCAAGTAACTGTATATTTGCGCCCTTATGTTGAATAACACCAGGAATACAAGTTAATGTCGTAAATTCATAGTTGGCTGCCTCGCTATGTGTTGATGTCAGACTACATAATAAAGTTGATTTTCCTACCGACGGAAACCCTATCAGAGCTACACGAGCATCACCACACTTTTGTACTTCAAAACCTTCAGATTTTGCTCCACTTTTACCCGTTGGTTCAAGTAATTGACCCCTGTATTTCGCTAATTTTGCCTTCAGCAGACCCAAATGATACTCAGTAGCTATTAATCAGTTAATGAATTTTAATAATAATAAGACAATGATCATAGAGGTTACCTTTATTTTTCTGAGTTCGAGCGATCTCTCTCTCAATCTCAGATATTTTTTCCAGAATACCCATTTCGAAATAATTCTAACGTTGCACACTTAGAGCGATAAATGGGAACTAAAGAGCTTCCACATTAGTGTAGACTGGTGAGTGTTAAATAACAAAATGTAATTGACTGTCTTCACCCGCCAAAAGATGGACACAAAGTGTTGCTTTGTAAAAGAAATTAGAGGATTATGACATTTTTTATAATTAATAGTAAAAAGAATATCTTTGAACTTAAAGTAAATAAATAACACTATTAAAGTGTATGCGATATTCTTTACTTTAACATCTCTTATTTTATTTACAAACTAATATAAAGACAGGTTTTAGAATATTCAAAAATGTATATATGATTATGCTTTGGAACACTACTATAAATATTCTTTATTTTTGTGAAATATTTCTGCGATATCTCATTTTATAGAAATTAAAATATATAATATATATTTTATCGACATGTAATTTGCTCTCTCGAAATAGTGCTTTTTATACAGTATTTCAATACTGTTTTTCAATTCGCAATAGCTTCAATTCACAATAGTTTTATTATTCTAAAATGAAACAAGACATTGAAGAATTCCCGATAGGAAAGTAAATTTCATAAGAAAATTCCAGTCTACTGTATTTTTATTTTCGGACTATTTTAATAATCGAATTTTTTTACAAATAATTCAATAAATATATAAAATTATTAAAATAATAATACAATAATTAAAAAAAAAATACTAAAAAATTCCCGGATATTCCGTAAAATAGTGTGTGCAATATTTCAACGTGTTGCATGCTCCAAAAATAGGATAATATAAAGAAATTAGGAATACAATAGGTATATAAGACCGGTATTTGAACAGAAGTGGAGGTAATCTACTGTTATTTTACTCTTGGAATGTTAAATGATCTATAAAGTTATACTTTATATTTTATCTTATGTTTAGATCATGACACAAGCGGTTCCCGAAAAGATTAACTTTCCTGAAGAGGAAGAAAAAATATTAGCGCTCTGGAAGAAAATTAACGCTTTTCAAACATGTCTCAAGCAATCTAAGGGCAAGCCAAACTTTACATTCTTCGATGGCCCACCCTTCGCAACTGGTCTTCCCCATTATGGCCATGTGTTGGCTGGAACAGTTAAAGATATTATTACTAGATGGGCTCATCAGTCTGGATTTCACGTAGAAAGACGATTTGGTTGGGACTGTCACGGACTACCAGTTGAACATGAAATTGATAAAACTTTAGGCATCACTGGTCCCGAAGATGTTATGAAGATGGGAATAAAAAATTATAACGACGAATGTCGTAAAATTGTTATGAGATATTCGAAAGAGTGGGTTGAGATAATGACCCGTCTTGCTCGATGGATTGATTTCGACAAAGATTATAAAACAATGTATCCAACTTTTATGGAAAGCATTTGGTTTGTATTTAAGCAACTTTATGAAAAAGGTTTAGTGTATAAAGGTGTTAAGGTAAGGAAAACAGACTTAAATGAGGAAATATCTATAAAAATTATACTTTCAGGTCATGCCATTTTCAACAAGTTGTAATACCCCTCTATCAAACTTTGAAGCTGGATTAAACTACAAAGATGTATGTGATCCAGCCATTGTTGTCTCTTTTCCACTTGTTGATAAGAAAGGTGTATCAATGATTGCATGGACAACTACCCCTTGGACCCTGCCCTCAAATCTTTCCCTTTGTGTCAATCCCGATATGATATACGTCACTGTTTTAGACAAAGTTAGAAAAGAAAAGTTTATCATTATGAAGACAAGGCTTTGCGAATTATTCAAAGAGGAGTCTGAGTATGAAATTTTAGAAGAAACACTTGGAAAAAAACTAGAAGGCTTGAAATATGTTCCAATGTTTGACTACTTCAAAGATCAAGAAGCGAAAGGCGCTTTTAAAGTACTTTGTGATCGTTATGTAACTGATACATCTGGTACTGGTATTGTTCAACAAGCACCATACTTTGGTGAAGACGATTATCAAGTAAATTTGAGATATGGCATAATTGATAAAGATCAAGAACCAATATGTCCTGTTGACGATTCGGGTAAATTCACTGCAGCAGTAAGCGATTTTAAGGGAATGTATGTGAAGGATGCAGACAAAGGCATTCTTAAGATGATTAAAGATAAAAAACGTTTAGTAAAAATGAGTCAAATAAAGCATAGTTATCCTTTCTGCTGGAGATCAGATACACCTTTGCTGTATAAAGGTGTAAATAGTTGGTTTGTTCGTGTTGAGCATGCAAGGCAGGCTCTTTTAGATTCCAACGAAAAAACCTACTGGGTTCCTGATTTTGTGAAGGAGAAACGCTTCGGAAATTGGTTGAGAGATGCTAAAGACTGGAACATAAGCAGAAACAGATTTTGGGGTAACCCCATTCCTTTATGGATAAGTGACGATGGAGAAGAAGTGGTTTGTGTAGGTAGCATCAAGGAATTAGAAGAATTAACAGGACAAAAAATCACAGATATTCATAGAGAAAATATCGATCATCTTACTATTCCTTCCAACCGAGGAAAGGGGGTACTCAGACGTATTTCCCAAGTTTTTGATTGCTGGTTTGAATCTGGTTCTATGCCTTATGGCCAGTGTCATTACCCTTTTGAAAACAAAAAGGATTTTGAGGAGAATTTCCCTGCAGATTTTATTTCTGAAGGAATCGATCAAACTCGGGGCTGGTTTTACACATTGATGGTTCTTTCTACCTCACTGTTTGGAAAGCCTCCATTCAAGAATCTTGTATGCACAGGAATGGTGTTAGCTGAAGATGGGAAGAAAATGAGCAAGAGACTCAAAAATTACCCAGATCCTGTTGAAGTAGTGAACAAGTATGGGGCTGATGCTATCCGTCTTTATTTAGTTAATTCTCCAGTTGTTCGGGCAGAGCAGCTAAAATTTAAGGAAAAAGGCGTTCGTGATATCTTAAAAGACGTTTTCCTACCTTGGTATAATGCTTATAGATTTTTAATTCAGAATATTCAGATATATGAAAGTGAAGAAGGCAAAGAGTTTAAATTTGATGAAAAAGCTGAATTAAATGTTACAAATTATATGGATAAATGGATTGTTAGTTTTATCCAGAGCTTGGTAAAACAAGTTCAGCAAGAAATGAAAGACTACCGGCTATACACTGTTGTTCCAGCTCTCTTAAAATTTATCGATCAATTAACTAACTGGTATGTAAGGATGAATAGAAAGCGTCTGAAGGGAGATTCTACAAGCGAAGATTGTCAACAAGCCCTTACAACACTTTATTCTGTTCTTTTCACTATTGTTAGACTATTAGCTCCTTTTGTGCCGTATTTAACAGAGCTTATGTATCAGACATTGAAAAATTACCTTGCAGAAGTCGATGTTAAAGAGAGTGTACACTACTTAATGCTACCAGTCTATCAGCAAAGTCTCATTAACGTCGAAATAGAAAATGCCGTGGCTGATATGCAAAGCGTAATCGAAGCAGGCCGTCTGATTCGTGATCAAAACAACCTTCCCAGCAAGTATCCACTCTCGGAAGTGGTTGTTATCCACAAAGAAAAAACAGCACTAGAAAATGTGTTATACTTGGAATCCCACATAAAAGAAGAATTAAACGTTCGAAAACTTACCATCAGTCAAGACAAAGCGAAATATGATGTTACCCTCAAAGCGACGCTTGACTTTAAAGTTGTTGGCTCAAGGTTAAAGTCTGATATGCAAAAAGTAAAGAAAATGGTAGACGAGTTACCGGAAAAAGACCTAGAAAAATTTCAAGAGACCGGTGAAATAACTCTTCATGGACATGTAATCAATAGACATGAGATGAAATTGACATACGTTCCAAAGAGTTCTGCAGATGAAAAGGGAAGTAATTTGAAGGCTACATCTTGGAATAAATTTCTAGTTTTATTGGATACCGTACCTTCCAAAGAGCTAGTTGATGAAGGTTTAGCGAGAGAAATTATCAATCGGGTTCAAAAATTACGTAAAGCGGCCAGTTTATTGCCTACTGATGAAATCAATATCTATTACAAAACAACTGATAAAATTGAGAAAGTGGCCAAAGATTTTAAAGATTTTATTTGGGCTACAGTTAAACAAACAATGATCCAAGGAGAAGCGCCTGATTCGGCAAATGTTATCATTGAAGAAGAAACAGCAATTAAAGAAAATAGTTTAAAACTAGTAATCACATCACCAGCATCAAGTGTACCAGCACCATTCTGCAAATTTGTTAATGTGACATATGCAGATGGAAGAAAAGGCACGATCTTATTGGAGAATCCAATTAAAGAGCATCAACTTGAATACAATGAATTTGAGAAGCAAGTAAAGCTAATCTTTGGTATACGATCTGTTGAAATTTTCTTAGATTCGACAAAGAAGACAAAGCTTGAAAGAGACGTCAATTTATTAGGTCTAAAAGGACGAACCGTGTATGCTTTTTGAGTAGTTCAGTTTTAAAAGCACCTATCCAAGATTTTGCAAGAAAAAAATTAAACGAATGTAAAATTTTTCTGTTTCCAATTCAAAATAAAAGGCTATGATTAAACGAACTGTATTATAAATTTAAACGATTTAAAATTTTAGAATGTATATTAGATGTTGACAATATTTATAAATTAGTCTACACTAGAAACTTTAACGCAGTATTAGAACCCAAATTGCTGCCGCTATACAGCTTATTGACACTGGTATATGTAACCTTGTTCCTATCACAGCAGCTGTTTCAAATATATTTGTACTATATATTAATTGATAAAAAAAAAACATATTCCCAAGCTCACCTTTGTAAAATAGTCCAGAAAATCCTTTTTTTTCAGAAAGAAGCCATTGCTTTAGTTTCGGAACACGTCTCATGTACGCACAAGTGCAGATTAAAAATAAACCGAAAACCATCAAGCCGTCGAAAGAATATACTAAAAAGAGACGAGAAAAATTAAATAAGATACTGCGAATTTGTGATTATAGAATGTGAGACATTTAAATTTCAATGAATTGAAATGTGGCGAAATGTCAATAAACTAATCTATCTATTAAAAAAGACATAACAAATAGCTTACCATTCACCATTGTAATATTAATAATTAATCAGATAATTTGGAAATAAAATGGTAAATAATAATTTTCAGAATAAGAGAAATTTTAGGAGAATTCTATCCTGAAATCGCCAACAACTTAACCGGAAGTTTTCTAAAGAAACTCCATTTCCGGTCACTTGGAAAAATTGACGAAATATTTAATAGCATGTTATCGCTCTTATTCTCTTGTATTATTTAATAAAAATTTCGTTTATCCTTTTACTAAAAAATTATTTAAGTTTTTTTTTTCAAATTAAATGTACTTCAAGAATTTTAGACAAACTTTAGGACTTTTCTATTTTTCAAAACACTACTTTTATTGTTTCCTAAATTTTCTAAATTTAAAATTGTTTTATAAATTAACGATAAATATTTTAAAGCTCCTTATAAGTAATTTTGGGCGACGTAAAGTTCCTTTGCTCATTTATAAGTAAAACAAATAAAAATACATGTCTGAATACCATTTTTTTGGTTGAATAACACATTTGTAGTGTCCTTAAAGACTGGAACATATTTTTCGGTTTCTCAGCATAGTTGAAAGTTGTCTGCAAAAAAAACTCTCTTTTTTAAATAAACCTTTAACATACATTGATTATGTCAGATTTTGAAGATGGTGAAATTAGTGACGATGATATTCCTGCTTTGATAAATAAAGTAGATTATATGAAAAATAAATTTATGGATGAGCGATAATTTGTATTTGACGTTTCAGACATCGAAGATTCGAAACTCTGAAGTTAACACCTCGATTAATGCAGATAATGAGCCTAAAACAAAAAAGAAAAAAACAAACAACATATGGTCTTCCGTAATACAAGAGGATACCTTGACTTCAACACTTAATAGCATTGGTAATTTATTACAAGAGTTTTCCTTTTTTTATCAGTCGCAAACTATTCAATATTAACCCTTTTTTTATTATAGGCGTTGGAAAATCGGAGCACAAGATTGAAAGAAATGTTGAAAGCTATGATTATTCAAGTGCCTTTAAAGATAGTAGACCTCTAACAAATGTAACCTCGCCACCTGAAGATCCTCTCTCATTTCTATACGACCATGAGGCAGATAGTAGCAATGAGGACAGCGATTCGAAAGGTACAAGCAGTAAAGAGGACGAAGAAGAAAAAAAAGAGCATAAGAACAATGATAAAGGAAAATCTGGTAAAAAGGCCAAAAAACACAAGAAGCCCAATGATGGATATCGTAAATTAAAGGAAACCCATAGCAAAAAAACAATTGTTCGTTCACTTGCTAGAGATCTAAAGGAACCCAAAGTTGCTCTCATATGTAAATATAGATATATACTTTCTTCTTAATCTAAAATTCCTTACTAAATGATCTAATTTTAATAGGGAAAGTGGTGCAGATTTTAGGTAAGAAAAAAGCCTTAGAGATTTTTTACAAAACCGAAGAAATAGAGAAAAATGGTGGAATGATGATTGTGGTAATAACAATAGAGTTAATAATTGTCAAAGTTATAATGATTAAAAAACTTTATGTTTACAGTCTGGAAACAGAAGAAGAACCCCCGGTGGAGTTTTCTTGCATTTAACTAGAACAGATGAATATACTGACAAAGAAACAAGAATCCAAATATTTGGAGAAGAAAGCGCTAGATGTGAAAATAGAAAAAAGAATCGTAAGCGAAAAAATAATCAAATGGAAACTGAAAATAATGAGGAAGCAAAGAGTGAAAATTTATCGAGTGATGTTGTTGATGTTGATTTAGGTAGTTAGAAAGTAAAGAGCTAAAAATACTGACTTTTATGCATCAGTCACAAGACGACTGATAAACAGTTGTTTCGATAGCTTATTAGCCTTTGTCTTGAACACTTTTAATAACTTATATAATAATAAAGCGTATCAATATAAACGACAAAGAGAACAGTTAAAACTATGAAAGGTCAAACCTGAAAGCATATTTTTTGGAAATTGATAAATAAAACTTAGATTTACAGGACAATTTGCTAGATTTCCAATAAGTTAGTGGAAATTCATCAAAAAGCTATGCTTAATATTTAATTGACGATTCTGTGGATATTAATGTATTGATGAAGTAAATTGTAACAAATACTTTAGAATTATTGAATGAAATAGTATATTTTTAGCACTACTTCGCTGAGTATGGTGGAGGGGGCTTTAGCCGCAGCTCCGATGGTAAGATATCTGAAGAAGCCCACGGCGATTCAATTTTTAATGGTTGTCTTCTTAGAACGGTCATATGACAATTTTTAGGTTTCCTTCGCGCACAAAGTCGGCAATAGATTTCCTTTTGGAGACAATTTAGATGATATGTGTGAGTACATTTAAAGCAAATGTTATCATCTTCAATAATGCCATTACAAAGGCAACAAATTATTGATGGAGTAATAGCTTTTCCCCGAAGATCGTGATACTCTTTCAAATGTCTTGCAGCGTCATTTTCAACTAATTTTCGGCATATATCAAGCAATGTCGTCTCATAATTGTAATTTGCTAATAGAGCCGTTAATAAAGGACGAACTTGAGAAAAAGTTCCTGTTCTTGTTTTCATTAGTCTTTGAACAATATCTGATAGTGGAACATGCCCAACCATACTTCTTAATAAATTCTGACAAACTTCCGCTAGGCAGTCAATTCGATCTTTCACAAATTCGTCAGCGGCAAGTAGAACGTCTAACAGCCTAAACCATAATTTCTTTCCGTTATCACCATCCAAAGCCTTGGAATGTCGTCTTAAAAAAGAAATCTATGATATTACGATATTATTTAACAAATTTAAATTTATTACCGGCACAAATCAGAAACTGCTTCAACAGATTTCTGAAGTTCAACAGTATCTTTTCCAGCCGAGATAAAGCCTTCTAGCTTTTTTTGAACATCACCAAAGAGCGTTTCGAAAGCTTCCATAAGCATACCATCCTTTTCATACAAAATAGCAACAGCAGGGACAATGTTCTTACGTTTGCATACTTCTAAAGCTTTGCTTGCATCAAATTGATTATAAACCGACCGTAAATGAGACTCGATTAACTTTGGTTGAAACTCAGCCATTAACTCGATTAGTTCGTTATGAATATCATTGTCTTGATTTGGTGATATTTCAATGATTGCTTTCAACAATCTATATTTATCTTCTGGATCAGCTAAAGTATTCGAAGCCGTTTTGACATCTTTAAACAAACCTAGTAGCGTAAATCTAGCAGCTCGATCGGCATCGTGTCGAACAAGCTCTGCGATGTGTTTTGAAGAAGTTGCTTTGATGTCTTCTCTCTCTGATTCTTTCAAATTCGGTACATGATTCATCAGAACTGAATATAAGTAATTTAGAGCTGATTCTGTTGAATTTGAATCATTCCACAAGCTTCTCCAAACATCACCAAATCGTCTACGTTTTTCATAAATTAAACGACAAACTTTGTAGCTAAGAAGAAAAGATAAATTAAACTGACGTCATCAATGTGATATATTTATATATTTTGCTTACAATTTAGCATGTTCACATAATTCCAAGAGGCGATCTTCATCGAAATATTCCTGACCCCCATTGTCAAGTAGTTCTTGTAAGGCTTGTTCTCGCTCATCATGTCTTACTTGCCCTCCTGGAGTTGCCCTAGATTCAGCGGGAACGCTCAGTAGTAACTTTTCTAACAGTCCTCTACTGACTATTACATTATTGTTTCTAGCTAATAATCTTGTAACAAAAGTAAAGAGAGCCGCCATTTGTGAAGATTCAAATCGCCTTTCACTTTCGACCATAACTCTCAACAAGATATCTAATAGCCTTTGAAGTCTGGTGGCTCCTTCTGTGTTTTCGCCATTAAATTCAGGTTCAGAGCGGCTTGCTAAAGCCAAGACATTCAAAAATTCAACAGTATCAAATCTCAAAAGTATTCTCATATAGGGATAAGAAGCTTCATCTTCTCGCTTTCGTGAGGAATGCAATCTAGTAACACAATCAAAAACTTCTAATTTTACATTAGACTTCTTTTCTTCTTTTATATCTCCAACAGGATAAGCTGCTCCAGATAATGAACAACTTATATAAACTAATAACTTATTGCCCAGCTTCCTCATTTCTTCAGATTCATCACTAGTTTCTAATAAATTAGCTAACTTTTCAATAGGAGTTGAATAATCGTTCAATCCCCTATTATAGACTGATATAAAAGCATCATATAATCCGAAATTCCAGCATAATTGAACGACTTTATTTGTATCTATAGTTGACATATCAACTTGATTTAAACAGGCTTCCAAACGGTGTAATTGATCAGTAGCTAATAATATTTCAAACACTTAGCATGGAAAAAAATTTATGTATTTCCAACTTACATTCATAATATTCCACTAAATCCCTCATGATCGACGGTCCTAAGTCTGGAGCTTTTCCACTTATAACAAATGGTTCAACATTCTCTAAAAATGCTCTCTTTGAAAGTTGATTACTTTCAAATTTTGTATAAATTGTTCGAACAAGCTCCCTCCTCTCATCAACATTGATTAAACTTTCTATTAGAATTCTTGCAACATAATCCCAAAAGTCTTCATCTCCGTTTGTACTTAGAGCCCAATTTGTATACTGATTAGCTAGCTCAACAACCCTTTTTCGAACCAAAACTTTTCTTCGTTGAATTTGAATTGGAAGGCCTGAAGATTTTAAAATTATTTATAAATCTACAAAAAGAAATTATTGAAATAGTAAACCTAATACAGCTGCTGTTTCACCGTGCTTTGCGGTGTAAAAGGAGACAGCTAATTTTAAAGCTTCGTCTAAGTAACTTGTTTTCACTACAGCATCAATTCTCTCCTTCCAAGTTCTTAAAGAATAGACATGAACTCCTTCAACACCCAAGAGTAATAATTGCTTACTATAAGTAGCAATTGAGCTATAGCAAGCAACGTCAGCGGCATAAGCCATAGCTTTTGAAACGTTTCCTCCTGTGGCAAGAGATTTGTAGAAGCTAGAACTATACACAAAGCGTATATTTGCAACATCAACAACATCCAATTCAAATTCGTTGCGAATATCGAGGATATGAAACTTTTCGCTTTGATCCAGAAGAATAAGAGCTCTTGTGTTGAGCCAAGCGATATTTAAAAGTGTATAATTGACCGTAATTGTTTTTAATTTGTTGAAGCTAAGTTCCGCTCCTTTTCGACAAATTAGCTGAAATTATATGTTATTAGTACAACAAAAGTAATAAAGAGTCTTTCCAAACCTGAACAAAATGAATACTTTGTTGCCTAGCAAAAGCCAAGACAGGGTCAAATACTTTTGATCCGTCATTGAGTTGAATAACTACAAATTGCCAAGCTAAAAGTGGAAGGGTATTCGGTGTACCAGTGAGAGGCTCGGCATATACAACTTTTAGTTGCGGTCGTAAGGCTACTAATAATAGTTTCGATAAGGTACCCATGGCAATTACTCCTAAATTCATAAGAGGATGATTAGGCTCTGCTTCAGTATGAAGAGCCTTTACGCAACACACTTCTCCACGAGATCCGGAGAATAAACATCGTGATTCACAACTTCTTACAGCTATCAATTTCTTGAATTCCAATTCAAAAACCGAGCCTCCGCTGTCTGATGACACTGCTAGCGTGTGTGAATCAGTAAACTGAAGATTTAAAATAGCTGTTCCTGGAGGATGAGCATCAGTAATTGTTCGAAGTAATTTGCCATTTGTTGTATCCCACATCGTTATAACAGACTTTGCAAATCCGCACAGCAGACGAGTAGAGGTTTTGTCGAAAGTTAGAGCTGTAACGGCTCCATATTGAACACCTAATGGTAAGATTTACATTAGACAATCTGAATTTGAATGAAAAACTATTTAGCTCACCAACAACAGAACTACCCAAGCACCACTTTAAACTTTGATTTGGATCGAAAACAAGAACCAACCCATGACTAGTCCCAACAGCTAATAATTTTCCCACAGCCAGTACTGTTGGGGAGCCAGCAGAAACTCTATCAACGGCTGATGATAATTGGGCAGATACACTCTTTAAGACAATATGACGTAGAATAGCGCTGGCTGAACGTACAGCTGAAATAGGTTTTCTCTTTTTCTTTGGAGTATCTTGCGATTCAATACTCGATACAGATTGAGAGTCATCGTATTCCAGGGAATGCGGATCAAGATCTTCATTATCTGACTATAAAGGTAATTTTGTGCTTTGTTTCAGAGGTTATAGTACAAAAAATATTCCTAAATATTGAATATAACTCCTATAAAAAATTTACCTTATTCCATTTGATTAGTAAAATAATCTTTCAACAATTAATAGCAAAATTTAAAATAACTGATTATATTAAGCAATAAAATATTTACGTACTTCATTTAAAATACTCTCTAGTGTCGGTGCTTCGACTTGAGGCAAATTAAATTCTTCATCATCTATCTGGTGGGAGGGGAAAAATTAGTGAACGATAATAGAAAAAAGAACAAAAAACGATAAACTCCTATGAAGAATAGTATTAGCATAAGTTTCCAAAGGAAGTAGTGAAGATAATTGCATCTTTATTTAACAAACCTCATCTAAATCAAAATTAAGGTTGCTTAAATCTGCTTTCTCTTCCGCCATCCTCTGTCCCCAAGCAGCTGTAGTCTGCTATTTTGTGTTGCAGTTTGAAATAATATATACAAAGTTTGTAAAAAAAAATGAAAATGACATTGATCTAGCAATTGCATAGGAAAAAATAGTTGTATAACAATTCTAATATTACATTATTTTATTATCTAAGATTATTGGATATAAAATGATAAAGTATTGCTGCAATTTAATCTCCTAATATTTAAAAATACTTAACGAGATTCTACGAGATTTGCCATGTGGAACTCTAAGCAGACGACTCTCAAAAACTGGAATTGTGAAAGATGCAATAGAGACACTTTATAAAATAAAACACTTATTACTAGAACAACAAATATGGAAGATACTAAGTTGATCTTGACATTAATCATAAATGCAGCCTTTTCATTGGTTTCATCATTAATTTTAATTAAAATTATACCAAGATTCTCCAAAATGTTTATTGGCGCTAATTTGTTTGGGAAAGATTTAAATAAAGCTCAATTAAAAAAACTGTAAGTTGTTAGTAATGCATTTGAGAAATTCTACCAGCTTAATTTAAGTTCGCAGCCGTATGATTTATGATTTAACAATAATAATAGTAATAATAGTAATTATTATTATTATAAATCTTTTCACAATTATCGGTAGTAAGAAAGTCCTTAAAAACTTTTTATATGTTTAGGCCAGAAGCTCAAGGAGTATTAGCAGGAGCATTTTTTCTAATCGTTCTCTTTCTGTTCATTCCCGTTCCTTTCTATGAATATTTCTATAATCGATCGATAGGAACTCAATTTCCATTTTCCGAGGTATGTTTTACAATCCATTGAAGCTTTGAATATAACTTAAAAAATATCTTATTTGCAGTATGTTCAATTCCTAGCTGCATTACTGTCAATTTGCTGTATGATTTTCTTGGGTTTTGCTGATGATGTCATGGATCTGCGGTAGTTTCAAATTTTTTTTACTATTCTTTTTTCACATTAAAACCTAATAAATCACTTAGATGGCGTCACAAACTCCTTTTACCTACCATAGCTTCGTTACCACTTCTTATGGTCTATTTCGTTACATTTGATCTCACAGAGATAATTGTTCCTAAACCATTTCGGGCATTTGTTGGATTTTCCATAAATATTGGACCACTTTACTATCTATATATGGGAATGCTAGCAGTTTTTTGTACCAATGCAATAAACATTCTAGCTGGTATTAATGGTGTTGAAGCTGGACAAAGTCTCATAATTGCAATATCAGTAGTCATTTTTAATGTTTTAGAAATTCATGGAACTCATCGCGAAGCACATATTTTTTCTTTGTACTTCCTTATGCCTTATATTGGAGTATGTTTGGGTTTATTGTATCACAATTGGTAAATTTAATAAGATTTTTATATCCCTCCTTTAATTTTACATAATTTATTAATTTCTTTAGGTATCCAGCAAACGCCTTTGTTGGTGATACGTTTTGTTACTTTTCTGGTATGACATTTGCCGTTGTTGCTATTCTTGGTCATTTTAGGTTTGTTTGCTTGAAAAATAGATTAAATGTATTGTTATAAAAACAGAGTGTAATTTGTTATATTTTACAGCAAAACTATGCTCCTATTCTTTATTCCTCAAGTATTCAACTTTCTTTTCTCTGCTCCCCAACTATTTCACTTTGTTCCCTGTCCAAGGCATAGGATGCCAAAGTTTGTTAACCTTTTCAAATTCTTACCTATAGATGATTTGAATTTATTTTATTTTTTTAATAGATATAATGTAAAAACTGACAAATTGGAATCTAGCTTAGCCGAATTTAGCGAAAAAGATATCAAATTTCCAGGAAAATATATTCTCCGTATTGCATCTTTCTTTAGATTGTGAGCTATACGAGATATATAATTAAAAAATTGTGATTGTTCTATTTTTTCAGAATCAACCTAACGCAAACTGTTGAAAAAGAGAACCATATTCATTACAAGTGCACTAATATGACGATTCTGAACTTGCTACTGAGGCTGTTCGGGCCGTTACATGAGAAAACATTGTGTTGTGTTTATTTAATGCTTCAAGCATTATGTAGTATTGTCGCTTTTATGATTCGATATCAAATTGCAGGTTTAGTGTACGATACCTAGACATCAAAATTATTTCATTCTATTCAATCAAAGTTTCAAAAAGTATATTTTTGAATAAACTTATGAAAATATAAACAATCATTTCTGTTCTTAATTTATTTATAAAAGAGAACCTTTAATTTTCAAGATAAATAGTATCTCTAAAGTAACTTCCAAACCAATATTTCATTGCGGAAGTGAACTAAACTATATTTGAGCTGTTTTGTTCATAGCGATCTGAGCGCTGCAGCTATTGCTATTTTGTAGTGTCATTAGTAAAATGTTTTTGGTCAGATTATCGCTCATAAATCAGAAAAGAGTATTTCAAAGCTTTGGACAAAGTATCCTAGTAAGTATTTATTAAAAAGTTTACATTATATCATTATATATTTCAGGATTTTTTTCAAAGGAAAATAAAAGTGTTTAATGAACTTTATAACAGAATCAAGCACGTTCTCAATGCCTTCTACATAATCGCAACTTTTCATCGCTAATCCGAAATCCTAAAAAGTTAATATTTCAAAAAAATGCAATCTCTTCATCTCCTTCAATTCGTTTCTACCAAGAAACAAGATCAAAGACTGGTAATACAACAGCAGTTCTTTACGTGACCGCTATTGGCATATTCATGGTCGGCATGTCCTACGCCGGTGTACCCTTATATCGTATGTTTTGTCAGGTAATACTTTTTAATATTCTCTTTCTAATTTCATCTATTCATATGAATATTTTATGATATAGGCTACTGGATTGGGTGGTACACCAGCTGTCGGTCACAATGACACTAATTTAGAAAATGTTGCTGTTAATAGAACGAGGGATTTCACTATTAGGTTTAATGCAGATACAGCATCAAGCATGCAATGGAGTTTTCATCCGCAACAAGGATCTGTTAAAGTTGTTCCTGGAGAGACTGCATTAGCATTCTATACTGCAAAAAATCCAACTGATAAGCCTATTATTGGTATATCAACCTATAACGTTGTTCCATTTGAGGCTGGACAATATTTCAACAAAATACAGGTATGATAAACTGTAAAAGAGAGCTTAAAACATTACTAAATGTTTTATTTTTCGTAGTGTTTTTGCTTCGAAGAGCAACGCTTAAATCCTCACGAACAAGTTGACATGCCTGTTTTCTTTTACATTGATCCTGACATAGTAGAAGATCCAAAACTTGAAAATGTTGACTCTATAATACTGTCTTACACATTTTTTGAGGCAAAAGAAGGCCTAAATTTGCCACTTCCTGGTTATGCTACAAATGTTCCAAATTGAGAAACATCGTCAATAGATTAATAAATATTTTCGTAACTGTGACACCATTGTTACCGCTTAAAGTGTTTTGCGTAGATATGTATAAATTATTTGCCATAGTATTAATATCAAACGCTACTTTGTAAATATAATTTCAAAGTAAATAAAAAGTGGTTTCTTTAAAAAAAATTATCAAAGGTATAAGGTAAGTCCTCTGATAATTTCGACCTTCATAAACCTGATAAAAGAGTGTGTAAACCGATATGGGTGTCCTTATAATTGTAGTAACAAGGTGACTGATAATTTTGTACAATCGGTTGAGAGGGTCTAGATTTGTAGGTAAGAGATTCACAGCACGTTGCATAAATGGTAAAATATGGTAAGAACTATGCAGCGAATTGCGTTAATTGCACACTAGCAAATTTATAGTTCCTTTACTTAACTTTTCAATTTACTACTTAAAAAATCATCGTCTAGACGTGGCTAAGAGGATAAGTAATGCACGAAATTTATATTGTTTATATAGATACCAAACAAAAAATGGTTAAATAAATAAGACTGTTTACTAGGGTGGTCTTCATTGCTGACAAATATTGGTCATCTTTCACTTAATTTTGAAGTGTTTTATGTTTGTTTCTTCAACTATTTTTAATGTGATAAAATAATTTTTTCATATAATAAATTTTCCATCTTGGCAGAATGATTTTCTTAAAAGGCTAATTTTTAATCGAACGAAGAATGATAACAGCTCTCATTTAGATATATCTGTCAATTAATATTTATTTAGCCATCTGCACTGGGAATATAGTGAAAAACATAAAATTTAATATAATATTAGGTAGTTGAAAACAGCTGATTCCAGGAATAAAATAAATTTGAATTTACCGCCACACGATAGTGGTGTCATCTAGAAAGAAACCGATGGCTGCTGTCTCGTCACGTGTATCTTCCTTTTCCGGTTTCGGCAGCGGTCGTCGTGGTCGAAAATATCTATCGTCAAAAATCTTGTGATTTTAAAGTTGATCGAAAGACGATTATGGGTGAACAGATGGTTATGAGAGGTGTCCTTCAAGGACATGGTGGTTGGGTTACCCAAATTGCCACCACTCCCCAATATCCCGACATGATCTTGTCGGCATCGAGAGGTGCGTGTACTTATATTCACGTTAAAGTGTTTTAAACTCAGTATTTCACACAGACAAGTCCCTCATCATGTGGAAACTTACCCGTGATGATGCTGGCAGCAACTACGGTGTCCCCCAAAGAGCTCTCCGTGGACATAGCCACTTCGTTTCTGATGTAGTCATGTCCTCAGATGGTCAATTTGCTTTGTCTGGCTCTTGGGATAGCACCCTAAGATTGTGGGATTTATCTAAGTAAGTGGTAGGAAAACTGTACAAAATTTCGTTAACATATGTAAAAAATTTTATAGTGGAGTAACTACTCGCCGATTTCTTGGCCACACCAAGGACGTCCTTAGCGTAGCTTTCTCAGCTGACAACCGCCAAATTGTATCTGGCTCCCGAGACAAGTCTATTAAATTGTGGAACACTTTGGGTGTTTGCAAATACACTATCCAACAAGAAGAAGGACATACCGATTGGGTATCTTGTGTTCGATTTTCACCAAACACACAAAATCCCATCATCGTATCCAGCGGTTGGGACAGACTTATCAAGGTCTGGAACTTGACCAACTGCAAGCTAAAGACCAACCACTATGGTCATACCGGCTATTTGAACTACGTAGCTGTCTCTCCAGATGGTTCTCTTTGTGCCTCTGGTGGCAAAGACGGACAAGCTATGCTCTGGGACTTAAATGAAGGAAAGCATTTGTATACTTTGGACAGTGGAGACATCATCAACGCTCTCACCTTCAGCCCCAACAGATACTGGTTGTGTGCTGCTACCGGACCTTCTATTAAGATCTGGGATTTGGAAGGAAAAGTCGTTGTTGACGAACTTCGTCCAGATGTTGTCAATGCTCGTGCTCCAGAGTGTACTTGCCTCGCATGGTCGGCTGATGGCCAAACTCTCTTTGCTGGCTATACTGACAACCTCATCCGTGTTTGGCAAGTCGGTTTGGCTGCTCGTTAAGAAACAGCCGATGTTGTTGAAGGACGTTTTAATTATGTTGACCCCAACTGGTTTTTTGCCGATTTGAATAAAATAAAAAATGAAAGAAATATGCGTTGTGATTTTTATTTAGAAACAATTTCTTTTAGCTCTTTCACTACAATATCAATGTCAGAAAAGGTTGTCTCCCTCCCTATACTTAATCTCACTGCTCCCGCGGCTCTCTCTTTTGGTATCCCCGATGCCAACAAAATAGATGAAACTTTCGTTTCACTAGAATGGCATGCTGCGCCTGTGCTGGCCAACGTAACTTGACACTTTTTCAATATTTCCCTACCATTGAATCCAAGAAATGACACATTACAAGTATTTGGTAAACGTTCTCTCACATCACTCTGTCCATTAATAATAACATTCGGCAATTCCTTTAGCTTTTCCTCCATATAATCTCTAACTGTTGCATATTTTGTGCTGTATGACTTAAGGTTACAGTTTACTAATCTGGCGGCCTCTCCTAGACCGACTATCATTGGAGTATTTTCTGTTCCTGATCTTAAGGTTGATTCTTGATTACCACCATACATTAAAGGTAGTATTTTGCATCCTGAGCGAATGTATAACGCCCCATTACGAGGACCATAAAACTTATGACCAACTATGGTCAAAAGATCAACATTCAAATTGTTAACATTAACAGGAATTTTTCCAATGGCTTGAGCAGCATCGGTATGAACGAGAATTTTAGGATTTAATTGCTTAACAGCATTAGCTATCTCTCTAATTGGTTGAATTACTCCAGTTTCGTTGTTTGCTAACATAATGCTGACTAATTTTGTGTTCGGCCTTATTGCTGAAATAACATCTTCAACGTCAACGGCACACCCACTTTGTTCTTTAGCTGAGATATACGACACTGATATGCTTTCAGGGACGTGTTCCAAAGGTTGTTTTATAGACGGATGTTCAAGTGTAGTTGTAATAATATGCGCGTTCGTATACAGCTTCGTTATACTTTCAATGACCATATTATTTGCTTCAGTTCCACCAGAAGTGAAAATAATTTCATGAGATGTCGCTCCTATCATTTTAGCTAGCTCATTTCTCGACTTTGCAATAGCTTCTTTTGCTTTGAAACCATATTCATGCGAGCTGCTTGGGTTGCCCCAAAGGTCCTTTAAGCTATGGGAAACAACTTCAACAACTTCGGGAGCTACTGGGGTCGTAGCATTGTAATCCAAGTAAATTTTTGCTGCTTCCATCCTAGAAAAAGAAATAGGAAGTTACGTAACTATTACATCATCCATACTAAGATAAAGATCATTATGATTTATATCTAATTCTTTTTGTTATTATTTGTTTATTTCAAATTTGGATTGTAATCGTAAAAGAAAATTTCATTTAAAATCTTTTTTTTAAAATGGCCATATCTTTTTTTTACTAAGAAGCTGTCTTATTCGTAGTAAAGTAATATGATGACAACTCGTCATTAGGAAAAATGTTACAATTTTACTTTCCGAGTTATAGCTATATTACCATTTCTACTATATGTCATGCAAGTTAACTTATGGATTGTTGAATATTAATTAGTATCTATGAATAGTTGTCTTTAATCACCTAATTATTTATCTTCAATTTTACAATCATTCAGTGTAATAAGCAAAAGCCTCGTTACAGATACCGGATTACTATCTTGTGAGCCATACTATTGGAATCGAATAAGGTTCCAGGCTAGACTTGATCTAAAACTGGTTAAAGCAATTTCGTCAATCTCAAACACAAACAGGAAGATTGCGATGGAAACGACTAACGCTAACCGCGATTTCACAGTAGCAAACTCTGATCCAAAATCTGTTCAAGAGTTGACACAATTCGTAAGTGTTCAAATTATTAATTTACATATTGTTTCAGAATTTCATCGTTTGAATCTGTTCAAACAGGTCCAGAACATAATGCAGCAAATGCAGGACAAATTTCAAACCATGAGCGACCAAGTTTTGAATAGAAATATCCTTTTTTTAAGTTTGAAATATGGAAATAATGTTTTATAAATTCATTTTATTTAATAATTTCAATAGAATGTTCTAAAGAGAGAGTAATTTAATGGTCAAACCATTAAGTGAAGGTGGAGGCGAAAGCATTAGAAATCGATAAGACAAATAATCAATTGAATTGTATTGAATTACCTGCGAAAATCATTTTGTCAACTAAGTTTCTTTTGAACCAGATTTTTTATATTATATATAAAAAAAATTCTGATAGGTATAGATCGTAAAGCTCTTTTCTGGAAAAGAGTATAAGTAAACTTTAGATAAGACCTTTTCATAAATTTTTGTCGGTTTCTTATATATAATATATATTTTAAAACACTAATAAAATTACAGTTTCTTTAATAATGTAATAATCACTAAGGTAAATAACTTATTGAATAATATAAATAATGAAATATTATACCTTCCTTAACTTTATGCTTACTTGATGAAATGGGTCAGAGAATTGACGATTTGGAGAAGAATATTGCTGATCTGATGACTCAGGCTGGTGTCGAAGATGCACGTTAAAAGATGTAATGAAGATAATTCGACATTAGATATAGTATTCTAGAGTATTAGCACCTTTCGTGAATTTGATAAAAATACAAAAAAGGTTTTCAAATCACATATTTATATTTTTTTTCTGTATAAATAATTACAAGTCAACATTCTTTTAACAACGCCTTGTAATAACAGTAAAATTTTGGCAATAGTCTTGAAACAATAGGAATGATTTTCAAACGCAAATTTCAAATCTCATTTTCAAATAAGAACAAAAAAATACATTTCTTTCAATTTATACTGCAACGTCTTTGCACATACAAAATTCTCTTATTGCTCGAGTTTTAACACAGTGAGACTGTTTTCCATATTTATTAGTTCTATTAATATCTCCCTGAAGTCTTATTGTATTGTCACTATTTACCTTCAATATACCTTCAAATATAGCACTAGATGGAGCAACTTGTATAGTTAATAAGATGAGATAATCTTTTTCTTGGCCCAGCCTTTTTGCGTCTATTATCTGTAGAAGTTTCAACTGTACGCAGTGATAGGCCTCAATTGATATTAACTTGTTTAGATGATTGACCATAAAATTAGCTCCTCTGTTTATTTCTTTCCTACTTAGCTTTGCGGTAGTTGAAGAAGAACAAACACAATATTCGAGCGGTATCTGAGCTGATATGCACGTTCGATTTAGTGGAACTTTGTTAAACAAACTGATGCCCCTCTGGTTTAAAGAAATCTGTCTGTTAATAATTTTGTTTGGTTCGAATTTTAGAATGTCTTTAAGAGTTTCATGAACATCAAAAAACGTAATTAGACGTCGACTATTTGTTTTCAAATTATCAATTAAATGTTTATTTTCATCCCTAAACCATTTGGGAAACCAGAAGAACATAAAAGGTGTTCTATCCTCAAACCACCCTTGAGGAGTTGCCCTCAAAGGACCAAACCTAATACCATGGTCGCTAAAGAATATCAAAAGAGTATTTTCGAAAGCACCAGACTTGAAAGAATTTACTATAAAATCTTCGTATAAATGACGAACTCTCGATACGTCGTTTGCATAGTTGTGAGAAGCAGAAGATAAAAACATAAGAGCCCAATGAGGAATATTTTCGTACGATCTAGAGAGAGAAACAAAGCAGACTATAAACAATTGATAAATTAAATAGTTTTGATAGACCATACTTTATAAAATCATTTAAATACTCCAATAAAATTTGAATTCGAGTTTTTGGTCCCAAGCAAATCTTAGATGCAGAATTTTTATCCAATTCAGAGAAATCTGCAGCTAACATAAAAGGTCTTGTATAATGATCGGTTGGAGGATTTTTAAATCCTCCTGCTAAATAGTTGAAAGCCATCATTGCATCTTCAGACTCCAGAGTAGCGTAACCAGACGATGAGAAATTTTTCCAAATATATGGATAATTGTCAAATGGTGTATTACTATCTATATCAGGAAATTCTTTTAAAAATTTTCCAGTAAGCATTGGAGTGAGATTTACCAAGGTATTCATTGCTACTTTATTTAAAGCTGTTGCAAAGATATCATATTATAAATATTACAAAATTTTAATCTTTTATACAGGCATGAATAATTACTTACCAGTCATTTCAATAGCACCGTTGTCTATTAAGATCTTACGTAGATGGCTCATATGACGCAACATATTTAATCTTGACATAGAATCAATACCTAAAAGTAGAACATTTAATCTTTTGTCGTCAACTTGGCGTGGTTCTTTGTGTTTTTTTACCACTTGAGAATGAAAATTTTCATACAGTTTCCACCATAGAAAATTGTAGCATACAACAAATATGAATTCACTCTTCACTTCTACAGATTTTGAAAACGTGACTGGCTTTCCGTATTTTATATTGAAATCATCTCCTTTTGGTCGAATAACTGCTCGGTATTTACAGGTTCGAACAGATCGAATAGCTGATGAGAAATATCTATTTTGAATCGTAGAATTAATGCTCAAAATTCCATTTTTTAGATAGGTAAGTGGCTGCAACCAGACTTTATTTATGCACTCTTCTGGTTTATGTCCATACACTAAAGGTTTAATACTTGAATCAAATGGATGGAGGTTCTCAATTTTACAGTTGGGTGTATCCAATATGTATTTGTCGCTGCTATGTTGGAAATTTTTTAGAAAATTCTCTTCCATTTCATCTGCACGCTGCACGTCGTGCACCAAGTTGTGTGTTACATACAATAAATGGTGTCCAATAAGGTGATTTTTTATATAAAACACTGAGAATATTACTAATATACCAAAAATTACAATTCTCTTGGGAACATAGGTTAAGAGATGTCGTAGGTTCATATTTTTATCCTTTTTTCTGGTGGAAGAGTGTAAATCACTTTTGTTAATAGATGGCGCTCAGAATACAAAATAATTCGTCGAAGGAAGACGGGTTATTATAAATGTTTAGCAGAAGGCGTATTTAAAAACTATTCTATTAACTTCCTGGGCAATTTAAGTACTCGTTAAAATTTTTCTACACCAATCTATCGGCTCAATTTCTGCTTCTACATCATAGAATTCTGTTTTTTCATTGTCGCCATAGACATTTTCCGTAATAGGGCCTTGTTTTTTACTAAACGATATTGTATCGCTAAATATTTGCAAGGCCCCCTTTAGCTGAAAATTCGCAATATATACTGTTCAGAAATTTTTCAAAATAAAAAAGTAGCGGCTGTTTTATCTGTATTTTGGGGAAAGGATCGTATGCTTTTTTTATGATATAGATTCTTTATATAACTAACATTGATAGAGTTATTGAAGAGTTAACACTGAATATTTATTTTAAATATTCTATAAGAATTAGTTGGTCTTTATACATAGTTTCATACTCATTTTTGAGCGATAATAAGATAAAAACAAAATAAGTTTCTTTATTATTAAGAGACAATATTAAGATAATAGATATCTTTGTACAAACTAGATTTATCATAATTTAATAGCCCACCATAGACATCAAGCTAGCACATTGTGTTTGAAAATAGAGTTATACTGCAAAATAGATTAAAAGTTTCCAAAGTTCTACTTTAAGGTATCTAAATAATTGAATAGAATAACCGCATTGTCCTACCTTTTTGTGACTGTCACTAAAGTTTTACAATGTAATGTACAATCGTAGATTATATCTAAATATATTGATTGTAAAGATAAAATTGTGCTAACAGTTCCTTTTTTACTTAGACAAGATATTGAACATAAATATTCATCAATGATAAAGGAATAAAATTTTTTTCGAGTAGCTAACATACTACTTTGAAATGACGTCATATTCATTTGAATTATGATTCAATTTACTATTTCTCAACTTTTCATTGCTGTGACAAATGTTAAAGTGATTTTGACCTTTGAAAATCTTATGAATATTAATATGAATCGCTTTACGGTAAAACGTTTGAAAAATGAATTAATATTAATTTCCGTAATGTTTGATAATTATTCAAATAGTATAACCAATCTAATGTAACAGAAGAATGGTATGGACATAGGCAATGGTTTACTGAATATCACGAATGGGTCGAAGAAAATAGTGGCATATTCCTCGAACCGCCAAGACAGTATTGGTATATTCATTTAACAGACATAACCTATACATGGTTTGATTCTTCTAAAAGTATAATAAAACTACCTCGTCAAAGATTTGTTATTTACGAAGATGGGAGGATAAAGATTTTTCCTGTAATGATGAGTGATAGTGGTATTTATACAAGCTTTTTGGAAGCTAAAAAACACGGAATTCGATCAGTTTTAAGGAAAATTATTTATATTCACGTTTGGAGGAAACTTAAGACTATTGAAAGCGATTGTCCAAGCGGCTACTTAAAAGTAAGCGTCATGGATATAAATACAGTATATTTATTTTAATAATGAATGTGAAAATTCTTTAGAGAGATGGAATTAATCAAACTTTTGGTAACAAACATTGCACTCCGTGTTTGCCTGGATTTTTTGAGCAACAAAACAATTGCTATTCTTGTGGTTATGGATTTTATCAAGAGAAACCTGGTCAAGTTGTTTGCTTTGAATGCCCTGCTGGAACAGTAACTCAATGGAAAGGGGCACATTCTTCTAGGGACTGTCAAATAGATAAAGGTTTCACTCAGTACGAAGTTAGATCTAAAGGTCGAGAAATCAGAAAAAGGGTACCATTATGGGGGTTGTTTTTAATTTTGTTTTTTATGATTATTTGTGCATTATTAGTTACTTGTTTTGAAATATTTTGCTATTACAAAAGAAGACAACATAGAAAATGGAGAATTGATAAGTGTGAAAAGTTATAATAGGAAATAACTGCATATTAGTTGCTTTCTATAAATTTTTATTTTTCTACGAAAATACTTATTCAAGAAATTTAAATGTTAAATCGTACAATATTAACCAAATCAGATAACCTATACAAAGCATTCCTCAATTAAAAGATGTTTCATGATTCTTCTTAACAAATATTTTCTTAGTCAATACTACTTCCTTTTTAGTTTGCTTCTGGCTTTTTGGCCTTTAGCTGCACCTTTCTGTGCTCCTTTTACGATGTTCTTAAATTTTCCTGCCAATTTCGCTTTTTTCCTAAAAATATTTTTAGTAATGACTTAAATATTGACAATAATGAAAATAAAAAAACGAACCTCTTATTCAATGCCGACATTTGTAAGGGCACGTATGCGAAAGGATCGGGTTTACCCTTTCTCTTTACGTCACCTCCTGCTTTTTTGGATTTGTATTGGCCGGCTCCAAAATCTTCGCTATCGGTTTTATTAGAATGAGGGGTAGGTCTATGAATACCACTACCACCGGCTTGGTACTTCATTGGTACCTCGTCATCACTATCGACAGCAGTTTTGTGTTTTCGTTTTCTATGCCCTCCCATGGCATCTAAAAGTTCACTTAAATTATCTATTTCTTCTTCCTTCACTGCTTTGGGCTTTTTGGCGGACTTTTCATCCTCTTCATCGGCTATAATAAGTTTTCCATCCTTTGTTGTTTTAAATCCTCTATTACTATCTTTTTCTTTGGATCGTTTGTCACTTTGGGGCTTGGAAGCTGATGATAAATGTGATTAAATTATTTATAAATCAAATTATTGTCAATGTAATAACATCGGTGCGTACCCATAACTTGTTTGGCTAATGAGCCACCTAAAAAGTCAACAATTTCATCGTCATCTCCTTCTTTTATCCAGGCGCCTTTTCTAGTTTCTTTTGATTTCTTCACTTTCTTTTTCTTTTTATTTGACTCTTTGTTTCCATCTTCCTCGACCTCAGAGTCTGTATCTCGCAGCAATTCCTCTATGCTGTTACAAGACGTGTATTAGACTTTATATTTTCATTTAGTGATAATATTAATTTACCTATCGGGCTGAGCTTTTGCATCAAATTCATTTTCACTTTCGGAATCTTCTTCCTTTGATTTCTCTTTTAAGCGTTGCGACCTATCCTCTTTCTTCTTAATACCTCTGAGCAATTTGTGCATTGACTCAGGAACTGACTTGCGAATGATTTCAAATCTGCTCAAAGTTTGCGCTGTTATTAAAGAGTTACTATATGATATAAATAATCATCTTACCCAAATTTTTTCACCAATTTAACAAAAATTGCTTTTGTTTTAGATCTTATGTGATGCTTGTTCTCTTCTTTCATAGTAATTAAACTCTTAATCTAAACATTACAAATCCCAATAGTAATTACATTATTTTCATAAACGGACAACTTACCACAGCAGGTAATGCAGGATAGAGAAATTCCCTGTCAAACTGTCCTAATAAAACTTTCAATAGAGTCAAAGCTGAATCGACAACTTCTTTTCCTTTGTGGGATAGCAAAGCGCAAACCATTTCAATTAAGTCGCTCAGAAGTTCTTTCTCTATATTTTCTGTGGAAAAGAATACACTTAGAGTTGTTTTTAAGCAAGAACAAAATAGTACTTTTAAAGTAATACACAATCTTCGATACAGCCAAAGACGTTGTTGATATCATATGTGGAGAACCCGCTAAACCTGCTAATACCATATATAGATAATTTTTAATATTTTCCTCTGTAGACTGATCAGGACGCCATCTTTGTAAAGTTCTACACATTTCTAAAAGCAAATTGAAAGCAGCTTGTCTAGCTTTCGAAGAAGCTTCTTTCGTGCATAAAATAGCCTGTAGTTGATAATTGTATTAACATTTGAAAGTTAGTGTAATAATGGAACCTTACCTCAGGCAGGACTGTTTCCATGAAATCAGTATTTTCAGATTCCAGGTGTTTCACAATAAATGTCAAGCAGTTGAGTCGAGGCTGACGAAATATTAAATTATTTTAATAAGAGTGCAACAACTAAAACATAGCTTTTACTTACTCCTTTCGAAGACGGACTGCTGGAACTAAGGCTATCCAATAAGTCCTTCTGTAATTGTGGCAGATTCTCCATTATACATTTCTTACAATCTTCGGATTCTTTTGAACACATTTCTTCAAGCACTCTATAGGATTTTTTTTGTACTGTATGATCGGCATCCTGAAAGTTAAAATTTGTGGTTGAAATATTATTGAATGTGAAATTAACTTCTAACTTACTTTCATATTTCCTAAAGCCAATTTTAACAATGTTGATAAATTCTCTAGTTTTATGAAAGGTATCATTGCCAATTGCAAATCAAGAAGTGCATATTTTTTCGAATTTGAATCCTTCTCTTCTTCAATCTTTTGTATGCATTTATTGAAAAACACGTCTACCAGCTAGAAAAAAGGAGCAATTATAAATTGAACGTTTGTTTTTCTAACAACAGAAAATCATTTACGTACTGAACTTTCTGTCACATTAAAGTAAACTTTTATTGTTTCTAAAACTGCTAGTCTTTTTTTGTCCTGGTTATCATTTTTATTCTCTGCCAAATACAAATTGAAGAGAATGGGAATGTAATTTTTTGCATATTTTTGCATTTCACTCTTGTTTGACTCTAAAAAATGTTTCATATTCTTTAATGACTACTTCGTTAGAAAAGTAACTCAACGTTAACCTACCGTTTTCCATACTGAAAGTAACTAATTTTCTTAGAGATTGTAAAACCTCTAATCTTAGATCAGGGCGTTCGTTTAGAGAAATACCAAGAACTTTTGCAATTCCGCCGAATGACTAGCAAGAAAAAAGTCGTGTTTAATTAATATAAAATTAAATTTCTTTTGGCTAAGTTCCATACCTGTTTTAAATCAATTGGCTTGGTACAGAAGGCGGGTAATAAGGACCATATTTGACCTTGAAGAGCATCATATGTTCTAGCTTCTACCATTCTATTTTCTTCAGCAAATTCACCAGCTTTAAAATAAGAAGGTATTAGTATATTTTTAGCTATAAAAAGCAATATGATTACCTTTTTTTCTCAATTGTGCAGCTAAAGGTAAAAAGTCTGTAATAAAATAACTCAATTCTGTTTCTTGAACATAATCTCTCATTAAGGGCAAAATCCAACTCCTCGGAAATTCATAATTATCACTAAAAAGAAATCGAAAGTATATAATGCGCTTTACTTGTTTTATATAAATAGAACATACTTTTGGCCATCAATTAATAATGGTACCGCCTTAAGGACACTTCGAGGTCCAATATGTCGTAATGCCATACCGAATGCTTTTTCCAATTCCCCTTTGTATGAAAATTTGTGACTTTCTCTCAAATCAGCAAGAGTTTGTAAACACTATTCAAAAAATATTTAGATAAAGTTTTTAGTTAAAATCAAACATTTACTTTAGAGATGTTGTTCTTGCAATGTTTTCCGAAAATCTGTAATTTAACAAGTAATATTGGTAAAAACAAAGACTAAATAAATTGATTTGACCTCGAATAGTGAAGCCATGAGAAGCAGAACTTTCCCCCAAGACGCATGGTATTGATAGCTAAGTCCTCCTTCAATGGCTTGAAAGATTTTCAAAATGATATTATCTTTCGTATTTTTTCTACTAACAAGTGCATCCTTAACCGGACTCAATGTATTTTTCAACAATTTCTAGATATAAGACACAAAAATGTTATCATTAATTATATATTTTAATTCTTTTCCCTCACATTGGCGTTCTTAAAGGCTGAGTTCTGAACAGTAGGTCTCTCTGCTTGTAAAAACTTCATGCATGTACTAAACAGCTTAATGGCGTGTTGAGAACCCATTTCAACATTATTGCTACAAAGAATTTAAACAGTTTAATACGTGAAGTACGATGAAAAAACAAATTTACTTTATAAGATTTTGTACTCCCTTTTCCATTACCGAGAGCCACGCGCCAACGGCTGGGGGATCATTTTCAGAGGGAAGATAATCGTATAAAGCCTTATTTATAGACATTCGAAAAATTAGAAGTAATATTATAAAGTTCCACTTATCCTACCGTTAACAATTGACCATTTAATTCAACGGGCAAAGAATCAGTTGATGGTGCGCTATTAAACATTGCATGTAATGTTTGCATTGCAACGAAGAATACAACCTGTAAAGATGAATTTAATTCCCTATACGTTCGTCACCTGTTTTATTAATTTTCTCCAACTTACCACACTACTCAAAGTTAACAGTTTAAGGAGAGTTTCACACAAAATTTTCAAATAGTTTTTCGGAAGGGTAGACATAATATATTTTAATAAACCTAGAATATAAAGTGTCGTTGACGAATCGTTCCCCGAACCTATATTAAGATAAAATTTTACAATGATGTGAACATCCTATTTTTTTACATACCTCCGGACTGTTCTATCTTTTCAAAACAGAACTTTGCAGTTTGAACAGAGGCTGGATGATGTTTAATAGTAGTATCTTCTTGCATGAAGAAACTGCCTTTTAAAACTACTCTAATTGCTTCTTGGGCAGCTTTACGAACCTATGTGCAATAAAATTAGTAATAAAAAATTTCCAATTGAATTCTCGTACTTTGGGCTTTGCGTGTGTTGAAAATACTAATAAAGTCTGATACACGTGCACAGTTGCTGGATCGCTCCACCTTGCAGCACTTTGAACTCGTAATAATTGAGCTAAGCATAACAAAATCTGAAAATAAAATATTTAATAAAACTACTCGAACTGGATAAATGAATTTACAGATCGCAATAAAGTTGGCATATCTGTTTCATTGTTCTCCATCAGCGTATCAATGAAAACTCTTGCAATGTCAGAAAATCGAGATTGAAGAACCGATTTGGACACTCTGCGGATGGAAAGAAAAATAACAATTATAGCAAATGTAGTTGTTGAATTAGCACACTAACTTCTTGATGACTAAGCTTAGAAGATAGGATGTTGCTGCCTTAGATATCACGGTTTCACTGACTTCCAGAGTAGTCATCTGCAATATATAAAACATGGTTTTATAAAGCATAGCTTCTTTTTCGAAAAAATATTACCAAAGCTGCAAAGTATTCCGTTTCATTTTCTTCACCTTCCTTCTCTTTAATAACCTCAGTCACTGCAGCTATTACAGCTAATATCTATAATTAAACGAAAGGATAGATGAAGATTTCTAGTTCTCTAATCTAATTTTCACCTCTTTGTGTAGATCAGAATTTGAAGACCAATAACGATGAATCCGGCTAAAAGTTGTATTTGTACAGGATGTCCAATTGCTAGCCCATGTTGAAAACGTTTTTTCAGTGAACTTCCCAGCTGACATAGCTGATTGCGACATTGCATCGTCACTATCGATTGCACTTTCGTGCATTTCACTTTCATGTTGCTTCAGAGCATCTTGAGTTAGCTGACTTTTACCTAATTACATCCAATTCATATAATCAAATTTGTGAAACTAGTATAATACTGATCAAATATAGTAAATAGCAAAAATTAAGATATTGGCCTAAATATTAAAATAATTGTCTTTGATATAAAAAATTAATTAGTTTATCCTTTATAAGCTTATTTAATATCGACACTTTGAAAATTCGTATTTATCTATATAGAAAAGAATAATAATCTTTGCGGATTATGATAAATGAATGAGATGGTACTTTTTTTGCGTAATAATAATAAAAGTAGTAGTCTTAGGATTACTATAAATTTATTTCAGCAAGTTAATATATTTTTATAATATTTAGATATTTTAAAATTTAGATAAGTGATTTTAGTTTATTGTGGCAAATGAAATCTGATGTTATTCAAGAATTAAAATATAAAATGTAAGGAAGTTGGTGCTATATCGCTCAGCAAGACTTTGTTTTCCACTTACCAGTCTGAGGCTGAAAAAATCTGTTTTTTGCAGATTCTCTAAAATTTTTCTTTGTTGGATTTGAAGAGCAGCTTTGTCCCTTTTTCCATTTTTTACCTTTGCTATTTGCACCTTTTACACGCACGTTTTTCTTCCCCACCGCCATTTTGCACGTGTTTTCAAAGATAGATTTTACCAATGGTAAAAAAAACTGGTAGAGATTTTAAACATTTTTTTTGTGGATATTAAACAAAAGTCAGGGTTATAAAACGAAAAAAAATAGCAAAAGATTATATAGTTAATAAGTTTCAAATATTTTATATTAGCTTATAAATATAAAAATTTCATTAAATCAATATTTCATTTGATATAAAAGAAAGTTACGATTATTACATACAATTACTACAATATAGCTATTTCAAAATCCAAGTCTTTTCAAAGTAGATTTTAGGCATATTGATTTTATCCTTCTTTGATCATCCATGGTTCTTGGAAAAAGGCGTCTGGAAGTGGTGTACAATGGGTAGAGGTAAAATCTCTCATATATTTTGAAGCCTGTTCGATTTTAAAATAGTAAATTAAAGAAAATCATGTTAAATGTTCAATTTTATATATACCAAATAAAGAGCCATTGAAATTTTCTTCTCATTATCACATTCTGCTCCATAACTACAAGGGAATCCATAATCTTTTTTCTCTTCACAATATGATTTTAATAGAGCCCAGCAATTATCCTCCTCTACCATTCTTAGCATAGATTGCCGCTGTTGTTCATCTGCACTTAAATATTGATACATAGTAGGCTTTACATCATTGGTAATAATATTTGGATATCTGTGAGCTAAAATTTTCATAAGCAACTCATTACCCCGATTAGACCATATATGATCTGGACCACTGAAAGTAGACGTGAATAAGCAAACAAACAAATATAAATTTAATATCTTACAGAGTTGTTATCATTTCATCTTTAGCTCGCCTAACAAGAGTTATGGGACCTTGATATTGCTTTAGGTTTTCATCAACTCTTACATTCATATATTTTCGAATGGCAACTTCAACCAATTTTTTCCAAGCTTTAGGCATTCGAGCTTCAGCGAGAGGCAAAATATCATCAAACGTAGCGTCTAATATAACATATTTTAAGTTCGGATGACGGGCAGCAGCGTAAGCGGCGGGATAACCTCCAATAGACCAGCCAAATAAACAAATGTCTGTTTCTTCGAAATTCAGTTTATCAATAGCATAGGCAAAAACAGCATCAATGGCATTAGTTTCCTCCTCTGGTGTAGGTGAGCCGGTAGAACCCCAGAATCCAGGGTGATTCCACCCAAGAATTGAGAAACCAGCATCTAATGGCGTAACAGAGCACCCTATTTCATAAAAAGCGGCATTGCCTTCGCAACAAATCACAAGTGTTGAACCATTAGCGTGCTCTGGCGAACGTCTTCTATCAACGAAAGCGGTATCAATCCTGTTTCCATCTAATGTTTCTATCATAGCTCTTTTTCCCCCTTGCTTCAAATTATTAGAAATATTAGAAGCGCTTTTTTATACTTACATATATATATATATATATATATATATATTTACCTCCTCAATTAACTTCGCTCTTCCTTGAGTTATCATAGGTCCTGTTCAAAAGATTCAAGATGAATATATCTGGAAAAAAACGAAAATTTCATACCAGCTAATGTTTGAAACAGTTTCGTAGCTCCAGGGTAAGTTAGAGTCCTCCCAAAGGAAACAATTGCCAAAAATCTAAAAAAAGTCAATTTAGTTGATATGTTCTTAATGATTCTGTCTATCAATGGCATACCCCAATAGTCTCTCTAAGAGACTATATTCTGGATGAATTTCTAGAGTAATGGAACGTTCTTTAACTTTTCTGTTGGTCAATCGATTATTAAGTATTTAAATAATTTAAATTACAATTTACTAACGATGATTTGTTTTTGTAACTGTACTCTGTAGGCAATACCCATGTGTCGCAATCATATAGAAAAAGGGATTTCTAAATGAAGAAAACATTGTTGAATAAAATAGTTATATTATAAACTGTTTATTTGAATATATTCACTTTTGCCGATTCACTCTCAAGGGATTTTGATAGGTAGCTGTTAAATTTACTATAATCATCATTGAGCATCCTACCAAGACCTGTTAGTAAAGAAATTTACTTGGATAATAGTTAAAAAATCTTACGATAAACGTACCTCTCATAAATATACCGACTAGATAACTGATACAGACAACGATACTGAACTTGCCAAGCTGTTGAATGCCAATAATTGTAAACATTCCTGTAAGATATGAAAGTTATTTATATGATTTCAAATATTTAATTAAAAGATCTAACCTTTGTAATACATAAAGGGAAGAGAGAAAGGCAGGGTCCACCTAAAGATTCTTGATAGTATCTTTACCTAGATATGATGACAAAGAAATTATTCTCTTTTCGTAAAAGGTGAACAGATCAACTTACAGATTTAATAACACTATCTCCAAATTTTTCTAATTGATTCTGTTCGTAGTTTTTACCCTAAAAAAACCGAAAATTGAAGCATACATTAATCGATTGGTAATACAGCTTTTATATTTTCACAATAAATATAGAATTTGCAAAGAAAATTGATAAACATATTGCTAATCTTTCGATTATAACAAAAATTTTTACCCGTTCATTCCCGTCTGCGTAGATACGATACAGTTTCGGCCCCGAAAAACAACGAATTTTATCCATTTTCTCAAGCAGACGAAGATATCTAGACATTTGTTTACAATTACTAACAGATGTCGCTACTTGCATTATTACTCTAAAGACTTTTGTAGATTTTTTAGACCTTGACATTGGTTAAACTCACCTTGAAAATTCTGAAATTGTGGTAAATTTCAATAGTTTTTACTTGATTTTCATAAGATAAAAGGTTAACAATAATTTATTAAATGTATAACTTTTTAACAGGTTTAATTTAATCAGCGAAAATGTCCGGTAGACTGATGAGATATCCCCAGACCTTTGGCTCTAAAGTAATGATGTTTCCCTGGAAGTATCATTGGCAAAACGGTAGACTTTTGAGATACTATGCCTATTCCCTATTAATATGCGCTCCATTGTTCTGGAAGATCACATCTTCACGTATGTTTATTCTATTTAACTTTAAAGAATATCCTTAATAAATCTGTTCCAATCTTTCAGTCAATTCACCGGGCAACGTCAATATGTGGAAGGACATTCGTGCAAAAAGAAACCGTACGTTTCATTACAATAACATTTTCTACAGTCAATTGAGTGCCAATTTACTGTTTTTTCAGATACCCATTTTGATGCACCAGGCAATCATTAAAGTTATAGAACATTTGAAGAATAGTAAAATAAGTAATTAGTGATTTAAGTGTATTTGCTTTGCTGAGACAAATAAAGGCATATACGCAACATCACATTGTAACAAAATACTGAAAAAAGAATGTCAATGGACGTATTATATTATTGGCACAAATTTCTACATTCGATTCATACAGGCTTTACTAATACTTTTATCAATGAGTTAGCTGCTCCAAGCCGGTAACTGCGCCGTCAGTTCGAATTGCACTTAATTTTCTTTTAAGCCATAAAAGGTCTTCCTCCATTTGTGATGTCAATTTTTTCTCCATTAATATCTTTTTGGTATCGATACCTTCGTCCACCGATACAGGACTAGATAAATCTCTTTCGGGTAGAATGTCAGTTTCGGGAATTTTTTCTTGCAACTCCTGAGGAAAAGAAAACATGCGGTTAACTTGAAAGAAACTATAATATTTCGAAAGCACCTTGGTCCTATTATGTAATGCAACGTATTCAGCTCTCATTTCATTCAGATCATTACCCAATCGGTTTGCCCTTACATAATGAGCCTGTGCAATATTACGTAAGTCGTTCATCTTGGAAGTCCACTGATGGTTTTCAAAATCTCGATTCTTAGCTTCGGTCTGCATTTGTTCCTCTAAATTTTTAATTTTACTTTCTAATGAAGAATTCTCTCCTTTAAATTGTTCCAACTCTCTTTCGCGATCTTGAACTCCTTGCTCTTTAATAAATGAAGAAATAAATAGACAATTGAAAGAAATTGAATAGAAAAATTTCATTTCATTACCCAAATCTGTTATCTTGATTGTCATAGAATTCAGATCGGCTAGGTCGCATTGAATACAAGATGAATTTGATATTTTACTAGCCATACTTGAATATCCATAATCATTGTCTGTATTGACCGAGGCTTCCTTCTTTGGAATACTTTTTGTTTCTTCAATAAGTAGTTGACTCTATAAATTTGGTAATAAAAAGTTCAATTAATGATATTCTACTAATTAAAACCAATATGAAAGCATAGATTAAATTCAGAACCTGATCTATAGACTTTTCTATAAGATCGAGATGTTTGGCAAGTAGGACAGATTTAGCTTCTAATTCCTGAATCATTGAGAAATAAGCAATATAGAAAACCGAGATATAGAAGATCAAATAAAAATAATTAATTTAAGAGACGGCTATTATCAATAGCTACAAATGATAGAAAGCCTAGCTTACAGCCATTCTTAAATCAGCAGTGTCCTTTTCTGCAGCAGATCTCTCCTGAATTTCCTTCAATTCCATTCTCTTTCTCTTTAGATTATCATCTAAGGATTTGGCATCTTGAAGTCTGTCGTTTATTACGCTACTTAACTCGTTTAACTTCTTCTCCGAATCTTTATATTCTGTTTCTGATTGTTGTATATTATGTTGCAAATTCTCCAAGCTGAAAGCATAATAAATATGAATGGTTAAATTTTTCTTGAAGAATAATAAAGAACCGATAAAAACTAACTGTTCCTCTGCTCTTCTGACTTCTTCCGTTATATTTTGAAATTCTGTATCCTTTTCTAATAATAGCTGATTAACTTCTTTAACAACTGTTTCTAAGTCCCTTTTGACTTGTTCTATTGGTTGAGTTCTACTAATGGTTTCATACGAATTATCAGTTTTTCTATTCTTGGAAAGTTGTGCAGCATCATGCAATTCTTGGTGAGTTTTTTCTAACAATCGCTTTGCTCGACTTAATTCAGCCCTTTTTGCCATTATTTCTTCGTCCAAACAAGAGAGTTCTTCTGTGCTTTCAAGGACGTTTTTTCTTCGATTTATAGCGAGATCGAGTGCCTCCAATGTACGTGTTTGTCTTTCGATAATTCTATCGATTCTATCTAACTCCAGCGATTCGTTTGATCTCGTTTTCTCACTGTATTTTTTATGTTTTAACTTATGTTTAAGCTCGTAAATATGATCTTCTAAGTCATGATGCTCTTTAATATTGCAATACAATGATTTTTGCATATCTGTACTTGGAGCGCTCCGTTTTTTATTAGCCTTTGGACTTGGTTGTAAGAGATAAGAGGGCAAGGAGACTTTACTATTTCCAGTAAAAGGTACAAATCCACTTGGCCCCTCTTGTCGCACCTCCGGTTCCTGATGGGAAAATAAAGCTGGTTGTTGAGATTCGATGACACGGCCTGGGGTCATTACTTGAGGTGAATAATGAGGTTCTACGTAGTCTCCAACAGCTTGAGGCTGACCGTAGGTGTAATTCGACATTGGAATGTGACTAAATTGAGGTGCAGGTCGTGCGGTTTCGTTTGTAATATGACTTTCCGGAACGATCCCCCCAACATGTAGGCGTTCTGTTGGGTAACGACTTAGGGGTTTTTGTACATGTGGTGGGAAGGCAGAATTTGGATTGTTTAAATTAGCATGATGATTATAATTCTGAGGATCGACTTGTTTTGGTGTATGTGAATTCTGATGGGGAAAATGTTGCGATTGGTGATTTAGAGACGTTGGACATGAATGATAGAGTTGAGAATTATCGAATTTTGGTCCAGCTTGCCTGGATTGATTTGAAAATTCGTTATCAGCTGCCATATACTGAGCATTTGATAAAGGTACTCCTTCATTTACAGTTGGATTATGACTTCCATGACCAGCTTCCGCCACTGTCCTTGGGTCAGGAAAGTAGTTTTGTTGATTTGGATCGTATTTTCTTGACGGATTATAGTAAGGATCATGAGAATAAGACTCTGGATACATATCAGCAGGATGATAAGTATCTGACAAGGCTCTTGTCTTTCTTACAGGAGCTAATTCTTCATGTAAAGGTTCTTGGAATGGAATATTAGTCATTGAGCGACTTCTAGTCACCTCAGAAGCGTGTTCACTGACAGTTTCTAGCTGTCTTGGCCTATTTAAATTTGTTTTTCGTCTATCTCGCGGATAACCGTAACTATCAGCACTCTGTGATCTTGGCCGACGAGAATTATCTATTAATGGATACATAAATATTAATAAATATTGTATATATGTATATTATATACAACATTCTCTTTACAATTAATTAATTATTTGTAATAAGTATTAAAAAGCAAAAAAAAAGTAACCTTCAAAAAAATCAATACCGTCCACAACTTTGCGAGAAAGACGCTTTTTTTCCTTAGATGGAGAAGTACCATAGGACATTGACCTATCAATTCTATTGGTTAAATTTGTGTCTTTGCTTTGAGGCGCATGTTGTCGAGGTGGATATGATTCTATATTATCACCAGATTCCTATAAAATATAATGATAAATCTTTAATACATATTATTTAGTTTTAAAAATGGAATATAAAGAATATTTTGTTTTAAAGAAAGATAGACAAGATAAAAAACAACATCGTTTGCGTCAAATGTTCTATGTGCTCCTTCTATCTAATTGAAACAAACCTTGCTTTTCCGAGTATACTAAATTTGAGATTTGCACAAAATTAACGAATGTGTTTTGTTTTTTTGTTTGTTTTATATAAATAATTGAAAATAAAGTTTTAAGTAACATATTTAAATACCAGAAAATTGCTTACATAGGAACTTCCTACTCCAATTGATCGTCTGGAACTTATCTCGCTGACTAAATCTTGTATACGGTCAACGCGATTATTAGCTTCCTTAGTAATCTGTAACCATAGAAATTACCATATCTAATTATCCGTAATTAAATAATAAAAATAACTCAACGAACTTGTTGGTTTTGATTACGTTTAGCTAATAAGACTAAAAGTTCTCTTAATTCATCAATTTCCTCTTGTAATTCGTCGAAAAGTTCTTGTTCATCGGGATTCATTGCCTCGTACAACTCATTCTTAACTTGTGACCACTCAGAGGTGTTGTAAGTAGAACGTGATTCCGCTTGTATGCTCTATTAGATGTTTTATATATGCAATTAGCGAGGAAGTTTAACTATAATATATAGCAAACTAACTACAGCGGTGTTAACTCTTCTGGATAATGCAGGTTTTGAGCGTTGAACGGAAGGAGCTGGCTGAGGTGTTGGTCTATTTTGTAAGTTTTCAACCAATTCTCTCAGGTGTCTTATTTCTTTTTCTTGTTTTGTCTATTTTTTTTTATAATCAAAGAATATATCTAATTGTCATCATCAATATGATAAAAGTGTACTGACGTTGTGATTTTCCAGTTGCGTGACTGTGTCCTCCAACTCTCTAATGTACGCGTCTTGATGATTTAACTATGGGGTAGATAAATATGTCTCTTTTATAACTGAAATATAAAACGTAGTTTTTTTTATATTAAATTAATAACCTCCTTTTCCTTTTCTTGCTCAAAAGCCTCCTCTCTTCTTTTTATATGATCAGTTAGTTGTTCTACAATTGGATCTAACCGATTATCGTATTCGGTGAGAGTGGGCGATTTCTATTAGGTATAGTTTATAATTGTTTATTTTTTTGTATAGCTTAGTGAAATGGATACATACAACTTTTCCATTTTCAAGAGAGTACGTGACCTCTTCCAGTTTAGCCTGCACAACGGCTGGATCTACCAATTTAGAAATAGCATCTGCATACGAAACCTAAAGAAAAAAATATAAAAATAAAGAGGAAATCAAAATAAATAATGACTAACTTCTAATTTAGCAAATTTATTCCTTAGAGCCTCTTCATCGGCATTTCTATCTTCATTTAAAGCCGACAGTTCCTGAAGTTGAGAGTGAAAGAGATTTCTTTCGCTTTCAATTTGTTTCTTTAAATGTTCTATTGTGTTTTGTAAATTGTTTAAATCTGATTCGATCTCATTTTCTCGTTTAGCGTTTTGATCTACGCGGCGTTTTAGCTCTTGTTCATACTTTCCCCTTTCGTCCTATAGAATAGAAAGGTTTCTAGAATTAATACAAGTTAATTGGGATTAAATTGTAAACATACATTAAAATGCTTTCTAAGTGCGTCTAATTGCTGTTGCATCTCTTGTTCATAGAGATCGCTCTCTTTTTGCTTGGTTTCCATTTCTTTTCTCAAGGCTTGTCTTTCGACTTCCAGCTGCTTTTGCATTTGGGCAGAAGCATCTGATGTTTGCCTGCGATGTTTGTCGACAGCTTCAGATAAATTTCGCTGTGTTGTACTTAACTGGTCGTGCAGTTGATCTACTTTTCTTTTTAGTATTCTCTCCGCAGAAGTTCCTTTTTCTACTTGTTCGTGTACCACTTCTAATTCTCTTTTCAATTGTTCGCGATCTCGAATTAGTTCCCGTCGTTCCTCCTGCTCTTTCGCGCGTTCATTTTTAACGTTTCCTAAATAACTTTGAAGGCCTTCGATAACTGAATTCAATTCGTCTTTAACTTCCTCGTTTTGAGAGATCCATGCATCTCTCAGTTCGTGCTCTAATCTGCGAATCTCCGCCGTTTCACGTGCAATCATCATTAACATTTGCTCTAATTGATTTCGCAGCTGTTCATACTCGTCTGAGGTCATCTCTAGTTGCTGCTGTTTATCAACCATTTCTTTCCTTAGGCCATTCTGTTAGAATATTAAGATTTAGTTTTAAAAGATATGTACTGCAATTCTCAAATACATATATACTGTATAAATAGAACCATATACTTACGTATAAAGAGTCTCTTGAGCTCATGCGAGACAGTCTGCCTTTAATATCAAATAGGTCTTTCTCCTGTTCTCCAAGATCTTGCTCAGTATTCTTCATCTCTTTTTCTATTTTTTCAGCTTCCTTTTTTAATTTTCGAACTTTTTCAATCTTTTTGGCAAGCTTGTTCCTTATAACTTCTTTCTCTTTCCGGTCCTCGTGAGCTGCTTTCTGCTCTTGAGCTAAATTATCTAGTTCAGAGGTGGCCTTGGCTATTCTATGTTCAGTTTGGTACAGCTGGTCATTCAGTTGTTGCAAACGCAATTGAGCTAACAAAGGTAAAAGTAATGTTATCACGTGACTACTCACGTGCCTAAATCGCTGGTGAGGCAAACGTTTACATTGAGCAATGTTTAATAGCCTCGATGAATTAATATCGAATTAAAAAAAAAATCGTATAAAAACTAACCTTTCTCAATGGCTTCATTTTTTTCGGCCAATTGTTTATCTAATTCATCTTGCATTCGTTGAAGTTCATCAGGATCCACATATTCTTCATCACCGGGTCTTCTGAAAATGTGCCTTTCACCTTGTTTGAATCGACCTTTACCTAGATAGGGTGATTCTCCAAATGTATCATTTTCATCCTTAAAAAAAATAGTATAAAAAACACATTAAATACTAATTAAACATTGTTTCTCTAGGCTTACAGTTGAATAATGTGGAACTGGTGATACTCTTCCTAAAACTCCAAACTTGTGATCAATTTTATAAAAAGCTACTTCTTGCTCTAATTCATAGTGTTTCTCAGCAGCTTTTGCTATTTCCGCATTTTTTTTCTTAATCTATACAAAGACAAATAGAGAATGGTATGTTTAAATGAGCTGGGATGAATAATTTTTTCGCTGCATACCGCTGTTTCTTTGTCATTTGTTTCTCTTTCTAAACGGGAAAGGTTCTTTCTTAATTGCCTAATTTCATCGTTTAGTGACGTTTCTTTATTCTTTTGCTGCTGTATAATTTTTTCATTTTGTTCCCTCATCTCTTGTAAGGCACGATTTTCGTTTGCTAATTTTTCTATTTCCAATTCTGCTCTACGCAATTCATCAAGAGAAAATCTCTTTTGAGCATTTTCTCGATCAGAATTCGTTATGTCTATTTCGTCAATTGTATTTAGCGTTCTAAGATGAAAGATTAATAAAAGTTTAAAGTGGGGTAAAGTTGAGCAAGGATTCTCTTCAGCGCTTAAATCAGTTAGATGAGTAAGAGCTCTTAATTTAATAAATTCATCAATCTGTATACAAACATAACTGTTAGTTATCATTAAAACATTAATTGTGAAATAGGAAAGAAGGTTATTTCCACTTTACCGAATTTATTCTATTTTCGCTGAGGTTAATTGATGTTAAATATTTCTGTTTCTTTGTTAAGGAATTCGGTATAACTTGTATATTGTTACCAGCCAAATTTAGAATCTGTAATTGTAAGAGACTTTCCAAATTTTGAATGCTTGAGATATTATTGTACGATAAATTCAACTCTCTCAGGTTACTTAATTTCCCCAAGCGTTCAATATTCTCAATAGCGTTATAGCTCAGATTTAGTGACTGGATATTTTTTAATCCCTCAAGACCCTCAATAAACTGTTAAAAAGAAAAATGCATTTTTTTACGATATCTCAATAAATTTTTGCTTTTTTTTTGAAACAAAGGCACTTACTCTGATTTTTTTCCCTCCTTTTTTAGAAACGCATAGATTTAATGAGACTATTGTACTTAGGTGTTCATGACCAGAAACTTTTTTAATTAGATCCTCAGTTATGTACCGAACACCGGCTTGTTCTCTTGCTAAAATTATTGCATAAATAGTAGAGTATTATTTAATATTTGTGTAAGAACTATTACCTCTATCCCTATATATATTTAGAGACATGTTGATAGATTATCCTCAAGTCATCATCTGCACAAAATCAAAGAGAGAATTGTTTTGGAGTCTAATTATGTGTGTGCATAAAAATCCCAGTAAAATATGTTTCCAATCTTTTAACACAACAATATATTTAAAAAAGTGAAAAATGCATTTGATTTTACAGAAAAGTAGCAAAAAACATCGTGCTGAAACTTGTTTCTATGGCTTATGACCTTGACATTCGTAAGTTCGATATTGCCCCTATATGTCCACCTCTATTAATTCTAGCGCAAAAATGGGCGGGAATCAAAACCAGATTAGTTACTGCAAAAGCCTTGACCTCAAGTCAAAATAAATAGCTGACGTTGAGCCCAAGTCATTTTACATGGTCTGACATGAGTTTTTTTATTAGTGTTTAATAAATTAACAATGGAATACTTTAGTGATCTTATTGGTTCATAATCAAATATTGAAGGAATTACTAGAAGAGATAAATATGGATAGGTCATCTAGAAGTGAACTATTGACCACTATAGAATCTCAAAGGGAACAATTAGCTAAATATGGATCCAAACTTGGAGGTCTTTATTGCTTTTAAAATTTAATAAAAGTCCTTAAAATTTGACGCTTTCAGATCTCGTCAGAGCGTACAAAGGCTTATTAAAAGAAAAAGAAGCACTTGAAGCTAGTGTTAAAGCTCTATCAGCAGGAAAAGCGGAGCCCACCCAGAAAAGTGGTGAAGATGAATGTGAAAGCAATGAAGCAAAGAATAAGGAGGAATCTGAAGAAGAAACTCTCCGTAAGCAAATTAAAACATTAACATTGTCATTATCTACTGTGACCGAAGAGAAAACTAAGATGGCAAGCAATTATCAGGCGGAGAAAAAAATTCTAAAGGTATCTGAAAGCTAAAACCTTCAATTAACTTGTTTTACCAAAAATCTCTTTATTATCTAGTCAGAACACGAAACAGCGATTATAGCATTAGAGACGGAATTACAGGAACTGAAAAGAAAGTTTCGCGAAATAGAAGAAAAATCTCAAGAGGTTCGCCTACTTTTTAATATATTAGCTAATTTAAAAATATATTCCACTTATTTTCCCTATTAGTGGAAAGGACTGCTTATAATCGAACAGCACGAAAGGGAGAAAGAACATTCTAATTACGCCATGCAATTGAAAGAACTGCAAAAGCTATTAGGGGAAGAAAGACATAACCGAGAAATGGCCGAATCGCTAGCTGAAGAATTTAAACAAGTTCCAAAACCTTGCTCGATAGAAGTTGGTCAATATGAAAAGAAAGTAAATGAACTAAGTGAAGAATTAAATATTGTTCGGAAACGGCTGGCGGCGGCGGAAGAATCGGCTTCAAAACCACCGCCGTTATTATTGGAACTACAGAGGCAAATGTTAGATATGAAAGCCGCTCACCAGGTAGCCCTAACAGCCGAACAAAAGAAAACCAAACAAGCCGAAAATCGGGCGACCGTTCTGGCTGAACAGAACGAACAGCGAGTGGCCACTTTAGAATGTCGTTTAGCGGAATTATCGGAAGTGGTTGGAACATATGAAAAGAATAGAACTGAGGACCAAGAAAATATATTGAGGCTGAAGGAGAGAGTGACGCAGTTGGATAGTGAAAATACAGTTCTGGCGAAAGCGGCGGGACATAATGATGAGGATAAGGAGGAGAGCGACGACGCAAATCTAGACGTTCAAGGAGTTATTAATAAAATATTTAAATTACAGAGTTTGTTAAAAAAGGCAAATGAGAGGAGTGAAAAGCCAGTCAATTTATCCAGTAGGTCGCGCCATCTAACTTAATAAAGACATTTAAAATTTTGCTGATGAAACGCTTTCCTTTTTCTTCGTTTCAGCTTTACTTCCTTTTCGAGAAGATTCTTACAATATAAACGATGAAGAGACGATACACAAGAAATGTCGTGAAGAATACGATGGTTTGAAAGAAGAATTCGAGCGGTATAAATTAAGAGCGCAAAGCGTGTTAAAGAATAAGTGGCAGGATGCTAAGGACGGAAGCGTTAACAAAGAAGTGGAAACTTTACGAAATCAATTAACGGAACAACGGAAGCGGGTGAAATGCTTACGGGATTCGTTAGAAACTCAAAAGGACGAACATAAGATAACCATCGAAGAACTTCGAAAAAGTTTGAGTGTTCAGGCGGAAAAGTCGGAAAGGGAAAAGTGTATTATAGAAGCCGAACACGCACACAAATTAGCAGAATTACAATTTGAAATAAAGCGACATCGCGAGCGAACCGTGTCACTCCTTGCCGAAAAAGAACGGGAGTTAGATACTTACAGAAGTACACATTCACAAGCACCAACTGCGTTCTTACCACAATCTCTTGATGACCTCGACAAACAAGAGGATACAGATAGTACTTTATCGGCACTTTTGACTTCGACGGGCGACAAACAACTGCTCCACTTCTCCCATGAGCAAGCCCGCAAGGATATTGAAATTGCTCAACTTAGGAAAACCAAAAACTCTTTAGAGTCGTCCGCTCGCCAACTACAGCAGCAACAAGCTTTCGAACGTTCGCAATGCGACGAACAAGTTCAGATGCTCAAGGACGAGATTCGGCGACTAGAACGAAATCGTTCGAGGGAATCAGCCAATTTAGAATACTTGAAGAACATTGTATATCAGTACATGATAAGGAATGACTTAGAGACGCGCCAACGCATGTTGAATGCTATAGCGACTATATTAGAATTTTCTCCTAAAGAAAAGCGCAGTGTATTGGAACATTTGCAGGGACGGAAGAATGCTTCAGTGTTGTTTTAATTATCACCTTGCCTTTAAATCCTCTCGTTCTTCATGTCGCTAAAGGTGGCAATTTAAGTTTTAAGAACATTTTAAACTGTGTCAGAATAGAAAATAGGCGAACGAAATAATTACGGGGCTATATTGAAAATTTGATCGAAGTAACAAGCGAAAACATTCTTTAACATATTCGATTTTAATCTCCTTGGTCTTGTTACTATTCTATAATTTCCATACACTTACCATACTTATTTCATTTCCTTCTTTCTAGCAAATTTAATAGACGTCGCTCATAAAATTTCCCCCCAATTAACAATTATGTAATGGGGGATTTTTTAACGGTAATTATTGGATGCGCGTGAGCGTCGTTCGGCAGGATAGGTCGCGAACTCTTACCCCCCCTACCGAAATCAGCTACGCCCTTAAGGTACTTGCAAGGCGTTTAAGATTTCGGGACAACAACGAGATGGTGACAGATAGGAGAGAGTAAGCCGTTTTCGTTAACTGTAGCAAACACTATCGATTTTAAGTCGGGCTATTCGATTTCGCTTTTACCGCTATACCAAATGTCGTCGGCTCAATCGTTTGATTTGCATTTTGGACGCCGTGGGGGGTAGGAGGTGTGGGCGATGGAGAGAGGTTCGTTAAAAAAAGATTTTTTTCCTTTTTTTGCGGTTGCCTATTAATCACGTTACACTAACCAAGTTCATACGACGCGACATTTTAGTTGAGACGTCATCAGACAAATTCGTACTTGGTGTCGCCCGGCCGTCTTTTGTCGTAGGGCACGTTCAATTTTTCATATAAAACGTTTCTTCTCTATCAAATTTACAGGCGTCTCTCTATATATATGGTATATAACACAAAATGTATATACAAATTAACAAAAGAAGTGCTTTTAATTTGTAGTCTTAGGTTTGCGTATAAAGCTAACATCACCCGTCTCTTACTTAAATGAAGGGAAGTAGTTAGGCATTTCGAAAGGTTTCTCATGTTTCATATAAAGGCAATTCCGATTTTAATATATTATTTCAGCGGTATAACGTAATAAGCAGTTTTCCAGTACTTGATTCTAAAAATAAACTAAACATATAATAGGCTTACTAAACAATGTATACATATTCATTAATTCTTTATACACACTTGCTGTGTCGGGTATGCCTTATATACATATATAGATTATAGGATAATTAAGGCAATCGCTCGATTGCAACTATACAGTTGAAAAAGGGAGGCACCACCCTAACCCACGGGCATTCGACATTGTCTAGTCACTAATCACAAGCCGTTTGTCTTTGGCAGCAAACAATACGGGCGTGTCGCGGAAAACAATACTTTTACTGCGGTATGACGTAAGGTAAAGCGTGCCACTGCAAACCGATTTTACAGTCACGTCTGGTCTGCTTCGATTAGCCGACGCCGTTTTTGTCGCTTTGATGGCCGATGGCGCGTTATGACGACGGATTACCTTCGTAAATCGGCGGCTCTTCAAAGACAAATTAGTTCAATCAATTTCGCTTTTTATTGTCTCTTTCTAGCGGCTAGACGGTACGCGTTGCAAACAAAACGTAAAAATATTTTTCGGTGGAACGTGATTATTTCTGTTGAGGACGTCATGCCTTCCGTTCCCTCATCCGTGCTGTCTCTTTGGTGATAAATTGAAAAAAATTTTTATTGAATATACACACAAAATATTGACTACAACCAGCAATGCCACACCCACTTATAATTGTATACACACCGTTCGATGCGTAATTCGCTAGCCGCCAATATTTATATAGAATATCGAGCTAATCCCGGCACGTCGATTGTTGCTGACCAGCGGCTAGTTCAATCACGCGTCTACGGTTTACCGACAATTCAGCGTCTCTCTTAGCGCACGTAGTAGACGCCGTCGGCATTTAAAACGACGTGGAAATGTTACGCGTTGCTAATGAGGCCGACGTGCGTTTATAGACAAAGCAGCGTGTAATAATGCACCGAGCGGCCGGAGGACGTGCCAAGAAGAACGCTGGTCATCTTCTGATGCGTTGCGCATTGTGTAACTACCTGTCACCTTTCACCTTTGACCTGATACAGGATGTATAAGTTTCCATTTTCATTTTTTGCCGCTAATGTCCTCCCACTAATTTGATTTTTTTTATATATGCATATGTACCTACTTCTTCCCTAGAAAGACGTTTGACGTCGCAGCTGGTGACGGCGGCATCACCAAGGAATCAGCACGCGGTTTCAGATTGGCTTCATTCGAGCGCGTGTTGAACGTGCACACGCGCTCGCAATAGACGCTCCAATAAGTAGGTCATATATCCATAAACGCACTCTGCATATACAATCTATTCGAAAATATATTTGGAACAAAAAAGAAGAAAGGAGAAAGAGAGCAATGTAATACGAAATATATAAGCTTTAAATGTGTACCCTTTTTTTTACTAGTATAGAAGAAGCAGCTGCATGCACGAACGTCTCTCCTTCTCGATTACTTTTCTATAATCAGAAACGAACAATCAGCATGCAATTAGAGAAGAAGCACCATAATTACTCGCAGCGTTCTTTTTCCAGTCTTGTGTCAGTTGTTCATATAAAAACATTAAAAATTTGATACTCGGTTCTTCCGATAAGAATCTTTACCGCATAAAAAGCGTAATAATCGCTAAAAGCTGATGACAGACCGTCGAACAAAGTTCGTTCGCACTCGGAAATCTATCGAGTACGCGTAGACGCCCCCTCTACAATTTTCTGCATCGTTCCCCTTTGAACGACGGAAAAGGAAAGCTTCTTCAACGATCTGTATGTAATTAAAACATAATTAACGAGCGCCTGTTCTTTTGCACTCGACCGAGATCACACTCCATGACTGCGCATTCTCCGACTAGAATATGCGTGCAAATTTATACATGATATAAAACATGTAACGGAGATTCTATACAGCGAATAATTAGGCGTGTAGCATGTGACGCTGACAGTTGGTAAATACACAAAGTTACATCAGAGTTTTTGCAATGCCTCATCTCAATCTTATTGGCAAGCGTGTTCAGTTGAGTGTAAACAGCGCGAGATACAGATGTTTTTGCCTAACAGTTTTTTTTATCCGCATTTTACCCTCATTTGCCTTTTCTTTTCCAAAAATTTCTCTCTTTTTTACTTTTTTTTTCTTCGAATAGCATTCAAAGTGTTTTCTCCTTCGCGATCCTCGTTAATTTGTATATATACCGCGGAAGAAGAAAGCAAATGTTTACGCAGGCGGCACCGGCTGTTTGTCAAATACGCAAAAGAACAGACGGACAAACAAAACATTTCGCCGATTTTCACCTCCGACAAGAACCAGACCATAGAACTCTATTAAGCTCTCATTACGCTGACAGGCTAGCTAAAATAAACGCTCTTCCCTATATCTGCTTTGGAATGTAATTGGCCCGCCCCGAAATTAATTAGATTGCTATCGCCTAAACTTAAGTCCTCAGAGTTCGTTTGTCAATAAACGGTTGCATGTCTGTAAAATGCCAAATCTCTTTCAGATTTCTGATATTAAAAGAAAAAGAAAAAAAAGAAAACAAGAAGGAAAAAATACTTCGCTCCCGTTTACCCCCCACAGAGTCAGACCGGAACGGCGTCGCATCCATATACATTATAAAAAATGCATAACAGTCGGATTCGGCGCCATAGTTGGCTTTAATGCGGTAAATGTAGAAGCACTATAGGCGGGCCGAAATTCGACGCCAATGTACGGAAACCCCGCTAGGTCGGCTTATGAGGAGAAGAACAGACAGAACGGTGAGGCACCTGTTTATTTTTTACGCTGTTCTCTGCAGATGCACTACCGATAAGCGAAATGTTATATTTTCTCGATTGGCCGCTAAAGCAAATATTGTATTTCCTTACTACAAACATGTCCACGGGCGGTCACGACCTTTCGCCACCGATGGTCCGACGTTAGTTAACGAGGTCAACGGTAAACAAGATAACGTCTTTAGTAGTCATAAAAGTGGGCGGGATTTACAGGTCGACCCGCTAACTATGACCTTTGACCCGTCCGAAGGTGACGGCTGAATGGAAACGCCGGTGACGTCCGACAGATGCCGATTGTCCAAAAATAGTTGCGACGCTCGATGCTTATCTCTTGCTTGAATTAGCCTGTAGACGGTTTGCTCGGGGCTGAGTTGCATGCGTGCTCGACGTGCATGAATGTGGAAAGTTCTATATCGAACATATGACTCGAGGACGACGTCAGCTGTATCGGTCGATCTATCAGGGGTGCGAAGTGATTACCGTATTTAAAATAGGATATTCTCTTCTTATTTATTGCGTGTAGAGCATATATTGGATGGGCGCGGTGTATATACGTGCACGCACATTATACGGAAAAGCTCATCGACGCGTAAAAGAGGTGCATTCACTAGACGCATACACATACAAGGTAAACTGTCAAAGTACTATATATTAAAGAGTTTTAAGTTCATTTAACAGATGTAGCCGTTCTAAAGTTTCCAGACGAGAGTAAGACGGCGACTTCAATGCGCTATACCACTAATTGTTCATATACAATAGTTTGGCGCCTTTGGCTAGTGATCAAACATTCTTGAACGCCATCTTTTTACACGGTTTGTTATTCGAGCAAGCATAAAGTATATATATGCTCGATCTGGGACAATTTGCCAATTTCATTTTTACTATCATTAAACATTTACAAATACATATTTTGTATAGACAGCCTCTATGGATTTTATACTCATGTACAGCAATAAGGTAATCAAGTCATGATGTATCGTTTACCATTATTGTATAAATAGAGCATGATGGCTTTTTCAATTTCCTCTCGTTGTTTCATGTTTCCATTGAGTTAACGCATGCGTGTCGTTTGTCCGTGTTGTATCCTTAATATTATCTGCTAGACATCACTTATATCTATATAATGGGACTATATGTGTATAACACAGAATTTGTCTATATATATCTATATCTATATTGTATATATGATCAAGGACCATCTCTTTTCTTTTAAGAGAATCTATAGTAAAAAGAAACCTGTTTTCAATTAAAAACTTTTAATTTAATTGAATTAAACAATCTAAATAAGAATGAGAAGAAGATAATATTAAAGCTTTTTCATCAATATCCTCCTCTCATTCTCTCTCGCTCTTTCTTTCTTTTCTCATTTTCATTTGTCGCACTTTTAAATATATATATATATATATATATACATATATAAAGTATATATATATAGTGTACAATATATATATATATATACAGAACACAATACTCATGTATAAAGGGTTTATTATATCACAATATATAATTATATAAATGACTGTATCATATGAACAATAGTTTCAAAGTAATATGGAAAAGTCTCGTTAAAAGAGAAAGTCAACTAGGCGATTCCTTCAGCTTATATAAACTTAAACGCGCGCATATAGATAAATAAGGGTGTTCCAATTCATAATAACAGGGAATAAACAAAGCCGAAAAGAAAACAATCGCTCGAATTTGACTTTCATTCGTATACTTCTTCTCAATGGGTAGATAGTTGAGAGGATTAACTCAAATACCGTCCTTTTTCTCTTCGAGCGTCTCTCCGTGTCGAATCACCTATACACTATGTAGCATCTCAGCGTGAATTCATGCTGTCCAATACAATACATTCGTTAAGCGCTCGATTTATACCAATTTTGTGATTATACGTTGTATATGTTTTTTGTGTATGTAGGTTATATCAAAGTTTTATAGGAAGTTCGTAAAAGTTCAAAAACATATTCTCCAGTAGGCGTTGCGGGACATAAATATACGCTGAAAAGCCACATTGTTCTATGCTTTGTAAAGTTTATAAACGGCGTGTTAGAATATTATAGGGCGCAGTTAAGTCTCAGCTGGTCTGTTGTAGCAACAAGTAGTCATTAGCAAAGGCGACATTCGAATACATTTATACAATGCGGGAGAGCGTCTCGAGCGACTCGGTGTCAGCACCCTAAACGCCCGCGGCGTCTCTTCTTCGCACTCTTAAACAATCTGACAGAGCCGTTTTGGAAAGAGATAGCTACTCTTCCTTGTTCAGAGCTATTTCAATTAGCTCTCGCTTAGTTTCATTCTATTTTCTCTTACAGGCCACCTCCCGCAGAGACCGCCTAGAGGCGGGTCCAAAAATTTTCTCGAAAGCGCTGATTGGCTACGAGTTAGTATTAGCACATGAGTGACAGGTGGCGCTTTTCAAGAGCTTAGCATCATTGCAATGTCAACACTCGACGCTTGTTTGTACATGCAAGTAGAGATGACGAGAGACGGCAGACACACAGCGTTCAGTATTCGGAATTTGGTAGGTGAATCTATAGACGAAGAGGAGAGGCAAAAGATATCACCACCAAGTACAAGATCACCATCTTCTTCTAGTAAAGAGGAGAATGAAGGACCGATTGATTTTCGTGTAAATTCTTCGGATAGTGAGGGAGATGCAGAGGATGACTTGGATGTTGAGACGATTGATCCGGTATCTGCAGAACAAACGGATACAAAAGAAGAAGATAATAAGAAGGAAGAAGAAAATAAAAAGCCAGAAAAACCTCCTTTCTCATACAACGCTCTAATTATGATGGCAATAAGATCTTCAGCCGAGAAACGACTGACCTTAAACGGTATATACGAATTTATCATGAAAAATTTTCCTTACTACAAAGACAATAAGCAAGGCTGGCAGAACTCGATAAGACATAATTTATCGTTAAACAAATGCTTCGTCAAAGTACCTAGACACTACGATGACCCAGGAAAGGGAAACTATTGGATGTTAGATCCTAGTGCAGATGATGTTTTTATTGGAGGAACAACCGGAAAATTAAGGAGAAGATCTACGGCTGCACACCGAGCAAGGCATTTAGCAGCGTTGAGACACAGGTCATTAGTCGGTCCTCCGCATCCTAGCTTTTGGCCTCTACATGCCGCCTCTTCCACTCTACGTTATTACTCAGCAGCCGCTGCGGTAGCAGCCTCTTATCCTGCGGCAGCAGCTTATCATGCCGCCTTATTACAACAACACTTACCTCCTAGACCGACAGTCTCTTCGCCATCTTCCTTCTCCGTTGAACGCCTCTTGTCACCTGATGTTCAAACGACTGCCTCACCACCAACACAGACATCTCCAACAATAACGCGTCCGGCGTTTACTGCAGATTTGTACGCCGGTTTACGGCCCCTTCCGCCGCCCACCGCCGCCCATTCGACTACACACGGACTAGTTCCACCAACGGCTTTATGACGGTTAATTTAGTCAGATTAAGCGAATTATATTGTATAATGTAAACGTGTCGTTTTTCTGTGAAAAAAATGCTCAAATTTTTTGCCGCTTACGTCAGCATTGAATCGTCGGGAGAAGCTTAATTGACGCATCTTCATTATAAATAACTTTATGTAAGGATTTGCACATTTTTTGCAGGCATAGAAACTTTAAATAGTATAGAAAGTTCGTATGCATATTTATCTGTAATTTATTCTTGGTTCATACACAAAAATTGCATATGTGATTTATCGGCAATAAATTGTAAATTTATATATATCTCTTATATATATATATATATGTATAATAATGTATAGATATACACTATATATATATACTGTATATAGATTATTAACTTACAATTACTGATGTATCTTTTTTTTTTTTTCATTTTCCTCTTTTCCCTTTTGCTAACTTCCTCTTTCAACCTCTTTCAATTTATCTCTCAACAACACTCCCACCGTCCCTCCCTCTCTCCTTCATCATTTTCTTTTTTTCTACTATGTGTATATAGTATATCGATTGAAATTGTTCCATTTAAAAAATATTTAAGTGTATAATAGAATATATTTATAGATACACAGAATAAGACTACGTATACAATCGCAACAGGCGCTATAGGGCAATAAACAATTAATCAATTACTCGCTCGTCGCGCGCCTGCTGCGTAAACCGAAGAGCTTTGATTGACCTACATTTTATCAATAACGACTACAAACAGATGTTCGTTTGAAAATAGATGACAAACAAAAGGGACACACATGTTGGACACGCAAAAGCAGCCGAGTAGGAGCGTCAAGCACGCGACTCATTGCAAAACGGTTTGTCAACAGACTCCCGGGACCCAATTACCGAGGATAACTTGACAAACATAACAGATCGTGTTTGGCCACTCGCTTGACACTCATTTATACGGCTAAGTTATCACAAAATCGGTAACTACCACCCCCACCCTGTTGCTAGTTTTTTTCTTTGCTATGCCTTTCACATACCAATGCTATCGCCGATCATATTTTTATAGGACGAGCCAACAATTGTTGATCTTGTAATAGAATAGAAAGAAATTCGATACGAATTGTATAATAAAGCGAACCAAGACAGGTGAGCTAGATGCAATTCAAAGTAAACAAATGCTGATGATGAAAATATTGTCACTAAGTCGGTGGTCCCCGTGCCAAACGCCTATTTTCAATCGTCGTATTTGTGTTTGGTTTACGATGACAACAATCCCTTTTCAATCGCCTAATTGAATTCTATCCTCGGCGATCTCTTCTTCAATGCTTTCTCAACACAACTAATCAATTGGGCGGGACGCGTAAATCGACCTTGTTGACGCGAGTGAATTATGCATGTGTTACTAAACAGCGTCTAGATGCTGTAGAATAGACGCCTACAATTTAACCAGCTGAGCTATTGTAGCGTCTAATGTCGTGAAACTACCCACTTCCGTTCTCCGTTGCCGGTATAGACGCTTTGTTTGGCCAACAAGGTGTCTACTGCATGCTAGACCGGTTTCGTTGACGTTATGTGACGCGATAGACGTTTTATTAATTCCTATACACAACTTTTCTATTGGTTCGACATAGGTGTATTTATATATTGTAAAAACAGCATATATACAGTATATATTGTATATATATATCCTTTAAAAATCTTTTATTAACATTCTGTAAATATACGAAGAGAAGATAAATCCGTGCAGAAAAGAGACAACAGCATTCTCTATCTAAAACCCGCTGTATAATAATTATATTTTCATAACAATACGCGTATTTATAGAGGATAGAAGTATAAATGTAATGTTTAAAATCTCTGAATCAGCATAATGTATACTTATGTATTAGCCATTAAGAATGTACTGTCATTGTGGTATATTTGCAGTAATGTACCGTATGTTAGTGCTGTGCGTATTGAAAGAATACAATGCCTAATGTGCTTATAGTACAGTATATCTAGTTTATATTCAAACACTTACCAACTTAATAAATCTATGAAGGTAAATACATCTTGTAGTATGTAAATTGTATACATACTGTATTAACCATTTAGACGTTCTGTGTAATATGTATTATGTATGGCAGAGTATAAAGGTAATACATATATAAATATCCGTATAAATTCTACACTGTTATATATGCATTACTAATATAACTAGCACTTATCGCCTTGACAGATCGAAATAAGCCAGACGTACATTTTTCTCTGTCTGTTTGTATTACGGACCATCTTCGCACCATGCAGTTTAGCGTAAATAAAACAATCCGTTAATGCGTTCGTCTGCTAGTTTGTCAGCGTAAAAATATATACAACTTATAAAGTGGAGGATAGGTTACACTGTACATGTTTGTTGCTAATTATATAGGTGTATAGAGAAGTTAACATTGTTTGTTAATTTTCATATTCTCCATTTACTTTGTCCCCATATACTATTTTTTACAGTCTTTTACATGAAATATCCTTTTCCTCTTTCCGGATTCCGAAAGACCTTAGCGTGCCGATAACTAAGCCAATCGTGACTGCGCTCAATGTGATCGCTCTGCATGAAAATATTTATTTGCCAAATAAGTTTACACAACACTGAATCCGAGCGCGGCGGACAGAAGCAGGTGTTGGATGCCGCTTTTTTTTCTACCTACTTCATTACGACATTCCGCCGCTTTTCAGAACGCTTCGGTTGACCTACATACGTATTATGTTCCAACTTACATATATATACAAATAAGTGTATACATAGTTTTATATAGGATGAAATCAGAGCGGAGAGATTTCAATACAGCGTCCCCTAACGGCTTACAAGAGTGCTTAGCCCAGCATGAGTTAAAGTAAATGAAATTTGTGTGCCTGTTTGAACATTGAAAAAGGACGATTCGCAAATACTCAGCTTGAACGCTAAGAGTCTTTCCCTGTTGGAGGTCGGTCTCCCACGTTATAAGTGAACATCTTCAATAAAAACTTTTGCTAAAAAACGCCGTGCCCTTGCAGAATGACGTCACAGGCATCGTGGGACGCTTGTATGTAGTCACGCCTTCGTCCTGTATTGTGGAAGAGTGGCGACAGTGCATCCTGTGAGCGCACCGGTCATTATTACCGTCTGACAAGTAGATACATAGGCGAAAACCCCAGTTATAACTAATCATTAGCGACACACCGTACATATATAGTCATTCGACTGGAAAACGGCAGCGTGCGGAAACGTAAGAATAATTATATCGCTTTCATATGTGCTGCAAATGTATTACATAGAGAGACGAGTAAAAACATGTTTAGCAAACACTTTGAAAACGACAAAACAGCTTTGTGGAAAAAGCCTCACTAATGAGCGGCATAACGAGCATAGCACAATGACATCCTTTTGTTATGAACGCTTTGATCAATCGCACTGACCGCCGCTCTAAACTTCTTCATTAGATTTTGTAGCTTGCGGCAAATCAACATTCGCCATATTTTGCCAATCATCGTCCGAATGTTCGTTTTGCCTTCGGCTCATTTTCTCGCCTATATATAAATATATTTGTACAATTTTCCTTTAGTTTATTTCATTCAAAGGCATGAAGAAAAAAATGCTGGTGCCGGTGATCGTGACAGGAATACAAACTAGCGGGAAATCTCCGTCAACGCCTGCACCATCATTCGCCGTTTTGCTTCATAATTAAATGTTCCACGAGTCTAACCATTTCAGTCCGTATATACGACTATTAACGTTATCCGCCCTCGGGTCAGTCATTCCGTAGGCGAGTGGAGAGAACAGATAGAAACTGTATAAGAAAACAATAAAGCAAAAAAAGAAAAAAAAGAAGCTAGAAAAAACGAAACAAAAAGAAAAAAACTAAAGAAATTCGCAAATAAAAGAACGCACTCGTTCCTCGACGTTTATCTATTGTTCCACTCGGCTTCGTTCGATGTGTGATAGGCGGCGAAAGAAATCAAAGTAAACACAAGCCGCGATAATCAACGCTAAACACGTCTAATTCCGCGTACGAGGTGGCGTAAAGAAGCTAAAATTAATTGAGCCAATTAAGTCGGTCCGGAACGCCGATATTGTCCGCGTTCCGCGACAACAAAGAAGTCCCATTAACGTCAATTACTAAATATAGACGGCACACTTTGCACACATATGCACGCAGTCGATTTCGTTGACAACGCCGTAATTAGAAATACCGGCAAACAATATTCCGTTTTAATTACGCTCCGTCTTTGTTAGATTGTCTCCGCATGACGTTTCTTAGTCTTTCTGTTTATACCAGTTAAAGAAATATAAGAAAGAGAAAAAGACAACAATATTTCAATGCCTCCACCACAAAAATTAATTGCTACGTGCATCACGTAATTAAATTACGTCATAATCAAAGCTCTTCGACAAGTAGCAGATATGGAATACTGTAAGGTTACACTCGAACGAAGGTTTCGGATCGAATAGTCTTTAATAGACGGCCAACATCAAACATTTTTAAAATACAAAGTATCTATACGAACCTGTAAAACAAACCAGACAATAGGCAACAACGAAGAACGTGGCGTAACGACACCTTGATGTATTCATCAAACATTTCCGTTAGTACTTCTATTGCGTAGTCTATTAAAATTCCTGAAATCCACTAATCGATTAACGAACCGTCGAAGCCGCGTGCAAATTAATCGACGTTCAAATTAACAAACTTACCGGATATCGATGACGAGAATAAAAAAGCGGCAAAATAATGATGATAATATAACACCCTTGACATTGTCCAAAATGGAAAATAATGTAAAAACCATCCAATGAATAATATAAGGCTAGATTTAACAACCGTGTTCCGGGTTTCTGTTTTTAAAAGAATCGGCTAGATGGCGCAATTGTGTGAACCCAATTCTGTTGCTGACATCTACAGTTACACTTACCGATCGTTATCTTATCTTCTTCAACTCCTCTCTTTAATCTTACAAAATGATAAAAAGTCAAGAAAGGAAGATAAAAGAGTAAAAGCAGTTCCAGCCACCAAATTAGTGGATTTCCTAATAAGTAGATTCGAATTTCTTTACCAGAGAACAACTGGCCTCTATAGCAAATCGGCCATTCCCATGGTCGCGATGTCCTTTCACCCGTCTTTGGTATTAATCTACTGTTTCCCTGTGTAATTTATTGTAGAAGTACGAATAAAAAAAGTAGTTGAAAATTTTCAAATACCAGAGAAATAAAAAAAAATCTCACCTCAATCATGACACGGTGAGCCTCAAAAAACTTTGAGAAGAAGTTCATGGATAAAGACTGAACATGAACTTTGGATACTGTAGGGCGTATTGTATAAGGAAAGAAAAATTATAATTAGAGAACATAAATTATGGATAAAAAAGAGGGGTTAAAATGGGCAGGAAAAATTAATATTACATCGATCATCTTTGACCTCTTCTATATTCCACCAAACATTACGCGGTCGTAAGTAATTCGGGGCGCAAGTTACTTCACCTTGTTCGAAACCCCTGTTATTCATAAAGTAATTGTGTGCATTTAGGTCTAATATCACACCTGTCGCTATACTCAACCATTTAGGAAGTTGTTTTTTCGGTGAACTCATAGAACAGCCAATGTTTATATGAGTCAGTTTAAATTTTGATCTTATAGGCTCGATAACATCTCCCTCCTTTCCTCCTAAAATTTCTATCCTGAAGACATCGTTGGGATCTCCTTTCCCGTCCTTTCCGTAGCATGAAACTTGAAAATGCCCTTTAGTTAGGGGGGCTTTTAATTTGTGACTGTGTAAATTTCTCCTAGTGCTTAATTGAAAATGGAAAGTATTCAATTATTGTATGTTAATTAATATTATTAGAGTCTTTTAAAGTAAACAAGCTAACTTTGTGTGTTCCAAACGAATATAATCACCGTGCTTCAGTATGACTAGCTCTTCCGTTTCTTCTCTATTGCTTGGCTTAACCTTCCAGAAATTATTTGTGTCTTTATGGAAGTATGAGGTTATCTAGATGCAAGGAATTTTTTGCTTTTATCTTTCACGGTAAAAAAATATACCACAAATTTACAGGGAAAATAAATAAGATTGTACACCTGCTGTTGTCTATGAGGGGCGTAGTCTTCTGGATATAAATGGGCGTGAGAATGTAAATAACCCCCACTAATAACGTTCGATTTGATGGTAATGATAGATCCGAAAGCCACCTCTGAAAAGGATGAAATTCGTCTTATACTTAATGAGCACGAGCATTAGACGGATTTATGGATTTACGAATTTGCAGTACGGTCTTATATATCTCTTATCTTGATACAAGTCCTTTAATAATTCTGACAAGGAGATAAATTTATTTGCGTAGTGCTTCAATTTTGACAAACCGAGTTAGCAATTAGTTTGCTTACGCACGCAGCAGCTGAATAAACAAGAACCTTTGCCAGTTTGGATTAAATAGCGTCCTTTACATAACGATCATGTACTAAAATATCACTGATGTATGTGTATAAATATAACTACACACATAAATACAGCATAGCTCTAATTACAAGATATGTATCTATTTATGACATCTAAGAGTGATAATAAAACAACCAAGATACGAATTTGAAAAACACTGCTAGTTGACCTTCATTGTAAAATTATGAAGCACATAGATTTTCAATGCGAATTGTCAGTTATGAATATTTTAAATACCCTTTTTGTAAGCTTTAAAAAAAAATCGAAATAAAGGAGGGGGGAAATCCCGCAAGGCGTGTTTGCGTAGGGAACAAAGAAGAAAAAAAAGGAACGACATTTGCGCCTCGAAAGCGAATAACCGCCAGACATCGTTGACCTTTAACATTTACTGACCAGGAGGTTTTAAAAAAAAAAACTTCAATTCAGCTGTTATAAATGGGCGGTGCAAACAAACTCTTTTTTGAAGGGGTTAAATTCCTATTAGTTTCATTACAGAATTTCAAAAAAAGGGAACAGGCTGAAAAATTGAATAAGAAAGAAGTTGAAGTTATAATCACTGAGAGCAGCTGACAGTTGTTAATTCACGGAAGAAGCAAATTTGCACCTGTTCGAACCCACACTCCCTAGCAAATAACCTCTTTCAATAAATAATAAAACGCTCGTAAGTAAACTGCTTAGCAAACAAGAAAATCAGCCAATAAACGACGAGCGACGCTTTATTTGCATAATGGACCGGCTGAACGCTCATCTTATATAACGATACGATACGGTTAACAACTATCTTTCCTAGAACTAAGGACGAAATGGAAAGTGATATTAAGCTTGTAACAACCTATTTAGGCGGAGCCTTACCGTCCGTTTTTACTCTCTTTGCTCTTGGATTTAGTGTCCTAACTCTTCTTACTTTGGTGAATAGTTCAATAAAAAGACCTCAACAACTCCTACTCAAGCTTATATTAGCAATCAATATAACAATCGGTTGGCTACTATATATATCGGAAGTTTTGCCGTGTTTGGGACATATTTTTCCGTGGTTTGAGAAATCAAATAGAGTATTTACTTATATAAGAAATGTTACGACACCTTTGTTGCTATCTTCTCGACTACTGCTGAATTGGGTAATACCATTATACTTGTGGAAAACAGGGAAAACGGGAAAAACTGGAAAATCTAGAGCATTTAGCTATTCCATGAATCTTTTAACGTTCTCTCTTTGTCTGGTTGTTTTGGTTTCACCGTCACTAATTCTACCTTATACAACTGGGAAAATTCCCATAGTTGTAATAGAGATATATTCGCAACTAATTCTGCTGATTTTTGGGCATTTAATTCCTATTTTATTTGTTATTGTGTCTCTTAGAAGAATAAATAAATCAAGGCGGACTGTTAAACCAACTGCTGAGGAGAAAGCACTTTTCTTACAACAAAAGGACAACAGCAGCCAATTTTCGTTGTACTTGGGAGTAGTATTTGTCTCAGTGAGTGTTTCTTTAATGATACCGCTTTCCCTATTTATCATCACCAAATTTACTCCCACTGAGAAGAGGGTACAAATTTACAGTAAGCATACGGAAACCTTACTTATATCTATTACTTGTTTGATATGGCCGACATTAATTTGGCTTGGCTGCCCAATATTTAAAAAACAATGGGAACAATTGACTATAAAACAAAGTAAATCAACAGCAACAATAGCAACGACTACGCCTTCGAAGATATACAATTGTAAAACAGAGTCTGAAATGACAGCTATGTCGTTATTGTCTAGGCATTAGATATGTGCCATCATGCATTTATTACGCATAGTTAACACTGAATAAATAACTAATTGCTAGATGACGATAGCAGGAATTACCTTTAGGCAATGATGAATTATGTAAAGGATTTCCATCGAGCTGGGATTGAAAGCTGGAACTATAATAGCCGTCCCCTGGGCCACTTTTATGAACAGTATTGTTTCATTAGTTATTAAAAATGCATAAAATGTATAAAGTGCATTCTTTTTTTACTGCGCACATTTTATGCTAAAGCATATACGTAATAAATGTAAAAACAAAGTAAGTATTACCTTTTTGATAAAAAGTCAAAATGTATAGCAAATATAACCAAATAAATAATTAATGGCCAGATGATTAATCCAATTATTCGACAAATCAGATGTCTTGAGAACTGAAGCTATAATTATTAGAATAAATATTATGCATAAACAATTTCTCTATATCAGAATATATCATTAAAAGTAACAAATTACCATAGTTAATGATAAATCGCCTAACTTTTCGTATAAATCGAGTGCAGTTAAACTTCCTATGTATAAAATAACAAATAAACCAACAAATTTCACCCTGAAAACAGTTGCATTAAGTAATAAAATGAATAAAGTGAAATTTTCTTTACAAAGTAAAGAAACGAACCCTAAAGTACAAGATAAACAAAATCCTGTTAATATTAACCAGAAATACCAGGAAAAGCTGTACGAACTATATAGGAAAGGTAAAGTTTTTAAATCGAAAGGTGAGGCTATCAATTTCCGCTCCCTACCGAGTTTCTAATGATTTAAATTTGAGATAGGATAGTACGGAAGACGCTAGGAAAAATAATAATGGAGTATCCAACAAGATGTATTGTGATAATGTAACGCATCCGACATCTGGAGGGTGAACGAACCGGACTGTCATTTGATAATTACGCATACTAATTATGTCTACTCACCTAATAGAACGAATAATGATGAGATAATAGCTGCCATAAGAGATTTCCTCACTTCCCATGTAATTAGGAATACGAAAGGCGGAAGAGCCGAACCAAGTGATGCGCAAAACTGTGATACACCAAACATTAATTAAAAGCTCGTGTTTTAATAAAAACTTTCTAACGATTCTCATGCCTAAAATTTTCGCATTGCCGTATTCGTCACCGGGTTTTAAGAACGGAAATGAACCATTGTATCCACTCATGTACCCGGAGAATGCGATAAGCATTTTTCCGAGAGGCGGGTGCACGTCAAAAAAGAATTTTCTGTTTACGTAATAATTTGCCATTTTACCAAAATGAGTTTCATCCCATCTGTCAAATTGAAACAATTGTAATTTAAATTAAAGCTAGTTTTCAAAGGGGACCCTTACACAACCCATGAAGGAACTTGAATGTTAAATAAACGTGTTGCTATAGATGCAGCAATGCATCCAATAAAAGAAATCCACCACAATAAACTTTCTTCACTTTCATTTCCTTCATTCGATTTTATTGCAGGTTTTTGTACACAATGTTCAATCCCTTTCTTTGATTTCTTTGTTGAACTTTTAACCATGTTTTGTATATGTTTTGTACTTTTCGCAGATGATACCTAGAGATGGTGCTCTTTTATCGATTGTAGATTATTTTTACAATATTAATTGATTTTTTAAAATTATGGAGCACTTTCATTTCTTTTTAATTCTTCATGAGATAAAATAGTTCTTCTTTTACTATGATCTGTAAATCATTTGTTAAAATCTTTTAAAAATCTATAAATACAGTAAGAATTTTCGTATTATCTCCGGTGAATTGTTTAGGGTCAAAAGGTCATTTTCGAATAAAATTTAAGAATATTAAAATTGATATCAACATCTGTTAAAACTCATTTAGGCTTTTTCAAGTAACTTTATGTTCAGTTCCTACGAAAATACTTGTACCTATCAAAATGGCAACTAAAGTAAGTTGATACCGGCGTTTTTTTTCATAAATGACGACTATCTCAAAATGATATCTTAAACAAGATGCATAATACTAATTTTTCAAGTAATATTTTGACAACTACTGTCGTTTAAAGATTTTTTGATTGCAATATTAAAAGTAACACGATATCGAGCGATAATATAGATATAACCCATTGCTATTGTTTTCAGCCAGTCCTCTATTCTTACTTTCGAAGCTCTGCTTCCTGGAGGGTTAGGATCGGTTTGTAAAATAAATATCATGATGTTGTAAATTTTGCAAACTTGTTCTTCATTTAGCGTTGAGCCTTAAGAAGATTGATTATGACTACAAACCTGTGCATTTAGTAAAAGATGGAGGCTTTCAAGTACGTCTATATTATAAATTATCCATGCATCGACTCTAAATCCATTTAACCTTACATCTTATAGAACACAGAGGAGTATCGTGAGATAAATCCAATGCGTCAAGTGCCTTCATTGGTTATTGATGGCCATACGTTAACTCAATCTGTAATATGAAAACTATTAATGACTTATATAAATAAAAAGCTGTAAAGTTCTCAACTTTATCTCTTTGTAGATTCCTATCATCGAATACCTTGATGAAACCGTTGCAGATGGTCCTGATTTACTGCCAAAAGATCCCGTCTTGAGAGCCAAGGTATGATTTTCTCTTTTTAATCAAATATTCTGTGCGCTTGATATAGCGATTGCTTAATTATTTAGGCTAGAGCACTTGCTGAAACAATCAATTCGGGTATTCAACCTATTCAAAATTTATCAGTTTTAAATAAGATTGGAGAAACTAAAGTTGAGTGGGCCAAGTACTGGATAGAACGTGGATTCGATAGTATGTATTTCTTGAAGTTATATTCAAAACATGAGATTTATTTTTTATGTATTTTCTCTTGGTCAGATCTGGAAAAAATGTTGGAAAAAACAGCAGGAAAATATTCCGTAGGCGACGTTGTGACTATTGCTGACTTGTGCTTGGTACCACAGATTTATAACGCCGAAAGGTATTGACTAAATCTATACCATTTCTTATCATAAAGAATAATTAATAATTATAAAAAAATTTATTTAGATTTAAAGTTCCGACATCCAACTACCCAAATATCGCTAGAATTGGTGAAAATCTTGAAAAGCTTCCCGAGTTCCAAGCTGCACATCCTTCTCAGCAACCAGACTGTCCTGAGGAATTGCGTTAGAACATATTTTAAAGATACTAATTATCGATAATGTTAAATACATCAGGTCTGACTCGACGAAAGAGCATAATGTTAAAACACATTTCTAACATAGTTGAACATAGATATAAGTAAGAAATCAGTCAGCGTGTATGTTAAAATAAGCGTGCGATGAAAGCTATTTGGATTAAAATCACGAAATCGGATGTTTATTAGCAAACGAGCCTAGTCGTCGATATGATTCTACCAACTGTAAACATTAAACAGTCTACAGTTGATAAGTAAAAGGCGGGAAATTACTATGCTCACCGCCCTCCCACATCGTTACTCAAATAATCGGACAAGATGTCAATCCGTACGAATTTCTGGTTTATTTATTAGTTTCGTACATGATGATTGACGTGATGTACGAGTGATTCAGGTTACCGAAAACTTCTGTATTCCTTTAACTCGTATCTGCAGTCATTTTTACAAACACTTCACACAAAAAATATAAATATAAATAGATAATCTCGTAGTTGTAAATACTAAGAAAAACATTTAATTTGGGCTTTTTAACACTTCATTGTTTTTTGAGTGTCCTTTTCGATATTTAGACTTTTTGACTGAGGTTTTATACCGACGTCGACCTTTTGAAAACTTATGATAAACAAAGAGTACTGGATCTCGTCTTGTAGGGTTTTCTAGATTTTGACAAACGACATTCGTCTTTCGAACAGTTTTTTCTGATTTCTTGTCAACGGTTGTACCTTCAACCCATAGTTCAAGGCCCAAATTCGATGAAGGTTTCCGAATCCATTTCTTTAGTGCTCGAGTTATGTCAAAACTTATCCAACCGACAGCGTTAATAGAAACAAGTCTAAATATCCGAAAGAGTAATTATTATTATTAATATAAGGTGCCTATATATAAAGAGAACTAACTCAGATACATATATATATATATATATATAAATTATATACTTACTTAGAATCAAGAATCGACGAAGATTTGAGAATGTGAGTATAGGCCGAACTTTCGTGCATGGTTAATTTCGCTGTCCAGTATCGTTTTCGTCTGATAAAAATGTTGATATCGTTTTAGATGTGAGATTAGAGAGGGGAGGGGGTAAAAACAACATTATACAGAATATATATATATTTACCTTCTCCTGTTTTTAAAAAATTTGAAACGAGGGACGTTCTTATAAACCCTAATTTCGGCACGTTGAACGGGTCGTCTTAAGAATTGCATTGGACTGACATTAAATGTCATTTTACAAAGCCGCCGGGCAGTTAAGAAATAGTCATCCTTTGTTTTCTTCTCATCTCTATAATCCGTTCGAAAAACTGACACAATATACAAAATTGTTAATTAAGCAAATAAATTAAATGAAAAATTATTATATAAACATTAAAAAAAGTCTTCTAAACTCACGATCGTCTAAGAAATTACTTCTTTCCTTTGCCGAAACTTTCTTCTGATATGGTAAAGCATTCACATCTTTCGCTTGCAAAAAGTAAACGGACACAATAAGAAAATTAAAAAGAACTTTCATAATTTATGTTTTTATGATAGACTCCAAGCGATGTCTTCTCAGAGATCAATCTGACTAAATGATGTAGTTTTAAACGAACTTGAGATGTCAAATCTTTTTGGGAAACTTTGAACGCCGCTGATTGGATCTTTCTAACCAGTCTGCCAATTGTTAGGGGCGTAGACTTCGGGGTAAAGTTAAAATAAAAAATTACCTTCTCTTATTATTATAGGCATAAAAATCTTTCACTCTTTCTGTTTTCAATTAATTTCAGTTAATATATAAGCACTTTTGCTATTATTCCTTAACAGGGTTAAAAATTAATTCTTTAACTATTTTTGTTATATTTTCCCCCTCTTTTCCCACTTAGTTGTTCCCTAATTAAAATTTCAATTGGCTGCTTTGCTAGACTGTCGGAAGAGGAAAGATATTGCATAAAATGTGTGAAACATAAAGAAATTCTTAACTAAATAATTTTCATGTCAATAATTAATACTTTATCTTACTCATCTATCAATTAAAGATGCCACTAAAAGATTCACACATATAATATTTAAAAATTACACTTTGGCGCCAATGAATACCCGTTTTCGCGGTTATTGTATTTCGTCATAGTTTCGAACATTTAAATCGAATGTTCGATTTTCGATTGTTATTACAATTCAATATTTTCTCCTTATTAATCTAAAACTGATAAGCATAGAGATTTATCATTTTATTAAAATTTTGAAGGTAATTTTCATATTAATGAAAGAGTAAATCATTATAATCTGAGTTTGTAGTCGTGTTCGAATTGTGAGCAATCTACTCACAATGTCTGAGGTGTTTCAAATATCAAGACATCGCAAAAGGAGAGTGACTTACTCAAGGCGAAATAAACAACAGAATCAAGGTGAAAAGAAAAGAAAGGGGTGAGAAAATAATACAACTGAAATAAACACTTGTTTACTATCAAATGATTTGACCAGAGAACTTAATGAAACAAGTTTACCAGACGTCGAGAAAGCCAGAGAGAGACTCCATTCTCTTCATTTATTACAAAGTTTCGGTAATTTACTTTAAGGATATCTTTCATATATATGTATTTAAGAATATTTGTTATTATGAATTTAGCTCTTTGAACTGTATATAGAAAGAATAAATATTTTTCTCTCGTTTTTTTTTCAATCTTAGATGGCTTTCAAATTAACAATAATCTGCTTGAGAAATCAAAAGAACCGCTGCAAGAAGTTGATTTAGAAAACATTTCATCTATCAGTAAAACGCATATATTTTCTTGAAAATCGAAATCTTACAATATCTTAATTTGCACAGACACTGACGCCTTCTATAACTCTATTAGCTTAGAGTCATCGAACAAAAGTACAAAAGTGGATAAATTTGTTGAACGAGATCTTATATCAACAGTTTTACCATCGGAGAAGCAAAATGACTCTGTAGGTTTCGATTATTGCGAAGAAGAACCGCCAATAATGCATTTAAACAAAAAAAAACAAATAATAGCTGTTGAAGTTAGAACAAGGAGATGCTTTCCAAACGGAGAGTCTCAAGTTGAATTGTCTATTTTACATCCTGTGACATTTAAAACTATTGCTGATAAAGATTTGCCTCGAAAGATTAGACATATGAGGAAGAGGGTGAGATCTCAAGATGAAAAGCCGCTTCCAATTAAAAAATTTATGACAGTTTCATCCGTTCGCTCTTCATACAACAACAAGAATTTTTCTTTTTCTGAATCTAATTTATCTTCCGAAAATGTTGTTTCAAATATAACTCTTAACCCACGAAGAAATTTAATGACAGCCTTTGAAAAGTGTGAACAGCAGAAAGAGAATAGCAATCAGATTAAATCAGCAGCTATTAAGGGCTATTCCGGAGGTGTCAATACATCACCTAAGGCTAAATCCTTATCAAACTTTGCAAAAGTATGTATTTAAGACGGAACTATGCCAAATTGTGCTGATATTCTATATTTTTTTTCAGAAAACTAGTACTCCCAAAAATTTGAAGGACAGGCCTGTCATAGAGGTAGAATTCTTTAACATAAGACAATTCGTTAAAATAAATTTTCTATAGGAATTAAAATTATCGCCGATTGAATTAGCAAGTGATAACGAATTAAAGTCTGGCACTATTAATAGTAGCGAAATTCATGTTACTTATGAAGAAGATTCTGATATTAATCTATGCTTGGAGGAGACAGACGATAGTAGATAATTTAATAGATCTCTAGTGATCGAAAACTATATTTTTACGTTGAGTTAAAATTTAATAATGTATATATTTTATTTACACTTATATGTGTCATTTGCATATGTCATTTGAAGTATATTTACATTTGTCATATTTTAAACTTAGTGTCACATCGAAACATTTGAGTTTGTTAAACTCTATCTCAATGACAAATTGTTATAAATTTGTTCGGCCAGTTAAAAACCTAGATATCAAGTGAATTCGTGCCAAATTCAAATTCTTAGTGTTATTACTAGAATAATTAATTATTTTCAAAAAGATTGGCTGGTATCTTATGATATTGTTTTTTTCTTAACAATCTAAAATACAGTATTTTATTTATCAGATTTAAACTACTCATAAATTGAATATAATTATTCAATTCTTCTGTCATTTACAGTTATAAATGGCTAACTTCGTTGTTGGTCTCATCCACGATCACTTTTGTTTGGTACATAATATTACATAATACTCTTTGTTTTGATAATGATCCGTCCCAAAGAGTATATATTCAATCAGTTCTTTAATTTACTAAAATGGAAAGCATTGAAATTTTGTTTCTTTTTGAGTTTATACAAATAAATTATCTGATAATATTGGGTTTTTTCGAAACTATCTATAATAAATTTGCAGTTTGATTTCTGCGATAGTACGTGTCAATTATTTTCCATAACATTTATTTCAAGTCTACCTTAATTGAAGTATATAAAACAAATACATTAGAATACATTAGTAAATGAAATACCAACAGTTCTAACCAAAACTTTCACCATTTAAATTTCTCAATTTTCAAACTAATAGCTAGCTTCTGAAGCATTTATATACTGAATTAATAATTAAGTATTGGTCCGTAATTACTATAGACTGTCTCTTTTATTTCTTTCCATGTGAAACAAATTATTAAGTGATGATTATCAATAATCAAATAAAGTTCTTTTTTAAATTTTGTAAGAAAGAGGAATTGTTTAAAGCCTGTATTTGTTAACTTTTATAGTTGAATTATTCATAAATAAATAATCTGTCGTTACTTATTTGAAAACAATTCACAAAGTCCTAGATTAGATATATCTTCAGTGTTAGAAACTTTCATATTCCTTGCAACAAGTCTGGGTAAATCTTCAATGCGGATTTTCAATTTATATTCTTCACTAATATGATGCTGTTTTTTATTGAAAAATATGAATTAATCAGTTAATTGAATTTACAAACAATTATTAATTATTTACCCCTATAGCACCATTTATTAGTACTTTAAATGCATTTCTTTTCTTCTTATCGGTTAGAGAACTATTCATAGTATGTTTCTCATAGTTTAGTAAGGCTTCATTTGAAATATTTGGTATTTGTTTCATTACTTCAACTAATTGAGGATGATGAGGTCTCTAATCAAAGAAATAAGTAATATAAAATGGAATTTCAGTGATAAAAATGAATATTTTATATCATACCAAAATTGTGTAAAAATGCATTGACAACATAACGAGTGAAGCAGTTATACCGTCACTTTTACTCTGTACATGTAAGGCATTTAAAATGCACTTGAACATGTTACAGACACTTTCAGTGGATAATAAACAGGGATTCTGCAGAAAAAAACATTGTATTAGAATATATTTCATCGCTATATTTATTGTTTTTCCAATTACATTGATGAATATCTGCTTTACAAAAGCTTGGGCTAAATTAACACATTTAGCGCAAGATGATGAGTCATTCTTAACCATAATTGTAAATATGGTAACAACAAGACATTGAAATAAATCCTTCGAGAATAAAAAAGTAAAAATATTAAATAAGATATGTGCTTTTTATAAACCTCTTTTGAGCATATTGTCAATCCACATTCAGTTAAATCATTTGACGAATTTGATGTATTTATTGCTTCAGTTTCATCCATTACCATTTCTTTACTTTCTGTCTCAGTATTTGAGGCTAATTTTTTTGAAAAACATAATACAATTAACAAATCCAAATATTCCCTAGTCAATAAACGTAATAATTGATCCTCAAGTACTTCTTCACTTTCAGTATTTGTCTCGCATTCACTGCTGCAAAATATGATAATTTTGATAAATAATGCTTATAATTTTTGAAAAAATAGCATTTTTACATTGCCTCCGAATAATCATCAATCCTCTGCCATCTAACTTCCAATCTCTGTAAATTATGAAATTTTCAAAGTGAATGTTAAAGTCAAAGAATTGTATAGATTACTTACGCTATACATGAAAGGACAAAATTTTGAAAGCATATGTAAAACATTCTCTGACCAATACTCTTTTGGACAATTCAAGAAATAAGGCTTTAGAAAAGTTCTTATAACACTTCGAACATGACAATCGGTGACTAAATTTAGTCCAGGAAACAAACATGATACAAGCACTTCTGATAGTCCTTGAATATTATACAAATTACGACCTAAGCATATTCCGTAATGTCCCAAAATATGATTACTAAGGAAAAAATTATTGAATGAATTTTTTGTTATCTATAAATTCATTTAAAATTGAACCTGTAATCATGAATAGTCTTAAGGAAGTTTTGCATACGATCTTGGGGATTTTTTTCATTGTGGGATTCATTTGTAGATAAATAAACATGTCTACCTGTTGAAAAATTAACAAATTATATATAAAAATATTAGAGAGATTTTCTTAGTATAAACCAAAAATATTCATCCTGTCACTTTCACTTAAAAGGAATACTTTTGAGAAATCAGGATGACGACGCTTGATATATTCTGGTTGCCAGAGTTGATAGTATATTCTTTTTTTTTTAAAAAAAACACAATAATCATTTTTGTATTAGTTTATATATAATAGTTTAGTACTTTTGTAAGCCGATAATATTTTCTAATAATGGTTTCACATGGTCGCAAGCCGGATTCTGTAAATACTGTTTCCCATTTACAACAGTAGCATATCCACATTTTACAGCTACCTATTCAATACACGGGTATAATAATTGATTATTATTCAAACAAATAGTGTCAATATAAGAAAAAAATAATTACGTTAGTATCAGCTGGAATTGTTACCCTTCTAACAACGGCAAAAATTGTAAAGAGACTATGAATAATCTAGAGGAAGTGAGAGAGAAATAAATATTTTTCAAACTTGAAACACTTAGGTAATATTTTACTTGTGATCTTAAAATACCATAAATATCTTCTGTACTAGGATCAACAGCTGGTTTGCTTAAACCAATCGAGTCCATAAATTTGTCAGGATTATAAATCAATCTATTGTTTTAAATAAAAATTTTTATTACTTTTTTGTTGATAAATAATGGAAGATTAAAAAGTTGTTTACTCTTTATATTGAGGAGAATTCCAAAATTCGTAAACTGGTTTAAGAATTTCTCCAATTAGGTCACGTTGTTTTTCAAACGATTCAAATCCGTTACTGAAATTAATATAGCATTTATAATGAAGTATGACAAGTATTATATATATATATAAATTTTTATATAGTTTACCTTAAGAGTAGCATGGCTTCTGTGAGGGCACATTTTTCCATTTTAGAAAGTTCGTCTGGATCAGCGCACACTCTCTTGACGTGATCATAAAGATGATTAAAATGTGGCTGTTAAAGAATTTCAGAATGAAAACTAAAGAATTTAATGATAAAAAATTACTAACCAAAAATAGATGAGGTGATTGTTTGCACATTTTCACAACCAAAGAACAGGCATGCCTTCTGACATTTTTTACAGGCCTACTTCTTGTTGATTTTGTTTGACCATCTATTTTATAGACAGCTGCTGAGAAAGTCTGTAATAGTTATATAATAATTTTATGTTATTATCTAAATATATCAGTATGAAAGAAAACTAACTTTATCAAGTAGAGGCAATACAACGTCTGGGCAGTATTGTAAGTAAGGAATGAAAGCAGATATACAAGAAAGTAGAGATGAAAGGATATTAGCTTCCTGCAAAAAAAAAGAAATTTTCAAGAAAATATAAATAAGAGATATTTTTTTAATTCATTAGTTTACCACAACATTGAATGCCAACATCTGTTTGAATATATGTAAAATTTTATGCATATCTATTTCATTTGATTGAGTCAGCTTCGAGCAAACAGCATCAACAAAACACGATGTTGTATCCCATTCTACCGAAGCTAGATTCACTTCATTGGCTATAAAAGAATAATATTTAATTATTTGATAAGAATTTCTATTCTTCACTTAAACCATTTGCATAATTGACAACTTGAGACATTCTAGCTGTTAAAATTTCAACAACAGCAGTAAACATAACCCTAGGCCAATGTGATGAAGCTAATCTTATCAATTCAGTGACATCATTTCGAAATTCTGCAGGAACAATCGATATAGAGTAAATACGATAGTAAATATTAAGATTTTAAAAATTTCTTACTACTAAAAAAGTGCATATATTCAATTTCGTTATCAAAATCAAAGCAACTATAAGGATTTAACTCCTGATCAATCTGTGAAAAAACATCATGTTTTTTAAAAGATGTAAAAGTTAAATATTCTTTGTTACTTTTCGCAGATTTGTATAGAGAGCATTAACGAATTGCTGAAATATTTGCTCGGTTATATTCCGAGCTTTGCTCTCTTTTAATAATGCACTCCAAAAAGGAATAGTTAATGAAGATAGCGCCCGACTTTCATGAGTTGAAAATCCCAGCATACAAGGTAAATACTCTTTTATAAGATAAGTCTCATCAATGTCCTTTTTCTGAAATTTCTTTCAATAATGATAAAGTTAAATAAAAATTCCTATAAATATACCCAGCAGGATAAAAGGATAATACCAATTGCAGTTAGAGATTGACAAAGTACTTTCAAGCAAAAGAAATCTTCAAAATTACACTTATTCACTACAGACCTAAAGAATAAAATTATCTCAGTGATGAACGCAAGAAAATGATAATTTTACAAACATAACAGCATCAATAATATTTTGAAGATATTCTTCACGAAAGAGAAACAATAGTGCTTCTTTATCGACAGTCCTTCCCTTATTTCAACAAAAAAAAAATCTTTAACATAAAACTTAAATGGTTTAAAAAAGCAGTACCTTTCGAGAAGTTATCAAGAGAAAAACTTCGGCCGCTTTGACTTTGAGATCAGATTTGAGTAGACTTATCAGTAGCTGAATAAAAAAAGAACTTTTCTCAAATAATCTTTAATTTAAACACAATAAATACCTTCAGCAGCAAATTGTCTTGTAGTAATAAAATCTCTACAGGAACCCAGTCAACATATCCTGATAAAGTTGACAATGTGGTCCTAGCGACTAGGGTATTAACATAAACTTGTTCAGAATTAATAGGAATGTTCTAAAAGAATTAACAATTCTTAAATAAATATTCATAATTGTAATATGAAATACTAACGCTCGAGACTTCTACATATTTTTGGAGTGGTGCTAACATAAATTTGAATATATTTTCCATTTCAGAATTTAGTCCAGCAAGAATATCTTTGCGTCTCTGACTCTGAACTGTTTGTAAAGCAACAACATCTTCGGCTAAACGTAACAAAACAAGAAGAACGACTTGAGCCTGCACAGGCTAGTGATTGAAAGAAAGACTGTTTATTAAAAAGTTTGAAAAAGTCAACTTAAAACTTACACCAGAATGCAAAAGTGAAGTTAATTCGTCCATAAGAGAAGGCCATTGTTGTGGCCATTCCCTCTTTATAATTTCAACAATAATTCTACTAACTGCATCTTTGATGTAATCCTTTTCATCTTGTATATTTTTAAGACCCTATTAAAAATCATATATAAATATACAGTATATATAATATAAGGATTTGTTTAGAGAGGTGTGTTAAAATATAGATATTCACTTGTAATACTAGACATGTCGTCCTATCTTTAATTCCCACTTTATCCACGATAGAAAGAATATTCCATTTAAATCTGTATTAGAGATTTAAATTTTAGTTATACATTACATTGCAAACACGTTTTCATAGAAAATCAATTAGTACTCACTTAACTGTATGCTCAATTAGTTGACACCCAAAGTGTCTATGTGTATCTTGATTTTGATTGTAAGCAAGTAAAAAAGCAATATATGTGCTATCGGGATAGTTTGCCTTGAAGTCTTCACAAAACTGTTAAAAGAGCGATATTACAAGCAACCATTGTTGGAACAATTTTGTAATTACCGTATAAGCTTTTTGTCTATCAGATGCAGAGCAATCTTGAGATAATGACAGGTCGATGGCAGAAGTTAAATTTTTTAATATTTCTTGCTCTGGAGTGCACATATTCCTTGATCAAGAAGTTTTGATGCACTGCGTTGAACAGTTGGCAAAACATACAAAAAATAAAAATTCGTAGATATTTTGTGATATAGTTAAAAAAAGAGTACATACTTTTCTTTTTTGGATCAATGAAAACCTTTTAAAAAATTTTCTTAACACTTTCTCGATTATTTTTATATAAATTCTAATTAAATCCGGAGATTCTAAATAAATTTACTTATTTCGCCGTTACCAGTTTATAGAAGAAAAAAAACAAATTCTATATATTTAAACATTCACTCAAAATATATGAAAATCTTTTAAAATTATAGATATTCTCTCATGTAAAAGGTACAAGAATGCTAAGAAATTTGAATATATTCTCTAAAACACATGTGGTAAGTCTACCTATGTGACCTTCTTGAATAACATTATTTCAATAGGGACGTTTTATTCGTCCAACATTTTCTCTTCAACATCCAAAACATGCTTCTTCATCTAAAGTAAATCCTATGCAATCCTCTCATTCCGAAGGTGGTAATTATGCACTTCTGGTAATTATAATTTATTTTGTGAATTAATAGTTAAAAAGTTATACGTATATTATCTGGTTTAGGTGGTACCGCTTGCGGCAGCCGCATTAGGAACTTGGCAAGTTCAGAGAAGAAAGTGGAAGCTGGGTCTTATTGAGGATCTTCAGAAGAGAACAACAGCTGAACCAGTAGAATTACCAGTAGAGTATGTAAAATTATTTCAGAGAAAACTTTATTTTTTTTTCATTTCATTTCAAGCTTTCAAGAACTGGAAGATATGGAATATAGAAAAGTTAAAGTAACCGGCAGGTTTGATCACCGTCGCGAGATATGCATCGAGCCTAGAAGTCGCCTGGAGAGTGATGATAGCAAGCGTAGTGGATTGGGTTCCAGCTCAGCAACCATAGGCGCTCATATTATTACCCCTTTTATCTTGGAAGATAGAAAGTATATAAATATTGTGAATGTTAAACTTCTACAATGTTCTCAATGTTATGTTTCAGCTCTACCATTTTGATTAATAGAGGATGGGTTCCCAGAGGAAAGGTTAAGCCAAACTCGAGGCCTGAAGGACAAATTAACAATACGATTACTCTTACTGGAGTCGTTCGGACAACGGAGAAGGTATTTCTTTCTAATTTGAAAAGAAATGTAATCTACAGTGACATTTAACAGCGTCAATATACAAAGAATAAGCCAGAAATGAATCAATGGTTTAACAGAGATGTAGAAGAAATGAGCTATTATCTTGATACGGATCCAGTGTTTCTCGACGCCGATCACAGTTAGTAGTTTCACTGAAAAGTTAAGCTAAAAAAATACAATTCACGCTAAACAGGCAGTACAATACCAGGTGGTCCGATTGGAGGTCAAACAAGAGTGACACTTAGGAATGAGCACTTTTCTTATATAATCACATGGTGAGCACTAATTAATCTTCTGACTTGTATTAATTTGTATGTCCTAGGTATTCTCTATCTGCAATTACATTCTTAATGTGGTACAGAAAGTATTGGATGAGGAAATAATGTGTAAATAATGTTTGTTATAGAAATATAAAAATGCAGACAAAATGCGATAACCTGTTTATTATTCTAACGTTAAATACAGAAATATCCTCTGTTGGCAGCAATTAAATACAAACTTTTACTTAACATGACTACGATTATAACCGCTTGTCAATGAAAATTCTTGGAATTTGGTCTATGTACTTTATAACTGATGTTTGAATTGTTAATTTGACAACAAATACAGAATAATTAAGAATAGGGAGCAAAAAGTATGATCAGAATGTGAAGATTTTGCAACAATTTGTACTGATTCATAGCTTGATAGTAGATATTAAATATATACAGTGAAGAAAAATTGCCAGATATAAGAAACTTTTGACATTGTCGTTGGTTTTAATTTATGAATGAAACAACAAAAATATCCACAAAATTTACTAATACAATAGTTTTATCTCTTCAAAAAGTAATATGTATATCTTAAACTTTTTCAAGTCATAGGTAAATGGTCTAACGTTAATATATTCTAAAAGAAAAACGCTAATTATCTTTTTGATAGTTTGGCGTTGATATCCAACTCATGTTGTTTTAAATCAGTATTTTGAAGGAAATTTTGTCTCTGAACAAAGCTGAAAAACAGAAAAGAAACTTATTAATTTAAGTTCTTAATAAAATATTAATACCATTAATTACCTATTCTTACTGCGATTATGTTGTTCCAGTTCGCTTTCGATTTTTGAATCACTTTTAAAGACATTCCAGTCCATACTAGATTTATTCTGCAAAATATTTTAGCTTTAAAAATATGAAAATAATCTTTAGGTAACTCACGATTATTGTCATTTTTTTCTTTGTTGACATGGACGTTAACCTATCAGTAAGACTAGTTTTGGTCTTTTTCATCCTTTTTTAACAAATAACAAATTCATTACTCTGATAAATAAATTTATTATGGTTTATTAAGTACTGACCAGGCTGGTTTGTTATCGGCTTTTTTCTCTTCTTCAATTCTCTTTTGTTCAAGTCTTCCCTCTTTCGAATTTTTGCTAACTTCCTCCTTAACGCTAAGTTCAAAAGAAAGATTATTTAACAATTGAATGCTGACTTCAGAAACACAAACGTTATTTTTTCCCCGGCAAAATCGAATACTTTAGTTACAGTTAATTTTTCATCTGCTTTAACTGAAGTAGTCTCTAGTTTCTTTTCACCGGTTTTCTTGACACAATTATTTTCTGCTTCCTCTTCAGATTTATCCTTACTCTTTGACTGACCTTTTGCGCCCTTGAAAAATTGGTCAAAAAGCATACTACCCATCTTTCTTCGATCTTCAACGGATTTCTTTTCGGTAGCTTCCTCTTCATTTTCCTCGAGTTTAGATTTTCTAAATATAAGATTAAATAAGTTTACCCGTAAAAAATAACTCTTTAAATAAATAGTTATCTATCTTTATTTTTAAGAAATTTTCAAAATTACAAATCACGCAATACTGTTCACGACTTACTTTGAAGACTTTGATTTTTTCTTTATTTTTCTTTTGCTTCCTGTATTTACATCATCACCATCTACCTCAGAATCTTCTTCACTTAATGATTTTTCACCTTCTGAATTTGCACCTAGTGTTTTAAAAAAAATTATTGCCAACGGTTTAAATGAACCAGTCGAAAACAAGAACTATTTTCAGATAATATTACCTCCAGGAATGTAATCTTCATCGCTACTCTCGTCATCTGAATTAAAATCTTCGTGTACAAAACTCATATCTTAATAAATTAATAAAAGAGGGAAGGAATGCAAAAGGTACAGATCAATACTAGAGACCAGATCGTTTTCTGATAGGCGGTATGACTTAAATCAGGTCGGTAGCGGAACTGACTGGACAAAAAAATAAAAAAATAACTATCAAATAGCCATTAAAAAAAATTCAAAGTTAATTTAGATATGTATTATATAAAATTTATATACTGTATATATTTATATAGTTAAATTACTATATCTTCTTACGAATTTACAAAATATAAAAAAAATAGAATATACTACTAGAAAAAACTATTGATTACTTTAATCAGTAAAAAAAAATGTAAATTTGTGGTTGTCGGTAGTGTTGCTTGCTCAGAATAGCTTTAACATAAACGTTTTTTTGCAAGAATCAAATAGTATGGTTCGCATCCAGTGAAAATAACTTTTAGTGATACCTTCATAGAATTCAGTGTCATGTGATGCAGCCATATTGAATAGATATTTGTCAATCATATGATATTCTTTTAAAATAAAGGTAAATTCATAATTTGTCGAAATTAAATTTGGCTTGTTAATCTTAACCAAACACTTTTTCATAGATTCATAAGGCTGCAAAATGGGATCCTTATACAGAAGTGAGGAAATGACTCTGTGTCAGCTCTTCCTACAGTCTGAAGCAGCTTATGCTTGTGTTTCGGAACTAGGAGAGTTGGGCTTGGTGCAATTTAGAGATGTAAGGGATCACTTTGTTAACTTAACAGATATTTAAAGTTTCGATCAATTCAGTTAAATCCGGACGTTAGTGCATTTCAACGAAAATTCGTTAATGAGGTTAGAAGATGTGATGAAATGGAGAGAAAGCTTCGGTTTGTATTCAGAAAAAATTTTTCCGCGATTTGTTCTCTAAATAATGATTTCTCAAATAGATTTTTGGAAAAAGAGCTAGAGAAAGACAACATTCCTCAACTTGATACAGGAGATTTACCGGAAGCTCCAGCTCCAAGAGAAATGATCGATTTGGAAGCTACTTTTGAAAAATTAGAAAATGAAATGAAAGAAGTAAGATAAAATTTATTCGTTTTAGTTGATAAAAAATTTCGATCTATTTTTCCAGAGATATTAAATAATAGTACTATTTCATTGTTTTAGGTGAATTCAAATGCTGAAGCTCTAAAGAGAAATTACTTAGAATTAACTGAATTAAAGCATATTCTTAGGAAAACTCAAGGTTTCTTCGAAGAGGTAAGTAGTTTTTAAACCTTTTAATCCATTTACATTGTATCATATTGCTGTTAAAAAACCTGGTATGTTTGTTTTGGTGGGGTATGGAGTGTGTGATGCATGGAATGAATAGTTTTCAAATGCTTTTTATTCATTTAGATAATTTCATTTTGATCTATTTTTAGCTTTGATTATATCATTCATTTAATATTTCTTTTTAAAGTACAAACTTTTAGTTACCGTGACTCATTATTATCAAGCTACTTATAAAACATTTAAAACTAGTAGTTGTGAGGTGATGTTGTTAGTATAAGAATCACTTTTTCACGCCTTAGATATACACTTGCATGCTAGATATTGTTTTTTTTTCTCATTTCTTCATTCTTGAATTCTCTATATATTATTGATTTATAATTTACTAGAACCTATAATTAAAACAAAAAAAGAAACTATTTAGCTGCTAAGCATGTGTGTATTTGAGGCATGTGTAGTGAGGGATGGAAAATTCTGACCAACAGGCTCATGCGACTATTGACCCATACCAGGCGATGACTGATCCTAACATGGCAGAAGAAACAGTTGGACTCCTAGGCGAAGAAGTTAGAGCTCCAACTACTGGTCAACAGCCATTACGATTAGGGTAGGTATATTCATACGCTATGAAGATATGATGAATGCGTGATGTCAAATAACCCGGAGCTTCTTTAATAAATATTACATGACCTCTTTATCCCAGTTTTCATTCAAGGCAAAATTTTTTAATTATAATTCAAAATTAAAACATTTAACCCAATTGAAAGTTAGGAAAGAAATTTCTATTTTCTCCGTGTTTTCGTAAAATAGATTTATATCTGCAGAATATTCATTCTCGAACAGTTAGTCTTGTTGAGGAAGTTCGTACCAGTTTAGCTCATAATTATCATGAAGCTTCGCGTCATTTGTCGTAAGTGAAGAACTTTCAAATAAAAGAAAATAATAATGATAAAGTAGTATCTCCTGCTTTATCTTAATAGGATATTTGAATTTTTACATAAGATTTTGATTGGATATTAGCAGACTATTAATGTAATTTTGTTATTAAAATTTTAAAAAATAACAGTTTTGTGGCTGGAGTAATTGTCAGAGAAAGAATGCCAGCATTTGAGAGAATGCTTTGGAGAGCTTGCCGTGGAAATGTCTTCTTGAAACAAGCTAATATGGATGTTCCATTGGAGGATCCAGTAACTGGAGACCAAGTACATAAATCTGTTTTTATCATCTTCTTTCAAGGGGATCAATTGAAGACAAGAGTAAAGAAAATATGCGAGGGATTTCGGGCAACTTTGTATCCTTGTCCCGAAACACCTGCTGAAAGAAGAGAGATGGCAATCGGAGTAATGACAAGAATTGAAGATTTGAACACAGTCCTTCAGCAAACCAGGGATCATAGACATAGAGTTCTTGTTGCTGCTGCCAAGAATATGAGATCGTGGCTGATAAAAGTTCGAAAAATCAAAGCTATTTATATGACTTTAAATCTATTTAATTTGGACGTAACTCAGAAATGCTTAATTGCTGAGTGTTGGTGTCCTGTAGCAGATTTGGATCGAATTCAGTTAGGTTTACGACGAGGAACAGAAGCATCTGGTTCTTCAGTTCCAAGTATTTTGAACAGGATGGCAACTAGAGAGAGTCCTCCAACTTACAACAGAACAAATAAATTTACAAGCGGCTTTCAGTCAATTGTCGATGCATACGGAGTGGCTGTCTATCGAGAAGTTAATCCAGCTCCGTTTACAATAATTACTTTTCCATTCTTATTTGCTGTCATGTTTGGAGACTTTGGCCATGGACTTATAATGCTATGTTTTGCCATCTGGATGATTCTGCGCGAAAGACAGCTTATTGCCAAAAAAGCACACGAAGATGAAATGTTTGGAATGTTTTTTAGCGGAAGATATATGATTATGCTTATGGGTATCTTCTCTATGTACACTGGATTTGTCTATAACGACTTCTTTTCAAAATCTGTCAACGTATTTGGGTCAGGGTGGACAGTTAATGATTTTACAAATAGTACAGGCACTAGAGCTTTAGATCCAAATACTACTGAATGGTCTGGATCACCATATTGGTATGGAATGGATCCTGTTTGGCAAATGTCGCTAAATAAAATATCATTTTTGAACACTTTCAAAATGAAGACATCAGTTATTTTGGGAATTATTCATATGTTTTCTGGTGTAATATTATCACTTTCAAATCATAGATATTTTGGAAACACTTTGAATATTTTCTGTGAATTTATTCCCCAAGTTTTATTCTTAAGTGCAATCTTTCTTTATTTGGTGTGTATTATTATGGCCAAATGGATTTACATTACACCAGCGGACTCTGCATGTGCTCCATCATTGTTGATTGGCTTAATTAATATGGTAATGTTTAAATATCAGAAGTTGGATAAAAACAAGACTCTTTGCGCTGTCGTACCTTGGTATCCTGGACAGCAAGGCTTAGAGTCGTTCTTAGTTATTTTAGCTGGATTATGCATTCCATGGCATTTGTGTTTGAAACCAATTTTACTCTACATGAAACACAAAGGAAAATTTGATGTGAGTAAATTTCTAGTTTTAATTTCTTATTTTCCAACATTTCAAATAAGAATATATCCACTAAGTAGTCAGATAAAAGGTCATTAATAGCACACAAGCCTTGTATTGATGATCAGTTTAGAATTTCTCATCGAAGTTTATAATAAATTAAATTATATAAAAGCAGAAGCGTAGGGCTCCAGTTACCCATGTAGCAAGAACAGTAGCCAACGATACAGACGATGACGAAGCTGCTCTAATTCATCACGACGAATCTGACGCTCCATTACTTGAAAATCATACGACAGAAGAAGAAAAGGTGACCTGACACTCTGAACCTGCAAGATTAAATTTTTTTTAGAAAAAAAAAAAGAATTCTGTGTGTGCATCTCTTTTTTTATAGTTCGGAAAAAATTTATATGTAGAATCAGAGTGACAGTTTAAAATTTTTAATGCTTTTGCTTTTTCCTGTTCTGCTTATTTAAATTGGCTGAAAAAGTTTGAAGAAGCAATCTCACAATGGACCGGCGGAAGAATAGGAAAGAGAGATCAAGCTCACTTAAGCGTCAATTCTGGCGATTTAGTTACAGGCGATAACGTTGAAATGAGTGGCGAACATGACGAGCAGATGAACAACGAAGAAACGGTTGAAAAAGAGGTGATAGATGCCTCCGATTGGTTTCAATCTGTCATACTCTCCTAACTTTTGTTGTTTTTCTTTTCTGCTTCCTTAATAGAGAATAGGAAAATTTACTTTTTTTAAGCTTGCATCTATACTAGTCGCTTTTGAGAAAGCTAATTGGCTTTAAGAATAAAAGTTCATCTTTGTTTCTTAAAGTGAGCAAAAAGTTTTTATAAAAAAGATATAGTAAAACTTTCGGGAAGCAGGAAATATATTTTGTTATTTGCACTGAATAGTTTGCATGTATCAACTAGTATATTGTAATAGAACCAAGATTGTCTAGCTATTTATAAACGCTCTTTCAACATCTTTTTCAAGTAATAGTTTTATTTTGCCTATGTAATATGACTTCTAATAGTATTTGGAGAGTCGAAAGAGAATTTATGACAAATTTTTTTGCTTTTCCTTGGTTTTTATCCTGATAGATATGCACAGTTGTTCTCATCTTGTTTGTTAATCTATGATAAAATTGTGTTTGTTGAATCTCTGATTTGTTGTTTTTTTTTCAAGCTTTTGCCTTCAATTTCAATTCAATTACTGTAACAATTCTAATTACCTTTTTTTATTTCTTCAGTTCGAACTTGGGGATATTCTTGTTCATCAAGCAATCCACAGTATAGAATATTTCCTTAATTGCGTAAGCCACACCGCTTCCTATCTACGATTGTGGGCTTTATCCTTGGCCCATGCTCAACTATCAGAAGTTCTATGGTCTATGGTTTTGAGAATGGGATTCTCAATGATACCAGGATATGCTGGAGCAATAATGCTCTCTGCAATATTTCCAACCTTTGCACTGCTTACCGTGGGAGTTTTATTAATTATGGAGGGACTCTCGGCTTTCCTTCACGCTTTGCGTCTGCATTGGATCGAATTTCAGTCAAAATTTTATCAAGGGGCTGGTCATTTATTTGTTCCCTTTTCATTTGAAGCCATATTAGAGATTACCTCAACTAATCTTGAAGGCTAAAAAATGAATATATTTAGTAAATTTCTGTCCTATCTAGAAAATTACTGTTTCCATAAGGTAGTCATTCCTCTTGGATTCAATTAAATGTATTCGTGTTATATTTATAGATGTTGTGAACAAAACAGAAATTAATACAGCAGACATATAATAAAATAGTAATATTTGAGAAAGATGTATCAAAAGCTGTTATTTATATCAATTTAAACGAAGACTTTTGGCATTTAAGCTTTTTATTATTAATAAAGTAAACCTTAAATGTTTAAAAAAAAGAAACCACTGTTTTCGTATAGTTCAAATATTGGAAAGAGATTAATCAGCAAAATTATCTTCTTCCTCATTCAAGTTTATCTTAATTTCATTATCCGTATTTTCATTATCCGACTGAGAATCATGTAAGGTTTTCTCACTTGTTAAATAAGGTCCAGACTTGAAGATAACCGACAGTCTTTCTCTACGAGGATCAGTACTCTGAGCTTGTCTTTCAAATGTCTTTTCTTCGGCTTTTAAAGAAATTTCGTCAAAATCAACTGGTTGACGTAAGTTAATTGCAGAAAATCCTTTTCTACCACTTTGTAAGTTTTCCTTAAGAACTGTCGACCTCCTACGTAGAATCCGGCGTATTTCTTTAAACATTAACTCCTCTACATCCTGTCTCGTTTGTGCTTTAAAAGTAGATATATAATTTCAGAATGTAATGGGAAAAAATTTAAAGAGAACCTCTTTTAACTCTAACATGTTTGTACAAATCCTAAAAGAAGTGGATTATGTTGAGAATATAAATACGAATAAAACAATAAAGTATTAGTATATAGCACTTACCAGCCATATTTCAGTATATTGACAAGATGGATCGAATCCGTATATAAATGCAAAATTTAATGATATAACAATAGCAATTATTAATATAATGGACCAATAGTATTTCTTAATCAATAATTTAAAGGTTTAAATCAATTTATAATCTATAAATAATTAAATAATAATAAATATAACCTTAAATAATTCCCTTAAATTCTTAACTTTAAGACTGTTATAAAATTTCCTTCCTATCTGTTTTAAAGGTCCGTCTAGTAGAAAATCTCTACAATTGTTTAAATAATCACAATAACCTTTATCTCCATTGCAAATTGAACCTAGAAAAAGGTTAAATAAATGCTAAATAGAAGTTTTATAACTTTAATATCTTTTATAAAAACTAGCCAGGTGGTAAGGTTACATTGATAGATGAATTATAGAACATTTTATCGGAGAATAAGTTCTTAAATAGTTTGTCATTTGATAAATTCGTATCAGCAATGTTTACGCAAAAATTTGACTTAAAATCTGATTAAGATGAGAATATTATCATTAAGGAATGTATCGTTAAACGTAATTATCTCCTTATCTTACGAGAGCAAGCAAGAAGGCAAAAATACTTTGGATATTTTCCCTTTGGATAAGTCTTTTCGTCTTTTACGCAACTTTTAAAAGATTTTAAACGTTCACAAACAGTCTTTGAACATCTCTGTATGTAATATATAGTTTTTTTTCTTTATCCTCTAATTAGAGTAAATATAAAAGTTATTTTCTATCTACACCGTCACTACATAATTTTGTACCATATAAACATAAAGTACCATCTGGTTTTGGATCTGGTTTAGGGCATTTTACTGTACCTAACCTGGTTCGAAAATTTTGTGCGGGTTAATAAATATTTAATGCTTAAGCGTACAATCTCATACGTGCAATTTGATGAATAAGAACATTCAGTTTCACTTTGACAAGAGCCATCTTTTCGAATGATACAATTCTTGCAGCAAGGGCCTTGAGATAAGCTTACATTTCGATGAAATCATTAATAAGTAAGTTTTAGTCTAAGTGTAAAAATATATTCAATAATTACTCGCATTCAATCTTTTTCGATGGACTATATTTTAATCTACAAGGAAATCTATCCTTATGATAATTACAACATTTACAATTTCTCCTTGCAAGACCACAATCGCATTCTTCGTTCTTAAATCTATCAAATTCAATAATATTATTACCACAAAATCCAATATGTTTCTCTATGGAAGAAAAGTAAAAAAGAGATATAGTACTACTAGGCCTACTAATATAAATCTATTTTCCAATAACAGGAATATACTTGTTATTGGATAACGTTAAGGTGAAAAATAAGAAGATAGATGATACTAACTTAAAAAGCAATCTTTTTTTGTATTATAGATAAAATTTAGCATGTCCGCTATTTTTCTTTTACTGTAAAAATAAACGTTATTTTATTTTTTTCGGGCAGAAAAGAAAATAATATTTGAAAATAAAACCTGCACGGACTAAACTTTCTATGGTTTGCTTTATTACCACTCCTCGCGAATGAGTACATTAAATATTGTCCACTTTGGCCATTTGGAGTACAAATTGAATTTTTATAGCGTTCGTCGTGCTAAAATTAGTTATTTTTATAATTTTAATTGAATGGAAAATGTTGAACAATTACACCAGATGAGAATATATGACCTATTTCGTGAGCCAAAACTAAAGACAGCTGGTAATTTGTTACTGGGATGTAATGATTTAAAGATGTTACCAATCCAACGTTATAACAATATTCAGATCTCTACGAAGATAAATGAATTACAAGAATATCTTGTTAATTAAGGAAAAAACTTCCGTACAGAATTTGGACAAGGTCCTCCATCTCCTTCAGGAATAGTAATCATCAATGTTGAAGTTATTTCTCTAATTGATAAATAGCTTACTTGAAAGTTGGCCTACGTGAGCATATCCAAGTAAACCTTCAGCGAATACCCTATGAGTAAAGACGAAAACAACGCAGTATTCCATACAGATATCCCTTTCCGAACCAATAATTTCTAATATATTGTCAGGTGTCCTATCTTCCTTACATAATTCAATCTGATACTTTTTCGTTACTTTCGAGCAATCATCAATAATCTCAAGTTTTCTTATTTCGAAATCTATTCCGTCAAAAATTTTCGTACCATCAGACGTTTCAAATTCAGTTGTTCTATAAATATCTCTAGTCTTATATAAATTATTATTATAAAATATGATTAATTAATTTAATAATTAATAAAAAAATAAGCGACCATTTCAACAATAAGATTAATTGAATTTAGAAGTCGATTATAAGTTACACTATCATCCATGAAGTTTAGCTTGTAATATTGCCATAGTTTATGATCAGCTATAATACCAAGTGTACAAACTCTTTGCTTAATTTTTGTTGTATATCTTTTACTTCGATTTCTAATAGAATTCTAAGAATGTTAATTAATTAACTAATTAGAATAGAAAAGTAGAAACAAAACTAATGGTTTTACTTTACTGTCAGACTCATTTAAATCAACATCTTTTGTAGTGCAAAACTTTGAATTAAAAATTTCCTGTCTTTAATATAGATTATATTAATTTTTTATATATAGGACTATAATTATTTATAATAAATTGCATTGTACGTTTGATTTAGAGTAAGATGTTCACTTTTTTTATAAATAATTGCTTTGTTTGTATTATTATTTGAATTATTAAAATATTTTAAAGCCGATTCAATCATATAAATTTCGCTTGAAGTTTTTATGTTTCCCTCAAAATAGCAATTAATAATAAAACCGTCAACTTTAGAGTTGACGTCATCTATACAAACGGAAGATAAATTATTTATTAATTATAATAAAATGACTGATAAGATTACAAACCAACGATAAATCCTGTATAGCTATTGATAGATGATTGATAATCCGTTGTAAAAACATTCGAATTAGTATTTTGGCTACTGATAATAATATCTACATGAGAAGATGAGAAATTCTCTTCATTTTGGAATAAGATAATTTGAAATTTCCTGGAAAAATGATCAAATATTTTATATTTAAAATCTCTATTAAAAAAAGTATACAAACCTATCAAAAGCGTAAAAATTCCAAGCTATCCTATTACTTTTATAGCAGTCTAGTAATGGAAAATATGGAATAATCTCATAATTTCCTAGAATTTTATCTAGTTTGTCACATTTGACTATTTATATGTTGAAAAAAATATATATGGAATGTAGAAGGTTGTTTAGTTAATACTAATAACATCAAAATTTTACGATTTAACCTTGGTATTCCATCGATATCATTTTTAAAAGTAAGATAAAAACATGTCTCTTTTTATAGGGTACATCCTTCATTATATCTTAGTTTGACGAAAGACTTTAATCTTTCCAAACTGATGTATGTTATATTTAAAAAATATATGAAAGTATTTAATTACTTAATTAGTAAAAATAATTCTTTAAAAATTAACTTTTAGTTTTAAAAAACGCTTTTGTAAAGATTTTCAATTTCCTTTAATATAGATAATTTTCTTGTTTCTTTTCGTTTTTATAAATGTTCTAACAATAATAAATAACGAATGCATTGGTCTGCTTCTTTCTTATTTCTTTTTTTTTTGTTAGCTTTAGCAAAGTACAAAGTTTTAACATTTCAAGTCAGACGGAAAAAATCAAAAAATGCAATAGTTTTTAAGAACGTTTTTTCTCTACATCAGAAAACAATAGTGTGAATGTACATTCTGTCATAAATAGTAAGATCCATCTGCCGGTTTAACATATTCTGTTGCAATTAAAATGACGTCTACTAGTGTCCATACTCCTAAACCACCAAAGCTGAATAGCTTTCCGATTCCTGCTCTCCAGAGACCCAAGTAAAAGCGATCTGCTCCAAACCCTCCAAGGGTAATACTGGTAAATATTGGTATTATTAGCATTCATAATATAAAATAGAGTATAGGAGAAATTTACCTTAGAATTAAAGCTGTAGACCATTTGCACCTAAAAGACCAATTGCATTCGCGATATTTATAAAATAGACGAGATCCTTTGCAAATTACGTTAGATTTGACTGTGCAATTAGCACGATATCGTTGCTTCGGAGCTTTCACTACGTCACAATCTTTAGTAGCTGAGCAATAATGGACATTTTCTTGAAAGCAATAATTACAATTTCCTGTTCTGTTAAATGTTGGATTTCCATTGCACTTGACACTTTTTTTAGCAGTACAAGTAACGCTCACAACCTCACCATAATTGCATTTTGGAAATTTACAATCAATACACTCTCCTCCTAATTTTTCGCAGTCTGAATTACTGGGACAGAGGAGTGGTCCAGAAACGATATTTAAGTCTTTTTCTGCAGCTTTAGCGGAACGATAACAGAGAAAGATGGGTAAAAGGGTATATACACTGCAAGAGAATAAAATCAGATATGAATTAAGAAGGGTTTGCTTTTATTACCAATTAAGATAACGCATAGCGTTGTTAACAGCTGTGGGCTTTTGTGTTCACTAAGAGAAAAGAATTATTATTCGATTCTTCTGTAGTAAAATGAAAACGGAACCGGAAATAGTTTCAAAATATCACGGTTCGTCTAGAATCAGGTTCGCATTTTTCTAAACTGATCAAATTTAATTCGTGAAAAAAATCATTCATCTTTTATATTACGACAAGTAAATATTGAATACTAAAAAATCTTAATTTTTTCATTAGTTTAATTGCCAAGATTTCTACACCTTCTCGAATATTTAAAATAACAAATTCAAAAAAGTAACTTTCTATAGTGTCATACCTAATAATATAAATATTTCCGGTTTTATAGAATTACTGAAATATCTTAAATTGACTTTAAAAAGTTTCTGTTATAAACAACAATTTCACTCACTTTTTGCTCTTTTCAGTATTATATAAGCCGACCTCCAACTAGCATTTCCAGGACTAAGTTCTTTTCTAAATTTTGAATCATGGCAAAAGCAACAGTAAGTAATATCTTGATTATATATTCAATAAATAACACTTGTTTTGTGTTTATTCAAAAATTTTAACAAGTAATTTCACAAAATTTTATATAATCAATGGACATATAAAATGACTGAGCGATAAAGAGTTATTTTGATTTTAGATGGAATTTGTTGTTGAAATGAAGTGTGAAAGTTGCGAAACATCTATTCGAAATGCTCTCTCTAAGTTAGATAATATAGACATATTAAGTGTCGATTTAAAATATCAACGATTAGTTGTAAGCTCATCACTACCTTCAACAAAAGTGTTGCAAACAATCGAAAGTACAGGCAAAAGAGCAGTTTTACAGGGTCTTGGTGACAAAAGTAAGTACTTTACTCTCTCTCTTATTTATTTAAATATAATTCTTTTCTATTCTTTCAGAAATAAACTCTGCTGCTGTCTGTATGATGTCAAATGCTAATAGTAAAGGTGTTACTCGATTGGTTCAGATGGAAAACGAAAGCTGTATTATTGAAGGAACAATTGATGGTTTAAGACCAAAAACAATGCATAAACTATTTGTTCACGAACTTGGAGATTTATCCGAAGGGTGTCAAAGGTAATGATAAAAATAATACTCTTTTCTATTGTACAAATAAATTAGAAATGCTGTTAATTCTTAGTTGTGGAGATATATTTCAAAAAAATCAAAAAAGCTTTTACCCAGTTGTTGAAGCTGAGTCTTCGAATAATGGTCGACTTGAATTTCGAGTGGAAAAAGATAAATTCCCTATATATAGCCTCATTGGTCGTTCACTAGTCTTACACGATTCTGCGAAAAATCGGTAAACAGAATATCAACTATCTAACTATTTAATTTAAAAATTGTCAATATTTTTAGTCAGGTTTGCGGAATTATTGCACGTTCGTCAGGTTTATTTGAAAATACTAAAAGAATTTGTGCTTGCGATGGTGTGACAGTTTGGGACGAGAGGGATGTCCCTTTGGCTGGGCCAGAAAGGAGTCAATGTCCGAATGGTAATTGTAAGAAATAAAATAAGAAGACTTCTTTATACTCTGAACTTGATTTTGCTTGTTTTGAAAGACAAATATAGCTGGATTTCAACACAAAGCATTTTTGATATAATTAATAAAAATGTAAAACTTAAATAACTTTTATAACTCTACTCTTTTTAGACAAAACAGTTAACAAAGTAATTACGAGACAAAACTAAAAATAAGATAGGTAATCTAATTTCTTGCTTGCAATGTCTGTTTTGCCTCATTATAGGCTTCTTTTAAATGTTTTGAAGGTTTTCCATCCAATTGTTCTGTAGCAGATTTCCATTGCATTTCCAAATCCTTAATATTTCGGGAGTTTTTAATTCGACTAGTCAAAAATATTTTTTCAAATTCCTCTTTGGAAATTAAATTACATCCTTCATTATTGCACAGATTTTTCATACTTTTAGCTTTTAAATTGGGTAATAGTCTAAACCCAATTAAAGATTCTATTCGGCTCACATCAACTTGATAATCCCGCAATTTTCGTTCGAAAGTGATAGGTTTATTTGGTACTAAGAATGCTGCAACAAATTGATTGGAATCTGCTGAATCAGCAACAATCACTTTAAACAAATGGGTTGGTACGGCTACATGGTTCTTTCCAATAACTCGATATTTTACGTATATATTACCATCCTGGTCTGTTTCTGGAACCATCACGGGCCCAGAAAATATCCTTACGTCGTCGTAATTTTTTACTAACTTTCTACAGTACATTTCCAATCTATTCCAAAAACCAGCATTGTTACTTAGATCTTGCGGGACAATATTGGTTAACAAAAATGATTCATCCATTGCTTCCTAATGAAAATCTATATTATAAGAACTTTTTATAAAGATTAGTAAGTATTAATATACTTGGTCATGCTTATTGTCGCCAGCAGGTGCCATATGACCTCTTGACCAGCCACTATTCCAGTAATCAGAATTTTCAGACATAAATAAATTTTCAATTGATGGGTCAGGTTTGAAATCTGAGAATTTTCTGTTAGCTTTACCTATTCGAATAAAACATGTTATTTCTAATAAAGAAATAAAGCAGGATTGTCAAATAATACCAGATAAGGAATCCTTAGTTAGGTGCTCTGCAACCCAAAATGGAATTCTTGAAGCGGCATTATAGCTCAGCACGTGGTTTTTATAGAACATAAGATCTCCTGGTCTTTCTGGTATGCCATACTTTAGTATTTCCTTACCCCTTCTCTTTTTATCTTAAAAAGCAATTTTGGCATGAAGGAGTAATTACAAACAGGCTTTGTGGTATTTTAGCTTACCTGGTAATTCCTCATATTCTATATGAGGTTTGGCGCACAAAGTTTTGTAACCAATTATGCCTGATAATAGTCCAACAACCATACCGCTGAACGATGGATGCATATATAGATACTTAGCCGATTTCCATTTCATTTTTAACTTTCAGTCTCGGTAATGACTATTTGTAGGCAATAAGAATACTACCTCAGAAGATAAACAATAATGCTTATACGTGATTCCAAACGAGATTTTGCGAGATGGATACTTTTGTTTGAAAGTTAAGATCTGTTACTTTATCAATTGACAATATTTAAAGTTTCTACTCTGCAATGAAATAATGTAGCAATTTGTGATATAAACTCAGTAATTTATAATTGAATAAGGTACTTTTGAAATAAAAGTAGCAGTGAAATTTGAAGAAGCGAAGTATTCGCATGAAATATACCAGTTTAGTTACAAAGAAAAACTAGGCCTAAAGCAGTTTCAAGGTTTTAACGGGAGGAACTTTAATAATTTCAGCATCAAATTATAGACAAAAGAGCGGCTTCCCCTTCCTAATATAAAATTTCAAGGCAAATGAAATATGGTATGCGGGTGAAGGACAAGATAATTAATTGAAATAATTAGAAGAAAATAGTAAATGAATGCGCTAAACATCAGAAGATAGAAATTCTAGATAAAAGTTACGCTCCTATTACTACTAGAACTGTTGTTTTAAATTTATAGCTCTTTCTAAGGATATGCATTAGCAGCGTTTTTATTATTTCAAAACCCCCAATAAGAAGTAATAAATATTTATGTAAATGTATCAAACTGTTTATATCTATACTTTACTATCAAAGTAGGCTTTTTTCAAAAATAGTGATATACAAATACAATATATAAGAATGTTTTTTAACTTAAGTCATTAATAGATTCATTTCCTTCCATTTAAATCAACTTTTAACAAAGTTCTCATTTTATTTTTACAAATTATTATACATATTCATTATTCAGAAAGTCAATAGCAGCACTTAACACCGGTAATTAGCCATTCAAAATAACACGGAATAGCTGTTTATAAGTGACTCACGTGATCCATAATCCATCATAAAAGGAGTAATAGAAAATGTTTTTTAATTCATTCCTACTTTTACTGTTATATTGAGCATTTCACTTGTCATCCTTAAGTATAAGAATAATGATAAATATTTTTCTAATTACACTTACTTTTCTAAATGGGGTTTTTGGAGAGAAAACCATAAAGTTTGGTTCGTAATTTATACCTATAAATTTTTATTTACGTATTTTCTTGATTAGAAAAGATTATTATATAATATTTACATATTTTTTTTATTAGGAGCTGTTTTACCTGAAGAAGATCCCTTTTATAAATCAGTTTTAGACATAGCTGTAAAACATTTAAATAACGATACAAGCTTGCTACCTAATTATAAACTTGAAATGCTTGGGGTTAATAGTTCAATGCTTTCTAAATACGAAGCCATTGAATCTGTCTGCGAATTGATGAAGATGGAAATTGTCAGCATTTTAGGACCAATGACAACCACAACCGTTAAGTCTTCTCATCCCCTGTGTTTAGGCTTACACATGCCCATGATATCACCTAGCGCAACCGATCCAATGCTTCGAGTATAAATAATTATATTCTTTACAACTACAATCTAATATTTATTCTATTGAATAGAATACGGCAGCTTACAAATACCTATTACGAATGGCATCTCCGGATAATAAGCAAAGTGCTGCACTAGTAGATTTCATTAGTTATTTTAGATGGGATACCATGGCTATGTTAACTGATAATACTGACTATGGTGAATAAGATTTTTTTCTTATCAAAGATAGGCTAATTAACAACAGCCGTAAATTTTTCTTTCGTTTTTAAGGTATAAATGGGTTATCAGCGTTTCAATCCATGGCTGCAACAAGAAAGTGGAAAATTATAACTGTTCAAAGATTCAACACTAAACTGATGAAAATAAGTGTAATTGCTCAATTACAACAAATTAAAAATTCAGGTTTTAACTCAATTATATACACAATTTCGAGTATTCTACTATTTAATGATAGGTGCGAAAGTTGTCATTTTACACTGTTTGCCGGATCATGCTGTTGAAATAATCGTTCAAGCTCAGAAATTGAACATGTTGGCGAAAGGGTGGCTTTGGATAGGCACAGATGGAGTAACTGAATCGGTTCGTATGGTTTTTTTTCCTGATAATATATAAGCATAAACAAAGGTATTCTCTTCTTAGGATATTTTCAAAGGACTGGATAGGAGAGAATTTAAAGGTCTAGTTGGCTTAAGACCGGCATTACCGGAAAAATCTATATTTTTACAAGAGAAATTTCACTTGGGAAATGATTCTTTTCTCTCTGTATGTTTAAGAAGCTTTCTTTTTTATGTCAAATAGATTCTATTATTATACTTTTCTTTGAAGGGATACGCCGCAGCTTTCTATGATTCAGTATACGTATTAGCAAATGCTTTACACCGACTCTTAGAAGTTGAAAGTGAAAATTTAACAACTGCCAAATTAGATTGTTTTGAAATACCTGCTAAACAATGGGAATTTGGGGAAAAGATGTTAGACGCTTTGAAAAAAGTAATAATAACTATTTAAACAGCTTAAAATAGATTTAATTAACGGTTTTCTGGAAAAAAAATTGCAGACAGATATTCCTGGAGTTTCCAAGAAACGTATTAGATTTAATTCGAATGGATCACCATACAGTTCATCGTACGATTATGTCTTCTTAAGAGAGGAAGGGTGGGAAAAGGTTTCTTATATCAAATTATGGTATAAATAGTTGTTCTAGATTATCTTTTTTTAAAAGTTTGGTGAATGGACGTCACCAAAGAACAATGATAATAACGAGGTAATGAAAATTAATGCTACTGGAGTCACGGTTTCTGGTGGAACACCTTTGATGGATATAAGAGACTACGTGGGAGAATTAGTTAATCGAACTTTAAGGGTTGCAGTTGTGGAGGTTTGATTTTAAAACTAAAAATAGAGATAGTAATAAAAATAGTAATAGTAAGAGAGATTAATTATCAAACTTTTAAAGGATCCGCCATTTATATTCATTACTCGACCAAATAACACCACAAAATCGACATGTACCGGAAACGAATGCTTCACTGGCTTCGCAATCGATTTATTAAATGAATTATCCAAGATACACTCATTTAATTATGTTCTGCATGAAGCTTCTTATTATGGGGTTTTTGACCGAAAAACGGAAAAATGGGATGGCCTTATGGGTGAATTAATAGTTGACGACAGTGGAAAAGCCGTAGGTGATCTATTTCCGTTAAAAGTCTCAATTTTCCTTTCGTTTACCATTATATATAGAAAGCTGATATGGGAATAGGAGCGATTAGTATAACATATGAAAGACAGCAACATATTGAATTTACAAAGCCTTTTAGAGACCTTCAAATGGGTATACTTCTGGGTTCAAGTAAAGAAACGTCTTACGATCCTTGGTCTTTTTTAAACCCTTTCACGAATAGGCTTTGGGTATTAACTCTCCTTACTGCAATTATTCTTGGACTTGTCATTAGTTTGATTGAAAAAGTTAGCCCTTATGGGCATCATGGTAAATCCCTTGAATTAAATTTGTGTTGTTTATAAATTTTTAATCGACTGTTTACTCTATTGTTTAGGTAGAAAATCTCAAGTTATGAATGATGGTGAACTGGAAGCTATGGATAAGAATGAGGATGGCACAATTGATTATTGGGAAGAAAGAGAGTGGTTAGAAGATAAGAATACAATGAGTGTTCATAATGCTGTTCTATGGAGCTTAGCATCCTTGTTCGAACAGGGAGGTGAAAGGCACCCAAGATCTATATCTAGTAAAATAGTAGCCGGAGCATGGTGGCTTGGTGCCCTAATTATCATCCAGTCTTACACGGCTAATTTAGCAGCCTTTTTAACCGTCAAATCATCGGCTGATGAAATAAAAGCGATTTCCGAGTTAGCAAATAGAGGCGATGTCAATTATGGAACGGTTTCAGGCCATCACGTCCAATCATTTTTTGATTCATCAGCTAGAGAACCATACAAGTACGTAAAAAGTAATATGAATAGGATAAATTTGAAAAAATAGTGTGATATAAATTATTTATACATGTCAGAAAAATGAGTAAGAGAATGAGGGAGAAGAACAATTATTGTAAAAGTGCAAAGGAGTGTGTTGACAAAGCTATCCATGAGAATGGGTCGTTCGCGTTCATTTACGATATGCCTTCCATTCAATACTGGAAAGGTAGTTATAAATATTTTATTAAATGCTATATAGAGTAAATACAGATAGTGTTTCTTATTATATTTTATACATTAGGACAAGAATGCAGTTTAAAAGTTGTCGAAAGTGGATTTGAAAATATGGGTTACGGTATAGCCTTACCAAAAGATTCTCCATATGTTGAAGAATTAACAATTAGTATATATAATATCAGAGAGAGTGGTGAAGTAGATGCGATAGGGGACAGATGGATTTCTAAAACTTCAATCTGTCTTGATAAATCCAATGGAGATATAAGTTCAAATACCGTAAAAATTGGCGTTCCATCAATTTATGGGGCTTTTTGGATATTATTCATTGGATGCGGAACAGCTTTCGGTATAGTAATTTTGGAATGGGTACTAGACATTATTTACAAGAAAACAAGTGGCAAAAATGTAAGATAATTTTCTTTTCTTCCAATTTAGCAAAATTTATCTTATAGTATTATTGTATGATTATATATAGTCGAATACCTTCTGGAGTATAATTAGAACAAAATTTATCAACTTGAAGAGGGATATCATGGAAAATTGGATCGTTAATTGTAATAAGAAAGAGTGCCGCGAAAGAGAGAAGAACGTAGGAGCGATGGCTCTTGCAGAGAATGTTAATCGGTTCTTTATGCAGGCAAAGAAACTAGAGCAAGAGACAGTTAAATAAAAAAACATAAATTTTATCCATTATTAATTAATCATTTTAAGCCTGCTTTATCTTGTGTCTATATTATATAAGATATTGTAAATAAACAATCAAATAAGAACATATACCTTGCATATATGCATCAATTGTATCGGTGTGGTCTATATTGAGAAAAATACATATACTGTATATATATATATAAATTTATATATATATTAGTATATATAATACTTTTATAAGAAAGTATACAAGCCCGATTATAAGAGAAAGATAATATTTACCGAAGCAAACGCTCTATCATTCTATATTAAGATAAATACATATAAAACCTATCATTTCCGTCCTTCAAAACTTTTGATATTATACATGTATACACTCGTATTGTATATTATTACATTGTTTAATACATCTGGCAAAAAGTTATTCTTGTTTGTCAAATTCGCCTAAAAATACATTTTAAATTTTGTACAAACTTTATTCTGTATCTCTTTTTTTCTTTGTTTCTTAGTAGAAAGCCGTTTTAGAAAGAACAAGGAAATATTAAGGTAATTTCAATACTTTTCCAATCTTTCTTTCATAATTATCTTGGTCTTTTATCTTATTTTCTTTGATATTAAAAATAGAGTTTGTTATGTCATCACAGGATAGAATAACACCAACCAGGACGTGTTGATTTTCTTGCTCGGAAGGGTATGCTCTGTAGGTGGCTCTATATCCGCCTTCTGCTCATGATTTATACATGCCGATACACATATACATAGTATGTTTAAATGTATAATGTGTCATAAGAAAGTACAGGCTAAATATACTATGTGTATTATATATATATATAAATAAAATAAATAAAATACTCTAATCTTCTCTTCTTTCTCCTTCCAAATATCTTATTCATCGATAAAGAACTTGCTAAAAGTATTTGATAAGACTGTTTATTTATGAGTTGAATAAGGTGTAAAAAGTGATAAATCAGCGTTAGCCTATACCCCGGGGAATAATTTTAAGAATGCCATTAACCAAAGTTATATAGGAAGAGATGAGGAAAGGATAAGGAAATGAGCAACGCATAGAAGGTATATAGAAGGGGTGGAGGGTTCATTTACATATTTCGATATGGAAACTTTAAGATAATTTTTAAAGTCACGCTACTTTTTTATGAAAAAGATAATTAGCTAAATTCATTATCATATTCAAAAAAATTTAACAGAAACTATACAAGTCCAAACGGCTTACTCATCAAATTACTAATGGGAGGAGTAGTTGTTTTGACTGCTCCCAGCAGATGTAGATGAAAAAGCCGGCATAGCCGCCTGCATCTTCACTCTACACACAACAGCTGTATACAATATCCTAAATTACGCTTTTCTATAAAGGATATGCAGCTCTTGCTCTTCCTTTTTGCTGTTTTTGGAACTGTTCGAGGTAAAAATTCTTTTAAAGTTGTCATATTGAAAATGAGAACTACGAGAGACTTTAATACAAATAATCAATTAATATAAAAGGACACGGCGTCTTCCTTTCCATTAAATCGGATCACCGCAAACCAATTTTAATCAAATTGGAAGGCAAATCCAGTATACAACAAAGTTATTCAGGAGGTAACGCATTACAAACTTTTCTTAGATAAAATTTATCATAATTAAAAAATGAATTAAAACGTATTATCATAATAAAATGGAGTGAGAATAACATCAATTTCTATTTGTTTATATCATCCAATATTAGTATTCTTACACGAACATGGGAGAAGGGACGTCTACCTAGCTCACATTCCACTAAGAAACTTCCTTCTACATTTTCATCACGCTTATAGGCCTAAGAAAATTTGTATATTTCGTCTATTCAAGAATTGTGTAGTGGTTGAAAAGAAAACAGTACCAGTAAAATGGTGCGACCGATTGGATATTTCCACCCATACAGTACGATTTATAAGTTAATTTAAAAGAGAACTCAGCATAATCATCCAAATATGATTTTAAAATTATAGTAATATTAACAATTAACTGAATTTTTCTTACCTTTTTTTTTTATTAAAAAAAAGTGTTTTTTATAACTTTATTAAAAAAAAAACAAAACAAAAAAGCTTTAAATAACCGATTAAAAACTTTTTTCTTCTCTTTTTTTTTATTTCTAACAAGTGAATGTGCGCTTAATTATATAAATCTGCTACTAAGTTTTTACCACGTGTTTCAACACTTGGTTATATTGAAAGAAAACATACAACTCAACAGTAGACTTTTTTAAAAAGCTTATTAAAGATGTCCTTGACATTAAATTATAAAGATATGATAAAAGAATTATGATAATGGTAATAACTGCGTAATGTTGAACAGCTGTTGAGTGCGTGTTGAAGTTTGGCTATGTATTGTATACACTTCTTGTTTGTATTAGTACGGTACTAAACACAATATATTTGTTTATCAATCTAGAACACCAGCGAGGGCGTAAAACTCTACAAACGAGTCGACGAAAGGAGGGTATTGAGACAGTTTGGATGTAAGCTGACGGATATGATGGTTGAAGATGAACGTAGACGCTCTTCAGCAGGTTAAGTACAAGTAAATTTTGTTTGTAATAGTTTTTGCCATTGGCAAAGAAAAACATGATAGAAAATATGCTTTCAGCTAAAGCAAATTGTACAGTTTTAAAAATAGACTAGCAATTTAGTTTCCCTATGCAACAAAAACCTAGTTCTAAAACTTTCAACACCAACTCGAATCTATGAAAAATAGCTGCGTTATGGTTAGATTAAAAAGTTGGCTTCGTTTTTTTTCTCACCCCTCTCTATCCTCTTCAATCTGTCAGTTATTTGCTGTATATCTGCAATAAGAATACATTATATTACATTAATAACAAACATATAATTAGAGTTTTTTAACTCATATAAAAAAATTCAAGTTTCCTTCACCTTGTTTTAATTGTATTTTCTTTCTATTAATTTGATACTAATTTGAATTAATTAATATTAACAAGCTATTCATTTACACAGCTCAAGTTAACTCTAACGATCTTGTAAGAGCGTTGAGAGATCTTCAAGCAGATATGAGGAACCAAGCAGTTGAGACTAGAAATTTGAGATTACTGCTATCCAAATGCGACTTATGTAAAGACGCTAGTCCTTGTGCTTCTCAAAGGCCGTGCTTTCCCGGTGTTACATGCGAGGATCATGATGACGGATCATATACATGTGGCGATTGTCCTTCAGGCTTTGTGGGAAATGGAAAAGAATGCGAACGTATTAGACCATGCTCTAGACGACCTTGCTTTCATGGGGTAGCTTGCGAAGATAGAGACGATGGAGGTTTTGTGTGTGGTAGATGTCCAGAGGGCTATCATGGAGACGGAAGAGATTGTCGCGAAATTCGGGGTTGCGATAGTAATCCTTGTGATCGACGGGTTAGGTGTAGGAATTTAGATGGTGGCCGCTATGAATGTGGTCCATGCCCTAGAGGTTATTATGGCAATGGTATAGTTTGTATAGAAGTTCCTGAAAGAGCATGCCGCAAACGTCCTTGCTTTGACGGCGTTGTATGCGAAGATTTAGATAATGGAGAATATAGATGTGGAAGATGTCCGGATGGATATGAGGGAAATGGTGTAAACTGTCAACCAATGTCAGCCTGTGCACGAAATCCATGCTTCAAAGGTGTTGAATGTAGAGATCTTAGTGATGGACGATACGAATGTGGACCCTGTCCTAGAGGTTATTCTGGAAATGGTCGAGAATGTTACAGGTACCGTCCTTGCGATGATCATCCTTGCTTTGGTAAATGTTATAATAAAGAAGACGGACTCTTTGAATGTGAGCCATGTCCTGATGGTTATGTTGGTAACGGTCGAGTCTGTCAACGGAACACCGCCTGCGAGAGTAGCCCATGTTATAATAGAGTTCGCTGTTTTGAACTAGTCAGTGGAGGTTTTATGTGTGGAAGATGTCCAGATGGATATGTCGGAGACGGTGTTGGTCCAAGAGGATGTGAAAGAATGAGGACTTGTCGGGATAGACCTTGCTATCCTGACACAACTTGCACTGATTTAGATAAAAGACGAGGATTTTTCAAATGTGGGCCATGTCCGATGGGATTTACTGGAGATGCTATTGGAAGAGGCGGGTGCCGTAAAGTTACTTGTGACGATGACACATTCTGTTACCGGGGGGTTGTTTGCTACAATGAGGCTAGTGGTCCAAGGTGTGGACCCTGTCCTACTGGCTATACTGGTCATGGTATTGGACCCAATGGTTGTAGGCCAATAAGTTGTAGAGACAATCCATGCTTCTTGGATGTTCGCTGCGAAGATCTATCTTCAGGCTACAGATGTGGATCTTGTCCTCCTGGATTAGTTGGTGATGGCGAAGTGTGTAGAGCCCGAAGATGTAACGACTCTCCTTCACCCTGCTTTTCTGGTGTTGAATGCAGAGATTCTGATTTTGGGCCAAAGTGTGGCTCATGTCCTAGAGGGTACTGGGGAGACGGAAGAGATTGTCGCAAAATCAGATGTAACGACTATCCTAGTCAAAGACCACCTTGTGACTTACGAGTTGATTGTCGGGATACTGAACATGGGCCAGTTTGTGGAAAGTGTCCGGCCGGATTAATTGGAGATGGTATAGTTTGTCGATTAAGAAAATGTTCTGATGCTCCTAAACCCTGCTATCATAATGTGGAGTGTGAAGATACTCTATATGGTCCGAGGTGCGGAGATTGTCCTCGAGGTTATTGGGGAGATGGTCGAAACTGTAAACAAATCACCTGCGAAAACTACCCAAGCAATAGACCCCCGTGTGACTACCGAGTTACTTGCACTAATACACCTAATGGACCAATATGTGGATCCTGTCCAGACAAATTTACTGGTGATCCTACTAGGCGTTGTATACCTATTAAATGCGAGACTCATCGTTGTCCAAATGGAATGAAATGCATCGACACTCCTAACGGTTATGAATGTCAAAAGTGTCCAAAAAGATTTAGTGGCGATGGTAAAATATGTCGACCTATCAGATGTGCTGAGAATCCTTGTGCCTCTGGGGTTAAATGCCGGGACACAGCTAATGGATATGTTTGTGACGACTGTCCATTAGGAACAAAGGGAGACGGCGTTAATTGTATTGATATTGATGAGTGCCGAGAGGAACAACCTTGCGACAGGTTAACGACTTGTATTAATTTACAGCCTGGTTATCGATGCACGGAATGTCCTAGCGGTTATACAGGTTCAGCGTTTCAGGGAATAGGCATACGTAGGTTTTTCAATTCTTTTCAAATCAGTACTAGAAGTTTGTCTTATGATACTGTATATCTTTTTATCAGTTGATGCAAGAAGAAAAAAACAAATTTGCACAGATATTAATGAGTGCATGATAAACAATGGTGGTTGTACGGCCAATTCCGAGTGTATAAACACACCTGGATCATCCAGGTGTGGAGAGTGTAAATTTGGCTACGAAGGAAATCAATTATACGGTTGTAAAAGGAAAGAGGGACTATGTCCTGATGGTAAAGTTATTTGCGGAAGTAACGCAGAATGCGTTCTAATGTACGGACAGAGCGGCTATATGTGTCGTTGTAAGCCGGGCTATGCTGGTAATGGCAAAATTTGCGGACTTGATACTGACGAAGATGGCTTCCCCGACACTTCCTTACAATGTCCAGAAGCCAACTGTAGAAGGGACAATTGCCCCACAGTCCCAAATAGTGGTCAGGAAGATGTAAATAATAACGGTGTGGGTGACGCATGTGAAGATGACTCAGACAATGATGGTATACGTAATGCGGACGATAATTGTCCATATATCCCCAATAAGGATCAAAGAGATCAGGTACGATTTAAATAAGATTTAAAAAATAAGTCTAGTTTGCAATGAAATGTTAGGATAAAGATGGAATAGGCGACGTTTGCGACAATTGTAAATTCAAAGCAAATAAAAATCAAAATGATATGGATCGTGACGGCGTAGGTGATGCGTGCGATAGCGATATCGATAATGATGGAATACTTAATGAAAATGATAACTGTCCTTATGTGAAAAATCGGCACCAATTGGATAGAGACAAAGACAGCATCGGTGACGCCTGTGATAACTGCCCTGATGAACCTAATAAAGATCAAGCAGATAATAATAAAAATAGGATTGGAGACGCTTGTGAAGGCTTTTCAGATAGGGATAGAGACGGCATACCAGATAGAAATGATAATTGTCCAGATCACAGAAATCCAGATCAATTGGATACGGATGGAGACGGAATGGGCGATGAGTGTGATCCTGATGATGATAACGATAAAATTCTAGATGATAACGACAATTGCCGTTTAGTATATAACCCGGACCAACGCGATGCCGATAACGACGGTCAAGGTGATGCTTGTGACAAGGATTGTGACGGTGACAATCAGCCAGACCATTTGGACGTTTGCTACAGAAATAAAGAAATATTTGATACTGATTTTAGAAATTATACCCAGATTATGCTTGATCCTAAAGGTTATCCTTTATTCCTGACGATTTGTCTTAATTTTTCAAACTGATTTAATCTATTCCTACAGAGGACTCCCAAGATGATCCAGATTGGGATATTAGGGATAACGGAGCCGAAGTTATACAGCATATTAACAGTGACCCTGGTTTGTTTGTCGGATATCATCGTTTTGCTGGCGTTGACTTTGATGGAACATTCTACGTTGACTCTAAAGTTGACAATGATTATGCCGGTCTTGTATTTGGCTATACAAATAGCAGTCACTTCTACGCTGTTATGTGGAAGAGAGGAAAACAGACCTATTGGGAAAACACTCCTTTTAGAGCAGTTGCTGAACCAGGTGTTCATATTAAAGTTGTTCACTCAGGAACTGGACCGGGACCTATGATGAGAAATTCATTATGGCATAGTTTTAGTGTTCCTGGGCAAACAACAACTCTATGGAAAGATTCAAATGGTATCTCATGGAAAATGCGAAGATCTTATAAATGGAAATTACAGCATAGACCAGACTTTGGTTATATTAGATTACAAATTTTCGACGGTAGCGTTAGAATAATAGATTCTGGTCACTTAAAGGATACAACATTTATCGGAGGTAGTCTAGGTCTTCTAGTATTTTCACAAGAAAAGGTTATATTTTCGCAGTTGAGCTACAGGTGTCTAGGTAGGATATCTTTTATTGATTCACTATTTTATGACTAATCAATGGAATATTAATTTATATCATAATTTATAAATAATATTTATCAAATTACCAAAGAAAACTGAGTCAAATTAGTTACTACCTAAAGGAGCCATGGTTAATTAATTATTATATTTTTCAAACAGATGATCTACCTGACGGCGTTAATAATAACAAGTTTCCTAGACTACATGCAGCATCTAAGAGAAGGTGCTAGAAAAATGAAAACGATATCTCATAATCAATTATAAAAAAATAAATGCGACAAAAAAGAGCGCGAAAAAAATTTCATCTGAATCTTTATACTACTTAGATGATAGAGTATCTTGTCTTATTTTCTCTTTCTCTATCTCTCTCTCTCTCTCTCTCAGCATATAATATATATACATATATATATACCCCTCTCTCTCTTTTTCTGTCTATCTATCTCTATTTCTATCTCTCTCTCTCAAGTTATAGTTCATTGAGTTTAATGTGGCAGCAACAGAGCAGCATAAAAAGGTTTTGGTATCTTTTTTTCCTATTTTTATTTGCTTTTTCTTTCTTCTCTCTATCTATCTTTACCTCTCCGAAACTCATACTCTACTATCTACTCATTATTATTTAATATTTTTTGCTCTATCTCTTGAGAGATGTCTAGTTTACAATGATTATAGCATGGTAGTGATTTTACGTATGATACAAATACTTCTTTCTGTTCATATTAATATTTTTTATTTAATAAATGAGGAGAACTTTTGATGTGAAAATGCCTTTTTTTCTACATCTGTACATCTATTAAAAAGTAAAAGAAACTGAACAAATAAATTTTTTGTTTGGAATTTTCCTTCTAGAAGACGCTTAAATGACTATTAGTAATAGATTCTATTTCACAAAAACCGTTATAAAATACTGAGATACCCAGAGGTATAAAACAGCTATCTCTAGTTAAATGCAGTGATCCTATTAGTATATCATCCATGAAAGTCACCCACCCACTAAATAATTCGTCTATAGTTAGTTTAATTTGAAAAAATATGCGTACTTGCGTTTTTACTGATGTATTATTATTTATTATGTATGCTATAATTATCTATAAATAGAATTATATATATATACCGTATATGCATGTACTATACATAGGGAACTATAAACGGAGCAAAAGGGTTATGATCTATATATAAATGGTATATGGATCTAAAATCAGCCATCTGGTGTCAGATTATACCGTATTTTTCCGGACCGATGACACTTAATACTTTGACTTTTCAACAATAATCATAAACTATAATAAAACGAAATATATACAGAATATACAGTATAAATTTATATATCTTAATTTTAGTTGTATCCTTGAATTTCGAACAAAATAGAATAATTTAAACAACACTAAACTGTCTTCCAACTACTTCAAATAAGAAGTCAACTAAAGCATGATGAATCATATAAAGCCTTAAGGCAATACGTATTTATTCAAAATTTTTGAATAGTGAATCTAATTAAACTTCGTATTTGATTTTTACCTTCTCATTATGCTTCTACGCATATATATACAATATAAACAACATAAAAATAGCATATATTTATATATACAATGTGTACAAACAGAGTTCGATTAGATAATAAACTATCGCTGGGGACAGGCGAAATTGACATTAATGATAAGAAAATTTTACGGGTTAATAGATATTAATAGTATAACGCAAAAAGATTGAAATTTCTCATTACAAACGATATTTATATACAACTTACGTAAATAAAGGTTAATTGAGCTTAATGATGATAATGATGATGAGTTAACTGAAAGGTCATTCTTTTCCAAATATAAATATAACTATTTTAAATTAGTTAAACTCTAATAATTAGATCATAAATTAGGTAAATTTTCTAAGACTAAAGAAAAATGAAAACGAAACAAACGTCTATGAAAGTTTTTTTTTTCTTTTTTTTTTTTAAAGAAAAAAGTTAACGTTAAAAATATTTGCATTATTAAATTACTTAGATATACTATTTATATTTCGCTAACGCTATATAATTAATAATCCGATACACCTATATATGACAGCATTTTTACAGTAGATGATATTTTCTTAATAAATATTTTAACCTTTATAAATTAACATTAAGAAAAAAAATAGTTAGATATATATATATATATATACATATACTCTATAAGTCTTTTTCTACTCCTCAGTTTCAATTTTGCCTTCTTTATGTCTTTGTTTATTTATTCTAGTCTTGCTTATTTAAATTTAAAAGCTATACCCCCGTTAAGAGTACATACAGGTGGTAAATATTATAAAAGAGAATGAAAGAGACGGAAAGCACAGCAAAATGGAAATGGGAAGGAAAGGAAAGAAAAGTAAAGAAAAGGATGCAAGTTTTTATACTTTTAAGTCGTAGTTGTAAGCAGTTGATGACTAGTGACAAACTGTTTGTTAATAAAGATCAGTGTGATGTCATTAACTCATTGATAAAAAAGCTCTAAGGTTGTTATGTACTCTTAACAACAATATTATACTTTTCATTATCAAGCTGTGTTTAGGAGGGTAGACTCATAAGAAAGTTCAGATTTGATATACATATAATAATGATATAAAAGAATTGGGACTGAATATCCTAATAGGTACGTTATTACTTCCTAAGGATACAATTAGGTGTATCTCATACAAATGAACACTTTCCTGATCAATTAGAGGCTTTATTGTAAGACTTCAAAAAAAAATCTAAAATTTAAAGTTGAGTATAAGTAGTCGGCAGTAAATTTTAATTCCGGTCCAATTGGCTGAGTATTTTGAACAGCACAGCAAGATGGGAATTTTAAGTACTTAACACTTTCACGCTTTTTCGCCCGGTAGATTTAAAAATTGTATAGAGAATATTTTTTTTTCAGAGTATCTACAAAGGAGAGAAAAGTCTCAAATGCTGCGAAAGGTATTTCTCCTAAAATCGATATTAAATCGAAAAAATTAAAAAGAATTAGGATCGATACTCATTTTCAAGTAATTCCTTTATTTTATAATTCTATTTTCACTAAAAAAGGAAAACGGTCAACAAATTTGGAATAATTTCCTATACGGAAAAGACGCTAGATTCGTCAAGACAAGTCGTAGACTTGGGCGCTCGTTGACCTTTAATTGGAAGGACGCTAAAAATATGGAGGAAGAAGAAAAAACCGGTCGAACTAGGAAATTTAGCGCTCCTGGAGGACGTTCTCTTGATTTATTGGAGGAAACCACTCCACTCTCTGTACAATTAAATTTTATACCGTCTACACACTCAACACCGCCTGTTCTTATAGTTCGACCTAAAGCTATGTCAACCCTTAAGAATGTCTTGAAGACTGTCTGCGAAAAGAGCTGGTATGAGGTTGACGTTGATCAGTTAGAAGTTGTAATTGAAAATTCAGCAACACCACTACCTCTAGATAGCGTAGTCTCATACGTAGCCGGCTTCAAGCTATACGTTGGCGGTAAAGCTTAAATAAAGCATATATAAATTTAATTATGTTGATTAATTTTACTCTGTTTTCAGTTAAACAAGGTGATGACCAGTCAGGGACGGTGAGTAAGAATTAGCTACTTTTTTGTTGCCAGCTTGTTTTTGTTAGTATATCTAGCCCTTGAACGAAGGTTAATTGTTATAGCAAAACAACCTAACGACCGAATTAACGGACAAAGGCGTCATTTTAAGCAGCTTATTTCAAAATATTTTTTTATCATATACAGTTGATAAAAAATGAATTATTAAAGGTATTTTTAGAAAGGTGTATTTTTTATTTTTATAAAAAAATTCTCATTAAACTATTTTACAATTAGAAAAATAAATGATGCTAAAAGAATGGCACATAATGTAAAGTAACAGTGAAAAAGTAAAAGGGAAAGGGATAAGTGTATTGTATCTCCCCTCTTCCCTTTTGACGCATCACCTCTTTTATAGAGTTCGATGACCGTCGGCGCTGCTTTCGCTTTCCCTCGGAGCGTGAAAGCTGCTTTGATTATTAACAAGGTAAAGCCTGGCGGTGGAACGTGTTTGTTAGAATGTTTGTCGTCTGTTATTGTTATGCGTTTGTGAAATTGGATTACCTGCTGCGCGCGGGCGCCGTAGCAATTCTAACTATTCAACTATTGTTGCTGGCGACGCATCAAAACTCCGGAAATTCAATACGCAAAGTCGTGAGTTAACAAAGTCAATTATCAGACTAAAACGTCTTCTTCTCCTCCGTCGCTCTCCTCTACTACTGTTCTCCATATTAATTCATTCATCTTATAAATTGTCTCATTCTCGACCTTTGTTGGTCGCATAGATCAGCTAACTATCTATGAGAAGTCGGTCGTTTACGATTAAGGTACCTTTTCTTTTCTATTCAATTTAGAAAATTTTTTATATCGTTTTTGCTAAAAAAAGTGCATTTCAATTTTTTTTTATTCACTAAAACGTCAACAAAACAAACTGTATATCTAAATAAGCAAGAGTTGTTGATTAAAGATGTGAGGAAGAGACTGATTGAAGGCTTACCTACTAGGTGAAGCGTTTAATTAACGTTGGTAGAATCTAACGATCATTTTAGTCGGTCGTTGGAGTGTATTTGGTTTCGAAAAGAAACCCCGTTCTATTTAATTAAACGGATATTGCGAAAGCTTGCACCTTCTTCGTTTGAGATGTTGTAGAAAAGGATTTTTTCATATCCTAAAAAAGTCCTATATTGTTTTATTTTTTGTCTTTCATACTTAAAATGAGAAAAAATATCAGTTTAAAGGAAGAAGTTAATGAATCGATTGGTTTTAAAAAACTTTCAGTATAATAAGATACCAGAGTTAGTGTAAGCTTTTAGATGCTATATATTGATTGTCAAATACACAATTAATCAAGTCGTTTCTTCCAACAAGTTGTCTTGTGACATTTATAATAAAAATTACTCGAGTACAAATGTACGATTATATTTTGATATATACTTTTCATTTGACAAAAGTTAACTTGAATAGTTTGTTTTCTCTTTATTCAATTTCATTTGTTTATCAGTTAATCTTAAGTTTTATGCTTTTTAATTAAATTTTTATAAAATTATTAATTAATAATTTGTTTTCTTCTCCATTTCTTATGAAATTTAGACGAAGGGAAGGAAAAGTGATGAGGATCAACCTTCTCCTCTACCGAGGCATGAAGAGCCATTAGCAAGACGGCTTTCAGAATTTTCTGTAGCCCTACCACGCCCACCCTCTCGCTTTGAATATGAAAAATTTGACCATGACCCATCTTTACTACATGTGAAATATTCGTGGACTGAAGTTTTTTCAGATGATGGCCTCTCGAAAAAAGAGAAGGAACGTCAGAATATTATATGGGAAATAGTCAACTTTGAAGCGACATACGCTCTTAAGCTACAAACCGTCTTCGAAGTCTTCATCTGTCCTTTACTCTGTCTAATGGACGAGAAACTGATTGAGTCGATAAAAGTTGGTAGTGTCATTGCTAATTTAGCGGAAGTCTTTTCGAAATGTGCTAAACGGTGGAATACAGTGATAGGGCCGTTTATTAGTGAAATTCGTTCGTCGAAACAGCCAGCGGAAGCAGCTAAAGTGGCTCGTTTATATAACGTCAACAGTTCAGCAGGTGACGACCAATTATCGGACGAATATTTCTCGGAAGCTTACTTATATAACTTGCAAATTGAAAGTTGTGAAAAGTACATAAAATCAGAGCAATCGAAAAATTTAGCATTTAAAAAATTTTACGAGTGGGCCAATAACCATCCTAAATTAAACAAACTTGATTTAAGTAGTTATTTAAAGAGTCCAATGCACCACTTGACTCGTTTTGCTCTACCCCTTGAACGTCTCTTGCAGTGTACTGGTGAAGATGAGCAGAAGAAAACTCTCGAAGTAACTGTTGGTAAAATAAAGAATTTTGTTGGTTCTATGAACGAACAAGTTCGCCGATATGAACAAGAAATGAAATTATGGGCAATAGAGGAAAGGATAGATGGCTATGATGTTGTAGAAAATTTACCAGAAGATATTATTTCGCAACTTTCACGCCATAATATAAGTCTACGCCTAACCTCTCCCATGTTTGGATGTCAGAAGGCGCAGCAAAGAAGAAGATTGATGTATGAAGGAACTATAAGAATGAAAGATAACTCGGGAAGTAAATTACAAGATGTCTATTTGTTTCTATTTTCTGATATGATATTAATTACGAAGAAGAGTTATCAGAGGAAAAATGATAACAAGCTAAAATTAGTCAAACCTCCTATGAGGTTAGATGTAGTTCAATTAATATGGCTAAAAGAATCGTCATTTGCTCTCTGCTACCTTAACGAACTAAATATGGTTCAGGGTCTTTATACATTCCTTTCCACAAATACTAAATGGTATGATGAAATTACAAACGCAAAGAAGACTTATAGCGAACTATTAATGTCTGACCGTCATGAAACAGACAACGTAATAGAAGAACTCCTACGAACAGCTCCACCTGACAGTTCAACGGAACTACTTAGCCGGCTAGGAGAAAAGAACGACGACCGATTAGGGAATAATGCTCACGTGTGTATGAGCTTGGAGGAATTAGAAAGTCGATGGCCTTTGAAGATTAGCGATATCAGGTCGAGAGCTGCGACTGTCAGCGGTATCGAAACGAAGCCACTTTTAACACCTAAAGCTTTCGAGCCTCTTTACTCTTTAGGTAGTTCTTTAACAGCCCCTTCATCTCCCTTCAAGAAAAGGTATGACACTAGTTCATCTTCATCGACACCCGATTTAGATTTGGGTGATGAAGACACAAAAACTAGAACACATTCTAGGCGATCGGGAAGGGATATTAAACGTTATTGGACAACATCGCTAAATGATTTTCTCCAGCAACCAAAAGCGAACTCTCCTGTACAAAAAGTGTACTCTTTGAATGGTCAAAGTGACTTTTACGATAACTAAACATGATATATAAAAATTGCTCAATCGTTGTTTCGTGCATTTCCTTTCTCTGATGTGTTAAAAACCGCCTGCTAACAATTTGAATGTAATTGTGTCGACCGTTATTGAAATGATTATACTTTTCGTTTATACTAAGGGAATTTAATACACGATTAAAGTCTACCTGTTCCAAATTTGTTTACTATTAGAGTTATCTATCTCTCACAAAATATTTCCCTCTCTATTAGCGCCATCTGTAACTCTAACATAGCGCCATCAAGCGTTAATTAATAAAGTCTCCTATTATAATGTTAGAAAAAGTTTAACCAAAAATATAGCGATAAAACTTCTAAAGGCAATTATAAACTGGTAGATATAAAATAGTTATTAATTTAACAAAAGTTAGTAAACACTTGTAAATAGAAAACCGAATAAATAGATTTTTTTTGTATATTTACACTGTTGTTTGTGATTTACGAGCGAGTTGATAAAAGAAGTATTGTATGGCTACTGAAACTAGCAAACCCTTTAAAACAATTAGTGTCGAATCGAATTTTAAAACCTATTATTTTCAATAACAATTGAACATGTTAACGAAAAAATTATAGATATTAAAAATCGGTTTATTCCCTATTATAAGTATGAATTATTTATTCCCCATCTGGCATATTTTTAAAATCTTCTGTACCAGTACATAGTCTATATTTAAAAGAATCGAACCATTAGGCGTAGCTTTATAACGGTTATATATATATATAATATGTTTATATAATTCAGCCTTATCCACACTCCCATCGCCTATTTTTGTATGCGTCTATACGCGCAACATAAGGGAACACTTACTTTCCGCATTATACAAAGATTACATGGACCATAAATACTGTTGACACGTTTTTATAAGATATTCATATTATTACTTTTACTACTAAGGTGGCAGACATGACCTCGGATAAAAAATGATGGTACTGGGCGGCTAACCGTTTGATACGAAGTAATCAGGCCTACAGAAGCTCGGGTCGAAAAGCGAGAAAAATAGAGGCGGAAAAGTCGAATAGTCAAACAGTCAAATAGACAGGCTTCAAAAGCGCGAGGCGGCATTCGTCTAGGCGATCATAAGCCGATTTATCAAAAAGAATTCAGCGTTGCTAGCACCGTTTCGTCGCTTCACTTATGATCTATTATAGGCGCTGTTGCTCTCTTTAGCGCATTTATAGCTATTAAAAAACGACTCGGACGTTTATTGGGCGTGATTGATTATAGGGGTGAGTTGCAGCATGTGAGGTCTTTAAGGGCGTCTTTTTCTTTTCTTCATTCGACGTGGGCAACGTCCCGTACGTTTTAAGCCCCGCGCTCTTGGAGCTTTATCAACCAATCAGCGACGAGCATGCGCAGTCTATCCTTGTCCAGCAAAAAGTCGAAAGGCAAGTTATTCGGATGGATGTAGAATGCCCGTTGTCTCCGCGAGCTAACGCCTTCAGCATTGAATCACTTATGTCACAATCAGGAGCCGATCCAAGCCTTTTATCGGCTATAACTCGTTCGGATTGTTCTTTTTCCGACGGCAATTCTACAGACTGGTCACAATACGGATCAGGTTTAAAAGGAATGCAAGGTAAAATAATTTTGCATATAGTCAATAATTTTTAGATATAGACGGTATATGCATTTTGATCATCTACTAATATCAAAACATCTAATTATCAATCGCTATTCGCGCTATGTTAATTTATTATCAGCTGAATTTTTCTAACTAATTGAAAGCTTAAATTGATAACCGTACAGGGAAAATAAAAACAGTTTATTTAATATTAAGAATTGAAAAATAGGGATAAAGTTACAGTAAATTAGGTAAAATGCATATAGATAGAGAGATAAAGAAGTAATTTGGAAAAAGAGAAAGAAAACAAGAAAGAAATAGGCAAGCAGGCAGAGAGAGAGAGAGAAAATCTTCTACAAAGAACTAGATGGAAAATTAGTATAAAAATATCTAAAAAAGAAATAGATAGATAGACACTATGTAAACGATTCTTTTCTTTTATTTAAAAACATTAATTCGTCTAAAATTTCTCCCTCTTTTCTTCTTAACAATCTACGGAGCAATCTATTTATGTATACAATCTATTATTATCTATTTCACTGGAAAGTCTTGGAAAAATTAGGTAAAAGTATCTGTAAAATTTATGTTATAATTATATAACTAAACGAGAACATATATATATATATATGTCTAAATATAGATTATCCTTTATATAATCTAACGAAAACAAAGAAATAAACTTAAAATTTTAGTTAAATTTTGAGTAATTGATTAATTTTCTCATGTGAAAATGTGAAATGTTATTAAATTCCTAAAGCGACGACAAGTAGAATGAGTGAATTTTATAGATTATTGTTTATATTATTTCACACAATTTACGCTTGTTTATAATGCAAATATAGTCGAGTATTGTGGCACGCGTTTTAAACTAGTAACCCTGTTGACATTTATACATTTAAGGCTATTTTATAAAATAGTTTCTTTTGTACTCTCAAGGGCTTTTCCTTAAATATATGTATTTTAACAGAGTCCTATACTATATATTGCGTGTTTCTGACTAAACTTGATAGAGACTATCTTTATTGTGAAAAGAGAGAGAGAGAGAGAGAGAGAGAGAGAGGGAGAGAAGTTATCTTCATAAAGAACTGATTAAGAAATATACAAAGATGGTTAAAAGTAAAGTATTACTTTATAATAAGTGTGTACTTGAATGTAATTGGAGCCAGGAAATCTTTGCTATCTTTTCTTCCTTAATCTAATTTACTGCATCAATACTGCTGGCGAATTATCGTATAAACAAATCAATGTTGGCCGGAATCAGAATTTCTGCTCCATTAGGAAAGTAAATATTACAGAGTAAAAGATTTACATTTGCGGAAAAAGGGGATAGCTTCATATCAATATATTCATCGGACGAAAATGTCGCAGATGCGAAAGAATTTTGACGGGGGGCGAACACTTGGGAGCCCGATGGAACGTGCAAAGTAGCAACGTGTCTGTTGGCAACAAGTGAAATCCAAACAAAATTCTAAACAGAGGCTGCGCATGTGTTCCAAACGCTCTGCATGTATATATGTACATAAATGCGAAGTAAATCGACGTCCCTTAGGAGCATAAACTAAATTTAGAACTATTTCCAGCTTGTATCATGAACGCAGGGGCTAATGCCTCTTCGGCAGGAAAGTCATATTTGGATGCTCTGCGAACGACTGAATCAGAATCTGATGCTCAAACAACTCCTTCGTCAACTGCATCAACTTCGGGAATTGATCTTAGCGAAGTAGGTCAAACAGGGACTGACGATAACGGAGGAAGTATTTCTAAGAAAACGATACATCCTAAACTCTCCAACGCAACAGCTCAATTGGAAATGAAGGCGTTGTGGGACGAATTCGATTCGCTCGGAACTGAAATGATAGTGACCAAGGCGGGCAGGTATTTGTTTATATCGTTTACATTCGTTCTGCCACGGGATAATGACACGAGGCGAAAATTCGTTGAGCGGACCTCTGTCCGGGCGATTGAGTCGAGTACTTCTGTCAATAAGCTAGAGTGGCGTGTTCTTACGCCTTTTCTCGGGTATTTGTCGTTAGTCTGCTAGTAATTAAGATATCCGCTGTACGAGATACCTGTTATCTGCTTAGCCACGAGCCGTATTTATATATAACACACATACGTATACACAGGCGCCACACACATACATAGATATACACTCACAGTCAGACACACACAGACACGCACTTATACAGTATATATATATATATATATATATATATAACTTTTATATATATATATATATATCTATATATATCTAACAGGATGTACAGTATATTATAAATAACACACCTGTGCCGTATAACAACGGCGTAATATATTGGAGGCGGAAGAAGAAGCGCTCAACACGCGCAATTGAACGTCAAAGCCACTATAATTAACCATCTCGTTGAAGGCGTTTATATTTATCAGCTGGAAGCCTTTGCTTTTTTTTTCCCTAGAGGACTTTAATGTTTTAGGCACATTAAATTTTCTCCTTCTTTTAACCCTTATTTGTCAATGATCAAAAAACGGGTTTGTCAGGTGCCGCTTTAAGGTTTACGTGACTAGGTGCTAGGTCGATGACAGATGAACGCCGCTTACTCCTTCTCACACTTTTTTAGCAAAAATTTTGTCTCGAAACGAGTTTTTTCGTTTAGTCCCGTTCGTATTCCCTACAGCTTGCCACCTTTCCAATGTCGAAACAAACTTATAAATAAACACAATTACGTAAATCTTTTTCTCATTAGACGAATGTTTCCCACCTTCCAAGTTCGATTGTTCAATTTGGATCCGAACGCCGATTATATGCTTATGATGGACTTTGTACCTGTTGATGATAAAAGATACCGATACTCTTTTCATTCATCCTCATGGGTTGTGGCTGGTAAAGCAGATCCACACATGCCGGGAAGGATTCACGTGCACCCCGATTCTCCTGGAAAAGGGCACCAGTGGATGAAACAAATCGTTTCTTTCGATAAACTTAAATTGACAAATAATTTAATGGATGATAACGGCCACGTAAGTCGTAGTATATAAATTTCTACAGCAAAAGTGGTGCAAACACGGCCTGAGTGTCTGTTCGTCATCACTCACTGCTTACTGTATACGCGTACCGTTTCCTTATCATTTCGGCGTATATACGGCGCTTATCTGAACTTTGCAGATAATCCTCAACTCCATGCACAAATACCAACCGCGTTTTCACGTCGTCTATGTGGCGCCGAAGAATGAAGATTCAACAAGGACGGAGAACTATCGCACGTTTCTCTTCACAGAAACAAAATTTACGGCTGTTACCGCCTACCAGAATCATAGGGTATGTACTCTTTGCCATTCTTCTACACCCTACATTTAACAATGGTCCGATATACGCCTGATTTATTTGCCTACCATTATTATACCAAAAAAGGGCGTAAAGTATCGTTTTAATATAACACTTCCGTTCCGTTTAAGCATAAAATAATAATATAGGCCTGTCAAAGAGTCGAGCATCTATACATGACCTTTGGTACTTGGAGATTTTTTTTTTAAATATTTTTTCAAATAATGTAGGCGACGAAAGAAATAATTAATATTAATTTATTCATAAGTATCATTATTCCCTATGACTATTATTTTAAAACTATTATTATTGTTATTGTTATTATTAACCTTAACCTCGAACGGATACGTTTCGCACACATGAAAACTATATAGTCTTGATTGTTTTCTTTTAATTAAGATAAGCGGATAAACTGTCTAAATACTGTAGCCAGGAGAGCTTATACGTAATAGTTGGTTGGATAAATTAACTTCACTTAACTTATTATAATAATTAAATTAGACGTCTCAATTATCTAAAAGTTTTCTTAAAGGAAAAGCAATTGGGTTAATAATAATAATATTTACAAAACAGCGTCAAAATGCGGTCGGGCGTTAGCGCTATGCTAAACTATGACAATGTGTGCTTTGGTGCTGACAGCTTGACCTCGTTTATAAGCGGCTAATTTATACGGTTGCCGGGAGCCAATTTTTTTTTACCCTCCTCAACCTTCTTTACTATCTATTTTAATTTGTCTGTACTAAACATATAACAACGTTTTTCTAATTAATATATGTATCCTTAATCTTCTTTTTTTTGGTTACAGATAACTCAACTAAAAATAGCCAGCAACCCGTTCGCGAAAGGATTCCGCGACTGCGACCCGGATGACTGGTAAGCGTTTGGGTGTGCGGCTCAATTTAGAGCGGTGCTGATAAGAGAGCTACATAGACTCCTTATCTGTCGGATCAGTCTATGTGCCTGGTCCGAATTAACTAAGGAGACGATCGAAGACGTCAATGATATTGTATATTTACGTTTACTGTATAAATGGGTTTGGCAAGGGGTTTATTTTTCTCCTCTACGGCAGATGGTGGCTCTCTTTTGACCAGGCGTTGTCCGCTCAACGGGTTCAGCTCACTCGCTTTTTCATAATGTTTCTTTCTTTATTCTCTAATCTTTGTGTAAAAATTTTCGGAAATTTTCTATTCTTGAAGTATATAAACATATTGGCTAATAAAAAATTTCATTTTTCAGTGTCGTTGAAGTTTTGACAAACTTGAATCCTTGCGCTGGCAATGCTGCCCAGAGAAGGACCCAGCACAGGCCAAGCTCTTTGCAGCTTTTGGGCCTCTCTAGGAAGAGGAACGGCACAAAAGGTTAGTGCAAAATATCGTAACGATTGAGATGAATATAAACAGAACCGGCGCAGGTGAGGTGTTAACAAGCTACACTCGCCGTGCACTACCGATCCCCGTCGACATCAAAAAGGTCGACGGTTATACGAGATTGTCTTGTCAGTTGTTGCACGGCTGGTGCCTAATTATCACTAATTGACCGTGTCGCCACTGACTGCCTTTGGTTTGAGATAGCGTGGTGTATAAATTTCAAATTCTTCTCGGCGTCCCGATGAATGATGGGGGACTGATCGCGTAATACGAGCCTATTACGACTTAATGCCCAGCAGAACTTGACACGGATATACATTTACATGTATACATACGCACCACTCGCGACTATATAATTGCCATTGACATTTGCCTGCCTAGTCTGGTCAGTGTTGTTGGGCTTGGCACCGATCGAATATCACGATAATCTCATTTCGTATAAATATATATACACATATCTATATTATATACCTATATCTATATATATTATACCATATTTTATATATATATATAAAATGGATGGATAGCAAAGATAACTACTTGCATCCTGGTCAGAGATGATTGATTTATAGAAACGAGCTATTCGTTATATTCTTTCCTATAAATCAGCTTTTATATACTGTGAGAAAACCGCCAAAAAGTCTATAAACTTGTAAAAACAATGAAACTTGTGGCAAACACATGCAAACACAGAGAGTAAGCACACAGATGTCGCCAACTTCTTATAATTTTCTTTTCTTCTTCTGGCAAACTTTTTCAACATTAAAAAATGTCTTAACTCCCTGCAGACTATGAGCAAGAGACGGTATCGTCTGAAATGGACGCGACTTTAAGCGGTCTCTCAAGAATAGCTGCTTCAACGGCTTATGTTCAACCTGCCCTACCTCCTCCAAGTTACCAGCCAGCACCCTATACATATTCGCCCTATGCTGCTGCACCCGCTCCAGGTATTGCTGAAGCTTATAAGGCACGACAGTCTCCTTACTCCAAACAAGTTCAGGATTATGCCGGTTACGCAACTGGTGCACGAATGAGGCTATATTCTCCATACGGATACGACGCTCATTGATTGTTTCATTTATTTAAACTTTTCTTGTTGTAATTGAGCTCATATCTATTTCTTGTACGAAGTAAAATTGGTGCTGTCTCCTTTAAGGTAAATGAAGTATATATACAGTATATCTATATTTATTTATAGATATAAATTAACATATTGTGTATACTTATAAACAATTATTATGAAAAAAAAGAGAGAAATGTTTGAAAATAAACCAAAAAAAGGTAAAGTTCTTCTTCTTCTCTCTCTCTTTCTCTCTCTTTTGCAAATATATATTCTTGGTGTAAATAAATAGAGAAGAGAAGCGTTCAGTTTTAGTAAATTATTCTTTCCTTTTTCTGTAACCATATTTTACTGTCAACTGTTTCTATATTTTACATATATGTACCGTATATATGCATATTCATATACAGATATACAAATATATGTTCTAGATTGTGTGGACTTTATAAATGTACACTAAATTAAGTTGTACATACAGTATGTTTAACTTATATTTTAATAAATGCTGCATATAAATTAAGTAGATCTTCGTTTTTCTCCTTTCAATTCTTTCTTTGCTATATTAGTTACAAAATTAAAATTTGAAACGTCATTTAATTTGTTTGAATGATTTAAAAACCTTTTTTTAGTTTCATAAGGTCAATATGAATCCCAATGAAGTCGAAGAAGTTGAACAGACTTCTTCGACCAATTTTACAGTTGAATTTCACCCTGCAAAAGAAAAATTTCGGAATAGTAATAAATCCCCAAAAAATGGATTTTTTAAAGTGAATCGTACAAGTAAGTCTGCTCTTCTACCACCGCAAGCTGGCTCATCTTGCAAATTTTTTACAAGAAATATTATGGCGCCATCTTGCGAACAGAGAAGATGGCTTGAGTTCGACGCGTTAAATAACAAAATAAATGAGCTTACAAACGAAAGTGAAAGATTGAAGTACGAAAATAAAGGATTGCTAAAAGAAAATGACAAACTGTTGTTATCCATAAATCATTTAAAAGAGAAGGAAAAGGAATACATGCATTTTCTAAAACGAACTGGAGAAAGGTTATGGGGGATTGAAACAACAAAGGCATTAGATTTAATGAGAAAAGGTCTTGAGGTTGAGAAAAATACGAATCAATTAAAGAAAAAACTATTAGAAACAATTCAAGAATCTAACAAAATCGCTGACAAACATCACGCAAATTATTTATCAAGGGAAAAGAAGTACTTCTCAATAATATTCCAGTTGTTAATATTATTGAATATAAAATTAGACTCTCCTATGTGTACACCAGTTTAAATAAACTATTACTTATTTTATATTGTATCTATCCTTTTACAGAGATTTTTATCCTCTACTCTCCCTATTCCTTAGCACTCCATTACCTCATTCTATTTTTTACGATAGGTTGAGCCATTTCTCTCTTCATTATTATTAAATAAATCAGACTTTTCTGACCTAAGAATAGGTAACGGAAAATCAATCTCTATCAAGCCTTAATTTAATCAGCCGTCACTACGCTCTCGTACTCGTTTTGGGTCATCGTCATTTTGTTACCAGATATCGTTAGATATATTTACCTTACCTCGTAATATTTTACTACGACTTTGTTATTTGTTATTTCTCTTGAGTCAATTTTAAAATATATTATGCATTAGACAAATTATTTAAATACTCTTATTTCAATTATATGAATAACTTCGCTATTAATTGTAAAAATCCTTTAATGGAATGGATTTTTTCGTGTCGTCATCTAGAACTGCCTCTAGGACAAGTTTATCGAACTTATCGGATGATAGAATATCAAATTTAAGATTATTTTTCAAGCGGAGAAAAGGATATCGACTGAGGCCTCATTTGTTAAAATCGTCAAAACGTCAAAAAAAGAGGATAAAGCGACGTTTGCGTAGAAAAATTGGACGTCAAATTAAGCTTGGTACTTTGAGAAATGAGATAAATACAAAAAGGAAATATGGTAGAAAATATAGCCAGTTCAAAAGAGCTATAATTGAAAAGTATAAAAAACATGAGGATAAAATAGATATTCATCTGTTATACTTAATTAAATATACATATAGCAAAAGGTAGAATATCTATGCATATCCTAAATAAAGACACAAACAAATCAACAAAGTAAACAACATATACAAAGAAGATTTAAAACCAATTAGTGTTCTAACGAATAATAATGAAACAAGATATTTTATTAGTCAAAAACCAAAAGATATAGAAAATTTTCGTAAAGTTGTTGTAATTAAATCAGACAAAAGAACGGTAACGATTCTTCGCGATCCAGTTAATATGGACAGGGCGAAAGAGAATCTTCATTTTATTCCAATCACTTATCAACTAGAAAAAGATAGCAAAGACATTAAGGAACAGGTTAATTAAATTAAAAGAAATATACTTTTAACATAGAATCAATTTAATTATACATTAAAAGATCTTTAATTATAGACCAACTGTATAGACAAGACGGCTATGCAAAGAAAGTCTGAAAAGGAAGTTAAAGATAAATTACAGCATCTTTATTTTAAAAAGAGAGAATTGATGAGGAAAAAATCAATTAAAAGATGCCCGGAACCTAAAAACTCTGATGAGAATGCAAATCTATTACAGGAATGTTTCGATAGAAGATTAAATAGGATAGATAGGCTAGATGTAGGCCTTTTTGTTATCGCAATAATTTTCAACGTCTCTCTAAAGACCTTGCAGCTTTGGTTTGGCGAAAACAGACTTTATCCTATGTTTATGGAAGCTTTGAGATTATTCGTTTCAGAAGATTGTAGAACGGAAGTACGAAGTTTGTTGAGTGAAGTGGTTCTACTATTGAATCTATGTAAAGAGTCGAGGAATCTTCTAATGACTGTTGTACGTGCTGTTCTATTCATTACTACGATTTCTCTGACCCTACTATCAAGTAGAAAAAAAATTCAGTGGAGAGCACGAAAAAGAATCAAATATAACCGAATTATATTTGTTTGTTGCCTTATCGGCTCTTTATTTGCTATCGAGGGAATCTTGCGCTACCTTTGGGTATTTAGATTTGAGTTTTTTAGATCTACATCAGAATTAGTATCATGTCCATCTTTAACACAACAAGAGACTTTCAATCAACTTAAATTACTGAAGAAAATTGCACTATCTATTGAATTTTCTTTAATTCTATCTCTTATCTTTGAATTGATATTATGTTTTATAAATATATACAGAACCTACTTGAATCATAGAATCTTCAAGTCTTTTTATAGATGGCACAGCAGAATATCGTATAGACGCTTTTGTAAATGGTTTCGTACGCGGAAGCATCCTAGTATGATTAGGAAAAGATTGAAGAAAATTTATATTCGAATTCCTGTTAGAAAACGTCTCCAAACAAGAAGACGTCCTAAGAAAATTGATAAACGAAAACTTCAACTCACTGCATTACAACGAAGAGAAAGACACAAAATGAAGAAATTAGCGCGGTTTAGACAATTGAGAAAAGACATACTTGGCAGATCTTTTCCCAAAGATTATGAAATTGACAAAGATATCTTATGGAGCTCAAAGAACTTTCGCATGAGGCACAAAAAAAGATTAATTAAAGCTAAAATTAGACGTAATCTTAAAGGATATAGATATCTAAAACATCGACGAAAACATGAAAAGAGATTAAACATGAAATATGAACCATGTTGCTTATTCAGATGTTGTAAATGGGGCCTTTTAAGAATTTTGTATAAGTCAAAATTAGGCAAGCTTGTTCGTTATTCATTTCGTAAGAATAAATTCCTTCTTAGAAAGAGATTAACTCCTCTGAGGAGACAATTGAGGCGTCTACGATATTATTGTAAAAACTGCATTCTTCGTTGTTGTCTACCATGCTTTGTATGCTACAATATATTCTTACGTCATACGGTAGTTAGGAGTGTTTTAAAGCCACTTCAATGCTACTTTCAACGATTATTTAAACATCTGCGTAGAATTAAGAGAAGATTCTTAAGCTTGATTTATAAATGGCTTCAGAAATTTCCAATATTTGAAAAGTTGTCTTGTAGATTCCGGAAACTGTCTTACAAAAGAAGACCTAAGAGAGTAAGAAGAAGATTAAAAGATTGTTACAGTGTGAGAAGACATCCTCATTTTAAGAGAGTGAAAAAGATAATGATAAAGTCGGAAAGAGAGAAGAGAAAATCCGAATATCTTTAATAATAGTACTCAATTTCTATCTATCACGTTTAATAATATGATAAATTTTTAGAGAAATAGAAAACGACAAGAGCACGCAATAAAATGAAATAAAAGTTTTCTCTTATTTTATTCTTTTACTAGATAAGGATAGTAAATAGAAAGAGCTTAAGGTCTTTTTTTTCCAAGACAGGAGAATCGCGAAAAGTACAATCACCCTTTTTGCAGTTTACTACTCTAAATATAGGACACTGTTTGATTTATCCTTAAAATATTCACTTAATTTACAGTAATCACAATTTCAGAATTCCGCAAAAAATTTTTCAATGAATAAAGGATAAGACTTTGAAAAGGTATGATGCTTTCTTTCTATTAATTCTGAAATCTTCTTATTTGAGTTGTTGTTGTTACCTTTAAAGCAAACTTCTTAACTCTTTATTATTTATTTGGGAACCGGAGCGAAAAAAATGCATCAAACGATCTTCATTCATGTCTGAGCATCGTTTTAGCGAAATTACGCACCTGAGACACCAACGGATAGGCTTAAGCTTTCATGCTGGAAAATGTACTCGCTTTTTATCTGTACAGTTCATTTATTATGAATTATATTTTATAGATCTCTCACAGCTAAGAATGAAAAATCTGTGGAAAAAGTTTACTTTCATTTGTTAGATTTAAAAGAGATTGTTAAATTAGATAAGAATCATAGGATTTTAACCATTGTAATTTAAAGCGAGTAACAGCTCCATCTAACAAGTAGAGAGAGTCGCTAGCGTAGAAGTCCATTCGACGCCCTGATAAATAACTCGCCATGCACAAGCTGGAACTAGATAATATTCCAAAAGTTAATTATAAATGTTGGGAATGTTTCTCCGGAAGCTCTGAATTTGATTCGAATGAACATGCATTTCTGGGAGGTGATCCGTCTACGCGAACAGGCCGGCATACCCAGAAGAGACAAATACGAATACTACCTCAAGTCCCCGTAGTATGTTGTGGAATATTTACGTTTGTCATGTTAAGTTTGGCTGTAAAGGCACTAGTTACTTCAAATCTCATGAACAGAAGGGTAGATAGAACAGAAAAGCTTGTGAATGTAGTCTTTTTCCTGAGAAGGGAGCGTCATCAGGTAGCTTAAACATGACTCACCTCAAGCTTGTTTCTTATTATTTTAATGTTTTTCCTTTTTTAAAAAGGTCTTGGAATATATAACAACAGATGGTACTGGATTAACCAGGACTATGGGTGAAGTTTATTCGGATACAGATAAAAGCATAAATGAAATAAGCTTTTATGAGAGGCAAGAGACATTAAAAAAGAAATTAAAAGATCATAGAGAATCCACGAAATTGGAAAGAAGATTCATTCCAGAAGAGTTGGAATTTTACACTAAGATATCGAAAGATTTATTATCCTATTCTATTACTAAGTTGATAAATGATGGAAAGACTAAATCGTGGAATACTATAACATCATGGATATGGCTATTTAGAACAGAAGAGTCTTTGGATATCTGCGATTCAATTGCCTACATAAAATTCAAGAATAAACTCTTTACCAGGCAGTTATTTTATACGTTTATTGAAAACGATCTTTTGGCTAAGGAAGACTTGGACATGGCTTTCAATTACGATGGTAAATCAAGAGAGATGTATGAAAATTTATATCTTAAAAATTCACTGCTCAAACTTAAAGTGGAAGATCTCCTCAATCAAGTTAAGACGATTGATGATAACAGCACAGACGATTTGTCTCTGTACTGGGCAAAATGGTTTGGCTATTATAAACAAATCATTACTGATATTAGATTGGAAGCTCTTCGTAGAAAGAAAACAAACTTAAATGAAATATATAAAACAGCAGCAATCGAAAGTAGCATTCATTTGATTCTTCTCGCCATAATAGTTATTTGTATAGGTCCTCTTCTTAACATATCATCAAAACGGACAGTTATTTCAATGCACAGTTTAACGGTATCTATATCAAAGAATCAGCGCGAATTAAAATCTCAGAAAAGGAAGACGGAAGTTCTCTTGAGGGAGATGCTTCCACGAAGTGTTGCTTACAAATTCTTGAAAGGAGAAGAAGTAGAACCACAATTTTTCGACTGTGTCACCGTTTTATTCTCCGACATTGCTGATTTTAATCAAATTACCAGTCGAAGTGCTCCTCTGCAAATAGTTGAATTTTTGAATGTCATATATAATCTTATAGATGATTGCGTCAGTAAATTCGATGTCTATAAAGTTGAGACTATTGGAGCTGTTTACATGGTCGTCTCCGGTCTACCTATGGCAAACGGCAACAAACACGCTGTAGAAATATCTAAATTGGCGTTAGCCATGTTAAGAAAGACGGGCGATATGGATATGGAAGTGATTAATGATAAAAAACTTTTGTTACGAATTGGCATTCACACCGGTTCCTGCGTTGCTGGTATTGTTGGTAATAAGATGCCTCGTTACTGTCTTTTTGGTGATACAATCAATACTGCATCAAGAATGCAAACCAATGGACTACGTAAGTAAAAATTTCTGTTTTCTTGCATACTACAGTAAAGCAAAAAGAATACTGCTACTTTCCAGCTAGAAAAATACACATGAGTAAAACAACAAAAGAGAAATTAGACCTACAAAATGACGAATGGATTACAGAAGAGAGAGGGACAATAGAAATAAAAGGTAAAGGTCAAATGAAAACTTTCTGGCTGATAGGTCGTCTGCGAAACCAAAAGCTTTCTCTTCCGGAAAGTGAAACTAGTGGCATAGAAAATACAAATGAGTAAAAGAAGAAAGGGTTAAAGGTTAGAAGACGAATGTTTCTTAATTCATCCGCACAAAGGAAAGCACATATATATATACAGCATATATACTGTGTATCCAATAAATACTCTGTGTAGCACTCTAAATTTGCTGCCTTTAAATGTAAAAACTGCAATAAATACACCTAGCTATATATTGTATATCTTTCAAGCTGTATATGCAATAAATATATAAAAAGAAAACTGTAAGATAATTAATCTAGTTTTTAAGGTTTTTATATTCCAAACGTTTAGGTTTAAAATACATACATTTATTAATGTTTTATAATGTTAATTTATGCAATCTATTTGTACTTTACACTGTTCAATATCAATATTAAGTCTTTTATCATTTAATTTTCTTGTATAAGTAACAGCAGGCACGCATAACTCGGTCAAACCAACATCATCATTATCACAATTTAAAATCCAAACGGGTAAAGCTATTCTCTCTAAATGAGCAAATTGGCGATCAATTACCGCAAATTGTTGTTCTGAAATTAAGAAGAGCTGTCCCTCTACTGAGCTTTTCTCATCAATTTCAATGTCCATGTATCTCTTTTTAGGCCTATTTGTTAGTCGAAAACCAAATAGAATTGACCAGCACTTTTCAGATTGTAGCATCACTTCTGACGTATAAGAGAAATAATAGACATAACCTTTTGGTGGATAAACGTTCACTCGAAACTTAATTGAATCTTCTTCACAATTGAACTTTCGAAAACTTCCTATTGAATTTACTGCCTCCGATCTAACTTCCGCTTCATACGAACTTATTTCATCAGGCTTGGTAGAGTAGTATACAGTTGTCATTACTAAATTTGAATCATTCTTTTTATCAATCGTGTTTAATTTTTTTATCTCTTTAGCATTGTTTAATGTACTACTTTCAATTTCAATTTTCATTTTATCAACTGCCTCTTCCGTCCAAGCATTTCGGTTGATTTTATTTAAATTTATAAGCGATGAATCATTCTCAACAGTTAGCTTTTCCTCTTTATATTCAGTATTCAGGTTATTCTTAGCGTATGAAAGTCTTTCTATATTTTTAAAATGGTTTTCTTTATTGTCAATTGAGGTTGATCTAATTTTATTTTTCTCCGTTGCATAAATTAATCTCTCATCATTCTCACACCAACCAAAATATTTTGAGCATTTTCTACACAAGATGGCGCCGCATTCCCTTGAGCATTTAACGCAAGTGCCAGAACATCTGGCGTGTAAAAATTTGGATGAAATATCCAAGAGTCCATCGCATTGAGGTTCTTCGTGAAGAACATAATTCCTGAAAGGTTTTGCGCTTTGAGGTCTCGATAAATTTATATTTTTCCTTCCGTGTTCTGTGGAAGAGGCGCTCTGCGGTCGATCGTACTTTAACTTAGCAGTAGAGCACTTGACTTGATTACCCGAATTAGGTTCTTCAACCTTTTTATCGGACTTTTCATTTTCTTTTGCTTGGTTTCTACTATTGTTAGAAATAAATCTACCGTTTTTCCCAACACCTTTGCACTCGTTGTTACCCTCGCTGTCATCGCCATCATCGTTAGGCTTATCCCTTTGTTCTTTATCACTCGACTCTTCCTTACAAGTGCTTTTAGATTTAGGCTTGACGTACACATCCGAGCCATCCTGATGGAAAGTAACTCCTCTCTCGTCATCAGAAGCTACGGAGGTTTGATGAACTGATTCACCAGTTTGAGGCCTATCAGGTAAATAATTTCTGTTTAATGTACTTAAGATTTGTCTGCGTCTCTGTAAACTTCGACTAGGGCTTGCTGAGTAAGACCTAGTTTCCGCCACAATTCCCCGACAATTGTTCATTGTTGGACCGGCTACAAAAACCGGATTCATTTCTTCTAGTCTCCCTCTTCTCAATCGTCCACTTTTCTTCGCTTTCTCCTCTTTTTTCTCTTTTGCCATGACTTTAGCAACGCGTCTCGTTGCCTGACTTGTTTTCTGTTTCAACGATGTACCTGGCGAAAGTGGTCGGGCGTTGCGCGCTGTAGCTGATGCTGAAGCAGCATGTTTAAAAGGAAATCTAACGTAGACATTGTCAAATTTTTCTGTTATTGATTCCATTTGTTTAGCATGATGATGAGGAATTAAAGAATTCCAATCCGTAGTCGATATTGACGGCGAGAACAAACGCTGTTGTGGCGTATTAACCGGAACTCGACATGTTCCGTAGCTAGACTGCTTTAAATTTGTTCTACAGTCTGTAGTAATTGCCAAGAATGTTCTTGACTGTGACAATTGGATAGTAACAAGTCAGTAATAGTATTAAGAGTACATTAGAAAATAAAACACATTAATACTCACGTCAGAGGATGTCATTATTGTCTCCTTTTTAACTTTTCTGTTTGTAACCTCCTTTCCCGTTATTGAAGAATCTGATTTACTTTGCCGTCGTTCCATTTTAAAAGTGTCAATTAAGTTTCCATGGAGCGCGCCATTTTAGACAACAAAACAACTGCCGTTGAATATTTCTATATTGATAAATGAAAATGGCGGATAATAAACATTAAGACGCGCCATTTTTTAAAACTAAAACTATTAAGTTAGTCTTTCACTTCTACTCGGTGGAGCCATCTGTAATTGAAAAAGTAAGCTAAATAGGCAAGTAAAAACTTGGAAAAGAATAAATCGATTGTAGGAAGCCTGCTCACTTGTATATTTTTTATAATATTGTGTTAATATTCTTTAAAGACTGAACGGTGGCTCCATCCTCTTTTAATCTTTCAACTCGAAGGGGCAGCTGTACGGCTATGAAGAATCCGTAAAACTCATATTCTACGAGAAAGAGGACGTAAAAGAGACAAAAAGCCAGATAGACAAAGATAAAGTCGCTACTAGGCAAACATAGATCGGGCAGAGAAGAGAAAAGAAGGGTGATAAGTCGGGAAAAGGGGAAAAGAAAGGGGAGAAAAAGCGGAAAAAGTAATAAAAAAAATTAGTTTCGGAGATTTAGTTGCTGTCGAATAAACAAAAAGAGAGAGAAGTTTGCATGCCGTTTAATCCCAACTCGTTTGGTATTTGGCACGAATCTCAGTAGAATTTCCTCTTATACACAAATTGTCGTTAGTAACTTTTGTTCTTAAGCTGAATATTAAAAATTTTTCCTTAATTCAAAACCATTAAATGTTACGTTTTAAAAGTCAGCGAGAATTTAAAAAAAACGTATTAAAAAACCCATAATTAGCTCGGAAGGGAAAAAGCGCGATATTTCGTCGAATCAATGACGTAGTTTGCCATGCATAATAAATGATTTGTGGGGCGCGACGAACGGGCTAACACATTTATACACACGCATATAGCAGTCAGAGAAACGAAGAAGTCAAGATGGATAGGCAAACCCGTCAGACGAATCGGCTTCAAGTTCCAGCTCCCGGTTTGGAAGCTATTGTAAAGGAGAGTTTGTTATTTGTATGGCCACTTTCTTCTCTTCCTTCCACAGCAAGTGCGAATGAAGAAGAAGATGACGAGTAAGTACATGTAATTCCATTGCGTCATTTATAGCTAACATTCGCCGAATCGACGAAAATCCGTTTAGCAAACCTTTGAGAAAAGGCGCCTAGAAGACATGTTCACCTATCTACTTCCAGTCGCTTTTTCTCTCATCTATTCCCCAATCCCAACTCTATTCCCTTGGCGTTCGTTTTACTGTTATATTTTATTTCATTCATTGGAACCCTCCTTTAAATTGACCAGGCAAGTGCTTGTAAAAAATTGATGGAGCGTGTAAGCGATAAAGTTTGTTTTACCCTGTTTAAATTGTCAAAGAGGTAAAACTACGCCGTTATTGAACGGTAGAGTATAAGCCAATAGATGATTGATCGGTTTATTCAACCCGGTTTTTTTGTTGGTTAGAGGAAAAAGGTGTGCGTCAACGTTGTAAAAAAATGGATGTGGTGTCCCGTAGATGGCGTTTTGATGTGCACAAAGAGTGGTGTACGTTATAACCACAGCGAAGAGTGGTGAAATGATTCTATAATCTACATAACATCCGAAAATTCTTCTAATTCGTCTAATCTAACGCGTCCTTGATGCCGTCTTCCCTTCCGTCATTACGGGCTTCCAACCTGCTCTCTTGTCCGCCAGTATATAAGGCGAGGGTGTTTTATACGGCTGTGATTTCTCTTTACCCCTCATCTCAATTATATGACCGAGGTCTATACGCCACCTAGACGCCGAAACAAAACGAACCAGGAGACAGACGACAAAATGGCTGGTAATAGATTGCGTAGCAGGTTCGATTTGAAGAGTTCGAGTTTCGAAGGCGTAAACGCTAATGCTCAGCGTCCCGTTAAGCCTTGGACAAGGTTAGGGAGTTTCTATAGTGTAACAGCTTGTATTTTGTATTTTAAAACGCAAGAAAACGGTTGGTATTGAAAAAATTTAGTGCAATATGTAAAAGAAATATATATATATGCAAAAGAAAGAAGATAAGGAGAATAAAGAGAAATGAAGAATCATATAGGTGTATACGTATGCTTTTTCTCTATTCAGAATATTTGCTATATGTACACGATATACATATAGGCGTCTACTGTCATATTTTTTTTTAATGAAGAATTTGCAAAGTGCATATGTTTACGCTTAAATAGTACAAGGGAAAAGTTTGTCCTTAGTAATCATTTTGTATAGGACTTAAAAAAAAATTACTTTTTCTCGGTTGAAAAGTCGTTAAGTAATTCAATCCAACCTCGATCGCACTCATTAATTAACTCGTCTATTAGACGTGTTTTCGAACGTCCCCCAGGAAACAACTCCTGTTGGAAGGTACTAATGACGACGGTGGACACTTTTGTCATCGATTTTTTTCTTTTCTCTTTATTTCCAAGCAATCAAGATTATCTTTGAGACGCTGTATATGTGCATATTACTCATTATAGTTGATACGCACGAATGACGCGGAAACCAAATATCATATGCATTTATATAAAGAGTATAAAAAAAAGAGAAAAACTACAGTGTCTGACGTATAATTGATTTATTACACGCTACCGACGATTGTTTTACTTTTGTACTATATTTAAAGAATTAAGAGAGAAATTTTTCACTCCAACAAATCCCCCACTTCTATATATCTTCCCTCGCCCCTTTTTTTCAATGAGTATCAGTTACGCATGCAGCCTATTGCAAACTAACACGCCCACTCTACTCCCTTACCCACCCCCCTTTTAGCCCTCCCTTCTTCATCTCTTACTTTCCCTTTCCCTGTAGCATTCTTCGCATAATCGATAACTCGTTTCTTATAGCTTTTATATCAGTTTAAGAAGATGTTGCAAATGAATATTATAATTGACACCTTCGATTATGCCGTGCGCATTTTATGATTAGTATTCTACATATTAATTGCATATATTCACTCAAGAACAACTATCGCGTAATTTCTTGTTGTTGTATCGTACAGAAAATATTTCTGTCGATACTGGCAGCGTTGTTTGTCGCACACGCCTTTAGCACTTTGTTAAGTTTACTCGATCTTCTATAAACAGCATAAAGTGTGGTTAAGTAGCCCCTGTTTTTTCAATTATTAAATATTAATTCCAAAACGTTCGTTTGTTTGTTTTTCATTAAAAATAGAACGTTTATGTCAAGAAAAATTACTTGTTTTAGCTTTTATTAATTTTAACAAGAGCGAACACTTTTTCTTAACCTGGATTCATTCGACATCTTATAAACTACCGCTAGACTCGACCCTTCCCATCAGTCATTTATTATGTCTTTTTTTTTCAAACTTCGCAGTCCATGACAGGTGGTGCCATCTGTAGTCGATCGTTAAATTTATAAAGTGTACATTTTTTTCGCCAAACATGTAATTGATCGGACATTCGGATTCTTGGACAGACACCGACTAAGCGCAAAATGGTGTAAACGTTGATTAAAAATTCATTGGAAAAGAGAGAAGGTCGTGGTGGTAATCTTTCACCGTTCCTATAGCGACCGTATAGTCCCCTTCAAACGGAACGCAACATGTCTTTTTTTTGCGGTTAAGTCCATTAAAGGTCTAGACGTGCTCGCACGTTTATACATTATGCATATAGATCTGGAACAGGACCGATATAGATGTCGCTTCAATACTTAGCTGCTTCTCCGTACAAGCGCATTTCTGCGGCTGACGCACGTAAAGATATATATATTTATATATATATCTATTAAGAGAGAGGAGAGATATTCGTATATATACGTATGCATATATATATATATAAGTAGATATATATATTTATGCAAATATATATATATATATTAATATCTATGTATATATACTTTTATGTATGAGTGAGTATGGCGTTACGAAAAACTATCGGCTCTTCGATGGTTGACTTAAATGCCCTGGACGAACAACAGGATACTGCAAAATTTAAGGAAAAGACAGGATTACTTAGAAGAGCATTTTCTTCAAAGCGCAAGAAGAAGCCGAAGCAACCTACAACACATTTTCTTACACCAGATTATGTACCGAATTCCCATATTAAGCAACCATTGCGAATCTGCAGATCAAACCCGATTCCGCGCTCGAATCCAGAATCCAGGTTAGAAAAACTTATTCACTGCTTTGTTAATGGTGAAAAATTGGTGAGCGTCTTCTATTCGATTTCGAGAGTAATTTGGCGGATATGCAGGCGACGAGAAATCGGTAGACTAATATATAATAGAACGAGGCGCGCACCAGATAATTCTCTTTTTATTATTATTCCTTACCTTCTTCATCTATCTTCTCTCTTTGTGTGCCGTAAGAACGTTTTCTTAACTCTAAAATCTAGCCGGGGGAAGGGTCATTCAGAGAAAATAATGTAAATTACGTTAGTTAAAAGTGCGACGCCTATCATAATGACGACATAGCGTCACGTTCTCTCTACGTATTTAGAGGGCTTACCGTTGCCGACGTTGTTGTTTTTCTCTTCTTCTCTTCCAAGCAACTAAACCTACCCTTTGTGTGCTTCTATCACGTCTTTATTTTATTGATTAGGCTACTGCTTATACATCATCCCTTCGCGACTCAGGTGTTTCATCATTTTTAGGTTCGAGTCTTTTGTCGATATAGGTAGAAAGTGCAAACTAAGTACAGCCTTTGTACTTTACGAACTAGCTACCTTTCATGCATTAATCGTATGCTTAAGCATTTTTGCATATTCTGTTATAGTTATCCTTATTATATAAGAGATAACTTCTTAGAAGTTTTATCTGCATGGTATCGCCCGAGGAGTAGAACCGCCTGCGCGTAATATCAAGCCTGATTAGCCATGATACATGTTTTGTGCCGCTCCATACCTGTTCAATAGCGTTAAGAAAGCAAAAAAAAAGAGTGAGTGAAGAGAATGAAAGAATGATAAACAAAGCTTAACGGGCGGCAAAACGCTTCTATTCTTTCAATACGCTTGTGGATTTTTTTTCTTAGCTTCTCTCTTCTCAGTTTTCAACTGTATCTAATTCTATGTTTGTTAAAAAGAGAAAGTGATGAAAAATTATTTATGAGGTTGGGAAAGCAAAAACCTGCGACCACGCTCTGTACTAATAGGTGGCGTAATATCATACAAGTCCTTTCCAGACCGTTAGATGTCGCCCCTTGATCAAAGTAATTAAATTGGCGTAATTTGTGGAGTCAGTTATTACTGAAAATGCGTGCACTTGCGAGTTTTCCCATACGCCTTTTAATGAGATTGGACCATGGTCAAAATAAGGTCATTAGACCTAGATAATGATAGATAATTGGGGTGAATATCCATTTGTTATCCATGAGTATATCATAGAGGTGTAAATAAACTTTTCGTCGTCACTCGTTTTCGGAGGAGTATAGTCGACGCGCCTGACGTCATATCAATACAGCGTCACCGTACGGCGTCCAGTACGGAGTAGAATGGCGCATCGTCTCAGGTCAAAATCTCTGTCAACTAAACCGAACAAAAATCCATTATTGACGCCTCCCAACCATAAATTCGATACTTTATCACCGGACGTTTGTTATTCGCCGTCGCCAACTAATAGGCTAAGAACGGCAAGGTATGTAGGTATCGATCACTCTTTTACCCACCTAATCCTAACCCTGTTTTCTCTTTTCTCTTTCTTCCTCTACCTCTTTCATTCTTTCTATCTATTTATATTTCATTAAACGTATCCTGTTGCATTCAATATCGTTTAATTCTATTTCAAAGGTTATTACTGATTTCATAATTTTCTCTCCCGATTTCTTTAATAAGAAAAAAAATAAGATCCTTTTAATGAAATTGGCTGCGGAGAGAAGAATATATGCGTGATTTCTCACCTCTTATGAATCAAATATATTGCATTCTATTTACTGTTGATTATGTACACTCGTTCGTTTTTATTGCATCATTCATTTACCTATTCATAGGACTTTCTTCTTTATATGTGTAATAAACGATTTATAAATGATTCTCTTACAAATCTACTATTCTCTATTATTATCTTTCTTTTTTTTTTTACCACTGTAGTTCGCCTGCTTCGGATCTGGCAGCTAGAAGAGGCGTCTTTAGTCGACGCCATTATGGATCTGTTGAACTGGTAAGGAATACAACAATTACTTTGACGTCAACATCTTGTTTATATAGACCCATTAAACTGGACATTTATTCTGTTAGAAATTCAGTGGCAAATTGCTGTTGGGTAGTATTTATAGCAGCAATTTTATCGATGGATTGAGATAAATATTTAAAGAGTGAGAAGAGGCGACATATAGATATACTGTATATATTATATTGACTGTGTAGTTCATTGTATTTGAAACATAGAAAAATGTCTGTCTTTTATAAATTGTTTGCAGTATCTACTATCATTCGAAAGTATCTATTACTAGAGATCATATTATTTTAAAAAAATTGTTTCTGCCTCTAAACGGCTTTCCCTCCTTATCTGCTAAGCAATAAGCACTGTTCACATTGATATTTTGTTATAGTCGTTCTCATTTTCTAACAGTATAAATTCCGGTGCGTTTTGTAATTATACCTCGTAACCATAGAGATGAGAAAGAAGATGGAACAAGGCTTATTAGAGTATAAATATGATACTTTTCCAAACAGTTAATTTCTACCGATTCCGAGACGAATTCCGGTCGATTTCGAATAGAAAACGGTGAGAGGGATGAAGGCGATTTAAGTGTAGCAGCTGTAAGCTTTTTATATACGACTTTATTAAAAAAGAATGAAAGCAAGCCTCTTACTGACGGTTTATTTTCCTCTTGCAGGTGCCAAGTCCTTTAACCAGTCCTGTTCATTTAGAGAATCCCGAGTCACAAACGAGATGGTATTTTAAGTACTTTTTAGGAAAACGTTAGTATTATCCGTCAATATACACGCAATCCGATAATCAATAAAAAATTCTCTTCCTTTCCCTTTGCCCTTGCCTACTTTATTCTCCAAGACAGTTCATCAAAACTATGTCGGTTTGGATTCGGAAAAAGAGGCCTTTTTCTTATCTGTTGTCGTTACGGATGCTAATAACCACAATGTACCTCAATATAGGGCTATTTTATGGAGGAAAACAGGAAATCATAAAATATGCTTACCCTATAATTCTTCAAAACCTATGACAGTTAAGGGAATATTGAGCCACTTCGACCTAGACAAATTAGATAAGGGACCAAAGGAAATTTATAACCCTGATTTACAAAAGGATTTGCTGCTGCTTGAAGAACAAGAAGGTTCTGTAAATTTTAAATTTGGAATTATTTACGCCAAAAACGGACAAAAAAGTGATGATGAAATGTACAGTAACGGTAATTATATGATTTATTCTTATTTAGTCAAGTTATAGACCTGTTTATAAAAATGAAAACTGGTAATTTTCTTTAATAAATGCTAATAATAAGGAAATTTTGTTATCAGAATGCGGTACGGCCGAATTCGACAAATTCTGCAGTCTCTTAGGCGATCGAATACGATTAAAAGGATGGGAGAAGTTCCGTGGAGGACTCGACGTTAAAAGTTAGTAGAAAAAGGTCTTTTGTGAGACGATTCTTTTAAATAATTAATAGTAAACATAAGGGAAAAGAAACAAATTAAATAATGACAATAAAATATAACTTGAAAACAACACAAAACAGGCGATACAACCGGCGTGGAATCGATTTATACCATATACGAAGGTCACGAAATCATGTTTCACGTATCGACTTTTTTACCTCACTCCAACGAGAATAAACAGCAAGTTGAAAGGAAACGTCATGTAGGAAACGATATAGTGAATATCATCTTTGTCGATTCTCTACCGGACGAAATTCCATCTTTTAAACCGTCAATGATGAAAACTCATTTTACACGTAAGACATTATTTTCTTTATACTACTTTTTTAATGCAAAAAAAGAAAAGTTATTAAAGAATTTTTCATTTTTTACTCTTTCTTTTTCTTATAAAAAGAATGTTGAAAAAAGAATATTTTCTCTTATTTTCTCTTCTTCTCCCTTTAAATTATTTCTCTTTTCTTGTAAATTAAAAAAGAAACTCGAATTTCAGATATATTTGCAGTCGTGACTTATAATAAGGAGACCGAGTCTTATAAGTTGGCTATTTGCTCTGAAGAGAGTGTTCCACTTTTTGGGCCGGCTCTACCTTCACCTCCCGTCTTTGCGGACCATAGGCAATTTCGAGATTTTTTACTAGTAAAACGTAAGGACGGAAGAATTCAATTACGTTAATGCATTCTATAGACTTATTTTAACGATAAATCATTTTGTTTATTCATTTTATACTCTATTTATGTCCTTAAACTCCCATTTAGTTATAAATGGAGAGAAAGCTGCCTTCAACACGCCAGTCTTTGCCCAAAAAAGAGAACGAACGCTAGATAGTCTAATTCGAACGTTATATCAAGAACATGCTCCTGAAACCTCAAAGAATAACATGTTGAACCGACGGGCCTTCAGTGATATTATTCCTGACAACGCCCACGGATCAAACCGTCGAAAGGAAGAAGCTAGACAATCTGAATTCTTAAAGATAGGCCAATCCCTTAAGCTCAAGACAATTTTAAGGGGTGATGCTCCAACCAGTACGGTAACATCCGGGGCTATTCTCAAACATCAACCTTGGGAACCGCAATCATTTTTCGAAAATTTCCACTACGGTTCAATTGTATGCGGAGACTCGTGGGGCGATAAACTAATGGTTGCCACCCAATCGGCGGGCGTTTTCTTGTTAGAGGAAAATGTCGCCCCAAGGCAACTGTTCGATAAGAGTGTCATCGTCAAGCAATTGACTGTATCTGAAGCGCACGGATTGCTAATCTTCCGGGCAACTGGTAAGGACAGTCGTATTCACGCTTTCCGTTTAACAGACTTTGAAGGGGAGTCAAATGAAGAAATTATACGAAACAAAAGCGATATTAAGGAGAGAAAATTAGAAGGATCAAAAGGTTCTCACTTATACGCCGTCAGTAGACCAGGTTGTAGTCATTTGAGAATGGTTGTTTGCGTAGGAAAGAAACTATTGGTATACGCATGGAAGCATTCAACAGCCTGGTCTGCTTGGTGCTCGTCAGCCGATGTCGATACAGTTGATGGATTCCAATTACTAAGGGAGTTGAGCTGTTTTGAAACACCGTCTCTTATAACTTTAGTCGATGGCGGCGACCAAGGCAATCAGATCTGCATTGGCTACAAGAATCAATTTGACTTAATTAACGAGAAGAACGGGGATACGCTTCAGTTATATCAGATAGATTCCAACAAATCCACTTTGATATGCGCAAGCGACATTTATGAGGATGACGAAGCCGAATTATTGCTCAGTTTTAACCGTGAGTTTTATATTTTATTCAGTATTTTTATTCTCATTTCCGTTTATTCTTACTCACTCACTCACTCACTCTCTCACTCTGTCTCTCTCTCTCTCTCTCTCTCTCTCTCTCTCTCTCTCTCTCTGTATCGTTTTATGTTTCGTTCTGTCTCTCTGACAACGTTCTATCTCTCTCTCTCTTTCTCTCTTCCTCCCTCACTCACTCTCTCGCTAACACTGTCACTCTTTCCATCACTCGTTTCTTTTAATTTGTCTATTCTCTGCTACATAAAATATTAACTAAGCCATAATGATTATAATAAATATTTCATTTTTAATAACTCTAGATATCAGCCATTTTCAAAAAATGAGAGAAGAATGCTCTACTCAATTCGATTTCCATTGGAATTCTCAACCGCAGTCCATTGTCTGCGCTTTCCCTTACATTTTGGCATTTACGACAGACACTATAGAAATAAGGTTAATAATTAATGGAAATCTAGTCCATACAATGACTATGCCTGATATAACGCTTATCACCTCTAAATGTGACATCTATTTTGCTTCAACTGCATCAACAAGGTTTACTTTTACCGAACAATCGCAAATTCAGCAGGCTTCACCTCCTTCTTCACCTGGTTCTTACAATATCTACAAAATATCGTTGACATGTTTGGCAGGTCAAGGTCTACATTCAGCAGACAAAACACCTCCGACATCAGCTTTTCAACCTCATTCAATGCTTTCTCCCCTCGTTGATTCATCAAGCGAGGTACGATAGATGGCGCATCTGTCCTAATTACTGTAAACTTGTGCTTGTGTGTAAAAATCATTGTCAAACTATTCTACCTTTTAATTTCATATTAAGTTCAAATTTTATTCGATTAGATACAGATATTAAGAAAGTATACTGTATATTTACTGTATATATATATATACAGTATATGTACAGCACTTGAAAAGCATTCTCTTTAATCTATCCCCAATAAGCTTTGAAAATGTTATTTTTCTCCTTATTTCTCTTTATTTCATTTTCCCATATTTCTTTTCTTCTTTTTTAAGAGCAGAAAAAATGAAAGCAAGGAAGAAAATCTTTCTCAATGTCTCTCGCTTTCAATGTCGTAAAGCGAAAAAAAAAATATACCAAGCTGTAAAAACAAAAAACAAAAAACAAAAAAAAAACTATACAAACGCAAATCAAACAACGTTTTCTCTTTATATCGCGCGAACAGGCACGACGCCGACGTTCGAAACTCCCATCATCAACCTCTTCGCATGATTCTGGTATTCATTTGGGAAGGAACAGCCCTCCAATATCACCGTTTTAAGACGATTGACAATTTATTTAAACTACTGCAGATGTTATTTCCAAAAAAGAATTATATTAAAAATGTATTGAAAATTAACACTCTTCTCTCTGTACTTTTTGTTCATTTATATTACATTATATTATATTAAATTATATTATATTATATATATATATATATACAGTATATCAAAAAAAAAAGAATTAAAATATACTTACTATATATTGCATACAGACAGTATACTGTATACGTTTATATACTGACTACCTTTACTATATTATATATACATGTACAGTTTGTATAATACAAAAAAATATATGCATTTATTGAAAAAATACAATGGGATAACGACTGAGGAAGTTTCTCTTTATTTAAATTGAATCGTACATTTATTAGTAACGTTCTATATTATCGCTTTTATAGAAAATCGTTATTCGCTCAGATAAATAATACACTATTTACATGCCTTGTGTGTGTATAGGTGCGCTAATTATTGTAATTTAAGTAGGCATATGGGAAATCTGGTTGAAATTTGATTCTAGACGTATAAAAACAAAACTAGAAACAGAGAAATAATAGAAATAATAATAGAGGTAAAATTAGCGGGGAAAACGCAAAGATAGTGATATTAAGATAAAAAAAATAGCTCTTTAAATGAATTTCTTTAACCTACAGCTATACCTTACGAGATTTTTCTTATGTATTTCCGTATGAACGGAAGCAGTAACTCTCATCTCTGACAGTAGATGGAGGCACATCAAGAAAGCTAAAAACATGCAATATCTGTTAGAAGTGTTAATAAATAAAGTTCAGTATTGAGATCAACTATTTGTCTTATAAGCTCTATGCTTTTGTAATATTATAACTGATTAAAAGTAGTTTTCAGCGCTTAATGATGCGAAAAACAGTTCAAAGTCCTTTTACAATTACAACATTCTTTAACTTCATGTACAGAGTTCTGTGAGTGTCATATTTTAATGAAATGGTATATTAATGTTTCATACAACTATAAGACTCAATCCAATAATTATCTACACATGAAAGTAATCTCAATTTTACACATTTTAAAAAAAGATACTGTTCTCTGTTCTAGAACTATAACACTTTTAGAACTACTGAGAAATCGGTATTTTTCCCTGGATCGACATGTTCAAGCAGTAGTGCATCAGAAGTGTTTTATTATATTTCACTAGTTGCATTGGTTGTGCTGATAATGCAGTATTGAAATAGTTCATGAGTGACACTCATGTCAAGGGTAAATTGGCTTTCTCAATGACGAATTGTGGACCTGAGTATTCAATTTAAAAACCCCTAAATTCTTTTGAGGGCTTTTGCCCGGGCGGAGACAAAAATTAAAAGTTCGTGACATTATACTAACACTATTGTCATTTAAAACAACTGTATTGAAATGCTCAAACCCATTGAACTAAAAGTATTCGAGTTTTAAATCACAAGTATTAATGAATAGTCATGACTTGAATTTCAGGTATATATATACTGTTTGTATATATATACAGTATATATATATATAAATACACATGCCCGGGTTATGAACCTAAAGTTTCTCCGTCTCTAAGAAAAAAACTTATTTCCCTCAGGTGAGAAAATTAACTTAAAAATTATCCTAATATAACTAGTGAAGAAATAGAGAAATAAATTACTTGTTTAATTAAAACTGTTACTTCTGGCTTATATTTAATAATAAAGCAGCTCGGGGCTGTTGCCGCATCCGTAAATAGCTTTTTTCTAAAACGTTATCTCTTTCGACATTAAAAGGTATTTTGAAGCAGGGAATATTATATAAATAATTGTAGTGCGTTTTTTTCTTGTTTCTATCATTTTTTAGGCTTTACTTTTTTTAAATTTCGTTTTTAATACTCTTGTTTCACCTTTTACCTAGCTTTTATTAGTCTTTATTCGTCCATTTAATGCTACAGCTATTGAAATTTCCTTCCCCATTCAATTATAATATTTTATACTCTCTTTTTGACTTACCGTGTCACCTGTAGAGTGTAGATAATGGTATTATTTTTCCTATTTATATAATTATACAGTATATCTTATATTTGTTTTTATTGCTCTTTTCCACTTGAGAAGTAAGGTCGAAGAATTTATTAAGCAAATTATTCATAAATCAATTTTCTTTTCTTTATAGACAATCAAAGATTTTGAAGACTTTACACTTTAGTTATGTCGTTTGATGAGAAGAGCAACTGTACAATTGATTTTGGTTCTGCAATAAGCAACGCTAATAAGGTAATGAATATACGAGAGAAATAAAACTTAATTTGTTATCTTACCCTTATTTGTCTTTCCTTCATTCGTTTCACCTTATCCTTATACAAAACCAATTGTATCTAACAAAAACTCATTCTTTTTCTTATTAAGGTTCCTTCAAATATAAAAGAGTGTGATTCAATAAATGAAGGAGAAATAGAAGACCCTTGGGCATTGATTGATCCTCCGGATAACGGAAAACCATGGATAGGTAATAAGCATTGCTATTAATTCTGATATAAAGAGTAACAATTATCATTATATTTATTTATTATTTACTTTATAGAAAAAACTTTTAGCGAGAGATTGCTTACGATTCTGATAATATGTGCTAAGATTGTTTCTCTCTTATGCCTTCTTTATCTTTTCATATGTTCACTTGGCTTCTTAAGTGATGCTTTTAAATTATTGGGTGGTAAAAAAGCTAGTGAGGCCTTTACCCAGAATGAAATTTTAAGTAATCCAATAGCCGAGCTTGTACTTGGAATCTTGGCAACTGTTTTAGTTCAATCTTCATCAACTACAACATCAATTATTGTGTCTATGGTTTCTACTGAAATTCTACCGTTAAAGCCGGCAATATTCATGATTATGGGAGCAAATATCGGTACAAGTGTTACGAACACCATAGTTTCCCTTGGCCACACAACTAATAAGAATGAATTTCGAAGGGCTTTCGCGGGAGCAACAGTACACGACATGTTTAATTGGTTAGCGGTATTAATCTTGCTTCCCATAGAATGGTTGTCAGGTTCTGTCGGACCGTGGAAAGACGACGTCGTTGGGCTTGTTAATCCAAACGGAACAACTATCAGAGGATGTGGGTTACTTTGTCAAATTACTGCCAAAATGGTGGACGCCTTAAATACAGATAAAATGGACAAAAAGGAATTTTTGAAGGTTATTACTAAACCCTTTACTAACCTTTTTGTCCAAATTGATAAAAAAGTGTTTGAAAAAATTGCTCAAGGAACAATAAAATCTGGTGATAAATCTCTGCTTAAACATGAAAAAGATAATAAAACATATTCATATCTATTTGAAAAGATTTCTAGAGGACCAAATGGGTGGAGTGACGAAGCGGTTGGCGGGGTTCTTTTAGTCATAGCTATATTTTTACTCTGTATCTGCCTTTTTCTAATTGTAAAGCTACTGCATTCTATGCTTAAAGGAGCTGTTGCTAAGGCAATTAAGACATCATTGAATGCTGACTTTCCTGGAAGGCTGGGATTTGTAACGGGTTATCTGGCGATAATAATTGGGGCAGGTATGACGATACTCGTACAAAGTTCTTCAATTTTCACTTCAGCTGTGACACCCCTTGTGGGAATTGGTGTATTGAAGATTGACAGGGTTTATCCCTTAACACTAGGAGCTAACATTGGAACAACCTTTACGGCTATTTTATCCGCTTTGGCTAGTAGCGCTAAAATAGGAATAGCCATGCAAGTAGCTCTTTGCCATTTATTTTTTAATATAATCGGCATATGTATTTGGTACCCTATTCCAAGTCTTCGAAAGATACCTATAAATTTATCAAAAAAACTTGGTAATATAACTGCCAGATATAGATGGTTCCCTATCATTTACCTAATTATCATGTTTTTCTTACTTCCTGGTATGATTTTTGGAATATCTTTAGCTGGATGGAGAGTTCTGTTAGGGATTGGCCTACCAATATTGATTTTTATTACAGCTATAGTTATTATAAATATTCTCCAAAGCAAAGCTCCCAGTATTTTACCTCATAAATTGAAAAATTGGGATGCTTTTCCCAGACCTTTAAAGTCTCTAGAGCCTTATCATCTTTATTTATTTAAACCAATGGGAAAACAATTGAAGAAGGTTAAAAATGTGATAAAATCAAATGCAATATATACATCCTGTGTCGGCGTATGCTTGAAACCAGAAGACAGTAGACAGGATGTGGAAAATATCACCAAAGATGCAAAAGATCCCAAAGGTTTCAACGAAGTCGATAACAAAGGTTATATCTCTCCAAAGGAAACTATATTGTAACTGAAATAGATTTTTTTTATTCGTTTTTGTATCTTTTGTTTTATTTTTTAAATATTTTTAAAATATTTTTAAAATATTTTACATTTTCTACTGTTCATATCCATGGTTACAAAACTATGCCTATGTATATTATCTCGTCTATTTTATAATTTAATCTTCATACTTGAAGTATGAGAAAGCGTGTAAAGAAGAGAGGAAGATTTTCTAAAGAGAAAGCAGATATAGTCAATTAATTGAAAATAACAGAGTAATTTTTAACATAAATAAACGATATTTTTTATCTTTTCCGATGAATATTTGCATAAACTTTGGCGCATGAGACCGAAAAACTTGTACATTCCCAGTTTATCGTTACTTTGAAGACATATTGACAGTGTGAAAACCTTCTGACAAGCCTAAAGCGAACTATGTATAACTGACTTAGAGGTGAAAAAAGACATAGTTAAAAGAACGAATAAGATTTGCTTGGTAAGTGTTTTGACTTTTTTTGTGGTGTTGTCGCTCAAAAAACAAGGACATTAATGATTGCAAGTCGTATCGATCTCAAACGTAAATTACTTTTCATTGTTGCATTAGCCTTTCGGTTGAAGTGGCGTTTCTAATGTTAATTAGGTCTAAGCCACTGTCTTCCTCATCTTGAAGATGAATTAGAACATTCTAACGGTAGAAAAACTACCTTAACGAAAAGGTTGGATGAGTAGTGTTATCAGACGAAGTGTGAAAAAAGTAGCAAGGGAGAAGAGGTGAAGAGTATAATAGAAATATGGAATATAAAAAAAAAGACTTTTTTCTATACCTGGCTCATGGAGAAAGCTTGTGCTAGATTTTTTAATAAGTTAAAGAATGATGACGAAGCCAATTGGCTACCACTCGTCCATATAGTTGTAATCGACCCTTTTCAATATATTTTCCTTTCTTCCCTTTTTTCCTCCTTTACCTGAATTTTCTTTATGAGAGCCCTCTCTCATCCTTTACGATTATTTTATTTTTTATTATAAAAACTGCATGTGAAAGTAGCGCGACGGTCGACGCCGCCGCCAGATACGATGCAACTATCGGTTGGTATAGTGATTTTGTTAGTTTATCTCCTCTTTTTTACACCATCAAAGTAAGTTTTAAAATTTATTCATTAAAAAAAAATCGAATTTCTTAATTTTCTTTTATTATTTAAATTATTCAGTAATAGACTAATCAGTTCATCTCATACATTAAAGAGCAAATATAATAGGCTTACTAAATCACAGCGAAACTACCATCATGTTGTTTTTATCTCTTTTTGCTAATCTTAATGATCTTGGCAGGGCGACAGAAAATTCTGATTTTACAATCGAACCATCCCCAGAAAAGAAATTGGTTCGGAATTTGTTAAAAAACTACAAAAAATTCGGAAAGCTTGGAAGACCAGTTGTAAATGCTTCAACGGCTATAAAAGTGTTATTTGGATTGGGTCTTATAAAAATGGAGTTGAGAGAGAAAGATAATATGCTGGTTTTAAGCTGTTGGGCTAATTATGTATATTAATCTCAGCATATAATAATGATTTAATACTATAGATGGATTTGAAAATTTTATCTTATTCGCTTTATCAAAGAATTATGATTTCTCTACTTATTTTTCAGAAATGGAAGGATGAATATCTTCGTTGGAATCCTGAAAAAAAATCTAATATAACATCAATTCGACTCAACTATAAGGATGTTTGGTTACCAGACGTTATGCTACTTAACACGTTAGTATCTTATAGTGTAACAGAAAAAATATCATGTATTTTTTGCCCAAGGGAAGATTAGACAGAAAAGGAGGGAGCCATAGGTTTCTCTACTCTTCATATATGTCAAATGATTTTTGTCATATCTCATAAACGCGGGTTTAATTGTTTCGTTAATTGCTTTTTTTTACCCCATCACTTTTCTTACTAAAGTTGTTTCCATCTTCTTTCTCAATATACAGAGCGAATACTGATGATGCTGTTCGTGAAGTTCAGGTGATTGTCACGCATGACGGAAATGTCAGTTGGTTTCCCCACCGTATGTTCAAATCTTCGTGTGGAATGGACGTTCGAAATTTTCCATTCGATAACCAGACCTGCTATTTATGGTTTGGCTCTTGGACACATCGGTATTTCGAAGTTGACGTTGACTTACTATTTTCTAAGGGAATTGACCTTAGCACTTTTAAGGTACTGCTTTTCATTTACTCTATATACAGTAATCTCTCTTTGTTCTTTCATACCCTGTTTATATATGGAGCTTTAAAGATAATTATACTCTTTCGCTTTCAGAGTGTGTACAAAGATTTAAGTGAATGGTACATTGTAAATATTACGGCTGAGAGGCAAGTAAAGGATTTGTACTCAATTTTGCAATTCAAATTGGAATTGAAAAGGAAGATTATGTTCTCGACTTATATTCTTACAATGCCGGCTATTTTTCTAAGCTTTCTCACTCTACTGGTCTTTTGGCTTCCCCCTCAGGATGCCGACAAGAGTGTACTCGGTCTTACCATTTTTAGTAGCCTTCTTTTGTTACTTCTCATTCTGGTGGAATCAGCGCCATCTACTTCATCAGCAGTGCCGTTATTAGGTAGTGACATCTTTCGTTTTTTTTTTTTAAACCTTTATTTTTTTCAATTTCGCGCCCGAAAAATTTTCAATTACTCCTTTAGGTCTCTACTACTGTTTTACAACCGTACTTGTAATACTATCGATTTTCCTTAGTTCGGTAGTCACAAAAATCGGATCATCTGGCGAACATCGGCAAAAGTTACCAAAGTGGGTACATTTGGTAAGAGACGCTTAAAAACTATTTATGTAAGCCTCATTTCCTTTAACGCAATTTTTTTATTCGTTACCCTTGACTTTGCCTACGACTAAACAAAAAATCATAGCTCTTTCTTCGCTTCCTACCATACATCCTCTGTATGAATATGGATTCAAAGTCCTCTTCTGGAGATTACGTCATCCGAGCTGTTGAGACGTATGAAAGAGTGGCAATGCACGATACTAAGACAAGAGCATTTCCTGACGGTGATGATATTCAGACACAGAACGGTAGTATCAGTTCATTAGTATTACGACTAGATTATCGAATGAAGAAGATGCACGACATACTGGAAGAAGTAGTAAAGAGAAGAGAGGAAAGTAAAGAGGAAAAAAATCTTAAAGCCGCAGTAAACAAAGAGTGGCTTAGCCTGGCTCGGACGTTGGATAGACTCTTCTTCTTTATTTATCTATTCGTCATTATCGTGTCGATAGTCATCTTCTTTCCACGAACGATTTTACTGAGGGATGAAAGGAAGTACGCTGCTTAGAAATGGTCGAATTCCTTTTTTGATTAATTTACATTCTAAGCGAAAAAGGTCAACGTTATCCGCTAGGTAATTGAAGGTTGCTACGGATAAATCGACTAAAGCCTGTTTAAACTGAATAGAGTATGTCCAATTATGTATTCTAAATACAAACATTATCCCAAAGGAACCGAAAACGACAAGCAAACAAAGACTTGATAATATGCTTTTTTCCCACTTCAATAAATGAGATAAGAATTCAATGAACAAAAGAAAAAAAAGTAGCGTAATTATATTATACTACTTTGTTTACACGACTCAAGTCTATATATAATAAGACATAAAATATTAATGAATAGTCATATTTCAAAAATATGTCTGTTCTGAATATGCAAATGTAATCATTTATAAATATACATAGCTTATTATACGCCTATATACTAATAATATATAGAATGAAATAAAAAGAGAAATAAGAAAGAACTCATTGGACAATATCCTTTGTACCTTATAATAAAAATTCAGATATTAGCTCCTTTCATCTGACATATACTTATTCCTTTCATCCATATTAGATATTACGCTGAATTGAATGAAATTTATTTAAATCTCTTAGAAATGGCCAAACTACAATCAATTTTCTTTATTTTTTTATAATTACGTTCTTTATAATAATTATTCTTGCTTATACTGTAAGATTTATGTCAGGCTATTTTTTTTTTGTCCTTTTTCTTATAAGAACTGTAGGTAATTATCAGGAAAAGGAAAGGTTACCAATCTTAAATTGCGTATAATTAATATTCTCTTTTCTTCAAGAATTTAAATGTTAATTAATAGGGTAAACTCTTTCTTTTTATCCCTTTCTTAATTTCCAATCAATAAATTTGCTATAAAATCGAAAATTAATTATCTATAAATATGTATACCGCCATATTTCCTTTTCTGCGAACTGCTCATCTTCACATTTAGACAGTTTGTCCGTATTTTCGTTTTTTTCTATCCAATTGACGCTGTTTTCTACATGATAATTTAATTTTCTAATAATATTATTATTAATAATAATTATTTTATAATAATATAGATAATAATAATGTTGACACCTTGTCATTTGTCATTTGAATATGTTATCGTCAAATAACGTCTAAAGGCAAAGCTTTTTAGGATGCTTTCTTTTATACTGTATATATACAGTCGCGATATTAAGTAATTATAACAAGAGTAAAAATATCTAAAATTCGAAATATCTTGATTTACAAATGAAGTTTATGGTTAGGAATAATTTTTTCTGTAAGAGAGATGACTTATGAAGCATCAGGCAAAATTTTTTAAAATATCTATATTTTAATGATCAGTTTTTCAGTCTTTTTTTTTACAATACTATGAATTTAGACCGCTATTAAGTAATTATAACAAATCAATCAGGTCCATCAAAAGTACTTTTTTTATTTTACTTATACATTTTTAGAAGGCAAATGATTGTAAATGATAAAATTTTCAAATTTAATACTTGGTATGTATGCCTTTTGCCTTTCTTGCTGCATTTAGCCTCCTTTCAATAGAGGCATACAATCCCTGTATCTCAAAATTTGATATTTTGAAAAATTCCTTCTCAAAAATTTCCCACAGCTCTTTCAAATTTCTCCTGGCGATTTTATGTGGTCTACCAGACATATGCAGGTCATTTATTGTTCTAAATTGCTTGAACTGATTCTTTATATTCTGCACTGTAACTGGGCTGCAATTAAATTTTGCTGTTATGCCTTGAATGGTCAATTTTGGCCTGCTTAAGTGGAACAGGATATCTTTGCAGATTTCTAAAGATAGCTGATGCATTTTTTAATAATTATGAGGTCATAATGATGATGTTATAATTACTTAATAGCTGTCTAAATTCATAGTATGGTAAAAAAGAAAGATAAATTGATTCTTAAAATATAGATATTTATCTGAAATTTTCCATCATGTTTCACAAGTCATCTATCCTATACAAAAAAATATTCACAACCATACACTTTATTCCTAAATCAAAATATTTCGATTTTTAGACATTTTTGCTCTTCTTATAATTACTTAATATCGCGACTATATATATATATATATAGATTAAAGCACTTACTATTCACAGCATTAGAATATTACACATGTATTGTGTTATGCCATCATGTATAAAGAAAAAAGGAAAGTACTAACTGCAGCATCACCAGCCCGAAAAAAATACTTACAAAGCGTTGTATTAATATGTTATATACTAATATGTATAGACAATGCAAATATATCTATATATATATATCTTTGCATTGAATATAATAAGTATAATATACTTTGTATACATTTATATAAAAAATATAGTCTTTTGCAGTTATAAAGGAAAAAACAAAGAGAGGCCCAAAAAGGAAAACCAAAATTAGTCTGAAATGTAGAGCTTAAATAAAAACTGAAAAAACGAAAGGAAGCACAAAACTAATTAGAGGGCCGTTGTACATAGGACCGTAGTTTGCAGTGGTATTGCTACGGTTGTAGGCCTAATACAGCAAGGACAAAACTTATGCAGTCCACAAAGAAGTAACATTCTTTCGCAGCTTTCTTTGACCTCTTTCATTCTCATTCCATATATGAAAGGGTCGAGGGTAAACTTGACATAGGGTAAAAAATTCATAAAATATACAATGGCTGTATTCTCCGTTAAAGAGCCTGAATTGTCGACGTTCAATGTTAAAAGATAAACGATGGTAAATGGTAAAAAGCATACTGTGAGAGAGCCAACTAGTAAGATAATCGTGTGAAAGGCTTTTCTTTCTCCGCTGACATCCTCCGCCTGCTGGTCCCTTCGAAAGTGGGACAAACGCTTTTGTAGTCGTTTAATAACTGAATAGACTGTACAGCATAAAACTATGATAGAAGCGTAGATAGCGGCTAGTACACCAGCGTTTGCGTTGGCAGATATTCGAATGACTTTAGATGAGGTTCTTACAACCTCCAAATATTGACATTGGGAGTTATAAACAAGGTCAACCAAAACGAAAACTGGAGCTAATGAGCCGATTAGTGTAATTAGCCAGCTACAAGCAATGAAAGTGCATACTCTACTCCTTCGCACAAGATTCTGGTGATGGAGAGGTTGAGCGACAGCTAGGTACTGGATGACTGAGAAACCCAGTAAAGTAGCGGCCGCAACTAAGGTGAAGGACGATGAGAAGATTGCAAGCGAAGAGACGAAGACAATAATACGGCACTGATCACCCAGCACCTTTTCCAGTTGATAATTACTCACATTATGATTACAAGTGAGGAGCAGAACACAAGACAGGCTATTGGCAATTGCTAAATTCATAAAGAGCATATGATATGCTCCATGCCTTCCCCTGGCGTTCTTGGCGGCAATTAGAGCAAATAGATTACAAGTTATCGCAACTGCAGCCAAACAGGATTCTGTAGCAAAACGACCAGTTGACTTGATGGCATCCATTAAAAATGGCGAAGTTGAGTTATTACTCGACATTGTCGTCCGATCCTCTTCCTCTTCTTGTAACAGCCTTTCTTCAACTTCTTTTATATCTCATTTACCCTCTCCAATTCCCTGTCTCCCGCTCTCCCTCACTCTTCTTCACTTTCTCTGTTCCCTTGTTATCCTACACACTTCGACTGCTCGGGAACGACTTTCAGAGACGATCTGCCGTATAGATGGGGCGCGCTCTAATCAATGCGACATTCTTTCCTACTTTTGCCGCTCTCAATTCGACAATAATCATTCAGGTCCATACACCAGACGTCGGGAAAAGCTCTGTAAAAGCCTCTTATATATATATAAGCAAATTAAAATGAAGGGTAAGAAGCTCGAGGCTATCCGCCGACCATGTGCACAGCATCTCCGACGCTAATTAGCCAACGTTCCTCCTACCTTAATAAACCTACTCATGAATCAAATTCTTTGCTTTATTACACTTCTCAATGGAGACTAACAAAACAACTTTTCTGTTTACTCTAAAAGAAAATATAAGAAAAGAAACAACTGAGTAGAAACATCTGAATGCCGAGGAACTATTATTTAAATTGATGAATAATGAGAAAAACTGAAAGTATATTTTAAGAACAATGTTGATAAATGGAAAAGAAATTGATAGGGGTTGAAAAAGAGGAGAAAAAGAATATGAAGAGAAGAGAAACTACCTCTCGTGAAACGAATAATTCAAATCAATTACTTGTCGACTGAGCTCAGTTTCCAATTGGGCGTCACCGGCGGGCAGACCATGTTATGCTAATCTTTTTAAAGAGGTCACCGAAAAAAAAAAAACTAAATTGGCGAGTAAACGCAAAAGACGCCTGAGCAAACCATGTACATTCCATAATCTAATCATCGTAGTAGTAGGCTTACGAAGTATAATATAGAAAGTGCGCTTACAGAATTTCGACTAACCTTGATCAATAACTTTTTCTTTTAGTTTATTACGATTACGGGAGAGGGAGGGCGAATAAAGCACTCGAAACGTTAACGCTTTTTTTTCTAAACGCTTTACAAGTCCTCTTTGTTGGAAAAGTAATTTTCCGTTCCTTAAACTTTGGTTTTAAAGGAAGTAATATACCTTTAGCCCAATTGCGCCATCTTCAGGATGACAATACATCGTATTCTTTAGATTTTATATTTACTTCGTTCATTGTTCCCTCTCTGTTTCTCTAGAAAGATAACTCCCACGAGATACATATATTTATCTTAACTTGATTTAATAAGCGAAAGTCAAAGGGGTTGCCTCACTTATATTCATCTCCTTTTTATTATCATAATCTGCCTCAAGCCGGAAAATTTATTCAGTTATTTCTGTAATATAGTTATTAATGGAGAAAAGATGAGTATTTTTTCTGAAATTACACAATGGTATAGAATGTATCAGATTGTAATAAGTAGTAATATATAATATATGTATGAGAAAAATAAGAAAAAGTATTCTAATAGCACTCTAATTATACAATGGTAAATTTCTGCTAAGAAATCTATTTTTTCTTACTTTAGCCTAAATTAACAAATGAAGATTTCAATCATCTAAAGTTACTTTTCTACCTAATCAATTTTTTGCTTAAATTAAGTTAATTAAGTAACGATTATCTTATTTTATTCTTATTTAGAATTACTTGTATGAAAATTTAGAAGGGTTAAAAATATTAATAACTGATTTGAATACAAAAGTGACATTTTCCTTGTAAAATGTTTTTGAGACTGGATAGTACTTCACCAATGAAATCAAGTCATTTGCGGTAAGGGCAATTGCTGTAGGCTCCAAGTCATTAAATAGCCACTGCGTCTAATTTGGACCTCTTGGAGTAATACTGAATTCCAACCCATTTTGTAATTATTCACCCTGTATGTTTATAATAAGAGTTGATAGACTTTTTACGAAGCATTGCAATATATTTTATACAATAGCGCAACTCTAGAAATTCTTATTATTTCATTGATACAACCTTTTAGCATCTTTAAGAGAATTCTAATAATTAACAGACACAAATGCGTTATATACTCTACATTTTATATTTTATCGTTTAAATCTTTGAAATAAATTAAATCAAATAAAAAACAAAACAAATAAAAGTACTATTAAATAAGGCTACGTAGACAAACTATTATACATTTACTATGAATAAATGTACAGTCTATAAGCGAAAGAATGTTCACTTATAAAGAATGTCGTCATATATATTTTTTGTCATAAAATAGTCGAACATGTAATAATAATGATATAAAAATAAAATATTATCTAAACGGATTTCTTTTCAAACAGTGTCATAAGGGATTCCCTTTTAATGGACTGCTTTCGATAGAATTACGTCAAAAGTAAAATGCGTACATAGTTTTTTCATTTTTATCAATTTTTTTTGTTCTAATGTAACATTGTTTTTCTTTTTAATCATCATGATGTTTCAGACAATTACAGATATTTTTTTGTTCTCTTCTCATTCCTTTTCTTCTTTGCTTTTTTTTTAACAAACTCTTGAGAGTTTGGTCATCTAAATGCACTATTTTTTGACCATCTAGAGAAAGCGGAGATTAAAGTATGTAAAAGTAAATTATCTTCTCTTTCCCTATTTCTTATTTAATCGAGGAGAAGAAGAGGAGAAGAGAAAAGATAATACAAAATGTATAAAGACTTACTATGGGACCTTGTGAATGGAGAATTCTTTGAGCGGCCACATAACTATTCTAATATATTAAGGCTTCTCTCCCATTTCTTTAACTTTACTTTAACAGCTTGTAAACCAGGCTTGATCCTACGTAGTTAAGCCCACTTCATAGTTTTTTTTTTGGAACGAAAGAAAAGAATAAAGAATAGAGCAGCAAAATTGCGAAAAATAGTAGATTCCAATTGAACCGTATAAGCTTCTATATTACCGTGTTTGAGAATTATAGAATTAGATACAAAATGTAAACGCCTCGAGCTTCACTACTACACTTTTTGTTTCATGCTTAAATAAAATAGAATCTTCTGAATATTGTATAAGTTTACTACGGATTCTACCACCTCTATTTCCTTTAGAGTATCACGTCATGTTTAAACTTTAATCAATCATAGACAAGCTGAAAAGGTAGCGGTTAATATCTCATATTCATCTTTTAACGCTTTACATTGACGAAGACACTGCTAACACACTGTACATAATGTATGTATGTGTTAATATATATATAAATATAAATATATATATATATATATATATATATTGATCTACATATATATACTGTAGATAAATATATTGAACATATAGATCAATTTATATTAGATATATACAATAATAAGAGAAATAGATGGACTTTACATAATTTGTAATTGGACAAGGTTATCCCATTACTATCTCAAAGACAAGTGACAGCCAAATGAGTAGTGGCCATTGAATGATTTGGAATATGTGTCGGAACAGGCGTCATCCCATTTATTCTGTAACATCTATCCATTCCACACCTGATAAGGATTTTCTTACAGACGTCCTTTACCTCTTTCATTCTCATTCCATAAATAAAAGGATCGGCAAGGAACTTAACATAGGGTAAAGTGGTCATAAAGAAGAAGACAGCTGGCTTTTGAATTAGATCATGATCATCCAAATTGAGGGACCACACATGTAAAATAGTATATGGTAAAAAGAATATTGTCATGGCAGCTAGTAGAAAAACAATTGTTACAAAGGCCTTTCGTTCTCCTTCAATTGCCTGATCAAATCTAAATTGAGACAATCGCCTACGGAGGTCACGAATTTCTGTAAATATTCTTGCGCAAAGAATTATAGTTAAACAATAGATCAATGCCAGAGTCGTTACTCCAATGTTTACAACCACTTTAACAATATAGCTTAAAAGTGCTATTTTCTCATTTCTGATTTTACAACTTCGACATAATCGGACTGTTATAGATGTCACTACCACAAGTATGACTACTACCACTATCCAACTTATAGCACAAAAGCTGTAGATTCTCTTTCTCCTAACGAGCCGTGCGTGATGCAGAGGTCGGCAAATAGCCAGAAATTGAATACTTGTAAATCCTAAAATTGTTAAACCAGCAATACAACCAGCTAAAACCGAAAAGTTTTGAATAGCAGTTATTATAGGCATATTTACACATGTAGAGAGACCAGTAAGAATTTGAGAAATGAATATATTATTTCCACACCAAGATGAAAAAGAGCATAAAATATTTGACACAGCCAAATTCAAAAAGAGGATATGATAAGCTGTATGCTGACCCTGCGCTTGCTTGGCAACTATCCAGGCTAAACCATTAGTAATTAGTGCCAGAATCATCATAGTAGTTTCTGTGTAAAAGCGTTCATTCGATGTTATTGAAAAATGTCCAGAATAATTGGTTACATGCTCTGACGAATTGTTCACGATCATCGTTCGACGCTGCTCTGAAAGAACTGCACTATGAGCTGTGGGGCGCTGCAAACATAGTTTACCCCAGCTTTGATACACATATTACGTTTTTAGTTGTATTTATAGAATATACGTAATTTCCAACGGGCGTTTACTTTATAATATGACAGCCTAATTGTTTGTGTTTCTTTTATCTATTATCAAAAAATCACTACGCTTTATCGTTTATAGAATAAAGTTGAAATTATTCTAAGGGATGCGCTATAAGAGAAACAAATATCGCACATCTATTCCCTTTTGTGGTTTCCTTCCCATTAAATTGACTGTATCTAATGCGTCAAACCGATAAAATAAGGTTATAAAATTCACACATAAGCTTTCTATAGTTTTATTTAAAGTTTAACTCTTCTGGAAAAAACAACAACACGCATCCCTAACTTCCTTTCAAACTATTGTTACTACATTAACAAACAATATTGGTTTACTCTTATTTCCACATGTAAGGAATTTTAACAATTATATCTTCAATATATATTATGCGTTGCGTTTTTTCTGCCATTTATTTAACATTTTCTTTCAACTTCTACTAGGGTATCATTACAGCTTATTCAGCTCTCGAAAAAAAGAGCTTTAGAATAGAATTCGCCTATAGTTTCATTTAACAAATAGAATTTTCCACTGTTTCTTAAACACACTGAATTGTCGTAGAATCCAAGGTGATATTGCACACTCTTTTCATTATTTTTCAAATGAAAAACAGGATATAGTAAATACTATGTATATAAGATGTACATTACTAATTTATTTACAGCAGTATTGTGCAGTATAAGGTTTTGAGATATCTAATTCTAGAAGCCCAAAATAATCTGATAGATAGTTAAAAAATATATCTGTATTTGACAGAGATCAATAATTAACGGAGCATGTAGGAAGAGACTTCAAACGGTCTGTACAGTTAATTTTACAAGCATATCTTCAAGACGAACGAAAGAATTTTCTTTAAAATTTTTCACGATACTAATCTTTGTACGCTACTTTTAACAAAAAATTTCCTAATTAATTTCCTACGCATGTGATTTACAAATAACGCGATTAAATGATAATTAGTCACGAAAGATGAAAGTAAGTCAACCATATATTTATATAATATACATATCTATATGTCTATTAAATATATCATAAAATATGAACTAACCTATGGTAGAATAATTAAAGTTAATCTATAAACTATTCTTTTTTCTATTAAGATAGAGAGCTAAGGTTATTTCGATTATTTGTAGAAAAACACGAAAAATAACTAATTGTTATTGATCAGCCAATAATCAGTGTTTAGTCCAATTTTAGCAGTCGAAAGAAAATACTATAATACCCGATGGATACATGTAAATATCGTACATACAATATTTGCACCATGTTAACAAATTGACGGATTTTTTGGAATATATAAATACGAGATATACAATGGAGGAAAAATTTCTATGCCCTGAATTTTAGTGAATTATTCTGTTTTCTATTAATAAATGGAAAAGATGAAGACATGATAGTCGCTATTATGAACAGTAAGTCCATTTTGCGAGAAAGAGATTTGTACGATGCTTACATCTTTCTTATATACAGTTCAAAGCACTTTTATATAAACTACTCAACAAATTACATACGAGCCATCTTATTTTTATTTAAAATATTTTGTATAATGTTTAGTTCTCATATAGACCTCAATTGTCTGACAACGCTATAAATAAGTCGTGTTTAGGTGTCCCCAGACATATTCTATAATCTTCAGATCTAGAAAGTTTGCCGGCCAATTTGAAGCTTTAATCTTTTATAGTAGACATTTCACCTGAATACCGCTTGGATATTATCATTCTCTTCTTGCTGACGCCATTCCAATAGTAACCATTGAATCAATTCAAATTAAAATTCTTTTCGTTGATAAATACCAGCTATAGTGCGAATTTCATCCTCTCCTCCCCTGTCATAGTCGTTCTGGCAAACAACTTTATTAAAAATAAACAAATAACATTATCAATTATCTAATATCTAAGATTTTGACTTATGTATAGGTATTCCACAAATTTCTTCTTCCCTATTATACATTAAGGGTTCATACTAGAAACTAAAAGTCCGATAATCCCTGTTTTTATGTAATATAAAGAAGAAATATTATAAACAAAAATTTTTCCTGTACAGAAAATTTCCGCCCCACCTACTGTATTATACATAAACTGTCTAAACATATAATATATAAATACCTTCATAGCTGTTTATTTACAGAAAGGACGAATCTCTAATATATAATTGAGCTAAATATTTAAGTAGAGGTTATTCATTTTCTTGGCTAGACAGAACGAAATGACAATCGACAGCTACGAAAAGCCCTTCGCAAAAATCTAAACGCATTATGCAGAGACGAACAAAAATGAATTTAGCCTGACAACATTATTTGAAATAGTTTGATCCATTTTGGGTTAAGTTTATAAAAAGAAAAGCTTAGAAGTGGGAAAAACGTCTGTATCAACAAGAGCCTCGGTACTAAGTTTACGATGGTAATTTGTTTTCCTATTTTTTTTTCTCCTTTCATCTCTTCAAAACTACGTGAGTGTAATTGAAAATTTTGCCGAGTTACACTTACATATCAGAATGTAGTTCTAAAATTATTGTGGTAAGTTTGTTACCTTGACTGAAGAAACTATTTCTTACACAGGGAAATTTGATTTAATTATGAAAAATACGTCAATTTATTTACATCTTATGTTGTAAGATTTTGATGAAAATATATTTCCTGATCGTTTATTTATATTTCTATACCTTTTCCCGTCTTGATACCCTACTTAACCTTCAGATTGCATTTTTTTATTAACAAATACAAAAGAATTTCGATGATTTATATAGATTAGATCTAGTCCTTTCACAGCTTTCGTTTTCTTTTTGAAGTTTTGCAACTTCTCATTATCCGAAGAAGCTTGACAAAAGATTCATAATTATTACCTAATTATAGCAATGGATAGTACTTTCTAATGGGTTGATAAAAATAGTTTTCAATACCTAAATATATTATGATTGTAGCAATTGACTATGGAGAGAGAGGGAAAAAAACCGACATTCATGAGATATTTATCACTTGGCACAAAATTAAATTGGAAGCCTTATATATTTTATAATATTCTTGCTGTCATTCAGAAAACGTTGCTTCCTACATAGTAATTATGTACCTGCCTAGTCGACCTTGGTAGGTTAGGAGATAGGTAATTGTTAACTCTTTTCCGATTTAGGCTAATTTCACAGTCAATCGCTTTAATTATGTAGTCTAATAGACGATTAAATAATATTTTACAATGGCCGTCTATAGCTTTATTATCGAAATCGTTTAGACTATTCCGATTAAACTGTTTGCGTATTCTTTGTATTGTCTTTGGTTATCGACTCTATGGTTTCATAAAAGTTATGAAAATTAGGTTTTCCTTTTATTTTCTTTTATTATAACACGTATGTCGCCATCTATAGCTAAAAAAATTTTTTGTACTTTGAAAGATTAGTCTTGTTTTTTTCCAGTTACAATGGAGCAGTACAAGAAGAGAAATTTTTATTATTTTCTTATATCAAATCATTATTACAATTTCAACGAGCTGCAGCAAACTGCTGCATTTGACTCTGCAATTTAGTAAGAGTCTCCTTCATTTTATCCTGCTTTTCTTGCAAATCTTTCATTGAAGTTTCCTGTCGTGAGCTGTAAGGGGTTATTAAAAGTTAGGCACATGTTATTATCTGTACTTTTAGTGTTACTTACATTTCTCTAGTAATATATTCTATACGTTTATCAACATTTTGTTTCGCCTCAATAAAATCTTGCTTAACAAGGATAGGACCGATCATTTTAAATAGAGAAGCATCTTCGTCCAACAATTTCATTTCCTGGAAAAGGAATACTTATAAACTAACGTAATTTGGTCTACCAAAACTACTTACTTCCATAACCATTTTATTTTCGGTGAGCTGGGCTTCTAACTGTTGCCTGGCAGTTAGGCATTTACGAGAATCTAATAAATTATCGCTCAGTTAAGCATGACAATTAATATATTGTTCATTTAATAGATGTTAAATAAAATATTTAGAAAGAAATATAAAATAGTTTTTTACTAACCCACTTGATTCGCTTTAAAAGCGTCCATCTCTTTTTGAAATTGCCTTTGGATCTCTTCAGCTGCTTTCGCCATTTTCGGTAGTATTTATCGATAACTATACAAAGAGCTGATATTTTGTTCAAGTGAAAACTGGTAATAACCCATACTCATGTAATTCAACAATTTAATCAATAATCGGCCACGTCCAGAGGATATTTTAGATACAGCAATATCTAATCTGCTACTGCTAACTGCATAAAACGTTATGCCCGAAAAAATGCAGATACATATGAAGCCGATTGCAATAATTATTGCCACTTGCTGTATTATCGTTACTCTGATTTGGAGTTATTCTTCCTATCAATCATTCGACAAAGATTTTAGACCTTTAACGACTTTTAAGATAAGTCAAAATGGTATTAGCTACTTAAGGTGACAAAAGCCATTTTACTAATATTTCTATTTTCAAACTTATCATTAAATTTTCTATGCTCTTTTTGTTACAGTCGTTTAGCTATTAATTTGTAACAAAGCTCAAAATTTAAACATATCAACTAATTTTATATATATATAGTAATATCGGTTGTCATACATATAAATTTCTTTGTTATAACTGATATTAGTTTTAAAATGGCTTACTGTCATCATGTCTAGCACTCAAACAAAGTTATCAGCCGAAGATTTTAAGAAGACTTGTATCAGTGGCAAGGAGACAACAGTGCAAAAATTAGCAGAAAATATTTTAGAATGGGAAAAATCGAATAATCCAGCTTGTAGAAGTTTAAAACTCAAATTCGATTTTATATTTTCAGTTAACAAAAGATCTGGGCATTTAAAAATTTCAGATTCATTCAGACAGAAGCTTCTATCTTGGTTTAGTAAAAAACCGGAACTAGTTAATGAAGTTGACACTCAGAATATTACTTTTATATTCAATCAGCTCACAAATGAACAAACTATCTTTAATCCTCTTCGAGATAAGCGACCTGTGAATAAACCAAAACAATCTCAAAGACTTTACGTGGAGGACCTCCAGAGCTCTGCAAAAAGTAGCTGTGATTTTTGTGAGAATAGATATAAGGAAAATACTGCAAATGATAAAATAGATCGCTTAGCAAATAAATATGCTTATACCGCATCAAACGCCTTTAAATATGACGCTTGGCATTCTTTAGTCATTTTCAAGTAAGAGACAGGTTTTGTCATTTTATGTCGAATTGTCTATTAAGTGATATGTATTTCTATAGGCGTCATCACCCCCTAACGTGGACTCTACCGGAGTTAGTCAGTGTTTTTGACCTATCTCAGGAGTGGTTTAATAAAGTTCATAAAATTGAACCTAACTACATAAATCCGATAATTACATGGGATTTACTACCTAAAGCGAGTGCCAGTCAAATTCATCCCCATATGCACGCAACCTTGACTGATGACGTATATTATGGTATGCTGGAGGGTTGGTACAAAGCAGCTGACAAATATTATCAGAGATGGAGAAGCAATTACTTTGAAGATTTACTTGAAATTCATGACGCTTTGGGTTTATCCGTTCGCTATAAATCAGCTGCAGCGTTTGCGAGTTTAACACCCAAAAAAGATAATGAAGTTGTTATCTTAGCTCAGGAAGCAAATCAAGACTTTTTTAAATTATTTTATATGGTAACTAGAAGTAAGTTAACACTAATCATTTCCAGATTTTATTTTAATCGGCAATAATTTTATTTGCAGCTTTCATAGATGATATGGAAAATTTGTGCTTTAGTAGTATAACATCTTTCCCAAGCATGGATAAAAGATCTAGCCGGAATGTTGCCTTTGCTAGAATCGTTACCAGAGGTACAGTCTTCGAAGTTAGATCAGATGTAAGCTCACTAGAATTATTTGGAGTAAGTCGTTTATATTTCTAAATTATTCTATCTGGTAAATATCATATATTCTTTAGGGTTCCAACGTCAACGTTGATCCTTTTAGATTTATCAAAAAACTAAAAGCCTCGGTGCAGAAGAGATCCAATCAATCTTAAAGACAAGAGTCTAAATATACACAACTGAAATAGTCTTTAAACTGTTCCATGTCACTTTTTCTACCCCAATAATATTCAATTAATAATGTAATATTTAACTAACGTTTTTCAAATGATAATCTTTTTGTCTTTAAAAGCTAAAGTAATAATATTTGATAGTAAAATAAAAAAAGATAATAATTCAATAATTTGCTTACCTTTTAATTTCTATAAATCTTTAACTAAAATATCACGTAGTTCCAGCTGCTTAAGAACAGATTTCGATATTTTATTGATTGGTCACTATAGGTAATGAAATATAATGACAAACCTACTAATGAAGGAAAAATCATATTCATTGATCGTGTACTATCGTGTACAAGAAAGCAAATGATTCTCTCATGAAATTTGATGAAATAAACAGAATTTTTTTTAGCTTTTGAAGGTAATAAAATAGTTATCATTGACTATATATAAGCTATTATCTTATTATTATGTTTTGTTTTGAAAATTGACTATATCAAACTTTAACTACGAGACAATTACTCCTTTCAGTATTCTTAGACTAAATTGGAATATGATGATGTGCTAGTACTCTTCTAAAGAGATTACGCATATAGCTTTATAAAGTTATCGAAAACCTGACGCTTTTTTAAATATAACGGAAATTATTTATACCATATACTCTCAGACAAATTATTATTATTGGACGCTCCAAAGTCCCTTGTAATAATAGTCAGTATAAAAGGGAATTGTATTTTCTTGCATGGTATTATTACATGAGTATATTCATGCTTAAGATAAATATAACAAAGTTGTATAGAATTCTATAATTGAATTTTATATTAAATATCAACATCAACAAATCCGTAACATTTTCAAGAAAAACTCTGTGCTTCAATTTGTAAAGAAAGGCAGTGAGACTATTAAGTTATAAAAGAAAATTAACTTTTACGATAATAGCAAAGCCAACATACTACTTGTATAATTATTTGCATAAAATACATGAATTTAATTGCAAAAAGGATAAAAATCATTTTCTTTTCTTCATTTCTTTTATATTGATTAAATAATTCGACTATTATGACAAAAATATGTAAATTTTCATTTCTTAGAAACAAAGTTAATAACAAAGAAACGTTTTGATATAGAAAATTAGAAATAATAACGAGACAATTTAGTCCTTGCAGTTTTATGAATGAAACAGAATTGTCAATATTCTTCAATTGGACAACTAATTGCAGGAATTTTATATAGATAATACTCAAGTCAGAAGAGATATTAAAGATTTAGAAAATTCATGCAAAACTAATTCCCTCATGGATGCCTATTTCTCCCTACCATAGTTTAGTTTGTCGTCTATATTTTCTGTGATCAGCTTGATTAGCGCTAGGAACTCCGAATATATTCCATCCAGTACCTAAGTCAACTTGTGGCTTTTGTCTAGTTATTTCTGGTTTATGCACGCTAAAGTAACAAAGAAAGACATACAATAAGCACTAAGGCTCTATCAGACAGGATAAGAAAAGTTTTTCCTTACTTGTTAATAGGTGTCGCATTAGTACTATGTAAATATTCCTTGTCCTGAATTGGCTTATATCTTCCTAATAAATCCATGTAGTCTTTTGAAGGTCCATCTCTCCTGAGCATTGGAGGAGAATCTGAAAAGAATAAGTTTTATTATTTGTTTCAATAAATATTTCTTTGAAAACCAACAATTATTTTTTGGGAGATTAGATACTTCTATTTTTGTTTCGGAATTCAAAGCTCTTTGGTTAAATTGATTAACCGTCGGGGTTACTTCCTTACGCAAGTCTACGTCTCTGAAAAGCAAAAAGAGTTATAATTATGATTATTAAAGAGAAACCCTCAGGGCTACCTATTTCTACCACTTTCTGGTCTTCCAATAGGAGGAAGGGAAGCTGTTCTTTGTTCTCTTGTATATATATTATCAGTTTTTTGCCTCTATTTAGAATATTGATTATTTATAGAATAGAATAAAAAGTAGATGTTAATACAGTACATCATGACTAGGTATAACGTTTCTCTTATTATAAGTAGAACAATCGCCAGAGTTGATTAGTTTCGCTGAAATTAAAGAAAAATAAGATAAAATTGTAATTTGAAAAGATAATGCAAATAACAAACTTGATCTTTTACTTGAATCAGCTGGACAGAAAAAAAGAAAATTAAACTATTATAATTTCTATATTTTAAAATATGTATATATATGTCTTTTATCCATAAAAGATATTAACTAACCATTTCTATCCCTGAAATATTGAACAAATACCACAAAATTGTTCAGCTGAGGTACAATGTTGCACAATCCGTAGTGTTTATTCAAGAAATTCAAAAATTTATGAGAAGGTTTATCAATCGCCAATTTTTCAGCTTGAATATTCTCGTAACTAAGCATAAACTCAAATAGTTTTTTTCCACATCCCTTTCTTTGAACTGATTCATGAACATAAAAGTCTAGAACGCATAGAGGATCGTTTTCAATTTGAATTCCACGGATATCGTAAAAAAACAATTTCTTAGAACCAACTTTAATAAAACCAATCACGATGTTCTTTTTCTGTGGATCTTTTAACAAATAGATTTTGTGTGAAGAGAAAGATAATTTTGAAAGAGATGTGATTGATCCAAGCAAGCCCTGTGCCTGTAAATAAAACAGAAACGGAAAATCTTAATAAATTCTTCTTGTTACATTTATAAAAGGGTATTATTTATATATAAATGCTTATAAATTTCCATACTTCGTAAATTGTATCAATAACTGATTGAAAAGGTTAATTGCAAGTATCGGTTTAAAATTCTTTTAAATTATTATTTAATTTATTCTTACTTTTGCAGATGCCTCTCCTAGCTTATCCACCACGGACCTTAATTGGTTTTTTAGTTCCCTTTAAGACATAAATATATATATTTAATATTATTTAAGAGCATTTTTGTGTAGCTTTACTAACTGAAAATTTCCGACATTTTTTAAATGTGATAAATTAGCATCAATAACCGTTATCTCGTTAGGAAACAGTTTCCCAACATTGAATGAAAACTCCATATCAAGTACAAGCAGCAATTATTGAAAGTCAAGTTGAATATCTCGCTAAATTTGATATTTCATTAGAATCGAAATTTGTGATCATGTTGTTATCCAAATAATACAACCAATCAGTTATGTTCTTTTTGTTTATTTCCGGTTTTGTTACTATTTCCTCTGATATGGCGGTCAATTCAAACTTTGATTATTTAAAATATAATTTTGCGATATCTGCTGTACATAAATAAAACTTCTGTTGTTAATATATATAGCTTTATTTTGTATTAAACACCATTAACGTGTTTATCAGGTTTTTTCTTCAACAACGATGAAAAATATTGTTGAAAAGAAAATACTTTTAAGACTAACTACAAATTTGCATAATTAATGTTACAATAGTGTCAAAACGGTATCTCTTTTTAAAGTTATTGTGTTTACTTTCGTTAAAGAATGTTAACGTGTGAGATATTAACAACTACCGTACGCAGTGAAAACTGGTATAAATTCATTAATGTTTTGGGATATGTCAGATTTATTATGTAACCAATACATATGTGATAGATACGTGTTCATATAAGCCACTTGTCAAAGAATGACAGTTTTTTTAATAAAGATGGCTTAAAAGTGTTAAATAGATCTCAAGAAAAATGTCTATTGAGGTTGTTTGTGACAATGATCCCTGCAAATCCAAATCACATGCTTTGGAAATGTGTTCAGCAGTTTCAAAGGGAAATTTGAACCAAATAAAGTTGTACTTGAAATCGTGCAATAATCCCATATATAATACCGATGAGTTTGGTAGAACCGTTTTGCATGTAGCAGCAACTTGTGGAAAATTAGATATCATAAATTGGCTTATTGACGAAGTAGGATCAGAAGTAAATGTAAAAGATAATGAATCGAACTGGACGGCTTTACATAAAGCTATTTATTACAGACAATTAGACGCAGCAATATCCCTTATTGAAGTAAGGTTATTTACCTTAGATTACAATTAACATAAAATAGTATATAAATCTTTTCGTGTAACAAGCCAAATACCCTTTTAAAAGTTTATAAGCTATACTTACTCTTCATAATAAGAATGAAAATTTCAGAATGGTGCGAATATTTATAGCAAGGATAAAGATGGATTGACACCAATTGATCTTGCTCATTTAGATTGTATATCGTCAAACTGTAATATTGACGAGTATACGGAATCTACTGAAACAGGTACTTTTGATAATCTACACTCTTATTAATCTTCTTCTGTCTCATCTTTTGTAATCTTTGTAGATAGTCTTTTTAAAACATTAAATAGTCTTAATCATAGGATTTTAAATGGATTTTCTTAGAAATTTGCCATTACCAACCAATAAAATAACATTATTTTTAGATAAACTTTTGGCTTTTTCTTGGGGGAATAACTATAACATGAATCTTGGCCATGAAAATGGAAAGGATAGAAGATTACCAGATTGTATTGATTTTTTTCCAGCTTCAGGAATACATTTAAAGCATGTAATAAGATAATTGAATTTTCTTTTTCCTATGCCTTTATCTAAAGAGAAATATTTACTTTAGGTATCAATGAATGAATTCCATACAATGTTTTTATCAAGTGGGGGAATCGTCTATACATGCGGCCACGGTCAAAAGGGAAGATTAGGCCTTGGTGATGAACTAACTTATGTGGTACTACAATCAGATTCATTAGCCATTTTACAAGATATTAGCAATAGAAATAATCTATCATTCTTTACTTTCACAGAAACCACAGAGAGTCAACTACTTAAAAGATAAATTATGTATTAGTGTAATTGCATCGCGTGATCATTCCATTTTTCTAACTTCTGATGGAACAGTTTATACCTGTGGTGATAATAGTAGTGGTCAGCTGGGCCACAATTGTGAAAAGTCTTTATTACCTACTCTAGTTAAATCGTTGAAAAAGCATGAGATTATCGGTATAGAAGGGGGAAAATATCACAGTATTGTTTGGAATGAAAATAACATTTGGAGTTGGGGTCTGAATATTGGACAATTGGGTAATTGGCTTTTGTTTTCCTGTTAGTTCCGTAAGGGTTATTTACTATTCTATTTTTCAATAGGACAATCCAGACCTCAAAAAGACAATAAAATTACTAAACCGACTCTAATAACATCTTTATTATGTGAAAATGGATCAAGAATTGAAGGCGTCAAAAGTTCTGAGGCTGGAACAATTATTTCTAGAATAAAATATGATAATATTTTGGAATTTTGGGTTCTATATAATTTTAAAATATTAAGAATATTCTCAAGACAAGTTTCACCTACTAAACGGCCATTACTTGAATTGTAAACTGAATATTTTACTTATTAACAAATTGTTCATATTTTAAAAGAATAATATTAAAAACAGACAAAAACATATTGCAATTGGAGGTGAAAATTTGCCAAAACATATTAATAAACAAAATCAAGAAAGACCTATTGAAGAATTTTACTGCGTATTCTCGGTACCAACCGATAAATATGAGGTTATTTTTGAAAATATCTCAGAAGACGTAAAAAACAATTACTGTTTAAATATTTTAGATATATGATATATATTTATGGAGATCATCTGGAATACTGCAAAAGTGTATTTGGCCACTTAAATATAATGTTAATTTTAAACAATGCTTTATTGGTGGAAAGTTTCTTTATTTTCTAACAACAACAAATGAACTATTCTCTTCTAAATTTATTGGAAAATGTACGTATAAAAACGTATTTTTTGAGAAAATATTTGATAATAAGTTCATTGCTCTTATCAGCATTTGAAAAATCAAATAAAACCAACAAAGAAACGCTAGAATTAACCTTTGAGAAAATATCACACGTATTTCGAGCAAAATACTTTGTTTGTGACGCTAAAGCGAAAAATTTCTGCATATTGCAAACAGATTCAAAGCTTAAGTAAGTTTTTAGGCATTTCCTTGCGTTTCCCTTTGTGATATACAAAAACAAATTAATATAAATATTACAGATATAAGCCTAGAAATAGGGAATTTGTAAATTCCAATGATTTCAGCTATATGCTGGAAAATGCAGAAGAATTTGCGCCGGATTTGCAGTTAACGGTAATACAATTAATTATGTTAATCATGTATTAACCTTTTACTGTCATATTGATATTTAGGTAAATTCGAGAAAATTTTCCGTTCATAAGTTCATATTATGTAGCAGAAGTAAATGGTTCCTGGAAAAACTTACCAATGACACCATCTCTGAAATATCAATGCCAGATAATGTAACTTATAAGGTTTTCGAGGATTTATTAAGGTTAATTTATTCTGGTTATTGTAAGAAATTGCCCAACAACGATAAAAAATTCTTGGAAGCTGGTAAATTTTACGGAGTTAAACGTTTGGAATCGTGTAAGAAAGCAGTTGATATTTGCTCGCAAACTTTACCTCATCTTCAGAGGCAATCCCTGTAAGATTTTATAATTAAAATTACAAATCAATCGTTAAATACCTTACTTAAATAGGCCCCAATTTTATGATATTGAAATATCGTGCCCAGACGGAATTACCTTTGGATGCCATAAATGTATTCTTATGGCGAAATCTGAATATTTCCATGCAATGTTTTCATCCGATTGGCTTGAGGTATTAGAAAAACCTTTCTTGTCTAAACTTACATTTTTAATTCATTTGAATTACTTGGGAAATTTAGAGCAAAAACGAATTAATAGAACTGCCCGAGGATAGTCAAGTTGTTATGATTGTTCTTGATTCCTTTTACAATGATAATATGTTGTCACGCTCAGGTATTAAACAATTATATATATTTTTCTTTTGTACACTATATATCATTATGTGGTTATTATTTTTTGTTAGAAAATATGACTATGGAGTTAGTGTGTCAAGTTTTGTGCTTAGCAGAACAACTGCTGTTTGATGCATTAAAGAGACGATGCGAAAGTGTTCTAGTGTCATTCAGTGAGATATTCTTTATCTCTATTTGCATACCTCATTTATAATAGTATATGTTATTAATCATATTCAGTTACAAAACGAACTGTTTGCCAACTTTTGGAGTTTGCCCAAATCAATAATGCTGATATACTTTTCAAAGGCTGTATCATATTTAT